AACCCGGCTCATCTGGTGTGCCTGGCCCTGCAGGGCGCAGACTTCATATCGCCCATCGACGCAGTCCGTCCGAGCTCACTCCCCTCATGATGGAACAACTGGCTCTTCAGCAACAAATTGAGTTACTACAACAGCAACAACAACAGATCGCTGCTACTCATCAGCAGTACGTCAACATGGGTATGATTCAGCAGCCCTTGCAAGGCATGCCCACCTACTCCCCCATTCAAGGGCAACCCAATCTTTCGGGAATCTCACCCAACAACACCAACTTTCAGTTCCCCCAAATCCAGCAGCAAATGGCAATGCAGGCGAATCCCCCTACACAGCCCGCCGCTCACCGTAGAAATCAGTCCGCGCTTCCGGGGATGGCCATGGGCCCTCCGCCAGCACCATCTGCTGGCACTGCCGGTTCAGTCTATGGTGATTTCAACCAGCAGGCCATGGTTCAGAATCGTGAGAACGTCAGTGGCCGTGGCGGAAGAGGAGGTTCTGCACAGGGTGGACATACTCGACGTCATTCGCTAGCTCTTCCCGAGGCTAAGAAGGCCGCTGAACTCGCAGAAAAGAAGCGGACCGCTGCTGGGTTCCAGTTCCCGATCCCTGGAGCTGGAGGCATCGCGGAAAGTCCTGTGGCTGCCACGCCTGCCGATGACAGATTGAACACACCTGTTACTCCCGGCGGGGGGTTGGGTCTCCAGCGTGCTGGCAACGCCCGTATGGTTGGCCACAGTCGGAGCCAGAGCATGGCCGCTGGAGGTGCGCGCGGCGGAGGTGCGGCTGGTCGCGGGGGTGGTGCGTTCCAGTTTCCATCTCAAGGCGATGCTGGTGCAGGTAACCAGTCAGAATTGCAGCGTCGTGGTAGTCAAAGCAATCACACGAGACAAGGATCTCGTAACTTCGAGGGCAATTGGCGTCAACAGAATAATCAGCAGACGACGGAGCAGTTGCCTCAACAGATGGGTCAATTCAGTCAACCGCAGGCCATGGGCGGTGGAAATTTCCAGCCTGGCCATCGCGGGCGCGGATCAATGAATCAGTCCATTGGTTCTATGAGCGGATTCCAATATCCCGGCCAGCCACAGCTGATGCAACTCCCTCAAGGCCAGATGATGATGGCACCTCAGATGTTCGCTGGCCAGCAACTGAACGCTTTGCAGATCGCGCAGCTTCAGGCGATGCAAGGTGCACAACTTGGCGGTCTTCAAGCCAGTCAGCATGCTCCGCCAATGGGGTTGCAACAGCAGCAGCAGCAGCAGCGAAAGACACTTTTTACCCCTTACCTCCCGCAAGCTACGCTTCCTGCGTTGCTTAATGACGGGCAGCTGGTCGCTGGCATCCTCCGAGTGAACAAGAAGAATCGTTCCGATGCCTACGTCACTACCAACGACCTTGATGCAGATATCTTCATTTGTGGTAGCAAGGACCGCAACCGCGCGCTCGAAGGTGATTTGGTCGCGGTCGAGCTGCTTGACGTCGACGAAGTCTGGGGTCAGAAGCGTGAGAAGGAAGAGAAGAAAAAACGCAAAGACATTACCGACACTCGCTCGTCGGGTAATACTCAAAACGGCAAGAGTGATACGGCCTCGACCACTGACACAACCTCCATTGCGCCAGATGGTAGCATCCGACGACGCGGCAGTCTGCGCCAGCGGCCAACGCAGAAGAAGAATGATGACGTGGAGGTCGAGGGTCAGAGCCTACTCCTTATGGAGGAGGAAGAGATCAGCGACGAACAGAAACCTCTTTACGCTGGCCATGTTGTCGCCGTTATTGAGCGCGTTGCTGGGCAGATGTTTTCAGGCACCCTTGGTCTCCTCCGACCAAGCAGTCAGGCCACGAAGGAGAAGCAGGAAGCGGAGCGACAGGCCCGGGATGGAGGACATTCACGATCTGAATCTCGCGCACAAGACAAGCCAAAGATCGTATGGTTCAAACCCACCGACAAACGTGTGCCTCTGATTGCTATCCCCACGGAACAAGCCCCCCGCGATTTTGTCGATAAGCATATGGACTATGCCAACAGAATCTTCGTGGCTTGTATCAAGCGTTGGCCGATCACTTCCCTACATCCATTTGGTACCCTTGTCGAACAATTGGGCGAGATGGGTGATCTCCGCGTCGAGACAGATGCCTTGCTTCGAGACAACAACTTCGGATCTGATGAGTTCTCCGACGCCGTCTTGAAGAGTGTTGGATGGGATGACTGGTCGTTGAAGACTGAGGGCGAAGAGAGTCTAGCTGCACGCCTCGACCTCCGCAACGAGCGAACTTTCACCATTGACCCTAACGGCACCAGCGAGCTCGATGATGCTCTCCACATCAAGCAACTCGACGACGGCTTGGTCGAGCTTGGTATTCACGTCACGGATATTGCACATTTTGTCAAGGCGAACTCGTTGGTTGACCGAGAGGCCAAGAAGCGAGGAACTGGCGTTTACTTGATGACCAGGGCGGTGAACATGTTGCCATCGAAACTGTCAGCCGACATTTGCTCACTCGTTCCGGGCGAGGGTCGTCTAACTGTGAGTGTGATCTTCAAAGTCAGTACCGAGACAGGCCAGATCGAAGGAGAGCCTTTTATTGGAAAATCGATCATCCAGAGTTCTGGCAAGCTCGGATACCGTGCGATTGATGCTGTCATCAAGGGAGGCGAGCACCCTGAATTGCAGGGGCCCACAATCGAGGACATCAAGACTCTGCATAAGATCGCCAGCAAATTCCGCGAAGCTCGCTTTGGCAACCGCTCCGAAAACATTGCCCCTCTACGACTGCTTTATCAGCTCGATGACGAGAATATTCCCGTTGAGCAAAATATCTTCAACACATCTGCCGCGCACGAGATCATGGAGGAGATCAGCTGCAAAGCAAACTACTTCGTTGCGCAGAAGATTTTTGCTGCCATACCTGACAAGGCCTTTTTGAGAAGACAGGCACCTCCCAATCCACGTCGACTTTTGACGTTTGTCGATCGCGTGACCCGAGCTGGCTATGACATCGATAGCACCAGTAGTGGCAGCCTGCAGAACAGTCTCTTCAAGGTCAGAGACGCAGATCTTCGCAAGGGAATGGAAACTCTGTTGGTCAAGACATTGCAACGCGCCAAATATTACATTGGTGACCAGGTTGCAGAGGAGCAACGTCAGCATTATGCCCTCAACTTACCTCTCTACACTCACTTCACTAACCCTTCCCGCCGATATGCCGACATTGTCGTTCATCGACAGCTGGAGGCTGCTCTCTCCAATGGTGCTGTTGAATTCAATGAAGATCTGGAGAGCTTGGCCAAAACCGCCGAACAATGCAACAACAAAAAAGACTCTGCTCATTGCGCTCAGGAACAGAGTGTCCACATTGAATCTTGCCGGCTTATGGATAAGAAGAGCAAGGAAATGGGTGGCGATCTCGTCAGCGAGGGTGTTGTCATTTGCGTTTACGAGTCTGCGTTCGATGTTCTTATCCCTGAATATGGATTCGAGAAACGTGTGCACTGCGATCAGCTTCCGTTGAAAAAGGCCGAGTTCCGCAAGGAAGAACGAGTTCTTGAGCTTTACTGGGAGAAGGGGGTTCCGTCATCCGCTTACGTCCCAGAAGACGAAAGACCCCGTGCCTCGATGAGCACTAAAGGCACCAATGGTGCAACCGAGTCCGCTCGAGAACGGGCCAAGGAACGATACGAATCGCAACGGAAGCAGACGGACAGCAACACCATGTCGACTGACGATGTCGACGCACTCTTCGATGATGAGGATAGTGCATCCGAAATCACCGAGATGGCTGCTGGTGTTTCGCTGAATTCACCGGTTGATCGATCATCTCACAGTATGCCTCCATCGCCCGCCCGTAACGGTGGGTCGAGCCAAGCACAAGCTAGAGCGCAGTCCGAGTCAAAGATTGCCAAACGAGCTGGCGACATTCCAGAGAATAATTTGACCGACAAGGAAAAGTATCTGAGCTACTTCAAGCTCCGAGAAGAGGGCGGCGAATACATTCAAGATGTGACTGAAATGACTCGGGTGCCAGTCATTTTGAAGACCGACCTGACAAAGAGTCCACCGTAAGTTATGCGCAAACTGAAATGGATCTTTCTGGCCACTGATCATTTGTCTAGATGCCTGACTATCCGGTCCATTAACCCATATGCATTGTAGTTAATGCATAATTATCAAGTAATTACTCGCAGGAAAAACGAATCAACACCAAAACAGACGGGGCAGACCTTTTCAGAGCGACAAGGCCTACCGAATCCGAAGCATCAACAAGGCAGCAGACAGGACGGACAGGAAATCTTGTATTGATTGATCGAGTTGGAGCTGCATTGGTAGCTGAGGACACGGTCGGTGACTTGTGGCATTTGGTGAAGGCTGAATTCGATGGCGGAAGAATGCAACCCTCTTTTGGGATGGGAGTGAGAAGAGAGAGACTGAACCTGAACCGACGCTTAACCATGTCCGAGTGGCAAAACAAGAATCATCAGTCGAAAGGTCTGGGCCGAGCATTTGTCCGAAAGAAGCACGCAGGAAAGGTCAAAGCGCCGCGGATCCTGTGTCTTCTAGTCAGAGTGCCTATTGAGCGTAGTATGAACACAAAAAGTTTTCTATGTTGTTTCTTTCATTTCATCGTGTCTCTGGAGTTCTGTATGTTGTAGTTATCGGGGAGTACTTCTGATTTCATCCTGTCTCTGAGCTGCTGCAAAGCGACGACTCGTCCGGATGGCGGATCTGTGAATCTGTTGTCTAGGTGCGGACTGATCAGCTAACGATGCCGACCGACAGCCCACAGACAGCCCTTGAGCATACACAATGTCGAACAGCTCCGATCCCAGCTCATCTTACGCTTGCCACTCACCCGCCTCTTTGAAAATAACGTATCGTGTACGATGTGGGTATCAGCCAGTTTAGTGCAGTGTGCTGCATGCAATCTATCGTGAAGTCATGTAAAAAGTTCCCCCTTTCAGCTTCCCGCGGTTCCACCGCCCACGGTGTCGACTTGGGCGACCCTCAGGCGCCTTTGGTGATGCGCTCGAAAACCCCGACCCCATAACGGCCGAGCGCCGACGCGCACGCGACAGCGTCTGCGCCGACTTTCCTCATCCTCTCTGCGCCGTCCTTGTCCTCCACGCCCCCGACCCCGATGATCATGATGCCCCTGGTCACAGGGTCTCGGTCGAGTAGTTTTCGAAACGTGGCGACGTTGCCCAGTGCCAATGGGTGGAGGGCTGCACCCGCCAGACCGCCCAGACCGGTGCCAGACTCGTTGCTGAGGACCGGGTCGAAGCTTGAGTTGAGGAGGAGGCTGTTGCCCAATGTGTTGGTGCAAGTGATGAAGTCGATCACAGAGCCTTCTCCCGGCTCAGAGGATTTTGCCTCGCGTAGAGAGCCGACGGCCATTTCGAACTGTCCGGTGTACGTGTATGGCGGAAGTTTCACGCCGACCTTGGGCACCGATTCAGGAGTCGCCATGCGTCCGCGATAGGTGGACTTGGAATCACTGATTGCTTCGAGGTACTCATCCAGTTGTTTCTTGTCGTACGCCGGTGGCGGAGCAGATGCGATATTGGGGCACGAAAGGTTGACTTCCATGGCCAGGCGGAGATCTTCGTCCATTTCGGCCGCGTTGGCGACGAGGGCATAGGCCATGGCGATTTCATCTGGCGTTCCTGTGACGGAGAGGATGAATGGTTTCTTGGTCGGAGTGTCGGTCCCCAGGTGGCGTTGGCCGACGATCTCATTGATGATGCCCAGGTATTCGGAGAGCGTGAGCGGGGAGTAGCCCAGCGTGTTGAGCGTGGATACAGGTTCTGATGAGGAGTTGGACGACGAGGGTTTCGAAGCCTCACCTTTCGGGGCGTCGCCGGCGATGGTCTTGCCGGGCGTGAAGAAGATATACTGGTGGATCGAGTCGTCGTGGGTGAAGCCTTCCAGCAGCGAGGTTCGAATTGTCACGGCGCCTGTGTAGGGACTGTCGTACAGGGCTTTGATGTCTTCGAGGGTGGTGGCCCAGGGACAGGCGGAATTGAGGAGCGGTGGGCTGATCTTCAGCTTGTTGGCGGCCATGTTTGAGGCTTCCAGGACTTTGCTCTGAGATGGGAATGAAAAGGACTGTATGGTAGTATATCCCTCTTTTTCTTTTTCTTTTTCCTTTCCCCTGTTTCCTCTCTCTCCCTCTCACACACACACACTCTCTCTCTCTTTCTCTCCAGAGTAGTCTGTCGTCGGACTCACCGCTCTCTTATCTTAGGACAAGCAGTTCAGAAACGGCTTGAGGTCCCGGAGTTCGACGATACTCGCTGTTAGACCGGGCTGGTTACCTTTTAAGAGGTGATTTGGAGAAGGGGGGGGGGGGGGGGGGGGGGGGATACGCAGGTGAAGATCAACTGAGTCGCCTCCGTCAAACGGCCGGCGCGACCAACATGGCACGGAAAGTCCACCCCTACCCTGTCTTGATGAAAAGGCTCAAGGGGAGACAAGGACAAGCAAGGGAGGGGGAAAAGAAGAAGAGGAAGAAGCCAATGGTGCTATAATTATCCCTGCTGCAAGTTCTCCGTTCCTTGTGCCGTCTTCTGGTGTTGGGGAAGAAAAAATGAGGTACGTGGCTGACTGGGCGACTCCGGATCTAGCACCATCAACAAATCATGAGGCAGCAAAATGTCTCAGATCTTGATAACAGGCCAGACACACACAACCTGCTCCCACAAGGCTGTCTACGGTGCACTGACCGAGCAGAACCCGAGCAGAACCCCAGCAGAACCCCAGCAGAACCCTCTGCCGTCTGTGCATCGAGAATGCTCATCATTCATCTTCGTGTGTTTTGGTTCTCGTCTATCATCAGCTACGTCCTAGGTACCTCGTGAAGGGAGCATGGTCGCTCTAACAAAGTGCAACAAATCCGGGTCAGGCAGGAATCAGGCCTCCACACCTCCTCGAGACCAGGCAGGGCAAGGCTAGAAACCCCTGGGACAGGTTCGAAATCTTTTGACTTGGTTTCCCGTGTCACACACGACAAAGAGGCGTGTCCTTGCAGGACTCCTTCTTACAGCTTTTGCATGGCCACGACATCAGTGGACTGGACGTGATCCTCGTCCCCTTCAATCTGCTGCTGCAGCTCGTCCAAAGACACCTTCTCGTCCTCGACAACCAGGTTGACCTGCATCTTCTTGATGCCAAAGCCAACAGGGACCAGCTTGTGCGCACCCCACACGAGCCCGTCCATCTCGATCGCCAACACATTTTTCACCAACTCGTCCATGTTCGTCTCGTCATCCCATGGTTTCACGTCTAGCGTGATGATGGACTTGGCGGCAGGCTTGGCTTTGCCTTCCTTCTTCTTCCTGTAATCTGCCAATCTCTTCTCTCGCTCAGCCACGACTTCAGGGTCTTCCTCTTCGTCGTCAGAGCCGAAGAGATCGACCTCGTCTTCGTCCTCCTCGGCCTTTTCGGGCGCGTCCTTGGGATTCAGAGCTACGGCAACCGCCTCAGGGCCGTAGGTCGTAAAGGGCTTGGATGGGTCGCCTGGCAATGTCGAGAAGTCGGCCTCATATGACTTGACATGGTTGTACCAGCGGTAGGCATGAGGGTAGCGTTCGACTGGGGGACATTCTTTCAGGGCCTTGAAGCTGACGACGTCGGCTTGAGATGGCTGGAAGCTGCAGACAATCAGTCAGCAGTGAGATCGGGCTTCATGGTTTGTGCAGATTCATCTTTGCGTCTTCAAAAACTCAGAGGTGCAAATACATGCGATTGGAAGTAGTCATTTTGCGGTGTCTTAAGCCGCCTCATCAACACGGACCAATTGATTCTCATCTTGGAAAAATTTGACGACTGGGGAGGAGCTCGGGAAAAGTCACGTACCCAGAAATGTATGAACGGGTCTTGAGCCAGTTGTTCAGGACTGTCCGAGTCAGTGGCATGATTGGGAGGGGCGCAAAGGACAATACGACGTACTTGTGAGGCCACTGTCGGAGACGAAGTCGGTGAAACCCATCTTGACGGATATTTCAGGTGCTTTGGATGATTTGGGAGGGATCGAAAAGCTCAGTTACGGCGGAGGTGAGTGGGATGGGACGGCGCAGTCAAAAATTGGATCTGATCGATGCCCAAATTCGAAAAAAACATGAGTCGCCCATGCCAAGAACGGATACTGCGAGCCTTGCCGCTTTAAGAGCTAGCTACGAACATGCTACATACTCCCGGCAGCCCCTTTTAATATGCACCTCGTATCTCCTGAGCAGAGTGAATGTACCAGACACATAAGAGAAGGCGTTCGCACTTCAGCAGCTCTGGTATTCGGAGACCTGCCATTTGCACCCTCAACAATCCTCCTTTCTTTAGGTCGAGATTGCTTACATCCTTTGCCATTCTATTCCATATTTTGTAGTAGTCTTCAATAACCTTCTCGACCAAGAGGACAGAGTAAACGGGCGAAGTAGCCACGCGAGCACAGTGTTCGGCCGCACTCGTCCATACAGACAGATGCGGCTTGTGATCCTTCGAAAACTTACCCGGCCCGCACGAGCAAGTTATGTTTCCATCGGTCTTCGTGTCCAGCACGGTAGCGGGATCTTGTGATGGATAGTCGCATGTCGCAGTTCGCAGTGTGCTCCCAGTCACGGCAGCGCTCTGTAAAAGCTGTCCTAGCATGCTTCCAGAACGCCAGCGTCGGGTCACCAACTTCGTACGTGGAACCTTTTTGCCCTATTTCCCTGAGTAGCTCTTGCGTGTGTTCAAATCTAAGAAAGATTTGCTGTCGAAGGAAGCATTGCGGCGTCTATAACAATGCTCAGACTTGCTAGATCTAGACGTAGGACAGAATAAAAATCATCATAACTGGGACTGCTTCTCCACGGCCCACCATACCAAACGCCGTCTGTTGTTTCTCACCAGCGAGGCCGCCATAGCAACGGAAGAGCTGCCTGAGCATGTGTTTGAGATCGAAACGTAAATCGTTGACTTGGATGCAGGTGCTGACGCATCGGATGCCCATCTCCTTTTCTCACACCGAATGCACTGACAACAAATGCTACTCCATTCATTTGAGTTTAGAAGCATCCGAGATATCAAGGATTGGAAGACGTTCCCGACTGATGTATCCAAGATTTTCGAGGATCGCCTTGCCACAATCAAGAGACCTTGGGAAGAGAGTATCAGAACAGCTTGATAGAACGTCCGCCGCTGCAGCTCTGGCAACGAACTCGACATATGCAGACTTTCGAGCAATTCTCGTCTGCAACCGGACGTGGTTTATGCAACCGGCGGTCGAGTCTCTTGACGATAGGGCCAGCGACCCTGAGCCGATGTTGAGTTCGACGACAAAAACAGACAGTCGCTTGAATTCAACGCGATTTCCAGACCGCAGAAAAGCCTCCACACTTGCGGATGACAGATCTATATGCAAGTTGAGCTTCTCAACTCTTGTCGCTTCCTCGTCGAATAGCATCTGGATGGTCACTTTGTCAGAATCAGCAGCGCATACAGCTTCTTGCGGATAGAAGCACTGGGAAAAGATGACTGAGTCATATTGATACCGAAAGGCACCATTGTTGTTTTGGTAGGCAATATAATGCTGCAAGACGTGGCAGAAAGCCAGGGTATCAGGGGCTGTGAAACGTATGGTCAAACGATTCTTGACTCGTCGAAAGGTTTGGGCCTAGGCATGAAGCTGCCTTGCCGCGGCCTGAGCTATGGGATTGACCACCAGCCAACGGGATTAGATTGGGATTGAAGGCGGAATTCTTCGTGAGTGGCGCATACGCAGTTGCTAAGTGGAAGGATTGTAATGGCTCCATTGTTGCATAGACGGACGCTTTTCTACGCATGGTCGAAAATGTTGGATTCGGTACTTGGATTTGGCGACTAGTTTCGTATCGTTGTAAGCCACTCCAGTCCAAGAACACCGGCCACGTCTTGACTAGGTGGAATGGATTCTAGGGCATCAACAAGAGGTGTGTTTCCCACCGGGTAAAAGCTTGGCAAGGCCGGGGTCACCGTCGGTCATATCATTCTGGATTTTTTGTGTGGAGGAAAACAAGAACGACGGAGGTGAGAAGAAGGGTTGGCTCGGCTGCTGGACCTGCTGAAGGGCATGACCTGGGCAAAACTCATGTGGAAATCATGTGAACAGAGCCCGCCTCAAGAAGTGAATCCGAAAGCATCCAATCCACCGTACGACACTGGTTGATTCACAAGACCGGCTCATGTCGTTGGCCGAGCGAAGTATAAGCAAATGTCCTCACTCGTCAATTTCTAACCAGGCGCGGCCACACGTTCGGTATATTGCTCGCCCCCTCCCTGCCAGCCAGGTCATCAGAGGAGCTCTTTGCGATATCCATGAGTTGCAACTAGATTTGATAGGTGTTGCACTCTGCAAGTTCGTTCAACCTTCGATTTCCGTCCAGTCTTCACACAATCCAGGCAAAGACCAGGTTCAGAATTCATTAAGCTGGAAAGATCCTTTGTTAGCTTTTTCTTCATTGTGCCATCTCGGGACGTAGCGAGTTCGCAGCGGGAATATGAGCTATTCGAGCAAGACAACTCTCCTGCCAGGCTGTTCGGTAAATTCGAGACTTTGTCGACCACTTTAAGCAAGCTCAGGTTCTCGAAGCCATCTTCGTAGGGGGCAATTTGCTGAACCCGTAGGTTGGAGAGATACTTTGTCACTCCGTCAGATGATGCCCGACAGGAACAGCCCAGGAGACGGGAGACTGGGTACATTAGAATTCTCTCCATTTTGCGATTGATCTCGACTCTCCTGGTATTGAGCACATCTACGCACGTAAGCATACCTGGATTGTTAGATGGGTTACAGTTCGACCAACCCAGCAGAGAGCACGGCACAGTAGGGTGGTCCGTCAGACCTGGCAATGCTTCAAATGGCCCGGCTTGTGCCTGCATCAATCTCCATGAAATATCCGAAAATGCGGTAGGGAGGTCCAGGAGGTATGCCACCAGCAGTTGCCTATTCAGCTCAGCGGCAAGGAAAGTGTCTGAAAGTCTCTGTAACCATAGTGCTGCACAGTGTCTCATTGCGATGGTGCATTGATATTTGTCACAGACCAAGGCCAGTTTCTCGAGGGCGTCGATTTTCAGCTCTTGTGGAATCTGGTCAAGTTGGAAATGGATGACTCTACAGACAAGTTTGAAAGCCTCAAGGTCATCCTCCGGCAAAGGGATGATGCGGGGATCACTCGTCGTGGCCTGCGAGGTTCCTTCTTTGAAACCTGACCTGAGCATTGCACAAAACACCGGGGATGCCAGAGAGATGACTTTCGAGGAGATTCGAAGTCGTTGTTCTTCGATCTCGACAATGAGATCACCATCGGGATCGATATCGATAGTCGCCATGGTGGTGGGCAGCACGGTGAAGAGATCGGAAGCCGGAAGAGAGGTTGCACAGGGTTGAATTCTTAAAAGGCTCGAGTGAGATTTGTACTTGTACAAGTACAGGTAGTGCCCTATGAGCCAATCGGAGCGGAGAAAACCGGCCCGCTGCTGGCCGTCTTGGCTTGACCAGAGAAGGGATAGATCAAGACTTGGCGGTCTATTCCGTATTTGGTTATGGCACCTATGAAATCATTCGATGAGGCTCGAGGCTTCCAGAAGAACCAGATCACACTCGGACCAGAAAATATTTACTATAGATTCTTCCGTCAATATGTGTGGTTGACATGCCTGCTTTTATGCATGATTATCGATAACATTTGTGAAGCCGCCTGGCACCCTACCTCTTAGAAAAACTCGCCATGAACACCGCAAGGTCGACGCTCGTCCGGCGAGCAGTTCCGCGAACGTTACCGTCTTCATTGCTCCGTCGAAGAGCCGCCCCTTTCCTAGTATCCGGTGCAAGCTATTCTGCGACCCCTCGCTTCGTCCCCCCAGCGGCCACGTTCGTTCGCACGTATGCCAATGGACGACCTCATCCGCCTGGCGGAACCCATCGCATGAACATGGGAGGCGAGCCTGAAAAGCCTGCGTTGGAAGAATACGGCGTTGACCTGACAGCCCGAGCTAAAGACGGAAAATTAGACCCTGTGATTGGAAGAGATGGGGAGATTCACCGGACGATACAGATACTCTCGCGGCGAACGAAGAACAATCCTGTCTTGATCGGTGCTGCCGGAACGGGCAAGACTGCCATTCTTGAAGGACTGGCCCAGAGGATCGTAAGAGGGGATGTACCTGAGAGCATCAAGAATAAGAGAGTCATCTCTTTGGACCTGGGTCAGTTGATAGCTGGTGCCAAGTTCAGAGGCGACTTTGAAGAAAGGCTTAAGAGGGTTCTTAAAGAGGTGCAAGACGCACATGGCGGAGTTATCCTTTTTGTCGATGAACTGCACACGCTGCTCGGACTTGGAAAGGCCGAAGGTTCGATTGATGCCAGCAACCTCCTGAAGCCAGCTCTCTCGCGCGGCGAGCTACAATGCTGTGGCGCCACCACCCTCAACGAGTACCGCCAAATCGAGAAAGACGTGGCACTCGCACGGCGATTCCAACCGATCCTGGTTGGAGAGCCTTCAGTACAAGACACGATCTCTATCTTGCGCGGTATCAAAGATCGCTACGAAGTCCATCACGGCGTCCGCATTACGGATAATGCTCTTGTCGCTGCCGCCACATACAGCAATCGGTACATTACAGATCGTTTCCTACCTGACAAGGCTATAGACCTCGTGGACGAGGCAGCTTCTGCTCTTCGCTTACAACAAGAGTCCAAACCTGACGCAATTCAAAAACTAGACCGCGAGATAATGACCATTCAAATCGAGCTCGAGTCTCTGCGGAAAGAAACGGATATTGCTTCCAAGGAACGTCGGCAAAAGTTAGAGGAGACACTTGCAGAAAAGAAGAAGGAAGTGGATCGTCTAACCGAGATTTGGGACCGTGAGAAAGCAGAAATCGAAGCCATCAAGCGAACGAAAGAAGACCTGGAGAAGGCACGACATGAGTTGGAGCAAGCTAGACGCGAGGGGAACTTCGCCCGCGCAGGCGAACTTCAATATGCGACAATCCCCAAACTTGAAGCTCAATTGCCCAGGGAAGGTGACGAAGTCACCACGACAACGAAGAATGGAGAGACTCTGATTCATGACTCGGTGACTGCTGATGACATTGCCAACGTTGTGAGTCGAACAACAGGGATCCCAGTCACCAAGCTTATGGCTGGGGAAGTCGAAAAGCTTGTGAAGATGGAAGACAAATTGCGAGAGCATGTTCGTGGCCAAGATGAAGCCCTTACTGCAGTGGCCAACGCAGTCCGCATGCAACGAGCAGGTCTAAATGGCGAAAACCGCCCGCTCGGGAGTTTCATGTTCCTGGGACCTACCGGCGTAGGAAAGACAGAACTCTGCAAACAGATTGCCAACTTCCTCTTCAGCACAGAATCTGCTGTGGTTCGATTTGACATGTCAGAGTTTCAGGAAAAGCACACTGTCTCGCGACTCATTGGCGCCACCGCGGGCTACATCGGGTATGAGGATGCAGGGCAGCTGACAGAGGCCGTTCGGCGCAAGCCGTACGCCGTCCTCCTGTTCGACGAGTTTGAGAAGGCCCACCGTGACATCTCAAGTTTGCTGCTGCAAGTGCTCGACGAAGGTTTTCTCACAGATAGTCAAGGCCACAAAGTCGACTTCCGAAACACTCTGATTGTCTTGACCAGCAATCTTGGTGCTGAAATTCTGATGGGTAGCGGCGCAGATGTGGAAACAGTGACTCCCGAACAGAAGAAGGGAGTGATGGAGGTTGTGCAAGCCTCCTACCCGCCCGAATTCCTGAATCGGATCGATGAGTTCATCATCTTCAACAAGCTGTCCAGGTCTGCCTTGCGAGACATTGTGGACATTCGGATCCGCGAGCTTCAAGGGCGCCTTGATGACCGCAGAATAACTGTTGACGTTTCGCCTGAAGTCAAGGACTGGTTATGCGAGAAGGGCTATGACCCTCGATATGGTGCCAGGCCACTCAACCGCTTAATACAGCACGAGATTGGGCGAAGGTTGGCGGACAGGATTATCAGAGGCGAACTGAAGACAGGAGACACCGCGAAGGTTATGGTGGCCAAGGACAGGGCCACCTTAGACTTGGAAGTTCAAGCAAAAGCTTGAAGTTTGAGGCGGTAAAATACCTAGCGTGGCTGTACGAAACTGCAAGCGGAGGGCAGACCCTGCAATTTTATACAGAACCATCGAAGAACATGGCGGGACAACACGGGAACCCAATGACCGGGGTCTGAGGACGCCAGCTTCTCCCTCGTCGTCAAGCCCTGGCAACGCTTATTATGCCTGCCGACCTCAAGACCCCCTCTCTTCGATCATATTTCTCTCGAAGACAGAAACCGAGTGCAAAAGACGGACCCATATGCACAACTTCAATCTTCACTCTAGTAAACCTTGAGCACCTCTGTTCCCCACAATTGTCATTCTGCCACCACAAGATGAGAACAGCCAGCCACCGAGTTCAAGAGCTGCGATGAGATTCAAAAGTTTGAAAATTGTTTCAATACGAATTATACGACGAACATGAGGAGCTTTGAGGCGAAGGTCACATTGTCCTTGTCGATGATACCCCTCTCTATTCTACGGTCATGTGAGACAACGGTCGACATTGTATATACCGAACAAAATGTACAGTATTGTGTGATTAGTAGAACAATTAAATAGTCTCTACTTTACTTCGACTTGCTTTGCTTTCACTTTGCTTGTTTTCCCCTCCCACCTATCTAGCTTCCTGGCCATCTACGAAAGCCTCGCTGGCCTTCGATCTATACGTACCCAGTAACGACAGGTCCTTTTCACTTCTGGAGCACTTCTCGCCGGTCGTCGTGTATTTTGCCATGTCCATCTGCTTCTTCTTCTTCCTCGTCCCCTTCCGGCGTAGTGGTATTGTCCGAGACTGTAGCCTGTGAGAAGATTCGCCGTCCGGCGGCGTGCTTGTACGCCTTGACTTGCCTGTCCGCTTTTCGGACGATGCTCCATTGGAGCCTGCTCAGGAGGCCATTCTTGCCTAGTCCTACCTCAAGTCCTGCCTCGTCCTCATCGGGCAGCACGACGTTCAAAGTGGAGTCTCTAGCTACAAAGAGCGTGTCGATGGCTTCGAGAGGTTGGCCGCCGGTTTCGGGGTAGAAGAGCCAGACGATGATAGCGTTTGCCAGGTTCAGCACGGCCCACACAATGTAGAACCTCCATCCCAGATTTTCGACCCCGTCTAGATTGGAGGAAGCAGGCCAGTCAGTCAGCGAACAAGACAGACGAAACGAAGAAGATGAAGCAGATTTGTTTTCATTTGTCGAAACGTCAACTCACCAGGCGTGACTTCCACGACGAGGAAGTTGCCTAAGAAGTCAGCACCAGCGGCCAACGCGGCGCCCTTAGCTCGGATCTTCAGAGGCAGGATCTCCGGGGGATAGACCCAGACAGTGGCCATCCAACCCCACGTGAAGCACGCTTCGAAGGCGAAGACGAAAAACACGGCCGCCACACCTGCGGAGGTGTTGTGGTAGTTGTCCGCCTCGATGCGGTTGACGGCGATTGCTTCGGCCACGAGAACCAGACACATGCCGAGAGCCATTGAGATGAAGAGGAGCCGTCTCCCCACGCGGTCTATGGTGTACCAGGTGAGGAAAGAGGCAATGATGTACCACAATTGCAGGAAGCAGCCCATGAGAATGGACATCTCTTGGGACATGTTCAACGACGTACTGAAGAGCGTCGGGGCGTAGTATGTAACCTGAAAATTCGTCAGCTCATGTCTATTCCCACCAGTGGAGGGCACAATGGCTCTCACAATGTTGATGCCCGACATCTGCTGCATGAATTGGATCCCCAGAGCCAGGTAGAATCTCTTGTTGGCCGAGATGCCGTTGTTGCGGAACAGGTCTGCCCACGATCCTTGTTCCTTCTCTTCGATGGCGATGGCCTCCATGATCTCGTCTTTCTCCATTTGCACGAGCTGGTCTTTCTCATCTCGTCCCCTCAGCCGGGCGATCACTGCAAGCCCTTCCGCGGGAGTTCGATGTCGCATGAGCCAACGCGGTGTGTCGGGAAGCCATGGAGCGACCAAAATGATATATATAGCAAAGACCAGTTGAAATGCCAGGGGAAACCTCCACTGTGCGCTGCTGTGAACGAAGTAGAAGCCGTAGTTGATCCAATACGCAACCATCAGCCCTCCAAGCATGGTCGTGAGCTGGCAGCATACTTGCCAACCCCGTTGCGCGGCGGCACTGATTTCAGCTTGATAGACAGGGGTGACGGAGGTGATGTATCCGATGCCTATTCCCGTGCAAACTCGGGAAACCATGAACTGGATCCGTTCATAGCTGCTCGCCATGAGGATCGTGCCGATGATCAAGACCGTGGTCCCTAGCAGAAGCGTTCTCTTCCGCCCAAGTTGTTCCCCAGTCAAAGCAGCACCAATTGCACCGAATACAGCCCCAACATCATACAACGCAGTCATAGTACCAACCATGAGTGAGCTCGGATGGTCCATTTGCGCCAACCAGTACTTGGATATCACCACGCCCGACATGACTCCCTGGTCGTAGCCGAATAACAGAAAGCCTGACGAGCATACCGAGGTGATTGCGGCAATCAGCCACCCACCAACGAGTCGATTCGCGCCTTGCATTGCTGTCATTTTGGAGGTCTCGCTGTAGAGAGGAGCGAGGAAGCGACAACAATAGAGAGGCCGATCTTGATGATGCCGAGAGGCTCCCGCACCTCTTTATGGTTAAGATCCCACTCAAGCTTTGGGTCAAGCATTGCAAGCATTGCAAGGATGCTGGATGAATAGCACCTGCTTCATATGGGACATGATTGACATGGCGGCAATGACAATGACGCGTCGGAAACGTGCCGATAGCCGTAACGTAGACGGTCGCGGAGATGATCGACAAAGTTGTCCTAGCAGGTGGTGAAGATCATCTTCTCCTCGTGGTGGAGGGCGCAAGGTGGTTGCGATCGACGGCGAATAGTCCGATGGTATTGACATAGAAGGCTATGCACTCGGTATCGATGTCTCTTGTCGTCGCTGTAAAGACATTGCTGATAGATCATGAGCTCCCCCCAGGATCTCGGCTATCAGCCAGCCACTCGGTAAGCGAAGAGTGTATTCGGTCCCTGGAGTAACAATCCCATCAAATGCTCTCTGCTACCTTCTATTCCATCCAGACCATACGCAGGCTCATGCAGGCCTCCACTCATAGTGATGAGCTCCCTTTTGCGGCTTTCCAGGATCTTCGCCCTCAACACCTGGCCGATCAAACGCATGTGCTCCAAAGAAATCCATCTGGGCTTCCATGAATTGGGTAGGTAGAGCCCTGCTCCCACAATACTTGAGGTACTCCAACGATGCAGACAGGCTGGATATTACCGCCCCCCCACTCCGTTGCCATCAGGACGACCTTTTTCAGTGCCTCGTAGTTTTCCCGTAAGGCCTGCGAGACGGGTTTGAGGAGCTTGACGTCGGCTACCTTGGATTCTCCCTTCACTGATAGGGCAGCTTCCATCATGTCACCGATCTGGCTCAATTTAATGATGCAAGCCTTCTCGTTAGATGCGGATGCAAGTCGCAAGATCGATCCCCCATGCTTCTGCGTCCGAGGCTTTGCTGATGAGCTCGAGGGCCACTTCAAGGCGTTTGGATCTGTTTCCACTGGCCACACGGAGGAATTGCCTAGCTGCAATGGTGGGAGCTGACACATGTCGTGCAGCAGCTTCTATGACGCTCCAGAATCCTCTCCCTTCGGTGTTGTCATCTTCTTGTACCACCTTATCCAGCACGTCGTCTAACACATGTCCTCCCTCGCGTCGACCCTCTCCCCGGCCATCGCCTTCTGATGTCTTCTTCCTCCGACATATCTCTGCCCCGATTTGGATCAAGTAAGTGGACCGGAGTGGCCCTTCAGTATTCCAACGCTCGAACATTTTACCGATCTCGTCATTTTGCATCTCCAAGCAGTACTTCATGATGCCCCAAGCTTCGCAAAGAGCGGACAGCATTCCATTCTCGATCCCATTGTGCACCATCTTGACATAATGGCCTGAGCCTTTCGGACCAATGTATGCCGTGCAAGGAGACTCTTTCATGTCTTCTGGCGATTGTGCCTTTGCGGCAAACCTCTCCAGCAGGGGCAGAACCTTTTGAACGGCTTGCTTGTCGCCACCGGGTGACAAGCTTAGACCTCTCCTGGCAGACTGATATCCGCCAGAGGCACCCATCCCGATCCAAGCCACACCCCTTTTGTCGAGTGCCTCCTGTCGGCGCTCCATATTGCGATAATGCTCGTTTCCACCATCAAGAATAATGTAACCCTCCTTCAAATGATCTTGCAGCTTCTCCAACACCTGATCTGCTGGGTTTCCATGCGTGATGGAGAAAAGTAGCACTTTTGTCTCTTCATTCGACAAACTATTGCAGAATTCGGCAATGTCATTGAATCCGTCGATTTTGCCGCTCTGCTTCCCACCTTCGGGTGTGTTGGAGAGGGCCTGCTTCACGTTATTGGGAGAGATGTCCCATATGGACACGTCAATGCCGAGTTCTGAGATCCCAGGGCCATCATGCTATCCATGGAACCGGTACCGACGATGCCGATGCCTTTGAAAGGGGGGTCATTCTTTTGGGTGGATGACATGCTTGCGACCGTTTACTCCCCTGTAGGTTAGGCGGATGAAGTCGACTCGTAGAAGCAAAAAGAGTCTGTTGGTCTCGGTGTTTAAGAGAAGCAGTCGAAGCCACCTGTGATATATTTCGTCATGAGGGCGTGTTTTCCGTGTTCTAGCTGCCTTAGTGAGACGGATCCTAAGTCCCGCCTCATTACATGGAGTGTGTGAAGGTCGACGTTGAGTGGACCGTCATGTACTTAAGATGGAGGGAGTAGCGTCTGGTTCAATGCGAAGGATATACCTCATTGCATTACGATAAAATCCCTGGACAGAACCAGGGTGTCGGGAAAGGCTTCCGGTCCCCTGGATCCACGCATTCAATCACTTTAGGAGGAGTGTTGCATTTCCCCGTTCAACCGTTCAGATGTATATATTTGTGACGGCGAGCCAGTCTGCTAATCCCGCTGTGGCCCCCTGATGTCCTTATCCTAGGATGACATCATACGTCTTGAAGTAATCTACTCACCTGATTTCTACCTAGAGTAGACGTTTGGAATAGCATGCAAACTGCGACATTGGATAGAGCATTCGCGTGCCGATTCGGTGACGATATGAGCAGCTACTTAGCTTAAAAGGCCAAAGTCCCGGTAATTACCTCGCCTTTCCTTGGCGGTTGTCTTAGCCCTTCCCATCCACAGCCTCGCAAACTGCCTACCGCCGTGAGAATCTTAGCCATGCGCCCTCGTCCTCGCACAAAATCGGGGACTGGCGCGCTGGCTTTCTCTCATCCGGCTCTGGGGCGCGAAGATCTGACCGAAATACTTTTCAACCTGATCAACATCCTCAACATCGCAGATCAATGAAACATGCTGATCTGGTCGAACGACAACAAGGCAACCCCTCTTCTTGTCCACTCCCCATCTCTCATAAGCATCATCAGAGGCGCCTTCTTCGCCATCATTATTATTCACAAAGCACTTCCAATAGTCATGTCCGAGTTTCGGGTCAAAGCTCTATCAGACGTGTAGCGACTGGCTAGCGTTCGTCGTTGTATGTGCTAAGGATACGTGGCTGCGCGGTGCCTTTGATGACTTGGCCCAGTTTCCACATCAAATTGTACGCATCTTGTATAGACACGTTCATCCCCGCACCCATGGTGGGCGAGTGGGTATGGACAGCATCACCGGCTAGAAAGACTCGATTGTCTTTGTCGAACTTGGGCGCACATTGTTGACCCACAGTATAGACGGACCACCAATCACAGAGTTCATATTTCAGGCTCCATGGACTGAGAATGGTCGCAGCCTTTTCTGCGATCATTTCGATAGTGACCTGATCGGTGTCCAAGTCGTCTCTCTCGCTGCCAGTCTCACCTAGTTGAACATAGAATCTGACCAGGCGATTCTCGCGGGGAAACGTCATCATGCTGCCCGTCTTCGCCGAATGGATAGCGCATGAGATTTGTATGTTAGCTGGGAGAAATATGAGCATTAATTTGAGGTTGTTGTTGTTTTTCACCACTTACGAAAATCTGTAATGGGAATGACGTCCATGACGCCGAAGTGGACTTTTGTCTTGCCACCCGCTATTTCCAGACCAACCTGTTGTCTGGTCCAGCTGTGTCCACCGTCAGTACCCAGAAGATACTTGGTTTTCACGATTTCTTCAGCTGAAGGATCGGCTGTGGTAGTTAGCAAGGATGTAGAGCTAATCAGGCAAGCAGTCTCTCACAGTTGGTGTCTGATGTGTCTCCACTGCTCGCAGGAACCTGTCTTGAAATGCGTAAATTGATCGGAAAAGCGTTGTGGTCGGTCATGTTATCTTCGTCCAATTGAAGACATTTCGTCTCTATGTTTCTCTCCACACGAACATGACCTTCACTTTCCAAGAAGTCGAGGAAGTTTTGCTCAATAAAACCTTGATAGATGCCCAGCTGACAAAAACGACCATGCTGTTCCACCTTTGCCAAAATCCTCTGCGTGCGTTGGAGTCGGCTTTCATCATCAGGGTCAGGGTTCTTCGATTGTTATCAGAACACGGTCGAGAGGTAGGAGTAGTCAATGTTACCCAAGAGCAAATTTCACGGAGATGGTAAGCTAATTTGTTTATCTGAGTTGCCATGCCGAAGCTGTCAAGTATCTCCATTGTCCGCACATGGAGCCCGTTTGCTTGCCCATTGTGCACTTTGTCCGGCTTATCGTCCAGCAATCGAGTGTTCAAGGCAAATCGACTCGCCCAAGAGACCGCCATCGAGCCGGCCGGACCAGCACCGACAATAACCAGATCACTATGGCTCACTTTTGGTTCCATGGCCAGAGTGGTTTCTCAGATACTCGTGCCCGCAAGCTATCATGTCCTTTGTCAGCCTGAATTGAGGTGTTGGCACATATATAGTTCGGAATGCCTCATGTTTGAATAGGTAGATCAGTCATGATTCGATGAGATGCAGATCTCGCGATATACCTATGAACAAGGGGGGGGTTCCTAAAAGCACGTCTTGGTGACTTTTGCGGGAACAAGCTCGAAGATGCCCAGCTATGGCTACATGATCCGGATTTCCTAGGGCTGATGTGAGCTCATGACAGAAATTACAGCAGGGCAGGAACAGGGAAAGTGACGTTTCCAATACGTCAATGTCGTCCACGCCTGCGTTTTCGCTACTTCACCGCTTCTCGGAGGTATTAAAGAGATGAAAGTAGATGAGATTGGGACAGTCCATCGCTTCCTCTCGTCACTTGCCAGTGACATGGAGCATTTGGGGAACCTGTGGAGATGGCAAAAGCGGACTCTAGCTTTGTCGTGCGTATGGTGGCAGTGGTGGGAGTCCTTGCAGAAGGCGTACGAAAGGCGAAGGCGGGCAGTGAGCTCAGGGGCCCAGAGGCGTAGTCTTGGCGGTCCTGCATACGAGGGCGTTCCAACTCCCTTTACAACTTTACGTCATCCGGGCTTGGCACACCAACTTTTTCTCAACGTTTCTGGCACGTGGATACGCGACACGTTGAAAATGAAAGCGCGTAGCTGCACCTTGCTACTTGAGAGATTCGAGCTACAGCACCGCGTAGGTATAGAATATGCGCATCTGCTCCTGTTGTTGGCTGCTCGGATAATGCTTACCTCACTGGGTATGTTCAATCCTGCATCACCATCATGGCGGCGTCTCAGGAACGCCACGGACACACTTTCCAGCGGGATCAAGTGCCGGCACATCAACGTCTCGCGGATACGAATTCCTCTCGTTCACAAGTGGCTCGGTGGGTGGGCATGTCCTCCGCTCAAGGTGCAATGAAATTGCATGCCCATGTCGTGATTGAGACCGTGGTTACACAAGGCCTAGAGAACGTCGCGGCACTTCAAGTGGGGTACTCTTATGAAGTACCGTCATGCTTGGATCTCGTCCGTTGAACATGTTCCTCTGCGCCGAGATGGCGCCATCCTCCTCAAAATCCTTTACCTTTTATAACGGCTGCTGAACCTCTTCGTCTCACTTTGCCAATGACTCCTGTAAGTACGGACACGGCAAAAGGAATAGTTGCTTACCGGACACAATGGGGTCCTCCGACGACAGCACAGAGCTGTTGACAGCTGATATCATCCATATTCAGTCAGACGCTGACAAAATCGAATCGTCAAAAGACACCGCCGAACTGTTGAAAGCCCCAGCGCCAAGCTTGCCGTCGCTCTGGCTGTGGGACGAACAAGGCTTGAAATTTTTCGAAGCCGTCACGTATGCCACTGAGTACTACCTAACCAACTCCGAGATTGAGCTCCTTAAGAAACGCAGTCATCAGATAGCGCAGAGGATCGAACCTGATTCCGTCATTGTCGAGTTGGGAAGTGGGTGTCTCCGAAAGACAAAGATTCTTCTGCAAGCGATAGATGACCTGAATAAGTGTGTCGACTACTATGCCCTGGACCTGTCTCGCTCAGAGCTTGAACGAACTTTACAGGAGGTATCTGCTAGTACCTTCCATCGCGTCCGGTGCCATGGTCTATTGGGAACGTATGATGATGGATTGGCATGGTTGCAACAATCCGAAATTGCTTGGAGGGCCAGAGCGGTGCTCTCGCTGGGTTCAACTCTTGGGAGCTTAACCCGGACTGAAGCCGCGGAGTTTTTGGCTGGATTCGCTAAAGCTGTCGATCATTCCGTGAATGGAGCAACCCGAAGTGAGCCTCTGATGGTCATTGGTGTCGATGGCTGCCAAAAAGGAGAGAAAGTGTGGCCTGCCTACAACGACGCTGAATCTCGGAACGACCAGTTTATCAAAGATGCATTGGATTATGCCAACCAGATTTTGGGCAAGGGCATTTTCGATCAGGATCAATGGGACCGTCACGGCCAGTGGAATGAAAAGATTGGACGACATGAACAGTCCCTGGTACCTCAGAAGGATATCTGGTTCGAGGATCGTTGTCTCAAAGCTGGGGAAAGGGTCTTTGTTGTCTCAAGCCACAAATATGACCACGATGATCGACAACGCCGTTGGCAGGGTGCAGGTCTGTCGCTGATGGAGGGATGGCAGCACCAAGGAACCAAATATGGCGAGTTTTACTCATGCTCTTCTGCGACTCGAGTACTCTGTTAACTTTGACCCAGGACTGTATGTTCTATCCGCGCGAGGCGCAAACTCCAACTTGGAGGCAGAACATATACGAAGTACATGGGGTTTGCTATAAGTGAACCTCGCCTGGGGGATCGTGTTCGAGACCGAGATCTACTACAGTATGGATCCGACCTGGCATGTCTCTTCTAAGGAGTTGGGTCCGGCAAAGCTTCTGTGAAGATACCCTCACCGTGAATATTGAGTAGGATGCGTAGGTTATAGCGAGTTTTTCGGTCGCTCGGTATGTACCACAAGTCCGAAACCCCTTCTCCAAGTCTCAGGATACAGACCCGAGCGGCGCCACCTTCGCTTTAGGAGCCATGATTCTCCTGAGCCACGTGCACTTAGCCACGATCGCGGCGTGAATAAGCGGCACGTCTGGGTTATCCACGCCGTCAAACAAATGGAAGGCACCTGGCCAGACGTGTAATTCGCACGTCGACCCACAGCGCCACATGTTCGTCGCGTACGCCACGGCGGGGTCGCGGAATACCTCGCACTCGGCCGTGTCGATATACGTCGGTGGGAGGTCCGATAGGTCTGTCGCCCGGGACGGTGCTTGGTACGGCGTCACGGCGTCAGTTCCGCGAGCGGCGGCGCCGAGGACGTGGTCCCACGCCATACGGTTCGTCACGCCGCACCACGGGATGCCGTGCTCGAATTGTCGGTCGGACGTGCTGGCGCAGCGATCATCCAGCATGGGCGACAACAGCATCTGGGCCTTGATAGCGATCGTGGGCAATCTGCTGTCCCGCGCCATGAGGCACGTCGCCGCGGCGAGGGCGCCGCCGCCGGAGACCCCCCACACAACAATCTCGGCCGGATCGACGCCCAAGATGGTGGCGTTTTCCGACATCCATACGAGTCCCGCATAGCAGTCCCTCGCTGCCCCCGGTGCACGGGTCTCTGGTGCAAGGCGATACTCTACAGACACGACGACGCACTCAATGCCCTCGAGCAGATCCACCGCCTGGACGACGCCCCCAAACCGGTCCCCAGAAACCATCCCGCCGCCGTGGATGTGGTACAGAGCTGGCAGCGCCGCTGCTGACGTCGGCTTCTTGGGTGCAAACACCGACAGAATGATTGTATTTCCGTCGAGCCCGGGAATGGAATGCTCTGTGTATGTCAGGCGTGGTTTGGCCGCCAGGACCGTATCCGCGTTACAGGCAAACGCCCCATCGTCCCCGCCGGCTGCTATGCCACGGAGGAAGTTGATGTCTAACTCATCGGGGAGGGGAAATGAATCAACAATAGGCGCGAGAGAAGGATCAATAACTGGACGTGGAATTGTGATCCTGGGATCAAGCTCTGCGGCTTGCGAGTATGGTATGGGATTTGCTGACATTCTGCTATCCTTCTGGTAACGTTCAAAGCCAGATCGAGATTCAGAAGGGCAATGGTGGGGACTTGCAGTAGTTGGATTATTCTTGTTCGTAAAGCCACAAAGCAAGATGTTGACTGCGTCGCTGCGTGAAATCTGAATGGTCACAGCGCACAAACTTTCTCGCAGCGGTGTCTTAGCGGCAGGAAGGAATGTGCGTGTCGATCAAAAGCCTAGGACTAGAGTCCGCTATATATGTTTTGTGTCTGCTGGAGCCGGTAAATAAGTGGAGAACTAGTGGCCCGGATAGATGTTCACGCCACCTGGTGAGCTTGGTCAGTAGATGATCCGACGCCCGTTACCAAAGGCACTGTCATTGTATAATTTTACGTGCTCTCAAATCGCCACGTATGGTGCTGTGGATGGCCGCCTTCTCTGTCATTTCGCAGCAGAACAGGGGGGACGTGAAACCTATCAGCTCGAAGGTGGCCTAAGCCTGCGCCCGTCCTCAAATCAGGGACGTTATAGTCTATGTGTTTCTTTGGATGCTTTGTAATCCGTTCCGAAATCTACTCTATCGTCGTTAAACCTCCAGGTATCTCCCGATCCCTTCGATGAGACTATCCACAAGGCTGTCCTCCACAACACCATCCTGCCAGCTAAAACCCATCGTCAAACCTCCATCCCCGCCAGAAACAATACTCAAGGTAACCGCACTGCCGGAAACAACTGAGCTCCGACTGAATGTTACTCTTCCTAGTTGCCAGAGGAGATCAGTTCCTGCTTTGATGGAAGAAGGGAAAGCCCCTAGATTCGATACTTCAAACGCCGCGTCGCGATCCTTGCCAATGGTGGAAGTAAAGATGACGGAGACGTCTGGGATGGCTTTGAAGATGGCAACGGCGGTGTATAGCTCGCCAGAAGGTGAAAGGTCACCAAGGTAATTTACGATTTCTCTCGACGTTTTGTGGGCTCCAGGCCAGATGTCCGTCGAATTGGGGCATTGGATATTCCCATCAGGACGACGGAATTGGACTCTGAAGGCGTCGAAGTATGTCCCGATTGCATTCCCGGCGACATCGCATTCTAGTTTCAGCCACGGCCGTAAGTTGACTGGGATGATGCAGGTGAGGGACTCCGTGGCTGGGGGGAGGATGCTGAATAGAACCGTGGCGATGAGAGATGAGAGGGCAGATGTCACTGACAGGTTTTTTTTCTTGCAATCTTGTACGAATGTGGCGGAAGAGCTGGGCGAGAGGTAGAGCGTCTTGTAGTGGGATTTGCAAGGAGCATGAATCACGTTGCCCGTCCACTCCTTCAGAATTGTCGTTGAAGGTTTGGTGGAAATTTGGCGGATAGGAAGAGGATGCAGTTCTTCAAGCGGTAGAAGAAGTGGAGTATCATTTGGGGTGATGATTTGTTTGAGTTTCGGATCAACGGAAAGAGACAAAGAGTTCGCCTCAAGAGCATCTCGAAACGCGTTATGGAAAATGAGGCCGGAGACTCCATCCCCAATAGCATGATGAAAGATGAAGGAGGCGGTGAATTCGTTCTCAATACCGGGGGTCGTTAGGATGAGCAAACGCCAGAATGGCAAGGCGCCGTACTCGGACTTGAAATTGGTGTTGTGTTGATCCTGTAGGATTGTATCGAGCTCTCTGTCTTCTCCCGCTTCAGAGACAGCTAAGGGTTGGCGTCTTTCGATGAAAAGAATGCTTCTTTCAAAGTCAATTGAAGGAAGGTGGGCGAAATAAGCATCTGGACTCTCTTCATCGACGGGAATGGCCGACAATATGGGATGTTTCCGGATGACATCTGCTAGTGCGGAGTATATGAGATGTTTCAGAGCAGAGACACGCGAAGATTTGTGAAGCTTGTAGTGGGCAGATAGGCCGACGTTGTGGTAATAACCAAAATGATGGCAGACTGCTGAAGCCTGCTCGAGTTTGCCTATGATGACATATTAGTTCTCGGCGCTTCGATTTGCCCATATGGTGTTGGATACCTAGCGGCCGTAGCCTTTCGAGCTGGTGAACGTCCACCATGATGTGTAGGTGAGATTGACTAGGAAACACTGGGTGCAGCAAAGGACTGTGGTAGGATAAATTTAACAGCTGTGACAACGTGTTATGTTACTGTTGGGATCTTCTCTTGGGAAACGTACCTCGTATTCGCTCATTCCACGTTCTCTTTTGCTGACTTTCCATTGTAGAAGAAACCACCGGTCTTTCCTTTCGCATGGAGGGTGGGTTCACGTTGCTTCTGAAACTTGCTCAGCCCCAATGCCCAGCTGGAAACAGACAAGAATTCTCCAGACCGGTGCCATGCACTTTCAGTCCCTCTGTGGGCCACGGTAAGAGTTTTCTAGCGCCTCTCTGTTCTCGTGAGCGCTTATGATCCATTTCGCTCCAACTGTCATCCACAACTAAGTCTTTCCGTTGCCACGTCCATATGGAAGCTGCAGTGGAGCCTGTGAGGGTTGCCGAGACAATCACTCTCACAACTGTCAAACCAAGCGTTCTGAGGAGGTACGTTATGGCAGGATCTGGATCTGGAATAGGTGGCTTCATTCAGGAGAGACATCTACATAGACAGCCAGAATCCCTCTTGAAGGGAAGGCAGACAGACGCAGACAGACCGATTAACCCATGCAATCAGGATTACCCAATTAGCGTCACAGTAACACATGAACACAGGATCTGAATAGCTATTAGATGCAGCGCCGTTTTAGCTCTTACCACACTAGGGTTGGACATTCCACTTTACCCTGATGAATATCTGCCTGGATTAGCAAGCAAAGTACCCGGTACTCGGTACAAGGTAGTCTTCGGGTTTATGGTCAAATGAGATATTTGTTGATGGGGTTCTAACTTCCTTTCGAAATCTCTCGGTATGGCGCGCTAGTTCGTTTTCGTCGCAACCTTGAAAGGGAAGCTCTACTTACCAATCGCTTCGGCAAACGGATGGTAAAAGGCATATTTGGCTTGCTTTTCCACGATTGGACGTCAGAATCTGCTTTGTTTTTAAATTGAGCATGTCTTCAGGCTCTTCAAGCGGGCGAACGAACCTCCAGTGCAAAGGCAAATGCCACCAACAAGACCGTAAAGAAGAGAAGAGCTCCACGACTGTAGAGAGAACCAGTCTCGTTGGGCAAGTTATAAAAGACGCTGCCAATGACAAACGCCATAATTGGGTTGAAGAGAATGCCCGCGACAGTGACGACCATGTCTCCTTTGAGTCTTTGATAACCTCGTCTCATGCACAATTCCAATTGCATTGGAAGCGAAAGGGTGTAGGGGGATGTTACACGCCTGTCTTGAGTCAATAGGACCACCATCCTAAGACATACCTCAAACGCACTGTGATCTTGCTTACAAAGCTTTTCGCGATTGCTTGAATTCATTGAGAGATGGCCCTCTAACCGCGTATTGGCGGTCAAATTCAGCAATCTCCCGCAGTAGACGTGCTCGGTCCTCGCTCTTTCGCCATGCATCAGCAAAATCAGTTGGAGTACAGGGAGTCTTGCCTTTGAATCCTTTGCAGACTGCTGGCTCAGCTGGGTTGGTTAAAGAGGTGAGAAAATCCGTCGTTGTTTGTCGCAGCAGACATTCAAATCCCAGGCTGATGAAGAAGGTCTTTTCCGTCTGAATTGGGCCAAAGTAGATCTGTCGACCCTTGTACAGCACAGTTACTTTGTTGAATACCGTCTCTGTTAGTCTGGCTATGATTCTGAATCAGGGAGACGCACATCATAGGTTGACTGCGAGGCTTGGTAGAGGGTCAAGATTGCTGTAGCTACGGTCGGTTCTGTTGACGTTCTGATTGTCCGAATGAATTCAAGAGCTGTAGCACTATCGAGAACACCCGTGCTATTATCCCAACACTGCAGAGGAATGCCAGCAATAGCACTACACCAGATCTGTTAGCACCGTCATGACCTTGAGCGAATAACGAGAACCTACACTTCTGCAGTACTAAGCCGCTTGCGTTCACCATCAGAGACGCCCCGAATGAAGTCATTACAAACCTTGTATCAACATCAGTTGAACCAAGTTAGGTAGGGTCTCAAGGCTTTCAGACCATTGTATTGTGGGTAAGGCTGAGACCAAATATGGCCATAAGAACATCGCGGAGACGCTCTACGTATATTCACAGACGTAATCAGTTAATGCGTTTCCTGCAAAAGAGTCACTAAGGCGCTTTTGGACAACCGACATCTCGACTTACACCAGGTAGGCGGTTGCGTGGAACCTCGCAAGAGTTAGCCAAATGCCGATGCCAATGCACATGATCCATCGTACACTAGCATGAGCAGCGAAATCCAGGGTTTGAGCAATAGTCAACTGGGGGAAGTGTATATCGATCTGAGCTTGATAGATGCACTCTCCTCGGAACTCCTTGTGCATGGTCTCCTTCGGAATATCTTGGTAGTTGAGATGAGAGTCCGAGCCGACAATTAAACCATCTGTCTCTCCCGAAATAGTCTTCAAGAGCGTTGAGCAGCCCCTGTAATTGGGAGCCGTTTTGTTAGTAATCTTCTCGGCAATGATTCAGATCTCCATCATTCGCCTTCCCGGCCTTCCCAACACCAGAAGCATTTCTCTGCTTTTCACCAAGCCTTCGATATCCCGCAAGATCTGGATTCTCGTCTTATGCATCTTCCCTACAACTGGCTTCTTGAGGAAACTCAACACCGCCAGAGGATAATTCCCAAAGGTCTTCTGATAGTCCGTCGGCTTTCCGAAACAATACGTAGGACAGGTTCTTATACGAGGTATCCAAGATTGCCCTGGGATATCGCTCAGGGTCAAGAGCTTTAAGCCTCGTGAGCGTACGAAACCATACTTTTGGGTTGAATTGGCCAGAGTTTGGAGCTAGCAGCGGGCTCCCCGAGCGCAGAAAAGGGTTGATGACCTCTTCATTCTCATCTCTGGCACTGTGGTACGACAACTTCCTCGCAACGTCGGTCATTGTTTCCCTTGCCATGATACCAACGACTTTGGAGAAGCGTGGGGGGACCGGCGGCGGGCAATTTCAATATAGTGTAAGCGACGACGTTGAGAGACTGGCGATATTTCCCTCGGACGGCTTGGGCTTTCAATTCATGGAAGTATTGGGGAGAACAAAATAGCTAACCGAGCAACTTGGGTCCATTCCGCTGTCTTCAGTCCAAGGATTCGAAAAAAAGGCAGGTTTCATTGGCGAGTGGTCAAACCTGATCAATGAGCAAGTTTCGTTATGTCACTGTTCAAATCCAGCTAGTATCCCGGGAATGACCCTGGTCTCGGTCCGGCCCCAGCCTAATCAGTGAGCAAGTTTCGTTTCCATGTTGGTGTTATCATGCAGTTAGTATCCCAGGGCTGCTCACGGCCATGACACTGATTCTCGGACCGAGCCGAAGATACTCTCTAGCGTTTCTCAAGTGGAGCTCGGTCAATACTAGGCTGTACAGTACCTGGTATTTACCTTACACCACAAGGATTGGCCGAGTACCAAAAGTAGTATGCGCAAAAATTTAATATGCTCATCACATGGTAGCAAGTATTCGTCTACCAGCAGTATGCTGGAGGCCTAGCCTAGCGAATGGGTTGAAAATGGAGCCCCACGAGCCTGACGCCAGGATTCAGGGATGATAAGAAACATACCCGCAGAAACTACATTCCGGCCTCTAGTCCCAGCAAGAGACGTAATTGAATGTTGAAAGCAGAGACAGGTATCTGCAGCTAGCGCTGATATGTCTCATTCCCATAGCTCAAGCTCACAGACCGGCTCGAGCTTCCAGAAGCGGTGAGCAGAGAGAGAGTTTGGCCGTCTTGACTTTTGCTTCAATGGACTGTCGCACTCGCATCGGGGGCAGGCTACATCGGCGAGCTATGTGGTAAGAGAAAAAAAAAAAGGCATGGCGGCCTGCAATACCATCCGCTGTCTTGTACTCCAATTGCGCTTTGAGTTTCTTTTGATATAGACGTCAATCTTCGTGAGAGATGGACTTTAACAGCACTTTGTCAACCATGCAAATCGATCATACCGGATCCGCAGAGTCCGTGGTGGTGCTGGACCAGAAGTCCTCTGAAGCCTTTCAAGTGACCATGGAGGTAAAGCCTATGGGTAGCCTTGCCGCGGCCGTTCTGGTCGACGATAACTCCTCCGAGACCTCACACACCAGCGAGGACGAGACCTCTTCCACGAGTAACTTGAGCCTTTCTAGGGAATCTCATGACATTGAGAAGTCCGTAGATGCAACATCTACGTCTCCGCAGGTCAGAGGAGTGTCTCAACTGATCTTGGATATTGTTTTTGAATACGGACTCAATAAGTTTGACGACTCGAAAGACCGACTTACCGCGGGCGTAACCAAGTTCTTGCCCGTCATTGACAACTTTGTCCTGGCCGACAAGCGAGTCGAAGCGTGCCTCCCAGCATTCCCGTTCAAGTCGGCAAACAAGGTGTACAAAGTGCTTGGTACTCTCCCTGACAAGGCCGAAGAGCTGGCTCTGGAACGGTTGAACTCCATGTGCACACGCATCCAGGGCGTATACCCACCTGGTGCCAAAGTCACTATCATCTCGGACGGCACTACTTACAACGGTATGTCTACTTTCAATATTAATCATATTATCTCTCTCGATAATGTAGCGCGATTTTGACATTATCAGACTTATTGTCCATATCGGATCGCGATACCTGGGCGTACGGAGAAGCTCTACGTCAAATGGCTATCAAAAAGGGGTTTGACTGCATCGGCTTCGCCAGAATGAAAGACCTGCTGGATCTTCCCCTGCCAGAACAACTCAGAGAGATCACTTACGTCGCCAATTGCACGAACTTTCGTCGTATGCTCCTTAATAAATATGGCAGACCTGACCTGGACATCGATCACGAAATCGCAACGAACCCGGATACAAAGTTGACTTATCTCGGGTACCGCAGATTCTTGGAGTCAGACTTGAAACACATCTTCACACTCGGCGAGGATCGAAGCGCCCACAGCTACAAGAGAGATGTGAAGTATCTTGCTAAGCAAATGCTCGTCCGAGGATATGTACGTATGCCAGCCTCGAACTGCTTTCTTCCTTCTTTGTCCTGTCTCTGGCTGAACCGCTTCCTGAACAGGCTTTTGCTGAGGCAGTCAAGATCGCCTTTCCAAACCACCTGCGGCTTTCTATCCATGAGTCGACAGGAGAGCACAAAGTACCCATGAGTCTCCTGAACACCAAGACCGGGTTTACGACTCCCTGGCATTGCAGTGTAGCTTTGCTGGCGGATGGGGAGTGGGTCAGCGCTCCGATGGACGATTTCAAAAAAGACACCAGGCTGGAACTCATGTATGAGGATGGTCGACCCAGCTATTTCAAGGAGAAACCGCAGCAGCCCGGTGTTCCCACTATCAACAAGACATCAGCAAGCTATCTTCAGACACTAAAAAGATTCGGTGGTCCTCTCAGCGGATACTCGACATCCGATGCATGCTGGCCCAACCCTGTACCAGGCGTGGATGCCATGACGAAAGGGTCCACCAGCCCATGTACACCCGGGACACCTTATGGCAAGAGACTGATCCCTCAGATTATGGACAGCTTGGCCGGTGCCGAGCCAGACCGCATAGTCTTCTCGTTGGCGACTGTCTCCAACAACTCCCTCCAATTCCGCCATCTTTCTGCTCGTGTCTTTAAGAAGGCAGTCGATAAAACTGCCTGGTGGCTTCACAACCAGGTTGGGAAACCTCCGTCAATTCAGGCGGTTGGTTATCTCGGACCGCGTAAGTTGCAGAGAAAGGCACAAGCCCAGAATGCTTGATACAGTCCATGTGCTGACAACTGTGCAAAGATGACCTTCGACACATTCTGCTGACCTATGCGTGTGTCAAGGCCGGCTACGCAGTGAGTCTAACATCCCTCCCGTTTCACCGTAAGATGTCGTTTGCTGTTCTATTCTCTGACACGACCTGCTTTTATAGGCTTTGTTCCTTTCGCCTAAGAACAGCACTCCTGGAGCACTAGCGGTCCTGAATGCAACACAATGTAACATCTGGGTCAGAGCTGGCGAGGTGCCTAATGTTCCTCTGGTGACAGACATCTTACAGCGGCGGGCCTTGAAAGTTCTGGATCTCCCTCTCCTGGACGATCTTCTTGATGCCGAATTGACAGAGCCATTTCCGTATACCATGAATTTTGAAGAATCCATCAATGACCCATTCTGCTTCATGCACACTTCTGGGAGCACCGGGGTGCCGAAGCCTATCCCATGGTCCCATGGGCTAATTGGTACTATGGATGCTGTGCGGCTGCTCCCACCTACCGAAGGCGACGATGGTTTGGCTCCGTGGACATCTGTTTTGGGGGAAGGCGACAAGATATACTCATCGTTTCCTATGAGTCACGTACGTATCATGCATCCAGCTGTCCCCGAAGAGTCTGCGGCTAATTTAATATGCCAGGGTGCCGGCATCATCATGAACATCCTTCTCCCTGCTCTCTTCAAGCTTCGTTGCATCTTGGGACCGGTGGGGGTTATGCCAAATGTCGACCTCGTGGAGACACTTGCAGATCAGGCGGAGATCGACATCTGGAGCATGGTCCCGTCACTTGTCGACGAGCTGGGCGAGACACCTGAAGTCTTAGCAAAGTTGAAGCGCTCGAAATTCATTTGTGCATCTGGAGGTTAGCATGTCTCTTCTACTGCTTTGCTCTTCACACAGTCGCAATACTAAATCTATGTGTTACAGGCCCTGTTAGCCCTGTCAGTGCCGGCAAGGTAAACCATGTGATCAGAGTTCTGAACTTGACTGGCACAACAGAGGGCCTGTTCATTGGCAACCTGATAGTGCCCCGGGAGGACTGGTTCTGGTTCGCCTTTCATCCCTACTCCGGCTTTGAGTTCAAACAATTGGATGAGGATACCTATGAGCATTGGGTGCATCGCCGCGAAGACTGGTCCTTGTTCCAGGGTATTTTCCACACGTTTCCGGACGAGCATTCAATAAACTTCAAGGACTTGTATATGAAGCATCCTACCAAACCGAATCTGTGGGCTTTCAAGGGAAGAAATGATGATCTTGTCGTGCTGTCCAACGGGTACAAGATATCGCCCCTAGAGACAGAAGCTTTAATCTCCACGCATCCTGCAATCAACGGGTGCCTTGTTGTAAGCGGGTCTCCTTCCATTATCTCCCAAGCTACCAGAGGTAGAGCAAGTTTCCTTGGCTAACGCAGCGCTGAAACACTACAGATCGGGACCAAAAAGCCCCAGGCAGCCTTGCTTATTGAACTGAAAGACCAGTCGGTCAAGACCGAAGAGCTCCTCGACAGCATATGGGAGATTGTCGAAAAGGCAAACTCGCTCTCTCGATACAAGAAGCAACTGCTGAGGGACTTTGTCACCTTTACCGAGCCCGGTAAACCCTTCATTCGCACAGACAAGGGGACTATCAAGAGACAGGCAACTCTAGCACTTTATGCCGACTTTATTGAGCGTTTCTACAGCTCAAGAAGCGATGACCTAGTTACTTTCACCGTCGATTTAAGCTCGGCCGGGTCGTTGCAGCACTCCCTCCGCGAGATCCTCGCATGTTCGTTTCCCACAATCCAAGAAGCCTTGCCAGATGACGACCTATTCGTTCTCGGGCTCGACTCCCTGGGTGTATTTGCGGCGGTCAAGACCATTCGAGCGGAGACAAAGCTTCTTGATCAACTTGCGCCTAGACATTTTTACGCAAATCCCACCCTTGCGAAGCTCTCTGATTGTCTGGCAAGTATCGTGGCCGAGGCGAAGAGCTCTAGTGGGACGACCTCTGGGGGCTCTGTTGACGACAACATGGTCAAGTTGAAGAAGATGATTGCTCAACATCAGGCGCGGCAATCAATCAAGTTGAACGCGTTTGACTACGTCAACCCAAATCACTACATGGGATTGGTCTTCTACTTCTCTCTCCGTGAAGGAGTCCCCTTTGAGCAAGTCTTTGCAAATCTCCAAGAAGGTCTCAATCGCACGTTTGAACTGATTCCAGCTCTCAGCGGCAAGATGATGAAGAGCTCCGAAGACGAAATTGGGCACAAGAAGGGCGACCTCTGTGTCACGATTCCTCCCCTTTCACATTCTGCCTCGGCAAGCAATCGTCTGGTGTACAAGGACCTGTCTCAGGTCCTTCCACCCTTCGACCAGTTGCGATCTGGAGGGTTCGTACCATCCGCCTTCAAGGACGAAGTGGTCCTGCCACAGAACACATTCCCGGAACTACCCACCGACATCGTGGTAGCACACGCCAACTTTGTCCAAGGCGGTTGCATTCTCGCCATCGACATAAATCATTGCTGCCTTGATGGAATCGGGTTTGTCATCGTGCTCAAAGCCTGGGCCGAGAACTGCAGATATCTACAAGGCGACAACTCCGCAACATGCGACTGGTACGACCCCCAGAGCTTCAACCACAGTCTACCAGAGATTCTCCATGAGCAAGAAGGGTACTCCCGACTAGCTGACGAAATAGATCCTGGGACATGGGGATTTCTGCCATTCTTCCCTCTCAAGGTACCATCTGAGAGTCAGAGAGACGATATACTCAAGACTGAGAAGTCTTGCCTCCCCCCGGCCCCTGTTTTCCCTCTACACTCGGACTGGCCTTTACCTCGCGCGAAGAGAGAGATGAACACGACATTGTTCTTGATCTCTCCCGATAACGTGCAGAAGCTCAAACAAGACGTGATGGCCGACCCAGAGGCCAAGGGGGTGATAAACTCCATCAGTGACATCGTCCAAGCTTTCTTCTGGCGCTCTGCGATCAAAGCACGATACCGCGTGGCCAAAGAGCTACGAGGAGAGGCCTTCGGACCGGACGAAATGTCCATTTTGGAACTACCTACTGATGGCCGTCCGTATTTCTCTTCTTTGTTGCCCTCAACGTACATGGGCAGCGTTCTCATCCTGAACCGATCCAGCATGCCCATAGAGACACTCTGCGCACCCGAGACGAGCATCGGACGCATCGCGTATCTGCTCCGCGAGTCTACCGCGCGTATTACGCCGTCCATAGTTCATGATGCTTTCACACTTCTGCAGTCTCTACCAGACCATAGCAGGTTCTCCACCGCTAACATGGGTCTCGCCCATATGCACGCCATGATATCAAACATGATCTTATTCCAGACGAGCGAGATCTCCTTTGGAGATAAGTTCTTCGCCAATGGAGGCTCTCCCGAAACCATGCGACCACAGCTCGAGCGGGGAAACGGCCGTTTTCGGTTCTTGTGCATCTTTCCCATGAAGAAGGATGGAGGCGTGGAACTGGCATTTGGAACATTCCCCGAAGAGTTGGAGATGCTTCAAACGGATGAAGAGTTCACCAAGTACGCAACGCTTTTGGACACTAGTTGCTGAGGCTCGGTATAAGCGAAAGTGTTCAATTACAGTCTCCTCTCCGCTGTCGTTGTGAAAAATTTTAGAGTCAGATTATCTGACAAGTGTAGAAGCCTGTCAAGTAGTAGGGAGAGCTAGATATCGAAATGGTCTTGTGATCCTGACAATTAACCAAATCTAACACAATCAGCAGTACAGTAGTCCCTTTGCGTTACAGTGGCAGCGCCTTGAGAGAGAGTTGTTCAACGGTTTGCGTCACGTTGGTGAGGCAGTGAGTCTTTCTCGATGTGTCCGCTCTTGCAACCTCGCTGTCAAACGTCCCTCGTATAATAATCATGTCCTCGTGAACTCGGATTTGAAGCAGCGCTGCCCTGCAGCGTACCCGTGAGCTGCACAGTCGAATAACAACGAGCGTGTGTCCGAAGTCTGTCTAGTGTTGCTTGTCTATGTACGGAGTATCTATCCACCTACTACAGGTCTAGTTAAAAAATAGTTCCCCTCATGCGCTGGTCCCAATGGGCTAAATGCTTATGACTATCTTGGCCAAGGCTACGCTATAACTAATTAGGAAAGGACGTCCTTTCGACAACATGCAATAGACTCTACAAATCGGAAGCATTACTCGGTAGTTGTTGCGCAATTACTACGACTTCTTACCTATCCCACTATTTGCACTGTGCTGAGAGATAAAATCTACACCCAGTATGATGGTCGATCTTGGATTTTCGTACACGGCTGTACTACGGATCGAACCGGTCAAAGATACTTGCGCAATTCGCATAACCCGTCACCGGCGGGACACGCCCCTCGTTGCTCACAACTACCATGAGAAAGGCTTCAACCCGAATCCCGCACCTATGAAGCGCGAAACGCGACTTGCAGATTGAGCACAAGGTAAAACCTTATCAAGTGAGCAAGTTAAATTTGCCTTTTGAAGTTCTCGTACGAGTTCTCCCCTGCGCCTCCTGGAACCATCGCCTCAGAACCCTGTCTACTAGATCTGAAGAGACATATACTACGCTAAAGCGAGTAAACTTTGGTGAGTTGTATTCGAGCTGGTCCGAATCTAGACTCATTACATACTTGGAGTTCTGGTGGACCGCGACCCACATTTTTAAACTTGCTCAGGCTAATTACTGCTATCCACTTCAACTTCATCCTTTCCACCGAATTTGTTCTGGCTTCGGAGAGAGGATGGCGTGGGGGATATAGAAACAGCAGGAGAATTGGTTGAAATTGTTCTCATGTTATGACTCTGTATCGGTAACATCACTCACTACAAAAGAGCCGCGGTCACCACGCACTCGCATGAAAGCGGGTCTCGCTTGGGGACTTCTGTATAAACTTGCGGATTGGTCACAAATCCTGCTCACTATCAAGCCATTCCCACCACCATGCTGCGTAGGAATTCCTCCCCGACCACTATCGCAAAAACCATTGAATAGATCACAACGGTCTGCCGAGATGGAGGCCTTCCCTTGTGCGCCTTCAAAGTCCTGGCTGGTTTGGGTTGGCAGCTATTTAGACCTCCTTGGCCTGCCACTGTAATACAGCGAGCTTCCGCACTCACGCCATACGCGTCTTCCCTGCTCTTGAGACGAGATCAATTTTTATTCCTTTTCTGCCCCAATCTTATCCTCGACAACTCCTCTTCTGTCTCCAACCTCGACGACGCTTTTCTCTTCTCCCGCGGCCAACCATGGCAATCCCAGAAGAAACCCGCATCGAAGGCAGCGAGGTTAGCCTGGACGATTCCGAAAACTCGAATGCAGCCGGCCACAGCAATGAACCTCCAGACAGAACTGCCCAGTCCGGCGTCCGAGATATCGAGGCCACGACGGTAGCATGGACCACCAACGCCCTGATTTTCGCCTATGTCATGCTCTGGATCACTTACTTCGTGGAGGGAATGCTCGGGGGCGTCACAGCTGCCCTGAACCCATATGTCACTTCTGCCTTCGCCCTCCACTCGCTCACGCCAACCGTCGGTGTCTTGAGCAGCGTTATCGGCGGCGTCACCAATCTCACCCTCGCCAAGATCCTCGACGTGTTTGGCCGACCCCAAGGATATCTGTTCTGCGTTTCCCTTGCCACGGTAGGGCTCATTATGATGGCGGCGTGCAACAGTGTCGAATCCTACGCCGCCGCACAGGTATTCTACACGGTTGGCAACAACGGTCTCCAATACAGTCTGTCTGTCTTTGTCGCCGACACATCCAAGCTCCGCAACCGAGGCCTGATGCAAGCTATTGTCAGTACGCCGAATTTGATCACTTGCTGGTTAGCTGGCCCCATCTCAACGGGTTTCCTAAATGGGCCGGGCTGGCGCTGGGCTTTTGGCATGTTCACGATTCTTGTGCCGGCTGTGGCGCTCCCTCTCTGGGGCCTCCTCTTGAAGAACTACTTTAAGGCCAAGAATCTAGGTCTCATCTCGAAGAGCAACAGTCAACCAAATTCCTTACAGTCGGTTCTCCACTACTGCTGCGAATTCGATGCCATTGGCCTCCTTCTGATTTCTGCTGGCTTCGCTCTCTTTCTCTTACCCTTCGATCTTTACACTTTACAGGCGAAAGGCTGGGACTCGGCTCTTGTTATTAGTATGCTGGTCATCGGGGTTGCTCTAATCATTACTTTTGTCATATGGGAGAAGTTCTTTGTCTCGACCACCTTCATGCCCTACTCTCTTCTCCTGGACCGCACTGTTTTCGGTGCTTGCATTCTATCTGCGACACTATTTATCAGCTACTACTGCTGGGCGAGCTTCCTCGGTTCTTTCTTGCAAGTTGTAAACGGCCTGAGTGTCACAGATGCGAGCTACGTTCAGCAAACTTATACAGTTTGTTCTGTTCTCTGCTCCGTGGGTGTGGGCGCCTTTATCCACTATACCGGACGTTTCAAGCCCGTCTGCCTTTATGTTGGAATGCCCTTGAGTATCCTTGGTGTGGGCCTCATGATAAACTTCCTCGGGCCGAGTGGCAACATTGGTTATATCGTTATGTGTCAGATTTTCCTTTCGGTCGGCTCCGGTATTGTTGTCATCTGCGATGAGATTGCTATACTGGCGGCTGCTTCACATCAGCATACTGCCGTTTGTATCGCCGTGTTGTCAATGTTTGCTAGTGTGGGGGGGGCCATCGGCCTGACGATTGCCTCGGCCATCTGGCAAGATATCTTCCCCAAGAAGCTTGCGGACTACCTTCCGGCGAAGGATCTCCCGGATCTCCTCTTGATCTATGCGGACCTCAGCACTCAATTGTCATACCCGATGGGCTCAGATACTCGTCTCGCAATACAGCATGCCTACGCAGATGCCCAAAAAATGTTGTTGACTGCAGGGACCGCTGTGTGGGTTGCCGGTGTGATCGGGGTCCTTCTGTGGCGCAATATCAACGTGATTGGCATCCGGCAAACTAAAGGTCATGTTTGGTGAGCCGGTCTGGCGAGAAAGAAAGGCTTTGATCGCCCATGATTATGTTTTCCCATCCAGCGACGGTCTCAGCGGAGTCTCCGAGTACATATACAGGAAGATAAAAGTGCCAATGACTACTCGACGGCAGTGCGAGCGTCTCCATTCGCAGTTGCCTCGCTGGGACAGAGCGCTAGGAACCAGAAGTCACCAGGGGAAGCAAGCGCACAGGCTTTTATTTGCACAACTTCCTATCTATATAGATTTGGCAACGGTATAATTATGGGTCGCACTCCGAGTTATAAGTTAGAGCTCAGTGCAACCTGAATGTTGGCTTCCTCGCCACCACGGCGAGGTTCAGAGACCAGGCCACAATCACGCGAGGAAATGCTCTGCACCCTTTTTGGGGTTGAAAATGTACATTGCCCTCATTTTCTGAGACCGTCATTACAGATTTGATGGCGGAAACACAGTATAAGATCAATAAGTGCCGCAGAAGAGTCTTTGCGCTGCAAAAATGACACGACTCTGAATGATCGCGAGGGCAGCGAAGGAAGTCACAGCTTTAGGATCGGACGCGATGGATTTAGAAATAGCGACTTTGACTTTCTTGAACCGTCAAAGTGAACTGTCCGGACCGCGATACATGGCGGTACTTTTTGTCGGGACAGGTTTTCCGAAATGGTCTGGATGGAGGAGTGATATTGATGCGGTGGCTTCGTCGAGAGGCCGACAATCCAGGAGGAAGTAAAGCCATTGCGAAGAGAGTGACTATCGCTTCTCTCGAGGTAGAAAAGCAGGCTAGTTTGGGCGTTACAAAGAAGGAAGTTCGTCTGATATAGTGTAACAGAGCACTTCAGGGTTCGGCGTGCACGTGCAACAACGCACAGAGGCCTGTCCAGCAGATCGGGAATCGAGAACGCGTTTCTGGTTGATACTGACAAGACAACACCACCAACACCACCCAGAGGGGCAGCGGCTAGGGCTACGAGCACCTAGCACAGTGACAGCATCGAGGAACAGGACAGGACTGATAAAACACTCAGGAATTAGGTAGACGCACCAAAAAGCCATAGAATTCATGATACTCTGCTCAAACTAATGAATGGCGCACTGCCAGCACTGTAAACTGTTCCGCACCCCCCTCTGCCAGCCCATTTAGGTTTGACATGTGACTAGACAACTTTTCCTCCCTGCCACCGCTCTACCAGCCCAGCACAGCCCATCACAGCACAGCCACCTTGCCTTGTTACAATAGGTAGCACAGATTTTTTCCTCTTAGTACGGCTCGAAGTCGGCCATGGCCATGACCACAACCTTCCATCAAGTCTTCAAGCGGAGATTTCTTCTCTGTTTGTAGCAGCGGGCGTAGACTCTGCACCATCGAGTGTGGCTACAATGATCCCTCGCTTCTCTTTAATCCCTGTCCGCGTCTCGGTGTGCTCTTTGGCCAGCTCCTTTTTCGTGACGAGTCCACCAGCAAGGAGGCCACATGCAGCCATACACGTGGCTGTAATCCAAATATTCCGCAAGGACCACGCGAAGGCCTGCTGAACAGCTAGTTTCTGAGCCTTGTTAGAGATGGTCGCAATGAGGTCGATGTTGGTCGCAGCGTCGGGCCCCGAGAAGTTCTCGACCAGGTCTGTCGACAGTCCGTGGTCACGCAAGGTCGACCTCTGCAGTCGCATCCCGTTCTGGAAGATGATACCACCGCTGATAATCGAAAGTGAGGTGCCGACGTTGCGTATAAACCCAATCGTAGCTGTGGCGGTTGCGGTGTCGTCTTGGGAAACGAGGGCTTGGAGGGCGATGAGAGGGGGTTCAAATAGAAGACCTGCCCCCAGCCCAGCCACGACTTCGAAAGCAGCAATTGATACTATCGATGATGTCGCGTTGAGATAGATGTATAATCCGTTGCCGACGGTTAGTAGAATCACACCAATCCAGATGAGCTCGATATATCGGCCAACGCGGTAAATGAAGAGACCCGTGAAAATACCAGTAAGTGCTTCCGGAATTATTAGCGGAAGGAGGAGAAGTCCAGACCGGAGTGGCGAAGCCTCTTTTGCAGATTGAAAATAGAGGGGAAGATAATACTCGGCGCAATTGATGACCTACGTCGCCAATTGTCAGTCAGTGTGAGCAAACGTTTTGCGAAGGATTCCGAGTACACATACGAAATGCTGTGCAAAGCCAATAGCAAGACAAGCGGCATTAGACTTGTGGCGGAACAGACCCAAGGGCATGATGGGATAGCGTGTGAGTCGGCCTTCACTAAAGAGGAACACGGCAACCATCAAAGCACCAACCACGACCAGGCAGATGACCTTCGGCGAGTCCCAGGGATACGCAGTGCCTCCAAAATTGAGACCGAGAAGCATCATGACCATGATGCACACGATTGAAAGGCTTCCTGCCCAGTCGATTGCTTTAACCCCTTCGGCCAGCTTGGTTTTCGGATTGTGCACGTCCAGAAAAAGGAGTAACAGGCAGAATGCTGCTCCGGAGATTGGAAGGTTGATCCAGAAAATCCACCTCCACGAAAGCAGCTGAGTGAAAGCACCACCGAGCACTGGTCCGAGACCCCCAGCGACCGCCCAGGTTACGTGAAGGAGGCCAAGAAAAAGAGGCCGGCTCCTGCGAGAAGCATCAATGACGTGAGAGCAACGCACAGGGAGGCAACACGAACCTCATGCTAAACAGATCCGAAATGACAATGTTGATCAGGGAGGCCAGGCCGCCGCCGGAAACACCCTGGACACTACGGCTCGCGATGAGCATTGCCATACTGCTTGAGGCTGCGCATATGATGGAACTGGCGAAGTACAGGGCGACGGCTGCCAGCAGAATCGGTTTCCGGCCCCATATATCTGAGAGTTTCGCCCATACGGGGACGACGGCGGTTGTGGCAATAACATATGAGGCGCCTATCCACGAGTAGCCGGCAGCTGAATGGAGGTCGGAGCAAATAGTCGGTATTGCCGTGGCTACAATGGTCGTGTTCAGAGCGGTAATGAAGAGGGCGGACTGGAGAGTCAGGCAATTAGGATTGGGCTAGAAATCCGGAGTGTTTGAGTGAATCAATAAGTGGAGGATCTTCTCACAAAAAGAGCGACCATGACTGTAAATGTCCTGAATGAGCTCCGTCTCTGGACAGGCTCAGATGGGACCTGAGTCGTGGTCTCAAATCCCTTGCTCTCGCTACTGCTCGTCAAAGTACCAACAGCCGGAGGAGGCGGCCGCGCCGCTGGTAGTTCAATCGACTCGATTGTGTCCTCGGCATCAGGGGGCTGACCCAACACCATGGCCATGATGGCAATGGTAATCTAAGCGGACAAGTTATTGTTGGAAGGGAATAAGTATTGTCAAGATACCGAGTACCTCGCACAATCAGCGGAAATAGGGGGCTGGCAGCCTTATCTATATTATATGCTTTCTGCTTAGCCTGATTGGTACGAGGTACTTTTGCGACTACGCCCTTCCGCCTTGGCACAAGACGAACATTTGCGCGGCCTACTGGGTATGCGAATGGATCCCCAGGTCCTCGGTACTCAATACTCCGTATCCCATACTCTCCGTTCTCTTTACGAATATATACTCGCCAACATTCGACCTCTCCCACTTCTATTTCTCATTTCCTTTCCCGAGCCTCAATCTTGGAAGAAGTTTAATTACCAAGACCGAGACACAGCGCTCGGTGGTTCAAGGCTAGGCTATCTCTCTTGCTCAACTCTGATAGAAGTTACCTTTTTCAAACCACCAACAAGGGCACAGTCCCGAAAAGGTTTGATCATGGAATCCTGGTGTCTGCTGGTAACAGGGCAATCATCACTGTGAATATCAAGGCGTCTTCACAAAGACAACTAACAACGAGAAATGAGGAGGCTGGAGCCCTGGGGTCATTAGTGCTTATCCTGCGCTCCTTCCGACTGGTAAGAGCAACACCCAGAGAGAAAAGGGCCAGTTATCGTGTTTTACCACACAACCTTGGCCCCCTTTCCATGTAAAGTGGATCCATTACAGAGTCAGCAGCTTGCAGGCGGTCAAAAGTGGCAGATGTCGGTTTCTGAGGTTAGGGGTTCATCTTGTTGTGGCCAATAAATAACCCCTTCCCCACGACCCCGATCATCCGTGGCATTTGACATTCTCCAAAGTTGTCCACAGCTACCCGTGCTTCCTCCAGGCAAGATGTCGTCTACCGGCGATAGTTTGGCCCTTCTCGAAGCCCTTGCTCACAAAACGCAGAATGCCGCCGCTCAAATCACACGTTTTCTGAAAGAGGCTCGAACGAAGGGGCCGGTCGATGGACAACCTGGCTCCTTCGATATCCCGCTCAACTCCCCTCCGGATATCAGTGCGGCAAAAGCATCGCTGCTTGAGTCCACGATGCTGATGCAACAGCTAGTCATGTCTGCAACCGACATCCAACAACAAATGACATTGTATACTCAGCAGATGGCAGCCATACGGTGGATCTGTCGTTTCGACGTCGCGACTCATGTTCCTGACTCTGGGACAATCTCTTACGAAGACTTGGCTGCCGCCGCCAAGGTGCCACAGAAAGAGCTTATGCGCATCTGCCGCATGGCGATGACAGCAGGCTTCTTCCAGGAGGCAGTTCAAAATCAGATTGCGCATACTCCAACTTCTCTCGAACTCAGATCCTCGTCGCCGGTGCACGACACTTTCCTCTTCATGAGTGACACGGGCCATGCGATTGTGGGGAGAATGCCCGAGATGACAGAGGCGAATCTCAAACTCAGCCCCGGGCAGAAACCCAAAACAGCATTCAATATCGCCATGGACACGGACACACCTTTTTTCAAGTACATAATGTCGAATCCAGTTCTCGCGAAGCAGCAAGCTGCACATATGAAGACCATCGTTGCCGCGGAGGAGTCACACATTCGACACACAGTCACTGGATATGATTGGGGCGCCCTCCCCCAGGGCGCAAAGGTCGTCGACATGGGCGGCTCGACGGGCCATGTCAGCATCACTATTGCGCAGGAATTTCCTCATCTGAGATTTATAGTGCAGGACCTTCCACAGGTTTTATCGCAGGCGGCCCCCGTTCCGGCAGAAGTGGGGGACAGAGTCGTATTCGAAGCTCACGACTTCTTCCAGCCTCAGCCTCCCAGCTCTCATGGTGCGGATGTTTTCTTTATACGACAGTGCCTACAGAACTGGTCTGATGCCGACGCCGCGAAGATCCTGCGAACCCTCCTGCCGGCCCTGGACAAGGGGAAATCGAGAATCGTGATCATGAGCGTCGTGCTGGCCAATCCCGATGACACCGAGGTCGGCCAGAGGGAGAAGGGGATCAGCCGTATGAGAGATCTCTTCATGATGCAAGCCATGGGTGGTGGCGAAAGGGACTTGGCACAATGGAAGGCAGTGATCGAGGATGCAGATCCAGGATTGGATATTGTGAATGTAACTAAGCCGCCCGGAAGCGTACTGAGCGTCCTTGAGGTTCGATATAAAATCTGAAAAGGAGGAATGCGACCTGGCAAAAGACCGCAGTATTGTCTGTAGAGACGAATCAACCAAGACCTGTCACCGGCGCCTGCAAGCCAGGTGGGGGACTGATCCGCAACCGAAACATGATGGCGACTAGGTAGTAGTTAAGATCTTGGTCCCCCGGACAACACAACAGTCGACAAGATACCTAGATCACCAAGTCATCGTCTCACATGATTATAGGGTCTATTATCTGGTGATAGGGTCCTTGCAATGATGTATCAGTCACCTCCACTCATTCTCGCTGACGGACCCATATCTTGGTCCTCTGACTGCTGGTCGTACCTCCTTCGCGGTCCCTGCTGAGCCTCAAGTCGTCTTTGCTTTCCGAAATCCTTCTCCGCTGACCAGATGTCGTGGCCATTCACGCGTGTAGGCTCCGTCTTGCTGCCTGGACCCCACTGTTGTGCCGATGACCTGGTCCACTCCCTCTTCGCACGGCCCAACGCTGCCCCGATCTCTAGATCCTCTCCATCGCTCAATTTAGATCGTTTCAATCTCGATACAACCTCTGAGACAGATAAACTAACAACTGGTGGGTAATCTTGAACAAGATAGGGATCAGCCCCCTCTTTGAAGAAATAGCTTCATCATCTCTAAACAGAATTCAGCACCACAAGTCGGGTTGGACCTCAAATCATAGATCAGCCGACCCCACAGTGTGTGCGTTCCATAGTCAAATTCGATCATGATGTTAGGTTCTAGTCCTCGGTCAAACAACAGACAATATGCATCTTGGATCATCCCTAAAAGCTCTCTATCTACTGTGGTGTTGAACGGCTATAATACGCAACTTTCATTCGCAAGGTCCTCGAAAAATTTTGCCCCTTTTTTGAGTAGCAGTAACAGGAGCTCAAGATACCATTTGCGAAGAGGAGAATCGTGTAGAGGACTATTACTTTTGTGGCCGACGTTGTCCAGCCGGGTGTGGAGAATTGACTTGCCGTCGAACATTCCGTTTGGGTTAGTGCCGTTCCGAAGCAGTAATGCAGCCATCTCGTACGAAGCTTTCTGGATATGAGGATCCCTGTGTCCACTGAGCCATCTGAGGAAAGTAATCATCCAAGCTTGCCCGCTGCGGCCCAAAATTATAGTCGGTTCTTTTTTGAGTCGGTCCCGAATCCACGAGATGTAACCAGACTCAATGGCCTTCCCAAGCAGTGAGGTTGCTTTTCCATCACAGATGTCAAGGTTATCCCTCAGCATTGGAGCAGACGAGTAGAATACAATGTTCATCTCGTCGACTAACTCGTCCTCTGCTCTTCGGGCAAATTTGATGAAATCGTCTAAGTGGACTAGATCAAGGCTACCAGGGAAGGTTTCCCCTTGCCGAATGAACGCGCTGCATACGCACGCAGCAGCATTGAAGCTGTCGGAGGAGTAAGAAGCACACAGATCTTGCATTTGCTTTGTGGCCAAGAAGTCGCGGACGGTCCGATGAAGGAAGTCGACATCTCTGACTCCTGGTTCGCCGTTGGATTCCAGTAACCCTTATAACGGCCATTGAGTTGTCGGTTCATGACGTCTTCCACGATCAGAATCTTGTCATTCCTCTGGATTGATCCCGAGTGACTTTGCGTGGGATGTCGCATGAGAACGTGGTCCCCTTCATCAATGGATGAATAAAGAAGCAGTCGGAGAGGTTTGTGTGTTTCCAGGGCAACCCGGAAAGTGTGTGCCATCCTCTTTCGATAGACCTTGTCGACAGATCTGATCAGTTGGTTAAAAAATTCCTCGAGGTCAGATGGCATCTCTAGTAGTCTGTCATACAAAAGAGACAAAGAATCACCATTGAGTAGAACCTCCCTCAGGGATCGTGCAACCAGATGTACCCAGAGAAATACCCCTTGGGGCGATGCACAATTTCTGATATCAGTTGCTCAGTCTGGAGGACATCTTGTCTCGTCAGAGAAAAATTCGGATCTTCTTCCAGCTTCTCTCTCGCGTACAGAGCGATGTCGTCCTTAGTAAGGTCTTGCAGGCATAGTTTGCTGAGGGAATCCCGACCAAAAGCATCCTCAAAGCAGTTCCAGGGTCTGCTGGCAACGCAAACTTTGACATTGTTGATCTGGGCAATATTCTGTACTGTTTTGATGAGATCCAGGTGGTCACCGTTGTACTCGTCGAGACCGTCGATGAAAATGCAAAACTTTGCAGGATTCTCAGGGTCCACGGTCGTGACACTCAATTTGCGGAAAGTTTCGATGAGTTCTGAAAAGGACCATTCGCTTTGAAGACCATGGCGGGATATCGCCCATCTTTCCTGAGCTTATTGGGATCCAATCCGGAAAACTTTTGAACATTTCGAACAAGAGTTGTTGAAGCAGACCACGTTGAGACTTCTGCATGTCGGATCCAGCGATCCAGAAGAACCCCGCGATAGTAAGACGGTCATTATTGGCCCAGACTTGAAGACACCGCTTGGTCTGCTGGCAATCACGGAGATACTTCATCAAAGTGCTCTTGCCTGAACCGGGTTTGCCTGAGATCCAGGAGATTCCGTTGCCAGAGGTTAACCAATCGTGAAACCGTATACGGGACCGTGGATCAGATGATTGCCAGCAGGAGGGCTCAAATATCCATTTGAAAGTTTTTTGGTGCGCTTCGGTGATAGCAGAATACCTGGCTGCCATTCTATCGAATGACAGGCTTTTAAGGATGCTTGCTTCCTTTTGAAATTTTGTTGCTTCATGATCAGAGTCGCGCAAATTCTGATCTATACCGGCTAAATGCTGTTCTGTGAGGTCCTGGCTACCCCGTACAAGACCACGGACTGATTCAAGCATAGGTTCGATTCTCTGTAGCCGGGCTGAATCAATCTCTAGACATTCTGTTCGAGCATTTTCCAAGGATTGTAGGACCTGACCCTGTCGTACACTAAGGCCAATCAGATCTACCGCAAAACGTTGTAGTCCGTCCGAGATCGAGTTTTACCTTATGTATATGAGGACTTGAATTGACAAATTTCTGCGCGCAGCCTCAAGCCTCCTCTGTAGCTTACCGATTTGATCCCTTTTCCAGGTAGTATTCAGAGCTTGTCGAAAGCTTTGCCACTTCTTGTGTGAACCTTCACCGACTTTGAAACTCTGGATGGTTGCTACTAGCTCTTCTCCGACAGCCCTGGAAGAAGCTGCGACTTTGACGATCTCTTCTTCAGCTGTGGAGACTGCGCTTTGTGTGGGATCCAGAGGTTTCATCAGCTTTGAGCTGAGGCTCGGGATGCTTTCGGCCAGCCCTTCGAGCTCAACATTGCCAGCTGTAGCTCCATCTGCTGAATGGTATATTTCTTGCGCACCTGAAATAAGCTCACAGATCAAGTCGATGAACTGCACGATGTTTGCCGCCAGACCGACTGCGGAGAGCGGATCGAGAGCCATGATGCGAATGCCGATGAAGAAAGGAAGGGAAAGAAACATTCAGGTCGTCAAAAGGAAAGTGTGAGGCTGAAAGGCAGGCCCCGGTTAGGCTGATCATCGATGCGTACATGCACAGCCCACTTGTGTCACCTTCTTCTGTCTAGCCTTGCCAGCCTTGTCAGCCTTGGGCAGAGACCTGGACATATAGTCCAATTGGGCTGGAGGTCAACAACACAAAGCCTTTTATTGGACCATCCATTTTTGCTTTCCTGTCTCGACAAGTAACGGGACCCCCGCACGTCGCACAGTCTCAATCTGGTAGAGGCTCAAGCTTCGTTTATGTACAAAATCAATCAAATCTTCTTCCTCTGGCCATAAGATCGCGTAGCGTAATCTCCCTTGTACACAATCAGATCTGCGGGTTCGTAGTCATGCGTACCGCTCAGATAGCTCTGAAGGATCTTCTTCACGCCATCGGCATATCGCTTCTGGGCATCCAGAGAACTGCCCGACATGTGCGGAACCATGCCGTTCCCGCCTCCGAGAGGATTCTTTGCATAGCGAAGTGGGTGGTCTCGTGGCGCGGGCTGAGGAAACCAGACGTCTCCTCCGTAGCCATTCAAGTGGCCCGACTTCAGAGCAGCTGCAATGTCGTCGGCAACGACTATTGCACCGCGAGCAGTGTTGACAACCCACGATCCTAAAGTATGTTAGAGCGGGGGCCATATATAGAAGACACCATAGTCGGAGAGATTAGAACACCAGTTGAAACTTACCTTTCTTCATCTTTGAGATCAACTCCTTGTTAAAGAGACCATACGTCTTTTCGTGCAAGGGACAATTGATAGTGACCACATCGCACTGTGCGACCATATCCTCCAAGTTCTCCACTCTCCGACACCCTATTTCGGCTTCCACGTCGGGATTGAGAGGTTGGTAGTCGTAATAGAGTAGCTCCTTGCAGTCAAATGGTTTTAACCGCCGTAGGACACGCTGGCCGATCCGCCCGATACCAACGGTTCCCACTACCTTGCCTTCTAGGTCGTATTCGTTCCGCGCGACTTGGGCAACATTCCATTCACCGCGTTCGATTTGTTCGTGAGCTGGGATCCAGTTACGGACTAGACCCAGCATGGTCATGACCACATGCTCCGCTACTGAGACGACGTTAGATCCCGTGACCTCTGCGACCGTGATGCCACCGTTGGTCTTGTTGGCGGCATTGAGATCGATGTGGTCTGACCCAACACCTGCAGTCACAGCCAGCTTGAGCTTTTTCGCTTTCTTCAATCGGTCGGCGTTAAGGTACGCCGGGTGGAATCTAGAATTAGTGGTTACATGAGCACATCATACACCTAAATGAGCAGGCGGATATTGAGCCAACAGAAACACGTACGGAGTGGTGATCAGAATTTCTGCATCAGGGAGCTCTTTTTCAAACACCGAATTTGAACCCTCTTTATCAGAGGTGGTGATGAGAGTATGGCCTTGATCTTCGAGCCATTTCCTAAGCCCAAGCTCATTCTCGGTCGTCCCTAATAGTCGTGGTTGCTGTTTAGCGTGCTCTCCGCCCTGTTGCTATCAGTACGCACACATCTAGACGTGGCTTCTCTCTGAGTTTGCTCTGCCAAGTCGAATTGTAAATGGAGAGAAGCGGACTGGACGCACATCGTATAAGACAGATAGAATCTTCACATTCCGGTTGGCTGATGCAGAGAAAGACCTGACAGAGGATATTCCGGGTTTTTGACGCAGAAGGCTTGAGCCGGCTTGCGCGCACAAGGTTAGAGAGCCGGAGAATCTAGCTCTGACTGCCGCTGTTCGAAGCATTTCCATGACAGTCTCAGTGGCGCAAACGGACCCTCAACGTTCGAGTGAAGATGTCGTCAGTGAAAGGAATGTGAGACTTGTTGTACAAGGCAGTGGTTCCAAAGGACGATGGATGGAATGCTGACCTATAAATATCAGCAACAAGTACCATTTTTAATCCCACGGTTCGGCGAAAACGCGGTCAAGGCTACAATAGATGTAAGTGGAGTAAAGAGAGTTGTCTTGAAGTTCAGCCGGGTTCTAGGGTATTGAAACGTCTCATGGCTTTGGGATAAACTGTCTCCCCTGAAATTGAAACGGCATTGAGCATAAAGGAGACAGGAGAATGTTCGGCAGAAAGCTCTCGTGGAGAATATCCTGGTCTGGAATGGTTTGTACATAATGCTACGCTCCCTAATTTATTTGTCACATGATTTGCTTACCGCCCAAAAAGGAAGAAAATACTCATTTGGACTTGGACACTCTCCGCACTCCATGTTAACACCCCGGAATGTAATGATAAATGATCAGCCGGCGGGCGAAATACTGGCGGGCTGGTTAAACGTGAGTCTGGGAGGAGAACCATAGGAGAAGTTGACCAATAGGAATACTGAAACTGCCGATTGTGCCGATTCCGCCGGTTGCGCCGATTGGTCCGATGGCTCGGCAGGTGGATCCCGGCAGTATTCTTTTCTCCACGGTTTTTTGACCCCGCGACCACTTCCTCCACATCCGAAAATCCTCTGCACAATTGACCTCAGCAATACTCAGTACCCGGGATGAGAGAGAGCAGCCGTTAGCTAACACAGGTCATTAATTCCTCAAATTTCTAGCGTTAGCGCAATCAGACCATTGAGGACATTGGACGCGCCTCTCCTTCCGGCAATTTGTTTCCTCTGAGCCAGTCAGCACCCATCCGTGGACAAGAGCCAATCGATGTTCCATTTAGTCTCCCTCCAAAAGGACTCTCCAGACCCCAGACAAGGCTCTCAACACACCGGATACAACTACTAGTTACAAGCGTCAAGCTGGACTTCACATCTCCCGGTCATGCCAGCGCGTTCCATAGGGCCTCGAAATCCCATAGCGTGTGTTCCGTGCCGAAAGGCGAAACTGAGATGCTCCCATCTTAATCAGGCTCCATGTGACCGTTGCCGTTCTGCCGGTCAGGCGCCTTCTTGCTATTTCCCTCAAAGATGGACATCCGCCTTACATCGACAGCCGAAGAAGCCGCTCCGTGGTATTCAGGTCCACCAGCCCCGAAAGGATGCTATACCAGACGCTTCCGCAAGCTTCATCTCAACCGATGCACGCCCAGTTCGGCTGAATCAAACAGAAGAGCTGACCGCTCTCCCCTCGGGGGAGGTTTCATCAGAAGATCCTCTGGAGTGGTTCACGAAAGATGTCGAACAATGCTATCTGCGATGTACCTACAAGTGGAGTTTCCACCACAAGCCAAGGCTCTTGCAGCAAATCAGGGATGGGACCATTGATTCGGCAATGGCCTGGGCCATCCTTACACTTGCTTCCAGGTGCCAATTATCCGGTATTGAAACCTCGTAGCTTCTTGTTGATCTCTTCTTAGGTACTCACCCACGCCACCGTGCTTTAGCTCTCCTCTCGAAGCTAGCGATTTCTTCGCACAGCGAGCGTCACGCGCTGTACAACTCCGCATTACTTCACCAAGTCTGCCCCAGGTGCAAGCTCTTTTGCTATTGACGGGACACAAGTGGGGAGCGGGTGACGGAAAGAGCGCATGGATCTACCTCGGAATAGCAGTGCGCATGGTTCAGATGATGGGTCTTTGTTCAGAATCATCGAACGACTCCAATGATGGATCTGCCTCAGAAAGTTTCATTTTGGCCGAAGAACGCCGGCGCACTGCTTGGACATGCTTCCTCATGGAAAGCCTTCTCAGCGGCGGTGGCAGTCGGACTCGTATTCTCACATCTGAAGATATGACGATCCAACTTCCATGTGAAGACGAGCCATTCGTGTTTGGGAACCCTGTGCGATGCGAAATGCTAAGCGGCAGCTTTGAACCGCAGACGCCACCCAACACAGTATCAAATCTGTCTATTCTTGCTTATACCGTCAGAGTCGCAGATATATGGGGTGATGTGGCGAAATGGGCATCGTGCGGCGACGAATCCGTCAATGAAAGCCAAGGATGTCGGGAGTCAAGGGCGCACAGCCTTGTCTCGTCACTCCATCATTGGAAATCAACATTGCCGGACCGGCTAAGGTACAGTTTGTTCTCACTCCAAGCTCACAGCGTGCTTGAACAAGGCCAAGGTTTCTGTTATATGCACTGCATATATTTCATGGCCATCATATTCCTCCACCGCCACTACCTGCCACATTTGGGGCTTTCAAAGGGTCAGAGACATCCGAACCGCTCGGACCACGAAGCGTTTCTGGACTGGGCGAGCCGCTCATCCCAGACTCTCTACGACACCGCATCGACCGTGTGTGATATGTGCGAGGAGATAAACCGCTTCGGCGCAGATTTCCGGAGGGGGCTGGTTCCTTGGATTGGTTTCACCGTGTACACAACCATTGGCGTTATGCTCTACTTTCAATCCTTTCCGCTCGAGCCGACCATGGAGTTTGCCACCAAGACCAGGCACAGGCTTCATAGTGCATACTTGCTTCTCAAGGAAATGAAAAACGAATGGCCCATGGCAAGCCGATGGGTAAGCTTTAGCTACATATCACACTCGAGTCCTCCGCCCGCTTGGTTAGACGAAAATTCTTGCTAACCCAATGAACCAGCTTGAAAACATCTGTTCCCTGCAACAGTATCACGCCTCCCGGCTGCAAAAGAACAAACTGTCAGCACAAGAGCTCCGAAGCTTCCGAAACCTGATGGTCGACTATGGCGCCCTGCACGACATCCCCATCTCTGACCCGACGATCGTGTCCGTTCGCTCTACAGGAACCACACCAGACACAAATTCAGAGCCAAGCGCTTGCCGGGACTTAGCCCCCAGACGACAACAACAACATCATCATCATCATCATCATCACTCACAGCTACAAGATACGCCTCAATCGGCGAGGACCGAGTCAAGCAGCGACTCGTCACTGGGCGACATGCTGAACGTCCTGGGCGATTTTGATAGCGTCGACTACCTCGTGTCCGAGGAAGAGATGGCGGGGATTTTTCAAGAGTTCTGGACTTTGTTCCCTGGAGAGGTTGGCGCGGATATGGCCTTCCAAGGACCGTACGCACGACTCGCTGGCGCGTGATTTCTGCTGTATTTACCAGAACCATTTATCAGCCTCAGAATATTAAATCACCCGCGCACCCCTTACGGGTTGAACATGAGCTCGCAGCTTTGTTCCGAATTTGTATTTCACGTGATTGACCGTTCTCACGGTTTCTTTTGGAAATGTTGGGGGGAAGGTTTTAACCGTCACCCTTCCCGAACCAACTTACAGAAACGTATTGGGTTGGCGGGCGTTTACAGCCAGCATGATTTCGTCTTCATCTCAACCAGGCACAAGTTACATGAAGTTCCAAAACGAAATAGATATGTGATATACCGTTCAAGAGTCTCTATTCAGGGTTTGATAGCCGATACGGGTTACTTGTGAAACAGCTTCAGTACCCCTCTCAAAACTTGATGGGCCATTAATTGGCTAGGGGGCACTCTCGGACCAGAGTATCCCTTGATGGGCGGTTCCCACATGGGATTCGCGCCGTTGTTCAAGGCGTGCTCAACCTCAGCAAGCTCAAACCATTTGGCTTCTTCCAGCTCCGTCTCCGGATAGGTGATGGCTTCCCCTCCCTCGACACATTGGCCGATGACGCCGATCAGCATTGTCGACGGATAAGGCCACGGTTGGCTGGAGTGGATCTGTACCCTGTCAATGTGGACGCCGGTTTCTTCATAGGCTTCCCGCCTTGCTGCCGTCTCGATGCTTTCGCCAGGTTCAATGAAGCCTGAGAGGCATGAGAAATAGTTAGCAGGCCAGCGTTTTCCACGGCCTAAAAGAACACGTTTTGCGTCCGCCGATATGGGAGCGATGACGGCTGTGGGATCGGTCCGTGGGAATGCTTGGTTATGCAGTCCGATCCGGGTCGGACACGCTCGCTGGCGGAGGACACCGTTGTCGGCAGGTGGACAGATCACTTTCGCTCCTCCGTGCGTAAATAGCATGCGGCCACCGCAGCTGGAACAGTAGCGGTTGCGATTGTTCCAGTCGATCAGCGACCGCGCATGGCTGTATATTGCTGACTGCGGGTGATCTAATGTGAGATCGACCCTGGTGGGTACGTATTTGAGGCCAGCGGCCGTTTGCGACTCCTTCAATTCTGCGTAACGGTTCGAGCTCACGTCGAGAGCAAAGTAAGGGACTCCAACATACTGCCCCAGATGAGCATTCTCCCCAGAAACCGCATATTTGCCTTCCAAGTCCAAGCCGAGAAAGATGAGAGTCGGGCGATGCTCATCTGGATTGAATTCAGCTATCTGGGTCTTCTCGTCTTTGGCGTAGGGACGGCCAATGGTGTCCGCAATGTCATCATATTTGTTGAACGCAAGTCTCCCGTCTGGCGTCCGGAGAGGGTTCAACTCCTCAAAGGTGAGGTACTTTGCACTCGGATGGGTAGAGGCTTTGTCCAAAAGCTGGTTATTCAAGCGCATGAACGAGAGCCGGGCGATGGGGCCATTAGAGAAGTAGGCGTTATGGCCCTGTCCAAATATCTCCGACAGACCGGACATGGTGGTTAAGGGCAATAAAGCAAGCACCACAGGAGACCGTCATTCCAGGGACGGAGCGGGAGAGGCGGGATTTATTGACCGACGGTGGTATATTTTAGCGCTCGGAAATGGGTGTGGAGACCTTTCTTGTTGTCCATCGCTCGCTTCTGGGATTCAGGTTGTACGGAGGTATTCCGATATGTAATATGAATCCCCAAACTTATTTGTCACAGTTGTGTCCATGTGACCGGCAAGGCTGGCTGAGTACGGGGGAGCTTGAACAACATCCTGGGGCTTAGTTTTTACACCGAATACCCGAGTTTCATCCATTGTATCTTGGTGTATTAGATTTCACACGATTAGCACAGGCCGTCAAGTCTCCGAGACACTTTGATAATCGAGCCTGTGCTATTTTCACGGATTTGATGTCTCGAATCAGCGGATCTGGACCCAAGAGTTCTGGAATCATGACAGGAGTAATTTTCGATTCCCAAATTGTCAGTTGACGAGAGGCCAGATCCGTGCTGGATTCTATTTGCACTACTGAGAGAAAAAGGAATTGAAGAGCTATCGAGATTTTGGCACGCATCACGTGGAGCCTTCCAGTCGCGAGGTCACGGGGCTACGCGTCACGCGTCAAAAGGCTTGGCAGACTTTGGGCGTTCCTGAAAGACCCAACTGCTCTAGCCCGACTGCACCATAGCAGCGATCTCTCCTTGGACCAGAGGGACTAGTCATAACTGATGTTAGATCAAGTATCCTGTTGATCGATTCAATGCACCAAGCTCAGAATGAGTGCTCCTGTCTGCCTCCCTTTCCTCCACCATCAATCGTCTACTGGGTAAGGCTGGCTCATTCAAGCGTGGCATTAACCTTCAAGGAGCCTCTCCCTAATTCTTCTTCACTACATGAATACCCTGACTGAGACAGACACAAGCAATGCATTCGGTGTCAGCCAATCGTCTTCACCGTCAGGCATCTCAAGCATTCAACGCTTCCCCCAATATGATCCGATCTGCGACGTGTCCCGTAACCGCCGCGAAGACTGCCTTGTGAAGCAAATCAATGATCTGCTCGTTGACGGGCCATGTCCTGTTTTTATTTTGCACGTACGCACAGAGTCAGTCTATGACAAGATTTGATGCAATGGACTCTCAGATGGTGACTTTCCAGTGAAAAAAGGAAGAGGGCAAGTCAAAAGCAAAAGAAGAGAAGAGACAAGAACCATGACGTACCATGGCAAAGCTCCGACTCCCATCCAATTCTCCAACGTCTGATCAATAAGCAGTCTGACGCCCATGAAGAGATAACTCGCAAAGGGGCCGACGACGCCGTAGTAAGCCATCGCACCGCGGACGCCGGCCGCGAGCATTCCCTGGCCCCAATGCGTCGCGTGGTTCACTCTGTCCGGATGCGCATGGAAGTCGAGATTGAACAGCCGAGCGAGAGTTTTGCCAGGCACGTACGAGTTGGGTCGGTGGGTAAGGGATTGTTCGGCTTTGGCGCTCAACGTCATCCTGGTGGGTCGGCCAAAGTCAGAAAGAATCGATCAGTATGTGGACTCGACTCTGGGAGAACAAGATGATGATGGTGGTGGCACAGTATCATGCTTCATCCATTTGCGTCGTGTTCTCCTTCTACCCCTTTCCCCCTTTTTTCGGAGGTGGACATACGCTGCAACGCCCACAGCGCCCGCCCCGATTCCTATGGCGATGCATTCGAGGAGGGAAAACCGGATCTTCGGTCCCGCTGGGTTGATATAGGGCTCTGGCATGGCTGATGTGATATGATGTCTCCTTTTTCTCAATGCTTGCCCGCTGAACTTTACAGTGGATGGAGAATTTCTTCGACTTTAGAAAGACAAGAAGAAAGGAAAAAGACCCTTCGCCAGGTCTTAGTCTCGGCCCATTGGAATCGAGCTCTGCTTATGACATTTCTTACACCGGAGATGGATCCCGTATCTACTAGTTATTCCCCTTGCTCCTTGGCATCTAGCTTTAAGACCTAACCAGCTACGTTGCCACTGAGAGTGTCTACACAAGTCCAGTGTTCTCTTTTGCTGTTAGGAAATACTGTTTGGGTCCTGCTGACGGTCGCGGTTGACTATTAGGTAGGTACTTCGCTTGTGAAGACAAGCTAGACCACCCACCCTCGCTGATATTTCTTTCCATCGATAGTCCAGTGTGGATGCTACATACATGCCACTACCACTTGCGGCCGTCTTCAAGATTCGGCAGCAATCTCCTGCCTCGCCTTTGCACTGTCGTCAAACGGCTGCAAGCCCCCTTTCGCGGGGCCCATGATCTGGAGGCCCTCCGGACTGAACCGGCTGCCGTGCACGGGACAGTCCCAGGTCTTCTCGTCGTTGTTCCAGCACACGATGCCCTTCAGATGCGGGCAGACCGCACTCATACGGTGTACCTTGCCATTTTTGTCCTTGTAGACAGCCAGCGGGTGGGAGGTTGTGGTCGAGTTTAAGACACCTCCTTGGTCGATGCCGAGATCTTCGACGTCTTGAATGTCCGATTGTAGGAGGCGTTTGTATTGTGTATTGATCTGGACGTCGTGCTCGATCATGCTGGGAAGCTCGGACGCCACGGACGCGACTCGTTTGGGACTATACACCTTGGCCCAGGGGTTGTCGATGCCCTGGATCTCGTCCGCGAGGAGTCTTCCAGCCAGCACGCCGTGAGTAAGCCCGTTGCCGGAGTCACCTGTAATGACGTAGATCCGGTCATTACCCTCGCTCTTGCCAATGAACGCGATGTGGTCGATTGGCTCGAAGATCTGGCCGGACCATTTGTAGTCCACGCTGCCTGCGCTGGGGAACCGTTCTCGGGCCCAAGTTTCGAGTTCTCTGTATCGCTCGTCCCACTCATCCTCCTGGCCGACTTTGTGATCACAGCCGCCGACCACCATGTAGTGGTCCTGCTCATCGCAGGCAGTCATGCGGATGTACTTGTATGGATCAGCCGAGTCATAGATCAGACAATCTTCGACAGTTCCTGTCGGAATGCGGATTGCGATACAGTAGGTACGGTTGTACTCCATTTCGGCGATGATACTGAGCTTCTGCAGGGGTACGCAAGTGGCTTGCACGGCGTGGCTGCATTTGACGGTATGGCCATTCAGAGTCGAGACGGTCACATTCTTCGGACCCAGGTGGACGTTCACCAAGGGCACATGAATGCCGCTTTCGGCACAGTCGACCACGCGTGTATGTATGTAACATTGAAAGTTGGGCTGCTCCTTGAGCCACTTCAGCACTCCCACCAAGTATTTGGTAGGGTGGAAGGTTGCTTGGCGGCCAACAATTGCTCCGCCCCGTTGATCTGGTTTTCCACTCCAGCCTTTGACGGTGAGGCTCTCGTCGTATCTCGCATCGAGACCGAGCTCCTTTTGCAGGGCAGACTCTTTCTTCAGATCCACCATGTCATGGTCATGTTCCTTGGTGCCCACGGGATACTGGGAGAGGTCATATGCCGGGAGCATGCGGTATTCGCAGTCTATCCCGAGCTCTTTTGAGACCTCCCCAACATGCTTAAGAGCCCAGTCGTGTGATTCGGCCGCATGTTTTGCTCCGTCCGCACCAAAAAGCTTCTTGATAGCCACGTAGCCGTCATCGAGATCTGATGACAAGTGACCTGATGTTCGACCAGTCTCCCCTGCCACAGGCGTCAATATCTGTTATGTCACCTCCCTAAAGCCGCATTGGAGAAGGGCTACCTGAGAGTATATCTCTTGCCTCGAGCATCACAACATTCAATCCTCTTCTCACAAGCTGTTCCGCGGTCGAGATGCCTGAGATACCAGATCCGACGATGCAGACATCGGTCTCCAAATCCTGGTCCAGTTGAGGGAACTGAGGGCGATCTGAATATGGTTCGAGGTGGACCCAAACAGGGTCGTGGCAGCCAGAAGTCCGCATGAACTGGATAGGATCTGAAGGCATGCTGATGAACCGGCGGGGGACCCGTGACAGGACGCTGTGTGGGGAGGCGAGACAGGCAACGAATTTCCGAGAGAGAAGAAATGGTGGCTGTGAGAGATGTTGCACGAGAGGTCTTCTCAAGACTGAAAGTGAAGCTGGACGGAGAAGGAGGAGGCCTGCCGCAGAGCCCATTCTGATAGCTGAAGACAACTACAAGCAGAGAGTCACGCGTGCCTTGAGCGAGGGGAGAGATTCACTGCACTCATTTGCCGATTGATGATGCCTTGATGGACGTGCTTGTCCATGTCGTGTCATGCATTTCACGGTTCACTGTTCACTTCGGCTTCCTTTTCCGACAATCATTTTCCCCTCAACGCACGCAGTTTGTCTCTGGTGTCTCTGCCAAATCCATGAGGTCACGAGGCCGCAGCTGAAGCCGCCGCTTGAGGTGCCATGTGCTTGCTTGTGCCACGTCAGACTCATCAGATGCTCATGTTGCTCATGGTATCATCAGCACCACCAGTTCTAATTGGAATTCTCCCGCTGATACTGTGACTGACTCCCTGACTTCATAACGACGTAATCTGCACTCCGCAGCGCAGCGTGTACGGATAACAATCCCCGACCAGTGGATGTGGATGATGCCACCAAGGCTGTATGGAAACGAGCCAGCTTCGACGGGAGATTTTGGCACGAGACAAGCGGTATCAAAGGGTTAGGCTTCGGTCCTCGAGAATGAATTCCAAGACGCACCACATGTCAGCGCTGAGGGTGGAAAGGACCCGGCGAACGTCGCCCGGGGCCTGAAAGCGTAAGGACCTCTTTTTGCTCTTTGAGCAGTGGTCAACATGGCCATGGGGCGTAGACTGATTTCCTGCTTTTACTACAGTGCAATTAACAACCCCAAGGTGTCGGAGGAAGGCCAGAACGAGACTGGAGAAAAGCTCAAGGACATGTAATATTATATAGGCCGCCGTCTTACCAATCCCTAGGCCTAGGTTCCGTGTACTGGGTATGTACAATGGAGAACAGTTTTCCGACCCTTCCCCTGTGAATAAAGCTTTGTCCCTTATTGACAGCCGTCACCAAGCCGGCTCCGTAAAGGTTCGCCCGTGTGAAGCCTTCAGTCAATGTAATAACAAACGCAATAAGCAGTTGCGGAGTAGTCCAATCGGAAATATTGCAATCGATCCAAGACACAACGAAAGATTCCAGGCTGCACGGACCACAGGTCCCGCCGATCCGGGTCTTTGATCCGGGTTCCATCGTCCCGTACTTGTCCGTAAAGTGTACTCGGTAGACGCAACTTTACCCCTTTTGTGTGCTTCTCATTCCCCATTTGAGCGCAAGGTGTTGATCCTGGAGCCGCTAGGAGCCTTTCCTGCAATGTACGAGGTAATGGAAACAAGAAAACCGGGCAGCTGTTGTGGTGTTCACTGTCACTCCATATGATGTCATATCCCACGGCCGATGCTTGACTTGTTTGAGGAATAATGAATCAATGAGGGTGTCGAAGGGGTGTCGAAGGGGTGTCGAAGGTGCTGCCATCCATCGAATAGATGGCTACAATACCCATGCCCCAGGTTCGCTGTCATTTGATGCTCTTCCCTGGGACTCTACTTCTTGGTTGTATACAAATAGAACACCAGAAATGTCCAGAAGAGCGACGCCCCGAAGACCCGAAGCCTAACCCTTTGATACCGCTTGTCTCGTGCCAAAATCTCCCGTCGAAGCTGGCTCGTCTCTCCCCCGTCGAGCTGCAATGGTGTAGAATATGCTGCCGTCGTATACCCTGCGGATGTCTTCTTTCATCATGCAGCCATCTTCAGGCCAGAGCATGATATAGGTAGCCAGCCATTTGATAACCGTCCATCAGTCAGTGATTCTGTCAAAGTCTTTCGAGCTGGAATTGGGCACAAGGGAGGAACTTACATTCAAAGAAAGCGCCAAACCAACCGATGGGGTCTGCTATCAATCGCTGGCCCTCGAGTAACTTCCAGACTTCCCAGATGCTGAGACTGTCCTTTCCATCCGCATATTTGGCGAACATGTCCTCAAACTTCTGTGGCACAAATCGGCCCTCGGTGTCATAGGTGCCAGTGTCACTGCCGTGCTTGTCCTTGTGGAGGTTAATGACGTAGATGCGGAACAGCGGGTCTGGAAGCCGGCCTGGCACGGTGGGATACGAGAAGTTGGTGTGGATGATAAAGACAGCGAGTGGAGAGAGGAGAATTCCAAACCCGAGCTTGTGGAATCCCACGAACGTATCGCTGGGCCATATAATGCCATCTCTGTCCGTGTCGAAGAAGTCACAGTGTTGCTGCAAGACCTGGAGAAGGTGGAATGGACGCCATCAGCCTCAAATCCAGATTCCACAGGAAAGAGCAGCGGCTGATTTTCTGTACCGTCTGATGTTGATGGCGAGCTGCCCACTCATCCTCTGTCGTCCCACGGGGCGCTGTTCAGACGCTGCAATGTTCGCACGGGCGGTGCCTGTGTCGTCAGGCAGTCAGTCAGCTCAGAACGGCTCCATAGGTATTTCCAAAGAGTAGCTCCATCAGACGAACCGGCATGCTCAAGCCTCAGATTGGGGCCCTGTTGGAAGAACGGCGTTCTTTCTACCGCAACGGGCACCGACGGGATCGAGCTCACCACCGGATGTTGCTCGCCGTCGGGGACTTTGGTTCCTATCTTCTTCTTCGCTTGAGGGTGATTTCCAAGTAAAGTCAGCCCGCATTCGGCCCAAGAGAGGCGCCAGCATGTAGACCGAGGAAAAGGATTCCAGAACCAAGAGATTGGAGAAGAGCACGATCCAAGGACCAACACGCGCCCCTCGTTACTTTATAGTAGCTTGCAGATCTCGTGCCGATATATTTCTGGGCGACGAATGATCGAATGGTAGAGACACGGAAACCTCATCCCCTTGATGCTTTGGGCCAATTGACGGATGTTTTCGTCATCTATCCGATCTCTGAACGAGCTTGAGGTCATTCCAAGCCATGCGGGCAATGTGGCGAGGGTGGCCACTCGACGAATGAATCCAGAACTCTCTTGGATACCCCTCCCCAAAGCAAAAGCAGGCTCCGTCACAGTTGAGAACTTCAACTTGGTCTGTTGTCCCGTCTTGCCAAAAAAAAGGTCCCCAATGAACTCAGTCGGTCTTTGACCAGTTTCAGTTCGAATGGCCGCCATCATGCCGCGTGAAGTTGCACGGCTCCCAGAAACCAATCATGAAGACACACTCCAACAGTCCTCGTCGCGGAAGAAAGTGAGTCTTGCGTGCCTGTCTTGCAGACGGCGGCGCACCAAGGTAGGCTTGAATATCAGCCCCTCCCATACTGGGTGTCTTCATGGTCAGGATCTGACTGTTTGTGTTCGAGTGTGACGGAGGTGTGCCTTGCGCTTCTTGCCTTTCGCGGAATACCGAATGTGTCAAGGACGAATTCGACGATGGCCGGCGCAAGCTCGCAGTCAAACGGCGGATGGAGGCGCTAGAGAAGGACCGCCATCTTCTGAACGCCCTGCTCAACGCAATCCGCACGGGAGAACCCAACCAGCTACACGCCCTGATCGGTCTAATACGAAACAACGCCGCCCGCCAGGACCTGACCGACTTTCTGGAAAACGGGTTCAGTGGCATCGGAGGAGTAGTAGTAGTAGTGGACGCACCGAACCGTCGGATCGATTCGTCCGCGGTACACAGACGGAGCCGCATTCGCCATGGCCGTATTCAGGACATTGTGAATCCTCCTATCTTAGTCCCCGCGAGGCCGTGGACGACAGTGACCAATGACGACGACTTCGTCTCGCATCTCATGTCTCTTTGGTTTACCTGGGCTCATCCTTGGTGGCACTGGGTGGACGAAACCCTCTTTCTCGAAGCAATGAGATCGCGAGACATCTCGAGCCTGATATGCACCCCCTACTTGGTCAATATGATCCTCGCAGACGCCTGTGTCAGTCCCTAAATGCATCTCCCTACCCTCTTCCCCCCCCAAGTAACCCCTAAAAGACCTGCGACGAGAAAGAACTGACTAGCTGACTTTCTACAAACCATGTTAATAGTTACTCGATACCCTAGCGGAGGATGGCTCAGATCCTAACCAGGAAATCCGGGAGCAGTTCTACAGCGAAGCCAGAAACGGCCTCGATACCCAGGAAGGCGAGGTCTCGCTGGCAATGGTGGCAACGTTGGGGGTGCAATGGACATAGTAAGTTTTCAGTCGGGGGGTGGTGGCATGGCGTGGCATGGTATCATTTCCACATCCTACAAATCAGTCAGTTCGCTCACGCAAGTTCCGTTTTCCTTTGCAGCCTCAACATAAACGGCCAGGACAAGCTGGGCAACGGCATCCTATACCAGCAAATCTTCCTCTCCAAGAGACTGGGCAAGTGGCGGCAACGGATCGGAAGAAGTCCCAGCATGACCCAGGAGTATCTCGCCAAAATCGACTTCTGCCTCAACCGGCTCGAGTGGACGCTGTACGCGCTCAACCCGCTCATCGGCCTCGCGCTGAAGCAGGTTCGCGTCTTTGACAGGCCGACCTCCCTGCCGAAGCCTGTGTCCGATTGCAGAAACTGCACGGAAGGACAGAAGACGATCGGGTACTGGACACCGTACCCCATCCCGTACGCGAGCATCGAATGGCATCCAACCTGCCACTACCTCGCATTCATCTCCCTTGCGGAGAAGGCGACCCTGGACGAGGACCTGTTTGAACAGAAGCGGAAAAACGACAGCGATGAGACCATGGACAAGTTTGTCAGTGTCTACCACGAGGTCGAGGACTGGCCGGAGCATCTCCCCGAGTGCATGAAATTGCACGACAAAGCCACGCCGCATGTTATTGTCTTGCAGTAAGTGGGAACATTTTCTCCTTCGCCCGCGTGATATTTTGACACCGCCCACTTTGTCAACCCGAGGATTGATTCTTTCCATCACATGTACAAAATACATCAAAGAGGAGGAAGTTGCTCTAGTGCTAATCATTTGTCTCCTTGTGCGCTTCCGCAGTGCGCTGCACAGCTGGGTCAATGTTACCATCTCCAAACAAACCGCCGCCCTCGACGCTGGAAAATCCAGCCGACCGTCCTTGGCGAAGACACCCCAGTCGTCTGAGCAGAGCCACTGGGTAGAAGTCTGCATATCGGCATCCAAACAGATCAGCAGCCTCCTCGAGCAGATTCGCCTGAACTGGGGCGCCGACCATTTCCCCGTTATCATCATGCAGCCCGCCACCATCGCGGCCTTCGCTTTGCTCGAGGAACTGACCGACCGATCCGAGTCTCAAGAGGCATTCTTCAAACTGTGCATCATCCTGCGCGCCGCGAGCCGGAGATTCCGCGTCAGCCGGGGAGTTTTGCGTCTTTTGCACCACACTGTCGAAGAAAACGGCATCGTGCTGTCCGATGAATGCCACCAGTTACTGGCCGATTTCAACACCCGGATGGACGTGGACCAGAACGTGGCTGTGAGTATCGATAACATCGGGCTGGATTATTTGCTCGAGAAGTGGGATGATCTGGATCTGGACGGGGTATGATTTTCGTGTCGGAATGTCGAGCTAGAATCACACTAGTGAGTAGTAAGTGCTTCGTCCATTGGGGACTCGTTGTAGATGTGTTGGCTAAATAGCGGACAGGGTGGTCTTGAACGGAATTGCGTCCAAGGTCCCAGTCAGATGCCGGTGTTTGTTGATGAGCTTCAGATATCTCGCAATGCCGATTAAAAAGAATAACCTATTTTCCCGAGAGTGAAAAGAAAAAACCCTTAGTGTTAAAGGCGTGGGATTTCCAGACTGCTGAAAACCGACCTCTTCACAATGTAGTAGTAATTCTCCCCATCAAGATCTTGACTTGTATAGTGTCCGTCGCGCAAAGGTACGATTCCAGGTATCTCGTCTAGCACGGCGACGTGAATTTGTCCAAGATATACTGGCAGGCAGCCGTGGAGTCCTTTCCGCCTCCCACATGAATCAGCACAACTCTTGGAACCGGTTCCTCTGGCACACAACCCAGGGAGGGATTCGGTCAATCGAGTCGAAGTAGCTGCCATCAGGGTGAGTAAAGTACTTGTAAAGCCACCTTGAAGGTGATCGGTGTCCGCCGACCCAGGAACAGGCAGCGTACTATTGTGCAGAATCACACACTTGGAACTCGCTGCACCGCGAAAAACACGTTTTCACACCCGCATCGACCCAAACAACCCTGATGGCGAGGTAGACTTCTGTAGAAAAGCTCTTGGGCGGTCATCTTTTGTCTCTGTGAGAATATAGCCCAAGCGTGGCGGTCTGCAGTGGAGTTTCCGAATGAGATGCCAGAGACGTCCATCGCCTCTAAGGTGCCTTGCGTCGACTGCACAATGTTTGTGAAGACGACGCCCTTGAAGTATAAGCCGTTGGCAACGCAATAATCTCCTCCGTTGTTAAGTTTCAGTTGCTTCAGCACGGTCGATTTTCCAGGGTCGCCAGTACCTATCTAAGTCAAGATCTAAGCGTTTTCAGAGCTCGATGATGCGCCAACCTAAGAGAAGGATCATGACCTCCTTCCTCCGCGATTCTTGGTTGGACTTGAGCCGCTTCTCGACCTGAATTTGACCTGTTCTCCTCTCAACCTCCTCCTTCCCGAGAAAACAGCTCATAATTTCAGCAATATATCACCTCGTGTGCAAGTGGTCTGCGAGAACCGCCGTCAAAGAAAGAGAAATTGAATGTAGGACGGAGGCAGTATGACCGTGGAGGAGCTTGGTGTTGAGTGGTCCTTGGACATTGCGAACTTTTTAACAGCACGTTGAGGCGGCCAAGAATCATCCCAACCCCCTGGCACCGCAGCAGGTTTTCCAAATAGATTTGATGGCAGTCGTCCTTGCAAGCGGAGATTTACAAGATGGGCTAAGTCCCTGCGGTCTGCCGCAAAACGGTGTCCAATGCAATCAGCGCATGCCCTCGGCGTCGGCCTCGAAGAAGAATCCAATAAATTGCTGTCGCTTACTCTTCGTTTTCAGATCTTTCGGCTCACAGTGGCCCAGTAATATCGATGTGGATTCTCCGCAGGAGCGCAAAGTACGAGGATCCGGGGTCAAAGTCATTGGCTGGTTGGCAGGGACCAATATACCTAAGAACGGGCCGGGCTGTGTTGAATCTTGCAGGAAAAGGGGCTCGAGGGGGCCTTCCACAAACCCCCTCCTCCGGCCCCCCGAGGCCGCCTCCGGATACGTCTTCCGCCGTCTGCTCAGGGCCGAGGAAGCTAGTCCACAAGAGGTGAGTGTTGGCGAGAGGCGGTTCGGCGGATTCCGGATCCATTACTGGGTACTTACGACGTGCTTTTCACCAGCGTTGCATCTTAGTCGAAGCGGGGAAAGCAGATAGACCCGGGGAATATATCCCAGATAGGGATTTCAGCAGGTGGCTGTCTGACTAACAAGTGGTGTTCCTGGCGTGCTCCGAGCGCCTAGAGCCCTCTGTTACAGGCATATATGTATAGCTAGCCCCGATTTGTCGGAAGACAGATCATAATACGAAATCAGACAGGCAACACGGTGCTGGACAGTGCTGCAAATCAAGAAGCCAAATTCCGGGCCACCCCCAGGTTCAAGACAGGGAGAGTCCATCATAGCTATGACAGAAGAAATATATATTCTGCAGATGCAAGAAAAGTGAGGCTCGAATCGTGGGCTGCTCTTGGTACCAGTGAGGTCAGATCTGTTCGTATGCGAGTTGTGTGGGGGGGGGGGGGGAAACCATCTTCGGCTAAATCTAGATGTAGTCGGGAGGCTCTCTCACAAACACACCTAGCAGGCAGCAATCTGTCAGGGTAATTTAGTCTGCCCCTGAGAACGGCTCGATTCCTTGGGATAGTCTCCTGCCTTAGCGACCATGACGACCCCTTCCTTTGAGAATCCGGGCATATTGCGGGATGAAGCCTCCTCTTGCAGCCAATACGGCCCCGACCCCAGTCCACAGGCTTCAGTCCCAGACCATCTGTTCGCTCCTTGGAGTCAAAGGGCAGTGCCAGATAGCAGAGGTCACAGCCGCAGTGTTCGCAAATAGCCAGTATGGCAAAGGGAGGCGCGTGTCTTAGGGCTGCAACAAGGTCCCTCGTGATCGGAACAGTTTGCAGACTAGAGTCCGGCGAAGTGGCTGTCCATAGCTGAAGGTCATGTCCGCGGTAGCATGTGGTGTGCAGCAGAAGTGCCGTAGAAGTGGATCGAGGACAAAGGCCAAGCACTCGGGACACTCCGACAGAATTGGAAACGAAAAGGCCAGCCGAAGGATTAGCCGAGAGAGAAACATCAAGCGACAGGCCTAAAGCGGCGGTTTGAGAGAAATGGCTCTGATTGGACCAGCTTGTCCTGCTCTATGCTCAGTAGTCTGTATGCAATTGATCAAATCAACTACACATGACTGTGTCTGTCCGCATTCTGATATTTGACTGGGCGTTCATCCGAGCCCATCACTCTCATCCGTGAGTAGTTGACGTTATCTTCCAACAGAGCGTTTGACTCATGCCTCTCCTGGAGGTTTGATGAATGCTAGCTGATAGGGAGCCTGTTTGCAAACCAAACCGCTGTTGTCCTTAGCGCTCTTCACCAGGCACGGTTCCTTTGCGTGGGAAAAAGTTGTTATTGGTTCGTCGATGGAGCGATCAAGCCTTAGGTCTGTTCTAGCAGCCGACCCTGTGCCCGGTCGAAGGTCTTGTTCGCTCAAAGGCAGGCAGTCAATGTTCGGCCAGGTAAGCATACGCAGGACTGATTTGATGGATGGATCTTCGGACTTCATGCTTTTGGCGCCATCAGCGACAGAGAGATTCACCATCTGCTTCGCAATTATTTGAGCCGGCTCTTTTCCTGCTGGCAGCCGCGCTTTCCCTCATGGGATCCCGTCATCGCTGAGACTGTCCCCGACCCCGTGAAAAATAGAGAGGACATTTCATTGATTCCGCCATGGGCCCTTTGACATGGCCGAAAGGGCAGCCTCGTCACGGTAGATGTTGCGCAAATTTCAGCCTGGTGAGCGTTCTCCGTACCCGATTTGTAATGCCGAAGGTCGCACCTGGTTCTGTACGTAAAACCCGTCAGACCAAGATAACCCAAACGAATTTGTCTCAAAACGCGTGCAACTGCGCCTTTCGACAGCGTTTGGTCTCCAACAAGGCCCTCCAAATCAGTCAGAGTGGGTTGAGAAAGATTTCTCTCGAGGGCAGCGAACTTACCTCGAAATAGCCGTCTCCTCCCTTATTCTCGTCGAGTATCACTGACCGCCCGACTCTGCAGGTACATGCCGCCGCCGTCCAGAACTGCGCGACTGGATTTTAAACATTTCCACAAGCCTACAGGCGATGTCTCAAAGACTCCCTTCGATCCTCCTCGCAGGGAATGCGACGCGATTGCGACCCGCAACACGAAGCCTTCGTGATGTGTTCCACCAACCGAGAGCCAGATCCGATGTTGCGCCATTGCGATCACGAAGGTCATCCTTTTCTTTCCGATTGTTATACATAATGGGTAGACAAGAGTTGTACAATATGGACTTGGACAAGTTCAAGGGAATTGAAATGGCGGCCTGCGCCAGTTTTCAACACGGAAATGGAGGGCGGGCTGGTCCTGGCAAAGTATTGCGCAGTGAACTTGCACCTCGGAAAGAACTCGCTTCTGCCCGTCAAGACATCGAACTAACTTGTAGGCGATGGTGTCCCATTAATATATCCCAACTCTGAATGTACCGTGTCCCAATCTGCCGTTGACCTGAATTGCTGCCGCGAGGCAAAAGCGACTTTTCAGGCCTGGTGCCTGTCGAGAAACAAGCGACAAAGTTCAAACCGCTCGTCTCAACTCATCAGTCGTAGCCCGGAAGAATCGGGACTCCTCTTTGGCGCCGCCAAAAGTTGGCCCTCTGACCCCATTCCGAGGTGAGAAGCCAACCACCCCAGCGTTCTAGAACGCTCGCAGAAAACTCCCACGAGAATTCATTGAGCCAATCTTCTCCCCATACAATCATCTGCCCTGTATCTTCAATGTCGCATGCTATGGTGCATGCCTCTGTTAAAAAGGTATTGGCATTCGCCGGACCGATTGCGATCAGGCGGTCTCGGAGACTGGGAGAAGGGATCATGTCTATATAAGCATGATGTGGCGTGGAAAGTTGAAGCTGGGAAGGTTTCAGAGAACTTGGCAGGGACGGTTCCAGCGCTGCTAGGGTGGCCAAATGCGTCTGCGGGTTAGAGATGACGGGAATTTCGAGAAGTGGCGAGAACATTTGATGAAGTGATCGACGGATTTCGCGGATGTTGTTGGGTACGACGACGACGAGGGTGCTGGGGTCGCTGCTGGCGCTCGATAAAGGAGTCGTGGCTGGTTGAGGCACGGAGACTGGCACAGCGCTCGACACGTAGGAAGGAGCCCCTGAAACTGCACCCAGGTAGCCACCAGGCGCAGCTCCATACGCCATATACCCCGAAGGAGATCCTCTGACTTCACCAGGGCTCATTGTCGGACCTGGTGAACTGGCTTGCGACCCGTAAGCGGCCTTCAAGGATTCATTCTCTTGAACGAGTGCCTGGTTCTCGCGGCGAAGTCGTTCAACTTCTTCCCCCTGAATACTGTTCAGTTCGCGCTGGGCAGCTTCGAGTTTGCTCAAGTGTTCCTTGCGTCTTTGGCCTGGTGGGAAAGTTAGTGCCTGGTTCGGAGGCCAATTTGGGAGGGCCGTTCCGCGGGAGGCGCAGAGCTACTTACGGAAAACTCGCTGGGCGTTGCGATTGTATTCTCTGATGTGGAATCAGTGGAAACCCACGAGAGGAAGGAATAAGATTCAATGCGCTTCGACGCACCTCTTCTTTGCCGCCTTGCTTGCTTCACTGCCCGACTCCGACATGGCGACAATTTGGATAATTTCACTGTTGGTCTGATGGATGATCTCTGTGGCGACCGACATCATTCAAGTACCTTTGGACGGCTCTCGCACTGACGTGGATTTATGCCAGCCCGACCAGTACGTAAGGCCAGGCGCAAAGGGGAGGATCCGCAGAAGCAAAGCGTGGCCGCCTGGAAGATGTCCCTCCAGTCAGAAGTTGAGGACAAAAAGCTGAGACGCGCAGAGCCCTTGGAGATTGTAACGCCAGGTATGGAGGAAGCGATATGTCCAGAATTAAAAGGAGATGAAATGGTTCGAATCAGACGAGTGTTGCCAGTCTGATTGGGCAGCCGCAAGGATCGGGAGCAGAATAGCGCAACGGCCAACCTGCGAATAGTCAAGTTGATTTGAATATTGCCAAACGGTCATAGACGAGTCGGGATCTGAGGATCTTGTTCGAATCATGAGTCTGGCGGACACTTCCCTATATCTGTGGAGATACACTGCCCTGAAGGCCTAGTAGATTGACACAAATAGTCTACCAAACCTTGGGTATGGAGAGTGTTCACAATGGGGACCCGCCTTGCCCGTTCTAGGAGACCAGTGAGGACTATGTCCCGCGAGCCAAATGGAAACTGTAGTCAGCCACAGCCTTTTTGGTAGGGTTTGGCTCGCCTGCCGTTGGCCGAAGTGTGACGGGACCCAACTCAGTCGGCATTCGCACAAAGGGACAACAAACAGCGACCAGGGATCCCAGGATGGCAGTCGAATGCTCATTCGAGTCTCGGCAAGACGTACCTGGGTCCAGCTTGGGAATGAGGCACGCAGGGGGATGTGGTGAAGCCATTGGAACGGGAGGGCACAATGACCGAAGCCTGTGGACCAGGTGTGCAAGGGTTTCTCGCCTAGGAACGCATCCTTGGTCCGAAGCCTGTGCAGGCTTCCCATAGGGGGACGTCAGACGCGAGATCGCCGCAGTCCGCAGGCCGGGGCCGCCGTTCGGCAGAGTGCGGGCTGCTACAAGAGGTAAGACTAGAAGATGGTGGATTCGGTATCCAGTCACACCTCAGTTGGCTGTCGAGAAGGGTCAGCGCAGGCGCCACGCAAATGGCAACCCCGGGAAAGAAGGGATCTCAGATTTGACAGGCAGGGAGGCTGAGACGGGCATAGTCGCAGAGGCTGTTGCAAGGCCATGCTCCCATATTGAAGGATTTTTTTTTTAAGTGCGAGGATAGTTACCTCACCCACTAGTCGCCAGTTTAGTCCTGAGATTGGCTCCCAACCAAGCCAATCAAGCCATAGACCCCATGACGAGTTGTAGGTGGGCCTTTTGTTGTTTTTCAGCCGCGGGAGGCTCCCAGAACTTCCACCGCAGACACGAGCAGCCAGACAGAAGCCATGCCAGGAGAAGCATATCCGACGAGAGTTTGGGGGGAAATTGCCACGCGGTCCAGCTTGCATTGCAGCTCTGGGCACCGTTAGCTAGCTGTACGGAGTATGGGCTGACCTATTCAGCTGCGATGGTATGGTATCCCACCATCAATGTACCCCAAAGCCCCAAGCACCCACAAGGATCAATGGTATGACGACAGCAAGGGAGCAGCAACAGGGCACCATTTTTTTTTGTGATGGCCCCCTGCTGGCTATCGTAGCGCACGCCGCACAGTCGTCTGAGCATCAAAACTCGGTTTGACACAACATCCCGTGCCCCACCGAGGCCTTTGGGGGACGTGTTCTCCGCATAGTTAAAGCCGTAAGCGAAAATCATTCTCGGCTCGTCAGGTTGCTGGGGCTGCCCACTGTGCCCAAACCCCTGGAGGAAGGAGGACGACGACGACGACGACGACGAAGAGAAGGAGGATGACTGGGTGAATCCCCTTGCAAAGGACTGTATTTGGAGATGTTGCCGACCAAGACTAGACTCGCTGGGAACGGCAGGATTTCGCTTACATCAATCGATTGATATCGACTTCGGTGGAGTAGGGCGATCGGAATCAATTGCCTCTGGCAGAGATTTAGAGCCGAAGTTGATGTTTCCATTGTCCTTGACAGCGGGGGAGGAGGATCTATCCAACAAAGAACCTGTAGGTACGTCGCACTTTAGCTACTCCGTCCTAACCGTACGATCGAAGTTGAATACAGCAGGCAGTTGAGTACCCAGTAGGTGCCTCACCAGCCTGAGATAGGATGGGGGTTGCCTGGGTTGCCTGTGCAGGCCTGCTCTGCCATTCTCTATTGCTCTTTCAACTGGGCATGCTTCTATTTGAGGCACTGGCAGCATGATGCAAAGCTGTTGCGCAGTAGACAGGGGCTGCAAAGAGGTGCGAGGGGACCACTAAGGGACTAGGGATTGCAGGAGAGGCATCCAAATGGTCGGTTGCAACATGCATTCCATCATGGCTGGTGGTTTCTGGTGGCACAAAACCGAAAATGCAGGAAAGGAAGAGGCGTGGGCTTGGTGAGCCCCATACTAGCAGAAAAGACCGGCTGCCTGTCGTGCCACGACGGGATGCAGCCCCAAGTAGGCTGTGGCAGCCGAACATCAAAAAAATTTCTCGACTTGGGTGTTCCTGATGACCCAACTGTCCTTACGAGGTACTCAGAAGCACTCTTAGGTGCTAATGCTAACCTCCACCCGCTGACTTTGGGCATCTGCTGTAATGCCTAGAGGTGACAATAGGCGGATTCGGGGTGGCAGGTGCTACCTGGCTACGATGCACGCTCACCAGCCCAATGTGAGGAGCCTGAGGCCCAAAAAAGCACAGAAAGACAAGTGAAGTGAATCACAACAAAAAAGCCCTGGCATCATGCAGCATGCAACAGCACCAAAAGAGGTCTCGACCGGGCGAGAAACTCCTTGAACCCCCGGGCAGCCCCAGTAAAACCGTGTCATAGAGTTCGTCTTCCTGCAAGCCACCTGCATGCCCCAAATGCACGCCGACGAAGTTGGCGCAGTGTATGTCGAGCTACTGTACAATTTTTTTTTTTTTCACCTCCCAAACGATTAAAAAAAAAAAAAAATTCCAACGGACACATGAGCACATGGAAACACATGAGATAACAGGTCGGATCAACTATGAGGCCTTTGAATTCCAAGCGATTCCTGGAGCATCCTCAGCCGCACCCGGTCGCTTTGCTCTAGTACAAACCGACTATGCACACAAGGAGGCACCAAGATGCACACTGTCCACCCGCAGCGAAGTCAGAAGGAGGGTGCACCAGGTATGAATCATCAACAACGCTTCATTTACGAGGTACAGTGGGTAGCTAGGTACCTACGAGGTACCGAGTACTCCATCCTCACGCCTTGTGAGCCATTCCTTCCAACCCATCTCGAGTCACTGACAAGGTGCCTCCCCGGGCCTTTTCCGCCTACCAAAAAGACCAGCACAGAACCCCATCAAAAGCTCAATACAACCAACCAGGTTGTTGTCGGGCAGTGCAACTGGGCTTTGCAGATAACATACCACGCCAGCAGCTTTGGCGTTTCTGAAGTACAGTCTGTTGCCAGGGGTTTTTTTTTTTTTTTTTTTTGTCCTTTTCACCCCCGCTTCTTACTCCTAACTAGATATTGTCCAAGCTACAGCGACCTTGCCTACCATGCCGCTTGTGCTGTGAAGAGCTGTGTACTACGGAACATGCCGAAAGCCTGTACATCGGAGATCGGGATGCAGAATTGGAACAGCCTATGTATCCTAAGTGGTGATGAGTTGGAAGAGGCAGACTGATTAGCGGCTCTGACCATACCTCTTTGGACCCATGGTATCCTCATACCGCCTCGCCTACGCCTCCATTTCCCATCGTTCAAGCGAGCTGGCCCGGCTGTCCGTCGCTCAGCTCTAATGTCTTTCCTGGCATACCCGGCTGCTGCCCCTCTGTTGGGTTATTGGGTCGAGCCTTCAGCCTTTTCGGCCTGTAAAAGGTCCCAGAGGTGGTCTGCAGAAACTGCACAGCAAGCCTGATTGTTATAACAAGTATATCGAGTATGCATGGGGCCAGGGACTTCTGCTGGGTCCTAGTCGGTACAGGGCCTGGGGCTCAAGTTTGCCACCTCATTTCCTGGTGGTGCGCTCTGCCTGGAGACCAAAAGGCTCCCACCTCATGAGCAGGAAAGAGCTTCAAGCTCCTGCGTTTCCAAGCCACATCTTGTACCCGGCGAGATTGCTAGATGTCGGACTCCGTTGGGTGGCTCTTCAATCTCTACAGGTGTCATCAATATTGCTGATCTGAATTAGCCAGTCATGCCAGCATGTCGGTCGCGTCGAACACAACAAGGCCAATCTTCCTTCCACAATGATGAGGGCAGCTCCCAGTTGCTCCCAGCAACAGCACCAAGGGGTTTCTCCTCGATATCATGCCTGCTGCAGTCAATTTTTGGGGCTAATTCAGATCGAGCGCATCACTGTCGATCCTTTCCTAGAAGTTCCTGGAGCTGAACTTCGCTTAAGTGATCGTCTTCCCTAATTCTGCCATTCCCGCAGGTCAAGACGCCCAGCAGTGGCTGCAGCAGCGACCTATCTCCCTTTACCGGATCTGGGGACAGTAAAGAGAGCAAATGTCCCTTTGGAAAGACCACGGTGTATCCTTCTTCACCAGACATAATTTTAGACTAAGTACGTGAGATGTCAGATTCAGGTTAGTGCCAGTGGAAAGCATCATGGTCTCGTCTGCACTGGACAGATCGACACCAACCATCAGTTAAGCGATGCATCACTGACTCCAAGACTCCTGAACATTCCCCTTTCGAGTCATTTGACCCAGGATTGGAGAAAATTCTCCGGTTGTCCCCGCCATCTGCGTTCTCCTTGTCACCTGAGTTGCGAATTGCGTGCTGTCTCGGCTGATGACCGACATGTTCAAGCCATCAAAGCCACACTAAGCCTCAATTTTCAGAACCAATCAAAGACTCCAGCCAAAGCGCTTTCTATCAGCCCTGTTCGGACTCCCCGTCGTGACTCCTAAAACACTCCGCGGATTCGATATGCGATCTTTGGATTGTTGTATGTAAACCACAGCCTCCCCCAGTTTTCGACAATCTGAGCTGACCATATCTGGTCGACAGCATGTATTGTGACGCAACCGGTGAGACCGAAATCCAATACCTGTCCGGTGTGACTGGAAATATCCATCACTGGACCCGGCGAGCTGGACACGGTTGGGTACCCAACTCACTTCAGTGCCTTATTGCAAGAGGAACCCCTCTCGCAAACTCTAATGGCGCTTGCAAGCCCTCCAGGCGGAGCAGCAAAAGAAACGGCTTCGCACAAGATCCGAAGGACCATTGTACGTAAGGCAAGGTAAGGCAAGGCAAACCGAAGCCGCACCGGAGACGGATCGATCATCATGTGGGATGGGCTCTGAAGGAGTCTTTGACTCTCGTCCAGCTGATGTCATGCCACGCATCAGGACTCGAGTCGACCGAATTCCTCGACGCCGGTCGCCCGGCTGTGACGCGGCGGAGTCTGGCTCTTGGGTCCGAGTCTACTCTAAGCGACTTCAACAACCATTCCCTTGCAAAGTTTATCCCCAAAGCCTGGCGAGAAGATTGGGAGAATCCGGATCAGTTGCGACAGAGACAACGTGTTAGACTACTGGGTACGTACCCAGTAACCTGCAGGATGACCCGAGCCGGGGCTTAACATGCATTGAGCGAAATTTCTCCATCAGCCATTCAATTTTGAGTAGACAGAAAACCAATGGCACAGAGATCGTTCATTTCAACAGGCCATCCAAGCACATGTTGATCCGTCCATCATTCAGGGCCCGGATCGACTTTTCATTGGACTTGAGAGCATGGCGAGCATGTTTTTCTCGATGCTGAAGGGGGGGGGGAATGCCCGTACCGCTCTCCCATGTCAACGCCCGATCCCACAGAACAGCCACCGAAAACCAACAGCTCGTGAAGTGACCGCGTGGGGAGCAACACACTGTTTTCTTGACATAAAAAGACCCTGCACGCCTAACCCATCCCCAATTCTTGATCTCAGTTCACTTGGTAATTTCCAGAGACCATGGGCTTTGCTGTTCATTACCTCCGCCAATGAAAACCCCTATCAACAGTCCGAGGGTATTCCGGATCAAGGTGTTCTGGATGGCGCCGTCACCCGCTTTGCTGTCCATCAGGCAAAACCGGTGAGAGGACCTCTACCCGACCCAGACCCAGATGACACCAACGACAACATCCAACCCCTTGCTATCAGCGCCAGCGTACTTGAAGCTCCACATGCCATCCTTTTCGTTGTTCCAGTAAGCTCCACTTGCCGCGTGCATGCCTCGACGACCACTCGTTTTCTTGGTGTCGTCGCCTGCCGAGGCCGGGGATGAAGCCGCGTGCTGGATGATGGTGCTGTTGACCACGTATTTGAACTGTGGTTGGTTCGGCATGGAACCAGAAGCGGATGTTACCGTGGTCTCTTCCACGAGGGCCCCTAGGATGCTGTTGATTATCGTCGTATTCCAGCGTTCAGTGTCCGGGTGGGAGTAAGACGTTACCCCTGAAAGGGCAGCTTCGCATGCCTATCCGGCCGAAGGTTGGGAAGTTAGCGCCCTGCACTCTGCAGCTTTTGGACACCCTCTTGGTGCATGGCCAACGTGGTACTCACCTTCTCTGTGATCTCCTTCAGCCGGCTGTAGGCCACGGGAGGGGGGGCTTGTTGCGACGCCATTTGCTTGCCTGAGATCTTTCCTCCTGCCACGTATTTGGTGATGTAGGTTTCTTGGGTCTTGCGAATGAGATCCTGCAACCCAGGGGAGGCCTCAGGCGGATTGTCCGCTATGGGGAGGGACGGATGTTCCTTGAACAAGAGGGATGTAAGGGGGTCGCAAGGGACGACTGTGGTCGCCGCGGACTCTCTTGTGTATGGCTGCTCGCCTGGCCGGCTCCCTGCAGGTCTTGACGCTTGCTCTTCGCCTTCGAATCTGGTCTCTTGGGGTGCCCTGTCTCGGTGTTCCTGCGACTTGGTGCTCCCCTTTTCGCTTCCCACCAAGGCCAATTCTCTAATCTGCACTTCTTCCTTGATCACTTCGGCCTGATCGCGCTCGCCCTGCCGACGTCTGCCTCTCAAACTAAACGTCGAGGCTTTTCTCGCAAGCCGGCGTCGAAACTCGGTGAGAGGGCCGTGCTCAGGATTTTGCTGGGTCTGGCGTAAAGTAAGGGTGCTCTTATTCAGGCCCACGTCAAGCAGGTCTGGATTGGAGCGGTGGTGCTGAGAAGCTTTGCGCAGTCGCAGTCGCTTTGCTGGATTGCTTGGACGATCGGCCGGATCCAATGCACACTGATGTTGATGATTATTTTGATGCGGGCTCGGCGGGTCGAAGACGGCCACAGTTGACCTAACCCTCCGCAGTAGAGTTGACATTTTCCCCACGGCGAAGCAGATATCCCGCTGCCGCCGCCGCCGATAAGAACAAGAAAGCCCAAGAAAGCCTAGGAAAGCCCCAAGTACCCAGTACCCCCCAAAGCTTTAGGAGGGGCTGCGCGAATGGGAAGCTTCAACGCAGGCAGGTGCGTTCCCCGCAGCGCTGGTTTACCTGGCGAGCTGGATCGAGAAAGAGCTTGACTTGCAGCAACACCTTCCGTCAATTGCTCTTTTGGTTGCTCTTCGGTAACCGATTCACTCTTCCTTGCACATTCTATCTTGGTTGCGGCGCGGTGTATATCTTTCGAGTCAGAGAATAAGCAGCTCTATCTTCCTCTACCTCTTACTTGGACATACTTTTACTGCTGCTGTGACTGGGTTTTTATTGTGATGTGGTAGTTGGAAAGTTGGAAGAAGAAAAAGCACCCGCTGCCACACCTCACCCAGTTGCTGAACTGCGCCTATCCGCATCGCACACTGTTTCACTCGCTTCAACTCCTCGTGGTATCACAGAGCCGACGCCTCTTCCCGAGCTCCCCACAAGCCCGTCTTTTAAGCTTCTCAAGAGCTGGATTTGACCCTCTGGATTGGAGTTCCGAGGAAGAGTCGCTGCGCATCTTTCACGAGGTGGCCAAGAACGAGGAGAACCGTCGCAGCAGCAATCAAGACCTCTGTTACCTTTCTACCAGTCAAGAAGTCGAAGCCAAAGGTTTGCTTCGGCAGGGAACCCAACACAACCGACGCCGAAAGAGGCCAGGCAAAAACCTGAGCGTGGCCAGCAACCAAGTAAGCGTCGTTGCTTAGAGTCGGTCCCCAACAAAGAAAATCGATTTCACACCCAGAAATCAGTCCACACCCTCAATACCCTCAGGTCCAACCGAGTTACTTCACCTCATCAAAGCAACCTCCCCAACGGAAAGTTTGTCATCCACATACCCGAGACAGCACCTTGGCTTTCCGCCGAGCCCAATTCTGCAGGGAACAACGGGGATACAACATCTGCTAGTGCTTTCATAGTTTCGCCATTTTCAAGCCAGTCTCGCATTACCAGTCCCATTACGAGATATAGCTCGCCGCCTTCTGTCGACAACATGTCTGAACAACCACTTCTTCAAAGCGCCCCGGGTAAGATCTCCCACTCTTGTATCCGCCTTGTTTGATTCCGCCTCCTACTAACTGTTTCATCTGTCCAGGCAAACGTATTGCCCTCCCCACTCGCGTTGAGCCCAAGGTTTTCTTCGCTAATGAACGTACCTTCCTCTCCTGGCTCAATTTCACTGTCATTCTTGGTGGACTTGCCGTCGGCCTTCTAAATTTCGGTGACTCGGTCGGCCGCATATCCGCTGGACTCTTTACCTTGGTGGCTATGGCAGCCATGATATATGCACTCATCACGTTCCACTGGCGAGCGAAAGCTATCCGAATCAGGGGCCAGGGCGGGTTCGATGACCGGATTGGACCTACAGTGTTGGCTCTCGCCCTTCTCGCAGTGGTGATTGTCAACTTTGTGCTTAGGGTGGTCAAGTCGTAGGCAGAGCGGCTCGGATGTTGAAAACGGAACGGAGATCAACGGAAAGGGTAAATAGACGGAGCGGATGATGGAATTGAAGAAGATGGAAACTAATGCCTCGAGACAACCAGGCAGGAAAGAGAAGGAAGGAAGAGCAAACACTGCAGACAAGTCCACCTCAGATTCGCCAGTGTCTGGGTTGAGCTTTGGCATGAAGCTCTGGCCGTTATAGCGTCCTGTACTTTTGCGCTATCCAAGGATCCCTCTTTTGTAGCCACACACTTCGAGGGCACTATTCGCAGAAAATACATTATAATGCACAATGAGAGCACTCTGGATTCAAGAGCGACGCAGGAATGGGCGACATTCTGCTCACATCCCTCGGACACATTTGCTATTGTATGTTTGGTTGTACTGGAGACAACCAGCCAACCTCAACGGGTAGGCCCTGCCAGGGTTCTTGATGCTATACTCCGACAAGCGCCGACAATAATGCTGTCCCTTTCCCTGTTATCCCGTGCACTACTGTTCAAGAAAGAGAGTCCCGGCAAGGCCCCCATCAACTCCGAACCTCGATTCCCATTCCTTGCATTACCCGCGACTGCTTAAGTAGCACGTTGATTCACTCCCTTCAGAGATGCGGCGAGTGAGGACAAGGCGTTCCTTTTCTCTGCCCTGCCCATGATCATTGGAATTGGAGGGAGGAATTCAATTCTACCCCGCCGTCCTGATCGTCTTCAGTGTCGGGTCCACCACCATCATTTCTATTCCTAGATCGCTTGCACTTGAACTCGTCCACGCTCATGCCCTCCTCAACCCAATCCGTTCCCTAAGGCGGATTGCTATAGTCATTTAACGCGACGCACACCGCGCCCCTGTGATGTCCGCTATACTGCCTGATGATTTTCCCGGTAAGGATTTCCCACAGGCGCGCGTAATGGTCGGAGCAGACGGTGACAAGATACGCGGAATCAGCGCTGAAGGCGCAGTCCCAGACCCAGCGTTGGTGGATGTCCAATATGGCGTGGCAAGGAAGGGGTCGGCGGATGGATATCAGGTCGGTGGTAGGGCGGAATTGTTGCGAGGAAGCTGATGCGAGGGATGGGGTGGAGTGGGATAGTTTGGGATCGGGAGAGGAGTCGGAATTTCTGTCTATCTCGGCGCTGGGGAGGGAACGTTGGGAGCGTGAGAGCGTGATCGTGTTTGGGTTGTTCGGAGCAGGTTCGGTATGGCCTATTGATGCTTCCTGCTGCTGTTGGGATATTGGGGGGGTTTGTGGTTCGTTGATATCTTCAAGATGCTCTTCATTCATGTCGATCTTCCACACGCGTACGGTATGGTCGGCGCTACAGGTCGCGAGGTATTTTATATCTGGCGAGAGGAGGAGGCGGGTGAGGTAATCCTTATGGGCTTTGAATGCGCGACATGGAAGAAGGGTGGTCGAGTCGTGATTTTGATACACACGCCAGATATAGACGTCGCCCTGGAGTGGCATTGTCAGCTGTCTTTTGTACTGGAATTTGCGTCCGCTTCGACATACCAGATTGTTTCCAGCAGCGAGCAGCGAGCCATCACTCGCAACGCTCACACTGGCCATGGAGATGTCTTCCACGGGCACAAGTTGATGGGTACATCTACTTGCGCCCAGATCCCAAATACGAATATTTCCGCCACGGTCGCAACTGACCAATTCACCCTGATTTGGATGAATCACCACGTCATTGACTGGATGTGAGTGTTGATAGTTTCTCTGAACCATACCCGACCTAGTATCCCATACTCTTACCGTGCAATCCTCGGAGCTCGTCACCATCCATTTCCCCTCACAATGGAATGCGACACCAGTCACATTATTCGTGTGGCCCTCGAATTGCATGATGGGGTTGGGGTTGCTGGACTTGATATCGTAGAGCCGCACCATATGACGGCCCGCGGCGGCCAGGTACTTTTTGTCTGGAGTGATACATAGTCTGTTCACCTGGGATTCCGGGTGTTGGATTGTTCTTGAGCATATTCCCGAGAGTGCTTCCCAGAATCTACAGTGGATGAGAGAGGTCAATTTGAAGGACGAGGCCACGGAGAGAGGAGAGAGAAACCGGGCGCACCTAATAGTGTGGTCATAACCGGCTGAAAAGGAGAATTAGCTATTTGCCTAGGCCTTGCGATGGTGAGAAAGGCAGTACCTGTACACAATATCACGCTCATGTTGACGGCTCATACCCCTCAAGAACCCCCTTCGGTGTCGAGGTTCCTGCAGCCTTCAGGCTTTGCGGATGTTGGGTCTGTGGATGCATAGGCCGCAGATGGAGGTGCGGTGCGGGGATGGACAAGGCTGGATTTTGTCACAAGCGACCTTCACAAAAGTCTCGCTGCTTTAAATACAGCTTTAACCAGCCTAGCCAGCCGGCTTTAAGCGAACCAATAATCGCTCCTCGTTTGATAAGGCTGATTATCGCTCAAAAGTGTCTTGTTTGGGTGTTTTTCAACTTCATCTGTAAACATTCCTCTTCATGCGTGTATATATCAAACATAACTCCGCGAATGCCGCTCACAAGGGCGCCACACCTCCCGTGCCCCAAATCCGGGGTCGGCGGCTGCCCGGACCCTGCAACAGGGCGCCGCAATGTTAACCGTCATGCGGTTGTCAAGTGCCCGTACCGTCCAAACGACGGTTCCACCCTTGGACGAGCCAGGCGGGTACGCAGCTGTTGACATGCAAAGGATTTGGTTCAAGAAGTGAAAACTTTGCAGCCGCGTTATTGCGGATCGAGGAGAAGATGCGTTTCGTTTTTCGGATGACACGAACATGCCTGTCCTAGGCTGTTGATTGTCCGATTGTTACAGTCACCACAGTACGGTGCAAATATGACAATACCAGTAGGTGAACCGTTACTTGGCCAAAGTATAGGTATGGAACCGCTTAACTGACTGAGACAGCCCTGCTCCCAAGCCGGCCCTGCGTTCGGTACCAAACTTTGCAGCCTTGTCACAGAACGTTCCGGTCTGGTTCAGAGCAAAAGGTCCTCGACGAGACAGGCGCCCTTCTGTCGGCTGCTGGACAAATATCTTCTGGAAGCGTCCTGCCTCTCTTTTTGTCCAACTTCTCTGTACATCGTCCTTTCCAGTGCCCAAATTCCTCCCCAAGCTCAACATGTACGCCTGGAATCCTCAGGAGCACCAAACGGCATGAAAACCGCGCTGTCCTCAATCCCGTTTGCTCTTCCCAGAAACTGAGTCTCCTGGGACTTCACAGGTCAGTTACTTAGCCACTGGCAGAACACCTGATCGAGTTCTCAATAACACCGCGCCCCAGGTAGTGAAGACTCCTTTGTCGACGACCATTGTGCTCTGAAGTGTCACTCATTTCGCGGTGCACTTGTCCATTTCCTGGATACAATAATCACGGACACAATAATTGCAGACCCCATTCAATCAATTGCATGGGATACATGAAGACATTCACAACGAGTTTTCCCTCGACAGATCCACAGCATCAGTCCCAACCGCAGCTATCAACTTCAATTTGACCTTACCCCTGGAAGACAAATCCACTCAATACACAGATCCGAGTCACAATTGCGGGATGATGAAAAACAAGGACTGTCACATGAACGACTTCATCAGAAGCTCAGTGAACGTCAACGCCTATCCTGGTTTCAACGTGCACGGGCAGATCGTGGCACAAAACTTTTTTGGCCACCACATGGGTTTCAACCAGAACGCCGGCATCATGAACAACAATCTCTCAGGGAATTTCGGCGCCAGTGTACTAAACACCCAAATCCCGAATCCCTTGAATAGCAGCTACCCTCTTCAACATCCATCCATGAGAATGCCTAACCACAGACGTCAGAATACACCTAATATGGCCAGTTCTCAGCAACGTCATCCTGTGGGCTTGCCGAACTACATGCCTCAGAATCCAACTGCTAATGGTAGCCCTGTTCGATGTTATCCTAATGGGATGGCCAACCTCACGCCTCAGCATGTGAATGCTAATGGTAGTCCTCTTGGTACTCATGAGGCGGGTATGCCGAGCAACGTGCCACTAAACATAATGAACGCCGGCAACCCTATTGCAAACGAGTACTCTCAGATTCTGGGCAGTGTGCTTCAATTTCCAGTCTATGACAGCAGCACTGTCCCAATCCGTGGCGAGCGAATGACTAACGTCATGGCCTCAGAATCCTTCAACGATGGGTACTTCACCCAGAACGATCCTGTGGGAATGCAAGGTCTCCTCGCCCAGGATGTGATGAGCGATAATGGTTCTCAGGGCATCTATGGCAATTTCTTCCCTGAGGAGCAGCTCTATCTCGACCCAGCCTTTACAGGCTTTGAAACTTTTGATGAAAACATTGCCCAAGGATTCCCTGTCATCCCCCAAGGTCAGCAGGATACTGCAGGTGAACAGATGTGGACCCAGGAACTCGTGAGCCAGCTGCGGGCCGCCTTGCAAACATCTCAAGACAAGATCTCCCTGCTTGAAGATGAACATGGCAGAAATGTCGCGACGCTCCAAGAGCGGGTTGCTGCCCTTGAAAAGGAAAATGTGACACTAAAGAGAGAGAATGTCATGGTCAAAAGCTTCTACAACATGATTCGCGGCTATTATGATTTCACGATGGGACCAAATGGCAAACTCCTTCCAGTGATCCCTACGTCGAACCAGTCCGCAGTTGTGCAGAGCAATAAACCAAAGCCAGTATTCCAAGAGGCATACGAAGCCAAGATGGAGCGAATGCAACGCCAATACCAACGAGTACTCGTTAATGCGGACATCTGCCTCTTGTGCCCATTGCACCATAGCAGCCGCCAGCAGCTGCAACCTCCACAAATGGTGGAGGCTCCTGCCCAGGTTATTGACCTCACCAGCGAAGAGCCTGGCCCCTCCAGACGACAGGGTACAATTCAAGAGTTTTTGGCTAGTGCTGCTCGGTATGACATATGGGAGGGATGCCACGCAGCCACGCAGACGACGGCCGCATTGGGAGCCGCAACTCCTGCTCGAGTGACGACCACAGCGGGGACTGCATCAGCTGCTTCGTCAATTCCATCGGCTCGTGAAACTGCAGCTGCCCATGCAGCTAGCTCTCAGCATTCTGCAACTACATCCGCGAAGCGTCCAGCATCGCCCGCAACGCCGCCCTCCCCAGCCGAAGACGTCAGCCCTTCCAAGCGCCAAAAACGCAAGCAGTCCGACTACACTTGGATGCAACAAACCCAGAACCTTGCCCTGAGGAAGGCAACGGGCAATCTTCCTCATCCCTTAGAAGGGTGGGACCCTCAGCGGGTCGCCGCTGCAGCAGCAGCGGGACATCTTAAAGCCTTTGCCGTCAATACCGCGGTTTCGACTGCTCCAGCTACGAATCACCCGTCCTCAAGTCTGCCCCCCAAGCCCGCACCAGCATCAAAATCCACGTCTTCTTCTCACAAGTCCTCCAAGGTCCCCCAACCCAAACCTGCTACAGCGAAGAAGTCGAACGCTCGCGCAAAGGGCAAGGAGAAGGTTCAATCTTCTGCAGCATCTCTAGCGGATCTAGCCATGGCCCTCTCTGGTCCCAATACCGCCCATTCCGCAGTTGCCAACACTTCTGGCACTACCAACTCTTCCAATGCCCTCAGCGTCGACATCCTAGTTGAAGAGCCTACTTACGTCCCTGCTCGCAGGCCGACCCCTCACCTTCCTCCTACCGCTCCCCCCACAGACATGGATTCTGAATCGGAGACTGAGGAGGAGAGAGCCGCACGCATCAGAGACTACGACCTGATGATCATTGACCACAACGAGCAATCCGCGCTCCCGGCTAACAGCGAGGTCGGTAGATCCTCTCCTTTTGAGCCCAACGATGACGACGTGGCAGATCTTGTCGCGTTGTTCGAGGCGTCCGAAGAGTCCGACAACCAGCAGAAGGGGGCTCTCGAGGCTAATCAAAGCGAGAACTGGGATGATGCCGACAGCCTCTTTGGGGAAAAGGAATTCCAAGTCATGCCTCAGGATGAGGAAAGTGAGGTGAGCGAGGAGGAGTAGATGGAACCAAGACGGAACAAGAAGGACGCTCATGATCGATGGGTGATCAGAGGTTCCTTGTGAATATTCTTAGCGTGGCACGCGTGGACTGCCTGCCTACGCCCAGGAAGTTGAAACCTGCAGGGTCCACGGGCCGGTGTATTTCGGGGAAAGAAACAAAAAATGGGGCATGGTCTTTCGTTTACAACAGCAAGAGATAGGAGATTGAATCCGCTCCCACAAAGCTCCGTGGACTCGGGCATTGATGGGGAGAGAGGTATTAACGCTCGTTCAAGAACCCGCGCGGCTTCATAGGCAGGCAGGATTTAAAGACACTGAATACGAGTGAGTCTAATTAGTTAATCTTCAAAGTCAGGTGTTCAGCGTCTCTTCTTCCTCTCGATCCCGCTTCGATTACTTCCCGCGCGGCTTGCCTCGGATATGACGCTCGCAGAGCGTTTATGTGCGCGTGGTAGAGAGCTGGTCGCCGCTTCTTGTTCTTCATCATCTTCTTCATCTTCTGGCTCTCCCTCTGCATCATCTGAGTCTTGGACCTCTGCTGCGGCAGGGGCGTCGTCTTCATTTTCCTCGTCGTCTTTGTCTTCATCTTGATTATCAATATCAGCATCGTCCTCCGAGCCTGGATCATGCTCGTTGGCATTTGCTTCTTCGTCGGATTCTGCGTCCACTTCTGGCTCTTCGTCCTCATCTTCATCGTCGTCCTCGTTGTCCACTTCTGCGTCGCTCTCATTCTGCGGTGTTGCAGCAAGCTCAGCATCCTCGTCCTCTTCATCCTCATTGACGTCAACATGAGCTTCATCCTCATCTTCTTCAGCGTCGTCATCTTCATCAACCCCAGTGACCACTTCGTCGTTTTGCTCTTCGTCGTCGTCTTCCTCTTCCTCTTCCTCTTCCTCTTCCTCGTCTTCCTCGTCTTCCTCTTCCTCTTCCTCCTCCTCCTCCTCCTCATTGTCTTCTCCCGTTTTAGCTCCTTCGTTTTCTTCTTGGTGCTCGGCAGCCTTTGCAGCACTATCTCGCGCTGTATCTTGATCCACGTCCGCGTTCGCATCCTCATCTCCTTCCTCTGCTTGCTTGTCCACATGCATAGTGCTCTTGTCCTTACCAACTTCACCATGCCTCTTCTCATCAGTCTTCTGCGCAGGGACATCATCCTCGGCCTCAGCATCTTGATCTTCTTCAGCCACCGCCATTGAGTCATCCTTGGTGCTTTCAATTTTAGAACTTTCTGCTACTTGAGAAGCATCAACCTCCATCGTGTCTGCGGTTGTAGGAAGGGAAGGTTGAGCGGCATTGGAAGAAGCAGGAGGATCCTCTCCGTCTTTTGGCAATCCCAGCCTAATCCGCCTGGCCTCCTCCAAAATCTTAATCTCGGTCGCAATCTTCTCATTAACTTTTCTACAGTCAAGCAGCACATTGATCTCAGTAACCAATCGCTCGAATTCTCGACATACTCGTTCCGTCGGCATAAGCAAACGAGGTGGGATCCCCAATTCGGTCAATGCAGCTTGTATCTTGGTCGTTTGCGTCTGACTCTTGGCCATAGTGAGGCGGTTAATCTTCTCATGGCGGAACTGGACACCACTGGTGATTCTTTCCTGTGGATGCGAAACGCCGAATCGTGCTTCCTCCGATGGCGACAAGACCCGAACACTGGGTTGAGACGTTGAACCTTTCTTTTGTACGCGGACTGTATCTTCGGTGGCCTGGGTGTCCGTGGTATCTCGTCGGCTATATTGGGAAGGGTGTCTGCCCTTGTCATATCTCTGTGATTCGGTAGGCGTGGAACCAGGGCCGGCTTCGACGCTACTGGGCATAAGAGGCCGCTTGAGCCTCTTTTCTTTGGCAAGGAGAGTCTGAAATAACATAGCCAGTCCTCCAGAAGTCTGATATATGGCAGTAGATTGCTCCTCCCCTCTGTCAGTTCTTCTGATGGTTGACACAGGTTCGAGTCTCGCGTACAGATCACGTCTCATTTTTATAAAGTCGTCTTCGTTCTTGGTGATGCGGTGAAGTTCTTCGAGAAGAATCCTTTCCTCGTCCGCTTCGTCTTTGGTGCGCTCGAATAGTTTCTCCGCCATTGCTTTCCTCATTGTCTCGGTCTTAGCATCAAAATTACGCATCTTCTCCCAGAGTTGAAATTCAGCCTGCGTCATTGTGCTCGCTGGTGTTTTTAATTCCATCATTTTTGCGGCAATAGCATAGTATCGTTGCTTGAGAGCTTCCATGGAACGATTCGGGTAGTGAGGTCTCACAATAAGTTCGCTGCCATTTGTCTCCCCATTTTGAGCAGCCGGCTGAGGAGCCGGAATTTCTTGCGGGCTGTACCTGTCGGCGATGAGAATCCATCTCAAATCATAGTCGCGGCAAAGGTCCATGAGATAATCAGTCTCTTGCCGCGTCCAATCTTTCGAGTTCAACAGATTTTGATACTGCTCGTCTGTGTAGGACGGTACTTGAACTTTGACATTCCATTTCTGGGATGGGTACTCTTCCTCAAATTGTAGTTCTTGCATCGCTGGGGATGTCTTTGCCTCATCTTTCATTTCAACATCCGCCGAGCCATTCGCAACGACCGGAGCACGGGCGCCCGAGCCAGGAATGGATCGCTTCCAGTGTTTGAGCACTAATCCATCTGTTCTTCCACCGTGCACAAATGGTCTCTCCTCCCAATGGCGCGGCTTGAACAATTTCTGGGAGATGGAAGGTCTTGATTTGTAGGAGCGCTGTTCGACAATAGCAATGGGAGGGACAGAATCGCCCATCAGCGCCTGCACTTCTCGCTTGACACCGGTGACGCGTGGTTGAGGTTCAACATGTTTTTTCTTCTTAGGCGCAAGTTGGCGGGGCCCTGCATGGCCCAGGTTCATAATATCGCGGATGTCGCTCGTGGAAGCCATTTTGTCGGGAGGCTACAGAGTCGTTCTACGGACGAGGGTATCGTAGTTCCAGGCGGGTCTGGCTCCGCCCATTAATAAATGCTTTCGGAGTGCGATGCACCACTTAAAGTGAAACTCAGATGGAAGAACGAGTAGAGCAAGAACAGAAACGCAACCAACAGATGGTGAAAGATTCAAGCGGCGAGAGACTCGGGGGTATTTGAAATGACTGGTCAGGTGACCAGTTCGTCATTTGAATCCCACGACGAGGCTGAAAATGGCTGCAAGGCTGAGAAGCCCTGACACATGTTGAATTTTGATTGGCCAGGGTCCACCATAGAGCAGCGCGAACCTTGTCCCTGAGAAAAAGGGGCCAAAAGGGGCCTGCGCTCCGCATCTTGTGTGCGTGCCGCCTGGCATGGAATTTTGGACATTTTGTTCAATTGACTCGTCTGCGCCCTTGCCATCGTTCCGCCAAAACTATTCCCATCTTCAACTATCCAAAGCGAACGGGGGAGCAGAAGCAAAGATGAAATCCTTCCTGGCGACTTTCGCCGCCCTCACATTCTCCCTCATTCCTTCATCACAAGCCCTATATTTCTATCTCGACGGCACAACGCCCAAGTGCTTTTATGAGGATTTGCCAAAGGGCACGCTCGTTGTCGGTACGTTAAGAGTTGGTTGACGCTCGTGTCCACTTAGCGGTCTTCCAATCTCAAATCACCGTTGGTCGGATGCAGTTCCAGTGCAAGTCTGCTGCTTCGGCGGACGGACACAAAACAAAAAAGCGAAACAAACCGACTAGACGCTAATTCGACGCTGGAAATACAGGGACATACAAATCTGAAGCCTACTCCCCTCAGACTCAGACTTTCTCGGCCACCCCAGACCTCAACATCCATTTCACAGTCGAAGAGACCTTCGACAACGACCACCGCGTCGTAACCCAAACAACCCAATCGTCGGACAAAATGTCGAAATTCACCTTCAGCGCCGCGGACTCGGGCCTGCACAGACTCTGCTTTACGCCTTCTGGACCTGCCGCGATCAGTGTAAATGGATGGTTCGGAAACGGTGGAAATGGATTGGGAGGAGTCAAGCTCACCGTCGACATGGCGATCGGCGAAACGAGCAAAATTGAGAGTGAGGACAAGGGGAAGATTGATACCATTGTCGGCAAGGTGAGGGAATTGAACGGGAGACTGCAAGATATTAGGAGGGAGCAGAAGTTTCAAAGAGTAAGTTGAAGCTCGTCACATTACCATCTTCGCGTTTCTCTGTGTTGCTACCTGCTGTGGAGAAGAGGTCACTAATCCAGGATGCGTGGCTAGGAACGAGAAGCAGAATTCCGCGACCAAAGCGAAGCCGTCAACGCGAGAATTGTCCGTTGGACGTTGATCCAGCTGGGCGTGTTGGGCGTCACCTGCGCATGGCAGCTGTCACATCTGAGATCGTTCTTTATCAAGCAGAAATTGACATAGACTCCCAGTAGGTCAATGAGCATTTCACGGCGTTGGAACCGGACACTGGACTGCATCCCGTATTTCAAAGTCCGAATGGGGCTTCAGATCTTGATGTACTGAGTAGGCAAAGGTCCTAGGGGTGGGCATGGCCCTACTCTGTTGATCGTTAGATCGTTCCTGTCCTTGCATCTTTACGCCTCGACAGGCTCACCATGTCAAGGAATGTCCCACTTTATAGATGTTGAAATGAGAATACTTTCATACTATGCCATGCTATGCCCATAAGACGTTGCACCCATTGCCGTCTTCTCTCCAATTTCCAACGCTCTAAAATGCCGCATACAATGAGAATGCTTCCAAACAGAAAACGTTGTAACTCCACAGGCCGTCTTGCCTTGGATTATACCAGCACATCAAAATTTCCGTCTCGCTCTAGGCCCCGCAATACTTGACCCAGAAGAAGACCCAAGCCTCACGCGTCTGAGTGTATTCGAGACGCGTGTGCTCTCATCCCGTGAAATGCCGTCATCTTCATCCAATGACAGACCATCCATGCCAATCATGTGTCGATTCAAAACTTGGTGTTGATGCTTTCGACTCGCTGAAGACCATGTACTCGCTGTCAGTGACGGAGGGTTGGATGATTCGAAGTGATCAAAACGATAGTTTTCTGCTCGTGGTGTTTCCCATGACTCGGTCTCGGTAGTCGTGGGTATTGAACTCTGAGTCTGGATCGACTCACTTGAGTCGGTTCGTGTAAGGCGAGGTATTGTTGCCGCCGGAGCGCTGGGACGCGGGCTCATAGACTTTTGCATCTGCGATTCAGGAAATGGCTGGAGTGGAACGTGGTTGTGTGAAGCAGCTTGATGGTGACGTTGAAATGCCGAGAAGTAACGACTCAGTGCCAAAAACTCTTGAGGGAGCAATAGAGCAACGACCGCAATTGCAAGCTTATCCCAAAGATTTCGAAAGAGTTCACCAAATCGGTTTTGGACCATGGCAACGCCGACCAGCAGGCCCGCTTCAAGAGTGTACAGGAGTAGTTTTGATGTTTGACTGCGAGTTCCGTGCAAATAAAGACTGATGATGATGTGACCAAACGGCACGACCACACTAAACAGGACGGTGTAGTAGCCTAGTTGCGAAGTCTTGGGTCGGATGGCAGCTTCGAAGATCCATGCGGCCAGGCCTACCATGAGTGAGAGAATGCATATGCTACTGAAGAGTTTCAGAACTGGCAGAGTTTCGCGCACAGTTTGCGGCCCGACACGAGCCTCTCCAGCGGGTGGAGTATTGAGAGACTTTGGACCAGAGGTGGAGACAGATTCAGGCTGATGCAAGGACGAGTCCTGCAAAGAGAAGACAGTGTCAAATATGGTTTCCAGCCCCGTATCGACTTGTCTCTCGTGTCCGAAGAACTTTGGTTGTGCTATGGCCTCGCTGGCTGTTGCGGTTTGGCGCGGAGGGAGGAACGACTGATGAGACTTGTCGAAAAATCCCGGCGGGAGACCAATAGCCTCTTTACCAGTTCGCCCCTGAACCTGATTTTTGAGGACACCCCTTGCATTCAATGCTGGTAGAGTGCCGCGAAAGGGCGTTGGATCGGCTGCTGTATAGCGAATCTGCTTGAGCTCTGGTTGAAAAGTCGGCTGGGATGGTGTCCAGTCCATCGCTTCGGCGCTCTCTGGCGGGGGCGTGGGAGGATTCCATGCTTGATAGGTTGGTCTTCCAGGTGTTGCCAAATTGGCGATGCTGAATGGCTGATCCAGGGATGGCTGTATCCCTTGCTGTTCAAGAGGGGTGGGAGGTACGAACTGGTTGCTCGACAGCAATGGCGCTGGGTCATCATGCCAATTGATCTGGGGTCCAGAGCTGGCTGTCGTGATCCCAAAAATCGACCACCCTGCAAGCACTGTAATGGCGACCACAAAACAAGCATGCAGCATCGCTTTCATCCGCAATGACAGAGGGACATGAAACAAGATAATCCAGGCACTTAATCTCAAACCCATCAAGACAAATTGTGCCAGATAATACTCATTTAAGCCCGACAAGCGCCGCTCACTGTTCGACAACTTGTGCTGCCACTTTGGATTCCACCAGATACAGAGCATTCCAAGAACTAAAGCAAGTCCCACAAGCGGCTCCATCAATTCTAGGCATTCAGGCAGACAGTGTCGCTGAGAGAGACACTCAGCGGGTGTGAGTCCCCGTTTCAACGACCCGCTGACCACTTGAGAGCCGTACAAATGCCAGATTAATTGCAAAGCCAGACTGAGAATATGGCCAAATCCAGCCGCGTTGAGGAGAAGACTTCTCCAACCCCATGGGCTGGCAACTCTCCTTTGTCGGGACCTGTCCAAGACCCGCCGGAGGTGATCGCTTCTGGCATTGTAGGTAGCTTTGTGCAACTGAGCTCTGACTTTGGGTTCGCACTTGGCGCAGCATTGGGGGTATCGTTGTTCGAGTCCCTTCTTGTACTCTGGAAGTTGAGCCTCTAGTTGCTCGTAATCGGGGTGATCTGGGTCTGGGAGGAACTGGGAGAGATTGTAGGTGTACAACTGCTGGTTCTTGAGACATGTCGAACAGAACACTGAGTCCTGGGAGGAGAAGTCGTTGGCAACGGGATTTGCACCGACCGGCTGCGCGAAGCGCTGAGCGGGGGCAGCTTCTTCTAATGGGACGTCTGCTATCTCGCCATTCTAGAAAATGAGTCAGTGGCAGCGGGTCTCCGAAGAGAGGATGTACCTACCTCGTCGAAGAAGTTGACGGCAAGGCAGTGCTCGCACTGAAATTTGCGACCAGGCTTCTTCCCCGCTGGCAATTTCGATCTGCGTCCACAGTAGTGACAGTCCAAGCGCCGGCGAAGTGTAACAGGCATGACTGCGATTGCATGGTTGGAAAAACAAGCCGCGAGATGCCTGGGAGTGTTGTTATATGAACTGGTTGTCCGACATGCTATTGGAGAGGCAAAGGTATGAACTGACAACGCAGCAAAGCTTCATCCTTGTTCCAAAGTTTGGGGAGTCAACTGTCTACTATTTTGGGTTTAGCGTTTCTCGGCGATAATGTTTCTATCGCCGGACAAATGAACACGCCCCACTTGCCCTCAGCCTCATCAGCCTCGTCAGCCTTGTTCTCATTGCAACAATATCTCGCCGACATGTCTTTGTTTTGACTGTAGGGTATATCTCAAAAGGAAATGACCATGTGTGAAACCTCCAGGTCTTGGACGTCTTGCTTTGCTCCTCGTCAGCTACTGATACAGAACCATTGACTCTATCTCATGTTTCACAAAGCAAGCCTGTCTCTCAACAATGAACACCCATCAAGCACAACAACGCCAACATCAGCGAGGCCCTTTCCCAGGCGGCGCAACTATCTGGATGACCATGCTCACACCGCTAATCACGCTTTCGCCAACCCGCCAACCCCTGCTCTTCATTCTTGCTGTCGCTCTCATCTTGCTCAGCCTATCACTCTTCCGCCTCGTCAGGGTGCTCAGACGTGAACCAATTTCTTGTCGGCCTCCGCCCTCGCCCAAGAATCCAACCCATTTACTAGTTGTGCTTGGATCTGGAGGACACACCGCAGAAATTCTCAACATCCTGAGCCAATATCATCGATTGCAGCACGACTTCACTACCCGGACCTATGTGGTCAGCTCAGGGGACGATTTCTCTGCGTTCAAGGCGAAAGAATTTGAGGCTGAGATGTTGTCGAATCTCAAAAAGTCCTCGCCCTCGTCCATCTTGGAGGACGCCGCCTCGAAGTACAGCGTGGTAACAGTCCGTCGCGCGCGACGTGTGCATCAGTCCCTGCTCACAGCTCCCATCACGAGCCTCCAATGTCTGTGGGACTGTCTCGCTGTCCTTCGCGGCACGCATCGAGATTTCCAACCACAGTCTGACAGGAAAACTCCACCGCCCTATCCTGATCTGATAGTGACCAACGGACCGGGGACCGGGGTAATCGTCTTCCTTGCATCGATCATCCTCTTATTCTTCGGCTTTTCAGGTCCTTCCGCCGCTGGGTCCGGAGAAAAGTTTGCGCAATCTGGGCAAATGCGTACTATCTTCATCGAGTCCTGGGCACGCGTGAGAACGCTCAGTCTAAGCGGGAGGCTGTTGAACCCATTTGTGGATCGGTTTCTTGTGCAGTGGCCCCAACTCTCCGTGGGGGAGGGGAAAGGCAGGGGCGCGGAGTTTGTAGGGAGTCTGGTTACTTGACCACAAGGTCGGATGGCTGGGCCCAAGAGTTAACAACGCAGAACTTGTTGGGATGTAACTGTTGCTATGGGGTATGCATCCTGTTCTCAACCCCCCACTAACCCAAATATGCCAACTAAAGACACGAGACACGAGACATGAGATATTAAACATGAGATATGAAGTCCGAGTCACAGCGAAGACAAGGATCATTTTCACTGTGGCCACCCTTTCTGATGAGCCGCGCGGAGCATACGAGGGGTGAATCAGCGAAACGAGCGAATTCACAAAGATGGAGTCGATCAACAGTGGACATGTCTTACGCCAAAAATCATTGGCAGAGAGTCTTTTCATGGTGTTGTTGCGGTGGGCTGGTCTAGTATTCTAGATGTACAACGCTGTCACCAAGCAGTGACGGACCTTCCCCTTGTTTTATATCAAGATACAAGCCTTGGTGGAACAATAGGGCCATATATCCACAGTCCAGCTGGCCCAGAACTGAGAAATTGAGATGCCGCTCAGCAATCGGACGTCATACATCATGCCGACGCTTTCAGTCTCCTCCCCTTTGCGGCATTCATCTCCTCCATCAGAATCTTCCTCGTCTCCTCACTCATTCCGGCTTGCTTAATTGATTCAGCTCTCTCCGCCACAATCCTGAGTTTCTCCTCTGCCATCTTCGCCAAGGGACCTTGGATCTTTCTCTCCTTGAACCACTCTGCACGGGCATCTTCCAAGACCTTCATCCTCACGTACTCGTCTTCGTGCCATGCCCTATCTCGCCTATATTTGTCATCTTCCGTCAAGTTGTCAAATATTTCCTGTGAGGGGAGGGGCGGTTGATAGATGGTGGGTGTCCAGGTTTGTGATTCAACATCGTAGCGTGTAGTATCTCCCTCAAAGGCTTGATACCTGGGAGCTTCAACTTCCGGCCACGGGATCAGAATGTCTTCGCCCGCAACGTAGCGTGTATGTCGTGGCAGAGGTGAATTGGGCGCGCGCTGGAAATAAGGGGCGCCGCCGCGGATGTACTTTACGATGACATCTCGGTCGCGGCCGGTAGTAGGGTCCGTAAGGCGGTAAACAAGTCGTACGTCGCTGATGGGGATGGGTAATTCGAGGGACGAGAAGTGAATTTTGTCGCGCTGCTCGCCAAAACTCTCAGGGATCTCGACATCGGCCTAGTTGAAGTTAGATTCAGGTTGGCAATCTTCAGCACATGACCGAGGAGACAATGTCCATACCATATTGAGACCTTCAATTCTCAATTCCTTGGAATCGCTACTGACATCCTTCACTTGGCCGATCTGTCCGATTAGACTTTCCTTCCCCTTCACAATGCAAACTCGATCTCCCTCCACGATATTTCCTTCGTTTCCGAAGCCTTGCCACTCTTTCTGTTCTTCTTCTAACCCCTCGCCTCCGACAGGGTCCCACCCGTTACTCCGAGGACCATGCCTAACCTTCGGGGGGAAAACTGGCCCTTGATAGAGGAGGTTACTGACAGTACCATAGAAATCTTGCTTTGTGCCGATGTCCCGTTTCGGCGCAAGAGGTCCCAGGACCCAATCCTCCCGCCGCGCTCTGCGCTCTGCTTTAATGTGGGCATTTTTTACTTTCTCCGTTTGGATCAGACGGGTCTCGTAGTCTTTCCAGTCATCTCGCAGCTTTTCATAGTTTTTCCGACGGGAAGCTTTGAGGGCTTGATTGCGGGCTTGGAGGTTTATGCGTAGGATTCGCTGCATTTTGCAGTTACCGGATACGATCGGTACGATTCGTTATGATGCAGGAAGTGACTTTGGGTCAGCCACAGCAGGAACTTGGACGAGGATACGCGAGGAAAAAGTTGCATGCGAATGTGTCATAGCATAACCGGCCCCTGGTCGGCGGTTTGCATGTAACCCATAGCAGAAGAGGAGAACGTAGGGAGAAATGGCGGCACCAGAAACAAATTAAATTAAGTAGAGGTCAAGGTAAGTTCTGCAGACTTGTAAAATCAAAAGCATCCAGCATCCTGAAGCAATCCCATTGGAGAAGAGTGAGAACTGCACCGAGCTCACGTGCGAATCCCACAGACCATGCCGCTTTGAGAACGCTAATCCCTTGAGATATTACATAGCGCCCAAAACAGATACCGATCTCAACTGCTTTTCCACATTCCTTTTGCAGAGGCTCCATTCTCCTTGCTCTGAATTATCTGAAAGATGTTTTCTCCTGTAATATCGTCACAGATAGTTGAGAGAAAATTGTGTCTGGTTTGAATACGGAGCGTCCCCGGGGGACTGGGAAACAGCGACGTCGAGCCTGTGCTGGTCTAATCGCCCGGGCAGAGTCTTCAGGTTGTTCACAGGAAACAGAGAGATCGGTCATAAGCCGCAAAAGACACATAGCAATGCCTAGACTGGTTTGGTCTTGGTAAGTTCTCTGTTCAGATACTTGAGCGTACTGCCGGAGGTTCAGTGGTTGAGAGGAAAGAACGGGAGCATCAGCCTCGCCTCCAACATAGACAAAAGCGCTTACACAAGTCCTAGCCAGAGCGTGCTTCATGGTAACCGTCATTGTCATTTCACCTTTTGACCCAGGAAGTCCTGGTGACCATCACTGAAAAGCCCTCTCATCGCTGAGCCCCTGGTCGTCTGCTCCAGCCACACAGCTAAATGTACATGGAAACCTCCCTGAGTCGAGATGAAAAACAGCATGCAACTTTTCTGCATGTTTGATGTACATTGACCATCAGGATCGTCCCATAAATCAACCAAGCACAGATATTCCTCCCACTTTTGTAGGCGTATCCTATTCCCAGCCCCGCTCAATGCCCATGCACAATATATCCTGCCATTTCCAGCGCGCCGTTGCTATGTCTCTTAAACCCGGGGTATCTATTGAAAATTGGAGCCAAGTTCCTCATCGAATGCAAAAGAACGTGGAAAGTGTCGTCACTGGTGTTCGTGTATGTTACTGGAGTCCCTTCAGTGATGAGAATTTTAAAACTTCTTGTTTGTAGAAGCCGGCATCATCATTCCATCGTCTGAATCGTCATCACCATCGTGGTCATCATCGTGGCTTCTATTCTGCCAATCTTCGAGCGCAGGACCAGTCGCGATCTGCGTAGGTCTGCCATGTTTGGTTATTGTGTCCGCGGTGCGCATGAACTCAGGTTCGGGCTCTTTGCCCAGACCAGGCACGTCTCTAGGAGCCTCCGTATATGCTGAACTCAGGAAGCCTTCCCCCGGGGGTGAAGAAGCGCCAGATATGACTCCAATGCTCGGATTCGACATGCTCTGTGACACACTGCTGGCCCCGTAGTCATCAAGGGACGAAGCAATGGTGCTTGCGGATGGTCCTGATTGAATGGCATTTGACCCGAGCGAGAACGTTGGTAGCTCACTCGAGACTTGTGCACGCTGTTTCTCGAAAAAGGTAATATCATCTGGTGAGGGAGGGCATAAATCGGTCACGACGCTCTGCGGTCTCGATATGGCCTCCATCGCCGCTTCAGCTTGAGAATGAACCTCTTGTATAAGACGGCGTTGATTGACTTCTTGAGCTTGTTGAAAGGCTTGTTGGCTTGATGTTGGTGCTCGAAATGACGTTCTATGATCACCGTGAGTCATCATATGCGGAGTCGGCGGAGAGATGTTCTGCTCAACGGTTAGATCGGCGTCACGGAGGACATCGGGCGGCTCAATAGCACCTGCTGCCGAAGCCGTGCTCACAGCGATGCTGGGTTCTGCACGGGCGTCGCTTTCGGACGAATGACGGCTCGAGGCTGGTGACCGGTCATCTCGAGGTGCACGTCGTTCTCGACTCCCGATACGGGCCAAGGTCTTAGTTCCCTCCCAAAGGCCGTCGACTCTAGCCTTGAGTCCTCTGTCAAGGGAGACAGGTCGTTCGTCACGTGCGAGGCCCGACGATGGCAAGGGCAGTCGCTGCACCTGCGAAGCTCTGATTGTCTTGACAGACTCGGCAGTGGAGACGGTCGAGGTCGCTCGGTCTGGACCAGTGGGTCGTGCTTCACGCATAGCTAACGGAGTGCAAGCCGACGACGCAGCTTTTTTGGTTGAGACCGAGTCGCTGAAATAATGTTCCTGTCCAGCTGCCTCTGGGCTGGCAGTTTGACTTTGTGCCAGCGGATGCTCGGTGCTTTCTCTCGAAGTTTTCAAGGCCGTCAGAAGTTCATCGCCGCGCAGACTAGCTCGACGAGCATCTCGAATCTTATCTCGCTCAATCTTTCCCACAGTACTTGCATTGGAGCCTGCAGGCGATGCAATGGAATCGCTCGACTGGCTGGCCGATGTGGCCGCACTAGGAGCACGCTTCCGCGTATTGCTTCTTCCAAGCAGATTGCCTGCGATTCGCCCGGCTGTACTGAGCGCCCGCTCAATGATATTCCTCCTAACAACTGCGTGTGACATTTCTCTCTCGTCCACGTCCAATATTTTCTTCTTGCTTTCCTTCTCCAACTCGGGACCCTTGATCCACTGTGACGGATCTTGCAAGCCTTCGACAACCCATTCATGCTTCTTGGCTTGCTCGATCGTCATCCTCTTTGCGGGATCCTTGATCAGGAGTTGGCGAATGAGGTCACGTACAGCATTAGGGACCACCTCGAATTTGAGTTCATAGTCGAGTCTCTTGTTACTGTTGATCGAATCTGGTACCTCGGCGGTTGGTTTGTCTTGAGACGTATCAACTGGCACAAGCCGAGTCCGTGGAAGAAACACCTCAGTCTTGCACACTGCTTCGTGAAGTCCCATGGTTTCACTTGCATAGAACGGCAAACGAGCGTAAACCATGCAATAGAGAGTGATCCCCAAAGCCCAAAGGTCCAGAGCGCCAGTGATTTTCGGGCCATCCTTTTCTTCGAACATGGATGGGTCTTCATAGCAGAGTTCGGGAGCCCAGAAAGCAGGCGTCCCGACAGATCTTGCTAGTTCTTTCTCGTCATCTAATGCAGAGACGTCTTTCTCAGTCAGTTTAAAGTCTGGATCCTCAGGGTCCTTAGGATGCCCGAGGTATGATACGCCAAAGTCAGATATTTTGACGGTGCCATTGCTCGCGACCAAGAGATTTGCTGGTTTTATATCACGGTGGATGATGCCAATGAAGTGCAGAAACTGAAGCCCGGAGAGCGTATCTCGAAAGGTGCGGCGAGCTTCTTCCAGCGTCAAAGCCGGAACATAGGCGTGCTCGTCGTCGGTCTCGTCAAAATTCCATTCCGAAGACATGTGAGAGAGGGCACCAACGCTGGCTGCGATGCTGAATGTTCGACCATGGTAAGCGTCTGGAGCATAGGCGCCATACATGCTGCCGGCCAGAGCTCCTTCAGAGTATTCATCATGAGAACTGGTCCTACTGGGATTACTGGACTCGTAGAAATGTCGCGATGCAGAACGGGAGGCCTCAGATAACTCTTCATCCTCTTCAAAATCTTCACCTCCATGTTCGAGGCTCCAGTTGGGTGTTGGGTTCGTGTTTAGGGCTCGAGCTCTTTCTTGCAGCTCATGGCGTCGTTTGGCTTGACTGACACTGAAAAGGTCCCTTTCGGTTGGTTCGAGGGGAAGCTCGAACCCTGCTCTCTCCTGCTCGAATCTGGTGTTGTTTACTGCCAGGACCTCGCGCACCCCTGGCTTCCTCCACTTGATTTCACCCTTTTCGACATATTCGAGAATCAGGTAGACCTTGTTTTTGTTGGGATCGTCAATGACTTCCAAGAGGCTGACAACGTTTGGATGTCTCGCCTTTTTCAGGATGGCCACCTCTCGTTTTGTCCGATCTTCTGGAGTTCCTAGTCGGCCGAGTCGCCGCTTGCCAGAATATCTTGGGACGATCTTCACCGCAACGATGGTATCCCTCTGGACGTCTCGGGCGAGCTTGACTTTACCATGTTCCCCACGCCCTATTTCCTCGAAGATCTCGTAGTTGTTGACAAACTTGTTCCCTGAGAGGTGGTCATGATCGATCTCGACGGTGTGAGTTTCTTTGGGAGGTTGGAGATGGTGCGGCTGGCGACCGGCGTCGCTGAGAGACGACGCTGAAGGCACCCGCTCGCCCGAGTGAAGAAGACCTGGACTTGAAATTGGTGTATTGTCTGCAGTCATTGCGGTCTGTGGGTGAGGAGATTGTCGTTCTCGACCTTGCCTGTTCCACGTGGACATTTCGTTGTAAAGGAGATTTTGGGCCGGGTGCGAGCTTCTCGTGCGGAGAGGCCGCGTTGGCCGTGGAGCATGGAACTGAGCTTGCAATGCTTCAAATGATTGAATAGGATATGTAGGATGTTCGTTGTTGGAAAGACGATTCGAATTTGAAAAAGAAGTGGAAAATGACTTAGAGTGAGATGGACGACGGCCGCGAATTTGGCCGTGGGACGATTTGGCCGACAGGGCGCGCTGGACGAGTGAAGTCGCCGACCCAGGCGATCGATCGACGTCGCGCTCAGACAGAGCCTTCAATGAATTTGAAGAATTTTGGGTCGACGACGGCAGAGACTGCTGGGACTTGAGTGGGGCGAACCCAGGCGATGCGGCGATCCCATACTTTGAGTTCCAGTTCAATTCATGGAACGCATCATCATCCTCGACCGGTTCGGAAAGGCGTTGAGCAGAAAGGGCGATAGGAGTATTCCGTTGGGTGTTTGACTCTGTGCCGAGACTTTGAGATAGGTCCTCTGACAACAGAACGTCGTCGAATTCCGTCTCACGACTGCCCTCGGCGTCCCTGATGTCTCCAACACTGTTTATGGTGTGAGACGCTCGCTGCAGATCAGGAGCCCATGTGATGCCGACGTTGTCTGGCATTGCTCCAAGGTCGACAGTGAGAACTTTTGTCCCGTTAACAAGACGCTGAACATGGAGAGACTGTGATGCGAACAGTCCCAGGCTCAGCCGTCAATGTCTCTACTCAAGCACCAGCCCTTTGGCAACCATTTATGACTGCCATCTGAACTCTTGTATGCCCCCAGAATACCAAGATCTCCCCCAGACCTGCCTCGGGCAGGCAGATCGTCTTGAAGATGGGAGCGTTGATTAGGGCCGGCCTCAGAGACAGGTTGAATCAAGACGCTGGGTGAAATAGCAAATCGACTGGACTTTCAGGCTCTGGATGCCAAAGGAAAGAGGGTATTTCTCGAGTCATGCGAGGGCCCCGAGTTAGTGTCGGGGAGGGGTGCGGACGCGGATGGATGGTGTTTTCATCACCGACGGGCCTCTAATGGCTAGAGAGGGGGCAGACAGTGTCTTGGAAACCCACAGACGATCGAATGAGGCTTCTCAATGGGATCAAACAAGTTGAGCAAGAAGATCTGTGCGAGGTACAAAAGAAAAAGACGTGGAAGACACAAGAGAGCGGGCGTTGCGAGTGGCAGTTGATCGTCAGTCACTCTGGCAATCAGTCCGATCAGTCTGTTGGATTGCGGATGGGGTCGAATGCAAGGACCAGCGGTGATAAGTAGCGAGAAGCAGCAGCCCAAGAGCGCAGTTGGGTTCAGTGGATGCAGTTGGTGCTATGGTGTGCAGCAAAAAAGATGACGGAGGAGGGTGGGCTACAGGTGGGCTACTTTTGGTGGGATCATCAGTGCCCGTCGCCCATCAACTGGTGGACTGTGCAGGCCGGGAATAACGCCTAGCCGGCATCTCTGTGCCTATTCAGGGCAGGCGGCCCCAGGCCTACTTAGTTACGTCTACTTACCTACCAAGGATGCCACCAATGCTAGTCCATGCAGCAAATGGCCTGGAGGCTGGAGCTAGACTTGTGCCGACAGCCACAAGCAAAACAGCCTGCGGCCCGCTCTCTCTTCACAGCTCGACAGCCCCGACGGTGCACCAGCAACAACCATACGGAGTACTGATGGGAGCAAAGAAAAAGGCACAAGAGAAAGAGAAGGAGCAAGGGCGAAAAAAGAACGGAGACGGCGGGAATCTTTGGGACTCTTTGGGACTCTTTGTGCGCACATTGGCATTCCTCAGACAGCCACCATCCATCCAAGCGCGAGCCAGTTGAACGCCTGCATCGCTACGGCCCTTGGTTTCCTTTGAATCCTTGCTACCCTCACCCACCGAGACAGGCCATCACTCGCATAATCCCAGCTAGCCCGCTCGTCCTCGCCCTCGATCAGGTCTAGGTAGGTAGAGGTATCAGAGATGGCAAGTTTAGAACAGTGCAAAGAATGGCCCCAGCTGCAAGCGAACAACAGACTCTACAACACGGCGAGACGGGAAACCCTCATCCATGATGATGACGCTGATGGAAAGGTAAAAAATCTCTCACTCACGGCACGTCGGGTTCTCTTTCTGCCCGTGAAGGAATAACACGTTCTTGATTCTGCAGGTGGGCAAGTGAGGCAACAGTCTCTGTTTCAAAGAGAAGGGAAACGACACACTGACACTGGTGCACGCACAGCTCATGCAGAGTGCAGCACAACGCTGCAGACAGACACAACAAGTTGGGCTCCTTTGGCTTATCTTCAGGCGCATGCTTTGGGACACGCACAGTCGCCACAACCATTCCAGACCACCTATGAATACGAGGTATTTCTTGACCCGGCATGAACCCAAAAATGCCTTGAGTGAGCGCAGATTGTACTTTGCGTCGTCCAAGTTTCTTGGACAGAGCAAGGACAGAGCTATTAGGTCGTTGATGTTGTGGCCTGTTTGGGTTGTCCAGGGTGCATCTGCCCGCCTCCTTTCATCTTCCCGAGTAGGATGCAGGAAGGCCTGCGTTTAGTAGGTAATTGCTCTTGTGCCTTGCTACTGCGCTCCAAGACGGCAAAGCAGTCATCGAAATCGAGGACTCCCATGGTCACTCTGCGGATGTCGCAACCTGTGCGTCTGGGAGTGTGTTGGGCGCGTGCCGTTCCTGGCTGCCAGAGGGATGAGGGCCAGCGAAAAGTGTGGAGAAGGCGCAGAAAGTCATGCCAGGGCTCAACACACCATTTCTCAAACTGGTTGGGATTCAAGGGCTGAAGAGCGAATGGAACGCAGAGCCTAGAGCAAGCACGGACACTAGGAGGAAGCCACAAAGAGCCAACAAATCCTACTGCTGCTGCCCGCTCAGGCTACTCGGTGCACCTTTACCAACAGACTTTGGACCTGCCGCTCGGTCGACGCCACAGCAATTCCTTATAAGCCTGATGGTGCTTGATTAATGCTCACAATCCAAGGCGGGAGAGAGCAGCCAAAACCTCACGGTGGTGTGGTTCACCGTGTTGCGATGGAAGGGCGAACAATAGGAACCCCCAAGTGGTCTGTTTCCGAATCTTCACATGCTTCACGTTCGACCTTGGAAACCTTGACCATGCGATCGCCGCGATCGTTTGAGATCAGTGGAGGGCTACCCATGGATTAGTGCACACTGCCGGATCTAGGTAAGTAGCCCCTCTGCAGGTTTGCACCCAGTACCAACAGGGTTCCTGCGAACTGCAGGGTCAAATATCAAAGAGTTGCGTACTCGGTGCTAATGTCCACTTTCCACATCCACGGCACTCTGTGCGTTAAAAGTGCTTCAGCAACGGAGAGTAAGTTGGAGCAAAGTCGAATCAAAGGCTGTTCAAAGCCTGCTCTGCAAACATGTGTCAGGCTCCGACCATTGCCACTATGCATCGTGGTGGAGATTTGCCTTCAGAGATGGCTCTTTTTCGCGGGAAGGGCTGTCCAGTGCCTCCACTGATGGTGTACTACTTACGGGTACTTATGTGTCAACGAGATCCACAAACAGGTGGACTACCATGGGCCCCATGTGCTTCACATGCTGGAAAACGCCGCCCCAATCAGCCACTGCAGGAGAGTTGATTTAGGTATGCCCTCTCTACCGAGTACTGTACCTAAGTGTCTACATAAAGAACTACGGTGGGGTTGACATCTCATCTTGTGCTTGCTGGCCAGGCTACTGTCGCACGACGCATACATCAGCGCAAACCGAATCCTTCAGCGATATTACCGGTACAGAGAAAAGGTTGACACAAGTCAGCGGGTGCACTTTGAGGTCATCCCTCTTCGGAATCTTTTGATTCACTTGCACGCGACCCTCAAATCCTCTTCGACCCTCTTGCTTCCCAACACACCTACCTCCCACTACTAGTCTGACAGCCTCTGTGGTAGTGCCTAGCAAGTCGCCAGCATATTGTCAAGGATCCCCCGCGTTTCTGGCGATCTCCATGCCCTCCGTTGCCGCCACCTTTGTGTGATCTAAACCTCGGACGGAGCTTCGGTTCCATCCACTGAGCGGACAACCCAAGCGGCATCTCATTCGGAGAAGCCATGTCGAGGAATCTCGCCATCCACTGTTAACAAGTCATGCCACATTTACGAACCTTTGTGGTAGCGCCCTCGGCCAAATGGACACGATGCACAGAGTGGCAATCGAGAAGCTGGGGACAGATCCAGCATTTCCCTCTTAATGACCTATTATGTGGGCGTTGATAAGTCTTGCACACTTGTCTGTCATACGGATTCACTGCTGACTGATAGTGTACATGGGTACGGTGTACCTCTTTTCCTGCGCACTACTTGTAGGCACGACAGGAGGAGTCGGTACCTCGTACGAGTATCCAGTACACCATCCTGGGCACTGGATCAGCCACAAAGATCCCAGGCCGACAAATCGCCACTGCGGATATGACAGCCGTCTTATGCGCATCATTGTGCCTCTCTAGCAATCTGAAATCCGTTTACTTTAAGTTTAGCGGGTGTGTCCACGGTTTCAGGATGGTGAAAAGGGGTCCATGTGGTTCGGAACACGTGTCACCATTCTCCCATCCCCATCCTGCCCCATCTTACGCAGTAAAACACATCCTCCTTCTCTTCCTCGTCTGTCGATTCGGAAAAGTAATTGACGGCCATTGGCATTCCAGAAACGGTCCAGCATTTGGCAGACTGCAGTCTGCCAAAGGACGTTCGACGACCAAGGTAAGCGAAACAAGGTAAGTGACCAAGCTCTCTGCGGCTGTTAATCGTGGGGGAACAACAGGAATACAGCGATGTCAATTCACCGTCTGTTTCCGCTCAAACCAGGACCAAGCCTTGAACTGGATTCCTCAAGGTGAGCTTCAGTGGCGCCCTTGGTATGGCGCGAATGCCATGCGACTTGACCTGATGTCCGCAAATTTGCTTCTATTGAAGAAGAGGTGACAGTGCGAGGTGGTGATTCATCCCTCAGCATGTAGAGTACATCTGTAATAATATCCGAATGTGCTGGCATCTGCCCACCACCTGGACTGCTGTCTTACGATGTTGTGATCGAGCTACACGAGGACTGCCGAACCTACATGTCGCTCAAAATCGATATCAAGCTCACTGACCCTCCTTCTTTAGGGTATGCTTGGCCTTAGAACCAAGGGCGCACCGCGTCTGTCGTCACATCTATTGCGTGGGTATATCGTGGTGGTACCATTCCCAATTGAAGGTAACCCGCTAGGGATATGGGCTTACAAGCGAATCCGGGAGAATGTCCCGTCTTTGAAAAAGGGCAGACATATTGATGCTTGGGCTTGCCTATTTGTCGCACTGAGCTGACCAGGCTGGATTCGCTGTCTGTGGCGCTGTCTGTGGCAGAAAGTGGCGTTGTGTGCAGCGACCATTGGTGGCTCCCAGTCGACAAAGGGAACCCTGCTCATTTGAGGAGTACAGGACCAGACCAGCCTTTATCTAGGCGAACAAGCAACGGAGCAGCCGCCAATGTGATCCATTATAGATTTCAAAATGAGCAACCGTCACATTCGAGAAGTACTCCCTCACCAGAGCGGCCGAACAACGACTGCACGCCTTTCGCCCAAGATCAGACGAGCACAGTGCTTCAAGAAGCTAAGCAAGTGTTGCCCGGAAACTCCCCCAATACTAACCGCCAGGAGGTTTGCTTTTTGCCTTTCTTTGGTTGCGACGTGGCCTTCCGGGTGCCGCTCCGTATTGTGTGACTGAGCCTCGGGCTTGCTGTTCTCAGGGCTTCTGACAAATTCAACCTACAGACCTGTTGACCAAGTTTGGTTAAAGGGGTCGTTATTTGGTTCCCGGAGATGTACAGCGTGTACGAGCTTAACTTGGTGCAGTCGCATTACAAAGATATTCAGCTAACATTCCCAATGCGGATATTGAACAAGGCTATATAGACCCACTCATCTGGCCGAGATAGAGACGGACTCTTTTGTCACCTTCTGCGATCCTCGTCGGAAGAAATCCCAACAGAGAGGATGCGCTCTGTGAACTTCTCGATGGGTATCATGAGTGCAGGCTTCGACCAGGGACCCCAACGTTGAGGCTTCGTCAGCCTCCATTCACATTACTTCTTCCCTCCAGCATCTAGGCCACGGAGAATCATGCGACCTGGCCCCCAGGCACCACCGGCATCACCCTTGAAATATGCAATGTCCGTCGCGCTCCCTTCATGAGACGCCTAGTGACCACGGCGCAGGAGAATCAGCCGCATTTGTTGACCCTTTGGGCAACGACAAATCCTCCAAGTCTTCAAAATATTGTGGAGGATAACACTGGCGGACATATTCGACTAAGCTGGAGACGTATGACACGCTGACTGGACAATTGACCACAGCAGTCAAGATGTGCAGCTCCTTCATCGCAGTTCGTTTGCGAGGGAGGCGACCAGGGGGGAAAAGTTACTGCAAGCGCCCACAGGCTGCTCATTCGAGGTTACCTCATCACCGGGCCCAAAAGAGCAGAGACTACCCACAAATGGCAGCCGACCAACTGGTCGGGTTGGAGAAGCAACCGAAGTCTTCAGCATGTCCTATTTCCGGGCTGTTTGATCCGGGGGAATTGGTCGACTGTAGTTGCGGACACAGTATGCAATGACTAAGAGCCATCAATGCCTGGCGGCGCAGCTTCGGCATTTCTAAGCTGCTCTCGCCAAGTTCTTCAGATCAGGTTTGTCAACAAGGGCCCTCGCTTCTCTGCGCTTCTTTCTCTCTGGCTTAGCTAATTCCGAATGATTACCTACTGTTTGCCAGCGACTCAGGTCTGCTGGTGACACTATGCCTGCCCAGGAAAGTACACGGCAAGTTTGATTGAAGATAATGACGAGCGTCTGACCTAAGCCGTTGGGGCGCAGCAATCACAAACCTTCCACTCGCCCTCGTATCTCCGCCCGAACCTCTTGCCCGCCAACTGGGAAAGGAATACACCACGGTTCGAGCCGAGCGTGGATTTGGATTCCCATGGGACTCGAGCGCTCTGGGCGTCTCGGTGGGTTTTCCGTGGGCCAATACGCTTATGTCATTGTCCGGGATAACCTCGATAGATGCATACGATTTTCTGCATCAAGCTACAGGCGCTTGTCTTTCTGGGCTTTAGTCTCCGCGTTCAGGTTCCCACCAGCCGTCAGCTGGTGCCTCTTCCGAGAGAAAAACGGTTGTCTATGGTCCATCAGGCTCAAGAGCGCATTGAAGACTCTCCTGAAACCCTCCCCAGCCTCCAATAGCATTGCAAAGCTGCCCTGCAATTATAGGTTTAGTCCTAACACCACCGCTCCAGGAATTGGCGCCTCGTGGTGTCTAGACCTTGAGGGCTTTGGAGGATTTGCAAGAGCTTCCATCGCTATCCAAATGCTCAGCTAAGTATTCGGAAATCGTTATAGAACGACCTACCGCCTTCTCGCCCGTCTCCATCATGGATTGCCTCCTTCAAAACAGCCGTTGCGACACCTCGCCCGAAAGATGGCCACCACTCTCGTGTATCAGCATTCCCTGGTGGTCGACATCGCCCATCAGCTCTATCAAAGGTCTATGTCCAAGGATAAGCGTTCACCAGATCAGCCGGCACCCTTCAAGGGCGAATTCTCCTTCGTCAACAAGGATGCTGGCAACATTGACTCCAAAGATCACAATGCCGCTGTATCCTGGCATGTGATGAACCGCTACGAGCGATGGAAGAAGCAGGAGCAAGCGAAAAAGCTACGAGCTTCTGCCAATGTTCCCGTGGGGCCACTCTCCCCTCCTTCACAACAGCCACAACAGTCGCAAACCCCGCTGCCGACGGCGCAGCAGCTGCTGCTGCAATCGCACCCGCAACCACAGTCTGTACGTCAAGTTTCATTTGAGAATCCTAACAAGAGGGCCCGGTTGACACGCACCACGCAGTCCAGAGCTATTACCCTGGCCACTCCGTTCGGGTTTGACCCATGGATGACCGAGCAGCCCCTTCAGCTTGGCTATCCAGGAATCAGCTCTGGTCAGGCGTCAAGTAGCGGACTGCAAACGTCGACTACGTCGACGCCGTCCACGCACTCGAGCATGATTGAAGATGATCTTGGGTCAGTGCTGAGCTCTATCACCAAGCCACTGAACTCGAGTGCAAGCCCATTCGAAGCAGCTTCCCTAGCCATGACTCCACTGGTGAACAACCTCATAGGCTTCGCATACGAAGTCTTCATCCCTCAAAGCTGGCCCAGGGAATCAGACAAGGACGAGGGTTCATACGAGGTCGCCAGGAGCTGGGAGGATGCAGCTCTAATCAACCAGGATGTTTGCTATGCCAATGCGTATCTGAGCCTTCTTGCAGCTGCGATGGGCGTACTGACTGAAGATGAAAGTCTGGCATATCAATCCCGATATTTTCAGGGGCAGGCTATGGCAGAGTTGAGGCAGCGGGTGGCTCGGCCTGGCTCGCAGGATCTGGCAACCCTCAAAGCCATTCTGAAGCTCTTCTCGTCCGAAACTCTAGTTGACAACACCTCGGTGGCACGCATGCATCTCAAAATGCTGCGGAATCTCGTCAACGCAGCCGGCGGAGTGATTTTGATGGATGCGTGGTTTCGCGAGGACCTTCTCTCCTGCGATTGCTACTTTGCACTCAAGTATGAAACTCGCCCCCTTTTTCCCGCCTCGGAATGGACACCCGGGCCCCTAAGTCAGCCATGGAAGGCGCGGTTGCTATCGGCAGGGGTTTTCGGAGATCACGCCGCCACGATCGATCCGCTGGTCGAGCATCCTATCATGAAAGCGGTGATTACTGACTTGCGAGAACTTTTCAAAGCGCAAGAGTACACCCAAATCCATGATGTCCCGAGCGACGACCAGCTGCTGAGATGGAAACAACTACGCAAGTTCGACTGCATCTCCCGTCTAGCAGATCACTACGTGAATGTAGCGATATACCCTCACCTGTTCCAGCGACCACTGACCCAGGCTTATATGTGCATTGCGATGGCGTTGATGACTGCCATGGTCTTGGGTTCTCCGGAACCGGTGCGATTTGGGCTCAAGCTCATTACTGACCTGCGCAGGAAGCTCACCGACAGCGCGTCAGAGGATAACGCTACGCAGTTCCGCCGGCTTCGACTGTGGGCACTGTACGTGGGATCTTTGGCGGAAAGGGTGCACCCCGTCAGCAGCGCTGCGGACGAGGGGTGGTTCCACGAAGAGTATCAGAGTCTAGCCAGCGGCATGGGCGTGGCTGGGTGGGACGACACCAAGAAAGTGGTTAGGCAATTCCTGTTCTCGGACAAACTTCATCAAGAGATCGAATCTGGGAGAGCCCATCGGATGGTCGATGCCAGGCAAGGACTTTACTCTGCGTCTGGCTGCAGCTGGCGAGAGCCATGGTCAGACACGAATCTGGTCGGCCCGGAAGCCGACGAGCATGTTGGCGGGTCGGCGTCTGCAGGCAAACGGCGAGCAGACGCTGATTAATCCGGGGACCTCTGGCTTTCCTGAACGGTCTCAAGTCTTGGATTCACGTCGAGATGCCAACCTGGACGCCCAGCGTGCAGATGCATTAGCCTCGTGCTACATATGCACTTGGCGGCATATCTGGGAATGGGGAACATGGTTGGCCGGCACTATTTGCCAAAATGGTTCTAGGGGCATGAAGGAGCGCAGATGGCCCTCCTCTGTGCCAGCTGTACATATGCAGGTGGGAGGGGCCTGGAAATGAAATGGATTGGAATGGGAATGGAAAGAGGAAGAGGAAAGGGAGGCAGGGGAAGAAGAGAGGAGCACGAAGAAGAAGAAGAAGAGGAGGAGGAGGAGGAAGAGGGATGTTTTATGTCCAAGCACGAATTGATACCCTATACAGTACTCGCAAGCCGGATCTAAAAATAAGTGGCACGATCTGATACGAAATATTACATCTCAAGACTGTTCAATAGAGCGTCGAAGCGGGGCGCTATAGGGAATATGACTGAAAATATAGGATGAATGACAGTGTACACCATGACTAAAGGTAAACAATATACTTGTTGCGGATGAAGGGCTGCCTTCGACCTAATAGTGCATCACTGGACTTTTGCCAGACCGTGCCAACTTGTTCTTAAATCTGGCTCGCTCGGTGTTCTACTTGTTTACTGGGGTATTCTTGGTGTCATGCCGCTCCGACGATTTCGCTCCTCGAGGCTCCGCTTAACCTTCCCTCGGGCCTCTGTAGGCGTTGGGAACGACGGAGCGAGGGAGCTAAAGCTATTACTGCGGTGACTGCGGTTCCCTGCCGTCCTAATCGTCAGACTCCCGACCGACTCCCACCACACCTCATTCATTCTCCCTCTCATGGGAGCCTGTCGTTCCCGATTTGGCTGGCTTGTTCAATGCGGCCAGCTCCATGGCTGCTGCTGCCCTCGTCAAACCGGCTAATCTCCAGCCGGCCAACGAAACTATCACAGACTTGCCTGCTTCGCGCAGTCCAGCGTCGCCGTGTCCATAGTGGCGCGAAGGCCGATCCAAATCCAACATGGGATCCTAAGGAGCTATCCCGGGTCTCGCAAGAGACGGGTGCCTTAATCTTCCATCTGACCTCGGACAATCCGTTCCTCAACCTGTCGATAGAGCACTTCCTGCTCACCAAATCTCATCCAGACTCACGCATCCTTCTGTTCTACACCAACAGACCCTGTGTGGTCGTTGGCCGCAACCAAAACCCATGGCTCGAGGTGGACCTGAAGAGACTACAAGAGGGGCTACCTATTGAAAAGCAGTCGGTGGACGCACCCCAAAGAGCAGGTCAGCAATATCCTTCCGCCACGGGGCCTCGACTCAACCAGAGCAATGCGTCGCCAGAAGTCGTGCCGATCGACCTCGTCCGCCGCCGTAGCGGAGGCGGTACTGTCTTCCACGACTCGGGAAACCTGAACTACTCCGTCATCATCCCGAACACCAAAGCGTTCAAGAGGAGCACCCATGCTGAGATGGTAGTGCGGGGTCTCGAAAGCCTTGCGCGTGCAGGACCTAAACCCTCCTCATCGGCAGGTGTCCCAGGCGGGAGATACAACTTCAGCTCGGTCCGGGTCAACGAGCGCAACGACATCGTCATGCAACAACCTGGCGGGGTCGAGTGGTTAAAGGTCAGCGGCAGCGCGTACAAATTAACTCGGGACCGCGCCCTGCACCACGGCACTTTGCTCTACTCCAGCCCGTACATGGACAGAATCTCCGAGCTGCTGAGAAGTCCCGGCCGAGGCCTCATTAGTGCCAAGGGGGTAGAGAGCGTGCGGAGCAAAGTCGGGAATCTGGCGTGGACACCGGATCCGCGTGAGCGAGCGGTGATCCGAGCAGAGATTACGGAAGCCATCACACGGGAATTCTGGAAGATGTATGGTGGAGGTGACAACAAGGCTCGCAAACCCGGGGTGGACGAGATCACCATTGCAGCCAGTTGTCCTGCATCCTCCTCCTCCAACGGTTGGTGCAATGAGAATAATTCCGCGATAGCAAGCGGCATGCAAGAACTCACCTCGGCGTCCTGGGTCTTTGAACAGACCCCGCGATTCGAATTCGCCAGCGGCATGCTCGAGAACCACGAGATCGGACTGTCTGCGAATCGCGGCGTCCTGAAATCCCTCGCGTTGCGCAGTCCTGCAGGCCCCGGCCCGGAGCGGAGTGGAAATGGTGGGATGGTCTGGACAACGCGGACGTTACGCTTCGAGGGGCAGGATCAGGAGAGGAAGGTCACGGGGATGGAAAAGACGATGCACGGGCCGCACGAGGGGGAAGCGGTGGATGAAGTCAAGATGCACGACGTGAAGAGTTGGAGAGACTTGCTCACGGAAGACGAAGAGCCCCCGGCGGCGGCGAATAATGTGCCGAATGCTCTCGTCCAGAGACTTGAAGCAGTATTTCCCCGATTCCAATCTAAATCTAAATCTGGCCGTTGAAGCTCATCCATCGGTCATTCTCTCACTCACTCACTCTCCCTCCCTCCATCAACCAATGAATAAAGAAAGCCATTCGAATTCTTGGAACACAAACATTTAGAAAACCTTCTTCAAATTCAACTCGCTTGCTTTTAAAATGTCCTCTTATTGATCTTCTTCCTCGGAGCAATGTTGTACGTGATCTCCCTCCCTCTCCCTCACCCCCCCTCCGAGCCGTTCCTGAAGGCTATTACATATCAGCTCTCTCATAGCATCTGTTTCCTGAATTGGTCTCTGTAAATAGATAGAGAGATGCATAGATATGTAAATAGTATCGTCCTTTTTGCATTCTTCATAAAAATAGATCGTTAGTGTACACAGATATACACGACGCATGTTGCCCGTTGGTCACGTTGTGGTCTGGGTATACCATCCACGCAGCTGTTCCGACTCCCGCTGCGCTATGAGCCTGTGGTAAACACCTCCATCCATATATCTAGTTGCAAACTGATCCTCAGCATAAGTCCGGAGCGCCAAGTCTCTCCTTGAACGTCAGATTTCTCAATGGGCCTCCCTCGAGTGGTTTTCGACTTTTGCGTTGCAGACGTCGCCAGGGCAGAAAATTCAAATCCCCTCAAATACCTCCTCTGCTTTCTCGATCCTGATATCTCCTTCCTGTCCCGGTAGTCGGCGGCGTCCAAATGTAGGGTTGAGCATCATCCAACCACTTGCCCTTGAGAGAGGAACCGCGCCGCAATAGTCGAGTCATTTGCCTCTAGATCAACACGGTTCGCGAGAGATAGATTGAGAAGATCGAAGCATAACTACAGAAGATGTTCGTTCAGAGCGCTCACTGAGAGAAGGATTCGGCGTAAACCTCATCACGTCTCGTCAGCCACTTCATAGTGATTCGCCATGCTGGCGGATGACGGTGAGGATAAGACCACGTCGCAACGAGAGTGGGTCGCATCTGACATGGGCACGGAAGAGGAAGCACAAGCTCAACAAAGGCCAATGCAATGCGTTTCCGGTTGGTGTTGTTCGAAGACGACACTGGACACACATATGACTTCCGGTCGCTTTCTGTGTTGGGGGTGTCATCTTGGCCTCTGCCGTGAAGCTCTCAGCCCTTTTTTGTTCAGACGAGGTTCTTGCGCTTTTGTTAAGCCATCCCAAAGACTAAATCGTGCCCTCCACTTCCCACCGCATTCGGATCGAATAAATCCCATCCTGCCACGAACCCCTCCGCACTCGCCGACCTTGTATCGCTCACGCTGAACTCCTCCCAATTCAAAGTGCCGACATCAAAGGCCGGTAAGCCGTCGCCTTCAAGACCTGAACGACTACCGAAGCGCAGCTTATCAAGCTGGGCAGGTCCAGGGTAGAGGAGGCGCGTGAGTTCTGCGTCTTGGGCAGGGCCGAACGATGAGAGTGAAGGCGGACGGTTCGAAAAGACAGATTCCAATAGTGGTCCTAGGAGGCGCTCATACACGCCAGCATAGTTGGATACCTCGTTCCACCCCTGCGCGGCTAGAGCGAGGAAATTTGCGGTAAAGACTTTTGTCATTTCAAAGATTTGTTGGGCGTTGAAGCGTGAGGAGATGGCGTCAAACCCGTGGCGGAGGCAGAAAAGAACGACCATACTGTTTTCAAGCACGTGGTGTGCAATCAGCCACGAGCGCCGATAGAAACCACTTAGAATGTGGTCGCGTAGGGATTTGGCGCTGGAGCAGGCAGCTTCGAATGCCACCATGAGACTTCTAGGGCCTGGTAAGGGCACTCGAGGTGATGGACGGTGCAGATTGGTCAAGCCATGGGCAAGTGTGAATTCTGTCAGCTCATGGCCGTCGTTATAGTCTTCGTACCACGCCTGTAGACGTCTTTCCATCGAGACAAGCCAGTCTTCCCACGACTGTCCAGGTTCGAGCGGCTTGCCCTGGAAATGCACCTCTGTCATGGCGCTCTGCAACCGACGGAAGTGAACCCATCGTAACATGTGGATTTTAGTCTCTGCACCTGTGGGGTCGATGCCGGTGGGATGGATATGCCTGTCATCGAGAATCGAGGGGAAATGAGCGTCAATGGTTTGGTCAGGGATGGAGAGGGGTCGTTGTAATGCCGAACAGATGGCGCGATCGAAGTTGTACGCCGACCAGAAGAGACGCCGGCGAAGATCGAGAGTCAGTGGGTCAAAATTCAGAGCTTCTGGCGCTTCACGATGGAGGCCAAGTTCTAAGCATGCGCGCATGGCAGCCCCGGTTAACATCCAGACATTTGCAAGACGGGGGTTAATGGATGCATATTGGAGAACCATCAGGGTGACTTGGATCCCGGCCAGGTCGGAGGGGATTTTGGCCTTATCAGATAGATGTTGGATGCCTTCCTCGAAGAGAGAGCCAGAAAAGACCATGTGCTTAGCCTCGTGGCCTGTTTTGGCGCTGCCCAATGTCGCCGAGATGGAGAGCATGAGGTATATGATGAGAAAATCAAAGGATGGGGGGACAGCGCGATGCTTCTCAGGTAATTCATGTAGAGTCTTGATGACCCGTTCGAGCTGCTGCCATAGTGAAGGAGCATGTAAAACCGGATAAATTGGATAGACCCTGGTCATGTATTTCTTGATGAGGCTTCGCAGGATGGGAGTCGGAATGGACTTTAGCATGGCACAGCTGACTTCGTGGCTAGCGCGTGAGATGGATTTTCGGCGCGCTTCTCGGGGGGATCCTGATGCTATGGCGGTTGACGGAGTCAGGCTCATGCGGACTCTGGATATGAGATCGGTGATTCCGGGGCCGGTTGGGAGAATCGCAAAGATCATGGCCTGCAACTCGCCGCAACTCATGACCTCATCTCGAATGGTGTCTCTCGGGGCGGCTGGCGGCGAGATCATGTCGATGTTGAGGGTCAATTTGGGCGTGTCTTCTGGCTTGGTGGTGGGCAGGTCGATAATGGGCAATGTGGGATCCTCAATGGGAATGCCATCGTTGGTGGGCATTCCGGCGAGAATGTCCGAGGCATTGAGTTCTTCCAGGTGGCCATTGCGGGCGAGTTCACCCTCGACCTTTGCGATTTCGGATTCCAGGTGCTGGACGATGCTTCGGGGGATGGTGGGGTCTTGGTCCTTGGAACTGAAGCCGGTACATTCAGACTTTGCAGCGATGCATTGCCCGCAGGGGATGGCGCGATCACACTTGATTTTCCTCCGACGACAACGGGCGCACGAGAGGACGGAGCGACGACACTCGCTCATGGTGGAGAGTGGATGGCGGAGAAGTTCAGGGCATTGAGACTGCAGGTGTTGTGGTTGATTGGGAAGGGTGGCGAGAGTGACGGCGACCGGTCGGCCTTCGCATCACACCCATCGGGTGATGGAGGTGACTGAATTAGCCGACGAATATGAGAGATGATGATGGTGATGACGAGGATAATGATGGCGCTGGTAGCATTAATAAGAGAGGTGTTGATGGTGGTGATGACGGTTGGTGAGGAGGAGGAGAGAGGAGGGGATGAGACATCCTCTTTCGGAGATGCTTGGCTGGCTCACTGGGGACTCGGTAGTGTCTGGCTGGCCGAATCGGGGGAGGAGGCGAAGTGGTATTACTTAGGCATGTCGAAGTAGCCTTGGTGGGTTGGTAGGGTTTGGTAAAGGGTTGGTGGTGGTGGTGGTGGTGGTGGTGGTGGTGGTGGTGGTGGTGGAAGGGCGCAGGATGGCGACGGTGATTTTCCCTTATCGCAACCCACAGCGAGGCAAGAGCCAGCAATGGCCAACAGCCAGGAGCCATTGAGCCCCCCGCCAGACTGCCCACTTTCCTCTTCTCGTCGGTCGCCTATCCTGCCTATCGTCCTCCTTGTCTTGCCCGTCTTGCCCGTCCTGCCCGTCCTGCCCGTCCTTGATCCCGGCAACTGGACGAACCAAGGGCGCATCCCCAGTACCCAGTACGAAGGCCTCTGCAAGTCTGCAGCTTGAAATTCCCTCTTCCTCCTCCCACCTCGGCTAAATGCGGCCCTCACTCCCCCTCCTCCCATCTCCTCGAGTTTCCTCTCCTCACCTTGAAAAATGCGTCCCGAGAATGGCTGTTGACTGAAGGGTGAAATAGGTTTTGGGGGTTTCTATACTGGCCCGGCCTTTGATGCAAGGCTGTGTTACCAAAGCGCACATGTCCTTGGTTGTATACTGCTTGAATACCCGCCACCACGGACTTGGTCGGTCGCAATAGCACAACATGGACATGGACCACGCGACCATCTCCGAAGCAGATCTGACACGTCTGCTGCCCACCTGTCAAAGATGCCGTCGTCTGAGGAGGAAGTGCGACACCAATCTGCCTGCCTGTCGTCTGTGTCAGAAGGGCAAAGCTGAGTGTACTTTTTTCGATCATGCTTTGCAACAGACTTTGCCCCGAAGGTCAGTGTGCCACCAAAAAGAAAAAGGAAAAATAAATAAATAAAGAAAAACAAAAGAACAAGGTCTGACGGGACTCCAAAGCTACGTCCATTCACTGCTGACCCGGCTGGGTCGCCTGCGCGCTGTTCAAGCCTCTGTCAATGGCACAAGTGAGCCGCTGAGTGCCTTTAAGCTGCCTCACCATGAACGAAACACTTCCACAACATCCGCCAACCTTGACCCTCCCCCCAATGACTGGGGCACTTATACCAGCGATCTATCTTTCGACAAACATTTCATCATCGAGCATGCCAATCCAACATGTTGGCAGTTCCTGGGCAGCAGCTCGCCTTACGCGCTGGTGGTCGAAGTCCTCGTTCATGCTCAGGCGAAGCTCGGTTCCATGGTCCACCATCCAGACTATGCCGGCCCTGAGTTCTGGCTCAATGCGCAGAGTACAGAAGTCGCCGAGCCGCTGCAGCCCAGGGCTACTCCATCGCGGGCTGAGATCCAGATGCTCATCAACTTGTACATGTCCACCACCAATACTCTGATGACCTTTTTCGATCCCGAAGACATGACCTACGAGATTGACACTTATTTGCGTCACCATGGTTCAAATGTCAAGTATCTTACTGGCAAGGACGCCCATCAATTTTTCCGCGTCGCCATGATCTGTGCCATTGCTTCGGCGAATAAGGCGAGGCATCACTCTGTGTATGACACCGAATCAATGGCGTACTACGCCGAAGGTCTACAATGTGTCGAAGAGGTAACTTCAGATGTCTCTCCAGATGCTCTCCAAGCGCTCCTCCTCCTCATTCTATTTACCCTGTTTCAGCCCAGAAAAGGTGACATCTGGAAATTGTTGGATTTTGCCTGCCGTTTGAGCGTGGAGCTCAATTATCACACCGAGACCAATGACGAATACGAAGATGAGAAAAGTCGGAAGAAACGTCGGGGCATCTTTTGGGGGCTATATTGTATCGAGCGGACAATGGGGCAGCACCTTGGTCGGCCTTCGGATTTGACAGAAGAAATCATCACTGCTGAATATCCTGCGTCGTTGAATGAGGCCGCGATGGCCGATCCAGACACGCTGCAGATTCTTCTGACTTCACACTACTACCGACTGACATATCTGCGCTCAGAGATCTTCCGCGAATTATACCTTCCCGCCGTTGCACCAACTCTACCCCGGATGTGGTATGAGCAAAGTGTCGAATCCATGTTGGCGTGGCGGCGCGAACTCCAGTTCATCGAGACCACACCCGGCATGGGCAGCATGACATGCGAGACGGGCTTTGATACTTCAATCTGTTTCCTGTTCCAGCCTCTCTTGTTACGAGCACTGGCAGCAACCAAAGACTCGATGCTCGGGCCCGAAATCACCGAGGTCATCCCGCGCGAGAGCTATCATTCTGCCGTGAAGGTCGTCGAATTCTACAACAAGCTCTTCCGAGGCGCTGAAGGCACTCCATGGGGAATGTATCCTATCACCATGATTTCGGCCCACTACATTCATCAAGCCACCATCATCATTATGGCCCACTGCCTGTTGGCCATTGATGGACGATTACCTGTCGTGAGTTTCTCGAGGGAGCTCAGTGGCGACGCAGAAGGCCCAGTGGACTTTAGTGGAATCCATGAGATATCCGGGACGTGCTTGATCTTGTTGAACACTCTATCCAAGAAATGGGCCGGCATGGTGGGTATCTTGGACATCTACAAAAGCCTCCAAGCAAAGGTGTTACCCATCATGATGCGGAGCGGGCTGGGTTGAAGGTTGGGCTATTCTTCGGCAAGGGGCCTCCAGGCCACCAACGCGCCGTGTGGCAACCGAGATTTTGAGAGGGTTGGGGCCCTGGGCCGCCTGGGTAATCGTTGTGCCTATCACCGAACTCAAGCTTCTCATCTCCAGTGGCAACTCCAACTCTAAGTCTAACGAATTGCAGTTGGGCGGGCCATGAAAATATCCGCATAGGTCTCAATTAGGCAAGAGAGTTTACAAACGTGGAAATGCATGTTGGACGGCGGAAGCCATACGTCTATTCGCCCAACATCGACATCGACCCGCTGGCAGATCTACTTTGGCGCAATGAAGCCGGCTGACAGCAGAAGGCGGAATTAGGGTCTGTACAGAGTGCCTTTCTGGTTTAGGATCAGCCCGACCCTGTCGCCTGGAAATCGCCCTGGCACGCGTCAACGAGCCTTCCTTCTCAGCCTCATGAATATAACCAAAGCACAAACATTGATACATCTTCAGCTGCGCTTTGTTGCGCGCCCCTGACATCGTCTGGATTTTCTACTTGATCACTAGGAGGAGCTGTCACACAAAGGATGCCGGAAAACATGAGTGAGACAAACAGGATGTCTTCACAAACTATTCTGACAAGGCCCCGACATGTATCAGATCAAACAATCATCTGTCGAACGACAAACAATCCGACGTTGACGTCTGGAGAGCCACTTAGGTCCTCACCACCTAGGTCCTCAACATATAGGTCCTTACCACCTTGGTCCTCACCACCTAGGGTCCTCAGCTTTAAAGTTCTGAATCCAAAGTTCGCCGCGCCTTCCCAAGCAAAGGATAAATCGGTCACGCTGAAAGGTCCCCAAGATTTGCGACCAGAAATCTCTTAAATAAGCCAGCTTTTCGCATTTCTAAGTCGCTTTTCCTCCGGACAGAAACTACATTCAGAATGAAGCTCGCAACAGTCCAGGCCGACTCTCCACTTTGTGAGGATCGTCAAGGAAGACATATAACTACCAAAAAAACAACAACCCAAACGTCAAATACGGGCGCCAATAGAAGACTAAAAGGTTCGTGCCTATCAGGCTCGGTGGTTTCGGCAACATGGTCAGCTAAAACTGTGATTAGGAAGCATCATCATCAACAAGTCTAGATCAATGATCACTCTTAAAATCACGTCTCCATCAAGTTCCTCACAACGAATCACGGCGTCTCCTCGCAAGCCTGGTCGTCAACAGATATCAATGATGCATAACAGACCACATCTTCGACCACGCAAACATGGAGATAGAGGACTGGGTGCGATGAGCAGCAAATCGGCAACGAGGAAGACTGGGACTGGGACGTTGTTGCGTTTCACGATGAAGGATGGTAAAGCTGTGAAAGCGGAGGTGATTGGGTGAAGCGACTCATGTCTGCCACAGAGAGCTGTTGGTTGTTGGCGAGAATGTTCATACTCGGCTTGAGAGACGTTGCTGAACAGTCCTGGGTGCTTTGTTGGTATGTATTCGAGATTAGCAACTGGGGGATGCTGTTAGGGGAAATGAAGGACCAAAGGACCTAAGGTATTATGTACTTGTACATGTCGATGAGTATGCGCGTGTGGATGCACATGGATGTCGAGGAGACTGGACCAGTCAGAAATCAAGGCAACCCAGTCAATACCTAACTTGGACTTGTAGGTACTTTGTGGCTCCAAGATGGTGTTTTCTGGGGAAAGACTAGGCGACAAGGCAGCAGGATCAGGAGAAACGCAGCCCACCATGGCGTAGGCGCCTCACTAGCCTCTGTAGCCACCACCGGGGGCAGCTGTTTTTGCCGACTCCACCCCCCGGAATGGGCCTAATTCACAGATGGAGCTCGTGCCTCGAGAACCATTTTTGCAGGATCACGTCCCTGGGAACTTTTCTCTTGATTTACTCCGTACATGGCCAGACACTGAGCTTGCCACATTTTCCAATTCTCGCCGACCATGGCGTCGCTTTTCAGCACTTTCTCGAGCTCTCCCTCCCAACCCAACAACAGTGACATCCCGCTGACCACCCGCGAGGCCTTCTCCGGGATATTTGGGTCCATTTCTCTGGCGTGCTGGATCTTCCTGCTCGTGCCGCAGCTGATCGAGAACTACCGCAACGGGTCCGCCGAAGCCATCTCGCTGCTGTTCATCTTTGTGTGGTTCCTGGGCGACATTGCGAACCTCGCGGGCGCGCTGTGGGCGGGGCTGGTGCCCGTGGTGGTTGCGATCGGCGTGTACTTTTGCATCGCGGACGGCGTGCTGATCGGGCAGTGCCTGTACTACGGGATCATGAACAAGAGGAGGGAAGGCCGGGAGTTGCTCCGCAGATCATCTCTGCGCACATCAACCTCGAGTAGTACCGGCGCTGGTGGTGGTGGTGGTGGTGGTGCGAGGTCTACTACGGCCGACGGCGAGGCAAGTGCGCCCCCTGCGCCCGGCCGCGAGCGGCCGAGGGAGGGCAGTTCGGAGGAAGAACCGCTCCTCAAGCGTACCCGTACGAATAGCATGACAATCCCGGGGTCTATGGAGAGGAGGCGAAGCAGTGTCAGTCTGCGACGCCGGCGGAGCAGCTTTGCCGCCCACCACCAGGACCAGCTTGCCAAGATTTTGGAAGAGAGCGACCAGCCTGGCACGAGGCTCTGGTTCAAGAATGCGATGAGCGTGTTGGCTATTGGGGTCGTGGGCGCCGCTGGGTGGGCGTTGGCCTACGAGTCTGGTGCTTGGAAGCCCTCCCCTACGTCGGACGGTTCCGGCTCAGAAGAGATGGCGCCCGGCGCGCAGATACTCGGCTATCTCAGCGCGGTGGCTTACTTGGGCGCCAGGATACCGCAGATCATCAAGAACGCAAGGGATAGGAGTTGCGAAGGTAAAGAGCCCCCCCCCGCCTTCTTCCCACACATGTCTGAGCCAAGACGGGATGTCCATTGTTGCTGTCGTTGATGGATCTTATGCTGATATCCAACTCGCGCCAACTACCCGCAGGTCTCTCGCTCCTCTTCTTCATCCTGTCGCTGATGGGCAACGTTACTTACGGCGCCGGTATCCTCTGCCACTCGACCGATCACAAGTACGTCGTGAAGAACTTGCCGTGGTTGATCGGCAGTTTGGGAACAATGGTCGAGGATATCACCATCTTTATACAATTCCATATGTATAAGGTTCAAGAGGAGGATAACTTAGGGCCACCAGAACATGCAGTGGTTTGAAAAGAGGAGAAAAACAGTCGTGTGTTGTTTTCCGATACGAGACATATTGGCGGATTCATTTTCTGAGCAGGATGGCGCAATCACTGGATACTATGGTTCTCCGGGCACATGGGAGAATGGGCAAGGGCGGTTTGGCCATGGCATCTCGTTGGAGGACTTCTTTCCTTCAGAGAACAGAGCGACACGGTCGGGTGTCATGTGGCGCAAATTCGGACAGGTAATACAATATCCAGATCATGTGGCAGAGAGACGGGAGGCGGAAGATGTTGGGGTCCGGGTAATGTCACTGCGAAGAGATCTACTTGTTAGCGAGAATCTCGCCCTTGGATCTGAGTAAGATTTTATTGTATACCAGTCGTGTACGAGTACGTACCGCTGGGGTCTCGAATTTCCCGTGTCTTCGAAAGGAATTCCCAAATGTGGACAATCCCAGCTGACTCTTTGAGGTGACCTCTGATGGTAAATCGCGATTTGTCTCGTAAGCGAAGTTCTCCGAGATTCTCTCGCATGGAGGCGGGATGTGAATCTGTTTCGGCGGCAGACATGTACCTCGTACTATTCGCTGCGACTTCCGCTACCACAGTGCATGCATGGAGCCTGTGTGCGTGGCAGATGCAGATACGAGCCCTTCCCTTTTTTTTTTTCTTTCTTTCTCTCTCTCTCTCTCTTCTCATCTCGGTAACGCATGACATTTTGAGAAGCCTTTCGCGAGCTGCATATGCATGCTCCGTGGCTGCATATTGGTTGTTTTCCCTCTTCTTCTCATCTTGCTTGCTCATGTGCGAGCTGAAGAATAAGAATTGTTGCATTGATAGGCAGTCGACGCGAGTGTTGGTGGAAGCGACAAATAGGTACGTCATCACATGGATCATTTGTCTTGGTACGGGATGGAATAAGTACTTAGGATGGGATGGGGCGTGCATCGTGCATAATGGCTAATGCTCGGAGCGGGACAGGTGATGATAGACGGGTAGGTGGATAGATGGATGGACATGGAGACAATGAGAGAAAATTGTTTGTTAGGTTCCCAGTTTGTTCGGGAGCGAGAAACTGAGGCACTGCAGGGGCTAAAGGGCCCTGTGATTGGCGTAGACCCGCCCAACCCGGTTCCTGCGCCGAGGCAGTGCGCCAATTAATGCTTGCACCATGCCTCCTTCGGGGCTGCTACTGGCCTGGCTCTGGGCGCCCACTGGGCTCCCCTAAGCTCCGGGGGCACCCCTGTGTGTTTCTGCTCTTTTCGCCTGGCGCCGTACAACTGCAACCCTCTCAGTTGCTTCTACTGGTACATGCTCTCTCTCTCTCTCCAGATTCATTCCTTCATTCACACCTTCACTCACTTAATACTATGTCTCTTGCTCACACCTGACACTTTCCACTTTTCTCTTTCCCATTTTCCCGCTTTCTCACTCATCAGGCTCATCACTCACTTTCAAACCACTCCCCCCATATTTCCCTCGCTTTGTTCCCCCTTTGTCATATTAGCAGCTCTTTTTTTAACCACACCTTTACCGTCCTCCGTACCAAGCGTCAAAAACAGAGTCTTGCCTCCCTTCGCCTCCTCTCGAACCGAAGGTCAAGGGACCCTTACATACACGTGCCCATCGTTTCTCGATCATTGCCGCAGTCGGGCCCTTCATTCGCGACCTTGACGCGCCCTCGAGTAAAATATCCGCACACCTTAGACACTCGCATACGCTCTTTGCGCCGCTCAAGCCTTCCTAGGGTGTAGTCTCAATTGTTTCAACATCTTCGTTCCATTACCCACCTCGAATCCGGGTCCCTCCCTCTTCGTCGGCGCTCCTCAAGATGCGGTCTCTCAGCGTACTCCTTTTCAGCTTGCTCTGTGCATCTGCCGTCTCAGCCGATCCTCTAGACGATGCTATCGCTCTCTTCAAGCGTCAAAATGTACCACTGTCTACTGGCGCTTCCGACTCTAGCAGTTCTATTACATCCCCAACTACCTCTCCCACCACTAGTAATGGCGACTCAACTACTTCTGTTACTGTTACAAGCGATACCACCTCTTCGAGCACCGAGACCACGTCGTCCACAATCACTCTTCCCCCATCCACATCTTCCTCGGTGACTGTCGTCACGACAACATCGACCCGTACGCCTTCCTCGAGTTCCTCCGACAGCAGCTCCTCGGATCAATCCACCTCTACGGAGACGAGCACCTTCACCCCTTCGAGGACTTTGATCACCACAAGTTCGCTTCAAGAGGTCATTACTACAATCACAAGTGTGAGTGCAGGAAGCACCGTGCATCTTACCAGTACAAGTAGCAGCCTCGTCCCAATTACAACCAGTGTTGATCCTGCTTCCCTGACAAATGGAGGCGGCAAAGGCGGCAGTTCCGGCCTCAGTGACACTGCCAAAGCCACCATAGGAGGAGTTGTGGGCGGTGTTGGTGGTGCGTTGTTGCTCGCTGGATTGGCATACACTGCCTGGAGGATTTGGGGCAAGAAGAAGAATCTTCACGACGACGATCTCTACGACCCCAACCTCAACCAAGACAAGCTAAGCGGTACCACGGGATCTGACTCTACGCCCTTCCGTTCCACGTTGGATCAATACCATTCCCCTGGGCCTGTCAATACCGCGTCAAACTTTTAAACAAGCTAGTCCACGGACCAACCCATTGACGATCGTTACGACAGTACTTTGTCTTCAACTTTAAGCGAGATAGAAGCACCATCGGTGGATCTTTCTCCCATCATCAAAATACATGAAAGCAACGCCACATCCGGATCTAGCCGGAAAGGCAAAGGCAGTTTACAGTGAGAGATGCTGCTTCCTGCTTCCAATCCATTAGGGGGCCTAATTCGTGCTGGCTAGCACTTATTTTCAGGAATGTCCTATCTTGTTCGAAGTTGTACATAGGATATGGAAAACCGTGGCTAGGCGTGGTGCGAGGCATTGGCTAGCCAGAATAACAAATTTCCATTTTGTCATGTACCCTCTTTGACCGCTCAATGGCCTCAACGCTGACTCGCGTGACCTGAAGATATGCAGAAGTCTGAGCGTTGTACCTACACGAAGGAAAATATGAAGACTCGAACGGTGAAAACCAGACTCTCGCAGCCCGTGTTCGACCGTCCTGATTATTCCACATACGGCTAGTCTCCCGATTATAAAGTGGCTGTCAAACACGGTCGCGCTCACGCGTCATTTGTTTCTCGAGTCGCAGCTACATTGGTCTGTGACGGGGAACAACCACTCATACCTCGTAACAGACACAACTCGGATTCTTACCAAAGTCCGTTATTCTTGTCACGTTGATTCTCTGAACGTCCACCCACCACCTGCACTACGACACACCACACGTAGAGAGAAGAAGGAAGCAAGAAACAACGAAAGAGGGGAGGATGTTCTTCCTTTCTTCCCCACCGCCGCAACCAAGTCCGTTCTGTGCCTCAACCACTCAACAGTCCCGTGGCCCAAGTTTCTCAAACTCCCACACTCACGACACCACCTACTGGCGGGCTTACACTAGGGGGTACTACGCTCCGCACTCTCCCTCGCCCCTGCGGACGACGAGGAATGCGAACCTGATGCCTTCGCCTCCGCAGGGTAATGGGCTGAAGGGCGGTCATGTCAATAGTCTGTTGAGTTCGTCGCCGCTTAGGTGTGGTCTGTCGGAGCATCATGATGAGAACCGAATGGAGAGCGAGAATGAAGAAGAAATTGACATCTCCACGGGCTTTGGATTTCACACCAATGTACAAGAGACGCCCGCCGGGAAGATGAACCACAACTTCGGAGCACATGGATGGGATGGGCAGCCGTCATTGATCACGCCGCCTGACTCAGGCTCGAATCAGCACTTTGACTCAAACAAATTCCCGGCCGAACAATCGATTTCCACGACATCCCCGTCAATCCTCTCATTCTCCAATCCTTCCCACCTAGCCACCTCCATTGCCTCAACTCTTCACAAGCCTTCACAATGGGAACTGCGCTCTCGATCCTCGAGTCCATCATCCCTCCTAACGAGCCAAACTACCAGGAGTCGAGAACAAAGGAAGTCGAAATTTCTCGATCGCATTCGACGGAGAAGGGATGATGAGAGATCCGAACAAGTCGAGGAGCAGGTATTGAGAATGGATTTCGTCAAAGAAAGGAGGGGGTGGGAGGCAGCAATGGCACAGAGGGCCGCAGCGGAGGCTACGCAACAGGAGGAAATAGAGAGCGATGACGACAATGAAGAAGAACAGGAGCTTAGCCCAACTCAAGAATACGAGGAAGACCTTGAGGTGGATAAATTAGTGAGGCAGTATGAGCGAGAGAATATGCACGTTGTGAGGGATGATGAATTTATGGTTGAAGACGCCGAGGATGAAGAATATGAGCGGCTGTTCAGAGAGATGGAGATCCTCTCACAGCAGTCATACTCTCGTCGGTCGGAAAGTCAGCCTGCATCTCAACTGCAACAACAAGAGCACGAACAAAGGCAGAGTCAACAGGACCAGCACACGAAGCGGACTTCTTTTTTGGGCCGGCCTCCCTCTCAGCAACCACAACAACATGGGAAAGCAGGTAATGATGAAACTATGGACTTGTCTTGATTATCATTAAGATTTTTGTGGGAGTTGTGTGGTACACTCAAATGGGCAGAACAGGCCACTGTCGACCCATGTGTTATCGCTGGTCCAAGGAGGGATGCCGCACAATGCAATACAATGGGACGGTATGGCAGACAGACATGTGCAGGGCAATCAGTGATCTGTACAAGGCATTCGGAGAGAACAACAATTTGGTATTCTTGTACGTCTGGGACATGCACACAGGGTTGCGGACTTGAGCTCTCTCTCTCTCGCGCGCGCGCGCGCGTCACGCTGTTCAGAGATTGGACGCCAGAAATTGCCGTCAAAATATGTACGTACCTAGCTAGGGATGAAGGAAGGCCCGTCGATGGCGGACCCCTCGATATCAAGACTTATACTCAAAGACAGGCTAAGCAAGTTGGTCTGCCTGTGTCTGCCCTCGCGCGTGGAGTCATCGCGCCCTTTTCTCTCGATGTCTCTGATACCTCGCAACGCGTCGAATCCCTTGTGTGTGATGTGGTGAAATCTATCTGTCGAATGCCGTGCTCGTTCAAAGCCTGGCACCAGATTTTCGTATATGTGTAGGTATGTATGTGTGGTATCACGGTCATTACGGAGGATTGCGGCAGCGCTCGGTCTCGAAGCAACTCTACCCAACTCAACTTAAGTGGCCTTCTCCCTGCGCGTGCGCTACGCCATTGCCTTCTACATAGCCAGCTAGACCACAGGTCGTCCACCAGGGGTCTCTCAGCCCATTTCGGCCCAGTCCCGTACTCACTGCGTCGGACACCCGTCGTCGAGGCCCTCGGCACCCTCACCTCCCATTAGGCCACCCAAACCCGGGAGAGGATTGGAGACCAGGTCATCAGGGGGTGCGCCTTCGTTCTGCATCTCCTGCATCTTCTCCCAGATGAACTCACGACACTGGGGATCGTCGTCGCTGTACGTCGCCTCCTCGAATTTGGCGACGATGTCGCGCACGATGACACTCTGGCGCGAGAAGCGTGCGTGTTCGGCCTGCGCGAGTCGAGGCGGCTGGTTCGACTGCAGATAGTCGGGGAACTTCTGCGAGAGCTCCTTCATGGGCTCGTACAGCATGTCCTTGTTGGTCAGCTGCTCCATCATCCCCAAAAACATCTTGGACAGTTCGCTGTCCGACTGCGAGCCGGACTCGGACTCCAGCGCCCGCAGCATCTCGGCCAGCATGTCTTCTTCCGATTTCTGCTGCGACGAGTTCGCCGTCGCCGAAGTTGCCGCCGCCGAGGACGACTCCATCCGCGCCATCGTCTTGCGGATCGTGTCCTCGAATGATGTGGATGGTTGTTTCGTTGAAGCCGTCGCCGACGGTGAGGATGGTGCTGCTGGTGCTCGTGGTGCCTCGGGGCTCCGCGACTTGGATTTGGACTTGGACCCGGACTCGCTCTCCCTCCTCGATGCTTCGGCGTGCGCCATATTACCGACTTGCCCGCCGATGTCCTCCCCTAAGATGGCCTTCAGGAGGTCCTCCGGTTTCACTCCCTCGGCCTCCATTTTCTGCGTGAACTCCTCCAGTTCTCGCCCCATCTTTGAGATATCCTCCGGTGTTGCGGCGCTGGCCGCTGGGTCGAGCGACATCTTGGACATGACGTCGGACATTTCAGCCGTGAGCCGGGCCACGAATTCATCCTCCGTTTCCGAGTCATGAGGACCAGAGGGGATGGGCAGGTCTGGTGGGAGGGCTGATTTCTCAGTGGACGGTCTGCCCGGGCCGGAGGATAAAGGTGCGGGTTCTGAAGGCTGAGATTTTGACTGTTGTTGGGTGGTAGCTGCGGAGAACTGGTCAAGGACATCTAATAACTCGGCACATCAGTATTGGGCGTTTTGATTGGAGAGGGAAAAGAAAAGAAAAGAAAAGAGCTGCGTGTTGTGTGCACCTACCGTCGAGGTCGTCAAAGTCTGGATCTGAATCCTCTTCGATCACTGCTTCGGGAGGCTTTTGACCTGACGAGCCTGGTATGGAAGAGGTTGCTTGCGACTTGGAGTCTGTGGGCTGAGGAGGTTCAGCCATTTTTATAACGGCTATCCCAGCCAAGGGCTATACAGTCGACTGCACTTTGTCTGTCACTGGAAAAGTCGAGGTCGGCGTTTCTGTGTCCGTTCTTTTGACTCAGAGCTGCTGTGGCAGATATTGGTTGAGAAGCGTTTGGAGGCGCTTCAGATGACCCTTGAAGTTGGAATTGTTGGGAAGTGTATTCACGGTAAGAGAGCGAACACAGTCGATATTGATTTTCTGGAGGACCAGTGTGATGCCGGTAGTGAAACTTGGAAGAGAACAAGTGGATTTGTCTTCGAGCCCCGCAAACCGAGGTATGTGGTTTTATAGTCGCCGAGTCGCATGACGGAGGAAGCGAGCTGGTGACGGTGCCTCCAGATATTAGGGATGTTTGACACAATATCTAGTAGTTGGAATTTAGCCTTAACTGCCATAATTGGTAATTGTATGATTATATCTCTAATAATACTAGATCTACCAGGTATCTTCTAACTTCTCTCCCACGTAGTTGTCCATCGACACGCGTTTTCTTCCACCCTCAACGAGACGATCCTAGTGCTCTAGGCAACACTGATTGATTGATAGCAATTCAGCTACCCATCGTGCTACCATTGCCATCTCGAGCCCCTCAAACAACGATAGCTATAAAAAATCTCGCCCATTGATTCCCCTAGCGCACTTCCCTCACGGGCACACCATCACCCAGAGCCCAGCATACCAACCCAGTCATAAGATTTGGTCTCAGGACCACAAGGCCACAACAAAATCGATACGATCCGCATGTATACCGTACTGTGCTTGGCTTGAGGTGGCCAAGGTGGCATGGCCATGATCAGGCGTCCATCTTTGAATGAACGTCGATGCAGTCGTTTGATGGTGTCGCCACCGGAGCGCTGCATAGAACCTAATCCGGACTAGCTTCAACAGCAATGCCCGCTCGGCAGCTTCGAAATCACAATTCCTTTCCAAGCTTCCATCTTTGATGCAACTCTTTCAGCCTGCCTAGTACAGTCGATCTTGCGACTTGGAAATGCTTGATGGTCTCTCTGACGTTGGCGGATGAGGCTGTGATCATATTGCCAACTACGTCAGTCAAAGACTATAGTTGCAGCTCGAGATATATATATACCACTTCCCAACCATGGCCTCAAAGATGAATGTGTCCACAAGTATTTCAATCAAGTCATATCACAATGTATTTTGCTCCACATACTCTCCTTCTCATCACAGCTTCTGCAACAAGTGTCCTCTGCGACTTCCTGGGACCAACCTATCCAACTCCTACGAATCTTGCGGGTAACGGCAGCCATGTCTTCGCTGCCTGGAAGAATCTCAGTTCGACTCTCAATGGATTCATCAGTGATGCAAGCACTAATCTGACGAGTCCTGCTGGATTGAAGAACCTCACATTCTCGGTGGGAATGTTCTCAATCCACGACCCTTCTGCGGCCAGGTCGTTGCAGTTTCACCACACCTCCAGTGAGATCGCCAATTCGTCTACCGGCGTGAAGAAGGTTGACGGAGACAGCATATACCGTGTCGCCAGCATGACCAAGCTTTTCACAACCTTTGCGGGCATGCTTGATCTGGAAGCTGGTGACTGGGACCGTCCGATCACCGACTTTGTTCCAACACTTGCAGCATATGCGGCAGCCAATTCAGCTGAGAATGACTTTGTGGATACCGTCGCATGGAACAAGGTCACACTTGCTGCTCTCGCCAGCCAAATAGCAGGCAATCCGAGAGACGTCTCGCCCTACGACCCTGGCGACTTCCTGTTGCTAGATGGCACCAGTGAGCTGGTGAACTCGTTCGGATTGCCACCCCTCAATCAGAGTGATCCAGTAGCGGTCCCTCCATGTTTGGTCTCTGCGCTATCAGGGAACTTGTCTTGTTCCGGCAATGAATATGCCATTGGCGCCGAAGCGCGACCACCTTTTTTCCTACCTTGGACAAGTCCTGCGTATACGGACTTCGGATTTATGCTACTTGGACTTGCGATAGCGAATATTACCGGCACCTCCATTCACGACGTTTACCGTCAAAGCATCTTCAGTCCACTGGGAATGACTTCCTCATTCTCGAGCGTCCCCGATGCATCCAATTATAACCAATATGTCATCCCTGGAAATGTCACCACAGCAGCATTAACAGCGCCCGGCGCTCCCGAGCTCACCATTCCTTCCGGTGGGATATTTTCTACGATGAACGACCTTGCGAAGTTCGGCACAGCCATTCTCAACGGAACTCTCCTTGACCCTGATCAGACACGCAAATGGATGAAGCCGGTCTCGCACACTGCCATGTTCGAATACTCAGTGGGGAGACCATGGGAAATATACCGCTACACGCATCCTCAGTCCGGACTCGTTACCGACATCTACACCAAGCTGGGCGACTCTGGCTACTACGGCGGATACATAGTGCTCATCCCAGACTTTGATGCAGGTTTCAGTATCATTGGCGCGAGCTCACTGAAAGAGCGATCTCCCTTGACTGCTTTGCTAGCGGACCTTGTCACTGAGAGCATGCTGCCCGCATTGACAGCTCAGGCTGAAGCTGAGGCGAGGAAAAGGTTTGTGGGTACGTATACCGCAGAGGATGACGGCCTCAGCAGCAGGGTGACCTTGGCCACCGATCCACAGGGGAAGCCAGGTTTGGTGATAACCCATTTCGTCAGCAACGGCACGGATGTCCTGCGCAGTGGAGTGATCGGTGAGAGTCCTGTTAGACTCTTACCATCGATATCTGATCGACCTCATGGACGAATGGCATTCAGGACCTCGTCATATCAGGTTCCTGCAGGCGGACTGTTTTCTCGCCAATATAATGCCAATCTGGACTGGCTGACTGGTGATTCGCCAACCTATGGCGGCATTGGTATAGGCCTTTTCATGTTTGATCTCGATGCTAGTGGCAACGCCGTAGCTGTCAGCCCTGCGGCTTGGAGAGTGAGGCTTGTCAAGATTTCTTGAGTTCTCCTCGGGGATGGTATTGCCATCTTGCATCCGCCGACTCCTACCTGTGCTGCTGTGGGCTGGACGGACTTCAGCAAGCAACAAAGCAATTCTTCCAAAAACTAGCCTTCCTTCCTCCTAACTTGAATCTGACGGGCTCTACTTAAACACTGCTTCGCAAACTCTTTGGAGAAGATATCTACGTTTCCATGTGACCAGTCTCTCTTGATGCTGGTCCCTCTCATTCAATGCTTCTGGGGAGCGGGGATACTAAATTTGGCATTATTTCCGCCTTTGCCTTCACAGGGATACGGGTCACCAACTGAGAGCCCTAGGGCAATGCAATGAATTACACCAGAATGGGAAACTCCTAGTCGGTTTTCCTAGTCACCAATGTAAATATCGGCTGCTCGGGATCAGAACCAGGCCAGAAAGGAAACCTTGATGCCTAGCGGCTGGCCTGTTACATAAATCTGACGATGTGCAGAGATGATCTCTGCCTGCTTGGTTGAAGTTCCTAGCACTTGGCTGGACTGTGCAATGCCCGGCCGTGCTGTGCTCCAAATGAGCTTTTGACCAATCTATGGCCCTCTTTCCCGTCGGAAATCCACCGTCAGGCCCTCATACGAGGGCCGTTCGACTGCCCTTCACTTCCATTCTTTTAACAAACCGTATTTTCTTGTGTTGCCCTGATGGTTGCAATACAGAATGCCGGGTGTACCCTCAGGACGAGGCTGCGACGCCTGTCGTCAGCAAAAGAAAAAGGTACATTCGCCGAAGCGTGTTCGCTCCTAGTGTCTTATCCCCGTTCTAACATCTAGTCACCACGTAGTGTGATTCCACCATCTCCCCGTGTCCCCGATGCAGACGCTTAAGTATTCGCTGCATCGGCCTGGGTCAACGTCGGTACAAGTTTGTGTCTGATGATAGAGCCCCGACTCCGGCCGACAGTACTGTTTTCCGCTTGAAAGAACCTGGAAACGGGCCCCACGCCCACTATACCCCAGACTTTGATGCAATCATATTAACTCGCATCCTGTCTAACGATACTACTCAGCTTGTGAATGCTTTCACGGATAAGATAAAACCCACGCTCGGCGTCCAGCACAACCTGGCCTGGACGTACGGGGACTACCTCAGCTATGTCCCAGCTCGCCTTGGCGCGAACGAGGTTCTAGATAGTGCCACGGACACTTTTTTGACGGCTGTGGCGACATTGTCAGATCCCCTCAGTGCTCATAGCAGCCCTGTCCTGCTCGAAAAGTACGGACGAACCTTGGCCAGCCTAAGAAAGTGCTTGGATGACCCCATCAAGGCGAAAACCTCGGAAACACTGTGCGCCATCTTGTTCCTGTGGAATTGCCAAGTGAGTCTGCTGTACCCTGGCACCCAGGGTTCTATTTGTTGCTGATGGCTGTCACCGAAGCAGTTCATATGGCCGCCGAATGGACCTATCACCACACATGCGGACGGGGTTGCCCAGATCCTCAGATTGAGAGGCTGTGCCGAGAAGTGCCAGGACCCATTTGAATCGAACTTACTGCTCTCGCTTCGTGCCGTTGTGGTAAGTGGTCGATAGGCATGAAAAAGCCAATCAGTCGCTTACTTTGATCCGTCCAGCTCTTTGACTCCCTCTTCAACGGCCGGATCTATTTCAGTGACCAAGAGTGGGTTGCCATGTTCGACAACCAGCTTCATGAGCTCAGTCCTGAAGGACAAGCAGTACAATGCTTGACTCGCGTACCGAACCTGATGCGACGGAGCAAGGCTGCGCTGACGGGAGATCTATATCATCAGGCTGAGCTTCCCGACTTGAAAGAACAGGCACATAACCTTCGCGCAGATCTCGAGCCCGCTCTGTCCAAGCTTCGTCGGCGATGGCTTAAAAACTCAGCAAATTCAGATATTCTTGTCCCAGGGAAGCCTCAATTGGCCGGCCTGTGGCATTGCCACTTCCTGCGAACATACTGCCTTGGTCTCGCTATTGCCATTTTCATTAACGAGGCACGGCTTGCCTTGTGCTTGGACGCGCCTGATATCGTGCAGGAGTCACACGGATTTGCACTAGAAATCCTAGATTTGGCCAGGATTGCAGCTCAATACCGCCCACTGGGCGCATCTGCCGTGAGCATATGTCTTCTAGCCGCCGAGCTTGGGGCAGGAGACGTCGAGACCAAAACAGCTGCAAGGAGATTGCGCATCGAGTATGCCCGCGATTTTCATGGAGTAAGAGAAGTGGAAGACTGCCAGGACCTGCAATTGATCTGTGGCCGTGAGTGGTCTCGATTGCCACCTCGGGACGCCCCGTAACGAAATTTGCGAAGACCATGGCCCGCGAATCCATCGAGCAGCCTTGCGACTAGATACTAGCCGCCAGACCATACCTTCTCATAGGCAGCAGTGCCATCTATACGGCCTGGAAAAGAGTATCCCACGAGTAGTCTTTCTCAGATACCCAATGAGCAGCCGTGCAGGATCGTACACACTGGCCCTGCTGGTGCTGGTTTGGGCCGTACATCTGTCTCACGGCCATTGAAACCGCATCCTATGTGAGGAAATGAAGTTGAGGTTGGAGCCAGCAAGTCCAAGACAGTGTACCGAGTACTCCATACCCGGCGAGCCGGCACCGAATATTACCAGGCCGAGGTCATTGAAGGTCTATTACCACTCTGGGGAAAGCCGCGTATAGCTAGTGGAACTAGCCCAGAAGCAGCATGATTAGCAGCACTAACTTTTTAAGCAAACTCACAAAACCCTATGATTGAACCTACCTATTTAAGATTGTCGCAGGCCGCTACAAGGGCCCCATATCCGGAAAGCTAATTACTGTGGCGTATCGTCAGTTGTTGCGGGTAGCCACAGGGCGGCGTGATCACCGTCCCAATCCGGGGGGAGTGAGCTTTTTAGCCATTTCCCATATTGATGCTCGCTACCTTGGCGCTTCTCATCAGTTGAAAAGCCACTTCAATTCACCATTCACCCAACGACATATGAAGCACCTCCCATTCCGCCTGGGCACCTGCTCCCCTGTAAGGGCTTGCGCGTCGAAATGGAGCCTCGAGAAAAGTGTCGCTCAACGACGACACTTTTCCAGCCTCAGATCTGAGAGTGATGACCCCCTGAGAATCCTCTTCTGTGGCACCGATCGCTTCAGCGTGGCCTCGCTGGAAGCTCTCGACAGATACTCCAAGACACCCGAGAGTAATATCCTGTCCATTGATGTCGTGACGAAGACCGACAAGAGAGTCGGCCGTGGCCGCAAGCTCATCAAGCCGCCAGCCATCAAAATCGCAGCACAGGACCTGGGCCTCCCCATCCACCAGATCGATACTTTCACGGGCTGGAGCCCGCCTGTGTTCAGCGACGCCGATGATCGATCTTGCAACCTGATTGTTGCCGTCTCTTTCGGGCTGTTGATCCCGCCTCGCATTCTACGGACCGCAAAATATGGCGGTCTGAACGTCCATCCCTCAATGCTTCCAGACCTACGGGGCCCGGCGCCTATTCAATGGGCTATCATCACCGGACGGCGAAGAACCGGCGTATCGCTACAGACTCTTCACCCTACGCGGTTTGATGAAGGGATCGTCCTGGACCAGACGACACCTCCGGGACTAGATATGCCCGAACCAGACCAAATCACAGCCGATGAACTCACGAGCTATCTGGCGCCCATCGGTGCTAAAATGTTGGTCGACGCCATCCAGAATCGCCTGTATATTCCGCCGTACAATGCCATCCAGTTGAGCAATGTTCCGGGCGTAGACTTAACACACGCCCCAAAAGTCACGAACGACATTTGCGCTATCGACTTTGAGGCGCTCACAAAATCTGAGGTTCTACGGCGAAACCGTGCGCTTCAATCTCTTCATAGCTTTGCGAGACTCGGTTCTGAGCCGAATCAGGTTTCTCGTATCAATTTCGGAGCGGACATGAGGGATATGAGAGATGGGGACATTCCAGAAGCAGTAAGAGCCGTAGCGGGATCCATTCCCGCTGGTGTCCCCTACGCAACTGTTGCGGCGCACGAGAATGTCAACGAGAGTTCGGAACCCTTGATCGTCAATGCGCTGTCGGACGAGAATGGAGAAAATTGCCATATTGTCATTCCGACAATCACTGTCTCGTCGAGGGCAAAAGGCCCAGGTGCAGGAGCGGCCGCCCGCGCAAAGTTCTTTTCATTGCCCGAAGTCTTTGGCCAGTATAAGTTGTATCGCTTCTCCCACCCTGTATCTGGAATACCGGACCCACCATTCGTGGAAATGAATGACAACACCACGGGGGCTTGATCCAGTTGGTCTATCGGATGACAAGTCCAGAATCTTATCGTCGTCAGCGACGTTCTTTTGCGAGAAGAACCCATGACCCGGAACTTACCAACGACAATCTGCTGGCCTGTGATCGACGCGTTTTTCGCAAGCGAGATATAGGCATCTGCACAATCGTCTAGCAGAGTCTCAACAGGCTGTTAGTTAGGCAGATGCATCTTCTGGCACAGAAACATACCTCTTGCTTAAGGGCAGCGGCGTTCTTCACAGCCTGAATGCGCTCATCGCTATACCTCAGACCCTATTGAAGGCGTCAATACTAAGTTTCTTGTCTAATCCGCAAGAAAATTCGAGGAAGACCAACCCATTCCGTGAGAAGAAGACCTGGAAGAACGGCATTGACGCGGATCTTTGGACCTTGTGTGGTAGCAAGGCATTTCATCAAATGGAGGCCCGCGGCCTTGGTCACCGAATATCCCATACTACTTCCGGCGCAGCTTATGCCCTATCGAAAGTTCAACACACAGCTCTCGGCTGAGTGACGATCAACTTACCGCGACTGATGATGAGATGATGAAAACTCCGCCATCGGAATTTTTGTTGAATATGGGAGCTGCTTCCTGCAGCAACACCAGGTGGGACATGACGTTGGTGGCCCAACACTAGAGCAGTCAGCAAGAGATTCAAACTACGGACCATCTGTCCCCATACCTTGTTCCATTCATCATGGCTCATATCATTGATGTCTCCGAAGTTGGTGAACCTGGTCCAGCCAGCATTATTGATGATGATGTCGAGTCCGCCCAGTTGCTGGACACTTTCTTTAACCAATCGAACGGTGTCCTCGACGACTCCGATGTCCTAGTCATTCACTTGTCAGAGAGGGCGCCCTTTGCGGCTTTTTGCAGATAGCCGAGCATCCTCACAGCCTGGATTACAACAGCCTTGACTCCTAGTCCTTTACACTTCTCGGCGACCTGATCGGCTCTCTCTTTGCTGCTGACATAGTTTACCACAATATTGGAACCCTCTGCTGCGAATTTCTCACAAATCAGCGCCCCGAGACCTCTGGCGTCTCTCTGTTAGTAAACTGCGTCTAGTATTCTCGGGTACTGGTTGAGCACTTGCCTGGATCCTCCTGTTACCAGGATATTGCGGCCTTTGAGAGAGTATGGCATATTGATGGGAGACAAAGGCTGGCTTCTTGGGACAAGCTTGATCTTGGGCTCTGATAGCAAAGTCAATCTTCCAACTTCGGGAGAGGAAATAAGGATCTTATAGAAGAAGACATGTTATTAATCCGGCTTTTGATTGATTATGCGGGGCCGTCAAAATCGAGGCAAAGAATACCGCGCTGTGGTACCTCTCCCCACATTGGAGAGAACGCGAATCCCATCAGGACGGATTCGAAAGACCGCGATTTGGCCGTCCATTGCCGCGGCTGTCGAATGAATCGTGTACTAGTACGGAGTATATCCACTTTAATCCGAAGAGCCTTGCAGGTTTCTCGCCGCGGCTTGAGATAATGTGATAAAGCAACCGACGCCACCAACGTCGAAAGATACGCCTTCCACGCCATTTGTTGAGGCTTCGTAGGCATGGGAAGACGTCGGGGCTGTTCACAGGACGATTGAGACAGCCTCGAGAACTGTATGTATACATGATGTGCACGTGCACACAGAGAGAGAACTTCATCGACACACAAAAGACTGTGCGAGATGAACGAGGTGCAGGCAAGTATTGCTATATGCAGTTTCCGGGAGTAGCATTGCTCTTTCCCAATGAATCATGTTGCCTGCCTGCCTGCCTGCCCGCGGTGCACCAGGACGGACCTGCCGTGGTCATGGTCATGGCTGTCATCTCTGCTGCCATCCATTCATGCCTCCGCCCACTGCAGCGTCGTGAAAAGACGTCCTTGTCCTGCACTGTCTCCAACCTTTCGCAGGGCCCCCAGTCCACCTCTTTTACTGACCTTGTTCTCCCTCTCCCTTGTCTCGCTCCCGTTCAAGGCCCAAGGGGCAAGCGTGGCCCCAGAGATGATGATCGTCTCGTGAAAAACTTGTTTCATTGTTGAGCCGGCATGGTTTCCCACACGCGATCTCGGAGCAAAGGCTCGTTCTCTATCTTCTCCTTTGACACTATCCGATCATTCAGCCGTGCTGGTTCTCGACAAGGTGAGATATCCCTCAGTTTTGTGCGGTATCTGCCTGACCGGTTGTTTTAGCGTCCCGGATCCCGTCAAAGGACGAACTGCGCGATCGAACAGAATCTAGTCTCTCTCATCGATGTGACCCCAATAATCAACCACCGGCCTCACTCGAACCGACTCCCCCAAGCCACGTCGTGGAGGGATGCGTCGAGTCAGCGTCAAAATCACCAGGAGGACTGGGCAGCCGTGATGAACGTGAACCATCTCAGGGAGAAACGGAGCCTGCGGTGCCGGAATTCCACAGCACATGTCGCCGAACACATCGGCTGCGTCCCAAGTCATGGCTGCCTTTTTCCCGTTTATCCTCCCAAAGTCCATATCCTCGCAGTGTGTCCACTCAACTGCCAAAGACCGCTAGTACTTCCACGGTTGCTCGAAGTGTCATCTCTGCTCCCGTGCTTACCAGCACCACCAACGTCTCCGTGGCTCGTGCTGAAAGAGTCCATTGTGGAGAAATGTCAGACGCGGCTTTTGCTCAATCCACATGGAACTCACAAGTTGGCTGGGTTGCAAGCAACGACCACGACGCTGGAGAATCGCCCAGTGGCAGAAGCAGTGAGGCATTGGCTTCTAACGGAGCTCTTGGTGAAGGACCTGATCAGCCCACCAATCTGACAGCGTTGAAAAGAGGTCGAATTCTGCGGTTGAGGAACGCCTTCAGGAGTAGGATCCGGAATGGAACTTTACGTCCACAGGGCACAACTGCACAATCAAAGCAACAGCGAGAGACATCTGGAGACGTAGAAGGAAATGAAAGCCCGGCCTCGAGCAGAGATTTGTCACGTCGTCGTGCAGAGACTCTGAACCTCTGCAGAGGCAAGATCAAAGGACTGACAGGCAATGACCACCACATACGGCGCAAGTCTGTGAACACCAACAAAGGTACAACGGAATTAACACGAGGAGACTCGCCTCTTCTCGGCGACGACATCATAGCCGTTCCCACGACAGATCTGGCTGCTGAAAGCAGCGACAATGAGTCTGCCTTTGGATCACTCACCCGATCATTTGCCAGCGCGGTTGACAAACTTGACTTTTATTCGAATCTGCCCTGCAACATGTCCTTCCTCAGGTCAAGGTCGTCCTTCTTCAATCCCAACAAGAGGGAGAAGCGTGGCGACGATCGAGATGAAGTGAGACGACAATTCCCTCCCATTTCGCCTTCCAAGCCTGCGCCTCCTGTCGCTCAGTCGATAGCTGCGTCGTCCCCAACAGACCTCTCAAGGAATTTCTCCCCTGCAAGCAACCCCCGAAAGCTCCACCCAGCGCCACGACCTGTTGGACCACCTATTCCGGGGGCACGAGGCTTCAAACTGAACCAAGAGGGTCTTGCTTCTCGACAACCTCCTATTGCTCCATTGGTGTTCTCAGCCGAAAAGAATGCCTATGTGCCCGCGGCGCCCGTAGCTGGATATCCAAGAGGCGTCAATCCATTGCGTATGCATCCGCCTGGAGCTATGGCTGTTGCGCCCTCGGGCCCGTATCAAGCAGCACAGGCGCTGCCAGTTGATCGTGATGCTCTTTTTAATTCCCCACGACGGCACACAACGACTCCCAACAGCGAAGACCGTGAAGGTTCGGATACGGGTTCACTCGACGACGCTCCGATCTATTCTCCGTCCCTAGGAGACCTTAGCCAGTATGCCCGAGACACGCCCCGATCAACAAACGCCGTCCCTAACGGAGCTAGTAGAGATCAGATTGAGAATGCAGCGCCAATTCCAAGCCCTGTCAAGAATGATCTTCCGGCCAAAGGACAATCTGGTCCGTTGAAGAAGAGCAGGAGTGGCCTTGGATTGTTCTCGAGATCTAAGCCCGAAAATGCCTCACCAATCGCAACCGGTAATGGTGCTCGGGGCGAATCACCATTGTACCAAGGTGATGCCAATCAGCAGGGCAACTCTGGCAGCAGCACAGGAAAGATGGTGAAGAAAAGTAGGAGTCTGCATTTTGGAGGACTTTTTAAGAGGAAGGATCCGTTTGATCTAGTGCCCTCGATGGGATCATCACCGTTCCAGCCAGCGACTCCTTCACCGCTTCGAAAGGTGATGCGCTATGGTAGTCAATCGACCAAAGGTGGTGGCAATTCTCCTACAACACAGTCGGCGAAGAGATGAAGTGGTCTACCGAAGTGGATAATGAATGAATGAAGGAAGGAACAGGACCCCGGAAAAATGACCCAGCCCAACAGATGCAAGACAGAAGGCGCGGAGCGGGTCCACAATGAAATTGGCGAGGACCGTTTAGCATGGGTATTTGACACCTTGCATCTTGTACTTGTACGGGGATTGAGCAAATGTCACTGCAGGGCGGCAGCGACGGCGGCCCAAGATTGGCGGTGTAGAGTGAAGGGGATGCGTCCAACTGCAGAGTCACCGAAGAGCGAGTGGCGTGGCACCTACAAATGTTCGAGAAGATGGCTTAGGTACTTGTACTACTCCAGATATGAGGTTTTCAAAAGGAAACGGAGAACATGAACCATGGAGAAGATCGACATAGGAGCAGCTTCGGTTCCATGCATGGATCTGCGTATCTCAGCTCCGCGGGTTTCAGGCCGTACTTCGTACGCATCGCAACGAACGATATCGGCCGCCTACTAGCCAACCAGGAAGAGGAAGAGCGCAAGTACGAGGTAATCAGTCTGGCGGGTCCTCTGGCCTGCTAAACGCACGGACAAGGGATGGATTCTTTTGCCCCAGAGTGTCAGTGGTCAGTCAAACCCTGCATCTGCGGCAGCTCGAGGCGGAATAGGCATCAACAAGCAAATGATCAGAGATTACATTATCATTTTGTTCTATTCTTTGCGCTGTGCTACTTGGCCAAGTGGCTAGATTGGTCCATCTATTTGCCAGGTTTGCTTGATGAGCTTGAACGTTTGATAAGTGCCTGGGATGCCTGGGATGCCTGGGATGCCTGGGATGCCTGGGGATGCCCTAGCTTTGGCGGTTAGGTGGGCAGGTCTGGGCCTGTCGTTGGCATCTACTTGTACAGTACTTGGGCCACTAGGCGTCGCTTTTACGGCCTGTGCTCCCTAATTATTACTGAATGGAGTTCTCGCCCTCTCCCCGGTTGGAGCCTCACTAGCTACGCGTAGGCGGCAGTCAGTACATGGTAGGTAGTATTCACCGCCCACCAGCCTACTTTGTTAGTGGCCTAGCCTTCTGCGCTCCTGGGTCTTGGTACTGGAGCACCAGGGTACCCGTGTTTGCCGTGTCCAGCGCCACACGACACACAAACGAATTATCTCTCATTTGTGACCTTTTGTCACCCTGCTCATTTTTCCTTTCCTCCTATCCAGTGTAGAGTCGTCGCAATGGTCAATCACCGTTGGCCTACCCCAGTCTCGACGCGAGAAAAGGGAGCGGAGGCTCTGATATCCGGCGTCAGTTCGGGTTCCTGACCCAGGTTCCACATTTTCCAGCTCCAGCGGGTGGCAGGCTGCGATTGTGGCTATCAATTGAACCGCGAGCCACTGCATCGAGCCATCGCTGGCACTACGAAGCCCTCGCAGTCTTGGCAGGAGCTGCTCAACTCTGACTGCAGAACTTCGACTCCTTGAGACAACACATCCTGCACATGGTTCTCCATCCTCATTGACCACCACATTATCCCGTCGCATGTTCCTCTAGCTTTGCTCGATCTCTGTAGTAGCGTATGCTCCTCTCTGCTGCACCTCGTTACCCGCAATGTTGATGCATGGTTACTGATCTCTGCAGTCACCGCCGTGGCGGAGGTGTGAACCGCCCTGAGGCTTCGCACTTGTACCTAGACTCCGACGTCCTCCTTGTCTGCAAAACCGCCTTTGGCCGAAAAACCCCTCTCCTCACTGTTCCATCCCTACGCTTTAGCGGGTCAGATCAACCGTCACAGCCATGGCCTCGTCGTCGTCAAATGTCGTCGGGGTACACTATCGTGTCGGGAAGAAAATAGGCGAGGGTTCTTTTGGCGTCATTTTTGAAGGCACCAACCTCCTCAACAACCAGCAAGTCGCCATCAAATTCGTGAGTATCCCGGCTGTCAGGACAACCATTGTTGCTGCTACAAGGGCTAATGAGATGGGACATAGGAACCGAGAAAGAGTGATGCCCCTCAGCTGCGCGATGAATATAGGACCTACAAGATCCTGGTCGGCTGTCGTATGCTATACCTATTCTACCTCAAAAGCTTTTGACCGGAAAAAAACTGACCGTGTCCCTTCAGCTGGCATCCCCAATGTCTACTACTTTGGCCAAGAGGGTCTACACAATATTCTTGTGATCGATCTACTCGGGCCGAGTTTGGAAGATCTTTTCGACCACTGCAACCGACGCTTCTCAATCAAAACAGTGGTAATGGTCGCTAAACAGATGGTATCGAGAACCCTCCAGCCTGGAACAACTCCCGATGCTGACCTGTTGATAGCTGTCAAGAGTGCAGACGATCCACGAGAAGAATCTAATCTACCGCGACATCAAACCTGACAACTTCCTCATTGGCCGTCCTGGCACAAAGGCTGCAAACGTCATTCACGTCGTAGACTTTGGGATGGCCAAACAATACCGAGATCCCAAGACCAAGCAACATATCCCTTACCGTGAGCGAAAATCACTGTCAGGCACAGCGCGTTATATGAGTATCAATACACATTTGGGACGAGAACAGTCACGAAGAGACGACTTGGAAGCTCTTGGGCATGTTTTCATGTACTTCTTGAGAGGTGGTTTGCCATGGCAGGGTTTGAAGGCTGCCACCAACAAACAAAAATACGAGAAGATTGGTGAGAAGAAGCAAACAACAGCCATCAAGGACCTGTGCGAAGGCTTTCCGGGTATGTTTCCACGGACCTCTCCCCTTGGATCGAAAATTCCTTGCTAATATGCGCTGCAGAGGAGTTTAACAAATATCTCAGCTACGTCCGTAATTTGGGCTTTGAGGACACTCCGGACTACGACTTCCTACGAGACTTGTTCACTCAGGCGTTGAAAAACACAGGCGAGGTGGAGGATGGTGAATATGACTGGATGAAGTTGAATGGCGGTCGTGGCTGGGAAGCCGTCAAACAACATCCATCACAACTTCACCTACATAACGCCAATCCACCAGCTGATGCCTCTGCTCGCGCCTTGCATGGGGCATCTGGTGTCCGAGGTTCAGAAGCACAACGGCCATCGCGAGACCGAGCAGCAATATCGGCCGACCGTTTAAACGCAGCGCAGCCCCCTCCTCCCGGGTCACCAGCGAAGCCGGGAGTAGCGGCCATGGGGAAGAGCGCTCGAGACCGCACAAGCGGCGCCGCCGGGGGCAATCTGCCGAAGAGAAGTAGCGGGCTGGCCGGACAACTGGACATGAATACACCTCCAGCGAGCACACAGGCTCAGTTCCAAAACAGCAACGCCAATCTGGTGAATCAGCAGGCCAGAATCAGTCCTGCCACTGGGGCCTTGCAGAACAACCAGGGCCGGCCCACGCAGCAGCAGGAACAGCAGTCTGGGTTCTTCCAGAAGATGATGAAGGTGCTATGTTGTGGTATGCTTCTCAGGCACTTTTATCTGCCTCGGATTGATAACTGACGTTGTTCTCCAGGTTGAAATGCCGGACAAGATCATCGGCCAGGTGTCGGCCAGGTGCTCACGTCCCATTGATCTCGGCAGCTGACCTTCACGCGGATAGCCACAGCCACGTGGATTTTGCTCGGCCGGCACAACAGGAAGAATTCTTCCTCTGACACAAAGTCTTGAATTTACTCTGTTTGGCAGATGTTGGCTCGAAAAATTGGCCAAGACAACCTTGTGGTTACAAAAACAGGTGGTACAGGTGAGGGCATAAAATCCTTAACGACGGATCACGATCACTTTTGTGCATAGCATCTTTCCTTGTTTCCGTATTTCTCACCGTGTGTACAAGGGTCAGCAGGGTGTTATCTATGGCAGCATTTTTGGGTTGGGGAGCAGGGTGTTTCAGGCGTCGGAACGCACGAATAACACCGACCTCCCTAGTACAACGAAGAGTCACCAAAAGGGAGTTACAACAAGAAGAGCAGACGTCGGAAGAGGCACAAATCAAGGGTCTAACGTTTTATCCTTTTTGGAAGGCTGGACGACCTGGTGTTTTGTAAAATAGAGAAGAATGCCGACAAAAGACCAAAAAAATTCAGGGGGAGAAGCACGCGAGGAAAGCGGTAATGAAAAGACAAGATTTACAACATCGAATATGAAGCATTTTCTTTGGGCTGGAGACTCTTGTAGCACCTGACGGGCCCACGGCATCATGGCGTCTGGGTGTCTAGCACAGTACCTCGTGTGGCCGGAGTGGAGGAGACCGATCTACATAACTTGGCAGGCACCCGCTACACAGCCACAACACATGCGATAGTAAATCGCCTACCCAGTACTTAGTAACAAGTAGAAGCGATTCCAGGAGTCGGCTTGTCGGATATGATTACTCGGTAGACCATTCTAACGTCATGGGCAGGGTGGTGCCAGGCACCAGGACCTGGGCTGACAGCACTTGGTAGACACGAGTGGTGACGGGGGCTTCGTCGTCCATACGGCACGGCACATCACGTCGATGAGGGCACCCAGGGTACACTACCAAGGGAGCTGGCAGAGCAAGGCAGGGTTATGTAATAAGGCAGACACACCGACACTATCCACTCTCGGCGTTGTCGGTCATGGAAGTCACCAGGGGGGAGCGGATGCCAGGTGATTGTGGCCATTGGACTCTGGCGTGACCAAAGGGCAACAAAGGACCCAAGGCTAGGTGTGGATTTGGGCGTCATGTTCCAGAATCACCATAGCGACCCTGGCTTCCCGGTGGTGCAATGGTGCTGGTGGGTGGTGGGGTGACGGGGTACGGAGTAGCTACCAGCCATTTTGTCCTTGTCCTTGTGCTTAGGGGACACTTATGGTACCGGCGTGCTCGCAGTGAGGTGCCCCTAGGTACAGGTACATGTACTCTCCAGTCGGCGGTCGCTTCTTAGGGATCTTCAGGGATCTTTGGCAGCCTTTTGGCACGCACTCCCGGAAGAATAGAGGGGTCGGCTACCTACTTGGTAGGTAGTCCGATGGTACCTAGGGCCAGCTCCCAAGGCCAATGGGAGTGCCTAGACTTCCCCCCCGGCGTCGCGTTTCGCTCGTTTCAAGTCCAAGTATTCGTTAAACCATGGCACCTTTCTTTAGAACCCCCCATCTGGTGCCATTTGGGGCCCATCCGGCATGTCGCATCTCACACCTCACACTTACTCGTAGTACTTCGCACTCCTTCATCCCCATTGTCGTCCTTTCCATTCTGTATACCGCATATTGGGCGCAGCTTGAGTTCTACATCTCTTCGACCTCTCCGTCGAATATTTTACCTCACCTTATCATACCGTCTTTCCCTTTCCCTACCTGGCGGGCCTCTTCTTATCTAGTCGCTATTGATCTCTGCGGCTCACAATTTCCAGCTCGCCGCTGCCACCACGCATCACGCTCACCGAACAACTCATCTCTAGCCTACCGCGAACCCGTGTCTGTCCATTCTTCCGCTCTGTATTGGCGTCGCGACGATCTGGTAGTACTTCACCTGGACAGTTCCAAGCATCGACAGCTCTCTGCGATCACTTTATATCATTGCGCTGTGGCATAGCCTCACTGCGCGCGGCTGAGTATGGGCCCCAGCATGATCCGACCATGCATCCCATGAGAGCATCCTCTCTAACTTACTGCGCCACAGGCTAGTCCGCAAGGTGCACCTGGATACCACATTCTTACCACCCATTGATCCCATCTTCGAGACTTATACCGGCCTCAGACGACGGAGTCCTCCTGCGGGAGCGTTGTTCTTGACGGCCCCAAGCGATTCCGTCACCCTTCCCATCGGGTCCTCTCTACGCACTTCTTCTACTTTGGCGGATCGTGCCTGAGCGGTTGTGTTGAAAAAGATGGACAATTCCCGGGGGAGATCTCCTTCAAGAGGCAATGCGCAGCACATAAGCCCTCAGCCTTCCCCAAACCATTTCTCCGGCATTGTACCAGGAGTAGACCCTTCGGTTCAGCAAGCTTTGACCACTGGCAAGTTCAATACCTCCAACAGCGTCTTCAACAACCCGTTCCTTTCTTCCCAGCAACCAGGCGGCCTCCAACCCAATTCGAACGAGCCCAGTTTCTACGACAATAGCCAATATCACCAGAACATCTATTCAGACAATCAATTCGGAGGGCAGGGTTTGGATCAGTCTTTCAACGACGGTGGTTACATGTATCAGGGCGAAAACATGCCCGGTGATTTCAACCAGACCTATTCCTTGAATCAGCCTTTCGACATGAACCCTCAGAACAACATAAATCCGGCAGAGTTGAGCAAGGTTTCTTCACCCCAGGACCATCAGTCACCAAATCTGCAACCGCCGGAGAATTATTCGTCCCAACCAGGTTCACCTGCTTCGACAAACGGCCAGTTCTACACTCCCCAGCATTCAAGGAACGCTTCGCTTGACCCTTCCAGTGCCTATTCTGGCCTGAGTTTCCAACAGCACCGGAGAGCGCCATCAGAGCATAGCGACGTCTCGTCCGCAAACCATTCCCCCTACCTTGCTCATACGGAATTACACAACCCGGGAGTGGATATTAATCACTCGCCGTATCTTCCCGCACAGCCGGACACCAGCAATGCGTTCGGTATGGAAAGCTTTAGTTTAGGTGACCAGGCCCCGTACCGGTCTCCCAGGCTGATGCCAAACATGGAAGCCAACCAACAGGGCCTTGGACTGGATGGAAGCGGCTTACGTTTAAGCCAACCTTTGGGAATCCCCGTGCCCGACGTGTATACCACACAAGCGCCCCAATATCAGCCGCCTGTCGTTCCAAGCAACCATATGCGGAATACGTCGGTCGTCTCAGACATTGGCCAGGCTGACCAATTCCAACCTCCAACAATTAATATCGAACCTGCGCCGGTTTCGAGGCAACAAAGCTTTGGACCGCAGGGCGAGGCGACGGAGGGTGCTTTGAGTCCTCCTTCGAACAACAGTATGTTATTCAACTCTCAACTGACGGGACAAAGAAAGGCTAATTCGAGATTTAGGAGGTCGTAACCGAAGCAAGTCCGATGTCACATTCACGCGGCCCTTGTCGAGATCGAGTTCGCCTGGGCTCACTGCGACTAACGCCAATCGCAACAGTCTCTCTGTCCGATCTAGCACTCCTGAAAGGGGCCAATCTCTGTCTCGAGAATCATCTCCTGGACCGGGTGTGCAATCCGGGCGCATTGACAAGAACCGTCGAGCTAGTACCTCTTCAATGGGTCAAAGCAGGGATTACATTCTAGATCTCGCCGATCCTACCAGGCCGAATGCCTCTCCGTCCGGATCAAACACAAGAATCCAAAAACATCCAGCGACGTTCCAATGCAATCTTTGTCCGAAACGCTTTACTCGAGCTTACAATCTGCGATCCCATCTGCGAACGCATACCGATGAGCGACCTTTCGTGTGTACAGTCTGTGGGAAGGCGTTTGCGAGACAACATGATCGGAAGCGCCATGAGGGGTTACACAGTGGAGAAAAGAAGTTCGTCTGCAAAGGCGATCTTCACTCAACACCAGGTCAGCATTGGGGATGCGGAAGACGGTTTGCCAGAGCAGACGCTCTGGGCAGGCATTTCCGCAGTGAAGCTGGACGGATATGTATCAAACCCCTTCTCGAAGAAGAGAAAGCAGAGCGGCAGAACAGAGCGATGATGGAGCAGCAGCAACAGCAACAGGCACACTTTGCCCAGCAGGGCGGGCTGCAACCCGTCCCTCAACCAATGATGATTGGCATGGACCCTACCACAGGTGCTGGTGGGTTCGCTTTACCCGCAGCGCTCCTGCAACAATATCCTGCATTGCAGAATATCGATTGGTCGCAAATTCCAACCGTCGATGATCAAGGGGATCTCAGCGACGTTGGTGGTATGGGAAGAGCGAGCTTCGATGCATCGAGCGGTGGAGAGTATTATGATGAGGACATATCTGATGGGTATGTCAGTGGCAACGGGATGGACTTTGCGAACCCAGGGGCACAGCAGATGTACATGGGGAGCTGAGTACATGATTGAGGTTTCTTTGATGCTACTGCCTGCGACTTCGCGCTTTTGATGATATCCCTGCTTTTGTTTCTGTTTTCCTTTCTCTTTTTTTTTTTGGCTGACCTGACGGCCAGGAACTGGTTTTGGATGTTTGATAGACTCATTTGTTTTCATGATCCTGATGATAACGGCGGACGGTAACAGGGAGAAAGCGGAAGGCTTTGGATAAGCCCAGAGATACCACCCCTGTAATGATGTCGATGAAATGATGCAGTCAACGTACTCTCAAAGATAGACGGCCGCCCTCAAACCATGCTGTGCTGGTAGTGTGTCTGTGCCAAACCGTCAAGAATGGCGCATGACGCAGACAGTAAGAACTTGGACAGAGATGACATGTTGACGGAGTAATTTGCTTTGGGTTTGTCATCTGCAGGGTACCTCTTTGATAGCCAGGGAGAGGAGCAGCTGGCCAACAAAGGCACTGTAACTTTGGGTGGACGTTCAAGTTCGGTAGAGCGCGGCAAGGCTGGACAAGGCTGCCAAGGCGCTAAGGCTTCTCCTATGAAACGAATATCAACTTCATCTCCTCTACAAGGTACCTCACCCATTCCGCATCATTATCGTCGCAACAGTGTGCTCACCCGTCTTCACTGCGGGTGCGGCAGAAAGATGGGTGAGCACACTGTCGTTCGTGCCAAGCGATGGCTTCCACAACGCTCTGCAGTAGTTATACCACCGAGATGGTTGATGTCGCACCTCTACTGCCACTCGCACATCTTCTCAACCGCGATCATCGCTGTGGATCGTTCAGTCCTCAACCGCGATGGGGCGCACGAATTCGAGAAAGGCTGCGCGGTATGCCCGCATCACCCAAGACTTCTTTGATCAGATTCCGGAAACATCTACTGAAGATTCAGCCAAGCCTTCGGCGTCCACGCAGGCCTCAACAACTTCTTCTCAAAGCGAGGGTGAAAAAGCGCTTGACGATTCTGTCAACACTGTGAGCGTCATCAAGCCTGGCCTCTTGTGCGAAACCTTCCAAGCCCTTGATCTGAAAGACGACTACAGACAGGTTGTACGGTTCTCTCGTCCTTCCCCAGAGAGAAAAGGTCATTTCAGATCTGCCTATACTGACACAACTCTCGCTTTCAGGCCTGCTTACTTGGAGAGCGTATCTACCGCACCTTCGAGAGGAATCAGGAAGCTGCCCGAGATCTTCTACGTCACCTCTTTACCACTGCTTACTTGACTGTCGACGAGTCGACTGGCAAGAGAGAGTGGCGCATTGACTTGGACATCAAAAGAGAGATCATCAAAGCCATCCGCGCCTCAAAATTCATCGGCCTCTTCACCAGTCCCGTACAACCCAAATACATCGATCTCCCTCCCGACGAGATTGAGTTCGTCATCAAAGCAAAGTACCCTCTGAAGGAATTCGACGTGACTGGGATTATTGTCGACTACTTTCTCGAATGGTCGGTCGAGTGTGCAAATTTCCTTCGCCTTCACCCCGATCTCAAAAACCTCGACATTTCCCTAGTACAATACGCTGAGCGACACGCTTCTTTTGTCTGCATCGGCATCATAGAGATCGCAGCTGCTATCAGAACTGAAAAGTCTATTGACCTTGACCCTCGCCCAATCGAATATTTCATGGCCGCTAGATTCGACAAGATGGCTGGTGAACAGAACCTCTTCATCCAGGAGAAGCAACAGAAGCCTGCTGGCAAGAACAAGGGCGAAGGCAAAGTGAAGGCTGCTGAAGGCACTGTCGAAGTCGTCAAGGACAAACAAGATGTCAACAAGCGCGTCACCAAGATGGAGCACGCTGCCGAAGGTGTCCAAGGGAAGGAAGACATCAACAAGGATAACGCTGCCACCGCAGACGCTGCTTCTGAATTCGTTCCAGTCGTGATGGAATCCTCCGACGAAGCCGCCAAAGACAAGAATGTCAACAAAGACACCATCACTACTGCTGCTAGCACTTCCGCTACCTGTTCCAACATTGCTATCACCTCTGATGATCCCGTTGCTGCTGTGACCGCTGGTACTCGAGGCCTTTCCATCAACGATCCCGGCGCAGGGCATGACGATCCGTGGGGTCTTCGCACTCGTCGTTCGAGACGCCCTGCTGCATCCGTCGTCCACACCGATATCCACACCGATGCCGATGGTCTTACCTCTACTGGCGATCCATTCCCCAACCAGGATCCACGTGCTCGTCGCCGTGAAAGACTCCGTACACGTGCACACACTGCGAACGCCGGTGCTCCTACTTCTCCCATGACCGCCGCTGATGCATCTGGTACTGCCACTCCTGCTGGTCCTCGCGCTGGTCGCCGCTATGCTTCCGCTTCTACTGCCGGGCCTAACAACGCTTCCGACCTCCCACGCGATACTCCCGCCCAGCGCCGCGCCAAGAACCAACTCTACAAGGAGCTGGAGGATCTCGTCAATACTAACTTCCCCTCTGCTCAAGCCCGCCGTACCGCATTCGCGCAGGCTAGACAGCGTCTTCTCCGATCCGAGACTGTGGCGGCTGCGCGCGGTGAGCAGCCACTGCGTGCCACTGCCACCCGCGCGACTCAGGAGGCATTGACCATCGGACTTGACGATGCGCTGAACGCTGTTCGCCAGCAACGGGTTGCAGAGGCAGCTAGGATGAGGGCCACCGGAGAGGGCACCGAGGCGAACGCGCGTGCCAGAGAGCAAGGATTCGGGTTCGACATTGGTGGAATGTCTGGCTGGACGGGGGAGTTGGAGGCCATGCAAATCCAAGCCCTTCAACGCAAGAAGGACGAGGATGCTAAGAAGGCTGACAAAGATGAGAAGAAAGATGGCGATGATAACAAAGAGAAGTGAGATGATGACTTGTCAAGGCAATTCCCTTACATGTCGTGTGTGGCTGAGAGCCTGGAGCTGACATGATGGCAAGGCAAGGGAAGTTCACTTACATATTGTATGGTTGAATGCCCGGCATCGACATTGTGGCTTGGAAAGGCGGGATCCGCATAGGCGTCGTTCGGTTGAAAGCCAGGCATGCATCACAGCAGTCGGTCTGTTTTGAGTACACAACCATGATACCCACACGAGATCTGCTTACCAGATCTGCTCACCCATTAGGGGTTGAGCCAACTGCACTGCAGACACAGTGCCATGAAACGGGAAACCCCCCAAAAAGATTCACAATGTCCTGCTTCCTTTGCCCCCTTTCGTCATTGGTGTTGTTGATCCCGCGGCCACTAGTGCCAACGATGATCACGACGATGAAACCGGCGACAATTATGGCGAAGAGGCTGACGATGATGATAACGACGGCGACGACGACAGAGACAATGTGCATAGCGCCCTCGACGTGACGAACCGCGCCACCGGCTCCAGCCTCGCCGGCCTGTTCTCCGTCTCTGTTTCTTTCTGTCTCTGTCCCTGTCTCTTTTCTCACTCTCGCTGTACTCCCATTGGCCCTCGGGGAGGACGTCCTCTGATTCTCTCTCTTTAGCCGCCATAACTCCCTGGCTTACTCCGGACGTACCGATGCACGCATGCAATAAATTCATCTACATACCTCCATGGGACACACCCGGTATACGTAGTACGCGGCTACAGAGACAAAGGAAGAAACGGAAGGGATCGCCCGCGCTTTGATCAGTGGAGTGAGTCCGTGCTGAATTCATGCCGAGTTCGTGAGACTCTCTCCCTTGCTCTCTCTCTCTCTTTATCTACTCTATCTAACCTATCTGGCCGTTTATCGATCTGTCCGTGTATGGATGGAAAGTAGGAGAACTTGCGTGTTGTACAATCGTTGCAATCTATCCAGGTGCTCTCAATGTACACATACCAAAAATGTCAGATGTCTCAAACTCCCCCGGGCGCCGTGGGCTGTCGTGTGAATACATAAGAATGCAAGAGTTAAGAAGTGTTGAAAACAAAGGAGCCGAGCAAGCGAGACTTTTGAGAATTAAGTCGAACAAGTTGATCCCCGGGTGCTGGATACGTGATGTGCCCTGGTTCTTTCATCACGCTTTAGGTTGACAGATGATTCGGTTTGTGCTTCGCTTCCGTAGCCTTTGTCCCGTCGCTTGGCGCCCATAAACTGTCCTTCATGAGAAAGAGGATATACATATATATGGCCCTCATCGTGGCTTTGGTTGAGGAGTTGGCTTTTCTTTCTTGCGTCCAGGTCCCACGTGCATGGCGTCTGTAGTTGCGGTGCTTTCAAGCAAATAGGGTTTGAGGTCGCTGACCATGCAGAAAGAGGTTGTGGTGGCGATTGTTGTGGGACCGTGGCCGAAGGAGAAAGGATGATGGAGGGCTGCTGTGGGAGATGTTGCGGTCACGAATCGTCTTGCGTATTTTAGGGCTTCATCCACATGACTTCGTCTGAGACGGGCCTGGGAACAGCCCGATTTCAAAGCAAATATTCAAGCATCTTCTCGGACATGTTTCTCCTCGTCAATCTCCATCGACTCGCCAGGGGGTGTGGAGCGGACACTCGACGACTTGAACTCTCTGGGAGGCGCCGAGACGGTTGACGACGGCGGAGGCGGAACGTATCCGGTTGAGAGACGTGGGAAGCAAAATCCTGGGTGAAAGACTGTTTGGACGAAGGTGGCGAACACAACCATGCTAAATGCGATAGTTTGGCAATTAGTCATTGGAATCCTTGGAAAATAGTTTCCTGGTGTAAGGGGATGGGAAGTTTGGGGATAGCATGGACGTGACGAGCAGAGCAATGCAAGGGAAACGCGGCACATACCATCCATCAAGCGCTATGAAAGCAGGCTCAAACTGCATCACCGGGTTCGCCCATCCACCAGCCATCTCAACAAGTCGATAGATACATCGAATCACAATCGCCGCATACGCGAGGATGAATCCGTACACAAACAACCGGAATTTCCTGTCTCTCAGGAAAGCCGTGGCCTCGGTCGAAAGTGGCACTTCGTGTGCTCGCCAGCGACGGAAGACGTACCATGCTGCAGCTACTCCGAAGAAGATCAAGGTGACCACTTGCCAGGCGATACCCGCCATCATCAGGTTGTCACCGATGTCTTGTTGGGATTGGTTGTCGTTGGCAGTAGCGGCCATGCCGCCACCAATTGCCTGGATCACTAGTGATACGAGGTCTCCGGTGATGAAAATCCATGTGTACCAGTTCGGTTTGAGCTTGGAATACTCTGGTCCGAATGTCAGAGTTATGTGCTTGAGGACCAGGTAGATGGCGGCAGAGTTGAACGCAGGACCCAGGATCAAGCAGCAAATCTGGATCTGGAAACCGATCTCGTTGAAAGGGTTGTTGTGCAGGATCACACGGCCAACGTAGCCGAGCGATTGATCGACGCAGGCCAACAACATGGCAATCAGATACGTCCATGTCTTGTAGCGGATGCCGAAAAGGAGTTGGAGCGCACCACACATGGCGAAGAAAGCCACGAAGAAGGCATTTGCACCGATCGAGGGATAATAGCCGTAGATTGAGTTCTCGACTGGACACCGGGGTGTGACTTCGGTGCAGTTAGCGAGGGGCAAGTAGTAAGTAGAGTTGCGGTTGTTGGCCATTCTTCGGGAAATGTTCAAAAAAGGCAGTACAAGAAGACAATTAACGATGCAGATAGAGTGGGAATACGCAGGGCTTAGAGGGGATAAAGGTATATAAATCCATACACTTATATGTGCTCTAGAAACCATATGAGGGATGAATCCTCAGGCACCAACGAAACCAGGACAGACGACACGCGAAGTCTGCGAAACAAGGCTCTCGAATTGCCAGGGATGCGAATACGAAGGATTCGAACATGGGAATCCGCCCAGGTCGCAAGCATGACCGTCAAAATCGGAGACAGGATGATAGGACCGCCCGTGTGGATACATCAGGGCTGTTGCGAGATCCAGAAATGTGGTCTTGGTCGCCCAACTCGAGTTTATCGACCTCTGCCGTGTGGTTGGGTAGCCCACAGACTGATGACAACTGTGACTGAATGGCCAAGTATGCAAAGCCTCGAGCAAGGCACTCTAGCTGAGACTTGTGCTCGTGAAGAGGATTGGGCGCTGTGGTGTGACCTCGCAAGCTGAACCCGAAAGTGGTTAGGACGAGATGCGAAGCGGGACAAGGCTGTACCCACCAGCCGAGCGACATGGAAACCAGGCAACGGCGCGGCAGGCGTTCTCCGTGTCTTCACTCAAAGCATTGCACCAAGAGCGCCGGGCCCATTCTGTGGCTTGTACGAGGGTACTCGGCACGGAGTAAGGAGTGCCTCAGTAGCGACCATGAAAAATTCGGGTCGGACTCGAGGTCGACACGAGGGAGTTTGGTGGGAGGACGTCAGAAGCCGGAAGAATATTTCCTCCGTGCCGAGGATCTGACGAGACGCGACACAATTATCCGCCGTAGCGCAGTTTGCATGGGCGGTTCGCCAGGTTGCCATCTCGCCATGTGCCGAGTACCCAGCTCGTCAGTACCTCATACCCTATTTTACTCTCGTACCAGCAAATAAGATGAATCCTTCTCTCTTCGCTAAGATGGAATGAGACCGTTCTGATTACACAGCTTTCTGTGTCTTACTGCCTCTCTGGTTCCATACGAGTCCAAAAACCTATGTCCGTCGAACTCCAAGGCGTTGTGAATTCTGCATATGCGTATTTCGTGTCAGAACCCGAGATACGAACTGAACGAGACCCTCCTTGCATGGGTCGATGACTTCCGCAAACTTAAAACATGACATACCCCCTGACCAGAATCGACGAGAGCAAGCCCCGAAATAGGAGCGAAAGAGATGCAGCGCGGCAACAACCCAAAGGGAACAATGACTATACTGGGTACCAAAGCTGCGGCAGCTCATTTCCCGCCTCCAGGGCCTATTCCAATGCGACTCAACACCGGCTCTGCTTGCAGTACCTTAAGCTCGGGGCACACCCGCTTCTCTCGGCAGTTTTCACTGTTGCTGTGTTTGATGGCTTTCTGATCTGCCTATACCTCCCGCCGGAGGCCCCCCCCCCGGAGGCCAGAGTGGAACATCCGGGCACGAATTAACTGAATTAGGTGTTGAGTATATCAACAATGGAAAGGAGGACGTTGAAGTTCATCAAAAACAAGTCTTTCAAACACTCAAGGACTAGTTGATCTAGGCATAGACGGCCAAAAACAACGTCCAGCAACATGTCCTTAGACTTGAAACAGGCTGCTCTCGAATTGCCCCTTGCCAACTTGTCAATCCGACCCTGGCTTGGCAAACGACGATCGTCCAGTAAACACATACAGTAGAGGCATCCGCGCGAAAGATTCAATAGTAGGAGGATGGCATACAGTCAAGGCGGAGTGGCGTGGCGACTACAACCTCATGTCTGGCTTGATGTCAGTATGAGCAGATGCGGCGTGAGGGACGGGAGTGTTTGACATCCATGCTGATGCTATGACAGGGCCTACCGCTGTTTTATTTCCCCTCTGTCGCAATGGCCGCGGTTGACAGCTGTCAGCACTTCCTCTTTACCACTGACAGCAGAAGCAGAGATTTCAACCAAGATGCTCATCAAAAGCCGCTCCCTCGACCTAGGAGGAATGAGCTCCTCGTTCCCCAGCCTCTCAACACTAGCTTCGCGACCTTCACGTCCCACAGCCCCTTCGCCGATATCTCCCTCCTCCCCCGAACTGATTGATAAACTTTCGGTCTGTTTTTTTCTTTTCTTCGGCTATGGTGCAAGGGATAAAGAATGATTGGCACGTTCAACAAGGGTAATGGAATGTGCGGTCCGCTATCAGTCCAACTTTGGTCGAAGCATTACGCGTTTGCAGGACCCAGTTCCACGTCGAGAGTATGGACTCATCAAAGTCTCAGCAACGGGGTACACCACAAGAATGCGCTGGATGCTGCCTAAGTGCTCGGCGATGGCTCGCCATGTTGCACAAGCGGTCCCTGCTTCATTTTGCTGTCGCTCGGGAATGTGATCCGAGCGTAGACAGCTGGAGCTTCAAGATTCTCCCTGAACTCCATCCGAACTGATATTGTAGGACGAAACCTTTTCTGCATGCTAATCCATTTGTCCCTAAGTTCCCACAGCTTTTGCTCTCTTTGGTGTCTCGAATAGACCTGCGGCAAGGCTTCCTTCTGCTTCGCCTGGCCAAAATGGTCCAATATATGCCCCTTGCTACCGACAGCGGAATGAGTGATCATATGGACGATTTCGAGCTTCCAAATATCGACCTGGAAAAGATCCCTGAACAACACTTACCCAAGTGGTATCGATTGCCCGGCTGGCAGATGTCCTTGAGATGGGAGGTCCCATCAAAATGGAGTTTCTGGACAACAGCCGACCTACCCAACGTAAAGACAGCCGCATCTCTCATTCTCGCTGGCGTTGTTGTTGCACTCCCGCGGTTTTTGCGACCAGGCGGTTTGAAAAGGAAGAAAAAACTACACCCAACTGCTTATTTGGATGCTTTGAGAGGCTGGGCGGCTCTTCTCGTCCTGCGATTTCACATGTTCTGGAACAGAACGTGGCTCTTAGAGCAGCCAGTCATCCGCGGTTTTCTCAACGGTCGAGCCATGGTTGAAGTATTTTTCGTCATCTCTGGATACGTTCTCAGTTATCGACTTCTCAAAATGATGCGCAATCAGCAGCACGACCTCCTGCGGGCTTTGGCCTCGTCGACATTTAGACGATGGTTTCGACTATTCATTCCGACGGGCTTCGGCTCTTTGATCGTTGCCACCGCCTCGTATCTCGGTTGGTGCCGAGGGGATCTCCATCAGGACTCTTTCCCTGCTCAAATGTGGGATTGGTTCTGGGATTTTGCCTGTACTACCAATCCTTTCGCTGATATCAAGGGCTGGTGGTATCCAAGCGTCTTCCGCACGAAATACCTGGATCCGATGTGGACTATCCCCGTCGAGTTCAGAGGAAGCATAGTGCTCTTCTCATTCTGTGCAGTCGCCGCTTTCCTATCTACAAGAGGTCGGAGGATCTGTTGCAGTATTTTGATACTTCTCTGTTACTTCTGGTGGACGATATATGCTGCCCTGTTCCTGATCGGTCTGATGATCGCGGATCTTTCATTCGATCGCCACCCAGAACGCCTGCGCCCCATGCCTCTTCCACAGCAACAGGACAACGAAGCATCATCGAGCCGCAGAGCCAGTCAGCAAATCCTCAACAAGGTCGGATGCAGTCTTCTGGTCGTTGTGGCACTGTTCTGCTTCGGAATTCCACAAGATGGATGGAGCTACCAAGGGCCCTTTCCATGGGACTATCTCAGCAAAGTCATACCGTGGTGGTATCCTATCGAGACGACCGAATACTTCTGGCTCAGTATTGGAGCCGCCATTCTGGTTTTCGCTTTGGATAATTGCCGCATGCTTCAGATTCCTTTCGAACTGGGCTTCTCTCAATATCTGGGAGACCTCTCTTTTGGTATCTACGTCATGCATGATATCGTCAACTGGTGCTTTTATGAACCTATTGTTGAACCTTGGCGTGCTGCACACCTTGGTGATGGTTACTGGTCAGGCCTCCCCGGGATTTTGATTACAACAACTGTGGTGCTCTGGACTGCAGACTATTTCTCTAGGATTGATATCTGGGTCGTACGGTTTGGCAGATGGTTAGAGTCGAAGGCCTTTGTCAAGTGGCAAAACTAAGGGGATGTTGATTGACACAGTGTCAAATAATGTGGCTTCCATTGCCCTAAAGGGCAGGAATCCGTGGTGCTATAAATCATTTGGTGTCCGGGCCGTTTCTTTATCAGAACCTTCCTTTACGTTGACATAAATCGGCCAGCAACATATTGGGTTTGTTCAGAGCCAGTGGGACCACGAAACCTTTTGTATGGTGTCCAAATACTCCGTGATTTCAGATTCATGAAGAGTGCTTCTTCTGCCTCTCATACCTTGTAATCAATTCACATATCTCGAGCAAAGTTGCATAATCAGACATCTTCAGATGAATCAGATCCACGACCGGATCTTCCTTCCTGGGAGCCACAAGTGTCAAGGCCTGTCCGTTAACCCGAATTTGTGGTTTTACGCTGGCATCGCCTATCTTGATTCTTTATCTCAACCACTTGACGAGCATCTCTGCTATGGCCCGAGAAGGCGGCCATTTATGCTGCTAACGTAGCACCCAACTGTACGCTTTCCTCTTCATCTCGACGTACCAGACAGGTAATGTAAATTCCGTGGAATAACGCAACAATGTACCTCTCTCACCGTGGGAAAGGCCAGCCGCCCCTGCCAAGCCTCAGCCTTGCCATTCAGACATCCCAACATCTTCTGTGGAGATGCTTATGGAGGAACCAAAGTCCAGGGTAGCCTCGGTGACGACGTCGACAGCCCGACGAAATGAAAAACCGAACGTGGCCGTTGAGAAAGGGGGATGCGAGTGTCGGCCGAGTGACATAGGAGTTGCAGGCAGGCGGAATAGGACAAGCAGCTGAAGAATCAGAAGGAACGATGTTCGGTGTGCTCACTGGGGAATAGCATCAAGATGTCTGGGTTTTCCAGGGAGAATTCAACCCTGTTTCACGTCCGTAATGGAAGAAGGCTTGTTTCCAGATCCTGCTTAGTAGCCGGACAACGAGACTACCGGTTCACGCGACAACCATCTCCAGAATCTCCATGACCTGCTCTTTCTCCGTGATGGGCTTCGCGTTCGTCTGAATCCAGTGATCTTTGAGACTATTCTGTGCCAACCCATCCAGCTTGTCCCTCCCGACACCGACCGCCTTCAACGTTCGCGGCATCCCCAGGTCTCTGAATATCACGTCCAGAACATCCCCCAGGTCGAGCTTCTCGAGGCTCTCCTCCCCGGAACCATGCTTCGCTTCCAATAAGGCCTTCACAACAGGCGAGCGGAGCAATACCTGTTTGCAATAAGCCTGTCTTTCAACATTGGCGCCAACTTTCTCGTTCCATTTGCAGACCGCAGGCAACATGATACAGCTAGTTTCCCCGTGGCCCACGCCCAAGGGTCCCAACTGATGGCCAATTGCATGGCTTGCTCCCAAAGGCACACCGCTCCCCACGGCACTCATGGCTTGAATTACACCTCGCATTGCCTCGAACCTGGCATCCAGATCGTCTGGGTCCTTGTGCGTTCGGATCAAGGCCGGTACCAATTTCAGCAAGCCCGTTTCGGCCTCGCTGTCACCTTTTTCGTTCGACAGCAGGCTGCATAGCGTTTCAACACAGTGGTCCACTGCTCTAACCCCTGTGCTCAACCAAATCCGTTCCGGGGTGGTAGTCGTGAGCTCTGGATCAAGCACCACCAGGCTTGGGTTCCTGGTTGGGGGCTCAAAGAGACATTTCTGGTTACTACCGTCGTCCCTCGTCACGCCCGCGATCGACTGATACTCCCCACCGGATAAACTGGTTGGAATAGCGATGTGACGGATCGCAGGGTCCTTGAACGTCTTCTTCCCTTCGGCCAGTAATTTCTCCATCTCTTCGGACGTGGTGATGTCATTAGCCAGCATCCAGGCGATCACCTTCGCTGCATCAGTAAGCGATCCTGCGCCTAGAGTAATGATAGAGTCAGGGCTCTTTTTCCCCGCGTCAACCGCGATCTCAAGGACTTCATTCCAATGCGTGTGAGGGGTCATGCCGATCCTAACCCCCACGACTTTGTCGCCCAGGGCGTCTTGAAGCCGTTTGAGCGCATTCGTATTTTTCGACAGCGAGTTAGAGGCAATTATGTAGGGGCGGCTGGCTCTGAGGGTGTTCTCGAGATGATAAGCACAGGCTTCGTCGAAGCGGAGGCCCCAGGTGATGTATGGGACGGCACGGTCGTCAAAGGCGGGCTCGAGGTGGTCAATGCCGAATGAGAACGTCATCTTCGCCGTGGAAAGGACTCGGTCTTCTCGAGATTTCTAGAGTGTCTCGAGACCAGTCACGTCAGAGGCAGATCAAATAGTTCTCACGAGCAGAGGAGGAACGATTTTGAAAAATTAAGGAAGGTTGAGAGAGGTCAATCTTGGTCAATCGTGGGTTGGAGAAGTGTGGAGATTCGAGCAAGTGGGGTATCGACGAGGCTGACGGAGGCAGGGACCATCGGCATGAGATCCTCTTCACAAATGGAGTAAAAGGAGTAGAAGGAGCATAGAAGGAAAGGAAGGGCGATGTGGGACGCTGAGACTGGTCTAGGTCAACACTTCCAGAACGGCACGATGAGTGACATGGTCGTCGACAAGGAGATTGTTTGGCACAAGAATCATCCGCAACATGTACGGCCACCCCTCTTTGCGGCTCATAGGCGAGTCAAGGACGTCGTCCATCCTGTAGAGTCAAACAATCTTTTTTTTGGAATGAGTTATTGACATTCGTGTATCAATTCTCTCAATGTGACTGTCTGGCTCGGATAAGTCCGCATGAGTCTTAGCTGGCCATCGCTCGTCCCGGACCGGTGTTCTCGACTTTGTTTCTTTTGATTTTGATACCCCATGAAATGTCAATGCTCTTTGGTCTTGTTGTGGTTTCCCTGCCTCACAGGCAATTCACCAGCATAGCAAAGCGAAGCAACCTGCATTGGTGCATGCCTTGGAAATAACTTTTCGATCGACATCGGAGAAGTCGTGACAGGGAAAACGCAGCGCGTGAGAACAAACTCGAGGCGAACCAGACGCTTAATCGAAGAGACCGAAACCCATATCCTCGTCGGACTCTTCCTTCTCTGTAGGCGCAGTGTTAGCAAATGTTCACAACTCGCGGGCTGCGGGGAGAAGCAAAATCTTGCGACGTTGAGACGTACCCTCTTCCTTTTTCTCTTCTTCTTTGGGCGCCTCGTCAGCTGCAGCAGCGCCGCCAGCGGCACCTCCAGCGGCAGGAGCAGCAGCCGCGGCACCACCGCCCGAACCAACGTTGAGAAGCATATCCTTCACATCCTTCCCTTCGAGTGCCTTTGCGAACAGAGTAGCCCAGATGGGTTCGACGTCGACGACACCGGCGGCTTTGATGAGGGTGTTGAGTTTATCAGCCTACAAAGCAGAGCACAAGGCGTCAGTCTCTCATGCTCCACGTCCCTTCAATCGAATCTGGAAAAGTTCAGAGCCCGGGGTTTCATACTGTAATTTCAATGCCGTCGTCGGCAAGGATGAGAGCGGCGTAAGCGCTGGCGAGCTCGGCGGTGGACATCTTGACGATTTTGCAGAGAGACCTGTCTAATTGAACTCGGAAGGTTGATGTCGAGAAGTTGAAGTTGCGCGCAATTTCTCGAAATCGCAGGGCCGACCGCCCGGAATTTGGTTGTGGGATCGAAAATGCCAAGACCAAAGTTTATTGATAGGCGCCTAGCCTGTTTCGGGACGAGAATGCTGCCGCTCTATGTCCACTACCGCTGTCGTGCTACATGGGGCAGCTGAACCTGCCTTGGCACCAGCCTCGGCGGTTAGTTGCAAGACCCCCAGGCCTTATCTCGAGTTTCGTGCGCGTTCTTGTGTCTATCCTAGATATACAAGAGTCTCCCCTTCCAAACCAATCTAGCCAAACATAGAAGTTGGTGCGCATTTCCAACACAATACGGATTCAGCAGTTGAGCACGAGGACCACCCCGGTCGGGTGGGTCTGCGTTGCCGCATGAGATTTCCTCTTTCAGCCTTGCCTGTCTTGACCAGAGACGCAACTCCACGGTATTCAGAATGGATATACTCCGTTGTTTGCGTCGAGGTCAAGGCAGGGAAGACCACGAGTTCGACAATGCGTGTCAGAGGTGGCTCTACAGGTTGTATCTGAAGGCGGAGCCTCCTGTCGTCCATGATCCTCGCAGCACGCATCCTCGGCCTTTGCCTCTGGGAAAGCTCAGCGAACTTGAACCAAAACTATTTTTCCCTCGCTCAGCGATTGTTGAGCTTGTTACCAGAGACATGTTGCGTGAATTGACGGAGTGCGCATGTCGGAGCTGCGTATTAGAAAGGGCGACTCCGGCAGAAGGCTACAGTGGCGGACAAAGAACTAGGATCATCGACGCAGTTATGGCTCCAAGGGACGAGCCCAAGATTATCGTTGCGGTACTTCTCTATACGGATCAGATCTCTCAGCTTTACCGACTATATAAGACGTTGCTTTCCGATGAGGGTATTGACGCCCTTGACGGCAAAGAGGATATTGCCGAAGATGTTAAGGAGAGAATCCGGCACGCGAAGGCCATGTTCAAGCCGGAGCGAATTTCACTCGATCACCCAGCCCGAAACTTCCCTTCAGGTACTCGTCTGCCTTTTTTGAGGGAAGACTCGCCCAAGAGCGGATCATTTGGAACGGTCTCTAAGGTAGAAGTGCACCCGGAGTACATTGGCGACGATGTCAAGGAGTTGATCAAGGAATACGCCGGAGAACCATTGGCCCAGCCTTCAGCAGATCAGAAAGTGAGTGGATTTGATCATTCATGAGCTTTTGATCACAAGACCCCTTGGCTAATGTGACGTAGTTCTTCATTGCACGAAAAATGATCCAAGGAATAAGGGGACAAACCCTTGAAAACTCCGTTCAAATGGAGCGAGACTTTCTCGATGTGATCCGTCAGCAGAAAGAAGGCAAAGAAAATCTGATAGATTTGATTGCTTTCTACACTTTTGGAGACGAAATCAACATGCTCTTTCCTTATGTGGCACTGAACCTCCATGATTTACTCTATCATGGCCAGCTTCCACGAAATTATGACACCCACAAGCAATTTCCTGACGATTGGATCAGTTCAGGTATTAGAGGTATGGCTCAAGGCTTGTGCACAATTCACCATCCGCAAATCGCTGTGGGTAATGACAGGGAGATCGTTGGTTTTCACTTTGATCTCAAACCGAGGAACGTCCTCATCACCTGGGACGGGACATTCAAAATTACTGACTTTGGGCAAGCGCTCATCAAGGTCGTCCGCATTGGAATAGAGCAACACGGAGAGGACGGCTATCGTGGAGGGGATCCGGAATACGCTCCTCCTGAGTCGATGCCGACTCGTCACCTCGTCGAATCTCGTTATGTGAGCCACACCAGCCCTACGACAAATGGGCGCCCTGGCTCTCGCGATCTATTCAAATATGACATCTGGTCTCTAGCTTGCATCATGGTCCAATTATATACTTATCTATGCCTTGGTAAAGTTGAATCAGTGGTAAGGTTCGACGAGGATCGCAGAATGCGTGCCCCTGGAAGCGAGGTGGCCCCATATCACATTGATGGAATGGATGGGCCGGAGCTCAATCCGGCGGTGGCAACGCAACTCGACAAGATTTCGGCTTACAGCTTGAGCGTCGAATCGCCAGCTTTACACACCTACATGGAAGGGCTTGTTACAACAATGTCCCAAATGCTCGAAATCAATCCATCCGACCGACCTACGTCTGGTGAAGTGGCGGAGCGCCTTACGGTGCTTGTGAATGATTACCAAGCGGCGAGGAACGACCCAAGCGGTGTACTTCTAGCGGCCAACAATGACGACCTCCGAGACATCCCTAAAAGCTATGTCGAGGTTGCAATGGATACAAACGGCACATCTTTCGTAGCATTGGAAGGTGTTCGCATTGCAAGTCCCGATTCTCCTCAGAATGCGGGACTCCCGTGCAGATTGAGACTGTTTCACCAGAAGGGTGGGTTTTGGATGAAGATCTGGTTTAAGAGAGCCTCTAAACTGGAGATCGTGTCCAAAAGGCTACCCGAGGAAGAAGTTCGATTGATTCATTCAGCGCTTCTTGATGGCGGAGACCGTGGTCACTGTCGAATTTTGAGACTGGGTGCTGACGGCTTTGAGACAGATTTGTACTTTGAAAATGGACTGGTCGACTTCCACGCGGCCATCGTCCAGTACATTCCTCAATCGTTTGGCATCGTCGGCGGCGAGCCTCAAGATGAGATGCGGCAATGCTACAGCCTGAGGCACCCTGTCACCGTCTCGGCGAGGCGAGAGTTCCCCAGAGACCTGGCGAAAATTCGGGACGGCATCGAAGCAACTTCGGTTCAAAACTGGATTTCGGTGCAAAAGTGGAAAGCACGGCGACTGACTTACGTGGATGGGAGACATGGACCTCAGCGTGATATCGGGCTCAGGCTCATGATATTCTTCCATAACCCTGCGGCAGTCTTGCAAATACCGCTCAGATCACGCCTGGGCAAAGTAGAAGTGGAACGTCGAGGCGCTACCACCGCGATGACATTCCGCGGTCTCTCCAGGGAGAAGTTCTTCACATACGTGGAAAAGCTCGAGAGCGGCATGGATCGTCATCTTTGGTTGCCAATTGGACCGGCACACTATCCTGTGGGCAATGCTTACAGGCAAGGGGACAATAACACTTGGGAAGTGAGACTTGAGACGAAATATGAAGAAGGTGGGATCCCTCCAGTTTAGGGGGAGCGTTCCAGAGCTAACTAGAGTCCTGCAGTTGTCTCAGACATTGAGGCCCTCATTCGAGCAGCACGGGATGGCGGGGAGAAAATATCCTGGATCGATCCTGCTGCAGGCCCCAGACGTATCTCTGACCGAAGCCGCAGTTCCACAAGCAGGAGTTAGCTTCTCTCTCTCTCTCTCTCTCTCTCTCTCTCTCTCTCTCTCTGGCCGTCCGCGAGAGGAATGTTCAGACGATGTTAGTGAAGACGGTTGTATTGGGATTCGCTGCCCTGCCGACCTTCCTCCTTCCCAGAATTTCGCAGATAAACAGGACCGAGAGAGCGAGCAGGATCAGCGGGAAGGCTATAATGACCCAGAGCCACACGTCCATGCTTGCCACGATGTGGAAATGTCTGTCTTCGTTCACCGAGACATAACCCATTTGCAAAAAGTCCTGGTTTCGGGTTAACGAGACAAACAAACACCCCGAGAAGATTGAAAGAATCGTACAGCAGCGAATGAGGCGGGCACGTATATCAAGGCCACCACCGTGAGCACCTTGACAATACGGGCTTCGTGAGAGCTTTTTAACGTAAGTTCTACTACTGCACCTGTGCTAGTGCTTGTGGCGTTTGCTATTCTGTTGTTGAGCTCCGAGTTTCGGAAAGCAATGATATCTCGCAACTTCTAATTATCAGCGGTAGATCCAAAGCAGATGCGACTGGGAACGTCCACCAACCTGGCGTGACAAGTTGTTTCCACGCGCCAACAATGACTCTGTCAACTGTCGGAGAACGTCATACTGAAGCTGCACGGTTTCGGCCAAGAGAAGAAACGCATCGCGACGTTCTGCACTCTCATACCTGCGCGCGGCGTCCATCATGGAGTGTATGATCCTGGAGTTCAGGCCCAGCACGTGCGATATTCTCAACAGCTGGTCTACGAGGTGTGTGAGTTCCTTCATGGAACTTATGCATTGTTGAACCTTTTTGGAATCGCCGGCCGTCTCGGTCTCGATCGAAAACATAACCAGCTCGTCGAACTTACAACCCAGTCATCAACGCCACACAACTCCGGGTTGGGGGCTGGGAAACACTCACCAGCTTGGTTATCTGCTCGTCATAATAGTTCAAAGCCTGCCGCCATTCCCCTGTCCCGCACGATATGCAGACCTTTTGCACTCCCAGCCACTCTGCCACTGTTGAAGCTCGAGACTCTGCAGAGGTGTTGAAATTGTGCTTCAGCCGATTCGTCACCTGGAGAGGAGCCCTGATGAGTATATTTGTGCTCGTCTGCGTTATGCACGAGAAGTTCTGATAGACGAGGGCCTGACGAATGGTCCATGGGTATTGGGCAGTTCCGTCATCATGTTGTATATACTTCCACAGAAAGCAAGTTTCTAGCAGAAACACCCAAGAATCAGCATTTTGATATCCTCTTTCTCTGTTCCCAGTCTCTCGTTGGCTCGTTCACCTACCTAGGCCCTGACGTTTGTCAAATGCGTTGAAGTGCTCCTGGATGTCATATGCGGCGAAGCCTTCGTCTTGGGCAAATCCCTTCTCGCCGAACGCGGTCAAATGCTTCAGGAAGGTGGGAAACGCGTGGACATGTCGCAGTATGGAGCGCATGCTCGTCTCCGACAGCATCAGCCGTCCCCAGCCGAACGTGGGATTCAGGAGACTATTAAAACGGGGTGTCAGTGGAGGAGGGGGGGGGAGGGGAGGGCCCTGTTTCTTCCATTCCAGGATACTGGCCAGATGGACGTACAAGAATGTAGATTTGGGCGATGATGGCACCGCCTCGGGTAAAGAAACATGGCTCTCGGTCTTGTCGATGTCGCGTGAAGTCTTTTGACCCCCGTTGTAAGTCCCCATCTCCATTGCATTCCCGCTAGGGAGGAGCGGGTGGCTGCAAACTCACATCGAGGTATTCAGCCACCGCGCGGTCATTGCCGAGCACGCAGCTTCTGAGCCCTGTGTTGTGACAAGGCACATGGCTGTCAGTTCTGTCTATCGGCGTGCAAGCAAGTGACCAAGACCAATGTCCATAGCCAGAGCCATAGCCATAGCAATACCCGTATACGTTACGTATGTCCTTGTGCGCACTTACCTGTGTCGTCGACCTCTCCCACCTGGACGCGAAAATGTCCTGAGGCGGATGGACTGAAGATTCGCGGGGCCGCCTCGTCAAAGGCACTCTGGGCTTCCTCGATCGGTTGGTGCAGCGCCAGCCTGGAAGGAGAGGCATCTGCTTCGGGCCAAGGTAGAAGTTTCTCGCCCATCGTTGTTTTCCACCAGTGCTGTCTCGAGACCACAGTGGGGGTGTGAAAGGAGATTGAAAAATGGGGTTCTAGAACGAATCTATAATGTGTGGAGGCGAAGACACCGAAAAGAACAGAGATAAATATCAAAGTACTGGGTAGTGAGAAGACATGTAATTGAAAGCGGTGGCTGGCTGGGCATCAGGCTGGACCCCAGGCTGGCAGCTGGCGGGGGATTGAATGGGGAACAGGCTCAGGCTGGTGGGCTGGTGGGCTGGTGGGCTGTGGCCGGGGCAGATGGCAAGGCTGAATCTCGTCGGGATTGAGCTATACGGCTTGGGTACGACCGAGTACAGGGAAACGAAATCCAAAACCTCTTGAGAACGAAACATTAAGCCACTCAACCACTAATGTCATTTAGTTAGCAGCTACAAGCGCCTCCTCCCCTTCCAGAAAACAAAACCCCCCCAAACCCCCCTATAAAAAGCTCCTCTCCACGGCACGGTGAACAAGGGGGTTTTCACCACGCATCGACAAGCGTTACTCCCGAGCGCTGTTTGATCTCGCCGTGCTCACTAACCGACAATTTCCTCGTCGCCGTGACCTCGTACATGGTGCTTGCTCCGACCTTGATGGGCTGGTGAAACCCGCATCAGTGTTGGTATCAATGAGACGGTAGACGGGGGAAGGCTGTAGCACAATCGACGACAGAGCTAACTTACTCTCCAGAGGTATTTGTTTCGCCCAAAGATGACGTCCAGATATGCCACCAGCGCGGACGCACTGATGTTGTACTTGACCAGGCTGACTTGGTCCATCTCCGTTCTCCGTTGGGGGGCCTCAGGGCCCGAAAGCGAGGGATGGTCTGTGGTTGGACGCTATGGACCGGCTACTGCTGCTTGCAAGGTGCATAAGGACATATGAGGAGATCTAGGATAGGATGGGAAGCGATTCGACACCGAGATGCAGATGCAGAATGAGAGAGATACATTGGCCGAATATACACGATCGTCCATCCGTCCGTCCATCAATCAACCACGCACGCATGCTCCCTTTAAGAACAAAACATGTATGACTCTCACGGATTCCCTCCCTAATCTACACCTGCCAACACATCCCCCGCCACAAGCGCCTTTATCAGGCGGCGTGACTGGTGACAGGGTATCGGCTGGACGACGAGGTTCGCGGCCATCGGTTACACTAGCTTCCCAACTCCCGTCACTATCGACGCCAACTGTCTGGTTCGCGTGCAGGCCCTCCTAGCCCCAGGCAGAAGGCGCAGCGAGGCTACTAGCTACATAAGTAGTGAGGCTCAGCTGAGCCGTGTTCCTCATCGGTCGACGCCTCCTGCAAGCTGGCGGGTGACTTGTGCAAATTTGGATGATGGAATCATTGCCAGTGATACAGCAGCCGAATGGCTGACGAGGCCGAGTGTGCGGCGTTCATTATTATGTATCCTTCGACTTGCTTATCTGTGTTCTGTACAATCGTTCATCTCGTCTTCCAATCACCCGTTCAAATACTGCGCCTCCGCCTCAGATGCCGTTTGTGAAATTCCTGCCATGCATCTCCCCATCCGTGCCTGTAGTCGTGCCAGCGTTCCACCGGGTGGCTCCCACTATTGTTCACGAACAAACTTGATCCGCCTCCTAGCCAGTACAGAATCCCCACCTCCGAATTCTCGTCTCTCCTGTTGAATGCGATGTCGCGCCTTCTTCCAAACCGTCGGACTTGTTCCAAGCGCCAGTCGTACCCTTCCCATTGGCGGATCAATGGCCGGACGCCAGCATATTGAGTCAGACACCATCGCCAGAAAGGCGGCTCTTGGCTCGAGCCAAAGACCGCGAGATAATAGCAAGTTGCGAGGAGCATGACCCCGAAAGTCGTCGCGGGAAGGATCCAGCCTTGTAGCGCATCCTCCTCATCGAGAGCAACAGGGTAAGGGAATGTCAGATTCACGCTCGAGCCGGAGTCCGTACAGGTCAAGGTCTTGCCGTCAGTCGAGTTGCTCCAAACGCCTGCCGTCGGAAATCCGTCTTGATCACGGTAGGGAGGTATGACGCTGAGGATGACAACCCACAGATTCGCCAACCCATACACAATGCAGAAGAATGCTGGTACGAATCGCCACCAACCCCGACAGTTTCTCAACTTCAGATCCCATTCCCATCCGTTGCTCCCTCCGTGCACATCCATTCCTGTTTCGCTATTATGGTCCCGCGTGTTGACTTCCTCGAGGTGCTTTGTCCTCGACGGAAGTCTGAGAACGACAAAGCCCATGACTGTCAGGATGACGCAGTGTGCGTACGTCTGGAGCATGCCCGGCATGCTGACTGACTCTAGGAGTGTTTTGATTGATGCCGATGCGCCAATGAGGGCAGTAGTCATGATCCCGTGGAGTATGAGGCCTCCTCTAGGCGCGAGATACTGGTCCAGAGCTTCCTCGTGGCCCGCAGATGGCGAGTCGCTCTTCCAGAAATCCGACCAGGGAAGGATATTGCCTGATCCAATGCTTTGCTTGATGCGCGAGAATGTGTATATGATCGAGTTGAGGCTACCCAGAGAAGAGATGGCAATGAAAACCGACCATGCCTTGTATGCCGCCTCGCTATTACCGAAAAGCATTGGTGTGTAGTTGATTGCAACAGGAACAAACGGGATGGCCTTGAGGAAGGTGGCGACCAGAGCGATGTACAAGATGCTGACGACGGAGACGGCGAGAATGAACCCTTTGCGAAGGGTCACTGGTCTCTGTGGGTCAATCTCGCCAGCAACGAATGTTGCATTCTCCCATCCTTCGTAGGAAAATATCACCAAGAGAAATGCTTTTGCGACTTGAATCTTCGACATGGTTGCTGACGGCGGGCCGCATTCTTGGAAACCTGCCCCCTGGTACATCCCAACCTGTATCGCGTGCCAGCCTGCACAGAGCACAACCAACAGCAACAAGATTTTGACGCCTGCCAAAATTTGGTTGAGCATGCGACCTGACTGAGGCGAGAAGTATTGCAAAAGACACAGAAGCAAGAGGACTAGGAATGCAATCACGCGTAAGAAGTCGCGATCCGGATCCTCTTGTGGGTTTCTCGCGAACAGTAACAGCCGCCCGATTTGCAGGCAGTTGGTGGCCGAATTGAAGAATGCGACAAATAAGAATGCATACTGCACGTATGCATAAAGGCCGTCTCCTAGGGCCCTTTTGAGCCATGACCGTCCTCGGCTGGACGTAAGTTCATCGAGCTGCAGACTTGTTCGTCAGCCACGGCACCAAATACCAGACAAATAGATCCTTTGGGGTATAATCAAGAGTCTTACATACGTATACAAGTTCTCCGCCGTTGTACGGCATGACGGTGGAACATTCCAGGTAGATCAACATGCTGGTCACGAATCAACGTGTGAATCATACTTCTTATCCTCGCCTTCACTGGTTTGCTCACCTAATTAATGTGTAAATCGAGCCTATCGCCCACAGCGTCATAGTAAGGCCCTTGTCGCCGGTGAGGACTAATACAGTGGACACGTTGGTGTATATGCCGGTGCCAATCATTTTATTGACAATGAGGCTGAACACATCATAGGTACCGAGCAGAGGGGCGTGTGCAGCGGGTCTCGTCTGCGGCAGTTCGTCGCCGTCGTGCGACGGGCTGCGAGATCGCAGGTCCGTCATCTCTATGTCACTCGGACCGTGTGGTGCCATGATAATGGAGGACTCGGTGGCTCGAACATGCAGATACGCAGCCTCAGGCAAAATGCCGGCAAGGTCGCGCTCACCGCGGAGTGTCGAATATGGCTTTGCGCAACTGGAGACGAGGACACAACATGCAAGTCAAGTGGAACAGGCAAAAGGGCGCCCTCAGGCAGAAAGGATGGCCACGAATGAGGGGCAGATACCTGTATTATAGGAGAACAAGCTCTTAAAAAAGTTGGCACAGGGGGAGTCAATGGACGAGAAGGTCAAAGTGAGGCGTTGGCCACAGTGTCTTTCCTCAGGCTGAGCTAGAACCTCCATGACCGTGGCCCCGTTTTGGTGTGAAGTGTGTTTCTCCCTCCTTGATTCTGATTTGGTCGAATTGATGCCTGTTAGACGCCTGCAGAACGCCACCGTGTGTGCCTTGCGACCAGTTTCCATATCTGGAGTAAAGGAGTAGTACATACCTGAGTACCCAGTACTTGGGAGATGGTGTCATTTTCCAGAAGGGCTGGCTCATGGTCTGCTGGCCAGGGCCACGGCTCGCAACGCGCCCGATCAGAAGTGGATCCGCTACACCGGTTTGGCGAGTCAAAGCCTGGCCCTTGTCATTGGACTGATATTTGGTCCCATTCAACGAGAGTTCCGGAGGCTTTGGATCCATGTGTGACTTAGCTGCCTTCTAGGCCTGGAGGGTTGGGGGACGGGGTAGTACAGAACATGTGGCTGTGGCTGTGCTGATAAATCCAAACAGCACGCCATGAATTAGGCAATCTGGAAGGTTGAAGCTTTTGAGTACTTGGATACACCAGACGGAGCACATTGTTACCTCTTCGAAGGTCAGTAGGCCAGACACACCCCTATTGACAGAGCATTCTGAGGATGAGCTTGGGCGCGAGCATGTGGCGGGTGGACTGGATGGCCGTGAAGTGGAGGTCGGTCGTACGTGGGAAAAGAGATTCGCGAGAGAAGGGCCAAAAGGAGCGAGGGTCGGGGGTTTGACAGCAGCTAATGCTGCATTGGGCGAACCTGCCAAGCCTGCCAAGCAAGCATTATCTCCACGTGATACAAGGATCGGCCGGAGGTGCGAGCCTTGTCCAGTGCTTGTTCAGTGGCCCGGCGAGGCTGAAAACCAGACCAATGGCGTCATTAGGCTCTTTCGACTCCTCAGAAACGCAACCGCTATCACTTCTGCGTTTTCAATGTTCAAGCACGAGTTTCAGTTCTAGGTAGAGTGATTTAGACTCCCAGTCAGCCTAGTGATACTATCATTCAGTGGGGGGAAAGTCCGGTACTATTCGCCGGACTTATTTTCCCCTACCTGTCGAGCCAGCGTTCTAGAACCTCCACATACATCTTCAACTTCCAGAACTGGAACGGAAGGGTAACAGGTGCACAACAGGAAAATAAGAATATATATCATGTCCCCGCCAGATCTGGACATGCAGGCGCTGCAGCATCTCAGAGCCCAATTCTCTCAAGCACTGAAGGACTTTGCTTCTTCGTCGTCTTCATTCTGCATCCTACACTCAATCCCGCCACCCACCGCGATTCCGACCCCGTCAAATCCGATCGTCACACGCACACTCTACCTTCTAGACTCGAGTTTCAATCCGCCTTCAAAGGCACATACAAGCCTGGTAAAAACGGCGTTGAAATCGCGACGAGATTCGAGCTCGGTGATCAGAGACCAGATTCCGAGAGTCCTGTTTTTGCTGGCCACGGTGAACGCAGACAAGAAGCCCCAGCCCGCCGACTTCGAGGATCGCCTTGTTATGATGGCATTGGCGGCCGAAGATCTGCGGTCCAACTTCTCCTCCAGTTCTGCTTTGGCCGGGTCTGCGCAATCGAGTACTGGTGACCCTGACATACCAGTCCCGATAATCGACATTGGCATCACGAAGGAGCCCTATTTCATCGATAAGGCCACCGCGATCGATTCAAGCGGCATCTACCGTCCCCCAGGCTACAAACGTTTGTCAACATCCTCCAGCTCGGGAGAAGATGGCGGGATCGTCGAACAAATCCACCTCACAGGCTTCGACACCCTGCTCCGGATCTTCACGCCGAAATACTACCCAAATTACCACCCGCCGTTGTCGGCATTAGAGTCCTTCCTTCGGAACCACCGCTTACGGGCAACCATACGAGTCGACGCGAACAGTCCGTCGCAAAACCTCAAGGGCGCACAAAAGGCCCAACCGGAATCGAGTCGGGGTGCAGCTGGCTCCGAAGTACCTGACCTGACGACGATCGCCGGGCAAGAGGCGTACTTGCAGGGCATTAAAAACGGGGCGCTGGAGAAGGACGGGCTGAAGCGAGAGTGGGCGGAGAGGGTGGAATTGGTGGTAGACGAATCCGGGGAGACGGAAGGCGTGAGCAGTACGAAGATACGAGACGCCATGAAGAAAGGGGACTGGGACGAGGTCAAAGGGTTGGTAGGCCACAGGGTAGGAGAGTGGATCAGGTATAGGAGTCTGTATTTAGAGGAGGACGAGCAAGACGATGCAAAACGTTAACTAAACCAGTCCGACTTCGCCAGTGTTGGGTCATCAAGGTATAAAACGATGGGCAAGCATTGGAACTTCACCGTTCCGTACCGAAGATGAAGTGTTCAGACAAGAGATATATAAAGTTACCTCTTTTTTAATATTCTCCCCAAATAGCCCGGGACATGTCCGGGCGTGTTGTTCTCGTACGTCTTCTGACACCCTGGCGACCCAGACACAGATCATCGCATTTTCTCTTGCCCTTTACTTCCCAAGCTCGACCTTTCCACTACCCTGCTGCATCCCCGTAACGCCTGCCCCGGGCTTCCCGTCACTTCCAGCCGGCTCGGGTGCCGGGTCCGTCCTCTGCAAACCCTTTGCACCGGGATCCGCTTCAGCCTTATGCATCTGCTCGCTGATCTCTCCACTAGCCGGAGCACGAGAGCTAGTATCTGTGTGTCCAGCATCTTCCTTACCGCCACCCACAGCGGTCTTGCTGCTATGTGCCGGTTTAGGGGCCGAACTGCCATGAGAAGTATCGCTGACCCTCTTGCCGTCCGGAGTCAAGCCGAAAACAGCACTGTGGCTGCCAGGGGCGGCGGTGCCAGTCATCTTGTCCGTGGGGTTCGGGTCGCCGACGAGGGCCGGGTCAGGGCCTTGTTTGGGGGACTGGACCCGGCCGAGGTCCTGCGAGGTGCCCTGTTGGTCATTGCTGCCACTGTTGCCTGCTGAGACGGGCTTGGAAGGGGTCTCGGTTGAGGATACACTCGTGTCATCATTAGTAGTGGGCGGCTCGTCATTCTTGTGATGACCGGGGACATGATGGCTGGAGAGAAAGAGTCAGTTGTTTGGGTCTGTGGAGATCGATTGCAAGAGTCTTCTCATACTGATGCTCTGGTGCCTACATCGAGGTCAATCAAGGCTGTCGCTGGGAGAAAAGGGTGTCACTCACGCTCTCCTTGTCGTAGCCCATAACGTGGTTGAACGCGTTCTTTGCAGCTTCCATCTTGGGCCAGCCTATATTACCTCGAGCTCAAGGCGATATCCACTGTGCAGGCTTTATAGGATTTCTCTCTTTCTCTCTTTTGTTTTGGTGGCCAGCAGGAGGAAGATCTTTATGTGACGTGGTAAAGTGTCCGGGGGGAGGGAGCAGGGAGGATCACGACAATATATGAACTTACACTGGAACCCGAACCCCCCTCCTCCATTCGGGGTCCCTGTGCAGGAAGATAGCCGGAGAGCCAGGTGACAGTCGATGCGTCCCTCTGGACGATCCATCGTGTTGGGGAATCTGACGACATCACTGTGCGTCATAGCTTCAAGATTCACAGACACCTCGATGCGTACCGTGTATCTCACGCTGTTTTTAAAGGAGCCGAGCATCATAAATGCGGGGCGATGGGTGGCGGGGGCTCTCTCCCTTGCCCTGCCAGCTGCACCTTTGCGAGCCAGTAGTTACTGCACGGCATCAACGGATCCAACGGGCTTCACATCTCGTCGAGCCAGTGGCAGCGAGGCGCAGGTCATCCATCTGACTGGGACACGCCTGGATACCACGCCGAAAATTGGGAAGCCCCATCAAAGCCTCATCGGCTAATAATGCGTGGAAAGGAGGGCGAGGCATCTCCCTCTGCGCACAAAGTCGTCATCGTGCAGTCTCGGGAACTTTCAATCTTCGGTCTAATGCCGCTACAAGGCAAGCAAATCCGTTTCAATGGTCAAGATGAGGCTTCAACATCTGGTTCATTTCGATGGGGGGCCATCTCTACATCTTCATCTCGAGTCCCTCCGCAAAACAAAAGCCAAAAAATTGTATTTGTACAAGAATCGAAAAGATTGGTCTCCCCTTCGTTTCTAACGTCCCCTCTCTCCTGTGTGTGGCACTTCCAAAGCATCCCGTGGTTGAGCATCTCATGGCTTCCATCCCGCTGGAGTGGTATACTTGGACATGGTCACAAATCCAGAGCTTGGGCGGTGCCTTCTTGTCTCGGTGCCGTTCCCAAACCCATAGCTGGCCGATATCATCGTGCTGGTTGTGCTGGGTGTGCTCGTGGTCGAGCTCGTGGCTGAAGTGGAGACGTCAATCGCCGCTACCGGTGGCGAAGGCTTGAAAGTGGGTTCAAACGAAGGCTTGTTCTCAGGCTTGTTCGCACTTGGCGTCGCTGTGACGGTGATGGTGCTTTGCAAAACCTCGGTAACGGTGACATATGCAACACGGCAAGCACCTCCTTCCTTGCCAGCTCCGCCGGCACCACCAGCGCCCGTCTCTACGGGGTAGACAGTGATTGTCTCGGTGGTCGTGGATTGTAATGTGATGGTGGTGGTACCTTCCGTGCTTGCCGCAGCTACGTTCTTGACGTCTCCGGCTCCCTGTGGCCTACCCGATGGTCGAGTTATGGTGGCATAAATAGTACTCGTCAAAGTCAAAGTCTTGGTCATGCGAATAGTGGTAGTAATGACAGACGCTGATTTCCCAGCGCCCATAGTCAAGGTCACAGTAGTATCCTCCACAGTCGTTGTGACAGCAACTTCCTCGCCGGATGAGACCGTGGTGGTTGTCATCGGCCAGTCTGACCAGGTCATTGGCCCGCTGGTAGTTGAGGTGACAGCTGCATTGACGGGTGAGCTCCCACCAGAAGTAATAGCGGAGGTCCAGTCGACCCAGGTTTCTTCTGCACTTGTAGTGGATGTAGAAGCTGTCTCGGCCCCTACGATGGCGCTGGTGCTCTTGGACGTCGAGGACGTCCAGTCTAGCCAAGTTTCCGTGCTCATAGTGGTGCTAGGAGAAGCCGAAGCCGAAGTGGTGATGGCCTCAACGACAGCGCTGATGGATGTGGTTGTCGAAGAAGTCGTCATCGGAGTCGCTGTCAGGGACGAGGTCTTCACGCCGTCAATAGTGGACTCGCCATTGCTGCTCGATGATGTCCAATCGGCCCAACTGATCATTGAGGAGGTGGTGCCGGCACCGGAGCCGCTGGTTACGGAGACATCTTCAACAACTGGGCTGATTGTAGATGTCAATGCGCCTGTGCTTGCGCCATCGACAATCGCACTGGATGTGGTCATTTCGGGTGAGTTTGACGAGGTGGTGTCATTGGTGAATTGACGTTTAGGGAGTCTATAAGTGAACCCGTCAGGGCGAGCCTGCGCCAACGTCAAGGAAGCCACCACAAGTGCCACGGTCTGGAAATGCATTTTGGCTTGATCTTGGTTCGTATTTCTCGTCAGAATCTTCTTCCTTTTTGTGGGTTTCTAGTCTCGTGGAAAGTTGTCAAAACTTCCTTTGCCTCGGATTGAGCTGTTTGATATGTCGGGATCAACCCGCTTGGGAAAATGAATGTGCGGGAAAAGGAGTGACGGGTTTCGAATGAAAAAAAAAAGAGTGACTGACGTCTCTAGGACGTTTGAAGCAATGTTCAAAGGAACGACGGCGAGTTGATGAGAACTCAGAAGCAAAGAAAACAAAAAAGCACAAAAGCAAAAGGAAAGGAAAAGCACTGCAAAAGCTGACTGCCAGCGGAGTTGCCATTCTAGGGTGATGCATTGCGAGGAAATTGTAGGGGCGTTGGAAGGTTGGGAATCCAGCAGGCCAACCTAGACAGTGCCCCAGTGAGCAGAAAATGAAGCGCAGATCCAGTATGAAACAAAGGACGAAAACCCGCTGGATGATGTGTGGTTGGTTGAGCCGCCGCTTGAAGAGAGTGTCGCACGATTTGCGAAGAAATGCAGGAGGCCGGCGGAGGGACGTGAAATACACATGATTGGCCCAGGACCACAAGGCTAGATATCGCTTGACTGCTTTAGGGACTAGCGCCATCGGGTCTGCCTCCTGAACAAGGCTGTCACCATCTTGTCATCATATCGACCAGGACTTCAAACACTCCAGTTCCCCATCCAAGCTCCTTCGCCTCGGCATGCCCACTCTCTTCATGCCACGTCCCACCCCGCCGCGACCCTACCGATCTGCATTGCCTGTCCAATCTGCTCGGCTGGCTGACGATGCTGGTGCATATTAGCCTGGAAGTGCCATCAACGGAGCCCCAATTATCGGCAACGGTGCTGCACATCCAATCGGCAATCTGCCTGTGCAATGGGAATACCATGCATATCATCTCGGAAGGGTGCGGTTGGCGTGCGTCAAGATACACGAACTTTGGTCGCCGATGAGCCACGTTGCTCAAGGTTTCTCACCCGTGGCACCCTTTTGCATGTCTTCCCAGATAACAGGTAGGTCTGCTCGATGTGGTGTGACCCAATGTCATATCAACTAAGCGATAACGACCTTCCATCTCTGATTTTGCTTTTTGAAATTCTCTCTCTATCTCCGAGATTCAGGAACACAGAGAACATGGGTCCATGTACGATTGAGTTGGAGGCCAGTTTCAGTTGCGGCCTTGTCAGTGACCCCAGGGACTACATTCGCCGAAGTTCTCCTACTTATGAATCAGCGAGAAATGCCTTCTGCGTTCTTCAGCGCTGTGTGCCTGAGGTTACTTTTTTCTTTTTCCTTCACTGGGTGGATTGATAGATGCCCTCTCGTCGTCATGAAAGGCGCTTAGATTCTATTTTGATGTCCTTCACGATACTAGCCCTCGTTGCAAATTACTCTCAAGGTGTAATGGAAAAAGGAACGCAGGCGCCAACACCGGGTTGTCTTTTCCTTCAGGGACATTGGGAAGGGCATATACACGCCTTTGGTGTGTTCTGCAAAGATGCAGCTTGTTTCAGCTGCAAAGGCACATAGTCCAGTCCAGCACTTCAATAATAGCATCCTCTCCCTTTTGGACATTAGTAGCGTGCATCGCATATGTATCAACCTTGGGGCCAATCACGTCTCTTACATTCTCCCCTCCGAGTTCCGATTCTATCACATTTCGAGGAATGGAAAACATCAGGTATAAGTGCTCCGAGAAATCAATATGGTGCCAAATTCGGCAGCGGTGAAGCGAGAGTAAAGGTCCGACCGGCCAGTCAATCCGGTCTCTAGACGTGACAAAGAATTGGCGCGATCTGGCGTATTAATTCTGTCTGTCTTCTTCATATCTATTGATCTAACATTGATGAGTCTCGCCTTCGTCTGAGGAGGCCCTAGTCAGCGGTATCAATACGACTGTGATAAGCGAATACTTACTTTTGATAATCTTCTTCATGGCCATCACCAGACTCACAGTCATGACAGCAAATCCAAATACAATACAAGCCACTGCTGGAATTGTCTTCCAGCTTCTAGTGCTGAGCTTGATATAACACAACGGCGGTAAAATGTATGCCAATGCACAAGCACTGGTTGCCCCAATCAGTTCGAAAACAGCCCCGAGATCGCATGTGATCAAGCTGATCGACATCGCGCTAACCACCAGGGCACTGCTGAAAATCAAATGTCGGTTGGGCTGGTAAGGTTCCTCGGGGAACCAGTAATTGTTCATCACTTCTCTGCAGACAAAACACTCAAGAGGAAGGGTGGTGAGCATGTTGAGCCCAAAGCATAGTCGAGCAATCTGGACCAGCACATGTCCTTGTGACGGGAAATTGTTCAATACATTGCCCTTGGTCTTGTCGCCGAATGTGAGGAAACCCGCCAAAGCCAAGACAAGGCAGGCAACCAGGGAGATGAAGGTGCTGTAATGGGTCACAGTCGAAAATCGGTCTAAAGTGGGTGTTTTGAGAGAGCCGTAGATCAACAAGGAGTTGTGATGGCAGACGAAAGCTGAACAAATTAGTTTGTGCTAATCACAAGGGGACGAGCCGTACCGAAAGAAATCACCCCAACGGCTTGAAAGAATCCATCATTGACAAAGAGCAGTCCTCTCAGACTACCTCGCAGGTCTGAATCGACAACCGCTCCCTGAGTGACGACTGTCACAATGATGATCAGCATGCTGATCAACGCCAATGTCGAGGCTTTTGCGAGCTGCTGCTGTTAGCGTGGGCCTCGTCTTTGCATTGAGAGGTGCAGACCTTTGCGATATCCCTGTAGAGACTCAATAGCCAGCTAATACCCAATATGAAAAGGACAATGACAGCTCTTCGATCGGTCAGAAGCCATAGAAAAGGGATGTCCCTCAATCCGGGGATCAATGCTTCGATGACGTGTGGGATAGTATCTCCAACAATTATACAAAACGCAATCATCCCGCCAAACGCGAACGCCCACTGTGCGACCGAAATAGCGACTAACCCACTGGACCCAAAGCAATGTTGCATAGTCGCCTGAAAGGAGTCTGCTCCAGACAGTTTGCTGTTGATGACGATCAAGCGAATTGTCCAGTCCACGGTGACTGTCAGACTAACAAGCAGTATGATGCCCATGGTCATACCAGCTTGCCGGAAAGCATACGGTTGACCAATAATGCCAGCCCCAATGATAGAGTTGGCCATATTCATAAACGCACTGCGCATCCCACTCTTGGGCCTTGCGTCGGGCAAATGGTCCTCTGGCTGGAAGGATTCGGAGAGAAAGGGGGACTGCGCCGGGGGAGTGATATCGGTCAACAGGGGAGCATGCTGGCTCGGAGAAGTGAGGTAATCCTCGTCGTCGACCCACTCCTCTGGATCTCGGATGGTCGACTGCTCGTCGATGTCGAACCGTACTCGGTTCGTCGTTCGGGGGGTGCCATCAGGGCGAGGATGTGAGAGAGAAGACTGTCTCAGCGAAGGGGGTCGATTGTCATGACTGACTGAGCCAGTCGGGGAGTCCGCAGTCAGGGTTGACGTAGGCTCTGCAGATGCGAGGAGGTGTGTGTAGCCCTCGATCTTGCCATTGGCGATGTCTTTGACAGATCCATTTGAATCTTCGTCATCTGCTGGCATCTCGCACGAATTTCATCTCGCCCTCCGGCCACAGGAAAAGAATGTTGGCGAGTAATGGGTGGACGAGGAAGAGGGCGAGTTGTCATCTTCAATGTTACGAGGCATATGCACCTTGCAGGTCGAGGGCGTCTGCAGCCTCAGCACGTGCTGTCTGCGCACAACCTCCGTGCACCGATCTGTTGAATTACGGGTGAGCACTTGAACGGGATCACGCCGTTTCCCTTGAAACTTTTGTGATCGTTTCAGCCATTCTTGAGCCTTTTCCGCTCGTGCTCCCTGAAGAGAAGCGGGAAGTAGACGGCTCTACTCGTGTTCACAACATCCTCCGTTCTTCAAGTTCAAAATGGTTTGAGAGGCATATTTGGGAGCAGACCTTGCAACACCTCGGCCGTGACCCCTTGACTCTACAACAATGGCTAACGCCGACAAGTTAGCGTCAGCCTTGCACGTTGCCAGCTGGGACCTTGAGAAACTCAATGCGTTGGTCGCGGACTAAGGACCAGTTTACGAAATATGGAGTACCTTGTTATCACTCGTCAGGCACCGACAACCATCAGGCTCTCGCTTCACCGCCAATCATCCAAGTCTTACCGAAAATTGAAAGAGAATCAAGGCATACGCAGCGCACTTTGCTCTTCATAACTTTTATGCAAATGACCCCACATTGACCAAGGCCCGGGGTCATTTCCGACTCCAAATGAAGGGCCTGAAATGATCCTTAGGACCTCACGCCATTCGGGACTGGCAATTATTTCTGCATTCGGATCCGCAGCATCTTAGTGGTCTGCTTACCCTGCGTACCCTTGGTGGGAAGAGGTAAAGAACACGATATGAGGATCTGCCAAGGTGCAAAGACTTGGGCTTGTCTCAACCTGGGGTGTAGGTTCGTGTCTGCATCAGGAGGAAACTTTTATCTTTATAACCAGTGGCCCCAGGCTCACTCCTTTTATCGTAAGATCCAGAACTAATCTTTCGCGATGGCGGACTTCAAGGATAAGGTAAGCCGACCACTCAACTTCCCCAAGGAAAAGGAAAGAAAGATCTCACCCCTCCATTTCCGAAAGATATATCAATGCCTCATGTATTCTGATCCTCTTTTGATCCAACCAGGTCATCGTGCTGACAGGAGCCTCCAATGGAATCGGCGCAGCAACGGCTCAACTGTTTCTGGAACAAGGCGCCAAACTCGCAGCACTGGACATTGTCGACGCTCCACCATCAACTGATGCCCAACGGCTCAATATCAAATGCGACGTCTCGTCAGAGGAGTCCGTGAATGCAGCAATCAAGCAAGTTCTGGACAAGTGGTCCACCATCGACGCCCTTGTCAACGTCGCCGGGGTCATGGATCAGTTTGGTAAGACAGGTGGCCTCCACTAGGAGGAAGTTCCCGACAAAACTAACACTCTTATCCTCCATGCTCAGAGCGGGTCGGCGACGTGTCAAACGAAATCTGGAACCGTGTCATGAACATCAACCTCAACGGCCCTTTGAACACGATGCGCGCCTGCATCAACCACTTCCTGACGAAGACGACGGAACAGAAGGGCCGCATAGTCAACGTCGGTTCTCTGGCTTCGATCAAGGGCGGCACCGCTGGCGTCGCCTACACGACCTCCAAGCACGCCTTGCTCGGCCTCTCGCGCAACACGGCCTGGATGTACGCCAAGGAGGGCATTCAGTGCAACATCCTGTTCCCCGGCGGCGTGAGCACGGATATCATGAAGAACAGCAAATCCATCCCCAACAAGGTAGGAATGGATACGGTGATGCCGACCATGGCGACGTCGGTGGGAAACTGCGAGCCGGGAGACATGGCGAGGGCGATTCTGTTTTTAGCCAGCGCGCCCGGGCTGAATGGCGCCGAGTTGAAGGTCGATAAAGGCTGGTCGACTGCTTGAGCTAGGAACAACGCACTGAGAGACGGAGCGCTCCCCCTTTGATCGTGCCGATTTTGCCCATTCAAAACAGCTCGGGAAGCTATACGAAAGACACGATGGTCTTGGGGCCAGGCATAGTCTAGCTGTCGCTCTCAGCAACAAGATACGACTCTGTTGTCGCTCCTACCTATTGCGTAACGTCCCCGTAGGGTTTAGACGTTGACGCAATATTCTACTCGTACGTGCTTATTCTCCACTTGTAAACGAGCGCAGCCACAACTCGTGAGTGAGACCTTTCATGTGGACCACGCATTCGAAGTTGGTGCAAAAAATCAACACTGGGATTTCACTCTAGTGATAATACGTAGTAGGAGGACTGGTGCCTCAAGCTCCGCGTCGAGTTCTAAACACTAAACAATAACTAAAGGCGCTGTATATACAATGAATAATGCTCTGGGTGCCGGATTTTTTTACCTGATATGCACAGGGGTTCCTGCTTGTTTCCCTTTGCTTCCTTTCGTGTCGTGGCCTGTGCCCGTCCCCCGTCCCCCGTGTCCGTACTTTAAGGACGACGGCATGGACCAACAAAATGATCTGATTACAAAATAAGTCCCACCAAGAATGCAATTGCCATTAGCGGCAGGAATAGGCTGGGCCTGGTGTCGGCCACTGCCGAGGAGGAGGATGAACTCGAGTTGCTCGATTCTCCAAAGGGGCTGCTGTCGCCTGCTCCCGTAGACGTGGACGTGGCAGCGGCGCCAGTGGATGAGGTGTTTGGTTTTGATGTTGTCGATGTCGACATTGTCGTTTGGCGTCTGGAACCTGTGCCAGAGCTGGTGGTCGGTGCGGGCGACGTGGTCGAGGTAGCGCTGCTTGTTGCGGACGACATCAAGGCGGAGGTGGTCGCAGCGTTGTCACTGCCTGAAGCCGCTCCAGATTTCGTGCCAAATCCAATTTTCGCATTGTCAAAGTCCAAGACCGTGTAAACGTTTTTGAGAAACACGTCACCCAAAATCCAGTCGTCCAGCCCAAAAGCCTGGTGCCCGATAATGTTACTCTGGCAGCTTCCACTACTGCCGCTTTGCTTGCCAATGTAGTCCTGAGGAGAAACCGAGTACTTCACACCGGAGATCGTGAAATAAACATTGGCCGAAGAGGAACAAGGTACCGTGTAGATTTCGCCGTTTTGAGAACTGCCAGGGATCAGCTGATGCAGAGCGTCTGCGTCAGACGGAGGCATCAAGATGTATGATGTCCCCGTGTCGATGATAGCGGTTTTCGACTGGAAGCCCACTGATTTGCTGTCCACGCCTGCGTCGCTCGCAGCAATTTGCCAGCTGTTGTCGTTGATTGTTTTGGAGTATGACAGTTCGCCGTTGAATTTGGACAAGTCAATGCCGCCAAAGGTAATCTGGCCATCTTTGGTCCCGTCAGAGCTTCGCTGTAGGTGGATTCCCAAAATATTTGCGGACAAATGGGCTTTGTCCTTTAACACTTGCATGATAGTCGGCGAGCCCAGCGCGTCCGAGGCGGGTCGTCCAAGCCCCAAGATGCCATCCATAGGATAATTGTTGAAATCATCTGATGCTGAGGAGGCGAGGCCGAAACCCAGCTCGATGGTATAGTTCGCCAAACGCACCGTGTCTTTGACTACCACTCCCTCAACTTGCCCTGTGCCATAAGTCATACTCCAAGCTTGAGTGGTCGTCTGCATTGTGCTCGAGTCTTCACTGCCATACGTATTGTGTATTTGACAGGCATTGGATTTGCAATTTGAGCCCATGACCCAGGTATTGGCTGACCCGCTGTCGATCAACATATACATCTCTTGACCCTTGGAACCAAATTTCACGGTGGAGAAGTAGGTATAGTCGTTGCCGTCTTCGTTAATCGCCATGGCGTTAGGGACATTGGGGGCTGAGGAGTTCACAACCGGGAACATATTATTCCTTTTCATCTGCGAGGTGGATTAGAATTTTGAAGTCCGTCTCGACGAAGCCCTGGACTCACTATTGCCTTCTTGATGTCGATGGCCACCACACCCGAGTCATCCTCACGCGGGAACTCAAGATCCAATGGGATGAATCTCTTGCTGTTCTCATTTCCTCCATCGCCAGCATGGTAGGGATAGAATGCAGAAACACAGCTAGAGAGCAAAGGCAATGATAACCAACGACGATGCATGGTTATCTGCGTTCATGCAAAATACAAAATCACTCCATTTGCGTTTATCGAGTTTTCTTTTGGTTTAAACCCCAGGGAGCCTGTCCAGATTAAGTGTATTGCAGCAAGGCGTGTTTCTCGATTTGGTATCCTGCCCAAGTTCAACGGATAATGGAAGAGTGCAATAGACAATACAGTAGGAGCCAAAGACAGAGCTCGAGGGATTCTCAATCAAGAGATCCCAAAAGACGGCTCGGGATAAAAGTACAGCGATAATACCTTAGGTAGGTAGTGAATTGCAATGCAAGATCCGGTAAAGCAGAGTCGTGAACAGCATATCACTTTTTGAAGTTCTTCCAAGAGGTTGGCTCCCACCACATACCTCTGGAGTCTGAAGCCACAGCGTCCGCCATGCCAAGTGCATCAAGTGCATCAGTGCATCTAGAAGCGGGTCGTCATCCAGGGGGTAAAAGGCCAAATGGAGCAGCGAAGGCAGTTCGCGTACCTGACGATCTTTTACGTGCTCTCTCGATTGGTCCCTAAGAATGCGCCCCGAAACGGACGCAGGGCCCTCTGGCGTCAGTCATGGCCAGGGCTCGGGCCCAACCCCTTTGTGGCTGGAGGGTGACTCCCCCCAGGTTGCCCTCATGGCCAAATGTTTTGTGTAGGCGCTGAGGAACCTTTGACAGGGAGCGGGGTGTATCGAGATCCAGTGTCTAGATCAGATCTCTTTGCCACAAGGGAATGGCGAAGACATCCTCAGACACATCGGTAACTGGACGAGTTCACGAGCTCAATTTGGCACGGACCAAGCAGGGAGAAAGCGTTAGTTCGAGGTCTGCGAAAGGGGGCTTGAGCTCGAGGGGGGCAACAGAATGGAATGGCCGGAAGCTGAGAGATGGCAGAGTGGAGGTTTTGTGGAGTCGAACAGCGGGTATCATCATCTACTGTAGCAATTATGTGGAGTCGCATCAGAAACAAGAAACACTCGTCCATAGGTACTGTCACCACCGGACTGGCAACTAACATCTGCCATCGAGCCCCTCATCAAAATGACAAGAGATACTCGGTACACGACACACGATACGAAAGGTGCGCTGAGCGCTTGATTAAAAGCAAATATACGTCGTCAACCCAGACCAACATGAGATTATGTGGTTCTCGGTATAGGCCACAAGAAAAAACAGACCGCTCGTGCTACAACGCTGTCATGACAGTTGCAACGCCGATGCCACTGCTTCGGCACGCAGTCTCAGTTATGGCTTGGCCCCCTTGCCCTGCTGCCCAAAGAGATCGTCGAGGAATCCCGTCCAGATCTTGCGGACCGTCGCCTCATCCTTGTCTTTGACCATATCCACGAATTGGCGCGCACTCTTGCCCACCGTCTCCGTCAGAGCTGTGAGCATCTCGACTGACAGTTCGGTTGGATGGTGGCCATCGTGTACATCGCTCATGGCACTTGCAGGGCCACCGGCGACGTCTCCAACAGTGAAAATCTGTGGCTTCATAATCGTCTCCTGACCACGGGTATCTTGATAGCTTCCAGCAGCTGCATCCAGCTCCGGGTGTCTCTCCAAGACTGCTTCGGCTTGGTCGGATTGGATATAAGGCAGAATAGGAACGCGGATGGAGGGAGGATTGATTCCCCACGACTCTTCATGTAGCTTGGGGAGGTAAGCAAAGTCAATGGTGGACGTGTCGCCCACCGCCTTGAGGGAGCGAGAGGCGTTGAAGTGTCGCTGGGGTGCGGTTTCAGAGGGACTGATGATGCGGTCAGTTTCAGACCTCGCAAAAAGAGGGATGACAAACATACCCTGAGACAGGCTTTTTTGTTTGCTCGACGGCAATCCGTTTCATGGCAATGGAAAAGGCTCTTGCTTGTAAGCTGTCATGGCCCGCCAGGCGGTCAATCAGCTCGTGCTTGGTGCCAGAAGCTGAAAGTGTGCGCTTCTGGCACTCTTGACGGAGGTCCTGCAGAGTCCATGGCATATAGGTGCTCTTATGATTGGGGTCGATGGGTCTCGGAGAGGCATGGACACCAGTAATGTGCAGGCTTCGTTTGGCCGGGGTCGACCCAGGGGTGCGCTGGAGGTTGCGCAGGGCTTTGAAAGAGGATGCTCGAGGAGCTGCCATGACGGCCGATACGACTAAAGACTATAGAGTAGAAAGGTATAGAGATGCCGGACGGACGGTCGCGAGGTTAATGAATGGTGTGGAAGATGTTGTGATCGATGTAGTCTTGCGGGGGGTTCATATGCAGGGTTGGAATGGTGGAATGATGTTTGGGGAGGGGGCACCTGTACGAAGTATTGGTGCAACGGGGAGTTGAAATGGCGGCCACGGTTTGGGGTTGTTGGTGATATGCAAGTGACGGCGGGATTCGTCGGGGTGTGAAGGGAGACCAAAAGGAACAGAAGCAGGAATGAGATGGAGCTGCGTCGGGGGAGATGATGTTGCCCTTATGAAGCACAGCTCTGGTGCTCCCGGAGTGGCTCTATCTCATCCATCATTTGTGTTCAATGGAGAGGCTTCGCTTGGGCGGCCAATGGCTTCCGGTGGCTGTCAATGGCCGCTAGGCTGCGGGTTTGGGCCCTTGGAGCGGGGGATTGGGGGCGTTGGCTCGGGTCTTCTTGAGCGTTGAGAGCAGGGAGCTTGCAGCTTCGGTCTCCGCATTGCTGCCTCTTGACCGATTTAGTTCTCAACACTGGCTAGTAGTACGATTGCTTCCCATCCGCGGCAAAGTACCATGCGTGTTTCGGTAAACCTGCCTTTTTGGCGGGCTGGTGTGAGAGCGGTGTGTCACTTTTCGCTCGCAAAGAACGGGATATGGTGCCGACGATAGACACTAGATAGGTGCGGAGGACATGCAAAGACTTGCTCTCGCTACTGCTTATCAAGCCATACATACGATACCCAGTATCCTTGCCAGAACTCTGTCCACCGGCAAAAGTCGCCTGGTCTATCTCGAACGAATGTTCCCCTGGGGGTTCCGGCAAAACATATAGCCACTAAGCAGACTGAAAATGCCTACCAAGTACAAGTAGGTACCCAGTACTGGGTAGGTGGGCAGAGAATAATGGCCTAGACTCAATATCCCGGACCATAGATGACCGGGAGGTATGGTCACTTAATACCTATGCGGTCCGTACTCCGTATGGTCTCCGGACGGGAGTCGTATCTCGTTTGGCGGGTGACTGGTCCGAATGCTGACCAGATCCCGGCTCCTTCATCATTCATGAGGCTGACCAGTTGCTAAAAATGGTCGGGGAAGCTCGGATCTATCAGAGCTATCGACTCCACTGCTCTCCAAAGGTCCAAAAAGGCCTTGGTGACTGTGAACCCCTGGTCGACGCCTAGCGCAAGGCTTGCCAACTTCCTGTTCTTCTTCAAACTGTTCTCAACACCATTTATTTTCGACTGTGCCAAATTCAGCGCCTTTCTTTCATTGTCTGTTTGGCAGAACTGGTTCCCGACACGAGCATTTGATCTGGGGCTGAATTGAGACATCGCAGGTTCTTGCAGAGTTAGAAACCCAAACAAAGAGCACATCGCGTGTCTTGGAAAGATCCTTCCTGATGAAATTCGACAATACGCCGCGATCTGGTGAGATGTTCTTGGATGCCACAGCACTGAGCAGAAGATCTTGGTATGCTCAGCATGAGGTGATCTGAGATGGATCAACGGTTGGTGATTGACGATGATGCTCTCGTGCGTCTTGACGCTTCTTGGTTTGCGAGGAAGGCAGCAGCTGCGCAGACCTCGAAGCTTGAAGTCAACGTTGCAATCGAGAGCAGATCATCGCTCCATGCTCCATCTTACTCCGTCTACAGAATCTTGTCAGTGGATTGTCCTGACAGGTGCAAAGAGGCTCCTTTCATGAGGGATGCAAGCAGGCGAAGGAAAGATGTTTGTCTCGTCTCAACTCCACACTTGGCTGCTCGCCATGCACCTGCACAACCTTGTCCCCAACCCTCCTTTGCCTCTCTGGCTATTGCATCAGCCGGCATTGTCTTATACTCTCTTGGTAATGGTCTCAAGTCGTCTTTCGTTGTCTGACGTCGACTGTGGTTGTGGCTGTTGTCGGTTATTCCCTCCACATCGCTGCCGCTGCGTGCGCCTCTGACAATTCCTGCGCCCTCCCCGTCGACATCATTCCGCTCTGACAACACCACGCAGCTCTGTTGCTTTCCCCCTCTTTTCCCCCTCGTCCAGTGTTCCGGAATCTCTTGGAAACGATCAATTCTCGCCAAGCACCTCACACGTTCTTCTGTTGAATTCACCTTGAAATTGTGACCGTTCTCGCCTTCTTCTCCTCCCTCGCCGGCCCCTCGTCTTCCTCTTCTCCATCCTCCTCGACTGTTCTTCCAGAGCTTCATCCTGTGCAGGGTCCTTTTTAGCAAGCCGCAGCTCTCCTTACACCCCAGCATCCCGGACCTCATTGAGAGAATCCCGGGTCAAGCCGTGTGAAATTTGTTTTGTTGGTCAGTCGGGATATTCTCGTTTCCGCTGGTGATCCTTCCAGCACACCTCCGGCAGCACGCTTATCTATCTGTCTTCCTCTCACTTAGCTTCTCTAAGATCCCTTTGACACCCTTTGGAGCCTATCAATGGGGCGTGGACCTCGTCGCCACGTAAAGAGCGAGGAGGATGAGTCTGAGGACGAGGTTTTGCCCCCAATGTCTCCGAACACTCTGAAGGAACATCAATTGAAGATGATTCAGCGGGTATGTTTATCATGAAACAGTCTCCGAAGCTTCTGGCTGAATTTGCTTTTCAGGCAGACCTTTGTGAAGACAATGCAGACGCGATCAAGACAAGCGACTACTCCAACCGTGCCCGTCCATTTCCAGCCATCTCTCTCACGCGCGAGTGCAATATCAAAGGCACCGAAGCTGCCAGAATTGCGAGTGAGAATATAGCGAAGACGTCCAAGTGGCAAGGTAAGAATGTGTACTTGCATTGTGTCTTCGTGGCCTGACGTTTTCTAGGTTTCGGACAGAGCGATGAAGCCGTTGACGCTCTCTTCACCCAGAAACAAGTTGGTGATGGCAATACTCATCGCAATAGCTTGGAACAGCAAAAGAGACAAGAGGAGGAACGTCTCGGGCATAAGCTTGACCTCGAAGATACGTACAATGACTATGGTGGCGGTCGACGAACCGGCAAGAGAAGTGTCTCCGTCCATAATCGCCCTCCACCAGTGTGAGTATTTTCCAGGCGTTCCTCTCTTCATGACTGAATATGCTCAAGGTATTCTGCTCAATCAGTCCCCAGCACGCGTCCACCTTCTGCTGTGCCAAAGGAATCATTATTTCCGAACAGTAAGGCAGTTCAGGCCCGGCCCTGGCCTCCTCCAGCTTTCGAAAGTACACCTTCCATGGCACTTATTGCGAAGATAAACCAGTCACTTGGCAAACCCAGTACGGACAAGCCATCTGTCATGTATGCAACTCCTAAAGTTGCTGCAAACGAACTCAATCTCAAGCAGCGTTCCCTTACACTTCCGGCTCAGTCTTATGGGTTTAAATTGGTGGAAGACCCAGCACTGTTTATGTCGACTGTCAAGGGCAAATTAGGAACTTGGATGCAGGAGGAGCAGACAAACGCCCAGGAGACGTCGCCTTCCGATGCGAATGCTTCCCAAGACGCTCTACTGCCTTCCTCAACTGAGCCTACTGCTCAGCTCAAGCATACGTCCGCTGAGCGTCTTGATGATCCTTCTATTCGACGAGTTCCAGTTGACGAATTCTCCTTCTCCGTTGCTAACGTTCTAGCCCCAGGCGATATCCCGACGCATACAGATGGTGCACCGAGCCCTGCTGCACTCTCGGGTTTCTCGACCTCAACCACAAACCAGGGAGAGCTCTTGACCGGAATTCAGGCTGTCACCAATGATCTCATTGGTCTTGGTATTCAAGATGCTATGGTATCCGGTGATCGTCTCATGCCAACAGCTCATGGCGGCGCCGATACTGCGCATGCCAGTCCACTCTCACCCAGTGGCAGCATTTTAGACTCACCAATCCTGGACAACGTCAGCAGTGAAGCCCTTGCTGCCGATAACCCTAAAGTCGTCATTATCAATGGTCGTCGATATGTCCTCGAAGAGGAACTGTTGTGTCTCAAGGAAGCGATTGGAAACCAACCTGGCAGTGCTGCTACCAAGGTCGTCCTCGATTTCCCTTCCAAGCCAGTTCCTGAAGCTGCTCCTGTCCTTGAGCCGTCCTTGACCTCTTCGACGCTCGCCTCTACCGCATCTATTGCAATTCGCCCATCCCGGCCTATCAACCCGTTCGCCCCTCGCGAGCCATTGGCGACAAACGACACCAACATTGCGGCAGCACCGATCTCATCTCCCATTGTCAAGAAAGACCCAGGCCCACCGCCTACCGCTGCGAAACCAGCAGCTCGACCTTCCTCGGTTGTCACAAGCAATAAGACCATCCATTCGAAGTGGGCTGATGAGCCGTCCTCCGGTCTGACTAACCGTCCCGCTGCACCAGTCATGCGTTCTCCATCATCAATAATTGGTGATCGCAAGGTTTTCGGCCACCTCTCGAAAGAAGCCGCCGAGGGCCAGAAATATGATCCCCCTCCCCCTCGAGTCAAGCCTGTGGCACCCAAGCGTTTCAACCAGGCTCCTACCCCGGGTTTGGCGATGTTGCTGAGGGATATGGCTGCTGCCGGACATCTGCATTCCGCCGCAGCTGAGGATGACGAGGAGTTGTGAGTGTGCTGACGTGTGTGGAGGGTAGGGTGGTCTCATGGCGACGGCGATGGTGAACGGGGAGAGCAACATCCAATCTTGGATGGGAAGTCCATACATAGTACCTAGCACACGATCAATCACAGAGAAAGAGAGAAAACACAGTGCCCCTGAAAAAAGGTGATGGAAATGAGATAGATTCGTTGCCTAGATTTCAGCCCTTCCTCACATAGGTAGTGAGTGACTTCGACCGATATGCCAAAAGTTGCCTTCTAGGTATGTATGCAATTCAACCCGCCTCACTTTCTCACTTTCACTTTCACTTTCACTTTTCGTACATAATCATCCATCTAATACTCCGTATCATGTCTAGTGATATCTCCTTCCCCCAGGACGCGGCCGCCTTCTTTGGCACCCACCCACCCACACACCGTTCTCCTCCCCACAGCCCCGTTGTGGAAGCATGCTCACAGCGGCTGCTGTCGCTGTTATTACGTGTGAGACTGTGGATATGAGGTAGAAACCACCTGCCCTGCCCTGCCTGCCTGCCCTTCCTGGTCAGTAATCATCCACTTTGAGGTTTCTTGTCCTTGCCTGCCCTTTCGAAACAGAAGCCATCTGCACATCACACGATAGTCTCAACCCAGAGAAGGGAATTTTTTCATAAATCTCTTGGTATAACATTTCCTTGTGGCTTTTATCTTGTCCAGGGTATCTGCTAACTTCAATTCACGCCTCACGCCGCCAATGACTCCCGGATCCGCCTCTCCATGTCCTCACCCGCTCTCTGCCTAACCATCCTCACAATCCAGTCCTGTTGCTTTGGGCCTAACAATCTCAGTCTATTCAGGTACGCTTGCAGCGTCTTTGGGTCGGTCCGGTTAGACTGGAGATCATTAAGGCCATTGGTAAGAAGCCAGCGTTGCAGACGTTGGGGGTCGACCAATTCTTGATCCTGTTCTGAGTTCGAGGGAGGAGGAATGGTTGCCGCAGAGCCACCTGCAGTCTGTGGCGGTGGCTGTGGTTCCTGAGGTCGAAAAGGTTGGGCAGGGCGAGCCTGCCGAGTTTGGGAAGATCCACGGCCTTCGTCAGCTTCTTCGTCTTCAGTGTCTGAATCAACATGTCGTAAAACTGCACCACCACCGGCCAAAATGCGGCGAAGTGATCTTACTGTCTCACCCTCCCCTTCTTCGTCAGCATCTTCGACCATGGCTGAGTGTGGAGGATGTGGCAGCGGATTTTGGGCCACCGTTGATCCTGAGACGGGAATACTCTCCAGTTCCGGCATACTGTCGCTCTCATCGACCGTCGCATCCGCATCCGAATAATTATCCCACCCACCAGCCATCCCCAGTCCCTCAGGGGTAACACCTTCGCCCAATTCCTCTGCATCATCTAGATGAAGTCTCAGGAGCTCCTCAATCATTTCAGGAGGGATATTCCCACCAAGTTGCTCTTGCAATTCACGTAGTGCAGCTTGACCTTCCGATTCACCCGCTGCGTCTGCCTCGTCTGCGACTGCGGGCTGTTGAAACCAATTCATGATCCGTGTGAGAAGACTGCCAGCTGTGCCAGCAGTGGCTCCTGCGGCGTTGAAGATGGTTTGCATAGTTCCGTCAGCTCCCCGTGTAGGACCGGTGCCGGGTGCTCGTGCAACAAAGTCGGACAATGAGTCTGGGGGAGGGAGCACGTCGGAAGATGAAGTGGGCATAGTGGTGAACCGGCGTGGGAGCAGCGCAATTAACGACGGGATTTCGAGCAACATGATGTGTCTGGCTTCTTCGAGAGAGATCTCTAACTTTGGCGCTTCTGGCGCGGCATCGATGGCATAGCTGTAGTGAGAAAGGGTCTCTGCAACTTCGACAAGTAGGCTGATAGCTTCGGGAGTGTTCCACAGGTCTTTTGCGCGCGTGACGTAGAGTTCAGTGTAGAGTTTTTCAGCGTCAGTGGACGGCAATTTTGCCCAGAGCGACGTAGGAGGAGGGGAGATATCGAGCGCGGAGACGAGAGCGGACAAGATGTAAGGGTATTTGTGCATTGCGACCGCGAGGCGAGTGCGAGCATCTTGTGGTTTACCGGACCTTTGATAGGCAAGTGCCAGAGAGATCTGGATGTTGGGTAAGAAATCCCAGGTTTGGCCATATGCGTCATCCGAGCAGACGGCAATGAGCTGAGCCTGTTGACGGCCCCTCAAGGCAAGTTGATCGATCATCAAAGTGACTCCATATGGGTCTGTCAGTGGGCTGAGTTGAAGGAGGATCTTGGCCCATTCGAACGCGGTGCGCCACGTTCCTCGCATCTCAAGATTTTTGATGTATCGCCATATTGCGAGATACAGTTCTCGGTTGGCCGGTTTATTAAACGGCACACGAGCCACGCCACTCCTCAAGGCAGCTGGAAAGCTGCTGTGTACAGACTTGCCGAAGGAGAACAATGCACGTTCTACAAGATCTCCCGAAACCGCATGATCGCCTTGATGTTTGGCAATTTCGGAGACCTGTAGTAGAGTGGCAATGTGGTACGGATACATCGATAACAGGCCAACCATTCGCTGAGGATCCATGGATTCGACGGCCATGCGGAAGTGCACTTGCGTCTCGCGATAGGCATCATTGTGCATGATGTTATACCGCTTCTCGAAGGAGTCCTTGGAAGCGGGGTCCGGTTTGACAAGCTCCATGCTCAATCCTCCACTTGTGGCCAGAGGCCACTGTTCCCTGCCTTGAACGAAGACGTTCCGCCTATGTGCGAGAGTGCCCAGCTCTTTGCCTCTGCTAGCGACGCAATATCTTCCCGTAAGTGCAGTCGCCAAGTCAACGCCGCCCTGCTGGTTCTGTTCGCGGCGGCGTTGATTACGGGGTGAGGCACGAGACTCTTGCCCTTCAAGGGCAATGTTTCCAAAGAGACTCTTCATTTCGTTGACAGGGTTGAGATTGTGCGAATCTATGGCCAGGAGTCTGGTTGCTCTTGACTCCCAGGTCGGCGTTTCTTGTTTCTCGGTAGAAGCCGCCTGCGCTCGCCCTTCTTTCGCAGCCAATTCTCTTAGTGCCCGATCAACCTCATCGCCCGATTCATCTTTCTGCTTCTCCTGTTCTTCTGCTTTACCCTTGCCCTTCTTCTTGGATTTCTTCTTCTTCTTCTTTGACTTGGGCGGAGGGGTCGAGGTTGAAATCTGCGGAAGGCCGGCGTCGGCATTTTCTGTAGGCTCTGCGCGTGGTATGAAGTCGTATTCGTGTTCATCGGACTCACCGTTATCTCCGACCCCCTCCAGCATGTCAAAAGCATTCGTGGGCCGGGGAGGCTGCTCTGGGATGTCATCCTCGTCTGACCCTTCCTCCTCCTCGTAGGCCTTTTCGGCGGCCTCAACTTGTCTCTGCAACTCCTGCTGCCGCTGGAGTTTGCGAAGGGCTCGCGAAGACATGGTTGATCGTCTGCTAGAAATACCAACAACAAAGAATGAACAACGGGGATGGTGGAGGGATGAGGAGCTGTGACGCAGACAAATTAATTATTCGGCGGCCGCACCGAGTCACGAGTGACGTTTGCGCGGGCGACGAGTGGGGCCAATATGTTAATCTCCGATTGGCTCAATCTCAGATCTGGTTGCCGCAGCCTCATCGCCTTGAAGAACAGATTGAGTACCGCCTGCAGCACACACCACAGTTTCTGCTCAGTTGTCTGTGTCAGGGTCGCTGTCGCTGTCGCTGTCACCCAATCTTCCTGGCTTTTCATCTTCTCCCTAGATGCTATCATCCTCAAGTCTCTTCTCTCCTCCTCCTTGACCTCCAACGTCTCCAATGCGTCGCGCTGCCCTTTTTGCCCTCCGCTCGCCCCGACGCTCTGCCTTTCGAAAGCTCGTCTCCAAGTCTTCCCCCTTTGCACCTCCAAACCATGTCGTAGTCTCGGCCAACGCGCATTCCTCCTCCCTCGTCCGCAGATACAGTACGTCTCGAACACCGTTCCAGTCCTCTATGCGTATCCCTAAGATACCAATCATCTTCGTTGGATCTCTAGGCGCGATTGGAGCCTGGTATGCATACAGAGGCGATGGGCCAGAGCATCTCCTGAAAAGTCACCCCTCGTCAATATCAGTGCAGCCGAGGAGGAGTCTGAGCACCACCGCAGATACTGCACAACCTACTACGGAAGCCACTGACGCCACGCCGCTACCTGCGGGCCCTGAACCGTATCGGAAAGCATTGGTAGTGGACAACGACCAATTCTTCACCGGGTCCATTGTAGGGGACGGTCCGCTGGCCAAGGATACAGATGACTTCGGCAGGAAAGTGCTGGAGATGATGACCCCTGAGCAAGCCACAGAAAGATTACGGAAGAATGAACAGTCATTCCTCGTTGGCAGAGGACGTGGTGTGGTGAGATATGATATGGTTCAACTTCCCAGCAACGATCCCATTGAGGATGACCACGCAGAGAAGATTGTCGAAGTCCCAACCACAGTCGCTGCAACAGAGGGCGCATCGTCTTCAGATTGGATGTTCTGGGGCGTCTTCGACGGTCATTCGGGATGGACAACCTCTGCGAAATTGCGCCAGGCCTTGATCTCTTTCGCCGCCCGCGAACTTAATCGCACCTACAAAGCCGCACTATCAGACGCAAAATCACCCTTCCCTTCGCCCGCAGCTATAGATCAAGCTCTGAAATCCGCATTCGTTAAGCTAGACAATGAAATCTGTCTGGACAGCGTCAGCAAACTCAGCAAAAATCCCAGCAAACGGCTCGCCGCCGAAATCCTTGCTCCCGCCTTGTCAGGCTCCTGTGCCCTTCTGTCTTTCTACGATTCCCAATCCAAAACCCTCCGCGTGGCATGTACAGGCGATTCTCGCGCCGTGCTTGGCCGCCGCAACCCCCAATCGGGTAAATGGTTCGCCACGCCTCTCTCAGAAGATCAAACAGGCTCCAATCCGAATGAAGAAGCACGCATGCGTGCCGAACATCCCGGTGAGGAATTCGTCATTCGAGCTGGCCGGGTTTTGGGAAATCTGGAGCCAACACGCGCATTCGGAGATGCATTTTACAAATGGTCGCGCGATACGCAGGACCGAATTAAAAAGAACTTCTTTGGGCGCTCACCACATCCACTTCTGAAAACGCCGCCGTATGTTACGGCGGAGCCGGTGGTGACGAGTACAAAGATAAACCCGTCCGATGGCGACTTTCTTGTGATGGCCACCGACGGTTTGTGGGAGATGCTGACCAACGAAGAAGTTGTGGGACTCGTGGGTCAGTGGATTGAACATCAAAATAAGCTTGCTAGCAACAAGACTTCTGCTGGCTCGAATACTGCTGCGTGGTTGACGAGTTGGTTCAAATCAACACCTAACGGGCTGCCCGTAGAGAAGGGTGGCAATATGGACAAGACTGGTCGTATTGACACTTCCTACAACCAGAAGGACGCGAAAGGTGGCAAAGACACCAACACCAACAATGTCGAAAAGCCCATCCGCCAGCAGCAATGGGACATCCCCGCTTCGCCCCCCTCCACTTCTAATCGCTTCGTCGTCGAGGACAAGAACTGTGCAACTCATCTCATCCGAAACGCCTTGGGAGGGAAGGATAGAGATATGGTGTGCGCATTGCTCACATTGCCAAGCCCCTACAGTCGGCGGTACAGAGATGATCTCACAGTACAGGTTATCTTTTTTGGAGAGGCTGGTGAAGCTGACGGAAAGGTGGTGATCAACGAAGAAGCCACGGCACGGCAGGTCCAGAAAACTGACGACGGACAGTTAAAGGCGAAGTTATGAATGAAAGAAAGCATGCTTCTGTGGACAGAGAGAGAAGCTTGGAGAAAGCTGGACCTCGGGCTCCCTTTCGCTTTTTGAATGCTTGCGCTTGCGAGAATCTTTAGGGCTGAGTTTGATATCCTGTCCTCCTTCATTTCCACCACGGTTGTGCGGTGGTCAAGCGAAAAGAGGGCTTTTCGGTGCTGATATATGTCTACGTTGTCCCCATTTGCACGGTTGATAGATCTATTTTGGAGGGTTCGCCCGCAGCTGATGCATGCATGCAATGGCACGATGAGCGGAATCGAAGGGTTTTCCTCAATCATCTGTTTTAGTATGAGATTTGACTAAAATGTTTGTTTCACAGGATATTCTTGTTCACCGCAAAGGCCGTAGCGTGGTCGGAGTTACAAGGCTGGAGGGGCTAAAGCGTTGATTTATTGGTCCTGCGAGAGAGGCAGGCCAGCCCAAGAGAACTTCGACAAATTCTACTATTCCGACTGGTGGAACTGCTGCAATCTTTCCTGGCGCCTCTCAATTGCAATGCTCAAGTGTGCTGGGAGGGCTGTTTTCCCCGTGACTCTTTGGTGGCTAATCGCTCAGGCCAGTGTATGAGTATTGCCCATCTACGGACCGGAGTACCCGCTACGTAAGCTCGATATATCGAAATCAAACTCTTCTGATCAGGTTGAGAACACATGTTGGTCTTCCAGAAACAAAATCGAGGTCCTGAAGCTGGCCAGATGCAGCTCTTATGTCATGTAGTGCAATGCAGGCTTTCACATGAAAAGTTGACAAGTCGGTGCTCTCTCAGGGAAAAGGTCGATATCGCCATCCCCCTGGGACTCAAAAGCTGACATCAGATTGACCTTTCGTGAGTTGGCTGGGCAATCTCATCCATTAATTCTCTCCGGAGTGATCTTAACCGGATATAAGTCTTAACCATGGCGGTGCTGGTCTGAGGGCGGACTCACTAAGGTGTGTTTGGGTTCGCCATAGTAAATACAACTAGCATATCCTCACCGGAACCGTGATTCTTGTATGTTGAAAGCGCTAATCTTCTCACTTCTCCACTTGTCCTTTTGGTTTGGCTTGTTTTGCTTTCAAAAGTGGAAAGCGCTTCGCGGTTCCAAGAACACGGGCCAGTAAAGGCCGTTGAACAAGCTGTGTTGTTGTTGTCCCGATAAGGTACAGAACCACAGCTGTAGACAAGTCGCTCCGGATGATCAGATAAGTAAAGACGGTAGGCATCGCCGTCAGGATATACGATAAAGTCTTGGACAAATTTGCAGAAAAAACCTTCAATCTTTCGGCATCGCCGTTCAAGGAGCTCGTGTCTGTCTCTCGTTTGGCAGCTTCCCTCACCCTTGTCCATACACTGAAGGTTGCCAAGACCCCATATGTAATGGGGAGAATCCAGAGGTGGTCGGGCGAGGCCAGATTGGGTATCCACCACAGGGTTTCGGTCTGGAAGCCTGGTTCCATGGGCACAATATTGGGATCGATGGTGCTGCCATCGGCCCTGAAGAAGAGCGAAGTCACCGTCCGCTTGTCGCCAGCCATACGCCGTATGCAATCCATACTGAATACCCAAACCGGGATGAAGGATAGTGCAAGCACAGGCTCCACCCAAATTGGTAGGTATGAGTTATGCTTTTGAATGGCTTTCCTCCGAGCTTTGAGCTGGCTCGCGACCCAGCTCTCAGCTTTTTTGGCATCCGCTTCCCTCCCTGAGGGGAACTTTATCCTCGCCGTGTCTTGGTAGGCTATCCGCCAAGCAGATGCAAGCTGCATTGCGGTTTCTCTTCGTTTCCGACTTCGATGCGTTAATAGCTGGACCGGAATCCATGTCATGCGAAGGAGTGAGGCGGTCAGTGGGATCGACAAATACCACGGTAGGCCAGTCAATGTATGTATCTCTTGAAAGACGGTCCCAGACAGCTGTAGGCATTCTGCTGCAAAGTATTTAGGGCTCGAGGAATGAAAGGAGCGTGACAACGACCGGGGGAACAGGCGAGCCCGACTGTGGCACTGCGGTTCGACCTTTGTGTAGCGTCGAAGAGAAGCGCGACAGAGCATTGCTAAAGGTTTGCTGATAGAGAGAGCAGATGGGAACTTGTCTTGTGTCTTGTGCTGCTTGTGGTGCATTGACGGATGACAGATGACGGATGAAAGAAAAGTGAATCCGACTCACCAACGACGCGCAGAGAGCAGAGAAGCGTGGGGAAAGGCGCGTGGCCAGAGCCTGCGTCATTGTTGGTTGGCGGCAGAAAGAGGCCACTGTTCACCAGCCACTGTGCTGCGCCTAGAGCCGCACCTGATTGATCTGAATCAGTACCTCGTATTGTTGCTCATTTCAGCTCGTCCGTCGTGTCTTATTACCCCTTACGCACTACTAAATCGTCCTCGTCCTCTCCCGGCCAACAGTTTTGGAAGCATGAGTCTCGTTGACCATTGGTGTCTCCTCCAGCATTGGCAATGCCCACCTCATCAAGCGTCGTGGCAGCTTTGGCGGTAGTGCCGCTCTTGCCCCTCGTATTCGCCTTTCTTATACGATTATCGCTCCACGTGCTCGGTTGGTACCTACAAATACAGACCAGGGATCGAAAGGCCGCGATTATCGAAAGGGTCAGGCGGGAGATAGCAGCTCTATCGGAACACCAGCCGCTGTCCCAGGAAGCCGAAGATGGCTGGGAGAAGGTCGAAAAAGCAGGCACCGCTGAGAACGGAAGAGCTCTTGTTGAGGATGAATGGGGCGGAGTCGTTGGGTTCTTTCATCCATTCTGGCAAGTCCCTGTTTTCTCGTAGGAAACCTTCCTAATCTTGAGCAGCAACGCTGGCGGCGGCGGCGAGAGAGTGTTATGGGCCGCCATAGCCGCAACTCAGCAACGATGGCCCAATGCCGTTTGTGCAGTGTACACCGGTGATCACGATGTTGACCGAGCGGTGGTGGTAGCGACGGTCAGAAGCCGGTTTGGAATCACCCTCCAAGAGCATTCCCTTGTCTTTCTATACCTTTCGAAGCGTCGGTTCGTTCTCGCGAGTACTTATCCTCACTTCACACTGCTGGGTCAGTCATTGGGCTCGGTGGTCCTTGCTTATGATGCCTTTCAGCTGCTCGTGCCCGACATCTTCATCGATACCATGGGTTACGCATTTGCAGTCGCTTTTTGCAAATTCCTCTTCCCCAGCGTGCCTAACGCGGCATATGTGCACTATCCGACAATTTCCACCGACATGCTGGATAGTCTTGAGGACACGACAGGTCAGAAAGGGATTCATGCTGGTGCCGGGAAAGGGCTAAAGGGAAAGGGAAAAAAATATTATTGGCGTGCCTTTGCATGGCTCTACGGCTTTGTCGGGCGACAGATCGATGTGGTGATGTGCAATTCGACCTGGACCCAAGGCCACATCCGACAGCTTTGGAAACCGAAAAGAGAGTCCTCCTCATTTGCCGCTATAGTTTATCCGCCTTGTCCAGTGGAAGAGTTGGAATCACGAATCCCATTAACAGAGGAGAGTGAGAAACAACGAGAAAATATCGTCCTTTACATTGCCCAATTTCGACCCGAGAAGAACCATTTTTTGATTCTCCGATCCTTTGCTAAGTTCTACCATGGGGCAAAGGAGAAACCTAGGCTGGTTCTCATCGGATCAGTTCGAAGCAATACACCGGACGAGAAACACATCTACAAACTCCGACTTGAGGCACGAGAGTTAAAGATCACGGATGCGACCACCTTCATTTGCGATGCCCCTTTCTCAGTAATTCTTGAATATCTTAGAAGGTCGAGTATTGGTACAAATGGCATGTACGCCGAGCATTTCGGAATCGGCAACGTGGAAGGACTGGCGGCAGGACTGATCCCAGTGGTACACAACAGTGGCGGACCCAAGCTCGACATTGTGGTTCCGTTCGAGGGTCAGCCCATTGGCATCCATGCCGAGACGGAGGATGAATTTGCCGCTGCCTTTGCCCGCGTGACGGCCATGAGCCCACAAGAACGATATGCAATGAGAGTAAGAGGCCGCAAAAGCACCAAGAGATTCTCAGAAGCAGTGTTTGAGGGGAAATGGGTCGAGCAGATGGAGATGCTGGTGAGGCTGCAGAAGTTGCGGAGTGGACATGGCATCTAGAACGGCAGATGCACCCAAGAAAGACTGACGGGTTTGATGACTTTAGACCAATGATACCCACCTTCTTGCCCTTCGTCCTCCGTCTGCCTCAGCATTACGTGACGATGGCAATCCTCGTATTGCCACCACTTGGTGAAGAGCTCTTGAATTGAGAGGCACGCGGGTGGAAAACGCTCGCCGAACCTTCCGCAAAGAGAACCACGGTTCCCGCTGCTCCTACCGCAGCCTCAGCCTTACCACCCGCCTGATCCTTGCGTGCCTCTTGTCCGACAAAAGTTCTTTCGTGACTTTGCGCTCTTTGAGAAAGTCTTCTCTAGCAAACCCCGACGGCAGACACATAAAGCCCTCCGCTCGACCGGTAAATAGACACAGAGTCCTCTCTCTCCTTGCCGACCCTTCGATCACTCTCCACCGGCCAGTCACCATGACGCTGTGTCTTAACCGTCTCCAAGAGGAAAGGTGGGATGCGCACCACTGTTGCCTCAACACCAATTCACTAACCCCTGCTTTCAGGAAACAATGGCGCCGCGATCATCCTTTTGGCTTCTTTGCAAGGCCTGTTCGGCATGCAAATGGTGTGCTTGACCTCAAGAACTGGGAAGTTGGCATACCAGGGAAGGAAAAGACCATCTGGGAAGGAGGGTTGTTCAAGTTGACTCTCGCCTTTCCCGACGAATACCCTACGAAGCCACCAAAATGTGAGTGAAGATATCTGGTGCGCCCGGCGCGAAGAACACACCACTGAAAACGTTTTAGGCAAATTTGTCCCCCCCCTCTTCCACCCGAACGTATATCCCTCGGGCACGGTGTGTCTCTCGATCCTGAACGAAGAGGAGGGTTGGAAGCCAGCAATCACCATCAAGCAAATCCTTTTGGGCATCCAAGACCTGTTAAACGACCCCAATCCCGACTCGCCAGCGCAGGCTGATGCATACAATCTCTACAAAAAGGATCGGCCCGCATACGAGAAGAAAGTCAAGAGCATTGTCAAGGACAACCCCGCACCTTGAGACTCGTGGCATGTCGGCCAGCCCGGGCTGGCTTTGCGACAGGCATTAGTGACGGGATGATGAGCTGTCACAGACTCAACAGCGGGGGAAATGCAACCAATTGACTAGCGTGTGGATTCTGAGCGCGGCGTTCTGCAGTGGGCATTTGGACTCCAGATAACTTGTTTACGGAGGGGCAGGGCGGGGATATGGTAGCAAGATTCGGGGAAGAGACATGAATATTGGGCAGCTGGCGTCTTTCAAAGGAGTCGAGGAGTTTCCAGGGGCAACATGAGCTGTGTAGGATTGGCATTCCACGTGGTGGATGTTTCCTTCTGCTTATTATTTTTTTTTTTTTTTTACTCATCATTGGAAACATGAGCCATTTCTCCCCCTTTTTCCCTTGCACTCCCATCCCAAAAGATTTGCTTCTGTGGAATCTGGTTTGGGGTATCCTGGCATAGGCTACGGGAGAGTTCGATCTCGCCTCTGGAGGGCGGTCTTGGGTCCGTCTACTTCTCGTGCCATCCCAGCCTGGCCAAAAAGGCGCAAGCGTGGGGGTGCACAGCGAACGGGGGGCGTCGAGGGGCTTGTCAGGCAGTTAGGCATCGAGGGGCTCTCTGCGTCAGAGCGAAAAGTGCGGGGATTCCGGAAATCTGCATTCATGATAGGCATGGGCTCAGGGCCAACATGTGCTGGAGAGCCAACAGGATCCTCTTCCACCAGTAATCGTCAGCTTGTTATGTGATACTCGTAATAAGATGAGGTCGCGTGCCGAACATCGGGCCTTCTCTTCCTCGGGGAACATGCCCCAGGCACGAAAATGTCCATGGTCCGGCTGCACAAACTCAAACGCCTCTAGTACCGATGGGTCAGGTCCAAGTCAAATACCGTCGGTGGTGGTTCGAGGAGGGCGAGAGAGGAAGGAGAGGGAGGAGAGGGGCCGTTGCCGTGTTGCTTAAGTACTGCTTGAGATCCGTCGATCCCTCCTATCTGGACCCGAAGTGAGAGCCTGAGCGACGTCCCGACGACCAACGAAGCAGAAGAAGAAAAAATCCCGTGTGGTAAGGTCTTGGGTGGGTTTCTGGAAGTGTGGGCTGATCCAAAACCGGCTGCTCAACCACAACCAAACACACCCCAAACCTTGCACGCGGTGTGACTTGAGAAGGCGGTTTGAATGGTCGTCAGTAAAGCAATTCTCCGGTCAGCTGGTTGTCGAGGGCGCAACTGTGGCAGTCTAAAACGTGAGCGGCGTTCAGTCAAGTGAGCAGGCCATCATTTCTCAGATTTGAGTCATCCCACGCTCAACTTTTTGCCTTCAGAAATTTTGGGGACCCGGAGCGTGGACACGGTCCTTTTTATTTCGTCCCACGCCCACGCCGCCACATTCTTCTCCCATCCTGCATACATTTCACACCCTCTCATTGCAAGGCCACGCTCAAGCAAGACGCTCGTGGGCAGCGTGGGCATCATCGTGGGCAGTCATGTGTGGTATCTTTGCTTGCCACGGGTGAGTTTTGCGCTTCCCTCGTTCCTGATCCCTGATCTCTGGTTCCTGATTCCTGGGGTCTATGGTCCTGGTCCTGAGAAACCCTGCTCCGCGATCGGCCTCAGCTTTTTCCTCGTGTCCATGTTGCTAATTTCGTCAACGCTCTCGCAGTCATCCGTCGATAGCAACCTTCAAGACCACTGCCCTTCAGTGTGTCAAATGCCTGCGGCACCGTGGTCCTGACTGGTCGGGCAACTGGACGGGCAACAACACCATCCTCTGCCATGAACGCCTTAGTATAGTGGGAGTGGACAGCGGGGCGCAGCCCCTGGTCAACGATGAAGGGACGATTGCGCTGGCCGTCAATGGCGAAATCTACAACCACCGAATCCTGCGCAAGCACCTGACCGTCCCGTACAGCTTCAAGACTCACAGTGACTGCGAGGTCATCATCCCCCTCTACCAGCAATATGACACGGACGCCCCGAAACATCTGGACGGCATGTTTTCCTTCGTCCTCTATGACAAGGACCAAGACCGGACAGTCGCAGCGCGGGATCCCATTGGCATCACGTCTTTCTATCTTGGACGGTCCAGTGAAACACCCGGTGCTGTCTTTTTCGCCTCCGAACTCAAAGCCCTCGCCTCCGTCTGCGACGACATCGTTTCGTTCCCGCCAGGTCACATTTACGATTCCAAGACCGATAAGATGACCCGATATTTTGAACCAACATGGTGGGATCCTACTAGGGTTCCATCCACGCCCGTCGATTACAAGTTGATCAGGAAGACGTTGGAAAAATCCGTGCTCAAGCGGCTGATGGCCGAGGTGCCTTATGGCGTTCTGCTGTCCGGTGGTCTCGACTCGAGCTTGGTGGCTTCAATTGCGCAGAGAGAGTCCCTCCAACAGCAAGCACTGGCCAAGCGTCAGACTAATGGCGTCGTCAACGGCGAGGTTAATGGTGAAGTTAACGGGTACCGAACCCCCAAAACCGGCGAGAGGTTGGTGGGCATTGACGACGACGACGAGTTATCAACAGTCACATTCCTACCTCAACTGCACTCTTTCTCCATTGGTCTTCCTGATGCCCCTGATACGAAAGCGGCCATCGAAGTGGCCAAGTTCCTAGGTACCAAACATCATGATTTTACCTTCACAATCCAAGAAGGACTGGACGCTCTGTCAGATGTCATCTACCACCTCGAGACCTATGATGTCACCACAGTCCGCGCCTCCACGCCCATGTACCTACTGTCTCGGAAAATCAAGGCCCTGGGCGTCAAGATGGTCCTGAGCGGTGAGGGAAGCGACGAAATCTTTGGAGGATATCTGTACTTCCACGCTGCTCCAAGCAAGGAAGAGTTTCACAAAGAGACTGTCCGCAGAATCAAGAATCTGCATTTGGCGGACTGTCTTCGTGCGAATAAATCCACGTCGGCGTGGGGCGTTGAAGCTCGCGTACCATTTCTGGATAAGCAGTTCCTAGAGGTTGCCATGAACATAGACCCGGCGGAGAAGATGATCACCAAGGGCCGGATAGAGAAGTACATTTTGCGCAAAGCATTTGACACCACGGACGAGCCTGATGTCGAACCTTATTTGCCAGAGCATATCTTGTGGCGCCAAAAGGAGCAGTTCAGCGACGGCGTGGGTTATGGCTGGATTGACGCGTTGAAGGACAACGCCGAGATCAACGTGACGGACGAGATGATGGCCAACCCCAAGCCGGAATGGGGCGACGATGTGCCGACCAGCAAGGAGGCCCACTGGTATCGTCTGATGTTCGATGAGCATTTCCCGCAGTATTGCGCGTCGACTGTCATGCGATGGACTCCCACCTGGTCGAAACAGACTGATCCCAGCGGACGAGCAATTGCAACCCATCTGGCGCGATACGAGGACGAAGCTGGTTCGTGAGAAGGAGCTCTGCGAATGTACAGGGAGCGAAAGATATCAGCATTAGCTGGCGTTAGCAAGGAGAGGGCATTGTGAAAGCTGTCTATGACGTTGATTTTGGCTCACGGGGGTTATGCAGCAGGTGGACTGTATGTGCTGTTTCATGTCTGGCCCAGCTGTTGTGAACAGCAATATCTTTTGAACTGGACCCAGCTGCGAAGAAAAGCAAACATTTTGGCGCTTGAGCTATAGCCTGTCCGGCATGTCATGGTCCGCTGGCAATAATACTCGGTAGATACTGCAAATCCCAATAACCCTTAACAATCCTAACAAAGGCTCAAGCCCCTGAAGATGAAGCTGGCGAGCTAACAGGGCCGGAACTGGGAACTGGGAACGAAGGAACAAACGGTGCAAACGGTGCAAACGGTGCAAACATAGACTTCTATGGACGGTAACTTGACCGAGTGCCCGGTCACCTTCTCTCGCTCTGGCCTGTGATTGGCTGCATCTGCTTTTTGCGACACTGCATCTCCGAGCGTTTTTCTTGAGCTCCATTGATTGTTTTGCCGTCTACTTGTTACAAACGTCTCTGTCCCTGTCTGTCTCTCCCTGTTTCCTCATTCCTCTACTGCTCTCTATCTTAACCTACTCCTTCTTTGCTCTTCCCTTTACCCATCATGGCTGGAATTCCTGTTCCCTTCAGCGATATCGCTAAGCCTGCCAATGATGTGAGCATTCACCTCCACTCTTCGAACAAGCAGTGGCCTTCGCTAACCACTCGAACAGCTCCTCAACAAGGACTTTTACCACACTACTGCTGCAAACCTCGAGGTCAAGTCCAAGGCACCGAATGGCGTTGTGTAAGAACCAAACCTCCGAACAACCATCCTCTCGGGTAAACGAGAGACACGACCGTCGGTGTTCTAATTCGTCTTGGTCTCCTCCAGTTTCAACGTCAAGGGCAAATCCGCGCACGATGGACCCATCTCTGGCTCGGTGAGCATCTCGATAACAAGAGACAGCTTGAGAATATCACATGTTAACGGCAGCGGAAAGATTGAAGGGAAATACACCGACAAGGCCACTGGTTCGTCCCCTGTCCCTTGGAAAGCAGTCTGCGCATCTGGGCCTCAATGACTCTCTTTCTCCGCTGACCCGGGGATGTTGACGGATAGGCCTCACTTTGACTCAAACCTGGACTACCTCCAATAGCCTCGACACCAAACTCGAACTAGAAGACAACATCACCAAGGGCCTCAAAGCCGAGGTCCTCACCAACTACCTCCCGGCGAAATCCACCTATGGCGGCAAGCTCAATCTTTTCTACAAACAACCCAACATCCACACCCGTCTTTTCACAGATGTGTTCAAGGGCCCCACCGCCACATTCGATGTCACCTTGGGCCACGAAGGATTCCTGATCGGTGCTGAGGGAGGGTATGACGTGGGCAAGGCCGCTATCACGAAATATGCTCTTGCAGCAGGATATTCTCAGGGATCTTATGCTGCCGCAGTGACGGCGACGAACAACTTGACCGTGTTCAGCGCAAGCTACTATCACAAGGTGAACACTGAAGTCGAGGCAGGCGCGAAGGCCACCTGGGACAGCACACAAGGAAGCAATGTCGGCTTGGAGGTCGCCACCAAGTACAAGCTTGACCCCAGCTCTTTTGCAAAGGTCCGTCTTTCCCCTTCTCCTTTCTCCCTACACACATACTTCAACAGCAGCTATACTTGGCCCTTTGATGCACCCGGTCCAACTGTCGGCGCCTTCATTATCGCTGCTAACGCTACGTAATGTCATCAGGCCAAGATCAACGACCGCGGCATTGCTGCTCTGGCGTACAATGTCAAGCTCGGCACAGGCGTCACTTTGGGACTGGGCGCTTCTCTGGACACGCAGAACCTCAATCAGGCAGCGCACAAGGTCGGCGCAAGCTTCACGTTTGAGGGATAGGGGCCCCGTCGTCAAAATCGAGACAGGAAAGAGCGACCGCGACCCGGAGAAGGGGTGGACAATGGGGGGCTGCTGCGGGCGCGGCCGGATGGGTGACATGCCCTAGGATGGAGCACGCGTGAAAGAAAGGTGTACCTACTCTTTCTCATTATGCGGGGGAACCGAAAATTGGGTGGTGGTGGTGGTGACGGTGGTGGGGAGGTTGCTCCCATCCTGCTCAGCTTTGAGCGCGGATGTGAGTGCCTCTCTTGTACAGACAGCAGAAGATGGGTGCAGTGGATTGTGGCCAGTGGACTTGTTAGCATAGAGCGGAGAAGAGCAATGCCCATCGTGATTTTCGCTCCTACTGTCTGTCCCAGGAAGCTCCTCTACGCCTCTTCTGACATGGACTGCCTCCCACTGTTGCACTGTTCCATCCCGAGTCCCTGGTCACACTCTACTCAGGCTATTCTATGAAGGTCGAGGAACGCTGAGACGGCTACATGCTTGCAAGGCGACGTATATATATCCCCATGTATATTCTCCAGTTCCCCTTTATGCTCGTCCATGTCCACTCCAGACGCTGCCCGCGAAGTCCGCATACGATCTCCTTCCCATGCGCACATTTACGCTATATGTACATCCAACTCCTTCGTCTACCCCCCATTCATTCCTTTTCCGTTCCCATACGCATTGCTAGACTCCGGTCTGTCGTGAGCTCATCTCCCTACGCCAGTTTGACTTGACCGTATTGCAAGTGTGGATGTTCCCTCCGTACCATGGAACACAAAATCAAAAATCCCAGTCCCTTGCGCGAAGCCTCATTTAGGGGCAAGCTACCTCGACGGCCGGCTGTGCGAATGCTGCCTTTCTCGCCCCTGAGGGTTCGCATCTGTAGCTCCTGTGTGGGAAGATTGGGCGTCGATGATTTCTTAGCCTTTCGTCCATTCATTCCTGGCTCCATCCCTTCGACTGCCATCTCCTCGGACGAGTCCGCCTCCTCGAGGTGTATTAGCCATATGGATGACTATTGTACCGATAGAGACGCCCAACACTATGATTCCAGACACGATGATGAAGCGGGCCCAGAAGTTGTCTTCTTCCATTGCAGCTTGTGCCGCCGCCAGCTCTGCCGCTCGGCGATTAGCGCGGCGGTAGTCTTCGTGTGTCTGGGTCTTGAACGTCGGGCGGGCATCAAAGGCCGGGCCCCCTTCCGAGTATGCGCCGGCGTTGAAAGTGCCAGCTGTGTGATCCTCTCCTGCGGTTTGCTGGGCCCCCGTGCGGGCTTCAGCTCTTTGCTGTGTCTGCGCGGATGGACCGCCGTGTGCGTAGAATGATGGCGGAGGCCCCTTGAAGGCGCTTCGTCGTTTGCTTAAACCGCTGGCCGGTCTGTGTCCCGCATATGTCCCTCCCTGAGATTTTTGGCCATGACTGCCGTGGCCACGATGGTGAGGATGGTGAGCCCGCATGACATCACGGTCATACCTCTTTCGCTTCTCCGGATCTGCCAAAACGGAATAACTCTCGCTTATCTGCGCGAAGCGCTCTGAGGCCTTGGGATCGCTCTGGTTTACATCCGGATGTGTCTCTTTGGAGAGAACGTAGAATTGCCGTTTGAGTTCGGCCGGAGTGGCCTGCATGGGGAGTCTGAGGACATCATAGTGGTTTACAGGAAGATTACCGGCGGATTGTTGGAGGTACGGGGAGTGTGAGAAGGGACGTCGGCCTCGTGCTCCTTGAGCTTCTCGAGGAAACGAACATTTTAGGGCGGGACGCGCATGATGGATGGGAAGACCGAGGTGAATATATGTGGACAATGGGACTGAGCGAACGATCATGCCTCATACTTGATGCATTTAGTGCTGAATTGGTGAAAGAGCGGTGAAGTGAATTAATCGTAGAGAGGGCAAAAATGATAGAAGAACCAAATAGTGGTAATGGGGTGCGTGACGTCTTTCAATTTCGGGCGACACGCAGCGCAGCGGGCGACTTTTGAGATTTGGCCGCAATTGCCGCAGTTCTTCCGGTGCCGCTCGCTGCCTGCCACCCTCGCCGCCATTTTTGTGTCAGTCCATTATTTCAGCCTTGTGTTTTCTTGAACATTTTCTGCCCCATTGCTGCCCTGCTTCCTGCAATCCAAATGGCGGCAAAGACGGCCGACGAGCTCTCAAAGCTCGCTCTGAATGGCAACACCACGAAACCAAACCCTCAGATAAAAGGTACAAACGGCGTCAACGGCCATTTATCAGATCAGGATGACTCCGACGATGACAAGGATGACGAGGCCACCGCCAATGCCGGAGGCGCGGACGGTAACACTGCCAGTGGTGCTGCAAAGAAGAAGAAAAAGAAGAAGCCAAAGAAGAAGAAGGCCACCGCAAAGGTCCAATCTGACCCGCCCCGCGTGCCCCTCAAAGATCTCTTCCCTAACAACACATACCCTGTTGGCCAGGAGGTGGAATACAAGGATCACAACGCATATCGCACAACAAACGAGGAAAAGCGCCACCTTGACCGTATGAACAACGATTTCCTTCAAGAATACCGCCAAGGTGCCGAAGTGCATCGCCAAGTGCGTAAATGGGCGCAGGCGAATATCAAGCCAGGAATGTCCCTCACGGAGATTGCGGAGGGGATTGAAAATGGCACTCGCGCTCTCACGGGGCACTGGGGACTTGAAGAGGGTGACAATATCAAGGGCGGTGTAGGCTTTCCGACAGGGTTAAGCATCAATCATATCGCGGCACATTACACCCCCAACGCAGGCAACAAGTGGATTCTGGGAGAGCAGGACGTCATGAAAGTCGATTTTGGTGTTCATGTCAATGGCAGGATTGTCGATTCCGCATTCACCATGTCATTTGATCCCAAATACGACAATCTCCTGGCCGCGGTCAAGGACGCCACCAACACCGGTGTGCGTGAGGCCGGGATCGATGTGCGGGTTGGCGACATCGGCGGTGCGATCCAGGAAGTCATGGAGTCATATGAAGTCGAGCTCGATGGAAAGACTTACCCTGTCAAATCCATTCGAAATCTGAATGGGCACGATATTGTCCAACACAGCATCCATGGCGGCAAGTCCGTTCCCATTGTCAAAAGCCATGATCAAACAAAAATGGAGGAGGGCGAGATCTTCGCAATCGAGACGTTCGGATCGACTGGCCGTGGATACGTGACCGATGATCTGGAAGTCTCTCACTACGCGCTCCGCTCTGATGCGCCAAATGTCCCCCTGCGTGTTCAATCTGCAAGGAGTTTGCTGAGTGTCATCAAGAAGAATTTTGGAACTCTTCCGTGGTGCCGACGGTATTTGGACAGACTGGGCCAGGAGAAGTACTTGCTCGGACTGAATAATCTAGTTAGTTCAGGCATTGTGGAAGCATATCCACCGCTAGTGGATACCAAGGGCAGTTACACAGCCCAATTCGAGCACACTATATTGCTTAGGCCCACGGTGAAAGAGGTTGTGAGTCGGGGCGACGACTATTAGCTTCTGCAAGCTATCATGACCTTTGGACAGAAGGGGCCCTGAAAAACAATTGTTCTGATCTACGGTCCATATTACATCAGGGTGAAGTCCGAGAGACTCAGCTCCATTGCCAAATGAAAATTGAGATCAGACAACATGCAATGAGGTATTGATTGAAAAGGGTGCATCTGGAGGATAAAAATGTTGGAATCAAGCACGAAGACGAGGGCTGATGAAAGGATGGGTTTCTAGCTTAGTTGCACTCAGGCAGGTGACAGCACGAATTCCGACAGGATCAACCCTTTGTGGCTCTTGTCTGGTCGATGAAATGACTTATGTTTTCCTTGGTTTCGAGTCGCGAGGCTGTGATTCCACAAGGCTACGAGGTTCTCGGCTGAGCTTCCTATTTAGAAGTTCAGGTCCTTTGAATTTTCTCCTGACTACTCCGATCTGCGGAATGACGGGAGCAATAAAGTGCTGGATGAACCTCAGCCTTTTATAACCACTCTCGACTTTTACCGGGCGAGTTTCAAGACTTACGACTATTCGAAAGTCTCCAGCAAGCTGAGTCGGAAGCCGGATCCGCCAGCATTGCCACATTCACAACTCCTCCTGACTTCAATTCTGAGTCACTACTTCTATTAACCATTTTTCCGCCTTCAGTATCCGTTCAGGGAAAATTCTCTTCCACAAAGGAGGGCACACCACAAATCTCTCAAGGCTGTAGAGTTTTAGGTCCCAATAACAGCCAACCATGTCAACCTGGGGCCGCTACTTCCGGGTGACCACCTATGGAGAATCCCACTGTCGGTCTGTAGGATGCATCGTCGACGGTTGCCCTCCCGGTCTGCAACTCACAGAGTCAGACATCCAACCTCAGATGACCCGGCGCCGTCCGGGGCAGTCAGCTCTTACTACTCCGCGAAACGAGAAAGATCGTGTGGAGATCCACTCGGGTACAGAATTCGGTATTACCCTAGGTACACCAATCATGATGATGGTGAGGAATGAGGATCAAAGACCCAAAGACTACGGGAGCGGGACGATGGATATGTATCCCAGGCCGAGTCATGCAGATTTCACCTATTTGGAGAAATATGGGGTTAAGGCGAGTAGTGGAGGAGGGAGGAGTAGTGCACGGGAGACGATTGGTGTGTTTGTGGCCTCTTTCAATCCATCTTGCCGTCCCCAAGGCGCATGGTTCGATGCTAACACTTTCACACAGGCCGAGTTGCAGCAGGTGCCATTGCAGAGAAGTATCTGTCACTGGCTCATGGTGTTGAAATAGTCGCCTTTGTCTCTTCCGTGGGGTCCGAGTATCTGTTCCCACCGACACCTACTCACCCTAGTCCTGCCATGAACCCTGCATTTCTCTCACTAATATCGGAAATCACAAGAGAGCAAGTTGATTCCTTCGTGCCCGTACGCTGTCCGGACGCAGATGCGACTGCGCGAATGACCAAGGTGATTGAGAAGCACCGCGACGCAAAGGACAGCATTGGAGGCACTGTTACCTGTGTCGTTCGGAACTGCCCTGTTGGCCTGGGTGAACCTTGCTTTGATAAACTTGAAGCAGAGCTCGCACATGCCATGCTAAGCATTCCCGCCACCAAAGGGTTCGAAATTGGATCGGGCTTCGGAGGATGTGAAATATCTGGATCAATTCACAACGATCCATTCATCGCAGCACCTGAAGTGCCACTAGGGCAGAGGACACCGAAGCGGAAACTGGCGACGAAAACCAATAATTCTGGAGGCATCCAGGGTGGGATCTCAAACGGACAAGATATCTATTTCCGAGTTGCCTTCAAGCCTCCGGCCACAATTGGACAGGCGCAGCAGACGGCGACATTCGATGGAGAGGAGGGCGTACTGGAGGCTAAAGGGCGCCATGACCCGTGCGTTGTGCCCAGAGCGGTGCCAATTGTGGAGGCTATGTCTGCATTGGTGCTTATGGATGCTCTACTTGCACAGCAATCTCGAGAAACAGCCAGGAGTCTATTGCCGCCCTTGAAGGCTATGTTGCCGGTGAAAGGGAGCGGAACAACAGCGACAACTGAGAGGGTAGCGGAGCATTTGAATGGGGCAGCGGATGCAAAGTAAACCACAGTCGACTATCGGGAGGAGATGGTGTACAACAGCATGATGCAGATGAGACAGAGACAAACTGATGCCAATTGGGTCTTGCCCCACTTGGGTCTAGATAGTTGTTCTGGTCTGCGGAAAAAGAAAAAGCAGTCATCAAAGCATTGGTGGTATAGAGTGAGGGTTTACAAGGGTTCGTTCATTAGTGCGCATTATGCATCTCGCCAATCTTTCTCCTGCGCGGTTGCCATGGCGACGCGCTGATCTAAACATGGCCAGTCCACCTCCGATTGCCCCAAACCGCGTTGCTGAAGATGGCGCAACCTTCCATGCGCCCCCTCCATAATCCGACTGGACGCCATCAACACTGCCCCAGCACATCCAGCAGCTCGTGCAGCCACTATTCGCTTAAGAGACCCTGGACTCAAGCCTTGAGTTTGGTGTGGCTGGCGTCAAGACGTCTGTTTACACGCATGAACTCCTCACGACCCCAGCCTGCGCCCCACGATCACCAGACCACGACCACAGGCGATTTCCACGGCCAGCCTTCGAAGGGCCCAGTCTCCCTCCGCATCCTGCTGAGTATTTCTGATATACCCTCGTACTCCCCGCATCGATCTTCTCTCCTCTTTTCGTGTATCCGAGAGCAAACGGGTCAACCTCAATCTCGACCTCGACAATCTGAAATCTCGGAAGGCTGCAGATGGGTTTGTCTGCCAGTCCAGATGACAATTCAGACTTGACACCGACGATGACCTGATCTCCGACCGTGCGAAACATGCTACCTCTACTACTGCTACTCCTGCCTTCTTTCGTCGGGATTCTGTGCTGGGTGGCACCCGCATGTGCACAACAACAGCTGCCCTACAATCCGACTCGAGTTGTGCTGGCACAAGACGGCTCCGTCGCCTATATCTTGTCTCCGCAGCCCTCCTCCTCGCAGTTCTCTCTCTCCTTTCTGAATACTTCGGACAGTCTCAATTCGGCCTCTTCGGAGACACAACTCTTCAATGCCTTGCCATTTCTGTCTAGTACAGCCCCAAAGGCATTTATAACCTTTCCGGACGATGCGGGCATAACGGTGCTGGTGGGCGATTGTAAGGATTCTGCAGGAGATCTGGGACTGTACAGGTATACCTTCGCCGGCGACTTCAAGAACGGGACATGGACTTCTTTGACACTCACCACGACCGACGGGACACTGAGTCCTCGGTATCTTTCGGCTGGCTTCATATTCTCTCCGACGGCGTCCAGCCATGATGCCTCGTTGTACGTCTTTGGTGGAATGTGTCCTAATGACGCGTCCTCAAATGCTATGGACTGGGTATCGGAAGCCACCTACTCAAATACGATGCTTACTATCGCCCCGGATCCAGCAGCTGGCCAAATCGCTCCTTATCAACTGTCGTTGACTGGATCCAGAGCTCCGCCGATTGCGGAAGCGGGCCTGACCATAACGCCTTTGACACCAACCTTTTCCAATGGTTCAGGCGCTGGACTTTCTCAGCAGCAGAATTTTGTCCTTCTGGGTGGCCACACTCAGAATGCCTTCATCAACATGTCTCAGCTCGGAATATTCTCACTACCTCAAGAATCCTGGGCGTTCGTCGAAGCGGCACAAGCAGCAAACGCAGTTGAGCCACGGTCTGGCCATACCGCGATCCTGACCGAGGACGGCTCAAAGATCGTGGTGCTTGGAGGTTGGGTAGGAGATATCAATACGCCGGCGCAACCTCAATTGGTGGTCCTAGAACTTGGTCAAGGTTATGGAGGTCAAGGGGATTGGACATGGAGTGTTCCTAAGTCGTCCTCTACTCCGTTCCCGCCTAGCAAGGGCATATTTGGCCACGCAGTAGCCATGTTACCGGGTGGTGTCATGATGGTCTCCGGAGGCTATCCGATCAGCTCATCTGCGTCAAAGAGCAGACGCGATGTCCTGGACAATATTCTGTTTTTGAATACAACAACCTTTGAATGGACGACGACTTACAGCAATCCATTCCCTGCAGTTTCCTCACCCAGCTCGACAAGTGCCCAGTCGTCGGCTTCAGGGCTGAAAACTTCGGAAAAGGCAGGCTTGGGTGCAGGTCTAGGTCTAGGGCTAGCAGCAGTTGTGGTGGTGGCGATGGTATGGCTCATATATTCCAGAAGACTCAGAGCAAGACGAGCCCTTCGTGAGAAAGAACTGCGGGAACTGGCTTTGGGAGCTGAACGTTATCACACGCCTCTCCCACCAGGCGAGGACGATCAGAGATATCCAGCCATGCGGAGTGCCAGCTGGGCTGCAGCTCTGGAACGAAAAATTGAGAGCTCTGAAAATCCGTTCCCTTGGGCACCTTTGTCCGCACCAGATCAGCAGGGTCAACTGAACCAGGCATCAGAAAATAGCGAGAGCAATAGCTCTCGGTATGCTGAACGCACCGGTGTCCAGATGGAGATACCAAGCCCTACCAGGGGGTTGAGAAAGAGTTTGAATGCTAGAGGCGCGATGACATATCAACCCTTCAATCAGCACCCGCCTACAGGACCAGGAGCGGTCTTCCGTATCGACGAAGAGGATGAGGGGAGTCAAAATGGCTCCTTCAAGCGGACGAAGACTCCCAAGGTTACAGACGACAAAGGATCTGTCGCAAGCGATCCATTCAAAGACCCACCGGCCACCACGGACGGTGCTCGACAGGACGATGCCGCAGCACAGCGCAAGAGGGAAGTGGAAGGATGGGTTGATGATTGGCAATCAGCAGCCGAAAACATGAGCTTGTCGAGGAGTACAAGTCAGGCGCATAGCAGGACATATTCAAACCTTTCTCAGTTCCGCAATCAGCCAGCCATCGGAGAAGCAACGGGGCGTGGTTCACCTGAGAAGTCTGACAGGACTGGCAGCAACCTCTCCGAAAAGAGTATTGTGAGCACCTCTTCATATCAAAGATCCGTGGCTGGGACTTTGTCGCGAAACGTTTCTCAGAGAAGTACCAGTGCAGGTTATGCTCTCTTTTCAGGGGCAGCAACAGCCATGAGCCGACTTGGCTATGGGCGGCAGGGTAATTCTGAGCGGGGCGTTGGCGCCGGTCTTTCACGTGCTCCGTCAAATCGCAGTGTATCGCTCAATATTGATCCGGCTCGGCCTAACAGTTCGAGGGATGGCGCCGAAACGTTCTCGTCCGCCCGGAATAGATGGGGCGGAGCGGCAGGAGAAGACCAAGCTCTCCTCAACCGGAATCACCAAAGACAACAGGATGAAGAGCGTGACTATCGGACACTTCCCGACAGTCCAAGCAAGGAGAAATACTCGCGAGCAAGCAGCCTTACAGGATCCAGCCGACGAGCGCTCAACCTTTTAGGAAGCGTGAGGCGGGTATTCACCGGAACTGGAAATGTTGATGTGCACGACCGAGTTGCCGCCTTCGAAAGCCAGAGCAGTCAATCAAGTCCAACGAAACATTCGGGCCAACCCGAAATGGCAGAAACGACACCAAAGAGAACTCTCAGCGGGGGAGCATCGTCCTTCTGGCGCAGCAAACAGGGCGCGAAAGATTGGGACGACGTACCAGGACCGAGTAATACCGCCTCGTCTTCAACAGTACGCAGAAAACCTGTGCCTGGACTGATGTTGAATGATAACCAGGGCGCTCTAGAGGACGACGAGGACTGGGACGTGGAGACGGCTGTACAGAAACGTGTCGTCCAGGTCATGTTCACGGTTCCCAAGGAGAAACTGCGGGTGGTCAATGCCGACGCTTTGAGTCTACTGAGCAGTAACCGGAGCGACATTGACCAGGACGAAGAGAAAGAGAGGGACCCAGTGAAAAGGATGAGTAGCGTGAGGGAAGGCGACGAAGACAATAGTCATGACCAACACCTTGATGATGATGCAATGAAGGGGAAAGGGAAAAAAAGGGCACCTTAACCGGCTTGCTCCCCGACAAGGGAAACTTGTGGATACGGAGGATTCAGGGGATGGCAAATATTGTGCGTGTAGCTCCTCCGCATGGCATGGGATTTGACGCGGTTTATTTCGACTTGGATCTGGTGTCATGTCAATGGTTGATGGGAATACGGAAGCCAGCGAATGTGTTTTATTATCACTCGTCTTTCTTTGGGAGGCCACAGTACAAGTTCTGGTGATCTTTAAATTTATTCCGTGTTCTGAACGCTTTTGACTCGGCCACTCTGGTGCCCTGGCGTCGCAATGCATTTGTCAGCTTGTTTAGATGGCGTCGAAACAGCAGGGCGCTTGTTGACTGGGCCGGACAAGTCGATGTCGAGCTCTAGAATACTACACGCGGAGGCTCAAAGGTGCTGGAGATGTCGGTGATTGATTGATTGATTGATTGATTGTTGATTGATGGTGGCCATGGTCAATGCATTGGTTGGTGGGTGGCGAGACGAACAATGACATAGGGCTGTCTCCCTGTCTCCCTCCCAGTGCCTCGCAAGTACTGGGTAGGTATAATGGGTGGTCTTAGTGCCTGCGCCCAACTCGCCCCACCCCCAAATGGCATTTTACTGCAAAACGCGAACCTGCGCGTTCTAGTCCCTCCAACGCGCGTGTCGTGCCCTTTTAGTCTTATATCTGCTGTGTTGACCCTCTTCTTGCTGCGTGGTCTCCTCACTATCCCTTCACGCCCTCTGCTGCCTGCCTGCTGCCTGCGTCTCTACAGTAACTAGAGATTGTATTGTGAACTCTCCAGGCTTTTAAAGAGCACTGCTGTGCAGTCCTTTTTTCTTCTCCTCGATCCATCGCTCCCGCCGCGACATATCCTTGAACCATTGGAACAAAGCAAGAGAACAGGTCGGATTCGCCAACATGTTCGTCATCAAGCGAGGTATGATCTCCCTCTCTCTCCTCGAGGACTGAAGAGAAGCCTTTCAACCCACCCACCTATGGAACTCTGCTGGAGCATCGGACACCTTTACTGACGAACATGGCAGACGGACGCAAGGAACGCGTGCAGTTTGACAAGATCACGGCTCGAGTCTCCAGGCTTTGCTATGGCCTTGATCCAGATCACGTTGATGCAGCGGCCATTACGCAGAAGGTCATCTCCGGCGTCTACCAGGGTGTGACCACTGTTGAACTCGACAACCTCGTCAGTATCGCCACTCGTGCCAGATCTCTCGTTGTTGGCTAACAGTGTTTGCAGGCAGCAGAGACTGCAGCATATATGACAGTCACTCATCCCGACTACGCAGTCCTCGCAGCGCGTATTGCCGTTTCGAACCTTCACAAGCAGACCAAGAAGCAGTTTTCCTCCGTCATCGCCGACCTCTACCACTATGTTAATCCTAAAAACAACAGAGCCTCCCCCATGATCTCCAAGGAGACGCACGACTGTGTCATGAGACACGCAGATGAATTCAATTCTGCCATTGTCTACGACCGAGACTTCAACTATCAATACTTTGGCTTCAAGACGTTGGAGAGATCATACCTCCTCAAGATTGGAAAGCAGGTCGCTGAACGTCCCCAACACATGCTCATGCGTGTGGCGGTTGGTATTCATGGCGACGACGTTGAAAAGGCTATTGAGACCTACAACCTCATGTCCCAGAAGTGCTTCACCCACGCTTCACCCACCCTGTTCAATGCCGGAACCCCTCAACCTCAGCTGTCCTCCTGCTTCTTGATCGACATGAAAGAAGATAGCATCGAGGGCATCTATGACACTCTCAAGACCTGTGCCATGATTTCCAAGACTGCCGGAGGTATTGGCCTCAATGCCCATTGCATTCGTGCCACCGGATCCTATATTGCAGGAACCAATGGCACCTCCAATGGTCTCATCCCCATGCTTCGCGTCTTCAACAATACTGCTCGCTACGTCGACCAGGGCGGTAACAAGCGTCCAGGGGCCTTTGCCATCTACCTCGAACCATGGCACGCCGACGTTTTCGACTTCTTGAACCTGCGAAAGAACCACGGCAAGGAAGAGGTCAGAGCACGTGATTTGTTCTATGCCCTATGGACTCCTGACTTGTTCATGGAACGTGTCGAGAAGAACCAAGAGTGGACACTCTTCTGCCCTCATGAGGCCCCTGGTCTCGCTGACGTCTATGGCGACGAGTTCAAGGAACTGTACGAGAGATACGAGAAGGAGGGCCGTGGTCGCCAGACGGTTAAGGCCCAGAAGCTATGGTATGCGATCCTCGAGGCACAGACCGAGACTGGTACCCCCTACATGCTTTACAAGGACGCCTGCAACAGAAAGAGCAACCAGAAGAACTTGGGTACCATCCGAAGCTCAAACCTTTGCACCGAGATTGTCGAATTTACAGCTCCTGACGAAGTCGCCGTGTGCAATCTAGCCTCCCTCGCTCTCCCTACGTTCGTGGATCAGGCTCGAGGTGAATATGACTTTGGTCGTCTTCATGAGGTAACTCAAGTTGTCACTCGCAACCTAAACAAGATCATTGACATCAACTACTATCCCGTTCCCGAAGCGAAGAAGAGCAACTTCCGACATCGGCCTGTTGGTCTGGGCGTTCAAGGCCTCGCCGATGCCTTCCTTGCTCTGCGTCTTCCCTTTGACTCTCCCGAGGCCAGGCAACTGAATATTCAAATCTTTGAAACTATTTACCATGCTGCCCTCACTGCCTCTTGCGAACTCGCAAAGGAGCAGGGAACCTATGAAACATACGAAGGCAGCCCGGTCTCACAGGGCATTCTTCAATACGACATGTGGAATGTCACTCCCTCGGACCTGTGGGATTGGGACTCCTTAAAAGCCGAGATTGCCAAACATGGCGTTCGCAACTCTCTGCTTGTCGCCCCTATGCCTACTGCCTCGACCTCTCAGATTCTAGGCAACAACGAATGTTTCGAACCATACACGTCAAATATCTACTCTCGCCGTGTCCTTGCCGGAGAATTCCAAGTCGTTAACCCTTGGTTGCTGAAGGATCTGGTTGATTTGGGCCTGTGGTCCGATAATATGAAGAATCGAATCATAGCCGATGGTGGCTCGATCCAGAACATCCCGAACATCCCCTCAGACATCAAATCTCTCTATAAGACCGTTTGGGAAATCAGCCAACGGACAGTCCTGCAAATGGCAGCGGACCGTGGTGCCTTCATCGATCAGTCCCAATCTCTCAACATTCACTTGAAGGAACCGACCATGGGCAAGATCACCAGCATGCATTTTGCGGGATGGAAAATGGGGCTCAAGACCGGCATGTACTATCTGCGCACTATGGCGGCCACCCAGCCTATCCAGTTCACTGTCGATCAAGAACAGCTGAAGGTTGCGGACACAAATACAGCTCGGGAACGCTCTGCACCGAAGAAACGCACCTCCCTCGGTTTCGCAGCCAGTGTAAGCAATTATAACTCGATTCCGAGACCCATGTATCAGTCCAAGACAAGCAGTTTCACGGCCGGGAACCCAACCACTTCCATGAATGGAATCCCAACACCAACATCTACGCCTCCCCCCACCAGTGAGGAAATCAAGCAGGTTGGTTTGATGACGCATAAACTCGCCAAAACCCACCTCGGTGGAAGTGGCGAGTCCAGTGAAGAGCCTTCCCCCAAAGTCCTTCCGACGGAGCCTGTCGGTCTACCACCTGATACCATAGCCGATGAGAGTCTTGAGACACGGATGAGGGGCAAGCAAGAAGAGGATAAGGAGAGCGAGAGTGGAGAAAGGGAAGAAGATATTTACGCACAGAAGGTGCTTGCCTGTGAGTACAGCCCGCCTCCCTGGACTTCATGAAATCCCCAATGCTCTCTGGTGAGATATCCCTGTTGTGTGACACCTTGCTGACTGGATGATCCACTAGGTTCAATTGAAAATAAGGAGGCCTGCTTGATGTGCAGTGGTTAAGTCCCGTCCAGGTCATCAGGCAGGTAAACTATCAACGTGCCTGCCTGGCTGAGCCCTGCTTTCCAACATTAGCACACGAGTCCATTTCCTTTTCTCCCCTGATGCAGTCAGGCAGGATGGATGCTTAAAGGCAGCCTTTGATTGCAAGATGAACTAAGGGGAATAATCGCGTCTTCCATTGTTTTTACGTGTCATGGTTGGTTTTGATCAGGGCTCGTTGGAGTATGAAACGGCGCAATCACGATTGTATATGTATGGATTTCCTTTACTCTCTCGCAGCGGAGAAATCTGCATAGCATAAGAAGACAGAAATGCCCTGTAGAAACGAGCGCTTACCTAGTACTAGTAGTGCACTGTATGCATCGAACAGTTATGGTCGTGTTTCTCAGTCGTCTACCTACCTACCTACCTACCTACCTGTGTGTTTATCTGCCTCTTTGCCTACCTGCCCGTCTGCCCATCTGCCTGTCTATCCATCATGTCGGCTATTCATCCTGAATCTACGAGTTACACCCGGCACCGTTGCATTGTCGCAGTTCAACGATGATGGAATAAACGAGGTCTGGTTTCATTTCATGTCATGATCTTATACAGAAGCTTGCTTCTCTAGCCTTGCTTGTTCTCGTGCCTAGGGCACGAGACTCACATCTTCCTCTACTTTGGACCATAATGTATAAAAGACAGGGTCTTGCCAGAATCGCAGGAGATAGCGTGGAGCTGTTTACAACATCGCTCCCGACTCTGCAGACCAGCTGATATCGCCCTCTTCCCCTCCTCAGTGGCTCAAGTCTTCTTGTCTACTCAAATCTTGCTCAGTTCAGCCCAAGCTAGATTCAACAGCTGTGTCGTCTTCCTCGCCCTTGCTTCCAAATAGCTCGTGTAAGTAATGCCCTATTTGGAGACCATCTGAATGGGCTTGATGGCTTCGTCTTCAGTTCTTTCCTGGGATTCCTTCTTCTGGGCTCCTTTGCCAGCGCAAGGTGCTGGGTAACATAGTGTGATGGTCAAAATGTGTTGGCAGGGTGCGTCTTTCAGGATGGCAGGCATGTCCAAATTAGGTGTTGAACTCGGTTAACGAAACATTGTGCACTCGGTGGCTGGCTCTTCTTCCACCTGTTCCACTCAGCATGCAGCATGGTTGGAGGCGTCTAAAAAATTCGTCCCCCCACTTTAGAATGCAGCCAGACGCCTTTTTCCGTCTACTTATAGTGCACCCAAGAGTAGGAACAGAGCTCGGCGGCCCAGAATCAAGACATTATCGACGCCCGGAAAATGGGAGTAACTGAAATGACCATGCACAAGATCTGAGCGGGGACTCCAGCGCCTCCAACACCATAAGACGAAACTCGAGTTGATCAGTAAAGAAATGGATTTTCCTCATAGGGGATATCCATCAGTCGGCTTCTTCAGTTCCTCACCCTTTTCCTGGGCTCGGGTGATGATATTACGCAACCATTCATAGGTTAGCATGGTGGTCATGGCGGCCGGGACCGCTCGGATAAGATTTGTGCCGATGCCCACATAAAATGCACGCCAGCCTTCCTCCTTGAGAATGACCTTACACATATGCCAGACGCCCGTGTAGCGCGCCTGTACTTTCATGCCATCTGATGTTGTGAGCGCCGATCTGCGTTGTTGTGTTTGAAGACGAGTGCGCAAAACTTCATGAGGATAGGTGGCTGTTGATGCACAGATTTTGCTTAGAAATGTGGCGGCAGAGATACCGAGCCAGTTTGAGGTGCTGTCTTCAGGTGGATGTTCACCCATGCCATAGCCAGTGAATTTCATCTTGAAGAATTCGTAGAGAGGAAATTGGATTGCCACATGGGTTAGACCTAGCAGGGCGGGCGTCAGACCAGAGTAGAAAGACCGAAGCCCTTCGGTGCGGTACATTTTGCGAGCGGCGTCAAGTGTTGAAGTGTAATGCCAGGGAGCTCGCATTCCATCACTGGCGGTAGCGGATTTGTTGGATTGGGACATCAACCGAGTTTTGATGACCCAAATGGGGTTTGTCAAGATCGTGGAACAGGCGCCGGCGGTAAGGGACGAATAACAGCGTGCCACCCACCAGCTGCCGCACCGATCGTACCAGAACTCTCGAGTATTCTCATACACCGTCAGATAGACGGCCCATGTTGGCAGATAGCCCAATAGCATGGGACCTAAGCCTCTGTACATGCCACGGACACCTTCTTCTCGCCATATGACGCTGCCAGTGCCAATGATACCTTTGTACGGTTGTCGTATGGCGCCATATGGATTTTTCGACGGCACCCTCTGCGTGAACCCGCCCTGGGCCTGAAGCTTCGTCTTGATCACATCGAGAGGGCAAGTGACGATACCGGAGGCGAAGCCGGCGCCGGCGCCGCAGATGGGCGATACCCACGCCTTCGGAATTTGTGTCGACTGTATCTGGATTCGGGCGACGACGGAGTCTCTCGAAGGAGACGTAGACATATTCGATGGGAAGTTGCTCTGGTCGATCGGAGTAGCATATTGGGACGGCCGGAGTGATTGGGAGGATAAGATAGCAGGAGGCTGTTCGGGATCTCTGTCGAAGGACATTGGCAGGGTGGTTTTCGCCAGACTCAGGAAGGAGAAGACACTAGATGCCCATATGACGAGCTCATGGCGAAGTGGGCGAGCTTCAGACAGCGGATGTACAACCCACAGGGCTGTTGACAGTCTCCGTTGCACCGTTGCACCGTTGACCGCTGGACCGCTGGACCGCTGGATAGAGTTGGAAACTGCGGGGTCTTTCTTGGACCGGTGTGCAGCCGACAGAGAGCAACGAGGCCCTTGTCAGCGATTGACCAATGCGGCCATGAAGGAATCCAAGTACGTGGGAGATGGAATAAAAGAGGTCGGGGAAGGTGGGAGAGGTGAAGATGACTTGTAGCAGGGCAATATGATGTGATGTGCAGGTATGATGCTTTTGGGGGGAAAAATGATGTGGATGGGAGGGAGAAGCAACCAAGGGCGCAGGCAATTGGGGGAATGGGCAATGGGCAATCATTGAAGCGAGTCGGTCGAGCTTGCTCTGCAAGTCCGAGCCAATGCCAAGCTCCCGTCGCACTTGCCAAGACAACGTAAATCGGCGCTGGGTTCGCCCCTCTCTGGAACGAGGATGAGGTCGCCTTAACGTGGCCAACTTGGCACCGGCCATTGTGACGCCGAGTGGCTCACGAGGTTGGAGACTCCTGATAGCTAGTCTGATTGGGCGCTCTACTTAGTCAGCAAGATTCCAGTCTTGGCTAGCTCAATACCTTGGCATCAAACGACACGGCGGCGAGGCCACGAGGTCCTATGGCTACAGCATATGCCACTCAAAGGACTGTCACCGAGCTCAAAGAGATGCAACTACACGCCATACATGCGAAGCTTTCCTTCTGGCATTTCACATAGAGACGTAATTGTGATGATATAAAGCGCCCTATACAACCAGTCCACTGGTCGAAAGCCTTCCACAGACTGGACCGATTCCTACCGAGCTCAAGTTCTCTTTGTATGGTAGCTTGATCCACTCCGAAGGATGCACTTGGTCTCAAGGAAGCAGCGTATTGACAGTCTCACTCTCCATAGGCATGAGTAGCAATATTAGGCTTGGCTTCGAGCGCAAGGTTCATGGGACGGCTCGACGGTTCTTTGGTTGGTGGCTTTCAAACGTAGGCTAACTCTTGAACGCTGATCCAGTGCCCGGGGATCGCGGAGTTTTGTGGATGCCATAATTTATGGCTCTATGTGACGTAAATACAAAGAATGTTATCGAACATCCCGGGGTTGACACTCCTATCCTGCTGGAATAGATGTCCGATGTCCGCAATAGTTCTTCCGTCTACCCCTTCGAACATGCTGATGACCTCCCTAATTTCCTCGGGACTGAGTAGTCGATAGCTTGGCACCTGGCCGTCCCTGCTGACGTTCCTCCACACTCCATCTATGCCGGGATGGAAGAAACCTTCACAGGAGGAATTTCTGCCGAGGGATCGGAAGGAGGGCAGGAGTGGAGTTTGTTTGGCACAGCTGGACAATCGCGAACCAATGAAGGGAAAGGACGGCACTGACCGCCTGCAGCCTGCAGATTCGACAGTACTTGTGCCAAGTGCAAGTACGCATCAGGGTCGGCCTAGACAAATTAGGCATAGTGCTATTCTTAATGGGCACTTATCTTCTTAGCATCTTCTGAATGACATTAAACTCTAAGTTAACCTACAGAAGAAAAATGTGGCAAAAAATGCTTAGCTAGACTCCGTATAAGCCAGCAAACCTCGTCAATATATTATACATGTTGACATGCATGTTGACGATCTTTTCCTCAACAATTTGTTCCCAAGCGCCAAGCCCAACATATTTCCCACCTGATCTCGGCTAACTTCCCTACTTCTTTTTCCGCTGGCAATGTGAACATACCTGAGTCTGTGAAGCGAAGCTGGAAGACACCAAATATAACTCTACCAAGGTCTTGCAAACCGGTACAAGCCAGGAAAACAGATGAGCGCACACTTGCTTTATCAAGGTAATGGCCAAGCGAATCTGTCTGCAAGAGGAAAGATTAGTTGAAAGTCCGACTCAAGCTTGCTCTTGAAAAATCTCGCAAAGATCATGACGAGAATGGAAAGGAAAGGGCTCGGATCAACCAAAACAGCACCCCATGATCTCTCAACACGTCATCAAGCTGATGAATCTAACCGATTTACTCGCACCCTCCGACAATGGAATTGTCACGTAAACGGTCGAAAGGGACGTGGGCCATCACAGTCCTGTCGGCTGTACCGCAATGAAATATGGTGGAAGTGACTTCGCCCTCTGGAACTAAGTATTTGACACGGTATGGAAATCTGTGTGACTGCCACTAAACACCTGGATCTCATAAGTCAGCTTGATAGAGATATCATGGGCGAAGTTCTGCCTCGAAGACAATAGGGGTTCGGAATGACTTCAGCTCTTTGAAGCACTTCGGGTCTATGGTTTGTCGTGCTTAAGGGAGACGAGCTGGAATCCGAGAAATGATTGTTGGGAGTGTGACGATCGGAGTCGACCCAACTGCGCCATCTATGAGCGATGCAAGCATTAGAACAGGGAACAGTCTTGCACGGGACATATGAAACTGGCTGCTATGCCTAGAAATTCCCTTTGCTTGAATGAGCACATCCTTTGTGGAGTGTCAGTTCAATGATTTAGACCTCCATTCCCTGTTTCGAGTCACTTGTACTGAGGATCAGGCTCGTGGCGTCTGGTATTTGGAGGCAGCTTGGATTGCCTTGTCACTATTCATCACCTCAGCTTTCACCGCTTAATGAGACCGTACTCGCATCCGAGCTCGTGTTGAGACTGACTCCACGTCTGTTCGGAGTCTCGACCCAGGGCCACAGCGTGGCATTCGGGCTTGGCAGGTAGCAATGTGCGACATGAAGCGGCGATTTCGGTTGATTTGACTTTACTTCATTATTCTCGCTTTAAGACACCCTACCAACGCCATGCGCCATTGGGTTCGCCTGGAGACACTTTCAAGGTCAGTATCAACTTGATGTTGGCGAAACGGCCTCCAGTAATCAACAGCCTCACGGGGAAAAGGCAAGATTCTGCAACATTATTCAAGGTCGTCTGATATATCGAAGCGAGCCATTACGCGAGTATGCCCCACTGGCGCGAATTACAGCTAAAAGACGGATTTGGTTGACCTCCTATCATCGAAGCTTCGACCAGAAGACATTCAAGCTTTAACGGCAGACGTGGAGGGAATCGGCTGTGGAACTCTGGTCACGACATACTGGTGCATAATACAAATCTCACAGTTCATTTACTCGACTCCGGACCTCCGGCAGTCCCCTACCCAAAGTGGACATGAAGTTCTTATTGGCATACAATTCGACCTCGCTCACACGGGACAGACTCCTCCTGGAGGCTGTCGCTTTGGTCGCAGGAATCATCCTATTCGGTGCGTGGAGTTCCGATCGCCTTGAGACTTGATTTTGCTGCTTATACGCAACGCAGCATTAAAACCAAGGTGACGACAGCCTATGACCCCTTCTCCACGATTCGTGCAATAGTGGGTTTTGGTACGTTCAATGGATCATTTGTTGCTCCGATAGTGCATAGCATAGGGAGAAACATGACCAACCAAGTCTCTGCATTCTGCTACAACTTTCTGACGAACGAACAATATTCCACTAGGTCGTCGCGGATATCTTGCCATGGTGACTGCGACCCGTCCATCTTCGCTGGAGCTACGTGGTCTCCGAACCCTCTTCCGCCCAGTGACACCCCAAGCAATGCGATTGTCAAAATACATATATATCTCTCTCTCCCCTGCTATCCAAATAGATTTGACCCGACGCCTCGGAAAGGGCGAAAAGCTTTCGGGCCAGGACTGCTCCGTTTACAGTGAGAACGGGAATCCGATAGGTATCATGTTATGTTTAGCAAAACGTCAAGTATACAATGGGTCGGTCATCGCTGGTACGTGTAGCCTTTCCTCCGTGCGATGCACCGGATATACCCTAAACCTGTGTCAAGGTGTGCACATATGCTCTGACATTGTCCGCGGAAACTCCATTAGCTAGGATGTTCCGCTCGGGATCACTACTACTACTTCATCGCTTTACAGTCTCGAGGCCTCCACGGCGTGTTCGAGGAGCGACAACAGCATTTTGTGCCTTGCAGATATTGGGACTCCAACATTGTACGATATTGACACGGACGACTTCATTTGGCGCTGAACTAGTTACTAAACTATATTGCCCAGGTCATTCTCGCAACCTCTTCACTCGTGTTCATGTTTGGCATGGATCGGGAGCAGGGCATTACGACTGGTCCGTCGACGCGTACCGAGCACTGAAGAGCATGCTTTCCTTTTGACTGTTCCAATTCAGCGCCAACCACGCCGGGGACCCATTCCATACACCTCTTCGGCCCGAGTTCCATACCACCACGTCTCTGTGCAGGGCCGCAGACAAAATTATGCTCAGCCGAGCGACTTTCGTCGCTTATATTGTCCTGCAAGCCTTGGTGATTATCCTTTTCTGGGTGGTTGTCATCTGGCGCTTTTTGTGCAAGTCCACAAAGCCCAAGTTGTCATCTTACCCGCTTATTGACTTTGCCGCTAAAGCTGTGGGAAAGGACGCGCTTGGGAGTCAGCAGAAAACGGGGATCCGCAGGATGAATCATTGAGGAAGGCAGGGACCGTGAAGGTCATCAAAGTTCTGCGAGAGGCAAGGGTACTCCAGCGGACCAAAAGTGCGGGCGCACTGCGTTCTGAATCAGCGAACCCCAAGATCCAGACTCCTTCATAGATGAACCGGAGTCGTGAGCCGACTCTTGAAGCGATCCCTGTCATTGCAACAGCAGCAACTCCACCTGTTGCAGCGACAGCGGCTCCTTCTATGCAGGCTGCACGGAGCGGCAATATCCTTGATCCCGAGACTGAGAAAGGGCCAGACCGCACGTAGTTACGCGCAATGTGCTGCCTCATATCTGAACCGGAAGTAAGCTGGGCCACAGTCAGCTTTCCAGCGGGTTGATGTACTCCGCGGACTGGCTGAATGAAGTCTAGATCCATGTCGACAATGGTGAGGATGATCGAGGCACAGGGATGACCGGGCGAGGATATTACCACAGCTACCTCCAGCCGGTCGATCTTGTTAGAGTTTAGTACTCCATCGATTAGAGTACGGGTCGACATCTACTCGCATTGCTTCTTTGCCGGGCAACAGGAGACGAGCTGAATGCTGCTTCAGCCTCACCGGGTATTTCTCATCGGAGGAACTCACCACAAATGTCATCTCAGGCTGCGGGAATTCTCGCATCAAAATTACGACGTCACTTATGATATCACAGGCGGAAAGCGCCAGGAAGTCGCTCATAGACCCCGAGGAGAGACTGTAGTACCGGCCTATCCTGTCTAAAAGTAGTCGCTGTGGTAGTCGCTATGCCTTGAAGTGAAACTGGGGCTGGCTGAACTCTGATAAGTATATCCTGACGTATAGTTGTCATGTCTCAAAGGCGTGTCGACAACAAAATTGTGGCTTGCTGGCCGAAAGCGCCTGGAGCCCTCTTGATGTACAGTCGCTGTGCATTTGAAGGGTGTTGGCATAACAAACTGTGGCTGGCTGGCTGAATTCAGCTAGAACAGCCATTATGGAGACGATCGGACCTGTAAAGGGTAAGATGATTTTACAACATCACCATTTTGCCTGCTCATATAGAGCAGATGTCACAGTCGATGCCGCCAAGTTCTTCTTCGAATGCCATCTTGAGATACAATGCAATGGTAAACAGCATGGCTCTCGACATTTCGACTTACCGCAGCCTTTCCCTTTCAGATCAGTACCCAATGTGTCCTTGTGGAATGATGTACTGCCCATTTGCCACGCGGTTCAGCTCTCAGCTCTCCACCAAACATGTCACATCAGAACTCACAAATCGGGTTGTCAACAATAGCACAAGACTCGCTGCTCGTAGCTGCAACCTGCAGCCACCAATGCAAGCAAGCACACCAGCGAGTTCATCACGGTGGCCAACTACCTGATTTGTCTGCCTTTGCCCGTATGTCGACAGATTGAGAGGAAAGAAGTTGCACAAGTTTTCAGCTCGGCGCTCTTCCATACGGTCTATCGACCGATTCCGCAGCGACACTAATCCTCGAAGAGACGGTCATCTGCTATCAGTTGCGTGGCGGATTCTTCATCTAACGTGCAGAGAGCTGCTTCGGTCGACGGTTCTGGTGAGAGGCATTTAAGGTATATAAGCAACTCCTGTTCACGCATGTTGGCTCAGTCCTCTTCTCTCAAAACTCACCTCTCTCAAGGATACCTTTACTTCTCCTTCTACCTACTGGCCTCGCCCTCAACTTGGTCCTGTCTATCATGGAGACATGCAGCGGCGGCAAGGGGCATCATTTGGACGAGCCACCTTTTCAATACGTACCAACAGAGAAGGACCTGGAGTCGCGAGGCCTGAGCGTCGGCCATAGAGCGGGACTCATCAGGCGTTCCCGTCAGGGCGTTATCAGATATGGACTAGCCTGCTGGGCCGCTTTGATAACCCTTGCGTTGCTCCTCTTTGCATTCTTGTACCGACCACGGATCCTATGCTCCGAGAGCACTAACATGGATCATTACTATCCTTCGTCGGACTTGTCAACGCTCGCACCAGCTTGGAGATGGACCGCCTACAGCGATGACGGCTGCAGCAACGAAATCGCAAGTCGGAATGATACTGGACCACTGTCCTGCACAAATTTCACCTCAGACGTCGCTGAAGCAGATCGCCTCACTGTCGATATGGGGAAACACTGGGCAATCTGTCTGTACACCGGTGATAACTGTGACACCTATAAGGGCCGTTACGATTTCTCGAAACTCTCCTGCCAAAAAGGACGCGATTCCACAGCGTATCAGATCATCGAACTCAGCGAGACTGCCGTTTGCCCCGGTGAGATCCCAGTTGGGGCCTGGGATCCTGATGCTTGTGCCCAGCAAGGCCGGGGCTGCGTTTGTGATCCACTGGGAGACCAGTGCGTATGTTAATACACAGACCCGGATTCTGCCTGAAGACAGCATCTGTCTGTATTATCCGAAATGGTTGATTGGGCCAACGATTCGGCTAGGGAGGAACACAGATTTAAACCCCCCAAAACACACACACACACACACACACACACACACACACTCACTCTCTCACTCTCTCTCTCTCTCCCTCTGTCTCTCTCTCTGTGAGCAACATGGTTCTCTTGCGGCACTGGGGGCCCCCGGAGCGGATGTAATATGCCAGACGTGCTGGGAAACATGTCATGACTCTTTTTGGGGAACGGGAAATGAAACCCGAAATGTGACGGGCTAATGTGATTGAAATCTCTGCGAGGAAGAAGAGTTCCAAGTCCACATTCTTGCTGGTTTTGCTTCTGCTTTGCCGTCAGCTCATTCTAGTAGTGGCCCACATGGTTTCTCTTTCTGATGTATGGTGTCGCTTTCGTATATAGCTTATGAAAGAGTGCCTACGGGGATTTGATGTGTTGGACCTCGACTTTGGCGGACCCATCGGCTGCCGTCTCCGCCATTAATGCCCTCGCCGCCGGCATAGAAAATAGGCTGGTTACCCCCAAAGGTATGTAGATCTGGACAGAGATGGACTTCGCCACTGGTTGGTATGTCCGTGTGCAAAGAGAAGCCTACTACGGAGAGTTCAAGGGCAGATCCAGAGGATGGGCGTTTCGATAAGCAGGCGAATCAGACTTGGTTTTCCGGCGCCTGTTTGACCAGTAAAGGAGACAAGCCCAGGAAAGCGTGGAAGGCAGCGCCTACTGGAGAGCTCTTCTAGAAGCCGCGAGTATCGCCCAAAATCACAATTTACATTTTCCCCAGTGTCACAATCTCTGCCAGTCCCAAACGAGAAGAGTCCTCGTCTCGCTCTTGCAACAATACTTGCCCTTCTTTATTGCGCTCTGACTCAAGTGTCTCGAAAATCCTTCGGGCAACACGTGCGTCACTCTTCTCATGCCGCAGGCCAACTTGGGGGAAGCCCATAGAGCAGTTGGAGCGCTCTCCGTGGCGGACATTTGTCCCAGCATTTCCCGCGGAAGATAGCCCCGTTGCCGGACCAGCAGAAGCAACACTCGTCTTAAGATGGTCGGCGCTCCACAGTTGCAGGTTCCGTCTTCGTCAAATCCAATAGCTGGTTCTGTGTTTGACGTGATCACGATGTTGTCCTGATGGGATGGAGGTACCTCGACCTTAGTTGCATCAGTGCTTGTAGGATGTTGGACCGAACTAGGGTCTGCAGTATCGGTTCTTAAACTGGTCTGTTCACTGATGCTGTTGGCCGCATATACTCTGGACTCTGGCTTACCTTCGTCGTCAATATTGGCAATTTTGGAATGGGGTTGCTCCTTGTGAGCCTCTAGCGTCTTGCTTTGACGTCTCCATCCGTCATAAGGCGTCGAGTACGCAAGGGCTTTCTAAATCTTTCGGTCTTTTTCGAGCACAATTTGTTGCCGTTAGCAAAACATGTCTGTGCAGTGCTCTGTGTCGGAGTGAGAAAGGTCCTCTCGGGTCCCAAACAACAAGCCAGGCCCTTGCAGTCTTCGCAAACTAAGAGATGCTTGATGGTTGGCACTCTGGACGACTCGAGCAGTAGATGGAGGGGGATGCTCGGAACTTACCTCAGCTCAATGCGACTTGTGGCCCAGCATATCGTAGAGCCGCTGATCACAATGTGCTACCATAGTCTTTGCAGGGCAATCCAATCGAGCCTGTCAACAAGATGCTAGCTGCATCTGACAATGAGACTTGCTTGTAGCTGCTTTGAATCTGGACAGACCTCAAGGCAGATCACAAGTACATCTAGATCGCAGTATGTCCATCCACTGATGCACGAGCACTGAGATCTCACAGATGTGGTAGGGAAGGTTTCTGTTCACTACTGTTGCAATGTGTCGGCATGGCCGAGTGCTGAACAAGCTCAGTGGCCTGCATCTGCGCATTTTTGTATGAGCGCGACCTTCGCACTCGTTGCAATTGTAGGTAGTTCTCAGCAGTATGGATACTGCTATGTTTGGACCTCGGAGCTCTCAATAGTATCCATGACAGACAGAGACGAACCGAGGACGTGTCGGCATTTGTGGATAGAGCGCAAAAAGTAGGTGGTTATGGCAATACGAAGGCTAGATTCCTCTTTGCGCTACAGGCGCCGATAGTCTCGATTACACTTTCGGTCCTATTGTTTCTTGCGGGCTTGAGCTCAATGGTGTGCAGTCTTTTAGCACGAAATCTTGAACGGGACAGCGACATCAAGGTGAGTTTGAAGTCTCCATGCATGTATGACGCTGACGAATGCGGTGAGATTGCCTTGTTGTTCGGGATCGCGAGCATTGTTGCTTTGGCTGTATTTACTAGGACATCGATGTTCATATACACATTATTCCGACCTTCTGAGACAACGGAGGGCTAATGCTATCGGCAAGGTTTATCGGGCGATTAGGACCTGGACATGCAGAATAAGGCAATTGAAATACAGGAGTCATTGTCGAGCAGAGAAGAGGAGGGTGTCGTGGGTAAGTTGAAGGTGAGAGAGAGCGAGTCGAGATGTGGACAGAGTTTAAAAGCAGCGAGGGTCGCCAAGACCCAATTAGTGGGTCGAGAGAGCTCCAGGGCGTCTCCGCGCGAACCACCTCAACTTCGGCGCAGGAATCTCATTGCAGCTTGCTTCCAACATCACCAGGAAACATCTCAATAGGAAAACATGTCTGGCCCCTCGTTAGCACCATACATCTTGAAGCGGCCATGGCTCAAACGGTGGATGATGCCCTTCGCCAATTGGTACGCCAACACTGCCGGCTACAGATCCCTAGGTCAGTACATCACGCTTGGAGAATAGCTTCTCCTTCCCTATTTTCCAGTCCCCCTGTTAACGCTGTTGGCAGGTCTGCGCCATGACGACCTGATCCCGGAAGAAAACGACATCGTCCAGCTCGCGCTCAAGCGACTTCCCCCTAAAGAAGCCTATGACCGAGTTTTCCGTCTCAGAAGAGCTTTCCAGGTATGCCAGGCGATGAGGAAGAGGAGGGCACGGAACAGCTAACGGATTGGTATCACAGTGCTCCCTGTCACATCATTTACTGCCTCCCGCGGAACACACGAAGCCCGAAGACGTAAGGATTTCTCCAGCACGCCGAAAATTCATTGCAGTTTCAACTTGCTCACGCATCGTTCATAGGACATTCCATATCTGAGTCCCATTATCGAGGAGATTGAAAGAGAGGAGAAGGAGCGTGCCGACCTGGAGTCTATGATTGTTGAGCCCAGGAAGCAATCGTGAACTGGCAGGTCGATGGACCAACAAGGGCGGCTGGCCGGAGTCCAAAAGGAATGTGAATGCTGAATTAGTGTACATAGCATACAAAGAAAGGGAGCTCGTAGGGAATCCATAAGCAACCTAAGCTAACGGAAGACTCTACGCCTGCATGACCTCAACGTCCACATCTTCCACTCGCCACATATACCACATAAACAGACTCCGATACGGCGCAAAGGGCGCACTCTTCTCCAGCATATCCTGCTCAGACATGTATTTCCACTTGCCACCGCCCTTTGCTTTTAGTTTCTTCACGTCTTTGCCAAAAAATGCAGCCATCCCCCTCTGAACGCCCAGGTCACCAGTGGAAATGATATCAAGCCGCTTGAGCGCGAAACAGGCAAACATCTCCACACTCCACTTCCCCAGTCCGCGGACCGCAATGAGTTTCTCCATAACTTCTTCGTCTGATGCTCTCATAAGCATCTCATTTGTGAGTTCTCCAGAGGCGAATTTTTGAGCTAGGCCTTGGATATACTCCGCTTTCCGTTGAGACAAGCCGGCAAGGCGTAATCTAGCAATTTCTGTAACCGCCACTTGTGCTGGTGTCGGGAATTGTACTTCTTCAGGCCCTTCTTCGTTGAACAAGGCAATAAACTTATTCTTGATGGATTTGGCAGCGGCACCCGAGACCTGCTGGCCCATAATCCCGCTTGACAATGAGCGAAAGGGGTCAATCATCTCGGCGAAACCCTCAGCCGAGAATATATGGCATGGATGTTTTTCGATCAGCGGCTTCAAGCGTGGCTCCACCCTGATGAGATGAGCACAAGCTTGGTCTAGGAGAGTGTTCGTGGTCGCGATCGGTCGAGGGAGGCCTGTTTTTGATGGGGTCGACTCGGGAAGAGTGTCTTCGTACGCGACATGCTGTGTCCCTCCAGGTGTGACTAATGGGGCATTGGTGATATGCGGTTCAACGGGGCGGTCAGGAGGAGGAGTTGCATCGTCAATGTCCCCAGAGCTGTAAGGAGCTCGAATAACGTTGATGAGACTCGGCGTCGGTGTCAATGGTGGATGCTTGGGCCGCGTAACAGTAGCCCTTCGTGCATTCGCCCTTTTGATTGGCGTCACAGGCACTTTGAATTCCGACTCCGCCTGGGGCACCCCATTCACAATCTGATTCTCTCCCTTGTCAACTGTTTGCTCACGGGCGCCATGGGCCTTTTGTCTTTTGGCTTTCGTGCCTTGCCCTTGCGAGCCAGATGTCCGTCTCTTTGGCCCTTTGGCCACATCCGGTGCTGAAGGAGTGGCAATTGATGCGATCCTGCTGGATCGACGAACAGACATGGCAGATAAACGCGCTAGCATTCAATGATTGGTGGTTTGTACATTTATAATCCTTCTCCTGGATCATGAACTGGTCAAAGCCGAGCATATACTCTGTATCTGCCCGGAGCTGGAGAGACCGGAAGTTGGCTTGTTCGTTCTCTGAAGAACAGCAATCCGGGACTGAAGAAGAATGGGGAATTGGTTCACCGTTGACGTTGGATGAAGCGACGATATATTCTCTCCTTCAGCCATGAAGAACCTCGAATATCATTGGCCCAGGCGTTTTCGGTGCCTAATCCCAGTGCCAAGCATCTGTCACATTAGTGGCTTGAGACCGTGTGGCTGACATAAGCCAGTCCTTCTTTCCGGAACAATGGCCGCCGGCATGATATTTTGCTCGCTGGAACGCAATCACCCAGGACTCTACCTCCCTAGGCCATTCTCATCTCCCGCGATGTGTTGTTTAGGCATTCCTAACCCATATGGGTTTCCTGTGTTCGTATTGACTGGAAGATACGTTCCGCTCAGACAGAAAGTGTCCGGGAATATGCAGCAGAGAACGTGTCATGTCGTGCGATATGTATCTGAAAACGCAAGTTCCCGTTGTGCCGCCGTTCTCGATCCGAGGATTCGGTTTTGTAGAAGGCTAGCGCATGACGCGGCCACACACGGAGCTTCAAAGTTTCTTGTTTGTCAAGAAGATATTCCACCACCAAACTGGTTTCTGCGACGGCTTGTTCCAGGCCATGACCTCAATAATAGGTAATCTCTCAGATGGAGATCTTCCTCGTCTCGCTATCTCTCTGCCTAATATCAGACAATGCCTGATCAATTCCAAATGATCCACCAGACCTGGTTGTTGATCGGATCTGATGGAAATTTGAAGCCTTCATATCGAAAGTGGATGCCCGAAGATGGAAAAGCTCTATCTCTGCGGCGGGAACCTGTTCCAGGATCGTGGTATGGAGGCGCCGTATCGTACTGTCACCAAATAACAGACTAAAACAGATGGTGGAACAGGTGTGGACGGCCTTTACCTGATGCGCTAGGAAGATCCGGTGGTGATGGATGCGCCACGGCTGCCGGATGTTATCAAAAACCTTGATGACTGGGCAGACAGATCAGCACGGTGCCTGTTCGGCGGTCGCTGAAGGGATGAAATTGATACTGGTCACGAGCCCACACTGGCCCATGACGATCAGGCAAGCTGGTTTGCGAGACGAGAATTGAGGTTGAAGCTTGAGCAGGGATTGCAACTGGTTCCGCCTGCCGGGCCTTTGACAGCTTTACCTTGGAATTTTCTGCATCAAGAGGTACGGGTACAGCGTCATCGGTATGTACACACCATCAGCATGCGTGGAGGCGTTATGACCGTTATCTGGATGCCACAAGCCTCGCACGCCACCTTTGATGAGGAGAATTGCTCCATTATTTTCACCTGTGGATCGATGGTTCGCAGCTCTGCCCATACTTAGTACGAGTAAGTACTTGAGTACTTACCTAAGAAAAGAAAAAGAGAAGCGAACAAGCGAAATGGTGATTGATCCACTCTGACAAGGATTCTGTAAAGTAGCGTTATCAGTTGTCGAGCATCAGGTTATCCATTAAAATCTTCGGCTTTCTGTGCTTGAGCGTGGCTAGTACGGAGTACATGGCATCTGCTCCGTCTTCGAGCGTCGAATGTCTCAGATGAGAGGGGACATATGGACTCTGGAGAAGTCTGTGGCCACTGGCCAGAAGGCGATCGGCTCGAGGCAGCTCGGCAGGAATGGGAATGGGGGGGGGGGTTGCAGCATGCAGCATGCAGCATGTGCGGGCTGGTGGCGGATGAAGTGGCTGAAGCAGGAAATGGGGGTCGATTGAAGGGTGGATGAGAGCGCCGGTACCAACTCAGTTGTGTGTACCGAGTACCCAAGTAGGTACTGGGTAGGGAGGTAGGTACTGTACCGTAGGGTGTCTGTGGGTGTTTGTTGTGACAATACCCAGTACGCAATACTTAGGTAGGTACAGGGAACTTCGGGCAGCCCTCTCCTTTTTGCACTCTGACTTGCTAGGCTGCGCTAATGATGCAACCCCGACTCCGTAGGCTCCATCTGAGACGGCAAGTGCTGCAGCTGCCCCCCAACTTCCGGGCCACTGACAGCCACACCGCAGGTGCGGCTCCCCTGGTTTGGCCTGCTACCCAGGGCCCCCCTGGACTTGCCCTGAACTGCGGGTAAGAGCCCACCAGACGGCCAAACAACAAGGTCTACAAGGGCCGCCCAGGGCCACCGCGGCCACTAGCTCAGCCAGACCGGATGTCAAAGCAGGGCTATTCGGAGGTGCTCTTTGGCCTAGCAGCCAATCAGTGGCCCGCCCTGCCCCAGCTCAATCCCATCCCTTCAATTGCCAATTCCTCGCTGCGTCCAGTTTTCCTGCCATCTCCCTTCTCTCTTCACACGCCCGCTTGCACGCACAACAGTCTATCGTTGCTGCTTTTTTCCTTTCTACACTTCCATTCTATCTTCTCTTCAGGAAGCCAGCCACGCGTTGACTCTTGGGCCAGAGAGAGTCGTCCCTGCCGCCGGCTGTGTTGTGTTAACACTCCCTCCCCCCAAAAGCAACAACAATCAACAAACCAGCTTCTCCTTCGCTGAAGCTGATTTTATCCCATCCTCGCTGTGTTCTCACTGCAGACTCACCAGATTAATTCTTGTACTCCTCAAAAGTTTCTTACGACTCGTTCAGGGCCAGCTTCACGCCTTCTATCTTCTTTTAATATTGCATTGCAGGTGAGTGCTGCCACATTCCACGCCTCCCTGCTCCTCTGTCTGCTTTGTTGTCCGGTGACCGCGTCACTGTCGCCTTGTCACCTCTGTCAACCTCAAACCAACCTTCGTCTGTCACATCGCACAGAGTATAAAGTAACGCGTACTGATTCAAATTGCAGCTCTTCGCTGTTCTTAGGACACCATGACTTTCTCCAAAATCATCCTCCCTACCCTCGCCCTAGCGAGCTCTGTCTTGGGTACGTCCTCACTGTCTACAAAAGTTGGATTCAAGGCATTGTGTCAGACTTGGGCAAGAGCGGGTTCTCACAAGCGGAACTGCGTGTTTTTGGGCAAGTTATTGAAGCTAACTCTGCTTCAGCACAGGGCGGCGGCGGCAGCAGCAGCAACAATATCTGTAATGGACCCTCGATCACCATTGCCACTAGTGCAGATGCCGAACAAATCGCCAACTGTGAAACATACGATGGCGATATTATCATTGATCCCTCTGCATCGGGCCAAATTGCGATCAATGGGGTCCAACAAATAACGGGTGACCTCACTTGCAACAATGCGACTCAACTCACGGCTATCACATCGGATCAGATCAATACGATTCAGGGCACATGGAGTTTGAGCGGCCTCACCATCCTCTCCACATTGCAATTTGACTCCCTGACTGGTGTAAACAACATCAATTGGGTTGGGCTCCCTGCACTGCAGAGCCTTAATATGGCTCAGGGCATTCAGAGAGCGAACAATGTCTACATTTCCAACACGCAATTGAACAACATAAACGGCATTGAATTGACAGCTGTTGGAAGCATGAACATCAACAATAACCCGTACCTCACCGATGTCAACGTCAATGGTTTGGCCAATGTCACCAACTCGCTATCCTTCTCCGCCAACGGTCGTGACCTAGCCATCTCCTTCCCCAACCTTCAAGATGCTGCCAACCTGACTTTCCGAAACGTCAGCAAGATCGACATGCCATCTCTCTCCAATGTGGCTGGGTCCATGGGCTTCTACTCTGACAATTTCAAGACCTTTGCTGCGCCCAACCTGACCCAGACGGGCGGCACTTTGGCCTTCGTTGACAGCCCCGACTTAGCGAGCTTCTCTTTCCCCTCCCTCACGACCATTGGTGGTGGTTTCTTGGTCGCAAACAATACCAACCTCAAGGCGATTGATGGTCTGCCCAAGCTGCAGACGATTGTTGGCGCTCTCGACTTCGCAGGAACTTTCTCCAGGTAAGTACTTGGGAATGGTTTCATGTCACTAACTGTTCGGAGCTGATCTGGATTGCAGCGTCACGATGAACAAACTGAACGACGTTCGGGGCGGATCCAATGTGCAGACTACCTCCACCAACCAAACAATCTGCCAGCTCTTCGACCAGGCTCATGCAAACGGCGTCATCAAAGGCGTCAATACTTGTCTCACCAACAAGGCCAACCCTGAGACCAACCCTACTGCGACCAGCGGCGGTACCTCTTCCACCTCGACAAGCAGCTCCGGCAGCAGCGGCAGTAGCAATGCCGCTGTCACGTTTGGTCCCGCCACACCCATGACCGGTCTCAGCGCTCTGATTGCTGCCATTTTCTTCCTCTAAAGCATTGGGTCCTTGGGCGTTGCTTTTCCGCTCCACTTAGAATAGCTTAATATGCGACGGGTGATGTCTCGATCCTTGTGCTTGTCAGGCCCTTTTTTTTTTGAGCGATCAACTCTCTTTTTAACGAAACAAACAACAAGATAGGTGGAGACTTGTGACTCGGTTCTCACAAAACAAAAGAAGCGCGTGCGCATCTGGAGTGTGGGGACAAGGGTTTCTTGTGTTGGGAAAGATCTAGTACTGGCAGATTGTGATTGAGAGCGAACAGAGCTCCGAGGAGCTCGCTTGCGTGTGGATAGGCATACAAATGAAAACATGTTTCCTTGACTGTGGCTAGATGCCATTCATCTGTGCTTTCCATGGCGACATGCCTTTCTTTCACGGTTGGCCAACTGGCCAGCTACCAGAGGGTCAGGATCATGGCACGTTGACACCGCTGCACAAACCACGGTTGGACAAGTGATGGATGGACACTAGGCTTGTTCGTAGGCAAAGGACTGTGATATGTTTATACCATCAGCACCGCACCAGCAGACCTGCTTATCTTGATTTTGCGACTTCGAGCGCGACTTTGCGATTCCCCCGCAACTGTCAGCGTCACCCCAGTCCACTTTGTGGTTCTAAGATGATGATAGGATGCGGCCGCGAGTGGCCGGCATCCAGGGGTATCTCAGCTTACAGGCTCGTGCCAGATTTGACGGAATGCCACCATTGAATGACACCCAGTCAGCATTGTCCAAAGGGGATACCGGAACGCATCGAATAGTCGCGGCTATGTAGGTAGGACTATGATTGACCCCTGCAGTCACGGCGGCATGCTCAGAAGATCGTGGCCACAGTTCAGTGGAAGCGGCCGTGTCGAGCGACAAAGGCTACTGCGTCTCCTGCTTTTTTGGACCTCGATGGGGCCACCGCAAGTTTCGAATAGGTACGCAAGTACTTTACTTGGATTTGGACCTGAGCGCGCTGAGTAAGAAAGAAGTACTTATGTATGTACCTATAGGATGATTAGAGACCCCCAGATTCGAGTATCCGGCCGAGTATTTGCCGTATGTACATAGCTGGACGAGCTAATCACGGGCCAGATTTGTCCGTTTGTCTCACGGTCAGTGCCTCCGCGGCTCGGGCATAAGGGCTGGTGGAGGTCGATCGAGAGGATACGACCTGAAGCGTCAGCTTTGCTCTGTTGAGATATTACGAATGCGGAAAGAGGAGTGGGAACTAACATGGCCTGTGCCGGAATCTGACTTTGGAGACCTGGTTTTAGTGGACCATGTTAACTCGTATGCGCGTCTTATGCCTGGATGTGTCACTACATAGGTAGTATATTGGTGGCCACAAAGGGTGAGATAAAATGCGGGTGGATGTATAAAAAGGTATAAGTAGGAGATCATCGCTCACTGGGCAAAAGGCCTCGACATAAAGACTTTTGCACAGATATAGAGATCATCTTCGTCCTTCTTTTGCCGCCCTGATATCAGGACACGATACGCAGTGGTCACCAGCCTGTCAAGATGCCCCGAACAGATGTCTCTTTCAAGACCTCGGACGGGGTGACCCTGCGCGGGTGGTTCTTCACTCGTCCATCCTCCAACAGCAGCCCTTCCACGGGAACGAAACTCCCATGCCTAATTCTCACCCACGGCTTGTCATGCATCAAAGAAATGGGCCTGTCAGATATCGCCACCAAGTTCACCGAGGAACTACCCATCACCTGCCTTGTGTATGATCATCGAGGATTCGGCGCCTCGGACACCGCTCCAGGCCAACCCAGACACGAGGTCATCACCTGGTTGCAGAGCAACGATATGCGGGATGCGATCACATACGTGCAAGGTAGGGAGGAAGTCGACAAGTCGAAAATAGCACTGTGGGGCTATTCCCTTGCCGCGGCGGAGACCGTGTATGTCGCGGCTATGGATCGACGGGTGAAAGCTGTGGTCTCGTTGGGACCGGGCATGAATGGGAGCGAGATCGTGAGAAGGATGGCACCTCCTCACGCCCTATTAGCCATGCAGGGTCTGTTTGAAATGGATCGTCTTGCGAGGGCCGACGGAAAGGATCCGATCACGGTGCCTGTTGTGAGCAATGAGCCCGGTGTGCAGGCGACGTTGCCGAGTCAGGAGTCGTGGGATTTCTTCTCCAAATGGATGGCGAACGGGTCGAGTTGGAAGAACGAGTTGACCCTGCGATCGTGAGTTCTACTCTCTTTCCACCATAATCTTAACTGGTCGAGGGAGGGGCCTTTTATCAGGATCTTTCTCCGCTGATGAGGTAATCACACAGCCTTGACGACATCTCAACGATGGCGTTGCCCATATCACATCTCGACGATCTCACCCCGACCCCTGTCCTCCTCGAAGCAGCCACGAGGGACACTAACAGCCCTCCTGACATGACCATGAGATGGTACGCGAAGCTGAGTGAGCCGAAGGAACTGGTGCTGGTGGACGCAGATCATTATGAGTTGATGGGTTCGGCGAGGAATATCTTACATCCTAAGGAAGTGGCATTTCTCAAGAGGACCGTTTGCTCATGAGTGATGGGTAAAGGAACAACGGGGAAGAGGGTAGTGAGGCTTGTCCAGGGCTGTGCAAGCCTCTAATAGTCGGTTGATATTCGGCCCTTAGGGCCAGAAGCCTTGGCTCGGCAGACTGCGAGGCTACGAGATTGCTCTTTCAAAACTCAAGTTCTGTCCCTCATTTGCACAGTTTTTTTCTCTCTCTAGTTATTCATCCCTCACAGCCCCACGCTGTGCGTACCTTGAAACACCAGTGACAGTCGAACAACTGGCAGAGCCTTTCATTCGGCAGTTGGCTCCCAAACACCGCCGATTTCCTGCGGTAGTGTCATGCGCCCCAAAAGGGGGATGTGATGAGGGATGATAGCTGAACCAACGAAGAAGGAGAAAGGCAAAGGGAAAATGGCTGTGTCATGGTATCCGTCGTCGTCGTCATCATAGCGCTCTGTTCCTTTTGTGCATCGTAGCGTTGGACTATATGAGGCTGAGCAGAGCCGAACCGAACTGAATTGAACCGAGCTGGATTGTTCGAGTAGAGTAAATCAACATGATCTACCTCTCTCTTTGGGTTATTCCTTGCGACTCCGCTCCGGGGCGCGCAGATTCCAGAAGTCTTGGTTTGGTATTGGGGAAATGGTCTTCTGTGTAGTGGTCGCGTCGTGTACCGGGCGTGCAGGAGGAAAGGATGGACGATGAGGTTCAGTAACGTGCTTAAAACCGCTAGTCCTGATGCTCTCTTCGGGAAGGGAATAGGCGGCGAAGAGATTTCTGAGTCCAGTGACTAGGATCTCACAGCATCAGAAAATATAGATAAATACCTAGGTTTCTCCGTGCCGAGCTCAGGGGAGTTGTGCTAGTATCCGGCGTCATGACTTTTATTGCTGACAGCGGTACAGATGGCAGGGGGAGGCGAGAGGAGCGTGTCGGTCCTGCAACAACTAGGAAATGTCACCTGTATTTTCGCCTGAGATAAGGGCGCGAGGAACTTTGAAAAAGAAGATCTGGATACCACCCAACCGCCCTCTTTCCAGGTAATATATGTAGGTCATTGGATGTTGATACAGAATCCTTGATTAGTGATGTAGTGATTTGTTGGCGTCATGATTGTAAAATTGCCGCTATCAATGTTGGAAGTCCATGCTGTAAAGTCTATGCTGGAGAGATGATGCTGGAGAGATGATGCTGGAGAGATGATGCTGGAGAGATGATGCTGGAGAGATGATGCTGGAGAGATGATGCTGGAGAACTGATGCTGGAGAACTGATGTTGCAGAACTGATGCTGACGCCTGAAGAAAAGGTACTCTGAAGAAATAATGCTGTGGAAATGGATATGCTGTGGAAATATCTTAATGTTGTCGTATGCATCTAGGTAGTAAGCCACGCCGTGGATGTACTACCGAAGCAAAGCAAAATTCGATCAAAATAATCTGCAAAAGTCTCCCTGCCATATTTCCAAGATGAAATGGCCCATTTTGAACGCCAGATATCAACGATATGGGGTATCTAGTTGCAGTTAGGCGCCACTGAGCGAGGATGGGAACAGTTGTGGGAATTGACTCACCATAACTACATAAATGGTCCAAAGAACTCCAAGCCTCCCTACCACCCTCATTCCAAGCAAGAGTCGTGCAAGTTGATATGGTCGTCAATCGTTGTATATGGGATCGTAAATTCTTGTTGTAAGGCTCCAATATGTCGTCAATATTTGTATAGAGTGTCATGAATTCTTGGTGTAAGGCTTCAATATGTCGTCAAAAGCTGTCCAGGGTATCTTCGATCTTGATGAACAAAGACTGAATTATGATGTCAATGGCATGCGGTTAGACAAGGTATGTTAAAATGATGAGATATGTTGTGGTAAAGTGTGCAATCCCGTCAAACGCCTTGTAATATTGTACAAGATTGAATACGTCCAGTCAAGATGTTGTCGTCCACAAAGCGGTAAATAGCTGAGAGACCCCCATCCAGTGTAAGAGACGTAAATTGCTGCTTTAATTGTGCAAAAGGATTCTGGATGCCACCCTGCCACCCTCTTTCCAGGAAGTAGTGTCGGTGAGAGTTTAGATTGTTGGTTTGTGCTGAACTGAGTGAAGGCGTGGAGAGTTCTGTGTCTTGTACTGTTTTGAGGACGCAATATGTTGCTTATATTGCTGGCAAACTCTTGAAGTTGATGTTCTATGAAGAAAAAGGAAGACACCGAGATTGTTGTTTGATGGATGAAAATGGAATGATTTCTAAGACCCACCCCGCCACCCATTTTTCAAGTAGTCGTTTGGTGTAAGTCGTTGCAATTCCGACAAGTTGTTGATGGATACTGCACTTCGATTATCGTGCGTGCCACTTGTGTTGTGTTTGAGGACTGTAATATCCGTTCTGAAAGCCAAGGCGCTGGCTCTGGAGGCAAGACCAGAATGTCTTTGTTGGTTAAAAGGAGTGCTGGAGACCGCCCTGCCATCCTGTTTCCAGATTTCGTTGATTCAACAACGCGTGGGTTTAACATTGTGCGTCAACGATTGGACTGAAGTTCTGAAAGACGGTTTTGCAGGGTTGAGGTTGTTGGTTGCTGTGTGAGGTTGTTATGCTGACGGGTTGAGACATGTCGAAAAGAAGTCCTGGAATCCACCCTACCACCCTCTTTCCAGGATTGTTTCAATGTTGATATTGTGTTGCTGACATTTTGAGAGATGTTGGAGATCTGTTGAATATTGTTGACAGTGTGGGAGAAGCATTGAAGTAGTGTTGCCGAAAGTGTGAGGTAAATGTAGTTGAGAGTGCATGAATAGTTTTGTGGTTGAGAGTGTAAGAATAATTGTTCTTGAGAGCGTGAGGAGAGTGGTGTTGTCGTTGAGAGTGTGGGATGAGTGTATGTTGTTGAGAGTACGTAGATAGTTGTTGTTGTTGAGAGTGTGAGACTAGTGTGGTTGTTTCTTGAAAGTGTGAGGAAAGCATTGATAGTTGTAGAGCCTTGAGAGATGTTGAAGTGTTGTTGTTGTTGAAAGCGTGAGATAAGTGTCGATACCCATAGAGCCAGAGAGCCATAGAGCCTTGAGAAGCAGTGCTGATCTTTGGAAGACTGCGAGATGATAAGAAAGAATCCTGGAAGCCACCCAACCGCACACTTTCCAGAATGAACTCCAAGGTGTGATGATCTAATGCTGATGAGGTGTTGATACTGTGTTGCTACTGTGTTGATAAGGTACTGATGAGATGTTGGCGAGACGTCGCTTTGGTGAAGTGAAGTGAGGTGATCCACTCAAATTCGAGCTGCAAAGGCCTCCTCGGTAGCCTCTGACTGAGACCTGATGGGACACTTTGTTGAATGGGACGGATCATGGATGACGAAAGAAGCCCCGGAAAACCACCCTGCCACCCTCTTTCCAGGCTTGAGAGCCTCATTGGGTTTTCGTCAATGTGCTGTGTAGGTCCAAATGTTGTGGACGGAAGAATGATGCTATAAACTGTTCGGAACAAGAACCGACTGAGCAAGCCATTGTTTGATCTGCAGCTCAAACAACAACTGCTGGGCCAGGCCTTGTCTTCACAGTTCCAGTATCATGTATTGATTGCCGTGAAGATGATGTTGAAGACTGATGTTGATGAAGATGTTGAAGATGGTGTCGATGATGATGATGTTGCCGATGAAGCTGGTTTCTGTCGGAAAAGAATTTGTTGTCTTCAGCCCTTCAAGCTGAACCAGTCTCTGCTGGTGCTTTTGTGTTTTGCAGCCCGCCCTGGCCAAGTTCCGCGGCCTCATGCATGTCTCTGGTGTCGACCTGGGTCTGATGGCAATGTGTGACATCCTAGGCGCCTTAGGAACCACCGATCGCTAAAGACCACTACGAAAACCAAGAGAAGTCTGATTCCTGAGTTGTGGTCAGGAAGACACCTGCCCCTTGCCCGTAAGCTGTAAATGCGGACACTTGGGGGTTGTTGACGGCCGTCGTGGCCGTGGGGGCAAGATGAGGCATTGCAGTCGGTTGCCCTGTGGGCAGGTTCTGCTGCCAAAGACCGCGAGGCTGCGGAAGAGCACCTGCGAACCACACCGGGTTTTTGATGGGTTCTCTTCGGGCTAAGTTGAGGCCCATGTGAGGCGCAATAGCAGGCGCAACGGCAGGCGCAACGGCAGGCGCAACGGCAGGCGCAATGGCAGGCGCACCGGCAGGCATTTGTCGGGGCATTTGCTGCTGCCCATTGAGCTGTGGTGTCCTATTGTTCAGGATCACGTTGTTTTGCACAGCTCCCTGTGCATTGACCCTGACGGGTACTGGGAGCTGGCGTCCGTCTGCCCAACCGCTGGGCTTGTGAGGGCACGATTTGATGTGCCGCTTCACGTTGTCGACGCGGCTGCTGCTATGGTTGCAACCGCGTTGGTGCCAAGGACACCTATGGACGTCGGCCTCGCCTTTGCACTGCTTTTTGTGCCTGCGGAAATTGGACGGGTCTGGACGGAGGGTCGCTTGGCAGACATCACAGACCACGCGCTCTCTACGGTGAGCGGTGAGCACGTGGCTGTTGAGACTGTTCTTGGCCGAGAAGGCCTTGGTACACTCTGTGCAGGGGAAAGCCATCTTGACTGCTCTAGTGGTTGAATGTGTAGAGCGCTTTGTTGGCAAGTCCAAGGTGTTGATGACAGGTGTTTAGGAGGCCTAGAATGTGGCAGGCTCCTTTGCGGTTCGGGAGGTCGTTGTCTTCAAGACAATGACGCGTGCAAGTGACTGCTGAGTTTGGAGTTGAATGTCGAGTTGAAAATGGAGTGCGTGTCGAGTTGATTGATCAGACTGTGTCGTAAGTGCTGTATGGAATCTGGCAATGCTGGGAGGTGCTGTATGGGTCTGGGAAAGATAGGAGGGGAGGGACTAAGCAGAGGAAACAGGGCGGTATTTGTAGCAGGATGGAAAACCTGCGCAAAAGCCCACCATCTGGTTGAACCATGAAATGTCTCCATGTTGTAAACTTACCATGATGTCGACGCAGAGCAGAGCCTCTCCCGGTGGGGATAGAACCATTGACCAAAACATAGCAAAAAGCCAATAATTTGACCAGAAGCGGTTGAGCAGGCTGCCAGAAACACATCAGACAGAAAGGGAATGGACTGGGGCTTGACGGCAAACGACATTGGATTTCAAAATCATAATGGGCAGTAAACTTTCAGCGGCTAGACGCGATTTGCGATATATTCTGATAGGCGTGCGCTCAAGCAGCCGAAGGGGCGCGAAATGCTAACAAAGGGGACTTTGCCGTATCGATTGGTTGAACCGGAGGGACACAGTATGTCCGGCATCAAGACTGTATTGCGCGATGGGTGGGTAGTTGTGGATATCACTTTCAGAGTCAATGCTGAGCCAGCGGTTAGGTCTTGCCGGGAACCAAGATAAGCCAATTGTCTCAGATCTGAAGCTGGTTGGGGATTTGCAAGGAGGTAGGTGCTTAGATCGAAATGCATTTCGGGATGTCTAAACGAGTTCAATCCAAGCAATTTGTGTAGGAACCAGGAATTTTCAATTGCCACTTGACGACACGTACCGAGCAACCCGTACGCGATGCTGCGCATCAAAACGCGGTCGAAATGCCGTGGAGCCCTTTGCAGACCCGTGACTCTGCAAGCCCCTCCCCAGATTCTCTTCCTAGTGGCATCCTTTCGGCTGCTTTTGAGTCTTGCCCTCCTCCGGCCAACCCAGGTAATGGTGGTTCAGATGGGGCCCTGCAGGAGGCGCGCAATGAAACTGAATGGGTCTTTTTCCCATGGTCTTAACGCTGATTGGACTCTCCATGATGCCTGTATGTGGTAATTTTCTTTGCTTCTTCATTCCTCGACCATACATGCCATGATTGTATTGAGTGGAGTCGTATTTTTATTCTCGTATATTTTACCCCTTTAAACTTTGAAAATTCTGCAGTACCTTGTAAAATCTTTCACAGTGGCCGAAATGAGAGAGAGAGAAAGAGAGGGAAGAGAGAATATTTCCCAGTCCTGCCATCTACAAGTGTTGGGAGGCAGTCGATTGACGGACGTGGTCAGGCTGGTTGTCTGGTGAAGTTGGAATTAGGTGTGTTGGTGCTTCGTATGGGCTGTGTGCTGCACCGTACTGGGTACTCGGTACTGACAGCCTCGTGCCTGCCTTGTGGAAATGGCATCTGCGGGATCCGTGCACGTGCCAGCAGGGGAGCAGGACCCACCCAAGCCCACCTTGTCCAAGAAGCCAAACCGTCTGCCAAACGAGGTCAAAGTCAGATCCCCGCCATGTAACCGCGCACAGCCTCTTTTTCGTCGCTTCTTTAACCCTCGACTCATCCCGCATCCTCTGTCACCACTGGTGTTTTGTGTTCAGACTCCCCTTTCCGATCTTTCTGGTCCACCCTGAACAATCCACCTCGCCTGCCCGGAGCTCCGCACGTCGATCTCTGACAATTTCGCCCTTATCCGTTGTACCGTGGCGATCCGCGATGGGGAACTTGTGTTCCAAATCATCGAATAAACCGGACAACTTTGCCACCCCTGGTCGCACAGTTGGGTCGAGCACGCAACCTAGACAGACGTCGGCGCCCGTCCCGCAAAAGATTACGAGTAGCACTCCCGGTCGAGCTCTTGGTGGAGGTGATGCAACCCCGAGCGCGGACGATGCGAGAAGCGCTGCTGCAAGAGCAGCGGAGGTAAGTGCTGCTGTGCTGCAACTGGTAGATGAGTGCCGGGGTCAGAAGCATGGTTTTTCAGCCTCGCCCTGACGCTGCGCCAATGTCCCTGACTGAGAGTGATCTGACTGAATCCCCAGGAGCGCGCCGCAAAAGCCAACAAGCCTGGCGGCAAACTTAGCAGTCAGCTGTCAGCGCAGAAAAAGCAGACCCAGAACCAACTGCTGAGTTCGGGTTCCGAGTCTGAGCGGCGAGCGCGAGACGCAGACCAGAGTGCAGAAGCTCGAAACTGGAATTGAACCAGAGAGATTGGGTCCGTGCAAGTCATCGCGGTTTCCCTGGTTTGCGTGCTTGGACAACAGCCAGAATGCTTCTGCCTGTCCCTATCTCAGCATTTCGCCATCCATCCACACAGAGGAGTTCTAACGATCAACTGACACCCCGATCTTTCAATGATTCAAGAGGCTGTGCTGCAGTTTCAATCATCGGATGCAGTCCATGACTCACGCAGAATTCACCAAAGTGCCCAGGCGGGAATGTTTTGATTCTTGTTGATGATTTTGGTTCATAGAGGGTTTCTCCGGCGCCCCCAACAGAAATCCACCTACTGGTTCTATGGTGGTGATTCAGGATCGTGCAAAGCGGCGAGGTTCTCTCCTTTTTGAAATGAATGCTTTTGAGGTTGGGATCTCTCTTGCATGATGTTGCTGGTCTCATGGAGTTATTGGAAGTCCATACTGCACTTCTTGAACATATTCACCTCTTTCCCTTTGGAACAGTTTGCTCGGACGAAATTCGTATTCCGTATCGTGGATGCCTTGCGTACGCTCGAATTCGGTCGCGTGGTAAGAAATCCGGAAGCCATTATTTTCGTGGATTCAGGTCTTCGCGAGACAACTTTCATCAGAGACCGGTCAGCTCCAGAGGGATGCCTACTCGCCTCTCACTTCTCCCGACGGACTCGAAGTAGACGGCGACGCAGAAATTTTGGACCCGGCCTTGAAAGCACTTCTCCTAAAAACCTCATCGCTACGTATACGGCGTTTCCGAGACCACCATATCAGAGACAAAGGCCAGTTGTGGCAGTGTGATACACCTGGGCCCTTGGCATTAACTACATCCTACCCCTCCTCCTCGGTCGAGTTCCTGACGTCCTCCTATATCGCTGTCTTCTCTTGATGTCTCGAACTTATGTGCTTCTGAATGCCTCTACAGCCTCATTGCCGCATCTATGCTCGACCTTCTCTTTTCCCCCTACGGCCGTACATGGAGTATAGCGACAAGTCCCGTTGAGGATAGCATTAGTGAGAGCCAATGAAAAGTAGACTATTCCCTGATCTGTCTGACAATCTCACGACCCTTCTTCATGGTCTAAAATTGAGCCAAGCAAGTGCATGACACACCACCGAATGGCCCAGGCAAAAGCCTTTCAATGCAAATGATATTATGCCATACCCATGGGGACGCCGCTTAGAAGTACCTGGCGTTCTTGAGGGTCACCCCAGGGACTACGCTTGTTTCGGTGCTACGCTATCCATGCAGACAAGCCTCCAAATGAGATACTAGCAGAAAGAGATGTTCAACCATGTCGAGCGTTTGACATGATACATATGAGAAAGATCTGATTTTTTTTTTTTTTTAAAAAAAAAAATTCAACCATGACGGCCGCGAGGTACGAGCAAGCTCTGCTCGATGTCGGTGGTGACGAAAGGCCCGTTCCGAATCTCTCATGTAGGAGTGTGATCGCCGGGTCATTCTGCTCCCACTACGGAGTAAAAGACGCCTTTTCAACGGCTCGGGAAGGTCCTTAACACGCGAGACCGCACACCGGGGAAACTGTCGACACGACAAACGAACATCGGAACGACATCAAAGGACCCCTTTGCAGTTCCAAACCACGGAGGTAGAAAGTAGTTGACAGATCAACGGCGCGGGAAACAAAGCAAGTGAGAGGAAAGACGGGGACAGGCTCTTCAAACGGGAGGTCAAAGAGAGGCAAAGCGAGGACCTCGGAGACGACTCAGACGAGGAATCGCTAGTCCTTTTCTTTCGGTACTAGGCTACGAGTAGATACTGATTTATGTGGAAAAGGGAATCCTCGTAGGGAGCCGAAAACAAGAAAGCAAAATGTATTCGCCGCGCCCTCTCCTCTTGAGTCCCCATCATGTTTTCCCCTTGTCATGTCTATCTCTCTCCACGTCCTCCTTTCCGGATGTCAACGAAGCTCGCAAATGCAACGAGTCTAGCTTGCGAGTTTCCACATCAGACACATTTTGGTGGTTCATGCATTTGAGTAACTCCGCGTTCCTAAGGCAGGCCAGACGCATGGCTGGTTTAAACACCAAGGACCACTTTTGTTCACTCCTTCTCCATTTGATTTCCATCATGAGCTCAGCTGTTATGTTTCCGAGCAGCAGACTCCTTTTGGGCCTGAAGCTAAGATTCTCCCGTCTGTCTCTGACGCCAGAAATGCCCACGGGTGTCTTCGCTATATCCCTTCCGAAGTATGGCATGGCATGGCATGCCATGCAATGCTCGCCACGATCTAGGCATAAGGAACCATTAAGGGCAGGAGAAAGTCCAAAGCAAACCCAGGGCCGTTTTGTCACGTTTTTCATTTCATTGCTCATTTTTCAGTCCGTGCTGGTCGCGCTCGGCCTCAGTGTCATAGAGCTTTGCTTGGCGCCGAATTCATAGGTCAAATTTCGTCCCGTTTGGCCCTGCTCATCATATAATCCAAGCCCAGTCGGGCAGTCAGTCGGCTTTACCTCTTTTAAATCAATTTCGAGCCATAGGCTCTGGGTTCAGGTCCACTTCTATCTCACTCTCTCCAGCCACACATGCGGAGTATTCTTTCATTGCCATCCCGAGGAGTTGCATTCAATGACACTCACGCCGTTAGAATTACGCCGTTTTCAGTCTCACTCATTTCGCGGTGAGCTGTTCTCCGTTCCCTCGCCAGGCAAGAGATTTCCTCTGACAGCAAACATCTTTCCCGTGGTCCCGGCGACAAAACCATCGACCTGTCTGGCGTATTGCTCCACCTGGCGACTATTCAACATGCTCTCCAAACGACTCGGCTCTGTAGGCAACTTGAACAACTTCTGCCACTCGTCCTCTGGCAATGGTGGTTGCTTCGACAATGCTCTCGCCGCATTCTCGGCCTTGCGTTTCTGCTGCCACTGCTGGATCTTAGCCTGCTCGCGGGCCAGAGCGCGGGAATAGTACGAGAAGTTGTTGGCTTCGACGTGGTGGGTCTCGATGCTATCGAGAAGGTTGTCACAGGTTTGAGAGAGGTACGGATCAATAGAGATTGATAGTGATTCAAAAGATGGTGCGAGAGTGTCGTTCTTGACGATAGGATTGTTCTCAATCTCGTCGACTGAGCTGGGAGGGTTCATGACGCCGGAAGCCAGCATGCGGGGAACTTGATGGAGGAATGTCGTGACGAGGTGGGAGTTGTGGACAGTCACGGGGACCTCGACGAGGATTTCTGAGTACTTAAGACCGGATTTGAGGAGACTGTTTGCTGGCCGTTAGCATTGAGGCTCTTTTGAGATTTAGCAAGATATGGGACTTTACTTGTCAGTAGTGAATTTGTTCTCCTTGTACGCCGTCATGAATTGCGGGGACAGTCTGAATGCACGAATGCTCAGGATTCCTTGCGAGCTGCGACTGACATCATGCACCAACGCCACGGTCTTCTCATTCAATTCCTTTTGATAGTGATATTGATTCTCAATGAAATTCGCGTTGACAAAATTGCCCAGGTTTGCGCTCGTGTACCACCCCACATTATTTGCGTCGACATTAACCTCACGAAGCATACGAATCATCTCGGCTTGGTAGGCGGTGTTGGCCTTTGCGCGGGGGGCCGAGGCGGCGGCGTTGAAGTGTTGCGGTTGGCTGTCGAATTGCGCCTCGGGTGGCAGGTCAACGACAGGGAAGGGGAATGTGTTGGTCACCTCGAGGATGCCGTCGTTGTTGTCCATACCAACGAGAGAGCCTGTTGCGACGGTGGGAAAACGGCTTGCGCAGTGTTTGATCACCTTCATGACGACCTTTTCATCCAGTCAGTGGGTTTCGAGGCAAGAGCGGGAAAATTGCACTTACCAGCGCCTCGAGCTGGACCGCCTTCACCGGCGTCTCTTTCCTGGATGGTTGTCAATAATCTGAGCGGCGTCAGAGGGGCGTGCAACTATACGTACTCCGCTATGGACGCCATGACTGCAGGCGGTTTGATGTAGGTTTGTATGGGATGAGTTCTGCCAGAGATCTTTGTGTGGAGGGACATTTTGGCGGCGGAAATGACAGAGGAGGAAAGTGCAGCGAGTCACGTGGATTTGGGAATCCTTTTCAGATCCTTTTTACGTCTGTCGGCAGGCGTCTTCTATGTCGGAGATGGGAATTCTAATGTGCCTAGGCATGTAATCTATCGGCAGATCGGGGCGAATAAATGTCGGGGAGTCTGCTAGTGATATCAAGCCGAGCTTGATGGTCATGGCGCGCACCAAATGTCCAATCTCCATCACCAGGCTGAGCCACAGCCTTGTGTCGGAGAAAACTCCACGGAGCCCAAGCAACTCAATGACGTTGGCCGTTCTCTCCAAAATTATTTTGTCCACCAATTGATGATCCTTGGTCGACCACGCAACTCACACATCATCTTATAAATAGATCTCGGCCTGTTGCTGTGCACGTCTATTCCATGTCTAATAATACCAGTCTTGATATTTGGTTTGTGAGTTGCTTTTAGATCGAGTTCAAATTCTGTCGTCTAACATGCTATATAGGCTGGTGCATTTGCTGCGTTTACTGTCGATCTGCTCGTCTATCCTCTGGACACTCTCAAAACACGTCTCCAATCGCAGCACTACGAACAGCTATACAAAGATGCTAGTGGCAGAACGAAGCCTTCTTTATTCCGCGGTCTCTACCAGGGCGTTGGTTCCATCATCCTCATTACCATTCCTTCGTCTGGCGCATTCTTTACAACCTACGAAGCCTTGAAATACGGTATTTCGGAAGCAGTTCCTCCGAACTCCACGATTTTTCTTCCTCAACCTGCCATCCATGCTGTGGCAAGCGGCGGTGCTGAGCTTGTTAGCTGCGCCATCCTGACCCCGGCAGAGGTCCTCAAACAAAATGCCCAGATGCTTAGTGCTCGAGGAAAGAGAACATCTACTTCTTGGGAAGTTTTCAAACATTTTAGAAAGAATCCTTCAAGATTATGGAGAGGATACACTGCGCTGGCCGCGAGGAACCTGCCCTTTACCGCTCTTCAATTCCCCACGTTTGAATTTCTGAAAGGATATTTCATGCAAAGACGGAAAGCTCGAAATGGCGGGAGACCAGTCGACGGAATAGCTGAGCGCGCACGTATCACAGCGATGAGTGCCGCTATTGCCGGAAGCGGAGCTGCGTGGATCACAACCCCAATCGACGTTGTCAAGACCAGAATCATGCTCGCTGCAGGATCTGGTGATGATGGCCCAAGGGCAGAGTCCAAGGGCAAAGCTTCCAAGTTTCTCATGGAAGGCGTTCAAGGGTCGCGCAAAAGCGGACTCACCGTGGCCAGAGACATACTCAAGAGCGAAGGCGTCCGAGGCCTCTTCCGGGGTGCACTCCTCCGAGCTTGTTGGACCTCTCTTGGCAGCGGTCTATATTTGGGCTGTTATGAGGGTGGCCGTTTCTATCTTGAGAAGCACAGGAAAGACGCAAAAGAAGGCGATCACATTATGCAGCGTGACTGGTCGAAGGTCAAGGTGGGCATCGGAAACTCCAGATCTCAGGAGGTGGTGAAAAAGAGTGCATGGCAGGAAGACTGATCAATCAGACTTACTGGAACGACCTTCGCACTATTCGAGATTGCAGCTCATTCGGATAAGCCTGGTCATCTCGTGCTGCCACATGTGATCAGACACACCAACGAATATCCTGTGTGACTGGAATTGACTATGAGATCACCAAGTTCAAGAACTATTCACTCGGGTCTGAGCTCAACTACTCCGGGAAGCTCTCAAAGACCGAGACACTCAGCGAGGCGAGCGACTACGGCAAGACGCGACCGGACGTTGAATGAGCCGAATGTTTGTGCGCCTTTTCGGGAGCATTTCCAAGATCGGACAGATGTCTGGATTCGGCAACCTTTTCTCAGACGGCCGTGAATGTCTAGCGAGGAATTAGTCATCCTTACTTCTGTCTGGAGACGCCTGAATGAATACCAGTCTTGGTTATACCAAAAACCGAATGGGGAAAGAAACGTGGCTCGACTCCAGAAGTGCGGCCGTAATTGGCCGGTATGCGATCACTGCTTAGCTTTCAATCTCACACCTGGATAAGTCAGCGAACCCAGCGCATGTGGCTTTTCTCGCATTATCAATTCATCTCGAGGTGATTCTACCTCGCAGAAGTTGACAGCTGTCGCGTCAACTGCGTTGTGGGCGCAGTGAAAAGGTTCAAATACGGGGCTTTTCTTCCTGGGCTTTCGATATGGCCACATCAATTCAAGTTGAGGATACTGAAAGTATCATCTAGCACATCATCACACCTATACCAAAGATGGCAGACATTTCAGTCCTGCTGATCGGCGCAAGCGGCGCTCTAGGAAAGCCTCTCATGGATGAACTTATCCGCCAAAGAGACCAATTCAAGCGCATCGCCATTCTCGCAACCCCCGACAGGGCCACTAAATTCAGCAATTCCGATGTCGAGGTTGTGATTGGATCATTCTATGAGGCAAAATCATATCAAGGTCCGGACAAGGCAATTCAATCTTCCAACCCATGACTGTATTTTGACCATTTGTGCAGGCTTCACGCATGTCATATCAGCAGTCGGCAATCCCCTGATGGTCTTGCAACCTGCTATGGTTGAAGTTGCCGTCTCCGTTGGCGTAAAGCATTGGTACTCCTCGGAATGGAACAGCGATATCTCCCAGCGGCAGATTCAAAACTTGCGCTACTTCCGCGACAAGCAAGCTGTAAGGGCCTATTTACGTGGCAAGGCCGCCCAAGCACCTGGTTTTCAATATACCCTCATGGTCACGGGTATTTTCACAGAGTGGGCGCTGGACGAGTTCTACGGGTTTGACCATCAGAAGCTCACAGCAAGATTGTATGGTCAACCTGGTAAGAGGATCGGCGTCACGAGTATCCCCGACATCGCGCGGCACACCATCGATTCGCTACGGATTCCTTTCGACAGTCCAGGGCGCACACTGCGGGTGCAAGGCTGGACAGGCAAAATTGAAGAATTGATCGCCGAGTTGGAGCAGGCCAGAGGCGTCAAGTACCAAATCACCTGGGTGGATGTCTCCGAGGCGAAGGAACTGGAAGAACAAGCCAGGGTGAACGAGGACGATTTGTCCGAGATGATGTATAGTATCAAGCCGTTGTTAACCAGTGGATATGGTGTTGCGGACGGGGTTGGCAAGTTGGATAATGACCTCTTTGACTTCAAGCCGGAGACGCCGAGAGAGACGTTTGCCCGTGTTTTCAAGGCAGAGAACTAGCTGGCGGTGAACTTGTACTCGGGCGAGATTCAGATGACATTGGAAATATCAATATAGCCAGATTACAACGCAAAGTTGCCGTCCTGAATCTCAGCAGGCGATCGATCGAGTTCGTCACGAAAGTCGTCTGGGTTGTTTTATCATCTATGTCTTGCTGCCGCTCATGGTGTCGAAAGCATTCAGGTCATCTCTACATCGCCATCTGCAGCCTTTGCAGCAGTATGGCTTTCCACGTCATTGTCGCCATCGGCTTCGATCTCGACGTCTCCATCACCATCTTCGTCATCATCATCGTCATCCTGCTCATCGACATCTTCCCAGGCATCGTCCTCTTCCTCGTCCATTTCCCCTTCGACCCGCAACTCCTTCTTCAACCCATGGACCAACTCGACCGCATGCTCGCGAAGCCTCTCATCCTCGTATCCGAGCACGCGGTACAGCCTGAGACAGTTCTCCAGCCACTGCCTCGCGGTCTCGAGCCACTTGCGCTTAGCCTCTGCAGAAGTGGTGGTGTCTGGTTTTTGCGAGATGAGCACTTGGCACCAGCCGCCGAGGTACCAGCATTCAATGCTCTGGTCGTCTTCGCGGACGAGGCCTTCCAGGACGGCCATGGCGAGGTGCTCGAGCTGGACCTCCATTAACAAACGGCTGAGGGAGACGCGGGTTGCGAAGTCAGGCTTTCGTCCGTCATCATCAGCCCCGACAACAACACTGCTGCTTTCTCCATCTTTGTTTTTTTCTTTGAGACCCGCTGCTTCTTCTTCGGAGGCGGACGGGCCGGCGTCATTCCAGATGTCGAGACTCCTCTTCAACGCCGTTCGGGCATCTTCCATCCGTTCTTGACTGATCCGCACGCTCGCCAATGTCTGTAGCACGCCCGCACCCAGATGTTCCGGGCACACGGCCACGGCTTCGGTGACGAGGGACTCGCAACGTGATTCGGCGTCATTCTCCCACGAGAGATCAGTCATGTAGACTTCGGCCATAGCGCAGAGCGCATCCGCCAGCTTCGATTTCTTTTCGTTAAGCACCCTCTTCGTGCCTGCATCCCCGTCTGACCCGGTAATATCCATCTCATTGGCCGCTTCTTCGAGGACGTCGATTTCGTTCCTGAGCACCTCACACGCGTGTTCGAAGTATCTGATACTCTCTGTCCCGCCTTCTTCACATAGCTGCGCGAGCCAAAGCCACGGTTCCGCGGATATGAGTGCCCCGTCTTTATCAATCCGTGTTGCGCGTGTAAAATTCCTTCGCGCCGACACGACATCTCCCAGTGCAACCTGGATTTCGGCATTCAGCGTAAGGACAGAGGGCAGGGTCGGCACTCCCTGTGCGGCCAAAGCGAGAAGGTCGTCGGTATCGATCTCATCGTCCTTGGGAGAACGCTGTTCTTGCCGTTCCACTTCGAGTCTCCTCAGTGCTTCTTCGGCAAGCGGAAGCGCAAGTTCTGGCTGCGACTGTTCAAGGAGTTCTGCAGCCTCGGTGAGGAGGTCTTCGATCGATTTCTGCGACCTTTGGGGCGTGCTTTTTACGAGCGGGGAGGTTGTCGAGCGGAGGATGTCTTTTTGTTTCGAGTGTGCCTTTGTCTTGGTTTTGGCCATTTTGACAGAGCCTGCTCTCGTAACAATAGAGAAAACAAAGCGAGCAAGAAATTTTGGTGGAGATCCTTCGAGCCGTGACTTTTTCAATGTGCAATTCACAAAACTTTTTGAACACGGTTCCACTAGGCAGGTTACCCGAATCACAGCCTTGTCATCTACAAATGGTGCTATCCAACTAAGCCCTCGATTAGCATCCTTAGACGTTCTCGTTAGTAGTCTGACTAGGAATGAAGAGCTATCAAACTATCCTACCTGATAGGCTCTTTAGGCTAGTAGAATAGTGGCGATATTGTTGATTGCGGAGCTGGCTCGCTGGTCAATTTTATTAATAATAATTCTATGAAGATTTTCCGAATTCGGCGAATATCACTGCCATGTGATTAGAAACTATTCTATAATTGGTATAGCGCAGGATTGGTTAAGAATAAGAACAGTCCTGGCAAGGCTGAAAGGGACTTTGTATCTCTTTCATGGATTGCTCCTCGGCTGCTTGTCTGGGAACAAGGAGTTCTCAAATTCCCACTTATGCCGACAAATCGCCGTAATAGTGCCTGGGATCATCACATCGATCACCATGTGGCAGAGTCCCAAAGCCAGGTCTGCCCAACGGTATTCATCATGCTAATGTCAGCGCCCAAGAGACCAATATCATTGCCACCCGTTTGATTGATGTCAGAATTGTCGGCGCCGTACTGTGGCATGCTCTGCTCCATTCCGTCGTTAGCTGATCTCTCCGTATCCGGGCCAGATACTTCCGGAAACATTGCTTGTGACAGTTGTCAGTTTCAAACGAACAAAATAATAGGAAGGTGGTAGTAGTCCCTACCTTGTTGCATGATCAGTAAGCCATTGTTGAAATCTATGTTCTCGAATCCCGAAAAGTCAAAATCGTCCATCGAAGTCCCAACTTGGTCAATTGTAAAGGGAGCGGATTCGTCATCTATTTGCGTCGTAGTTTGATTCGGAGCGACTTCATCGGGGTATTCCGGATCTCCGAAGGCAGGACCAGGTGTAGCGTTGGAGGAGCCTGCCATTTCTCTAGATCTTAAACCCGCCGACGTAGCCATGTTTTGTGAGGTTTCAGATTCTGAAAGCATTGCCTTAATCTCCTTCTCTCCGATCAGTCGAACAAGGTCCTTCAAAATCTTTGATGTTTGCGCAGAGAGAAGAGCCCTGCCTGATAAGAATCGTGAAAGCGACATGATCCGAGCAACAGCCTGTTTAGCCATTTGCGCCTCCGAGGACAGGGGTCGTGAAAGAGCCACGACGCACAGGACCATGCCAGCTGTGAAAAGGTTGATCCCGAGAAATGCGGCGGCGTGACTATCTCGTGCAGAGATCAAGCACTGGCGATACTGGCCAAGCTTGGACGACCTGATTGCAGACTCCCAGCAATTGTCTCTACTGGCAAGTAGAATTTCATGAACATGTCGATGCGACAGTTTAGTGTCAGTAGCAAAGTCGATCTGGCCGATGGAGTAGGTCGACCCCTGAGGTCCGGATGTGGCTGCGTCTGTCTTGAAGTTTCGCAGATCTTGAGAGAGTAACGGGCGGTGTAAAAGGATTTGCACATTATCGTACGCAATTTGGAGAGCCAGCGCTTGAAGCATAAAAGGTCGGCTATTAGTTGTCACAGGTTCAGCGGTGTTTCGACACAGATCTTCTAATTTCAGCTCCGGCGGTAAAGCGCTGAAGAAGTTGGACAGCTCTTTGTCGATTCGATAGACTTTGAGTGCCAACTCTGATACACTCGAACTTCGATGAAAATATAGGTCACCGATGATAGGCGAAGATATCTGGTACAGCTTGATCTTGTACTTCAAGTAGGCAAACGTGGTGACTGGTTCCACAGTTCCGTCTGGCATGGTCGCGGTCGAGCGGAAGGACGGATGCTGGACAGTGGTGTCGCCAATATTTTCTGGTGTCTTGATGTCAATTTCACCAACTGGAATGCCACAGGGCCGACCAAATATTGTAGCTGCAAATCTAAAATGATTTCAGTAGAAGCCCAGACTGTCCAAATCACCTTCTTACCGATCAAAGATAAAAAGAGCCCAAAACACCCGTCTGCGCTCCTCTTTTGCAATTTCTGACAACCCCCGCCAAGCGGATTCTCTGTGCAGCAGCATGAGTTGGGCACATCTGAGTCCGGCACCTAGAATAACAAATGCAAGGTTGGGGCGACCATGATAGACATAGTATGACCCAAGAAGGACACACACTTGGACAGATTCGAGTTCCGCGGCATCGTACAGAGAGTGCAAGCTATCTTCAACTTTTTTGAGAGAGAGCTTTCGGAATGTCTCGAGCTGGAAGGTAGGAAACTTTTGTCGCACATCGTCATCCGAAGCGTAATGTGCGCCCATGGAGAGCACCAGGAGTATGAAGATCACCTGGTTCGACCGGGCCCGCGAAAATCTCCTCGAAGCCATCAGCCGCTCATAGGACGATCGAAACGTTGGCTCATGAAAAAGCATCATAAACCAATGGACGGCGTCGAGATAGGCGTTCAGGAAATAGTCTGTCACTCGTTTCGACGGCAATTCGAGGCCCAGCAGCTGTTCCATCGTAATATCATCCTGTGACGTTCCGAACACCCCTTGAGAACTACCCACCCCGCCGGGGAGCGCAGAGGTAGAGCTCTCAAGGATGATCTCAGGGCTGAAGTTGTCAATGATCTGGGGTCGCTATCAGTCGCGGGATCAACAACAAATTCGACGAACGGACCTCCTGTGTCAGTCCTGCCGAAGAAATCCGCTGATTGTAGGCTTCAGGATCTGTTGCCGAAAGTCGGTCGAGGCTAACTGGCGCCTTGACTTTCGCAGGGCTGTTTGTCTGTTGGCCAGGAGTAGAGCTATTGTCTTGCTCTTCGCCATGGCTGAATCGTGACTGTGGTGAGGCGCTGGTGGCATGAAGAGATGCTGGAGGGACAACTCCGTTTTGCTTCTCGCTTTGGCCATTGTCTGCATCCGGGGAATGGAGTCTTGACACTTTCTTGCGCCTGAATTCGAATAACTCTTTCTTAGTTCACAGGGATATTGTTTTCTGGGAAGTCCACAAGGAGATATATGCGCTACTGACCTTTGCCTAGACTCGGAAATACAAGGAACCTCGGACCTCAAGCACAACGAACAAGGTCGCTCTTGATCACACTGGCCATCGATATCGGTCAGCGATGTATAGCGAGCAGCAGCGCGTGTTCAACCCACCTTCAGTTTCTGCCTCCTGCATCTCTGGCAAGCTGATTGCACACGAGATCGGCGCTTCGCTCTTGGGACCAAAGAGAGTTGTGGTGGCCATTCTGCTTCTGTGTCCATGGCTAGCTGTCCATTTCCGTAAAGGACATTCACAAGATACGTAAGTATCGGAGTTGACTTTGGGTGAGGCCATGAATTGGGGCCGCTAGAGCAAGATGTGCGTTGCGCTGGACCTCATTGTCAGGGGGTTAGAGACTCAGCGATATGGGAATTGCCACTCACCAAGCCTCCCGTGGCTCTGCCCCGTGATAGAGGCCGAGAGGCACACGAAGGGCTGGAGATTACTAAGGATCGGGGTTAAGGGGGCGCCACACACACAGCCCGGGGGAACGCGGGATGCTCGGTGGGTGAGAGTCCAAGCAATCCCATAGTAACTTGGAGCCCCCGGAGGCTAACGTTACCTAGCCGAAAAAGAGGCGGGACAGTTCTTGGCCAGTTGACCTGAACAGCTGAACTCGTGCCTAGTGGCAACCACTTAGGAGCATGTGGGCTGACACGAATCTGGGCCTAGAATCTACATTTGTATGTACAGGTATATAGACCTCAGCTTTATGCCCTCAAGGCTCTGACATGGAGAGCGAGCTGAGTCAAAAAGAATCTGCTAAAGGTCTGCTTCCTGAGAACAACATTGCCAGAGCGCCCAACCAAGGTGAGCCTGTGCCAGAGAATAGTGCATTTACAGTGTGCCTATGCCAGGGGATATTGATACACGTCCTAATCTACGCATAACCTCTTCTCCGTCGTCCCTGGTTTCTGGGACGTTGAGTAACCACAAGAGGATTGACTTTGTGCTTGTCTCGCGTCTTGTAGCCAGATTTCGCCTGATGATGGGTCAGCATTGTCAAACAAACACTGCGAAAGAAGAAGACTTACAGGAACTCCCCAAGGGCTCACAGGGATGCGATTACCCTTGGATTTACCTCGACCACCACCGTGCGGATGATCTGCTGCGTTCATGGCCACACCTCGCACAGTTGGTCGAATGTTGAGCCATCGCGATCGACCCGCCTTCCCCAGCGACGTATATTTGAAGTTGACATTGCTTGCAACGCCGATAGTCGCCACAGCGTCTTTGTCAATGAGTCGAACCTCGCCGCTGGAAAGGCGCACAGTTACATAGTTGGCCGCCTTCTCGAATTTCCTCAGCTGATCCACGCTCAACGTGGACAAGTCCATGCCGCCGTTGTCACCAATCAACTTCATCATCTCTTTCTGCACCGTATCCTCTCCCTTGCCGATGATAATCCCATGTGTTCCTGCGCTTCGGCAGATCTTCCCAATGTCGCCTTTCGTCGGAGTGATGTTGAATATTGGAGTACCAACAGGGATCATGCCTAACTGCAGACAATTGCCCCTGTGAGCTGTTTTGGAAGCTAGGACACCCTGGTCGATATGTCCGCCCATTTCGTCGATTAGCGACTGTGGCAGTCCTGACCGGTAGCTCTCAACTGTGTCTCCGGCTCGCAATCCTTCTGCCGCTAGAATGTAACTCCGCTCCTCGGTCTGGAGGTGCTTGATAAGGGCAATATGCGCAGTGCGGCCCGGGTCATGCTCGATTCGCTCGACAAGATGCTTTCCGCCAGTACGCCTCGCAAAATCAACAATTCGTATCCTCCTCTTATGTCCACCTCCACGGTGTCGAACCACTACATGACCGGTATGATTTCGACCTCCTTTCCCATGGCCCTTTTTGGGAAACGTGAGGGGAAAGTGCGGTCGGCCTTTCCATAAATGTTCGTTCAACGGACGGACCAAATGGCGAATGCCCGGCGTTCGAGGAGTGTATCGCCGCAGCCGTACTTCAAATTTGGAGAGTGATGTTCGATCGTCAGCTTGAGCGAGGGGGAGGTCGGTCATGGCAGCGTCTGGGACCGAGCCGCTCGGGCGAGCAGGGTCGATGACTTGCACCTGCGCGTAGGTCCTGCGCAAACTAGGTGATGAAAGTCGACATTTTTGGCACAGGGACCGGAAAGGTATACGTGGCTGTAGCATTTTGATATAAGACGAGGTCCGACGTTAAATTCGCGTTGACGAATACATTGTCTTATGGCAATGTTCAAGGGGACTTGTGCATTGAATGTCTTAGAGCTCCGATCCAATTTTCAACAGCAGAGGTGGAACAAGGCAAGAACAAGGCTGACCAGTCGGCAAACATTCCTGCTCAAGGCTGCCATTCAGAGGGGACTAGCGCAGCCTTGTCCACCATCCTCCTCTCACTGTGATCGCACCTTCAAAGAGAGGCTTTCTCTATTCTAATTCTTTTCTTCCTTGAAACTTTTACCCTCCATGGTTCACTCTACTTCTTTGCCATCCTTTGACTGCCGTGGTCAACTGAAATTTGTGTGAAGCTGCCATGGATCCCGACATAGATCAACCCCAGAGTGCGTCACTGATATTGAGGGTTGCGCGACGCGACGTTGACAATATCATAGATCAGATAGAATTTGGCAAAGATGCGCCTCATGTACACGCTGACCATTCAGAGGTCAACAGTGTTTCCCAACGACACAAGTCTTCTACTGTCAGACGACACCCCAGAGTGCGATATTCCGAAGGTGTCGGTCCATATCCCAAGCCATCATTCATCGCTGTCGTCAGACAGAAAACCTCTGGTGTTTTGAAGCAAGCTCTGGAATGGCCACAGTCTCGATTTCTGAACTGGCTAACAGCCAAAGACTCGAAGGAGGGGGCAAAGGCCGTGGGCTCCGACACCACTATTGTCGAAAATGGCTCGCTGCCATCGATGGCCAACCTCTTTGGACAGCCGACAGTTTCGGAGATTGATCAGCAAACGCAGGTCTCTGGTAAAGGTGAACGTATGTCAGTGAACCCCTTTTAGACGAGCACTCTCAAGTTTTGCAGATCCTTCAGATATTGGTGATCAAATCAGTGAATCATCATCGGAGGGCAGAATGACAACTGGCAGCCCCCAACGAGTCGAAGCCCTCGATCCAACTCTTCAGTCCCATCAAGGGCCTATTGAGACAGTTGAGCCACACCAGACAACAACCCACAGCCAGCATCCGTCCCTTCACAATCAGCAACAGGAACTCACAAATGCCCCTAGGTCTGTATAGCTCTTCCACAAAGCCACCTTAGGAATCTTTGAGACGCGCCCAGTACTGACCAGAAAGAAGCGTACCGATTTCCCAGCCGAGCCAATGTCAGCAATACAGTCTCAGCGGTATTAAGGTCCACGTGAAGAGCAGGATTTGACACTTGAGATACTGACCCTTCCATCCAGGATATTGCTCACGTGGTATTAAGTGTCTCCACATCCACGACCCCATGAAGGTCTCTTTATGCCCCTCTGTCTTGCAAAACCGACATTGTATCCGAGGCATGAGCTGTAATCTCAGCCATGTTCCTACCTCAAAGACCACACCAACGTGCACTTTTTTCCTTGCTGGAAGATGCGATCGATCCAATTGTCCCTTTTCCCATGCTCAGGTGGAGCCTTGGGCGGCCCCATGTTCGGACTTTGCACTTTTTGGCTGGTGCGAGAAAGGCGCAAGTTGTCGATATCGCCATCTCCGCCAGTGCCGTGAGTATGCTCGATTTGGTATCTGTTACAATACCCGATGTCTGCACACTCATATTGATCCAGCAGATGTTAGTGAGATTGCATCGCCGTCGTGCAATTCTGGTATTCAGACACCTTCCAGTCTTGCGAGACCCCAAGCAAAGGCAAAATCCAGTGGACCGGATTCCATCATTCCCATGATCCCTGATTATGACAATGACAATGACAATGACATGGGATCCATGGAAAAAGAGCGAACTTTCGGCAAACAGGACGACTTTATTCCATTGTAGGTGGATTCTTTTTTGGCAGTCGGCGACTGTTGAATTGCAGCACGGAAGAGATCGAAAATTATTAGATGATAGGGCGACACCAGGAGGACAATAATGGCAGTCAAAAAGGGTGTTAACAGGACACTAAGGAGAACCAAGTGCATCAGGAGCAGATAGGAGCAACGGGGTGGATGTTGACATGAAGGCTCGGGCTGTTATTCAATCATAGGGTTGATGGTGCTAGCTACCACATGCTGAGCCTATTTCAGCGAAACAATGAAGAAACAAATTTAACAACAATCTGATTTGCAACTTTTTGAATAGAGATGCTGAAGCCAGTCCAGAATGGTCAGCAGCAGCGCCTTGAAGTCGAGCCTATGCGAGTGGTATACATAGAGTAGGGACAGAGGAGTGGTTAATATTAAGACGTCGACAGAGGCTGGTGGGCTGTTCTCTTCGAGGATGCACCAGACCTAAACAGGCTAGTCATTCTTGACCTCGAACTCGGACGCTCCACAGCATCACCTTTTCGAGGTCCAGTACGAGTATTACCTCGCAGGCATGCACTGACATCGCAGCCCACTTCCAATTGCATCTTCACTGCACAAGCTACAAGCACACCGGCCGGGCCCGTACAACTTTCTCAGAGCGCCACTATGGGTGCCAGAAAGCTCCTCACAGTCCCCTCCCAGTACAGCTTCTCGCAGCTTCACAGCCTCCCGCTCTCGCTCCGGCACTCGATACGGCAAACGTACCATGCGCACGATTCCCTCTCGTCGATCTCCTACACCCCCAGACTCGGTAATGGTGTATGCCGCGCATTGTCATACTCGTCCTCGACGTCAGCATCCCCTCCTTCTTCGCAACACATCGCCGCCGACCGGATCGTGCGGCCTCTCGTGCCTCCGCCGCGCGAAGGCTCAGGCCCGCTTCTCGCCCGCCGTCCCGACCGCGCCTTGCCTGACCTGCCGCGGCCGATCTCAGTCTGGCTCAAGACGCTGCCTGTGTTCATCGTGCTCGTGACCATCACCTCGCTCGCCATCTTCAACTACGAAAAGTCCTCCTCGTCGACCATCAACTCGATCCTCTACGCCCTGCGCACCAGCGACCACGCCCGCGAGCTGCTGGGCGACGAAATCTACTTCGCGAGCAAAGTGCCCTGGATCAGCGGCGAATTGTCGCCCATGCAGGGCACGATTGACATCAGCTTTTGGGTCAAGGGGACAAAGGGGAAGGCAAAGACAAAGTTTGTCAGTGTGCGGCGATCCCGGGGCGGGTATTTCGAGACGTTGGAGTGGAGTTTACAAATGGAGGATGGAACCGTAGTCCAGTTATTAGAGAAGGAGGGAACAAGAGATCCCTTGGAGGGGCAGAGGTTTGATTGATCGAGAACAGGAACAGGATGGGAAGAGGTAGAATCGAAAAAGGTGGTTTTTGTACATTAACTTATACCTGCCTCATAAAGAAGGGAAAGGAAGCCTTTTTGTCGAGCCCAGAAAATGAGATGAGTGAAGCGGGTGAAATCTCCTCCCAAAACCACGAAAAGATATGTCTCTCCTTCTCAATCGCCCGGTTTGATATTTGATCCCTTGGTATTGATACCCGGCCCTGCGCCGACAGCTTTTCGATGTGGCATCTTTCCGATATTCCAACCCCATGACCTCAATGTCTTGACGACCTTGGGTAGGACTGCAGCAGTGAGAGGAACTCGAATGAAGATGAAAGATTTGTGGACCGCGTACGCGAGCGCAAGTTGGGTCCATAAACCTGGCGGGTGGGAAAAAAAAAAAACGGTGTTAGCTTTTCTCGCTCTGGTGTTTCTTTGGTCGAAGGCACAACGAAATGGGGGAGAGGGGGGGGGGGAAGAAGCAGAGACGGGCCACGTACTAGCATTCTCGCCCTGATTCGCTTTCTGTGCAGCTTTGTACCCATGATCATTCGTCTCCTCTTCTTGTTCTAGGATCCTCCCTCCCTGAGCGCCGTGCTGCTCGAGCTCCTTCACGTCGGTGGCCTCATCGATGGCTCCATCAGCGGCCATCTCTGCCTTCCGGGACCCCTGAAGCGGCCACTTGACGATCGCCTTGAAGGTCTCGACCACGACGTGCTCGTAGTGCCCGATGGTCTCAGTGCCCATCATGCGCACCGCGAGGAAGCAGAAGGGGAAATCCAGCGCCGACAGCGCCAGGTAGACGCCCACCGCCGTCCAGCCGTATTCCCGGGACATGGTCTTCAGGCGCTCCTTGAGGGATGGTTTCTGGTTCGCGGTGGAACTGGAAGTCGAGTTGTAGCGTCGGCCGGCGACATTATTCCGCCGTAAAGGTTGCTTTCCCGCTGCTCGAAACGCTTGAGCAGATGGCGGGGAGGAGGTGCCCATAGCTCGCTGGGTATGTGAGGACTGTCTCAAAAGAGCTCGTTGAGCTTCTAGGAATGGTCTTGTGCGGAACGATTGCTGCAGAGGAGCTCGAGTCTGGTGCATGGCGCGGCGCACGGCAGGCGAACGCGCCTCGAAGAAGAGCTGTCGCAGGGCAGCATGGCGCTGGAATACGCGCATGCTCTGCATTGCGCTAACGCTCAGAATCCACGAGATTCGCGGAGAAGAAAGGTATTGTGAACGTGGAATATGTCAGATTTCGAGACAAAACGACGAATTTCGCAGCCTTGTCCCGTCGATGTCATTTTCACCTCGCTCGGAGTTGGCGACCCGAAAACTCCGAACTTTGCAGCCTTGCCAGCCTTGCGTACCACAGGAAAAAGGGGGCCAGAGAGTCTCGGCAGGAATACTGGGTATGAACTCTGCCGTCAAATTGTCAGGCAGGGACACCGTCTGAGTTCATTTTCGTCACGTCTCTGTATACAATAGCGCCCAAGCAACACTACATTGTCCATCCGATACGTCCTCATCAAAGTCGTTCCAGTACGAGGCGCTGGGAGTCAATCCTCTCCCGACCTCCAAAAACATTCGCAAAGCCATGACAGTCCTCGAGCATACAACCAGCACTTTGTAGCCCCAGTATCAGATTCTCCCGGCTTCGCACAGAGGGCTTCTTCTAGATATCCATCCATCCCAGCTTGGTCTACTACCATAATCAAGAGGATTTCCGAGGCCTCCCCCGCCTTTTTTGGTTTTTGTCAGCATGGCTAGGCTTTGAAGCTCTCGCTCGACTCGCGCTCGCAGCCCCGCTATTAACGGCAGCCCAAGCTTGGCCTGGCCTACGAACCTCTATCTCATTGTCCGAATCATCACTGTCTAGCCACTCCGAAGCTGAGGCTTTCACGGTCGATACCATAGGGGGTTTCGCTGCGGGCTTCGTTACGGGCGGCGCGGGCGGAGTATGGCTTGTCTGTTTGCCGTGCCTCATGATCGGCCTGGGAAGCGAAACAGCTTGTTGTTCAGGCAGCTCGACCTCCGTCTGCGCTGGGTTGGCGGCCTTATTATCCGGCCCAGGCACGTTCATGAATGACGCCTGAGACCAAGCGTCGTCCAGGTCTTCGCTTTCATTTTCCACCCACTCAATCGCAGCCATTTTTGCCCGTCGGTTCGCCTGTGCTTCTGCTGCAGCCTTTGATTGATCTGGTTTGAACGAAGTTGAGGTCGACTTGGCAAGTTCCCTTTTCTGAGGCGATGCTGATGAAGCGACCGAAAGCGATCTTTCACCTCGCTCGGCTGGAGGGCTTGTGATCGATATGGGGTGAACATTCTGCGCCACAGAAGCTTTCATGGCCATTCGTGGCGCTGACTTGAGACCACTCGGTCCACCTTCAACAGGAGGGCTGGAAGCAGAGCTCTCATTTTCTGCCGAGTCATCATCCGAGGATACTGAAGAATCAAAACCTAGGTCGGCGTCGTCCAACCTGACTACCTTCATTGTTGGCTTGTTCGTGGAATTGGCGCGCTCGGAAGAAGGTTCAGAAACAAGGTCACTGAACTCGTCTTCCGAGGGCTCCTCGTAATGAGTGTTGTGCATCCGGGTCTGCCGTCTGGTAATTTCTGCGTCAGGTGGCGGTCGAGTGATCCCATCTGCGGCCTGTTTCCTGCGGTCACGGTATCGACCAGGCATGAACTCGTCATCCTGTTCTACCGCAACATGCTCAACGCCTCGTCGAACCTTTTTGGGCACACTTTGAGGGTTTCCTTCAGCAGCATTGAGAGCTTGCAAATCAGAGCTGATGACTGGCGCAGGAACTTCCATTCCATTCAAGGCCTGGCGCGCCGCACGTGCCAACCTTTCCATTTCTTCAAGTCTTTCACTCGGGAGAGGCAACTTCATAATGAGCGACTTCCGTACCCCTTTTCTCTCACTGTTGGGTTTCTTGTAAGTGTAAGCACGGTCACCATCATCAAGCTTCGCACGCTTGCGTTTACGCTCCACCATTTCAATGTCTGCCCTATCATCGGCGCCGGCCGGTACATAACCAAGAGGCACGACTGGCTGCTCTTCTTCAACTGGGGCAGGAATATGATGACCGATCTCTGGATCTGGGTAGTCGTATGTAATAGCTTCGGTTTGCTCGTAAGCATGCTCAACGTCTCGGATAACACCACCTTCAGGAAGAACATATTCAGGCGCAGGAGCGTCACGGGAAGTCGATTCTTCTCCCATCTTCAATCCTTCTGGGTTTTCGTCGTACTCATCCTCGTCTTCTGCTGGAGACCTAGATGTAGCAGCCATTGCCAGTGCTGGATCGATCGGTATGCCTTCTTGTTCCGCCAGCCGAAGAATACCATCTTCCACCCCGTCATTCATCTCTTGATCACCGTCAACATAGTGCTCACCCAGCTCAGGCCCCGTGGCTTTGGCTGCTTCTGCCTCTTTCCGTCGCTTCTGAAGACGACGGGATTGATCGCCATAATCATCATCTGCCTTCTGAATCCAGCCAATGTTCGAAAAACTGAAGTCCACGAGACTCTCCACCGATCGGGGGTCTGCTATTGCCTTTGTGTTGTGGCCAAGGATAGTGCTAGATGGCGTGTAAGGCTTGTAACCGGGCTTAGTTCTACACTGACGGCAGCCACACATGTTTCGACAGCTCGGACACAACCAGTTTGGATCGGCGAGGATATCCTGTGGCATCATGTCGAATCTTCGAAAAAGGGTGCCGTAGCAATAGCTTTTGGTGCATTTTGTACACGCGGCTTGTTTCCACTTGGGTTCCCAGTGGAAGTCAACATGGCACCGAGCATGCTCCCTTAGAAACTTGTCGGTTCGCTTGATCTTCTTCTTTTTCTTGATATTGCCATTTGCGTCCACCTCCTCCACTTCTTCGCGATCGTCACCTGTTACAGGAGACGGCGGACGTCGGATGTCTCGAAACGGCCTCCTTTCCAACTCAAGCTGACAGATCTGGGCCAGTGTCCTTTTGTTCCCGAACCTATTCAGTTCAACCTTGAGCGACATGGGCGATTTCTCGGTCACGTTGGCTTCATATTGCAAGATCTGATGTCGCCATTGTTCGTGCTTTTGCATCAGTTCTCCCCAAGGCCACTGTTCAACCCACCTCATTTTCGATATGCATGCACAGCTTCTGCCCATCGCGTAACACTCCATGCAGATGTCATACGTGTCTTCTTCGCCGTTCGCCGGTTTCTCTATGCAGTTGGGACACGTGAGAAACCTGTTGAAGATATTGCAGCGGCAATATGAACAAGTAATGTTGCTGTCGTAAGGGATATACTCGACCTTCTTCTGGGCGCGATCAGGGAGGAAACTTTCCGACACCAATATTTCAGTGAACAGGAACTGCAGTCTGCGGAAATCCTTTTCCAGTTGCCGGACTTTCGCGTCATAAGGCGACTTGTGTTTGAGCCCCATGGATTTCTGCCTGAATTTCTCTGCCTGTCGAAGGAGTTTTGAGTACTTCTGCATGGTATAGTAAACGATTGCCTTGTTTTTGTACTGTTCGTCGCGGCACACCATCCTTGCTCGTGGCAGAGCTTCATGCATTGCCATTTCAAGAGTTTCAACGGTTGTTCTGTTCCAGGCGACTTTCATAGTTCTGGTACCCCGGTTCCACACCTGGTGCGGAGCCAAAGGAGGAATAAGGATAAAGTCGCCGGGCTTCTGTTCGACAACATACGTCCTAAACGGTGCGTTCTTCCACGCATTAACCTGGGCGAAATGGTTTTCGATCTCAATGTCATGGCCAAGGCGGGAAAGCCAGTACTCAGCAACCACCTCGCGTTCTTTGCTCTCGGTCATGAACCAGATCGAAGCACCCGGCTTCGTAAGTTTGCCATCTTCAACTAGGCCAGTGGAAGCTTCGACCATAATGTTCTGACCAAGGCTCGCGCACATCTCTCGGTGGGCGGGCGTATAGGTACCCTCGTGGCCAACATAGCACATGAGATTTTCGGCGCGCATTTCCTTTGGAAGGCTGCTCATCAGATCTCCAGCTCTGGCAATCCCCCTACCTTTCCTCATACCCGGCCTGATAGGGTCGTTTTCGTCCACTGCTCCAAACCCACCAACGTCACCTGTTGTTTCGTTGAGATAGAACAGACCGGGGGGGATGATTTCAGACAGTTTGTCTTGCCATAGCTGCGGACAATCAATATCCTTGAGATACATTCGCTGACGTTCAGGGTCCTTGTAGTTCCGCGGAGTCCACTGATTTGTCAATAACGCCATGTTGTTCAAATAATGACCGATAGATAAGGGGACGTTGGCCTTCTTGGTGAGATCTCGCGCACTCTCGACTAACCACAGCCGTTAGCACACGATATGCCATGCTAATGCAGTTACAGGACCATACCTTTTGAACCGCAGTTGTCGCGAAGCCACTGTAAAGCGAATGTCCATTTGTCCAATCGCCCCTCATAGCCCTCGATGACGAGAGGCTTGCCGCCCAGGATGACATGAACGAGAACCAACTTTTCAAAGTTTTCCAGGCCCTGGTGATCTATCATGTCGCAGTGGATGCGCACGACCCACTCGAAATTGGGCTGGGACTCGACAAGGGCGTTCAAATCGAAGTCCGGTGAGATGGGCTCGAAGGCCGCGCAGGGTCGTGTGGACGGCATGGTATAAGCAAGCTTCAAGGAGAGCGCAATTGCCCTTGTTCAGTTGTGCGACCTTCTCTTCCACAAAAAAGATCCGGAGGTAAAGCGCATCTTCTTGCCCGAGGCGGCAGCGCAGCGTGAAGCGCGAAATGCACTTGGTATGGTTGATCATTCAACGGAGCACCCGATCGATGTGAGTTGCAGTGGCTGCGTATTTCAGGGAAATGAGTTTTGTGGAAAGAGTGAGAGCGCATTGAGCAGAACGTGAAGGGAAGCCGCGGGCGCAAGTGGCCTAGTCCAAGCAAAAAGTGCGACATTGTAATATCGACGCGTAGCAGGAACTGGTCACAATGCGGAGAAAGGCTGGTGAGGCTAGGCTATGCCCAAAACGGACGGCGCGACCTGAACTCTTCTCAGCCTTGCCATGGACCTCTCAAAAGTCTCTTCCCGAAATTACAGTCGAGGCCCATCAGAACATGTTTTGGACATCGAGGCCAGCGCATGCAAAGCTTCTTTGCCAGGCCTCTCGGTTCTCCACTCAGGCTTTCATTTCCGGTCGCAGCTTTCGACGGCACCAGCAAAGGATCTTCCATTATGAAACGGCTCACCAGAGACGAAGACACATACCAACAGCAACGGTTTGCTTCCCAAACCATGAGCGACGTCTATCCACCCCAGCCTCGCCCTCCCCATTAAGCCAGGATCTTCCCACAACCTACAGACCTCCCAGCACAGGCATCGTATCCAAACTGCCTTCATCATGGATTCCTTATGCCGAACTGATCCGGCTCGACAAACCCGCGGGGACGTACTATCTCTTCTTCCCCTGCATGTTTTCGACACTTCTTGCAGCGCCCATGGCCGTGCCCATGGCGTCACCGCTCGAGGTGATCTCTACGACAGCACTTTTTTTCACCGGCGCCTTGATCATGCGGGGTGCCGGCTGTACAATTAATGATCTCTGGGACCGCAACTTGGATCCATATGTCGAACGAACACGACTACGGCCCATTGCGCGGAAAGCCGTTTCTGTTGAAAACGCAATTGTATATCTAGGCGCACAACTTCTCACTGGGTTGACTCTGCTTTTACAGTTTCCTCTACCGTGTCTCTACTATGGAGTTCCTAGCCTTCTTTTGGTCACTGTGTATCCTCTGGCCAAGCGAGTGACCCATTACCCTCAGTTTGTTCTCGGCTTGGCCTTTTCGTGGGGCGCAATAATGGGATTTCCAGCTCTCGGCATCGACCTTGTCTCCAATCCCGCCGCACTTGCGGCTGCGGCGGCATTATATTCGAGCTGTGTTGCATGGACCCTCAATTATGACATGATCTATGCCTACATGGACATCGAGGACGATGCCAAAGTAGGCATCAAGTCGATCGCCCAAGCACACGAGCACAATTCAAAGACTGCTCTCTCTGTCTTCTCTGCTGCTCAGATTGGACTTCTCGCGACTGCCGGGTACTTTGCTGGAGCAGGTCCGGTTTTTTTCATCGGAAGTTGTGGTGGTGGAGCTCTGGCTCTGGCAACCATGGTCCGACGGGTGAATCTGAAGGATGTCAAGGATTGTTGGTGGTGGTTTAAGAACGGAGCCTGGATCACCGGCGGAGTCATATCTCTCGGCTTGCTCGGAGACTATCTTCATCGGAGGGCCCAAGAGGAGTGCACATCCACGACTCAGACCATTGGCGCGTGATAGCACTTCCGGCCGTCACTGGCCGTTGACCTCATAAAAATCTTGAATACCCAGAGCCAAGTGCTCGTCAACGTAACTCACAATCTGTCTCCAGTCCATCATGGCGCCATCGCCCGTGTCGCCACACGCCAACTCCTTCTCCGTAGGTCTCAAGATGGTGATCCAGCCGTCCTTATCGGCGCCCCAGTCCTCCTCAAGCACTTGGATGTGCTTTCTCGTGATCGGATGACGCCACATGGCGGTGTTCATGGCTGGCGCGACAAATATCCTCTTCTTGCGCATGTCGATCATACCCGTGGTGTCCCACGCGCGGATGACATTCAGGAGCAGACCGTCGCTGATGCCGTTGACGATCTTCGCCATGGAGTTGGCCGACAACGGCGCGACGATCAGCACGTGCGCCCACCGCCTCAGTTCAATGTGCAAGATCTTGTCGCCCCGCACCCAGGGCTTCGCCCACTCGTCCTCTTCATGGTACACACCGTCCACGCCGGGATAGTCCAGGAGGGAGCGTAGCGGGGGTTGTTCGGCCGACTGGCCTTGCAGAAACTGCTCGGCGGCTTCTGTCAGGACGACACGGATGGACACGTTCGGGTGGGAACCGAGGGATCTGGCGATCAGGGGGATCTTTATCGCGGCGACAGATCCGCTCGCGGACAGCAGGATGTGGTGTTTACCATCATTTTCATACGCTGCGGCGGAGAACCGCTCGCTGCTGCTTGTGGGGTTCGTGGTCATGGCGGTATGGGCTTTTTTATTTCGCGATGTTCGTAAGAGGAGGAAGTCAAAGTCTTGAAGTCTACATTCCCTTTTCTTGTTGAGCGGTATTTAGATCCATTCGTAGATTTGTAAGGCGCACCACTTGAATTTGAGGCAGAGGAAATACAGTGTAGATCTGGGGAAAGAAGCGCAAGAAGCGAACTGTCAAGTGTCGATCGACCCATTTGTCAACATTTGACATCATCCGAGCCATCGACCAATTTTCTCCAAGTGGTTCCAACCAGGGTACCGAGTACTCGTAGACTTCCACCATCCTTCACAACACCCGCTCAAACTTCCAAAAATGCTGCAGAGAACGTTAAGAGCACCTGTAATTCCCATTCCATCCTTCCATTCCAGCCAGAGGTACAGGACAAACTAACACAGCAAACAGGCCCTGCGCGGTGCCCTCGCCTCGCTCTCCCCACGCGCCACTCCAGCCTCCCTCCTCCCTCGCATCTCATCCTCTCTCGTACAGACGCGGCTCCTCTCCCAGGAAGTCCGTGCCGCGATCGACAGAGCCGTGGCATCGGCGCCCGTGGTGCTGTTCATGAAGGGCACCCCAGAGACACCTCAATGCGGATTCTCGCGGACGTCGATCCAGATATTGGGTATGCAGGGCGTGGATCCCAGGAAATTCACAGCCTTCAATGTCTTGGAAGATGAGGAGTTGAGGAGTGGTAAGTGTTCTCTGCCAGTTTCGTTTTGGGGGGTTCGCGAGCATTTCAAATAATAGATGCGCTCCTTACATTCCCAAAACTCATGACAGTGTCTGTGCAAGCGATGACCAACGAGCTTTGTTTATGGACTGAAAATTGGCGCAATGAAGGAAGGAAGGAAGGAAGGAAGGAAGGAAGGAAGCTAACCCGGTGTCTATATCTCCACAGGAATCAAAGAATACTCGGACTGGCCCACAATCCCCCAGCTATACATCGACAAGGAATTCATTGGCGGCTGCGACATCCTGATCAATATGCACAAGGACGGCAGTTTGGCCGATTTACTGTCACAGAAGAAAGTCATTCTCACGGAAGACGGCGACGAGGATGTCGAGGGTCAAAAAGCACAGGAGGTGCGGGAGGAGACGGAGCAGAGCACCGGAGGCAGGTCGAAGGACGCAAAGGGAGAAAGTTCGTGAGACGAAGCTCTACGACAGGAGGAGACGCCTACGTGATTAATGGGATATGTTGCGAGTAGTTACGAGGTCCGAGTTCTACTTGCTCATCCTCCAAAAAGGTTCGAAGCAAAGAGTCTCAAGAGCTCGTTGCCCACCCGCGATGGCCAGAGATTTGACAGTTCGGAAAGTTCAAGTCAAGCTCGTGTTGAACAGATATATGTCCGTTTTCAGGATGCATCAGCAAGAATATGTACAAGATAAAATATATATGCCCCAAATATTATTCCATCAAGACAAAGCCATCGTCGTCTCGCCCTTTTTTTTTTTTTTTTTTCCCTTCTCGTTTCCGGGCTCGTTTTTTCGCTTTCAACGTACCCTCTAGTCCCAGTTCATTATTTACCAACGAACGCAGAGACTAAAAGACACGCTTTCAGCGCTCATTCATTCATAGGCGCTCTCCTTCTCTTCTTCAACCACGACGCCCCACTCATGCTCGAGCCGCCCATACATGATATCCTTCAGCGCCTTCTTGACAGCCAGGGCAAAACCCGCGGCTCCGACTCCATTAGTCTTTGCGCCGTTCTCGTTCCCCTCATCCTGTCCCAGTCCCAGCGGCAGGACGAGATCCATGCCGCGGAAATGGATATCCTGCACCGGAGCGATGAAGAAGGCCGTCCCTGCTCCAAACGCCTCGAGGAGTCTGCCTTCCTTCTGTGCGTCGAGGAGTTCGTGCATGGTGAACTTCCTCTCTATGACGTCCACATCACCGTCCCCGACGACTCCTGACCTGACGAGCTCCAGCACCGAAGCGCGCGTGACGCCTTCCAGGATAACTCCATCTCCCAATGGTGCCGTAACTAGCTCTTTTCGTCCAGTATCTTTATTATGCCACAAGACGAAGAAGTTAGACCCACCGGCTTCGGTGACGAAGCATTCGTTTCCAAACAACCACAGGATTTGATCGTATCCCCGGGCCCGCGCTTCTCCCTGCGCGACGAGCGAGGGTCCGTAGTTTGCCCCGACTTTCGCGTTGCCGAATCCGCCTGGCCAGGCTCGAATCATGTCATGTCGGGAGGCAAGGAGGCGCATGCCCTTTGCCGCGACATGTTTTGATTCGGCCTGGGTGCTGTCGTTATTGCCGCCGCTGAGTGGAGCAGGGATAGACGGAGGTTTGCAACTTGGGTCGTCCAAAGACGGAAACATGACCATGATAATGTACATTAACGCCTCCTTTGGCCTCTGCACACCAAGTGCAGGTGCCGTCGCTATCATTGTGGGTCGAATGTAAATGAAAGATTCTGGTTCAGCAATCCACTTCGCTGCCTCAACGCCGACGAATTTCTTCAATAGCTTGACAAACTCCTCTGGTGGGAAGCTAGGCAGTGAAATCCGTGCCGCTGATTGCAAGAGTCGCTTTGCGTTGCGGTCGGCCCTGAAGAGCCGGACCTTGCCATCAACACCTCTGTATGCTTTCATCCCTTCAAAGCACTCGGTGGCGTAATGCAGGACTGAGGCAGTGGGCATGATGGAGAGGGGCCCATAGGGTCGAATCTCAGGGGCTTCCCAGCCAGCTTTCTCCGTCCAGCGAGCAGTGAGCATGTGGTCTGTCGTGCAGCTCTGCGACCAGACTTCTGGTGAGTTGGCGGTAGGCACATTCTTGGGGTTCAAGTTGCGCGTAATGATCAACTTTGAGGCATCGAGGTCTGCAACTGGAAGACCATTCGAAACAGGCTTCTCGAGTATTGCGGCCGTGCCAGCCTTGGCCAATTTCGAAGTATTGTCCAGTGTCGGCGATGGTGGGGAGACAGGCGAAACAGCAGCAGGAGGAGCCATGGCGACCGATTCGGTAATTGAGAAAGCCTTGGTGAGTCAAGAGCAAGTAAAATATCACGCCCACCCAGATTAGAAAGATGAGCAGCCTGCAAAGAAGTCAAGGATGGAAAGAGAGAAAGAGCCAAAGAAACTATGAGGAGCAATTCCGTGACTCATATAGTGCTCGGCAGAGGCGGACACAGCGACTTGGAAAATGCAGCTCAACAGACAATAGATGGGTACGGAGTATTTGGGTGGGTTCTCGCAGGGGTTTGCTGGTGGAACGAGGCTTGCACCCTAAGGATGCAACATCCAGAGAGACGTTCGGTTGTTGGTCTGCCCATGCACAATCATTGACGATCGCGACTTACCACGTTCAACGCTAAAGCTGTACGCCTTTGAAAGTACAAGGTCATATCAGGGCGTCCGATATCGTTGCGAAGGACGTCCGCATGGGGCGGATACCAGCGATCACATGGACGCTGAAGCCGAATCGAAAGATTTTCAGGCGAGAATTCTCCAGCAACATGATGTTTATGGCGGGGGGTGGCCACAGGTAGCAACACGATGAAGCTCTGCCTTCACCACGAGATTGGTGGGAACGATCCCCAACTGAGAGAAAACAAGGCTCCGCCGAAAAATTCCAGCTTCAGTTCCGAGATCCGGATTGAGCTCATTCGACCGAATTTGGCGCGGGTATTCGCGGATATCGAAACCCTCAGAAAACGAGGGCGAAACGCGGGCCGTGCATTTGGTACTTCATGCCTCAGGATTTAAAAAGGTCAGCCGCTGCAATTATGACCTCACTCAAGACAGATATAATATCATAACGACGCGCACCCGAGTGTCAACCCGGGGACCGGGGACCGGGGATCGTTCACGTGCTGCAACCCCCGCTGGTCTGGTCGAGACACTGAGACGTCTCCGCTGTCTTTCACAATGCTGCAAGCTGCTCGATGGAGTGCATGAGGCCCTTGAATAGCTTGTTCTTTTGCACATTGTATTGCTGCAATTGACTGTTAACCCGAAAGAGACCGTGAGAAGAGGAGGGAGGCCACATACTTGCTGCAGGTCGGTGGCCGCCTTTTCAGTTCTGTTCGAGATTTGGCCCATGGCCTCTTCGAAGTCTGTCAGATCCTGCCCCAGTCCTGTATGGCGATGATCAATCTCCTCGTGGATCTTTTGAGCGGAGTCGATTGTTTTCTCAAGCCTTTCACGCTGGCCTGGCTTCATGGCACTATTTTGAAGCTGAGCGACTTGGATCGACTGCTTACCGAGGGCCTCCGCGGCCAGTCCCAGCAGATCGAATTGGATATCTTCCCATTCGTTCCATAGCCTGCACAAGACATCCTCTTTCTCTTCCCGCAACGCACGAAACTCCGAAATGCGGTCTTTGAGCAGGACTTCGTCGTTATGGGCCTGGTCGGGATTCGTGGCGGGTGGGATCTTGCTCAATGCTTCTGCAACGAAAGGTCTTTGCAAAGGCTCTTCGATCTCGGCCAATCTGCGGAACCGTGTTTCAATGTTGACAGTGAGTTCCTTGATGCCGCCAACCAAATTTCTCTCAACCTCGTCCAGCTTGTGTTGGCTTTCGCTTTCCACATTCTCTCGGTACTGATCGAGACTTCCTGCCGTCATCAGCACTGTTCAATGTATGGAAAGGTCTGCTACCTGCAAACTTTTCTGCTAGGATTGAGCTTGAATCGAGATGATTTTCACTTTCTCTGGTCTTTGAGATTCGATGGGAGTTGGGCTGGTCTGAATAGCGAGCTCTTCGATGCTTTGTCACATTTGGTGGCGGAATTGGCTGGCGATCGAGTGGAGTTCTAGCAGCTGCATCACGAGGGCGAAGGAAGATCGATCGGACTGAGGCAGGATGAGCAGGATGAGATTTGCTGTGGACAGACTGCATGTTGCTGCATCAGTGTGTAACCAGAGGCACCTGACGAACTCGAGGTGAGACGAAAGTGAGTTGAGTTGAAGATGCACCGGCGACGGACACTGTAACTTTCTCCAATTTCTCGTCCTTTTTGAGCGCCTTGACGACTCTTGTCCTACTGATGGCAAGGGAAGAGCATCCGATCCGTCTGTGTTCCTGTCCATTTTCCTTCTCGGCGCTCATCAAGTAGTTCAATCTTCTAGGTTTGGGCCTTGTTTTTTTACTATCCTCATGTTGTCAGTTGCCTAACAGCACTAATCTGGAACCACCATTGCCTCAAATATCACCGACATCTCGAATTGGGAGTCTTGTGTTTAACTTTCAGCCTTACATATCCAGTGATCCCAGGCTCAATGGAAATGACACATCCTGGGGAACTGGCATCACCGCCACAGGAACTATCCCCCCCCCCGGATGTGCTTGCTTGCATGCGAAGGGGCAGCACATTGTGGCGCCCGATTGCCACCATCTACGCTGCTGGCAACATCCTTGCAGTTGGCAGCGATCGAGATGGGATGGTGCAGATTGGATGTTGCCCTGCGTCATCAGGGTCCCTGATCGGACAGATCCTGTGGCTGTTTACAAGGGCTGTGATTGGCGGGAGGCAGTGATCTCCAAAGAGGCTTCCATTTCGATAGCCAAACCTGTTTCCCTCTCTCCTCTCTCTCTCTTTGTGGAAACCCAAGAGCCATGATATTCTCCGCGCGGAGGGGATGCCCCAAAGGATGACGTCGCTGACCTGTTGAGGGAAGAAGCAGGCACATGACACATTCCACAAGGTATTGATAAACAGCCATGTCGGCTCTATTTGAATCCTGTTTCCACTCTCACTTCCCACCACTCTCAAGACATACCCTACTAAGAGACCAAATACAGTTGACATTACATAACAAAACAAATATCAAAATGGTTCTAGGAAGGAGGACCAAGCACCACCCCGGTGGAACAACAGTCACCACCACCACTACGACCACTCACCACCCGCCTGATGAACTAAATGCCAGCGGCGCTCGTGCGGTACGCACTAAACCCACTCTCAAGCAGCGCCTGTTGGGTGGAAGACGCACCAGGGCCACTGCCGCCACACCCACACGAAGACGTCGCGTCGGCGTGCGTCGTCGCACCCCAGCAACAACCACTGCCACCCCGCGCCGTAAAGCCAGTGTCGGCGACAAAATCTCTGGCGCGATGCTGAAGTTGAAAGGAACTCTTACGCGAAGGCCTGGGCAAAAGGCTGCAGGGGCCAGACGAATGCACGGGACAGACGGGAGGGGCACCCGTCGATACTACTAATGACCCTGCTGGAGCAGGGCAACAAGAGCAGCAGAGACTTCGATCCAAGCCTCGACTGCTGGACAGAGTCTGGTCGGAGTGTCTCCTATCCGCTTGGAGGGACAGGGAGAGGTTGACGAATCTAGTCCCATTGTTTGGAGCGGGCACTACGCGAATTGAAATGGAAGGAAGCACATTACTACACGGGGCCACATGGTGATTCAGCGTCACTGGCTTCAGATGTTCGAATATCACGAGACTGAGATACCACATTCTAGCACAAATTGTAATTTCATTGATCAAGATAAGAAGGGGCAAAATTGCTATCATTGCTTTTCATCCTGACTCTTTCGCCTCACGCCATATAAAAAAACGCCTTCCCTCTGATTTGCTTCCTTCCCGTCATACTCGACATATTCAACGTGAAACTTTCTCATCATGTCACGAATGAAGCGCATGTCCGCTTTCCGTCTCTTCTTGAAGCAGAAATAACACGTCGTTTCGGGACCGATGAGATCACTTAATGTCTGGAGTAAGAGGGGGAAAGCGGGTTCAAAGTAAACGCAGTCCGCGGCGAGGACGATGTCCGGATGTTGTGCACCACCAGGAGACAGAATGGACGACGGAGGAGGTGAAGTGCCCCAGTCATATGTCTCCGCAACAACCTTGTCTTCCAGTTTGTTCAGCGCAATATTCTTCCCCATCAGTGCGAGCATGGGCGTCTGATCCGTGATCAAAATCTTTTGCTCTTTGTCGACTTCGCAACCAAGCGCAACGGCCAGGCCCACCAGTCCACCGCCTGCGCCAATCTCCACGACGGACTTCCCTCGTAGTGAGCCCGTCCGGTGGTATCTGAGCATGTACTTTGCCAGGACCATGCCGGCGGGCCAGAGTTGGCCTCCACATCCTTCTTGGAGATCTTCGTGGAGAATGAGAGGGGTGTTCGAGGGGAGGAGATTGTCGAAGGTGAGACTGGTTGTTCCGGGCTTTTTGTTGTCGCGCTCGGGGACGAGGGTGGTAGAGATGGCAAAGACGTTGTTCTCTGGAGAGGGAGAGCGGGACGCAGGCATTTTCGTTTGCGCTAGGGTTGTAAACATGCAAGATTTTATCGGGTTCAAGAGATTTTCATTAATCGTTCGCTGTGGGATGTGATCGGGGACAAGAATACCGAGTATTCCAGTACTAGCCTCACACTCGGTGCATACTTTTGTGGTTGTGGGAATCTAGACTCGACGGAACTGTGGTTGTTGCGAATCGAATGGACGACTCAGAAGCACGAATCTGTCGAAGAGGCTCTTCCGCAAGGCTGCTGATAGCCCCGATATCAGGCACACTGAGATGATTGGATGGTATCTTAGCGGACAGATAATCCGGGGTAAAACACGCTTTAGCGCTGCTGTTCCTACCTTAGAAGCCTCTTTCTTCTGAACCTGGAAGCTATAAGAAGAGTTTTCATCCGCTTGCAGGACTCAGCAGCGGAAGTGAGTTGTTCTCAGGGCATGAAGCTTCGTGTAACAAAGGGCCCGATGGCCAAGTCGATGATTGGAAGGCGAGGCGATGCCAGGGCTACGAGACCAACGTCAGGTGTTCCATGTTCGCTTTTTGATCCTCGGCACTGACATCATCGTGCAAACATGGAGACATTGCTGTCATTACAACGTATAGACCATAACTCGGTGGCTGAGAAGGTCCACAGAGCACTGTAATACTGCATCTCAACTTGTCATTACGAGCTCATTTACTCCATGTGTCGTCATTGTTTGCGCCATAAGGAAAGCTCTATTCCTGGTGGCTATGGCGCCAGAGTTGGTGGTGTCCAGTCCGTAATGTCACTCGGTCCTCTTGCTCCTCCCTGCACGTCACCGGTCCTCAATATAAGCTTGACTCAAGCTCGACTTCATCCCATCTGTCTTCTTCCTCCATCCAGTCTCAAAGCGCATCCATCAACTCCCATCTTCACACCACCACAACACTCGGACCAGACCTTCTCAATCCCTGTCAACAGACAAAACAAATCACAATGGCAACTCTGCATTGTACGTCCTCAATGCCGCGTCCCTGGTTGAGTTTTCTCTACGTCACTTGCTCGGGCTCAACAGCAGACCTCACACCATCACCCAAATCTCCGCTCAATTCGTTCAGCTGCACGTTGCTAACCTTCTCCCTTTCCTCCAGACCTCCCGCCCGTCAAACCCTCTGCAATTGCCCTCGGCATTGTCTTCAACCAAGCTGCCTCCGCCGCCGTGTTGGCCCCTCTATTCGGTGACACCTACCATCGCGCCCGGGCTGCCGACAGCAAGGAAGAATTCTTCAAGTCCAAGGAGACTGCGACCGCCGCAGCCAGCTGGGGTTCGTCCATCGTTGGATCCGCCATTCAAACATATGGTGTCGCTGCCCTCATCAATGCCACTGGCACATTGTCGTACAAAGGAGCTGCGTATCTTGGTGGTCTGATCTTCATGGCCTCCTATAGCCCCTCGGTAGGTCCACACCCGCACAATTAGTGACCGAAGGCTAACCAAATCTCCCCGTAGCTCGTCTCCCAAGTCGTCACCGAGAACCGGCCTCTGGACACCGTCGCTGTAGGCGTTTTGACCCGCCTGTTCGAGACTGTCGGCCTGAGCATGTTCCTCACGTACTGGGGAACCCGAACTAACCCATTTGAATAAGTTAATTACCGCAACTTGGGCTGGGAAAATGGAGGCGGAGAAGGCACGATGGTTGTGTAAGGTAGACGAAGGATGAATGCGATGGAGCAGATCATCGGCACATAGTCAAGGTCTGGCATGCCAATCAGAAATGGGAGTTCGGAAAAGGGATGGCAGCTGAACCCATCAGTGTATCCATAAATTCAATCTTCATTGCACAGGGTGTTACACTCTGGTGACTTTCTGAAGGATGGTCATCATGATCAAGCTGTCCTATTATCGCCTGTGGTATCCTTCATGTTCAAGCTGTCCAGTTCTCGCTTATGGCACCGTCATGTTCCACCACTCCTGTTTTCGCTTGGGGTAATTTTCGTGTTCCAAGCTGTCCAGTTCTCGCTTTTTCCAGCATCTTGTCCAAGACGTATAGTTTTTTGTTCTTTCTTTCCTCTGTGCTCGGGATATCACAACGTTCGATATGTACACGGTTTCTCGTTCTTCCAAGTGCCAACGTGCCAATGTGCCAACGTACGACCGTAATCATCTAGGCATCCTCGCCAGCCTCTTTGTCCACTGCAGCTTCGAGCGCTCCCAAGACATCCATTTCCTCGCCTTCGTGTTCTTTCTTATTAGCCTCCTGCTCAACGACAGGGCCGGAGGGCAGGACAGCATTGGCATCCGTATCCACGTCATCTTCATTTTCAAGATCGGGGTTCACAGCACTAGGCGTAACGCCAGAAGCAGCAATGGCGGGGACAACGGCTTCCTCTTCTTCCTTCTTGTCCTTTTCTTCTTCAGGAGTGCCGCCCACCTCAGCCGTGGCAGCGTCCTGCACTGGATTGGAGGTAGTGACTTCTTGCGCGGCAGCATCAGCAGGAGCTGTAGCAGGCGCGGCGACGACGACGGAGGCGATCTCCCCTTCCTCACTTCCTTCTCCATCGCTCTCTGATCCAGAGCCTTCCGCGGACGCCTGAGTATTAGCCTCGCCTTGGATAAGAACGGGCGTCGTTCCGTCTGCGTTTTCTGCGCCTTCACCGGCCGTCTCGGGTGTGTTTCTCATAGTCACGTCTCCCTCGACGGTGCTCGCGGCGGCGGTGTCTTCGGCGGCGGCATTCTCAGACACGGAGGTGGTAGCAGCAGATGCAGTAGCGGCGGCGGTAGGTTCGGGATTCGGATTCTTAGGTTTCCTCCCGGGGCCACCAATCTTCTTCTTCTTACGCCTGGGAGGCATGTTCTTTCGGACAGGCGTAGCTGTGCCGTCTGGCTGTGCAGTGAGTGTGCCGGGTCCAGACCCTGGAGCGAGAATGCCAGCAGCATTTCCGAGTCCGCCACCATCTCCAAGGTCGTATCCCGTCGTCCGACCAGTCATTACCGCGACAACCATGTCCCCGGCAGTCATGTCTCCCAAGGTTCCAAATCCGTTCGTAGCTTTGTATGCGCCTTTGTAGAGACTCTCCATTCCAGGACGGCGGTCGGCAAGGTATTTCGGTTCTGGCATCTTTTCCGCCACGGCAGCAGGAATCTGGACCCACTTCTTGATTTCAAACACTCGTTCGTTTGAGCCATGGGTTGCCTTGCGGCGTTTTGGATCTGGTCCTAGACCTTCGACGTCCATGAGATCGTCGTTGTCTTCTTCGTTCTTGTCTTCTTCGTCGTCAACGTTGATTGCGTCGACATTGCTGGTATGAGTGTGTTTGGGCTTGTTCTGTTGAGCCTTTCTCACTGCCTCGCGCCGCTCGAGTTCGATGCCGGGAATGTAGCTTTCGGTCTTCGGATCCCAGACCGACTGCTTTGCGTTGGTATTGCCCATGCGCGCGCGACGAACCATTTCCTGTAACAAGATTTGATCAGCGAGGCACTAACTTTGTAAATAAAGGGGCGAGGCATACCTGATTATGTGGTGGAAGTAACGGCCAGTAGGATGGGAGAGGGTGCTCAGTCCAGGGAAAGTTACTGTCATTGTTCTCGGTTGATTGATCGTTTCCATCCACTTGGTCGGCGGGGGCGTCTTGGCTGATTTTGACCGAGACTCGCTCCCATCGCCGCACTGGCAAGCCTTCGGTCACGTCGAAATCGGGTAAGCCAGCGCGATTGCGCTGCGTCGGGTTGTGTTCTTGGTTTCTCGTCGAACGAGAAGACCGGAGCTGTTGAGGTGGCAAGTTAACCACCGGATGGGGAGCGGAGAGAGGGAGGAGACGATAGGAGGAGGCAGGGGGAGGGCAAGAGAAGAGGATATAAAGAGGGTGTCGAAGACACCGGAGAAGGGGTACAGAGGACAGGAGGGACAGGGAGGGCGGTAGGGGAGACACCGACGACACCAATATCGTCCTCCGGCGAGGCACGAGCGACCGCCGGTCAGGCTGGGATGGCTTAGCCCCCAGTGTCTGTAGAATTGGGGGGCTCTGACAAGGCGGGCATCGCAATGGGTACACACCCAGGCACCAGGAGGAGCGGGAGTCATGGTGGTCGATGGCAAGTTGGATGGAGCGGACGGTGGTTGAGGGAGAAAGACAGAAGGAACAGAAACATTGTAACTGGGGGGGGGGGGGGGGTTCGGGCAGTAAAAGCCATGTGCTTGACTCTGTCGACGTGCGTCTTGATTTCATCTCATCGCGGAACCAACTTACCGGTGCCATGATGCCGCGGACACTCCCTTTCTCTTCAAGGAAGGACACCTGAACGGAGGGCGATCTCGTCGCTGCTATCATGTCAGTACATGCTATGACAGGAGCATGCGCGCATTGCGCAACGCAGGACTGACCTTCGATAGAGAGATGTGGTTGTTATGGGAGTTTAGGAAGAAGGCTGAGAGGTGCATGAAGAGGTTTATCTAACAGTGACATTGCCGAGCGAGTAGAGACACGCTAGAACATTATTACTACGACTAGTGGCGGGAATACCCGAGGCTAAGAGAGCGGAAGAACCATATCACCGAGGCGGAGAGAAAGGTGCACCAGGTGGAAAGAGGATGAGGTGAAGGTGTAGCGAGCACAGGGACAACTAATCAAGAGGAGAGAGAGCAACGGCGAATGCACGGAAGCAGGATCTGTATGGCAAGAAGAGGAAGAGAAACACGATATTGAAGGCCAGGCCAGGAGGCAAACTGTTCATGGGGGTAGAGATTGGTATGCTCATTGGTATCACACGGGACGATCAATCCCTGACAAGAGGGAGATCAGTCCATCTAAAGCAGAATACATGGAACCAACAGAAAGAAACGGGATTCAGCAAATGTCAGTCCCATCTGCCAAAGGTCAGCGTTATGAAAGACCTGTGATCGAGCAAACAAGGACATACCCAGTGTCTTTCTGTCGTACGATTCCACCCTGGTCGCCAGTTTCCTTTCCCTGAATTTCGAGTTAGAAAGGGATTGGACAAGAAAAATAGGGAGCACACACCGTCTTTCCGCCTTCTACCACGAGTCTGTCCAGCTGGTAGAATTGTGATATTACAGTTTGCCTCTGTCGAACAAAGTCAGCTTTTTTTTTTCCCGGCTATAACGGATTACCCAAATTGTTCCCTGATTCCGGACCACGACTTCGGTGACATATACATAAGAATGCCTTTTCCATGCTTCAAAACCAAAGAGGGAGGGAAGACTCCTGCAAGAAGGCAGAGACTGGACTCACTTTCATCATCTGCAACTCCTTCAACCCTTTCTGCATCAACTCCTGTATCCGTCTGGGATCCGTCTCGTGCTGATGTTCGTGGAATGCATCCCTCGTCCTCCTCCTCGCGTACATTCTGAAATTGTAGTTTGCAAACTTGTTCCCTTCGCGCAACAGGGACCGGTACAGGGACCGTACGCTGAACGCTGAGCTGTCGGCCGCGGTGGCCAGGGCGGAAGACGCCATGGGGGATCAAATTCAGTCGAGATCGAAGGTGTGCCTGATGATGAAATACGTAACCTGGTGCGCGACAGAGAGAGGGTGCTCGATCGAGGACTGGGCTTTGGAATAGCTCCTGGTAATCTACGAGTCGTGGGCACGCGGAAGCAGAAGAATTTCGACGCCTCCCAGAGCGGGTCAGATTTTTGCGGAGTTGCTCAAGGTGCAGATTCCTTTCGCAATGGCGGTGGAAAAGCTTCGCTGCGTGCAGGAGTACCGCGAGGGTTGCCGGAGTGTCTTCAAGGATGGATATGACTGCGCAGAAGACGGGTACTGCCTGGAAGGGTAGGCGCATTTATAGGGTAATATTCCTGCAAACTACTCCCAACCTGCGCGTCCCGCGGCGGATTGCGTCAATGCTCGGCTTAGGATCTCCGAAACGACCGAGATCTCGTTCTGCGAGGCTGCTGCCACCCTACGAGGACTACATTCCACAGGTCACAAATCCATTTTGAATGCCAATAGACAGGCCGTTTTCAGAAGACACATAAATCGGACAAATATGCCGTCCCAGCTCCCCTCTCGGCCGTCTTCGCGTTCCAACTCCCCCAACGGCAGCTCCAGCACCAGTCAACCCGAAGCTGTCGAAGCAGAAAGACCGGATCGCGAGACGCAAGATGATGAACCACAGCATCAACCCAAGGAAGAAGAAGAAGAAGGACCGTCCAAGGAACTCCTCTCAGACCGCCTCGACGCGCTTCTGATATCCTATCTGACCATTCTAGACACCTACACCAGTCTCCGCGCCCAACTTTCCAAGGACCTCTCGGCGGGATTCTTCTCGCTGGCGCAAGCAAATCGGAATGCGAATTCCACCTTGGGCGTAGGGAGGAGGTATGGCGAGGAAGGGTTCGATGAGAGGATGAAGGCTGGTAGAGTGGTAAGGATCAAAGAGGAGGCAGAAAATGGAGGGCTGGGTGAGAGCTGCGAGAACGAGGATGAGAAGGATGACTATGCTGGTAGTGAAATAAAGAAAGGAAGCAAGACTCCGGAGGAAACGACGACATCACAATGGAATGGGAAAGATACGGAAACCAACATCTCTCTTTACCACGTCTCAGTCTCCCCCTCATCGTCACCGAACACATCCAAAGACCCTCTGAAATGGTTCGGCATCCTCATCCCACCAGCCCTCCGCACATGTCAAACCCACTTTGCCACAGCCATATCCTCCACCGCCCCCGACGCGTTGAACGCTGCGTCTGCAATGCGGGATCTGGAAGAGCAGATATGGGCCATTCGACGCCAATTGGGGATTATTCGCAATTACGACGACAATGTCAGTGCCGATGAGTTTGATAAAAGCAAGAATGATGGCGGTGTTGAAACAGACACGACCTCGTCCAAGACAGAGGGAGACCAAGATCTGGAGATTTCTCTGTCAACAAACACACTATCGTCTTCCAGGTCCCAAATGTCGCAGGCAAAGAAATCGTCATCGTTATCGTCCACTTCTCCTCCGACAAAGCTGCCCTATGAGCCGCGATCCAGGGTTTTAAAGCTTGACTGACCACGTTTTGTTACGCCGATGTTTGGACGGGCAAAAAGTGAACCGGGAAAAGGCGTTTGGACCAGGTTGAGCAAGGCTAAGGTGTTAACGGCCGATCTTAGGTTTCTACGGAGTCATTTGTGCTGCCAGTAGCCAGCGAATTATCAGCGAAGAGCAAAAGATCGCAGGGCTGGACATCGGCATATTCCGATAATACCACTACGAACTAATATACCTACTTGATCCCAATGGCTGGCCCAAGAAACCCCCAATCAGCACGATTCGCAACAAGTTCACCATATCAGTAGTAAGGGGTAATATCACTCAACTCCTGGTTTCCATCGACACGTCCTCCTCCAAGACAGTCGGCCCCTCTGCCACTCTCGAGACGTCTTCGAGCTCTTCCTTGGTTAGGAGTGCCTGGTTCTCTTTGTCGGTGTCATCCTCGTGGAATACTACCTCGGCTCGCTGTGATCTCACGTCGTCTTTTTTGATTGGCGAGGAGACCACATGCCTTGCTGCGGGACTGCGCATCACCTCCTCTAGATCCCCGTCCCAGTAACTCGGTCGACGTTTCTTTCTGCTTACGGAAGGTCCACTGCCCTTTCTCCAGACCATGACATTAGGACTCAGTTCCTTCACGCCTCTTCCGGTGTCACAGCTGGCTCTTGCGGCTGAAGTACCGAATATGCTCATACGGACCGCTGCTCTGGTCTCTTCGTCAACTTCAATGACCTCTTCTCCCTCTTCCAGCTTCAGTTTTGGATCAATCGATTCCTTTGCCATTTGATCGTCCTCGAGGCTGTCGTTGGTAGGCGTTTCTGCCTCTCTCGACCTCTTTTTAACTTGAGAGCTTTGTGCGGATTCCACAGAGGATCTTGGGGGACTACTTCTGAATTGAAGATTGTCCGGCAACCGCGACCTCGCAGGCTGCATGCAACGCTGAAGAGGTCTCGACAGATACGAAGGACCACCATAGTGTTTGCCGACTCCACGAGCACTAGCAAGAGCAACGATGCCATTTTTTCTGAACCTACTGGGTGGCTTTGCCAACGGTGTGAGAGTGTCTGTTCTATACGAGTCTCGAATCCTAGAATCAGGAGCAGGGTCCTGTCCAACGACTTTGGCAGCTGCTGTAGAGAAAGAATACATTGGTGGGCCGGGCCTTGGTGGTGGTTGGGGGCTCTCTCTCGCATAATACCAACCAGGCTGGAAATGCTCCGATGCCGGGGTAAGATATGTGCGACCCAGGTGTTCATGGTGACGGGATCGAGATCGAGACTGGGAGGGTTCAGTCGAAGGGTACCACGAACTGTGGCCCATTTCTCCTGGAGATATTGGTGGCGATCTGGCTTTCAACAACGGCATTGGACTACCTGTCGCTGTAGCGCGGTTGAAAGTCATTGGCGAGAAACCAAGTACAGGGGGAAATCCATGCTGGCGTGCGTGGCTCCCTTGCACATTGGAACTTGAAATGGCACCACGATGTCCTGGGACATTGGGAGGCCCCGATCCGAAATGAGCTGCTGGATCAGGGCATAATACTGTCGGCCCACGTGAATGCAAAAGAGGATCCGGACATGGTTTGATGTCAGCTGGCTGTGAATCTTTGGAAGAAGATGCGGAATCATCACTGCCTTTGTGCGTCGGAGGTTTGGGAAAAAGGTCGCTGAACATTCCCCGCTTCAGCTTTGCTGAATCAGCCGCTGCTTTCACAGTAGGAGACAGAACGATTCTCTCCTCTGAACTCGATGACGAAGCTCTGTACTGTCCTTCCACCTCTGCAGACTTTCGCAGGAGGTGGCTGACAATAGGTGACTCTTCTGCAGAATCGATATCCATGTCATAATCAGCACTCACCCGAAGCTTGGTTAATGGCCGCTCCAAATCAGTGGTGGACAGAGCGCTGACGGGAGAAGACTTGTCATATTCTTGGGTTGAATTTCTCGAAATTTTTGGCGCAGGAGGTGAAGACAGGATCAGCGTATCGCTCGAATGTGGAGCGAAGCCTCCTTCATTAACAGGAGAAGTAAATCCGCTGCTGGGTGGCTCAACAACCGAGACTTTGCAGTGGTCCAGTTCCACTGGGAGCAAATCCGGAAGCCGTGGAGATCCCTCTGGAAAAGGTTCTCTTACGTCCATCTCAATCTCGGCAATGGACCTTGGGGCTCTGGAGTACCTCCAATCCTTGGAGGGTGTTTCTGAAGCATCTTTCTTACAGTCTCCCAACAGATCAGGATTGGTACCACAGTTATGCCCGTCTTCGTGACTTGCAGGCAATCTAGAGTCGATCGAGCCGACTGGGGATGCAGCGAACCGGACGTCCAGGCGCAACGAAGCTTTCGCGCTTTGGAACAATTTTTGCATTTGTGCAACGTGACCAGGCATGACGATCGATCTCGTTAAGGCCGGGTGTATCCTTTTACGACCCGTGTTAGGCAATGTCGTGTCAGTCTGGGGCTTTTGATGACCGTCGCGGTCTATGCTATTCCCCTCAGGGGTCTTCGAAGAAAGAGAAGGGTGTAAGACTTTGGAAAAGAATAAGGAGGACCGCCGCCGAGGAGGTTCAATCGGTGCTGCAGAGGTGCATACTGATCAGTACAGCATAGGACCACGTTTACATCCAAACGTGGAGAAATAGCCACAGATGTTACTCACGCTTTGGCGTCCCTGGAGGATACCCAGAGTGTGTAGATTTGCCGGAAGAGTCGCTGGATGGCAAGGAGCCAGGTGAATGATCCATACCGGGAAAGCTGTTCACGGGAAAGAGATGCAGTATCACTCAAACTTGATTCGAACTCAAAACGGGTAGCCAAAGTCAAAGAGCGGACATCTGCAGCCAAAGGCAGACAAACGAGGAGAGATGAGGTACGGATGAAGGTCACAGAAACAGCGTAGGGAGATGTTGACAGCTCGCTCCATGACATAGGCTGGAAGGGAAGGTCCAACGCTGAAAAGCTGGCAGCCGGATGTCTTTGGCAACCGGCATGCTTTATTGACGCGGAGAGCAGTTGCAGTCAACATGATGGTTAAGTTGAAAGATGTGAGTCTGATATTGGGAAGACCGAGTCCTGGATGGTGTAGAGCAAGGCTCGACCGAAGTTGAATTGGAGTTAATTCTCGGGCTGAAGTGCACCATCGTTGATAGCTAACAATCAATGGCAATGAGACTGTCGAGTCAAGCATCAAGCCAAATGGCACACACAAAGGTGATTGCAGCACAGATTGACACGAGACAGCACGGGCGGACATCGTTGCAGGGCGTCTTTGCAACACATAGCGGCTGTAGTCATATCCTGAGGTGTGGTCGCTGGAAACTGTGGTCAGCCTCATTAGCCGAAAGGAAAGCCATCATTGGCAGCTTCTGGTTGCACAAGAACAAGCGATTATCCGCTCGATGAATTGGGTAGACATAAAGCGAACTCGACATAGTCTCCAAGTCAAGGCTCGTGGTGCATACATGTACCCCATAGTAACGACAGCGGCCTGTTCAGGTCCCCAGCCGAGATATCTGAACAACTCCCATTTCCGCAACATGAGGGCGCTTGATGTGACGTGACGTGATGTGACGACGAATATGCTGCAATCAAGAATCGGGAATCGACCGGCATAGAATACGAGTAAGATGAACTGCTCAGAATGGGTCCGTGAACACCGGCAGGGTGTGGATTTGAGATGAGCGCAATGGAGATTGAGTTGATCTTGATCAAGTGGTGTTTGGTGGAGACCAAATGGCGCCAGAACGGAGCTGGACCCATTTCGAAGGAGGCAGAGATACGGAAGAAATAAGTGAATGGTCCATATGGACTGTGCGAGTGTGTCGAAAATAGTGGGTGAGGATGGGCAAGGGATGGGCTCTGCGGATATTAATTAGAGGGTGATACTCCATCCAGTAGTGATCGCAGCCTTGTTGTACCTCGTACGCAGCCTTACGATCCCTCAAACCACCCAACACACACGCAATAATCCATAGCTAATGCACAGACACCAGGACCCTAAATATGAGGCAAGTCGACGGACCACGCGTCTGACTCGCTGACTCGAGGCTTGTTCAGACTTGAGACTTGGACTCACTCCGCATCGTCCTTGCATCGAGCAACAATGGAACCTTCACGAGAACTCAATGGCCATGGTTGTGCCGGCGGGCTAAGCACCATCACGGCCCTTGCGTCTTTCAACCATGACTCCTCGCGTCTGTCGTCGAGGCCTACTAGGCCTGGCCGTCAGGTCTGAAGGTCTGACCACTCTGGGGTGCACACAATGATGGAGGAGGGAAACGAGGTCAGTGCTCTTGCGGAACCTTACCAGCATCACCAGTTGTCACAGAAAGGACAGCGCCCTGTCAGACAATGGAAACAGATTCTGGAATGGATTCCCTGATTCGTTGCTGTAACGGCTGGAATCACAGCAAGGATTCTGAAATTGTTCCCTCTCAGAAATCCGCAATCAGCACAGGAGGCAGCTCGCATGGACGGCAGGCTGGTGTTTCAGGACTGCAGCTGGTCCATGTCTAGCCGAGTTTTGACGGTGGAGCCAAAGGCGACCAAGGCTAATGAGTCTGCAGGCGAGGGTGTTTAGGCACCTTTAGGCATCCCTCCAAGGCCAATGGGGCGCCTGTACCTGGACCCCTAGGCTAGCTATGGCCCCAACTAGAATTGCCCCGGCATCTGTAGGGCCCACTCAAGCCCCTCGCCGGCTGTAAGATACCGAAGCCAGGTCCTATTCGCTGTCCGTGAGCCAGGTACCTGCCTGCATCGCCTGCGCAGCCTCAAACCTCCTGACACGGCTGCTATCTCACTACTCGTTCTGTTGTAACACCCTCCAAACCCTCTTCCACACGTTCGTTTCCATTCATTCGCTCGCCGTCCTGTGGTCGTGCTTTCCGCTCCTTCTCAATCTCGTCTTCGTCCTCTCTCAACTCGCCTTGTGCTTGTTCGGCCTGATTCGCTGAATGTTGGTCAATTCTTCACCTCGTTAGATACCCAGACTGCCTTTTTTCTATTGCAGTGCAATTCCTCGCAGGACACTCCTTCACACGGTCTTTACACGCTCGTTCACCTCTTCGCTCGTTCTACCGAATCCGACTTCTCTTCGTTCGACAACTCGCGGACTGGCGCCTGCAACTTCTTTTTCTTTTTTTGATTTCCAGCCCGACAGACAGTGCGCAACTAGTTTTGCGACTTGTGCACCCCATTCCAGCCTCTTCACAATCAACCCTCGGCCCAAGCCAGCAAGATCTGGTGCTGATATCACCCATTGAAACCCGCAATTACTACAGATTCTGAGGAAAGCAGCGCAGGAGCGCGGTCAAATTGAGAGAATATTGGCAGAGAGGACAACGCGAGGTACGCAACCACACCGCGACGAAGGCCTTCCAAGAATTCACGAGAGCCTTGCCCCATGAATTCAGTCCTCAGGAAGACGACTAGTCAAATGTGAACCACGGCCAGACACGCTGACGCAGGCAACAGTCTTCAGTCCATCTCTTCAAGAACGCAAGTGACATTCATAGACCCGTCACTTGTGCGTCACCCTGATCTATCTGATCCCTTCAAACGCATGTCGGGAACATGCATGCCCGCTTCTAAAAACATCCTGGTACATGCCCGATCTCTGTTGAAGGGAAGCGAAGGGGTTTGAGACCTGCTTGAATATACCCCCGTCGCTATCTTAGTCTCAGACAATCAGCCATACTTACCATGGATCCCTATCAACCTCAACCGCCACAACCAACTCATGAAGCCCGCTTTCACTACTCTAAACCGGGCTACGCTCAACCTTCACTTTACCAACAGTTCCCTCCACATCCGTCAGTGAGAGTACCCCCGAACGTGAAGCTGAGCGCCCGCCAAGTTCCTGTCGGTGTGGGAACTGCTCCTCCTCCCGTCAGATATGAGAGTCCCCCTCGTCAGCAACAGCAACAGCAGCAGAGATCTACGGGGAATGGGATGTTGGTTCAAAATTTCAGATTCCCTATCGCCCCGCCCATACCAACATCATCAGGAAGAACGAGGCAAGACCCCTCCCAATCGCCCGGTCGCAAGTACAACATGCATCAATCCTACATGTCATCGGTGGTGGACGAATTCTCTACGCCCGGAACAACCCCCGGATCAAGATCAAGGGGCTTCCCAACTCCAACCTCTAAGCGATATTCGGGTTCTGTGTATGCTGAGAGCGATATTCTAGGGCCTGAAGAGCAGCTTGATCAAGATGGTTTTGATTCCGACACAGATCGACCCGCTTCGGCCGATCCAATGCCGCAAGTAGTGCGGCAAGCGAGTATCGGGAAACGGGCCAGGCCTGCAATCACGACCATTAAGAATCGAGAGAGCCAAATCCAGCAAGACATTCCAGAAGATTTTCCGGCTCCTCCCACTCACGTGAACAAGAAAACAACAATGGAAGCCCTCAGTGCAGCGGTGGCTGCTGGCATGGGCACCCAACCTCTTGAATCTCGTTCAGGTACTCCTGTATCTCGAAGTTACACTCCTATCAGGATGCCCTTTGACACATCTCCTCCGCTCTCTCCCTCCGCCGATAGAGAATATTTGCGGACGCCAAAGTCTCCGAATACAATCGCATCAGGAATGATGCTTGCTCGGACACCGACCTCGGGACATTCTGAAAAATCCACGAATAATCTGCTCGGCTTGGGTATCGAGCAGTCTGCAATGAGCGACAAGATCCCCGCCAGCCGACGGCCGCCCAGGTTGGATATGGACGCAGTCAGGGAAGCCGAAAGCCGTGGCAGCACAACCAGTCTGGCAGACTTGATCAGACGAGCAACGAAGCTTGCCGCCAATCTGGATAGAGGAAAGACAGCAAGCCGGCTAGGCATGCTGGACATGTGGGGCAGCGGTGAAAAACTGGGGCCTACAAATCGCCATTCCACCATGTCTGACATGCTATCAGCTTTTCCTGCTCCGGCTATAGGTGGCACTCCAACAAAACGAGATACTGTCTGGCCCCTAAGTGAAAAGGGCGATGGCTACGCTTCAACCACGGATCTATCCAAAAGCCACCACCGAAAGCAACGGCGGAAATGCTGCGGCTTATCATTACCTGTCTTTATCGTCGTCCTCATCGTCCTCATTATTCTCATTGCAGCCGCTGTATTAATACCCATATTCTTAATTCTTGTACCAAAACAACATCGATCTACCAACCTCAGCGACTGTGCAGCCAGCCATCCTTGCCGGAATGGTGGCACCAGCATAGTGAGCAACGACGCTTGCGTCTGTGTCTGCTCGAACGGCTTTACCGGAAGTCAGTGCGAAACGCCTGGAAACGCAGCCGATTGTATGACCATTACGTTGAATGATGGCAATAACGAGTACAAAAATGCAACGCTGGGTCTATCAATACTCCCAACCCTTTCGGATGCACAAACGCGATTCGACATCGCACTAAATGTCTCAACGATATTATCACTTTTCTCATCCAACAATCTATCATGTACAAGTGAAAGTTCTCTTGTCGATTTCAACTCGAGTGTTTCGAACCTGGGAACGAGGAGAACGAGACGGTTTATCATGTTACCTGGCTTTGAGCCAGATCCAGCTGTGCTTCACGGCGATCCTCACTTGCCTCGGGTCACGGCGCGTGCAGAAGCAGATTGCTCGGAACCATCCCTTGAGAGAAGGCAAGACGGTGGGGTCGCAGGAACTTCCACCTCGAACGGGATTGTCTTCCAAGCAAGCTCGCCAACCATAGGACCTATCAGTCCCACTGCACCTGTGGTGACTGGTGCCTCAACTGTTACAAGCGTGAGTGCGACGACGCACGCGGCTAGTTCGGTCACCACGTCGGCGTCAGAGTCCCCATCTACCACAACCAGTGGGGCGTCTGAACCTTCGTCATCAGCCATCAGCAGCGAAGCGCTCGACTTCGCCAGAGTTGTGGTTCTCTTTGTTCTCCAAGAATCCCGATCCATGAGTGTGGCCGTCAATTCCCAACAGCGCATAGAATCGTTCTTTACTCAACAGGCAAATGGTAATACTACGTCTGAGAAAGTGGATGTTGGGTTGGGAAGCTTGCCACTCACAGCGGATTTTAACCAGTTCACTATCATCGAAGGCAATGGGGAGGTATTGGGTGGACAGGAAGGTTCAGGGTCGACATGAAAGAGAGAGAACGCAAGGGGGAGGCAATTCACATTACGTGACTTGCAAAGTTGCAAGGCGCTAGATCGCATTGCAATGGCGTTTGAAGATGGACCTGGATTTCTACATAGCGCCATCTCAGGCTCGATATTGACGCGTTCAGAAATATCGCTGGGTCGGGATGGGCAAACAGTTATTGGAAACAACAGAGGGTATCCAAATGAGGCGGGTCATCTTGGCTACGTACACTCACCGAGGTGTCCATGTCGTACTGTTTCCCCTTGGAGCTCTTGCTTGTATGATGTTCTGTTGAGCGCTGGAGGACAAAATACTTTCTCACGGTGTTTGAGCTATCCCTTATTTCGACGTGGCATATAGACACGTGTGTGGCCAAGTTAGACCTTGATACACTTGCTGCTTCTCTCCTATTTCTTTTTCCTTAGAGCCCATTTAGAAGCTACAAAGAGGGTGACCAGCGTTCGTGCTTGTGGACAGGGACAAGGATGAGTTCGAGTTCGAGTTCGAGTTCGAGTTGGTATCTAAGTCTGTGTGATTCACATTAAATGAGCATTGAGCATCGAGAATACCTAAAGCGGCAGAGCTGGTATGTTTGCCAATCTCAAAACATTGATTTATTTGGCTCCTAGAGGCATTGAAGACTGAAAGGGAAATGCAAGACAGCTCTGCTTGCTGTAATTCATCGTTTAGGACATGCTCATATCTCGTATTCTCGTAGCCGCACCGCCGCAGGCGGCAAGCGGCAGATACTTCCAAATCAAGACTCCTTACGCGAAAGGCACTGCATTCTGCTGTCGCCTTACGCCGTCTTGGACAAATGATAGCATTGACCTTAAAGAATGCTCGTTGAAGCGCTCACCAATGCAATGTAGTCTTCAACATCGTCCATCATGATTACTGTCAACAGGACTTCATGGGTTTGCCATCTAGTCCTTTAGGAGCTGATCGATTTCTTCCTTTGTCAAACCTAGCAAGTAGGCCAAATCCAGCATGCTTTCACCAATGTTTAATCGCGCAGGCGCTTCCATTTGGACCTTGGATTTAGCTTTCCATGCGACACCCAGACCTGCCGTCTTAAGCATGGGAATATCGTTGGCGCCGTCCCCGACCGCCATTGTCTGGACAAGTGGAATCCCCTTGCTGCCCGCTAAGCTTATTAACAGGTTTCGCTTGTGTTGAGAATCCACTATTGGGTGCGACGATTCGAGTTCCCCTGTTAGTGTATTAGAGTCGGGGTCCAAGGCAAGGTGATTGGCGAAGGCGTGATCAAGCCCAAGTTCGCCGGCAAGCCAGTTCGCAAGAGGCTGAAATCCACCACTGAAAACGGCAAGAGTGAAGCCCAGTCGTTTCAAGCATTTGCATAACTGTTTCGCGCCCGGGGTGATGACGATTTTGGGCTTCAGCCGTTCAAACACGTCACTTGGCACGCCCTTCAGAAGAGCCACCCTTGCTTTGAGGGAAGCCGCAAAGTCGAGTTCTCCATTCATAGCGCGCTCGGTGATTGCAGCAACTTCCTTCTTGACCCCAACAAACGCGGCGATTTCGTCGATCACTTCCTGATGGATGAGGGTGGAGTCCATGTCAAAGACGCACAGACGTTTATGTCGCCGGAAGACATTGGAGGGCTGCAAAATGATCTCGCAATTCCACTCTCTTTCGAACTTGTAGATCGATTCGTGCTTGGAGATAAGGGGAAATGGCAAGTATTCAGGGTTGGGAGGTGGGGAAAAAGTAACCTCCATGACCCTTGGTTTCAATGGATCCGGAGCTAGACATCGGTGAGAAGACGTCAATTGCTGCTCATCAGGCGCATTGTGCACCAGGAGGCTGTCAAGTGTGGAGAGGAAGTGCGTCAAGCATAATTGGGAAATATAGGCACCATACAGATGATCAAGAGGTTCAGGTTCGGGAGGCGGAGGCTCAAGAGGATACTCCGAAATGTTCGTAGTCGGAGCGGAGCCTTCAGCGATTTCTGGGACCGGGATTGGATCTGTAGGTCTCGCAGGAGGCGACTGATCTGGGTGGATATGGGGATGCCGTGGTGCGCTCGAGTTGTAGAAGATGGTCGCGACAAGCCTTACTGGATCACCAGGCTCAGGAACGCAATTGGTGTGGGAGATTGTGTGCACAGTTCCACTCTCTTGAGCAATTATCGGTGAAGGGGGGATCGCACTGACGGATCTTCTCGAGGCACTCGACAGAGAAAGATTCGAAACGGCACTCCGAGGGACTCGAGGTGGCTGCTCCAGAACTCCATCAATGCTTGCTGAAGGTCCCGTTTGGCGTGACTTATACTCGAGATGATCGTCGAGAAAGGTGCTGCCACTTAGAGAGTCTTTGGCCAAGCTGAGCTTACGGGATCGCGAAGGCGACGACATGTCCAATATGGTTCGAGACCCAGCTTACAAACATGTAAAAGTGGTCGTGCAGAGGACTTGAAGCTTAGATGGTTCTCACTGTCGAGAAGCCGCACAGGGTCAACGATGGAGAGCAACAGGGATCGGTGAGCAGGAAGTGATCGGCAGGATGCAAGACGACGTCATACCATGTCGAGATCAATGCAGGAACAACTCAGTGAGGCTGAGATCAGCGTTGAGAGAAAAAGGGAGAGAGATTGGTGAATATTTTCAGTGGGTAGGTGGCCGAGTCCGGCTGCGATCAAGATTGACTGGTAAATTAAACTCACGCATGCCCTTGTCTGGGGAGCTTTACCTGCAGCACACCCTCAAGGACGGGACGTACAAAAATGACCCCACTGGTTCGAGCGGCAGAGCGCACAACTCGGGAGGCATTACAGCGAAGTTGCACAGAAGGGGGGACAAGGAAGAAAAATCGCAGCCAAGGGGCAACAAGACGGAGTCACAGCCGAGCATCTCGCCCAGATGACATCATGTTCCATCTCCGCTCACGTGACAGGAAAGAAACGGGAGTCTTGGCATGTTTGTCTCCTCGCACGAAAAAATTCACCGGGGCTCGGCAAACCCCCGCTCCGGCTCTCGCTCAACATGCAGTCCAAAATGATCTCAACCTTACTTATACTCCGGCTGTCGTCAACCTGCCACCATTTCGCGACATCTAGATCTTCCTCTCCGCAATTTGCTGTACCCTCTTATTCTCGTGTTTTTGTTTCCTTGGCTAAATGAGGTGCTGCAGGGGAGCTGTCACGTAAGTTGCAACCTCAGGCAGGACTGGTTGTATGCTGCACTCCGATTGCGCAGCCGTGTCCGTCCGCCGGTTAAGAAACTGGGGCCCAGCTGTGGCCGGAGACCCTATCCTGTACCCAGTACCATCTACGCAGGTAATCCAGATTTTCTCCGATACCCGATATCCTACGGCTCTCGGAGTGAGAAGGCCAGCAAATGACACAAGACACTCATCGTTGAAAATAGTCGGCATCCAATGAAGATGAGGAAGGCTCTTTGCCTCCTCGATCACGCCATCGACCAAGGGATGAGGCAGTTGAGCGAGATGGGGGACCTCTTCACGGATTTTGCAATTTTGGCTGCGGATGGCGAGGCTCTCGACTCCTAGTTCGCTCCACTGCTGAATTGCGTGCTCAACGATGATATCGTAGGCAGTTGATTTGTAAAAAAGGTGAGTTTCCAGCACTTTCATCATCCCCTATGTTGCCGTCAGCGGTATCTCTTTTCAATGGGTTTCCTCTCACGTTTCTCGACCTCCCTTGCCCAAGTCTCTTCATATCTGTTCAACCCCTTTGCCCCAAGCGAGCTCGACATGGCATCAAGAGCAGAGACCCCGTGTGGGAGTGGCCGCAGCAGCCCCTCATTGGGGGGTGCCGACTCTGGCTATTCTTCCGGCACCAATAGTGAAAGTGAACTGTCTGAGGTGTACTTCACCAAGCGACACCTTCGATTTCTCAACCGCCAGCTTCAGTTCCTCGAGCCCCAGGAGATCCTCAGATGGGCCATCACCACCCTTCCCAACTTGTACCAGACCACTGCCTTCGGTCTGACAGGTCTTGTTCAGCTGGATATGCTATCTAAGCTCAAGATCCCTCGGCCTCAGATGGTCGATCTCATCTTCCTTGACACCCTCCATCATTTTCCCGAAACGTTGGAGTTGGTGGAAAGGGTGCGAGAAAGATATCCTCTTGTCAACCTCCATGTTTTCAAGCCAGCTGGCGTTGAGACCGCAGAAGAGTTCAAGGACAAATATGGCGACAAACTATGGGAGACCGATGACAATAGATATGACTATCTTGTCAAGGTGGAGCCTGCACAAAGAGCTTACCGTGAGCTGCAAGCATATGCTGTTCTCACCGGCCGTAGAAGGAGCCAAGGTGGAGATAGAGGATCGCTCGATATCATCGAGGTGGACGAGGCCGGTTTGCTCAAGATCAACCCCATGGCCAATTGGAGCTTCGATCAGATTCAACAGTACGTCAAGGACAATGACGTGCCATACAACGCCTTGTTGGACCGGGGCTATAAGAGTGTCGGTGACTGGCACTCAACCCAACCTGTCGTGGCAGGTGAGGACGAACGTGCTGGTCGATGGAAGGGACAACAGAAAACTGAGTGTGGCATTCACAATCCTCGGTCAAAGTATGCACAGTACTTGATGGAACAAGAGAAGAAGAGAGAACGTGAAGCTCTAGAACAAGCTCTCCGGAAGGTCAGTCTTGACGAGCGGTCATGAGGCAAGGTTAGAAGCGGGCTCGTGTTTGAGCAGCATAGCGTCGGCGTTCGGGATTTCGGCCATCGGGCATGGCTTGATGCATTTTCCCTGAGGGGTTTCACACAGTAGAGGCATGAGCGACGCGATACGAGCATTTGCATGCAGCATCAGGGGGGGAAGATGATAGATTGGTGATGGGCAATCGATGGACGATGGACGAAAAAACAATGGTGGCCGCCTCACGCCTCACAGACGTTTAAAAGCGGGCAAGGGAGCTTCTTGGCGGCCAGCGGGCTTACCGAGTCTCTGTTATCTGGACCGAAGGTGGAAGGAGAATCGCTAAGCCCCCTTTGGGCCTTTGGGGCGGCCGGTCCGCGCGCCCCTTGCCATAGATTTATCAATCACAGTTGCAGATTATCTGACCGCCCATTCTTCCTTCGCTGCCTCGCATTTCAATAATGGTTTCTTGCCTGACCTGCTGCTCTTCTGAGGCCCGAATTCGACAGTGGTGTGCATCGTGCATCGGGGAACCGCTCCTTGTCTGCTGTCCTCTTCTGATCGCTGAAGCCCAACTCTGTGCGAAACTCTGTCGCCCACTGGGTAACACATTGACTCTCGCCCGCGTGCTTCAGGCCAGCCTCCGTCGCGTTATCTGCCCTCCATCTCCTTGTTGAGCATGGCAACGGAGATCGGCAGGCTTAGCGAGACCCAAAAGGAGTGCTTGGCCTCACCGTTCCACAAGGCAATCCCTTTGGCCCCCTCCTTTTCCAGAAAGGCTCACGCTTTCGAATGCCAGACGGACACCACTGCCAGGCACCGGAACTCGGTGCAAACATATACCAGGCTGGATTCTGTAAGACTATTGGTGACGATCCTGGGGGGATCCCTTTAGGGGTTGCAGTGGGCAGGCCAAAGCAGGGGTAGGTAAGCCATACATCGTGCAGCTGGTGCCAGGGTCGTAAAAATTTGTGTGCGGGCTCGCCCGTGGCGGGGATTACAACAGAACGAGAATAGAGTAGGTTCTTACTCTTTGGCCTTGGCCGCTTGAGCTGAACGAGGATATAATAATACTTATACTAGGGCATCTCCCTTCTTGACGTTCCAATCTTTTTGTTTTGTCCTTTTTGTTGCTGCTGCCCTCCTGTCGGCGTTGTCCAACCCCAAGCTGTGTGCTGACTGACCCCATTTTCGACATCTTTCCTGGCAAGGCCCCTCCTACACAGACACCATGGCCAATCCACCCCACGGCGGAGTCCTCAAGGACCTCCTCGCTCGAGATGCCCCTCGTCATGCCGAGCTTGAAGTTGAGGCAGAGAAACTGCCTGCGGTCGTCCTCACCGAGCGCCAGTTGTGTGATTTGGAGCTCATTATGAATGGCGGCTTCTCACCGCTCGAAGGGTTCATGAACGAGAAGGACTACAACGGTGTCGTTGAGAACGTGAGACTCGCAAGTGGAGCGCTCTTCAGCATGCCCATCTGCTTGGATGTCGGGGCCCAGATCATTGAACGTCTGAAGATCAAGCCTGGGTCACGGATCACTCTTCGAGATTTCCGAGACGATCGCAATCTGGCTATCCTCACGGTGGACGACGTGTACAAGCCAGACAAGAATAAGGAGGCCCAAGAAGTCTTTGGGGGAGACCCGGAGCACCCAGCCATCAAGTACTTGATGCAGGCGACCAAGGAATTCTATATTGGGGGCAAAATCGAGGCTGTGAACAAGCTCAGTCACTACGACTACGTTGCTCTCCGATACACGCCTTCGGAACTCAGAGTGCACTTCGAGAAGCTCGGCTGGACTCGTGTGGTGGCTTTCCAGACTCGAAACCCCATGCACAGGGCACATCGTGAGTTGACTGTACGCGCCGCCCGTGCTCGTCAGGCCAATGTGCTCATCCACCCTGTTGTGGGTCTGACGAAACCTGGTGACATCGACCACTTCACTCGTGTCCGTGTCTATGAAGCGCTTATGCCCAGATACCCCAACGGCATGGCGGTTCTTGGTTTGCTGGGACTTGCAATGAGAATGGGAGGGCCTCGCGAGGCCATCTGGCACGCCATCATCCGAAAGAACCACGGCGCTACCCATTTCATCATCGGCAGAGATCACGCAGGTCCTGGCAAAAATAGCTCCGGGAAGGATTTCTATGGTCCCTATGACGCCCAGCACGCCGTCGAGAAATACCGAGCTGAGTTGGGCATTGAGGTCGTGGAATTTCAGATGATGACCTATCTTCCGGATACAGACGAATACCGGCCAAAGGATCAGGTCCCCGAAGGTGTCAAGACCTTGGACATCTCTGGCACCGAGTTGCGCAGACGTCTAAGAGTTGGTGCACCCATCCCAGAATGGTTCTCCTATCCTGAAGTCGTCAAGGTGCTGAGAGAGTCAAATCCTCCTCGCGCGAAGCAAGGCTTCACCATTTTCCTGACCGGCTATCAAAACTCCGGCAAGGACGCCATCGCACGAGCCTTGCAAGTCACCTTCAACGAACAAGGCGGTCGCCCTGTCACCCTACTTCTAGGTGAAACTGTCCGTCACGAGTTGTCCTCCGAACTTGGGTTTACAAAAGAGGATCGCGACACTAACATTGCGCGTATCGCCTTTGTTGCCGCAGAATTGACCAAAGCTGGTGCTGCTGTGATTGCTGCACCAATAGCACCATTCGAAGAGGCCCGCCAGGAGGCTCGAGAGACCATCCAGCGATTTGGTAGCTTCTTCTTGGTTCATGTTGCAACCAGCCTGGAGTACTGCGAGAAGACGGACAAGCGTGGAGTGTATGCGCGAGCTAGGAGGAATTCAATCCGGAACTTTACAGGTATTAACGATCCGTATGAGAAGCCCGAGGATGCGGACTTGACCGTGGACTGTGAGAAGCAGTCCGTGAGGAGTATCGTCCACGAAATTGTCTTGATGTTGGAGAGCCAGGGCTTCTTGGGCAATGTGTAAATGCATTTACGAGCAGGGTTGGTACAATGAATGAGGAGGGGGCTTTCGAGGATCTGATCGCGAAGAAACCGTAAATCCCTTATATAGACGTTTGAAACACTAGAACCATTTTGGTTAAATGCATCTCCTCTGCAGCTACTGGGTATACAGTTACAAATTTCTGCGAGGAGCTCCGCGGCTCGTAAGCGCAAGGCTGCGAGGTGAGGTCCCCGGTAGGCGCCAAGGACGCGTCAAGACTCAGAGCGCAGTTGAGCTCATGTCAACCTGCGGACCAAACCTACTCAGAAAACTAACCGCCAACCTCTGACCCTAGCCTCTTCGACTTCTTCAAGTTTCGTCCCTGTCTTCCTCCTATCTCATTCACCATTTGCTGCCGTACTGAGTCGTCGATTCGCGTTCTTATCCCGCCACAATGTCGGAAGGCACACTTTTCAAGCCGGAGAAGGACTATACAAAGGAGGCGGACAAGGTTCTCCCCGAAGCAGAAGCATTATCCAAGGTAGGGCTACTGGTCGCTCTGAAGGAGAATCTGGGCTGACTTGTTCACAGAAAGATATCCACAAAGCCATTGACAAAATTCTTTTGCTCGAGAAACAAGCAAGACAAGTACGTGATTGTATCTGAAGATCCTGGATTCTGTCCTCGCTAACCATGGGCGCCAGTCCTCAGACCTTGCCACAACCTCACGATGTCTAGTTTCCATTGTAACCCTATGCAAAGAGGCTGGAGATTGGAGCCTGTTGAACGAGCAAGTCCTACTTCTATCAAAGAAACATGGCCAACTGAAACAGGCCATCACAAATATGGTTCAAGTTGTCATGGGATTTCTTGATGACACACCAAACCTTGACACCAAACTCAGTGTCATCGAGGCACTTCGAACTGTGACTGAGGGCAAGGTGCGCGCGCTCAATCAATTGTACGGGTCTGCAATTAGACTGACGAGGGGACTAGATCTTTGTGGAGGTCGAACGCGCCAGGATCACTCGAATACTCTCCAACATCAAGAAAGAGCAAGGCGACATCAAGTCAGCATGCGACATTCTTTGTGAACTTCAAGTCGAGACGTTCGGATCGATGACGAGAAGAGAAAAGACAGAGTTCATCCTAGAACAGGTGGCACTGTGTATACAGAACGGTGACTGGACGCAGGCAGCGATCCTAAGCAGAAAAATCAGCACGCGGTATTTTGCCCGAAAGCCGAAGAAAACACCCGAGCAGATAGAAAAAGAGAAGAAGGAGAAAGCAGACAAGGAAAAGAAGAAGCCCGAAGAGGAACCTGAAGCGGAGCAAGAAGACGATGTCACAGATCTCAAGCTGCAATATTATGAACAGCAAATCACCCTGGCAAAACACGAAGACAAATACCTGGAAGTCTGTAAACACTACCGACACGTTTTGGATACCGAATCAGTGGAGAACAACCCTGAGCAGCTTCGTGCCATTCTTCAGAGAGTCATCTACTTTGTCCTGCTGGCGCCATACGATAACGAACAATCCGACCTCCTCCACCGCATCTACCAGGACAGTCGTAATTCCGAAGTCCCAAAAGACGCAGCACTGCTAAAACAATTCACAATCCCAGAACTCATGCGCTGGCCCATGGTTGAGCAACAATACGGTGACCACCTCTGCTCGACAGACATCTTCTCCAAGACTGCGGATGCGAGCGATCCACAGGCTCATACCCGCTACGAAGCGCTGAGGCATCGAGTGATCGAGCACAACGTTCGGGTAATTGCAAAGTACTACACCCGTATTACTTTCCCGCGTCTAACCGAACTGCTGGATCTCTCGGACGAAGAGACCGAGAAGTATATATCGGACCTCGTCACCAAAAAGACGGTTTACGCCCGCATTGACAGGCCCGCCAGAGTGGTGAGCTTCGAAGTCAAACGGGGACCGGACGAGGTGTTGGACGAATGGGGCAACAGTATGAAAGGCCTCTTGCAGCTTTTGGAGAGAGTAGGGCATTTGATGCAGAGAGAGGAGATGATGGCGAGGATCCAACCAAAGGAGGAAGTCAAAAGAGCCAAGGCTTAGTTCACCGAGGAATTCTAATGAGATACCGGCTAGTTTGGGATGGAGTCGATTGTATCAGTACCTTGCTGTTCAGCCGCGGAATGGCAGAAATAGACTGGAGTGGGTAAGCTGTGTTACCTACACATACAATGCTGCCTCTTCGAGTTCTTTTAGAGAAGGTTCGGAGATCGGTGCATAGCTCAGCGTCCGCCTGGTTCATCTAATACATGACCCTGGACAGCATCGAGTGAATTGTCCATCGCTCGAGGTCTAGTCGGAGTACTCGAGAGGTGAGCCGAAAGGATTGAACTTGCCGATGTATAAGACTCGCCCTAAGTCCGAATTCGCAACGGTCCAGACAGAGTATTAATAAAATGGACGTCCAAGTGTCTTCTCTAACTAATGGCCCATCAAAGGCCCAAGTATTTCTTCACTAGCGTCGAAGCTCACTCCCTCGTGGAAGGATTGGCAAACAAGGCCCATGGCGGGCTTTTTTGTCAAGTGTCATTATTTGGGGCTGGCATAGAACCACAACAACCTTCCCCAGTACCTGGCATTCCACCATGACACCAAATATATCACGTTGAGGCTGTGAAATTCCTTGAAAATCAAATGTCGACGTGAAATCTTAGTTAGCACCTTGATAAAGGAGGTACTATACACCCACATCTTACAACCCCCTTAGCAACCGCGGCACAAAAAGTCCAATGTCGTCTCTTCCTCTCTCCCTTCTTCCCCCTTCCGCAATCTCTCCTTCAGCATTTCACCAAGCGCTCAAACTGTACCCCTCGCTGGTCGAGAAGGTGTACAGATCCAAACTCAAAAACGATCCCAAAAAGGTCGCCGACGCGTTGGAGCGCGATCTCTGGAGGTTTGAGGTGTTGCCTGCTGCTGTTGCTGCTGCTACTGCCGCCGATGCTGCCTCGAGTACTGGAGTCGGACGGGCTCAGGTGACTACGCAGGCCTCAAAGAAGGACGAGAGCAAGAAAAAGAGGAGTCTTCCCGATGCGCTGGACGGCAGTAGTGTTGGGGGTGGATTGACCAAGGATGCTGTTGAGAGGCTGGTGCAATGGAAGATGTAAGTTCTCTCTCTCTTTCTATTTTTTTCTTTCCATCTGGATTCTACGCTGCTGTTTTATATAAGCGACAGTAATGATGGAGCTGTATTGAACGAGCCTGATCAGTACGGAGACGATCCATCACAACATCGACTGCTTTTCCTTTGTCTGCTTGGATCCTTCCTGCTTCCTGGCCCATTTGCCTCGTCGCAGCTGGGAGGGAACTCGGAAGCGGTTGCGCTTTCACATCACACCTGGAGTCTGCATTTGTCGTGGCCGCGCTACATTTGTTTCTTCTGGAGAAGGCTCACGACAGTGGTGGTGATCATGATGATTTACATGGCCTCGAAAAACGCACGAAACTATATTCCACGTTCTCCATGTGTTCTAGTTCGCTTGCATACGTCCTTGCATGGCACGCGCTCTTCCCCTTTGCCGCAACAAGTGTCTCGTTATTTTTGCGTGGACCTCAGGAGCAGTTATTCGGTATCTCTTCGTTTAGCCTGGCAGCCGGCCCCCTGACTTGCTCTCTTTCTCTCAGAACCCACGGCCACTCTCGGCCCTTTCTCCCAGCCATGGTGCGGAAGAACGACGCCTCGGCGATCCAAATCCAGACGTCTCTCGCTTTCGCCAAACTCTCTCCTCCTTCACCGTCAAAGTCAATGCCAACGCCAAGGTCAGCTTTCACGCCTCGTCCTCGTCCATCCGCCACCACCGTAGCCGAAGCCCTGGACGCGGTCTGCAAATTGACCGGCATCGGACCGGCCACGGGGACACTGATCCTCAACGTCTTCGACCCGGTCCACATCCCTTTTTTTCAGGACGAGATGTTCGTGTGGTTCTTCCCCAACGTCGGCGACAAGCTCAAGTACACGCTCAAGGAGTACCTGCGGCTGCTCGAGGCGGCGGCACCGGTCCTGGAGAAGTTGAACGTCCGGGCCGTCGAGCTGGAACAGGTTGCTTATGTCCTGGGACACGTGGACGTGTTGGACGCGGCGGAGCGCCAAGCGCTAACGGACGTGTTCAAGGAGTGCGAGGGCGATACTGGTACTAGTCAGGACGGCAATCGCGGTCCGGACCGCGCAGCGGAGGATGGTGGCGATGCGAAGGACACCACGACCAGTACTCCACGGCGAGAGCCACCACCAGCTGATAAAGGAAGGAAACGGGTAGCGAGGGAAAAGGATGAAGACGACAAGGGAGGAGAAACCCGGGCTCCAAAACGACGATCACAGCGGAAGAAGTGAGGAGAATTAAAGCAAAGAGTTTTGCCTTTTCAAGTTCGTGCTGGAGATTAGATTGGGTAATTAACTATCGTTCTTTTCCACGCCGCTCCAGAGGACGATCCATGTGGGCTGGAAGACGGCACATATCCCTGTTTTTGTCCCTTGTCCAAAATGCAATGCTGCAAGAACGGATCGATCAAACAGAGAATACACGGCAAGCATTATCAAGTAGTGGGCCCGCATTTTTCCCTTTGGAGAAGTATTTTACAAGATGAGACCCAATCCGGCAATGGCAACGGCGACAAGGCCACGAGCCATATCCAAGCTCGGTGCACCGTTACCAGACGAGGAACCGCCAGTCGCGCTGGCACTGGCGGATGTCTCGCTGCCGGAGCCAACTGAGGAGCCGGTCTGGCTTGCGGAGTCTGAGGTGGTTGAAGCGGGCGCGCTCACGGAGTCGCTGGTGGTGGCGGAGGCGGTCGAAAGAGGAGTGCTGGTAGTGGATGGGTAGGCAGACGCGGCGGCACAGTATTGCTCGCGCTGCTGTTGGACGGCCGTGACGCCGGGGTCGCTCGGGCAGTTGTTGTAGCAAGTCAGCAAGTTCTGGTACTGCGTGCACAGGCAGCTGTAGTCGGTGCTCTGGCATGAGTTGACCTGCCCTTGGATGGTTGCAAGGCAGGCATCGAGGATGCTGTTGTCTCCCTGTTAGCATTGGACCATTCGCTCATAGGACGACAGCCCCATGTGATGATACTCACTTCTGGGCAGCGCAGCTTGAGGTCGAGGTAGTCGTGGCCGCTGTGGAAGTGGCAGTCTGAGCAGCTGCCAGGGAGGCAATGGATGCCAACAGAAGAGTGGTCAATTGCATCTTGTTGTCGAGAAGCGAAAGTATTTAACGAAAGACTCGAACTGGAATGGAGGCAATGAGTGTGTGAATGTATGTATCAACAGAACAACACGCAATGATAGTTTATTACCGTTGGATATGGACCACAGGAAGCAACGGGGAAAGAAGAACCAGGCAGTACGGGGAAGGAGAAAAAATAAATAGAGAACCGCACCAACGCCGACAAGCCACCACCTTGACCACCCTGGAGCGACTTGGGATGGTTTGGTTGACCCGGGTGGATATGCATACTCGGTAGTACAGAGTAGTGTATTACCTAAGTAGGTATGGCTGAATCGAGCACCACCTCGAAGAGCGCGAGCCGGAGGATTGGTCCAGTCGGATGGATTTCAGGAGTCCGGAGGTTGTGGGGGAGACAAGCATTGACCCTCGATCATCTCGTTAACTGGAGCGTTGGGCCTCCCTTTTGGTGCATTGTCTCGCCTATGGTCTGCGCGGCATTGGACGCCACCAGACTGAGACATGCTTGCATTTTTTTGGTGACCTCCTCTCCCCTTCTAGTGGGACGGACAAGTCAACAACGCGATGAAAGTGTGGATGCGAGGTGCTTGACCATGAGGTGGCTTTCCACTATGGGACAGCCAGTCCAACCAACCATTTCGAAGGAGAGAGACAAGAAAAGCTCATGCGCGTCAAAATATCAAGCACATGCAACAAGGAGGGAAGAAAAGACACGGACATGCAAAGCGGAGAACCGTCAAGAGACATGGTCGAAATTAGCATCGGCGCTAAAGTTTGGCCAAGACCCGCTAGCGTCATAAACGGAAAATTGATTTGTTCTCGCAAGAGTTTAGCTGCGAGCCACTTTTCTGGGCATCACGTAACCCTTAAAACCCCCTTTTCCCCTTCATCATCCAAGATTGCTTCATTGACATGCCTCCCCCGTCTTTTGTCTCTTTTCTAACCTTTCTGGAGTACGGAATGGATCATTCGCATTCCCCAGACCTCGATAAATCTCCCCAGTTCACAAAGCTACTCCGTACGAGGCACTGAGTACGGCGTAATGAATGCCACTTCGGAACGTTCAATGTTAGGAGAAAGCAATCATCGGCCTTCGTCTATTCCCCTGCAAGGAAAGGTGCTCGGTGAGTAGAATTTGATCATGAGCTTCCGACAGCCTGGAGAAGCCGTTGGGGGCGAAAGGTAATCACTCCATGCTGCGGTAGCTACCAGCGGTTTGTGCTCGTTCCTATTACATATTAGGTACGAGCCCTGCTCTGATCACCCGCTTTTGATTTCGCCCTCAACTCCGCAGTACTCGTAGAAGGCGTGCAACCACAAGATTCGGCATTCTGCCGTCCTTCACGAGGGTGTTGAGAATGGCAATTACTGGGGCAAGACCCACGTTAACCGAGAGCAGGACCACAGGTGAATGTTCGCTCCTGTTGCACGCACGTCATCAACGATCTGCCCGTATGCTGCAGACCGGGCATGGAGGGTGTCTGGGATCTACATCACCAAGCACTCCCTTCATGACCCCAAGAAGGTATTTGCCGTCGTCTTATCTATTTCCTAGCAGGGACATTGAGAGCATCAAAAGATGGAAGACGAGAGACAAGCGATACGAAGCAAGCTCCTTTCGACAACGCGAGGAATTGTCTGTTCAACACTGTCCGTGCTTTTGTCGGTCCGGTGGGGTGGAAGTTTACCTTGAACCTAGTTGAAACCTCTGAAAATGATAGATAGATTTATTGATTGCTATCTGGAAAGAAAGAAGAGATGCATCCGCGTGACCTGTATGGCCTGAGATGCCTGTACAAAGGCAGTGGCCTTCATTATCACTGCCTCTGTGTGTGGTGGCGAGGACTGACTCTCCGGGCAGTGGCAGGCTACAGTGAAGGTTCCAACTACTCTGATTACTCATGACATCAACCGGAAAACACTCATTCCCATCTTCTTCCGGTCTGAACTCTCCTCGCCTGCTCATGGCACCGACACGGGAGAGGTGGAGCAAGAGCCTTCAAGTCGTTGATGCTGGCAGCATCGGCGCAAAACGCCGAAGCAAGGTCTTGCTGCTGATGGCTCTCGTGATAGTTCGACCTGGAATGGGACACTACTATTGTAACGGAGCACTTCTGGGATTGGCATGCACGTGCAACAACGCACAGGGGCCTGTTAAGCAGGCCGGACGTCGAAGAATGCCTTTCTGGTCGGCGCTGGTAAGGTAACACTACCACCAAAACCACCCACGGAGAGGCAGCGGCTAGGGCAACGAGCGCCTAGCACGGCGGCGGCGTTGAGGAGTGGAAAAGGACAAAAGGAATGCTCAGGAATAGGTAGACGGTATCCAGACACCATAGAATACTCGGTTCAAACTGCAAAGAATGGCACAAGGCCAGCACTGTAAACTGTCAAGCACTCTGACAGCGATGGCATGCTCGCACAGCCATTCTGTGACTGTTGTAACTGTTGTTATACCCCTCTTGTTGATACTTGAATGCTCAATAGCCCCATCCTGCCTTAAAGCCTCTCGTCCACAGCCAAAATTGATGCTAGTTCTTTTTGTCCTGACATTTGACCAGCCAAATCGCCTTCCTGCCACCCCCGTGCCGCCACAACACAGCCACTTTCGCCTTGTTACACTATGGCGAGAAGGATTACCATGTTGGCATAGAAAAACCGACATGCTCTTCGTCTGTCGTTGCCCCCAGAGAGGTATTATTGAGATGAGGATCTTCCGTCGGTCTTGGCTGAGGGCTATCTTGTTTGTGATGATAATGTCGTCGTGTTGCATAGAGTCTCGATCCATGGGGTGGATGTACTATAGAGGACCCGGGTAGGAATAGTGTACCCAGTAGCGGATGCCGCATGTGGGATGACGATCGTGCAGTGTGCTTTTGGCACAGGAATGAACAACAGTCTCGTGGACATCGTGTGTGGTGCACCGTTCAACCCGGCACTTCAATATCATGATACTCTGTTTAACCTTTCTGGAAACACCCAAGACCAAATATTCCGTATCACCTCAGCACACTGAGTAACGCGCATTGACGCAAGCCAGATGCTGATTGAGTGGAATGCTTACCAAGGTCAGTACTCCGTATGGGGCCGCCGAATTTCTGACAGCGACGAGGCCCAACAATGTCAAACTTACCCAGCAGATGAGCTGTCCAATCTCCATGTCCAATAAAGTCAACACCACGACTCAACTCTCGATTCTATTTTCCTTTCTCGGTTCTTCATTGTGACTGCGTCCGGAGCCCTACGGCTTTTCTCGGTGCACGGCGAAGACAAGAGAGAAAGAAAGAAAGAAAGAAAGAAAGAAACTCAAGCTTCCGGGCCCGCCGCAATTCCGACTGCTGAATACCCGTACACCCTGTACTTGTAGTCTCGTTCGCAATACTAGCCGGATAAACCACGGAAAAACCGCAATAGTTTATGTATCTCCTTCTCAAAGTGGTATAATGTTTGTCGGAAGATCCAGCTTCTGTCACCAATCGGATCGCGACCTTGCTAAAGTTACAAACCTGGTTCTTTTTGGACAGACCACAGCCGCCCAATTTGGGACGCATGGTTGCTGCTTTATGGAAACCAAATCGGTTTGGCTTTTCGTTTGTCACAAAAAATCAAAAAAAAAAAATCAAAAATCAAAAATAAAAGCCGTTGTGAAAAGAGGGTTCTTTCGATGAAAATATACACCACAAAATGTTGATGCCCATTAGACGTATTTCCTTTCCGAGGTCGCAAGCGAATGGCCCGATACCGTTCTAAGGCCTCTTTGAATTTCTGATGGAGACTAATACTCTGCTGGTTATCCTGATGAGCCAACAACTATAGAAAAAAGATTGATTGAGTCTAAGCATAGCGCTGGCGCCAGAAACGGGCTCGCTGGGCTCGAATTCCGTATTAAAAGGGCACGCAGGAGGTCAAAAACTATTGGGACCCATTGGACACACCTTCCATTCTAGTACAGACTCAGGATTCTGCTCACAGTTCTCGAGGCGTGCCTAAGCCCGCTCAGTCGGGGCTCAGGTTAAGTGGCGGGACACTCAGGCCTGGAGACGGAAACGGAACGAGGAGAGGTAAGTTTTGGCCATAGTATCAGAGACTACAAGGCACAGCCTTATTGGGATGCGGAGTGGCGGAGCGACTCATCCTTCAGGAATTGTAACCAACAGTCTGCAAATCAGGTGTCGCTTTAGGTAAGCACGAAGAATCTAAAACTATCGACAATAGCGGCATCCAGGAACCCAACCGTGCAATAACTCGAGCTTCGTTTCTCCTCGAGAGGGGGGATTTCGCCATCAGAGACTTTTCAATCGACGAGATGATCGCAAAAGATGCGCCGCGGGTCTTTTTAGCAGTGATTAGGTAGATAGACTCGTATATTTAGCCACGAAAACGTTGAAAATCGTAACGTTACTCGCTCGCGCCTGGACTGGATCACCAACCTTGACCTGAGCTCGTCTCTCTTCTCCTGGGGTTATGGGACTCGGGGTAGACCCTGGAGGGCCAAGCCCAGATCTTCGGACTTCAATGCTCCATGTGAGAGCAGGTCAATATTTCGAAGGGTATTGTACGAGCCTCAATAATGCTCGATCGAAGCAGGATTCATTGTATATTTGATCGAAAAAAGATCCGTAGACTTGCCCAACAAGTTGCCCAAGGGCACATTGATCCCATTTCGAAGCGTAAGGCACGATGCAAGCGGTAAGATCCTGACAAAAGACAAAGATGTGATCATCTTGAACATGTGTAAGCATTCAGACACAGACCGTGTTGGATATGAGCATGGAAACCTGAGCCTAGACAATCCCAAGACGGAATGGGACCGGTTTATCGCTTTTAAACCAGGGCAAGGACGAAGTACTTGTAGATGATCGTGACGACTTTCACCTAACTGGGGCTTCGGGAGAAGGCAGGCAGCACCCTCTGATTGCATGCGCGCCACAACCCACTTCCTCAAGGAAACTAACACCGGTTGCGTGACCAGTCTCTCCCTGAATACCTATAACTTTCTTCTCCTGATATTCATGGTGTCAGTGCTATCCGTACGTATATTCATTGGCGCCGATCATGTCGTTTTGCTTGTCAAACAGGCAGGTCCGTGCAGCTTCTCGAATGACACATATCGAAAAGCGAACATAGGGAGCAATTTGTTTCATACCGCATCTCCAAGAACAATATGTCCGCAAGAGTCAATCGAACCTGCACCGGTTGCAACCACTTCTGACACCCCTTCAATATAAGCAAGTGAACACGGCCGAGAATAATGTAACCTTTGTGTTCTTCCAGCACCAACCAGTTCGCCAGGAGACTGCTCCTCTTCTCCTCACAGCCGGGAAATTCTGCCAGCTCCGACCACCTCTAAGACCACCAGGGTTGACTGGGACGCCATGGGCAATGGTGGGTCTCGTCTAACAGCAGGCTGTGGTCCATGCTGTTGACCAAGTCTCGTACTCCCACACCTCTCCCTCTTCTGGGGGCAGATGGCTGTATTACTTAACTCCTAGCCTAGGTCCTAGCGTGAAGGACCGGAGGCTTGTGGGACTTATGAAAGGTCGGTGTCGGACCATCACTGCAGGACACACGGCGCATTTGATCGTTTATTGACTCTCTGCTTGCCACCTTGTTGATAAAATGCTCTGAAGGACTTTGCAATTTGAGAGAATCTTCTTCGTCGAGATGACATTCTGCGGTGTCTCTCACCAGGCCAGCGTGAGTGGACCCTTTCGTCCATTTGGCAGGTTTGTTTCGTGTATAAGACGGTTGGATCATGACACTCAAACCCTGTACCAGTCACCTTATTGGAAGACATGTTTACCTAACCTGTCAAGTAATAGGCATCACCTTTGCGAAACTGAAAGCATTTTCGGCGGAGAACCCGATGCCGCAAGCGACAGAAGATGAATCTTCCTCCAGCCACCAACCCGGAGAGTCTGCGGACGGGTTATATTGCTCCTGTGATTGGATATCAATGCTTGTCCTCGTCCTCTAAAACGTCAGCGTTCCTGCTCGTTGACTTGGCCATCGTACTCACGATACATTTGTGACGGTCAAGACGATCCCTCGATAGCGGCAATTCCGTGCCCTTGCCCAACTACCGAACAAGCCCACTGGGACTGGAGCGACTGTCAGGAGCGATGGATGGGGCCCTGGAGATACTGGGTGGCAATATTCCAAATGAGCCGGGCAAGCTGGGGTATGCTTTCACAAATTGCGGTGGATGCAACAGAGATCAGCCCATACATGCCAACATTGAGGGCACTACTAATGCTGAGACATCCACTGGGACACAACCACAATACCCACTGAGATGCATCACTTAAGCCTGTGATGATGTTAGCCATTCGCTCCTGCATTTGGCATTTGTTTCACATGCCCCGACGTCGACGTTGTGCGGTTCCTTGATAGTATGCCTCGGGCGATGATGAACTAACCGGAGCCGATGCAAATTTAGGTACCTGCTGATCAAGGACCCTCCACACTCATTGATGAGCTGGGATCATGTAAGAAAGCAGGAGGGAATACGTCGGTCTAGGATCTATCGTCCAGTCCCCCCCTCCACCTTCGGAGCATAGCTACCTTTTCGACACACTATTATGTGTGCGGCGATTGCGCCGTCGAGGGTCATGAACGGCAGAGCGCAGTCCAAGGCTGCGGAGATATCCTGACCAAAGATGCGCTGAAGATTCTGTGTTCTGAATGCTGGTGTCGTCGAATAGGTCTGATGTTTGGGACGACTGGAGCCCGAGTGGCAAGGAGGATTGGAGAGCTCCATCTGCGTGGGCTTCCCGCAAGTATCGACCCTTGGGTGCTGGATTTCAGCCGTAGAGGCACATTTGCTTCATCCTGCGGTGGTGGCTTCGTTGACTACTCAGTACGTGGCAAGGCTGGACTCCAAGTAGCAGAGGAAGAGAATGTCCTTGGGCCGTGTCGATTCACGACGATAGGACCCTCAGGACCCTACCACGCCTGCATCACGCCGATCGCTCAATGCTACATTTGCCTCTCGTTGCTGAGAATATTTCATCTGCCCTGTCTCGATCCTCGCAGGGACGACAGTTCTTGTGGCCGCTGCAGGTTGGGCAGCGCACAGCCTCTTAGTTCACCTGTCGAGTTTGTATATCCGCAGAAGTCAGCGCGGATGAGCGGAGCACCTCCAGGCAGATTGGGATCGGAAGGATCATTTCTCAACTGGTGGATTCGCCCGCTAGGTGAACCTAGGAGAATAATTCTTCCCTGTTCTTCGCACTATCCGCCCCCGATCGGGCGAAGTTGGCGGCAAATCCTGGGAGGGATCGGCCAACACGCAACCCGAGTGGCATCCGAGACCAGGGCCCGAAGCTTGCAATATTTACCTACATATCAGGTTGTTTCTCTTTTGTGTCTGGCAGGTGCTGAGTAATGGCGACATGGACCAGTCTCGCCCCCTAATGGCGCTACCGTCGGGTCCGTGCAGTAGTGGATCAGGTCTCGAGGGGTAAGTTCTATCGCTTGCGGCTTTATGTAAAGACGATACTCCGCAGGACTCGGATTTCGAGATTCTTTTTCCATCCAGAAACCACCTCTGTCGACGAGGAGCTTGGAGCTGGCCATGGAGAGCCGACGCCATCCCGCAGGTCTTTCGGGCGAACAAGCGCGCAAGAAACGAATGCGCATCACGTTTAGTTGCACCAACTGCCGCCATAGTAAACAGAAGGTTTTTCCAGGCCCTCTTGGTGCAATTCATCCGCGGGGACTGACAGTTGCGAAAGTGTAACAGAGAGACGCCGTGCATGACTTGTGTCCTCCGAGGAAAGCAAGACAGTTGCTCCTATGGAGACGCGATTCCGGAGTAAGTGTCTCGTTGTGGATGCGAGAATGCACTGTCTTTCCTCGTGTTGATCAGTAAACAGTCGCACCCACAAACCCAGTGAGGGTTCGTATGTGGACGCCTTCTCTAAGGCGCCCGACTTCAGTGTGCAAGATTACCAGTCCGCAAAGGCAGAGACATGGAGCCCCGACCTGGCTTGTTTCGGCTATTCCAACGTCAACGTCCATAATTCACTGGGCATCGTCAAGAAATTAGAGAATCTGGAGTTGGGAAGCACGCCTCAACCGTCGCAGAAGCAGAGGGACGTGTCGTTGTGCCAGGCCGCCTACGACATCTACAAGTCCGTGCTCAAACTATTGCCATGTTCGGCCTGCGTCAGAGATTTGGTCGAGGTTTTCTTCGACGAGGTCAACTGGCAGTATACCATCCTCGACCGGAACTATTTCACGGTCAAACTAGAGGAATACTACCACCAGCCCACCTCACCCCTTTACCAAGCTGAACGGACGTTTCCTTCGGAGAGGCTGATATTCTCGGCCCTGCTCTTTCAGGTGCTGGCCTGCGCCTTACAGTTCCTCCCCGCAGGTCACGCTGAAAACCTGCACACGTTCTGTATCAAAGGGATTGTTGTGGAGGGAGATGGACCGTCCGACGACCCTACGATGCGACTCTTGGGCTTGCTCCCGAAGAATGTCATCAACTTGGACTACATAGCAGCACAGATTCTGCGTACTGCCTGGCTCAAGAACCGTGGCATGATTGCCGAAGCGTGGCATATCATTGCCCAGGCAACCATCAACGCGCAAGAGATTGGTCTCCATCGCGACGACGGGAAACTATACGCCAGTGATGCAGAGAGCGCCTGCGTAGAGCTATGGGACATTGTGCTACGGCGTCGTCTGATGGTGAACCTTTACCTCTGGGACAGGTGAGTTGGCCCATAACGAAGCCCAATGGCCCATGTCCACTCTCCTAACGCGCAAAACCAGTCAAATGGGCATGGTTCTAGGCAAGCCGCTGAACTTCAAGGCCAACGACTATACGATAGTGCCGCCGACAGACTGCGAGATCCCCAGAAATCGGAGGTCTACTGCACCCTTTGAAAGGAGCGACTACGAGAAACCGAATACCTTCACGGTGCGATTGCTGGAGTACCACATGCACAAGCAGCTCCCACAGGTCCGAGAGTTAGAGCTAGAAGGCCCATATCCGCGTGACTATGGCAAGGTAGAGCGTCTTCACCAGGGGGCTCTTGATTATATCGCTACCATCCCAGCGATCTACCGGTTTGAGAACCCGGACACATCATTCGACGAAGATTGTCCCATGCTGGCATCACAACGGGAGTTCTTCTGCGCCACCATATGGCTGTTCATCCTCCTGCTTCACAGACCTTATATCTTTTCGATTGCCAAGAGTCGGACCGAGATCATGACAGCGGCCATCCACATGTTGGACGCCCAGCAGAGATTTTTCGACAGCCTCTCTCCGCATCACTACAAGATGTTCACGCTTGCGTATTTGACCGTGGAACCTTGTGTCTCCATGCTGGCTGTGTTGATCGCCTTCCCGCACGAAAATGCAGAGTTGGTCCCCGAGGCCTTTAGAAGCATACGAGAGTCCCTTTTCAGACTGAACACAATCCGCAACACCAACAAAGTGGCTGGCCAGGGTGCGGACGTGATTCGGAATTTGCTACTTCGAGCGGAGAAGAATCAACCATCACCGGTCCCGACATCCAAGTCCAACAGCCCTCGGTCTGATGCACACTCTTCGGAACTGTTTGCGACGCCCGGCTCTCACGGGGCGGCTCCCTTTTACCCGGTGACACAGCCCCCGCAACAACAGCCAGCATTATTCTGCGGGAATACTTCATTTGGCGACATGCCGGATTGGAGCACGCCCTTTCAGCAAACGCCTTCAACCGCCCCTCCAGCCAGCTCTGGGTATGCATTTGACGGAACTCCTTTTCGACCGGTCGCAGACCTGACCTACAATGAGCTGGCCATTGCTCAGCCGTTTTCAATGTCCGAAGGCAATTTCAACGAGGGACCGGACCACGGCAGGGTTGGCACTGAGGGGCCACAGCAGTTTCGCGGCGACTTTGGTGAGGGCTCTTTCTGGAGTTTCGTCAATAGAGGCTCTACCTAACCGAGTAGCTACGGCGCCATGATCTAGAAGAAGCCTTGCTGCAGGCGACCCCGGGAGGGGGGAGGCCCGGGAGCCAGAGACGACGTATGGACGGACGCGATCAGCTGAGGCGACCCGATGTCGACACCACGGCTTGCCGCGAGCGGTTCCGCCAACACCCACCCACTACCCTGCAATGCTACGTCGGGCGGTCGCTTACTGTTGGTTGCCATTCTCTTTTTGTCCCCCCAGTTTTGAGACGCGAATATCTACCGAAGGCTGGGCTTCCGAAAGAGAAGCTGATGAGAGCCAGGAAAGCCGCTGCTTGGGTTTTCGAGGACGATTCGCAACTTGCGCCCCGAGCTCCCGACCCTTTGCGCTTTACCTTGCAGGTTTCACTGACGGCAACAACAATTGTTCGCCTCAAATCTGCCGTCCTGATTCTTGGGCGACTTTGCATACGATGTTCTATTCATGCCCTACGACACCAGACCGTGGGTCTGGTAAGCTCACCTCTATTGGAGGCAATGGTGCCCGTGACAAGAGGGAGGATTTCTTTTCTTACCGATAGATATGTTCCGATAGTCCGAAATACACATACAGGGAGCCTTGCCAGGTGGCATTGATGACCCGAGGCAAATGGAAGTCTGCGGTGACGAGGAGTCTGGATGGCATTTCAATGGAGCGAGTCTAAATTCTCCATGACGGTGGAAGGTGTTTCTTGCCATGCCCGGCCTGCAATGATGATCTGGAATGACATGAACAAGTATCTTGAATTGGATCAGACCGTTGTCGACAGCATAGAAAATCTGGGCGATCCCTGCAGGAGTCCTTGGCCCACGATGCTGGATTGGGACAACCGAAAAGAAAAGAATAGACTCGAAGAAGACCATGGAACAAAAAGGAGGACCCTGCTCAAGTCAGGAAGACGTTACATAGACAACCCTAGGTTTTCCATACCGCTTACGTACCACTCATTCAGAGCCAAGCTTCCCGCCCCATCTCCGGTGTATGTAAGTGGAGCTTTGCTGGAGACCTAGGCAGTAGGCACCGAGGTTGAAGGCCTGCCCTGCACGGCTCCGTACTTCCGGTCGATCTGGGTGGTGGTGGTGGTGGTGGTGGCAACAAGGCTGAGTTGCCCCTGAAAACGGCTGGAGAGAGAAGAGAGTGGGGGGGTTTCGTCTAATGTACTCGGTATATACAAGTACATACAAACATGTACTCTGTATTACCTTCGTAGGTGCTCCGTACTCGGTACACTAGTTAGCCTACAAGTAGTCAGCCACACACCCCGCCACGTTGCGACGCACGCTCCACCTTTCTCCCCTGCGTGGATCGCGATGGGACTACAGCGTGTACCTATTATGGCCCATTCGCCTCATCCCTGCACGCGCCCGGATCCAAGGTAAAGCGGCGTGTGTTGCCTCCCGAGCGCACTGGGTCGGGATGGCGCTTGCGAGGTTGTAGCGTTGCATTGTCTGAGAATGGGGGTGTCTACAAGTACATAACGACGACGCTCCAGAGGGTAGTGGGTGCCTATGTCGGTACTGGCCTCGCTGGGGTACACAGGTCGGTCAAATCCGGCTCGGGTCCTTTTTCCTCTGCAGCTTCAGCTGATGATGTGCTTGCTCCCTCTTTCTCAGGCTGTCTCGACCCTCGGCAACCGAGTCGGTTCTTGGGGGGCCTCGCCGCTAGTGCACGAAGTACTTGGTACCTCGTCCTGTGGCCGGAGCTGGCGAAAGCCACACCAAGGCCCATTATGTCTACAGTACTGCACAGCGACATGAAATTCTTCATCTTATCATATAATGATTGTCCGATAAGATGCTCAGCCAAGGCGCCAAATGGGTCCCTTGTTTGCTTTGTTTCCTTTTTCCTTCCTCTGTCTGTGTGTGTCTCTCTCTCCTCTTCCTCTTCCTCCTCCTCCTCATCACCACCACCACCATCACATCATTCTTCTCCAGTCTCTCTGCCTTCCTCCAAACCTTCTCATCTCACCTCGCCGGTGTCGGCGCTCGAAAGCTTGAAGGGCTCTAAGCTCATGTCACCATCGACGAAGCCAGAATAGGCTCGAGGAATTTCACGGTTTTCTCCAGACCCTCTTCATCCGTCATCCGACTTGGGTTGGAATGGGGAGAATTTGGAGCCGTTGAATGATGAAGCTTGTGATTTTGTGGGCATGACGGTCGAAACGCTCTGTTCGCTCTCTTTCCCGCAAGCCATGGCTTGAGCGAATGCTTGTGTCTAGTCCCCTACGGTAAGGCTTCGTTCCCTCGCCCTTGACCTCAACTGTCTGTGTCCTTGCTTTTTATTACTCTTTCGTGTTGATATTAGTCAAGCCAAATGCATGATGAAGCGGTCAAGAACGCGGCTCGAGCACCAAGCACGTTTGAATTTCCGAGGGCGATCGAGTGACCTGCCCAGTGCACATATACTTTGCCTGCTGCCCGCATGGATGCTCGTCTTTTCCCTTTAGCTTCTCCTCGTCTCTCGTTCTGATCTAATAGCTCACGCCTATTGATTGCCGCATTACTCTCCATCTGTCTCAATGGTGACCAGAGGATTTATTCTCGCTGCTTTGGCTGGCGCTGCTTTGGCCCTGACTTCGGCAGATCTAGTGACAGTTCTCAACCCCACTAACGGAACTTCCACCATCAGTCAGGTGGTGTCAGAAGTCCCAGGCTTTCTGGAGGCTATATCTGGGAAGACAAACCTGACCTTCCTCGCCCCGAACGATACAGCTATTGCCGAGCTCTTGAGTACTCCGGCCGGACAGGCGATTGAGGATGCCGGCGACGACTACCTCCTCAATCTACTACTTTACCATGTCATTAATGGAGGATAATACAACATCACAGATTACTACATCGCGCCCACCCTGTTGACCTCGAGCAATTACACCAATGTGACCGGTGGACAAGATGTTGGTATTTACTACGACGACGACGAGAATGTCGTTGGCTTCTATGGTGGATTGGACTACAATCCCGAAGGACCAGCGACGCCAATCCCGTTCGGGAAAGGATGGATCTATATTATCAACGGCGTCTTGCAGATTCCCCCAAGCGTCTCGGAGACGGTGGCTTCAGGCGACTTCAACGGCAGTTCCTTCGTGGCAGCCCTGAACAAAACCGGTCTGACTGAACAAATTGATCGGCTCCACGATGCGACTTATCTCATTCCTGACAACGATGGTTTCACGGCTGTCGAGGAAGCGCTCTCGGAGTTGAGCACCGAGCAACTGGCTGAAGTGCTCAAATACCATGTCGTGGCCGGCAGAGTTTGGCACTTTGACGACTTCGAAAACGGGACGCAGTTGACCACGTTGCAAGGCCAGTCTTTGACAGTATCCGTCACCCCAGCAGGAGATTACTTCATCAACAATGCTGGGATTAACTATGTCGACCTCGCCGTGTCTGAAGGCGTCGTCATTTTCGTTGACAACGTCCTGAACCCTCATGCCTCATGGACCCTGCCAGTCAATGGTACTGAAGACGGGGTACCTGCCTGGCCGGTCTCGAACACCGCCTCAAGTACGGCATCGGCCAGCAGCACGCTTGCCACTGCCACCTACACGGGTCTGGCTGCTGCACCATTGAAGACTGGGCGGTGGGTGCCGCTGCACTGTTCGGCGGCGCTGCACTGGCCCTCGTTCTGTAGAAGAATGGAGTTGACAAGGCCTCGTAGCTCGACGAAATGAGACATCATTGTTGCGAGAATATCAGAGGATGAGAGGGAAGCGTGAGGAGCAGAGGGAATGACAGAAGGTGCCAGGGCCACTCCTTGTATAGATATACACGGCATCGTAACTAGGGAGTTGATGCGGCTATGTCTTCCCACACCGGCGTGGATTTAGATAGATTGGGAGAAACGGGCTCTGGAGCCTGCCGAGCCTGAAGACATTGTCCGCCACAATTTCCAATTTTGCGTCTGCTCTGTTCGTCCCAGTTTCAACCTGGCAAATCCATCCCATCTCAACCTTCCACGTTCCACAGCGAACTCATATCGGAGAGTCGCCCAATTCTAGCATTCTCGTCCTTTGGCTTGGGAGCAAAATCTGTTTGACACCACTAGTTGAGAGGAGGAGCGACGATGCTCTGTGCCTGGTCTGGGGAGCGAGAACGACCCTGGAGACCCCCAGTGATTCACGTCCATGAATGCTCGACGATCGCGCGGCTTCCCTTGCGAGGCAACTGGCGGCGGTTGCAGCCAAGAAGCGGACAGCCAAAGCTTAGTCTCGTTGATATGGCCTGATGGCTCTGCACGAATGAGCTCATCCATCCACGCTCGACGCACGCTGGCCTGATCGGACACAACCGGAAGCCATTCATCCTTCCCACTTCGGCTCCAGCTTCACGATCGTGGCACCCCCACACTGTGCTGTGGGAGGGGAGCACGTCTTTTGCCTGCACCGTCTTGTCCTCCGTGCAAATAAATGTGCCCACCGTGAAGGGACATTGACTCCGTTCTAGGAAGAGAGAGCGCCTCCCTGGTAACTGACAAGTCTCGAACAGCCCTTCCCTCCCGCCCTTGTGGCGACAGTTGGACCCGAGCTTAGGGCCTGATAGTCATTGACTGGCCATGATGATGGCGGCAGGATCAGCCGAGACAGTCGGTCCACTGCGAACATAAATGAGTTGCATCTGTCGACTGGATTGATCCGCTCTTTGTCTTCGACAGCTCGCTTTGTCAGAACGGCAACGGCTTCCAGCCTCGAACGTGATCTGTCTATCAGAAGAAAGGGAAACAAACCCTCTGCGGCCAGGTCCTACGCATGCACAATGGTACGTCCTCTTTCTCCAGGTTAATTTGCATGCAACAATACATTGGGCAAAACTTACAGGGCCCATGGTGGCCGGTATCGGTCATGCTGCAACTTCTGCTCTGTGACACTGGGACCCGCGTGCATTGTCGCAACCCAGACCGCGGAAGCGAAGCTGGTCTACCTCGCGCTTGATGCCGGATCGGCAAAGCTTGGGGCTCTAGGCTCCTCAGACCATTTCCTTGGAAGTCAGTCTTGAGAGAAAAGCTTGAGTGGCATATGGCCAGGAAGAAAGAGGAGCCATTGAGATTCTCGCCCGGTGGACATGATGTTTGAACAAATCCCGCCAAACCTGAAGCGAGTTTCCATCTGATAAGATTATCAGAAATTTCTCTGATACATATGTACTGTACATCATCTGGCGAACTTGGTTGATCCGACAGGTGCGAATCATGCTCGACTATCTCCACCGCCACCACTTACAACTTGACCTCGACGGTATGCATTGGTATATCGACCTCTCTGAGTTTCTTCGTCCCGAGACCTAGAGCGACCCCAGGAGCTCGGCTGCGTCTATTTGATCTGCGGGTTGTTGTCTTGTCAGGTGTTCTCAATGCGCCTTTCCACCCACTCAACTCGCTGCAAAGGTAGGAGTCCTGCACAGGACTATAAATCCTGCATGTCTGCCAGGATGTTTCTCTGCTGCTTTGAAGGCGCCCTCAGTGCTCTCAAAGTCTTTTATCTGGTCTACATTTAACATGAGGACGTTAAGTCTGCTGCTTCTCCTGTCCGGCCTCTCGTTGGGGGCCGTTGACGAGTATACCGGCTGCTTGGATGGTATTGAAACAGCTGTTTCAGACCTCACCTTCAACGGGACTGCTTCTGCTAGCTACTATGACAAGCTATGCACCAACAGGCTCGTGATGACATCCATGTGGGTGGCCGCCAAGGTCTATTGCACTCCCAAGCAGATCGAGGCTGGTGAGAACCAGTTTGCCGGATACTGTGTGGAATATGGCGGCGTCAAGCTCATCCCTTACTCCGAGGTGCTCCCACTTCTCACCGACGACTACATAAAGTCTCTCCCGATTGCCCAGTAGAGCGACATTGAAGACCTCACCGTCTTTAACACGTCCGTCCTGATTTCCAGGTCTTTATACAAGGCGGCGAAAGATACTTACGTACGTTGTCGTGGCTCTTGCGCCGCCTGCGTCTTGTGTTGACGATGACCAGGTTATTTTTGATCTTGAATACGTCCTCCTTCAAAGATACGGGTGCGTCCAGCTCTCCTGAAAAATATGACAAAAGTGTTCCGGACTTCTGTTAAACTGGTCTAGGTGGGCTATGTATGGGTTCTGGGGTGGACTGCTGTTGATTGGCATGGCCAACCGCCTCGTCACCCACCTCTCTCAGTGTCGGCGCATGAAGGCCCTGGTCGACGTTGAAGGGAGCATGGCATCCACAAGTTCGGAGAGAAGCCACTCAAGAATCGTCGCATTTGTCGAATCAGCTCATCATTGGTTTAGGTCGAATGTGATCATTCCTGCAGCATTTGGCTCCCATCACAATCGTCCCTTATTCTGGAATACCATCCCGACACGCATGGAGACGATCGTTGTGGTCGCGTTCTGGTTCATGACTTTCATCTTGTGCTGCGTGGGGTACCATATCTTCTGGCCTAACCTCTAGTATGTTCTCGATGCCATCCTATTACCCTTGAGATGGACCACTGCTAACCTATTTTCAGCTATACAGAACCCCAGCAAGCCTGGCGTTATATTTCGGATCGCACTGGCATCCTCTGCTACGCCATGCTGCCCTGGCTGTGGATGTTTTCCGGAAGGAACAACGTATTCTTGTGGCTAACTGGTTGGAGGTTTGCAACCTTCAATATCTTCCACAGGCACATCGCTCGATGCGCCACCGTGCTGGCGATTGTTCATTCAATTGGATGGTCTGTCTTGGAGGCTGGCTGTATGCTCTATGTATCTGACTTCGTCTGAAAGAGTGATGCTGACTGTCTTTTCAGTTGGCTATTTCGCCGAATCATGGAAAGAGCAGTTCTGGTACATGGGAGGGACGGTAAGCCCCTCATGCCATAACGAAACATTCATAGGATTGCTGACATGAAACGCAGGCGACAATTGCAATGAACTTGATCGTACTCTTCTCGTTCATGTGGTTCCGCGTGAAGTCGTATGAAGTCTTCCTGCTTATCCACATTGCACTCTCTGTGGTGGTCATTGTTGGCTTGTTTTAGTAGGTGGACACCTCTGTCACTCGTTGGCGTCGGTCTAACCTCCGCATACCAGTCACACTGCAATATTCGACGGAGAGTACAACGTCTATCTGTGGCCGCTAGTGGCCATTTGGAGCTTCGATCGCGCGGCTCGTTTAGCTCGGTGGGCATACTGCAACCTTCACATCAGGTGGTCACACTCTGTTGTTGGTTCCAAGGCCTCCGCCACTTACGACAAAGACGGCGACTTCATCAGACTCGAGATCGTGCCTGGGTCTAACACGCTTAAACCGGGACCTGGCCAGTACTATTTCTTGTACCAGCCGCTGAAGTGGAAGGGGTGGGAGAACCACCCGTTCACGTTGGGTGCCTATGAGACCGTTGGGAGTGGTGACCAGACGACAAGTGCGGCGAAAGAAGGCGGTGTTGAGAGTCGTAACGATCCGCAGACATTCGTGGGCAAGGATATCGAGGTTGTCGCCGCAGGCTCATCCTCTCCCTCGTCCTCAGATATAACCCCGGACCCATCGCAGCATAAACTCGCGATCTTCCAGGACGCGGTCGGCCGGCAGAGACTCACCTTCCTCATCCGCCCGTTTGGCAGCTGGACCAGACGTCTACGTGATCAATGCCTCAAGTCACCCACTGGAGTCGTCACGCCGCGCATGTTTATTGAAGGGCCCTACGGCGAACGCAGCCCCTTGCACGCATACGAGAACGTCGTCTTCATCGTCGGCGGCACAGGAATCAGCGGCGCGATACCATATCTGCAAGACCACATTAAGCGGACAAGCAACGATGCAAAGGCGTCGCGCACGGACGGGAAACAGACGACGCGCACGAGAAACGTAACGCTGGTGTGGGCGGCCAAGCAGGCCGGCATGATCCGCAACGTCGCGGCGCACGAACTGAAGCCCATGCTTGGGCGCGAGGATATCCATGTCCACCTACATGCTACCGCCCGCGAGGGAGCGCCGCAGGGCAGCAGCAGCCTGGGGTCCCAGGATGAGGGCGAAATGGTCGCCGACGCCGGAAAGGATGATCTCAAGAGCAGCACCCCGGCCACCAGCATCGTCAGCAACGGCGTCGCCATCACGTCCGGCCGGCCCAACATCCTCGCGACGGTCCTCAACGTCGTCGATGACGTGCACAGTACCGCTGGAGGGGGGATTGCCATCCTCACCTGCGGCCCGGGCGGCATGGCCGACGAGGCGAGGGTCGCGATGCACACGGCGCTGAAGCAAGGGAAGCGCGGAGTCGAGTACATTGAAGAGAGTTTCGGGTAAGTTCTGTCTGTCACGTCCACGTCTGCCTCCCACCTAATCTGATCTGATCTGATCCCACTGCATTTCGTTTTCAACCCTGCTCAGTATGTACTCGTGATCTTAGATGGTGACATGGTTATCTTCGTCATCCGTCATTCGATACTCGCGCACGCGAGAGAAGGAGGGAGAGAGAGGGTCTATACGTGAAGACGACGTTAATGTTGGTATGCATGTGCATGTATATTTATATTAGACATATGCCTGAACGTACTTAAACGACGTAGGAGCTTCGAGTGGAAATGGACAAATTCACGAATGGAATCTGCTCTGCTCTGCTCTACGTAGTCCCCTATTCTACGCTCCTCCGTTCTGGATATTATTGATACTGAACAGATCCACCTGATTTGCAGAGACCTATATAGACAGAGAAAGAGGGAGTCTCCCTGGGAAGGCTCTAGGCTCTCGCGCATCGAGAATCTCGGCGCTATTTGGAGCCGAACACTCAAACCTTAGGCGCGGGCGCCCTAGAGTGCTAGGCACTTCACTGCCTATCATTTTTGTCGAATAGGCGGGCGGTCGCTAGGGGATTGGCTCGGCCATGTCGCAGGGCGTGGACACTTCCGAGCCGCCCAACCCACAACCATTGCACACAAAACCCACAAACATCTTCCGGCCTGGAGATTGGGGACGCGAGAGATCTCACAGCTCCAGCTTAGGTTTTTCCCACGCCTCGCAAATCTGGCCGGACAATGAATCGCCAAAGACCAAAAAGGCTCGAAGGCCTTCAGGGCATCGGCGTTGACAAGATGGGCAATATTGCGGACAGGGCGAGGGGGAGACAGTCACAAGCTGGTCTGCTGGCTCCGAAGTTGCTGCGATTGGAGAACCTGGATGTCGACATCCCTCCGGATGGCGTTGTGCCAAACCTGACCTCGACTGCTGCTGCAAATGACGACGACAACAGCTACCTGCCGTTTCTCGGCCAGATCGGCCTGAGAAATGCAGTCGCTGAGCACCTGAACTCCATGACCAAAGGTGCGACCCAATACAGGGGTGAGGCAAACTGCGTCATCACGGCCGGTGGCCTGAGCGGCATACTAAACACCCTGCTGGCCACTGTGGAGGAAGGCGATGGCGTCCTCTTGACAGAGCCGGTGTACGCCGGCCTGCTCAATCGTGTCCGCCTCGCCGGTGGCATTCCACGTTTGGTGCCTTTGCAATTCACTCCGGGGGAATCATGGTCCCTGGACCGGCAGAAACTGCGACAGGTAGTGGAATCGCCAGACAACAAGATCACGACGATGCTCCTGATGTCCCCTAGCATGCCGACCGGTGCTTACCTCGATTACCAAGATTGGGCGCTTGTAGCAGAGCTCTGTGTCAGGCACGATATCCTGTTGATATACGATGCAGCAATGGAACGTCTTCTGTTTGACGGCCTTCCGGCCATCCATCCGGCATCCTTCCCTGGCATGACGAATCGAACCATCACCGTGGGCTCGGCGTCGAAAGAATTGCGCATGATCGGCTGGCGCGTAGGCTGGATTGTTGGTCCCGAGCTCGTCATGCAAGATATTGGCTTAGTGTCGATGGCCAACGTTGTCGTCCCTGTAGGTATTGCGCAAAAGGCTGCAAAGGAGGCTCTCCAGGTATCCAAGACAGCCATTGTCGATTACGTTGATGAACTGCAGCTGCGAAGGGATTTGTGCATGAGAGAACTCCGTGGACTGCCCGTTGGCAAACCGGACGGGGGATGGTCGCTGTTGTTGCGGGTCGACATGCTGGGTTGGCGCGCCGATGCCGCGGCTGAAGCGCTTCTGGAACAAGGAGCCTGCGTGACTCCGATGGTCGGTTGGGGTTCTGACGGCGAGGCTCAATATATACGGATTGTTTTCTCGAATGAGCCACGAGATCGATTGGCCGGCCTGGGGGAGATAGTCAGACAGGCATTGCTGAAATAAAGGGCTCTCGCATGACCGAAGTCTCCGGTCAGCTCTCCGCACTCTCAACCGGCCTTGATGGCTTGTTGGGCTTGTTGGTCGAACATTTTCGTCCATCTGCCTCCGTGGTTTTCAATATGTGAGAGACACCGGGAGATATCGGACAGCGTCTTCCAGGCGTCGGTCTTAGCGATGCTGATATTTCTCATGGGCGAGATGTTGGACTTTCGGCCGGCCATCGGGGGTCTCACTGTCCCGGGGGCTTTCAGGGGAGACACTTGAGCAATAGGGCAGACATCGCCCGTTGCCACGAGGCTAGGGGTTATTGGATAAGCAAGCACCCTCCAGGCCCTGATGGGTACAGTACAGAGCACCCCGTACGACTACTCCACATTGTTATGGGCAAGGCCAGACTACCTCGTAGATTCTTGCGAGACATCCATCTTCCTGCAGAATCCATCAGGACTGCAGGGTTGAGGAAGCCCGCATCCGCGCCGACTGATTCCCTGTCATAGGCTTCACGATAACGCCCACAAATGCCGGTCGTACATCGTACATGGCTAACAACCGGATTTGCAAGTGATGACGTCTGTTTCAATCAAGTTCCACTCAAGGGCATCATGGCAAAACAATCCAGTGCTTCGCTCAGCAAGGGCAAGCATCTCGCCCAGATTATCTCCGCTATGGATCCTTCGCAGATCGCGAGGACAACATGCCGTGACTGGATGGCTTTTGAAGATGCTGGCAATAACAATCACCTTGTACAGATTGCAGTCAGCGAAGTCGGTTCTTGAGGAACATGATGAGTTTGCACGGACGGGCAGGCCTTTGGACGTCCCATGGCTTGCTGCAAATTCCCTGTCAATAAATCAGACTCTGCTGCAGGCAGTCGTCGCTAGTCTGCCATTTCAGTGTACCTACCTGCGACGAGTGCTCAAGGCTGCGAACAAACAGGGGCTGAAGAAGACGAAGGTTGGCACGCAAAACAGTCAATCGCCGAGGACATAGACTGGGCCCGCCTCTAGTTAGTCCCTCAGCTCGTAGTCCCTGCACACTCTCATCCGCCTACCGTTGTGGTATATTGCGTGCTGACTAACTATCATGTCGTACTCGATGTCGCTATCGGGTGTAAATGCCTACAGTACAATCCTTCAAATCGCGCACGTGTGGGCGGCTTTGTCATTGGAGGACTTCCCAGCCTGGCATTCAAGATGTCTAGTCGGGCAATAATGCGTACGAATCACTCTCGTCTGCGCTTTAGCTACAAATGATGTATATATGACAGCAACGGATGGTACGGTAGGTTTTTTGAATTGGCACCATCAGCCTCGACCAGAACATCCACTGGATATTGGGGATATATTATAGAAGTCTTTCGCTCCCATCATACAGTGTTACAGGGAGAAAATCCCCCAAATATGGCCGATATCGAGAGACCGCAGGGTCCCGCATCGTCTACCACCAGTGTCGAGACCCTCGGTTCGCCAGTCGAGTCGGATATCGACCTTGAAAAAGCAGATACCATTCGCCAGATCCCTACCTCAGGCACGGCTGCCGCAGCTACACGGTCGCAAACCATTGGCAGAACACGCTCTGTGGCTACCGATGGCTACTCCGCATATACAGTCGACGAGGATGAAAGTGAAGAGGCTGCTGTGGCGCGCACGAAGACCAGTCCGTTTGAAGTTTGCTGGGACGGACCAACCGACAACGAGTGTCCTCGCAACTTCAACGTCGCCCGGAAGTGGATCATTGTACTCATCACTTCTGTTGCTTCATTCTGCGTGTAAGTGACACCTTGCGGATATATTCAAAAGATCCTTTGTTCGGGGGTGCTGACCAGTTGGTTAGAACATTTACTTCGTCCGTGTATACCACCACGTACGAGCAGCTCATGGACGACTTCCACTGCTCCAGAGAAGTCGCCACGCTGGGTCTTTCACTGTTTGTTTTGGGGTTAGCCTTTGGGCCAATGCTTCTGGGTCCGCTGTCCGAGTTCTATGGTCGAAGACCCATCTACATCACGTCGATGTTCTTCTTCCTGATCTGGCTGATCCCCTGCGCGGTCGCCCAAAACATCCAGACCATGATCGTGTGCAGATTCTTTGACGGCTTCGCGGGCAGTGCGTTCCTGGCCGTGGCGGCGGGCACCGTGGCAGATCTGTTCGAGCCCAAGGACATCGAGTTCCCCATGATGATCTTTACTGCCTCGCCGTTTCTGGGTCCCGCGGCTGGCCCCATAGTTGGCGGATTGATCAACGAGTTTACTTTGTGGTATGTTACGAAGTTTTTCAACCCCCCACTCTAATTGTGACTGTGTTAATGGAGTTGCTGACAATGACATTTGCCCATAGGCGATGGACTTTCTACACACTCCTGATCTGGACCGGCGTCTTACTGGTCCTGGTCATTTTCTTCGTCCCTGAGACATACCATAAAGTCCTCCTCAAACGCCGCGCCGAGCAGAAGCGCAAGGAAACAGGAGACAACCAATGGTACGCGCCAATTGAGAAAATCGACCGCACCATCCTGGGGACGCTCATCCACTCATGTTCTGTACCCTTTGAGCTTCTGTTTTACGAACCCATGTGCCTCCTGCTCTGCATCTACGCAGCCATCCTCCTGGGGATCGTGTACCTGTTCTTCGGCGCGTTCCCGCTCGTCTTCGGAACCAACCACGGCTTCTCGCTGTACCAGGTCGGACTGACCTTCATCGGTCTCGGACTGGGCATACTCATGGGCGTCCTGACGGACCCATTCTGGCACAAGAACTACGTCAAATTGGTGCAGAGGCTGGAGGAGCAGACTGGAGAGGTCGGAATCAAGCCCGAGCCAGAGTTCCGCTTGCCGCCCGCCATGTTTGGCGGTATCCTCGTGCCCATTGGGCTCTTCTGGTTCGGGTGGACGACATATTCGAGTGTTCACTGGATTGTGCCAATCATTGGCAGTGCTGTCTTCGGCATTGGGTACGTGGTGACCTTTTATTTTTAATTTGTTTTTTTGTTTCCCGCAAATTAGAAAGCGAAAATGCTGACAAGGGGAAACCAGCTTATTCCTTGCCTTCACTGGCATCTTGACATTCCTTGTCGACGCCGTAAGTCATGTTCCCTCGGCCTCGTCCATCTTTCTATCCTCTTCACCATCTAACTCGCCGAAACAGTACCCCAGCTACGCCGCCAGCGCAGTTGCAGCCAACTGTCTCGTCCGGCTATGTTTTGCCGGAGCCTTCCCCTTGTTCGGGACACAAAGTAAGTTGCCCCCCCACCCCCCCTTTCTATCTCTTTTTTCTCCTTTCCTCCCTCACTGCCCGGATCTCTACCTATTCCCCCTTCCGCGACGCTCGTCGCTAACATGTGAAACTCGCAGTGTACGAAAACCTCGACTACCAATGGGCCTCTTCGCTCCTGGGCTTCCTTGCCCTGGCCTGTGTACCCATGCCGTAAGTTCCATACCCATTCCCCTCCATGGAATTTGCCTTTGGAAGAAATATGAGGACTAACGCCCCCGCCGCAACAGGTTCTTCTTCTACAAATACGGCAAGAAAATCCGATCGCGGAGCAGGTTCAACAATTCCGCATAGATTTCGCGCGTCCGTTGATCAATCGTCTGTCGTAATCGCGATATCATGGTCACTGTCATTCGGCGTATGCCTTTGCTTCTGCATAGCCTGGCGTTTCCCCTCCCCCTTTCCAGGGACGCCGTTCGAACCCACGAGCTTGCGTCGATTTAGCGATTGGAGTGGCTTGCTTCCCTGTACAGCATTTGATCAAAAGTGTTTTCTTTGTTTACTTTTTGTTTGCCGGCCGGGTTTTGGTCACCGATAATGAGGGATGCTGATCTTGGTGACGTTGACGTTGACGTTGACTTTGACGGTTCTGTTTGACGTGACATGCCTGCCCATCATGGATGATGCATGGAGACATAAAAAACGTGGATGCATAGGATATATAGATAGACACACGGATTATACAGAACGCGTCGATAAATGTATAAATGGGACGAATATATGACCTTTATGTCTCGCGAAAGGGAAGAAAAGAGAATGCCGTTTGAAGACGACGCGAGATTACCAAGGCCCAGCGGGGGTAGGAGAGATCGGTTGATCAAGGACGAGGCTGAAGACAAGGCTGACTGATGGTGACGCGGACGGCATCGGGGACGGCGTAGCAAAGAGGCGACGCTGACCGAGTTCACTCTCTTTATCAACTCAAGAGACGATTGCGCTGGCTCGGCTCCTGGAACGGTACGCAGTATATTGGCCATGCTTCGAGATATCCTTGCTTCCCAACTTGGCCCCCGCGGGCATTCCGCCAAAGTCTTGTCTTGAATTTATGCCATCGCAGCTCCACTGATGTGATGTGGAATGCCTATGTACATAGAGTCGGTTGCGCTCACATCTTCACCGGTCGCCCTTTTTGGTACACAATCCCAGAACATCTCTATGGAGTGGATCTCACCGAGTGTTCCTTTGTAGCCGTATGCAAGATAACTGCCGTAATATGTCCGTCAAAATACTGTTTCATGCTTCCGAGCTCTCCCGAAGTTCAAACAAGTCCAGGATCCGCTGAGCTCATCCTACCTCGACATCTCCCCGGATTTTGTGCTTTTGCTTTCCGAAGCTTATGCAAAAATTCACCCCTTTCGGTGTCGTCGAGGGCTAAGCGCTTTTCACTTGCTCTTAGCGTTCTCCACTTCTGCCAAACCGTCCTTCAACGCCTCGAGCGCCTTGTCGATCTCTCCTCTCGACTCATCCATGGCCGAGACACCCATGTGTCCAAAACGAATGTATCTCGCCGCAATCTCCCGATGAAGACCACCGGCAAACACAACACCCCGGGACATCAGTTTGGGGAGAATCTCCGGAGGAGTCAGCCCTTCGGGTAAATATATTGCCGTCATAGTGTTGGCTGCATTGGCTGGGTCGGTGGCCAACTGTTTGAGACCCATGCTTGTGATTTTCGATTTGACATACTCGCTCACCTTGCGGTGTTGAGCGAAGCGGGCATCGAGGGGTTGTGAGAGGATCTGTTTGAGGGATGTGTTGAGGGCTTGGACTAACTGGGTGGGTGGAGTTGCAAAATATGAGGCCTTCTTGGCCTCATAGTTCTGCATGATTGGTGTCCAGTTCTTGAAGCTGGCATAGTAGCTTCCCGGAGGGGATTTGCGGGACTTGAAGACGTTCATGGCCTTCTCCGAGGCCATCACTATCGACATGCCAGGAGGGCAACCGATGGCTTTTTGGGATGCTGTCAAGCACACATCAATGGCCATGTTATCAAAGTGGATCTCTTCCCCTCCCACGGAGCAGACACCGTCAACAATCAGAAGGGTCTCAGGAGACACACGTCGGATGAGGTCGGACAGTGGTTGAATCTGAGAAAGCACTCCGGTGGAGGTGTCGACATGCGTGACAGTCAGGGCCTTGTATTTCTTCTCCTTTAATGCTGCCTCAATTTCAGCAAGTTGCGGCCTATCTCCGATGGGGGCTTTTAGTTGCGTTGGCTTTGCGCCGTAGGTTGCCAGGCAATCCGCAAATGAGTCTCCGAAATAGCCAGTGTGCAGAACCAAGACATCTTCACCAGGCTCCACCAGATTCGCTGCCACGAGATCCCAGCCCAGTGTGCCACTTCCAGCAAGGATGAAAGGCTGAGACGCCGGGTTAGTGGTCTGGAAAAGATTTCTTAACAGCGTGAGCGTCTCGCCAAAGGTGTTGACGAATGGCTGTCCAACGTGGGATTGCGCATAGTGACTCATGGCCTGGGAGACTTCATCGGTAATCTCAATTGGCCCCGGGATGAGGAGGGAAGGATGAGGAGGTTGGGAGGACATATTGGCGGCGGACGAGGTAGACAATTGTCGTTTTTGAATCTGAGAGGGAGTTCTGGGAAGATGCGCAGGTGGTGCTGGAGCGACGTAGGGAATGTCGTCTGCGGACGCTGGTAACGAGTCCAGCTCAATTGTATAGGGAGTGTTAATGGGAGGATAGGAAGACTGCTGGTATTGTTCCAGGTGCCGTGAGATCAAACTCAGACGACTTGTAGCTGGAGAATATGGACGTGAGCCGGAGGGAGCCAGCTTGAAAAATTTCCTTGTCGACTTGTAAACGATGGTGATGGTGGGGGACCGCGAGGGCGATTGGACGTGCGAAGGCCGATGCAGGAGACGTGCGGGGGAACAGCGAGCAGCAGACAAAGAGCGTGAGAAAGGACTGTGAGGCGATAACGGAGACAAGAGCGAAGACGAAAATGATTGTGGACGATAGAGAGATGGAGTCCAGGCCGCCATTGTCCCAGTAACAAATCGACACGCGTGTGAAGGCAAAAAGGCGTGTGGTGGGTAATAAAAATGTCCAAAGCAGACTCTGGTGCTGGTGCTGGTGCTGGGGCTGGGGCTGGGGCTGGGGCTGTTGGGCTGGGGAGTGAGGCTTTAGGGAGTTGCTTTGGTGCCTAAGTGAGAGCGCCAGGGGCACGAGAAATACTTGATAGGGACTATACGGGAGACCATGGGCTATTAGGGGAGGGCTGGTGAGGCCAGGCCGGACATCTTTGCGGCGGCAGGAACTGCTCCTCGGCCATCTCTTGGCCCTCGCAGGACCCAAAGTGATTGGGCCGCTAAATCCGGTGGCAGATCTCACGTGGACAAGCGAGTTCGCGTGACGCACGTGACCGGCTAAAATGGCCAACGGACTACTCAACCGCCCAAACCACATGTTGATCCTTCATCTCACCTACATACCACCACACCTATCATTCAAGATTCTTCCTCGAAGAGGATGGATCAGACATTTTGTCTTCCTAGACTGGTCAATTTGATATTGCACTGGGTCACTTAGTGTATGGGAGGTTAACCAGTTAACATTTCCAGCCTGTCTTATCCTTCAATATGGGAGGACATCATCATCAACTGCTGCCCAGTCAGTGCGGATGCACAGCATAGAAAATCAATTCTCTATCTCACCTTGAAAATCTCGCAGCTGCCCTGAAAGCGCCGATTGAGCAGACCTCTCATCCTGTTGCTTCCACCACTTTTGTAGCACAGTCTGACAAGACCTCACATTTCCCATTCCGTAATTCATCCACATGGTTTTCAGCAAGCTGCAGACCTTGTCCCTGTCTGATTTATCGGTACATAGGATACCCGCCACGAACAAAGGAGGAAGCGCGGCCACCCCGGGGCAGGGGCCGGCTTGGTACGTGACCGCAGTGAGACAATCTAGGATTGATCGTCTGCTATCGTCGATCAGTTGCAAAGGAACGGACAAGGATCCACGACGAAAGATCTGAAGAAGGGCCATATGGTGATGGGCTTCATCGACGAGGTAGAGGTCATGATAGACGGCCCAAGGAAGGTCTCCATCACTCTGTGTCCGTGACATCTTTCTCTGTGCCATTAATGCTCTGATGCGGTCGAATAATAAGTGGGACTTGTGCTCCAGAGGCGAATTGCAGTCAAAATGCGGTGGTCCAGGCGGACAGTCGCAGCAAAAATCAGAGTTGAAATCCTCTCGCATTCGCTCCAGGTTGTTAATCTCTTCAAAAATCGGCAGCAGGTTCGTAGAATATCCGGCTAAGTCGTCAATATAAGCATGGCCATCATCACAATGAGTGGTTAGTATGCACCCCTCGAATCTTTTCGAACAACAAGCCAAAGCTACTGCTTGCAGAGCACGGTATTTTCTCCTGAGAAAGCCGGAAATGGCCGATACACTGGCGCCGCTTGAGCGGCTGTGTTGGGCAGAGAGGGTGCCAGCGCCATAGAGATGTGACCTCCACGATGAGATGCTTGTAGGAGGGGATATGACTTCGGCCATACATAGGAGCAGGGTGGTGGCAAGGACTTTGTCGTTTTCGGGTGGACTGAATTGGCCTAGGGCAGATCTCAACTGTGTAAGGCTGCTCCCCTTCATCAGTTCAAATTGACAATCTCCTTCAGAAAGGCCGGATGTTCGGCGGTGCGCAGCTGCTAGAGCAAGAGTTGCAGACAGCAGATGGGGGACCTGCATGGCCATGGGGACAATGACTGAGCAAATTTCATCTTGAATTCCTTTGTGGCAGGAAATCGATACGGTCATTCTGTGGACAAAGTAGTCGAAGAGCGGCTTGAACTCTTCTTTTAATGCTGGCGTCGCCGTTAGCGGCTGGGGAGCCAGAGAGGCCTCGGGATAAAAGGTCGAGTCCTCGATCTCATCTTGGAGTGGCTTAGGCGTTACACGACAGAGCGCCGATGTACCTCGATCACGGCTTGGACTGTTACTTCTTCTTTTAGGCGAACATGTGTAAATGAAGCTTTTATGCGTCGACGGATGTTCTTTGCAAAGTGAGTCAGACATTACCCAATGCACTCGAGTGCAACACTTACGGCCGGGGACTGCAATGCTTACGGCTCTTGCTCCCGATTCCAGACAAGCGCCGAAACGTGACTTCTTGAACTGACGCCCGCCCCAGGAGATTTTCCGAGAGTATACACAGAGACGGCCTACGCTCTGGCAGTAGCCACAAGTCGGTTTCGCCTCGTTGCATTTCCAATGCCGCCGGCGACACTCCTCGCAGCCCGTACGGGACCGCCTTTGACGCTGAACTGCATTGGATCTGGAGTCTGCCATAGCTAGCCGGGAAAGGTGCGGCTGTGAGGCGGGATGCGCAGAGACCTTAGGCAGTGTGGTCAATGTAGCCTATGTCGCGACGATAAGGTGGAGACGGTTCATGTTTGCGCACGCTGAAGTTTCTCGATGGAGTTGTTCGGCGGTTATGGCACCAAATGACGGCTGTGTCAGCCGACTGGATGGAGAGGGGATTGATCGGGCAGTGCAGCACACCCAAGTTTCATCTTCGAAGTTGCATCACTCTCCCAGATGAGTTGGAGCAGCATGTGAAGAGGATGGTAAGCGGCCGTCGGAAACGATGAAGTTATCAGACAGTAAAAAGATAGGATATGGTTTCCCCTCTAGGTTTAGCGTGCCGCGTCCTTCTTCGAGATACCGAATAGTGGGGCACATATGTCTCCGACCACAGGCAACGCCCAGAAATCGCAGTCCGAGAAGAACAGCAATTCCATCAAGGATGTGCAGAGGATTTGCCAGATATGTCAAGCAACAGGCGATGGGGAAGGTGACCACCCTGGCTATCTCTCGCGACAAGAGCTTATGCGCCGCAGTTAAAGCGGACATGCCTATGAATTTGTACTTGGTTAAGTATCTTCTGCTTCGCAGCTCTCTCGGCCTTTGCTCGCCCTTTCCCAATAACACTCACAAAGTATCATCAACATGGACGAAAGCATCGTCGATGAACGCTCACTGCTGCTTTCCCGGACTCCCTCCGCTTCTACCAAAGAGGAGGATGTCGCTTTTAATATCCTTCACGATCTCGGTGGTCTCACCAGGCAGACGATTCCCATTTGTCTATCATTCGCGTTGCAAAATGCGGTACAAGCAATCAGCGCCCTAATAGCCGGAAGTGTTGGTTCTTTTGAGCTGGAAGTCACGTCCTTTGGATTCATGTTCTTCTCCTGCACTGGAACCATGATTGGTATCGGCGGCGCAACAGCACTTGATACATTATGTGCCCAGGTGTCAACCTCTCATTCGGCGGCAGATAATCCCAAAATTCTAGGACTCCTGTTACAACAATGCTTGCTTGTCTTGCTCGGCATCTTTGGCCTCCTGATTGCGCCCATCTGGGTATTTTCGGGACACATTTTCATCGCTCTAGGTCAGCAGCAAGACTTCGCGTTTGCGACAGGCAAATTCATGTTATTCATGCTTCCTGCCGGCATTTTGCAAGTTGTGGGCGAATGCTTGAAGAAGTTTTTGCAAGTCCAGGGTGAGAGCAACATTGTGGGACTGTCCACAGCGGTTGCCAGCACGGTTGGCGTTCTCGTCACCTTCGTCCTGGTTCGCTGGACGAAGCTGCGGCTCTGGGGTGTCCCTTGTGCTTTCTGCATCTACCAACTCCTTACCGTTGTTGCATTGCTTTGTGTCATCGCTCGAAAACCTGCAATTAGGAGGACCTGGTACGGGTCTATTTTTGGCATTCAGAAAGGGATATCACGTTTGGCCTTCTACGCTGTCACTGGGATCTTGACAATTGCGACTGAGTGGTGGAGGTGAGCTTGCCGCCTGTTCTACTTTCACATCAAAATTAACTTTCCATGCACCACAGCTTCGAAATTCTTGCAATGATGGCCGCAAGATTGGATCCCAGTTCTATTGGGGCTCAGAGTGTAAGTTTGGAAGCCTTTCTAGTCTATCACTTTCTCCTATTGACATCAATTGTAGATTTTGATGTCTTCCGACTTACTCTTCACAACGGTGTCGCTTGGGATAAGCGTAGCTTCCAGTCACCGTATCGGTGGCTTACTTGGTGCAGGCAAGGGTCTGGAAGCGAGGAAGGCCATAGCGACACCGTACCTGCTATCTTTCGTCATTGGAGGCATCGAGTTCTTTGTCATCATGCTTTCAAGAAATGGCTACGGTCGCCTTTTCACCAGCGACGAAGGGGTGATCGAAAAGACGGCACAGGTCCTCCCGCTAATGGCTGGATTCCAAGTTCTGGATCTTTCCAACGGCGGCGCGAGCGGGATACTGCGAGGTGCCGGCAAGAACCATTTGTCAGGTGTTTGCAATTTCTTGGCTTATTATGGAGTGGGTTTGACAACTGCATGGTTTCTATGCTTTCAGAAGCATTATGGCGTCTTTGGGTTATGGGCGGGCATCATTACTGGGAGTGGTGCGCTTCTGGTTCTGCAGTCTTGCTGTATTCTCAGCATACGATGGAGGAAGTTGGCCAAGGATGTATCTAGATTACATGCCACGTCGGACTAACGAAAAGCTGCATCAAAATTTTCTATGGACATATCCTTAGGTACAGAACAGTTGTCGCGGGCTGAAAAGAGCTCTACGACATGTTAACTAGCATTTGCTGGCCGGCACGTGCCTTCAATGGGAAGTACTTTGAGGTTTTTTTTTTTTATCATTGTTGCTACGACAGCCTATGACTTGCGAGCAATCTATTATGTCGTTCTCTTCCTGCGCATATAGCAATATATCTATTAAAGTACTTGATCGGAATGAGTCGAGTGGAAATATGAACGTCCCGCAGAGAGCAGACCCGCTGGCGAGGGACAGGTTGAATTGATGTGGGTTTCAATTAGTACATCGACCGAAGTAGAACACTAGAGCCTCTCTTTTTCCAAGTCTTCAACCTCCACTATACGCATTTCAGGATGAATCTCACTGAGACAAATCGCTACCAAATAAGAAGTCCAAGGATATGTCGTTTGAGTGAGATAACCGTTTTCCAAACCCGACGCGACCAATTAGGCGATCAACAGACTCATAGACCAAGTCTGTTTTTGACCAACCTGGTAATCAGCTTCACCTCGGTTAGCACAGATTCGGGGCCCAGTTGATTCGAGAACATACCTCGATTGTAAACTCTGCAGCAACTATACCTGTAATTTCGGCCTGATCCAGGGCTGGGAGGACCTCCACGACATCGACGCCGACAATATTCAAACCATCAAGTGCATCTATAATGATTTGGATAATCTCTCTCGGGGTCCATCCCCCAGAAGCTGGGCCGGCAGTGCCGGGGACAAAAGCAGGGTCTAGACAGTCTACATCAAGGGAGACATAGACAGGCTCGTCGTGGCTGATTACCGAACGGATCTTGTCGATGACGCCCCAGACGCCCTCCTTCTTGAGCATGTCTGCCGCCGGAATCGTCGTAAAGCCCACTTCCTGGTCGAGCTCCATGTCTTTCGCCGAGTCTAGCGAGCTTCGAATTCCGGCATGCACGTTCTTGGTGCTCAGCAGGCCCTCCATGCCTGCCCAGTAGTATGGTGTGCCGTCGGCGAACTGCGCTTGTTTGCTACCGGCTTTGGCCCCGGCGAATACTTTTGGAGACCATGTGTCAATGTGCGCGTCGATGTGGATGGCGGACACTTTCCCATAGACAGTACTCAAGGCCCGCAGAATCGGCAAAGAAATGCTGTGGTCACCACCAAGTGCGATGATTTGGGGATGACTCCTGCCGGTCTTTGAAGCGTGTCATCAGCAATCATTTTTATTTTTGCTAAAGCCCACCGGAGCCTGGAATACCTTTAAAGACTTAATTCCTCTTTCTCCGGATCTCACTTCCCTCCACAGAAGCCGCTTGTACCAGTCTTCCATCTGGGCAAAAGCGAGACCGTTATCGAAAGGAGAAATGGGCAGGTCTCCACAATCAACTACCGATATGTTCTGTTTATAAGGATTGATTGACTGGCGGTAGTTATAGTGCCCACTGCTTAATATCAGCTCCGGCGTGAATATAAGGCCTCTGGAGATAGACATACGCTAGGGAAGCCGCTCGAGAACCCTGACGCACAGCATTTGGACCAAGACGTGTCCCAGTCCTGTATGATGTTGCCGTGTCAAAAGGGAACCCCAAGATCAAAATGTCGTCCACGGGCCCAGTCTCCGTCAGGCATTGCATAGACGGGAGTTTAGAAAAGGTCGTAATACCAGAGAACGCGAAATTGGCGGAAGGCTCAAGGTCATAATCATCATCGTCGTCCTTCGCCGAGTTTCCTATACTGGCTTGTCGAGCGCCTGGAGCAGGGACAGCGAGAGCAGAAGAACAAGCAGCCAATGCCGCAAGGCTATACAGAAGAACAAAACGCATCTTGAGTCGAGGACGACAATCTCAGTGTGAAAACATAAGGTTTCCCTTTTTGCAGCGCCGATTTATAAATGTGCGGGACCCGTGGCATTTGTAGTCGGAGTCCTGAATGAACAAGGTATACATCTTCATTGATTGGCGTCTCTGCGGAACCCGGAGGTATCTGGCTATCTGCGGAGCAGTCACTCTAGGCTATGCCTACCCTTTCCAGGAAACAGGGATCTTGAGTGATAGATGATCGTAAACGGAGTACCGACTTTGGAGGTGGAACTGGGTCCACCGGAGTATCCACTGCAAAGTACAAACCAGTCTAGCGTATTCATTCCTCTTTGGGACTAGTCTTATTTCTCTCGGAGCGTCGACGAGTTGGCAGTCTGAGTGAATGAAGATGGGGCGACCTGGAATCTGCGAATTTGGCGACTGGCGTTCAAGGTTGGCAGTCAGGTTTCAACCAGACTTGAGACGCACGCTTGGTTGGACTTCAGCGCATGAGAACGCAAGCACGAGCCCAACTTGAGGCTTGGGCTGCGGTTGTTAAAACTCCAATCAAAACGCCAGCCTCGTGTAGTTCTGCACAGCTCTACATTTAGGATGGAACACGTGTTTCGCCCTAGTCCTCTATTACGAAGCCAATCTCGGACAGACGGAAACTTCCTTGGGCCTGAATGCATATATTTATTGACATAAGCACCGCAGACGGTGAGAAAAGGAAGCCCAGAAGACACCGCTAACACATTTGATCTAGTGCATTTTAAGGCAGACTCATCCCATAGTGTTTTCATATTCCGCTTTCCCCTCACCCAGCTACAGCTGCCTCTTTGCAATGGATCACTTACCCCAACCGAACACTACCACTCCGACCCCTCTTCAGGTCCCTTTCCTCGCCCGCATCGAGTACAATGTTGGAGATTTCTGGTTGTTGTATAACCGGTATGACAGGGAAGGTCTACAGTACAGCGCTGAAGAGGTTGCATCATTCATTCAGTCATGGCTATATTTTGGTCTCTTAGCAGAATTCGCTGGGAGGCCGATCGACCCGAAAACATTCTTGCGCCGTGAGGCGTCGGAAGACGGGACGGTCGCCGACTTTGTGTCCCTTCTCCCTTTGAAAGACTTAGGTCTTCAGCTCCGGCCGCTACAATACACGGAGCATAGTGACGACGACCAAGACATTTACGACTTACCAGAAGAACATGATGTTTCAGAGCTATCCCATCTTCAAGAGCTTCTGAAATCTGCAAGATGGATTTGCATTGGCATTGAGAAGAAAGACGAATATCGTTTATCACCTGGACCCTTACCAGCCGTTCTTCTGTCTATTAGAGTCCTGATCGACACACTACAGTTCGCGTGTCTGGGAGCCAAAGCTGACAGTATACGACCCCACGGATGGGGTTTGCCTGAATCAGCTTTAACAGTTCAGTTCATTACTCGGTTGATGACGTCAAACGGATGGTGTATATACCAGATCAATCATGTTTTACGCACCTTCTACTCCCCACTGGTTTGGTACATTGCGCAGATCCAGCGACACTATCGACCCGAAATTACCCATGACGAGTGCACGAGAGATGCATGTACTGCATTCAATATCAATCCAAACACTTATCAGACACGTCATACGCAACCCAATTGTTCATGTGCATTCATCTCAATTCCCACCGACGAAATGAGAAGAATAATTAAGCAAGGAGGAATCCCTCTCGCATTTTTGAAGCGAAGCAGTGTCACAGGGAAGATCTCGTTGGGTGTGAAAGCTGCATGTGCCACTGATTCATACGTTGCATTTTCTCACGTATGGTCAGATGGTCTGGGAAACCATTCTTCCAACTCGCTCCCGAGATGTGAGCTCGAGAGACTCGAAAATTATGTGAACGAACCTATAAAATTAGCGGGAAATATCACCGTCGGCCGGTTTCTAAATATGGACGCATTAAGAGGAACATTTTCTCGGGAACAAACGAAGTTGTTCTGGATAGATGCGCTCTGTATTCCAGTGAAAGCGGATGATGGCGATGCAAAAGACTCCAATGAATTGAGATGGCAAGCGATCGCTAAGATCAATCCCGTATTTGCAGGCGCGAATAGAGCCATTGTTCTTGATTCCGAGATTATGGAACACGTTCGCGTGAAGAGTTCAGAGTCGTGCGAGTTCTCGGCACGATTGTTGTTCTCCACCTGGATGGGAAGATGTTGGACGCTCAATGAAGGCGCTCTCAGTCCATTATGCCAATTGCGTTGCGTTGGGAACTCAGTTGATCCGATCTCATACACACGCGACCTTTTAGATTGGGGTTTTTTGTCAAGTCCCGATACAGCATCTGCCTTACGCGATATGGTACGATACTTCCCAGGTTGGCGTAACATTGCAAATGTTTTGTCGCCCAGAGTAAGTCGCGATGTTGCCGCACGTGCACATTATGCGAAGAGATTTGAAAGCCGAATAGAGAAGCTGCTGCGCATTCCTCTGGAGAAGGGATTAGATCATTCATTCCTCCAGGAATGGAAGTCGAAGGGTAGTGATTTCATTGAAGTACGAGACCGGCTGCAGCATTTCCGGGCTTGCTGGAACGCTCTTGCTAGGCGCGAAACATCTCGATCTGAAGACAGATTATCAATTTTGGCCAACTTATTGGATCTGAACATGTTTCACATCATCAGCTCTCCACGGCCAATGATGACTCTACTAAGGAGCTTACCCGGTGTATCCCTGTCAATTCTCTACATTCCGAAATTAGATACGACCGCGGAGGATACGAGAGTCGCAAGTGCGAGCGACAAAGAACACAAGGCTCGAGAAGATGAGTACAATAGATGGCTTCCTCTTTATCCAAGTAGGTTTGAGCTGGCCTCTGAGGAGTTTATGATATGGGCAGAGGGATATCTGGATTTGGAGAAAAAGCCAAATGGTACAGACCTGTTCATGGCCAATCCTAGCATACTCGACGTGAATACGCTGTGGATTTCGAAAGCCCGGTACCATGTCGAGTTCATTCGATCAGCCAATGACGACTTCGCCAAACGCTACAATGGGGCAATTTGTCTCCTCATCGATAGAGACGATTATCGACAAGGCCTTCATGGGAAATTGCATACAATCGCTCTCCGAGGAGCATGCTTGCAGGTTTTGACAGCGGTTGAAAAGAATGACTCAGCACATCAAGGTGAAAGGATGATTGAAGAGGACGACTTGGGGAGGGCCGGTACATGCTCACCTGATGGAAAACCTGAACTTCACATCTCTGCCGTGTATGACTGTCCAATCCGTCTGACGAGGCTTCTTGAGGAAACTAAAACAAGTTGTGACGGTGATCGCATCATTACATACCGAAGAGTTCAGCGTTGGTCTTTGAAAATACTTCATAGTAAGTCCCCGTACTTCAAGATGAGAAGGCTCTCGATCTGGACTGACACAGACCGTATTACTGCCTTAGATTGCCCCGAATCGGCAGCACTACCGTTTCGCAAGGTGGTTGTTGATTACACGACGTGTTCATGTATTTTGATGGGAACATTGGCAGCGCCAGGTATCGTCATTGCCGTAGTTGCGCTCCTAGCACTCGTTGCAATCATTATCAGGTCTTTCTTCAAACTGTTTTGGGTAGAGGCAGCGGCCATGATAGTTAATCTTTATGTGAGTCCAGCTCTTGTCCTTTTCGAGACACTCGGAGGGGTTTCCCGGGCAATTGTTCTCTCTATTCCCCCAACCATCTACGCCTATGCGAAGAACCGGGCCGGCAGCACTTCCACCCTGGACAGCATTTATATCTATTCTTCATTTTTGGCAAATGGATGTGCCTTAGTTACGCTCATAGCTTCCAGGTTCTGGCTTGGCCCCCGGATACGCAAGGAGTGGCTGGCTAGCTTCAATCAAGGAGAAGCAAATGAGAATGAGCTGAAATGGTTGCGAAGGGCACAGAGGATACAACCTTTATTCGAGGCCATCTTTGATATCTTTGACAAGGCCCTCGACATGATCTTTGGTGACTAAGAGCAAGGAGAGAATGAACTATATCATATGATAACTGCGAGAGACGGCACTGAGAGAGAGAGAGAGTAAGAGTGAGAGTACCCGTAACGGAAACTGCCAGAGTTTCCCCCTGAGTCTGAATTCACTCAAATGAACCAAAAGCTGCCTTGGAGGTCGAACGTGCAGATTTGCCGAACAATTCACAGAATATGACCCATCGCTAGCGGTTGGGGGATTAAGATACTTGTGATGTTCACAAGGGTGCACAAATGAATCTGGGACTTCATTTGGCAAATCGTGAATTCGGAAGGTTTGCATCACGCCTCACACTTTTTGAATGAAAGGATGTAGATTTTTTAGGATTTCTCGACTACGCCACATGACACAATCATACGATTAGGCCATTTTTGTCGCATTATACTTATAGATGTGAGGCTAGTGCCGACATCTCTTCAGTTGGGCTTGCTGCTTGTAAACATTCAGTAATTGCTCGGGCGACATATGCAACGTTCGATTCGTTAAGTCCAGCAATAGAAATACGGGAATTATCTGCCAGGTAGATATGATATTGGTCTGCTAAATAGGTCAGATGAAGCGTTGATAGGCATGGATAGGTCTAGTATTAACTTCTTAACTGAGGACGACGTCGTGCGTTAAGCCAAGGAATCCGAGCATTCCTAACTGTTGCACAAAATGATCCCACGTTCCTGGTGCACCTGATCATTTGTTAGGTTATTGCGGGTGAGGCTAGATTGATAAACGTACCGTTTTTAACAAGAAGGTTGTAAAGCGTCTTTCTCATTAACGAGATTCGATTGCTCATGGTCTTGAGATCTTCGAACCACATTTTACGCAGAAATGGATCGCGTAGAATTTGCGCGGCAATTTTCGCGCTGTATGCTGGATGATTCGATATTCCGGAACGCTGCGGTCTCTCCATGACGGATTCACAGTTCTGTGCAATCTCTTCGGACCTGGCCAAAAATGGTTGCCCCAACACGTTCGCCTGCCATGGCTAGTAAGCTGTGCAAACTCTTTCTGGTTTGTCCTCAGACGACTTACCATAGAGTCCCATATTCTTCGTAAATGAGACTGCTACCGCAGCTTCCAAGCCAAGGTTGTTCACAAAATAACGGATGGAAAATGTGTCTTTGTTGAAATTTCCAGGCCTGAATCCTAAATACGCTGCGTCGAAAAGGGGAAAGAGCTGTCGTTCTTTGATGATCTCACCAATTTCTTTCCATTGGTCTTGTGTAGGATCACATCCCGTCGGGTTATGGGCGCAAGCATATAGGATGATAATCGATTTTGGTTCGGCTGAGCGTAGTGCGTCCAGATAAGAGTTCATATCCAGTGCTTTTGCTTCAGGGTTATAATATCGAAAAGCGCGAACTTGACAGCCAAGGGAGGAAAACACCAAATGATGATTCGACCACGTAGGTTCTGAAATCCACACTTGACGATTCAAAGAACTGCAATTCCTGATTAGTGGCCCCGCCAAGTGTAGGCTTCCAGTTCCGGAGAGGCTCTGACAAGTGGCTATCTGTAGACGAAATTACCAAAACATAACGGGATACGGCTCACAAACATACCCTAGGTCGGATTGCAGCATAACTTTCTGTCCCAAAGACGAGTTCTGCAGCCGCGGCTCTGAACTCGGGCAATCCAAGGATTGGCAAATACTCGTGGTCCAAATCTAGCCTTGCCAGCCTTCTCCGAGCTCGGCAGACTGCAGGCAGAACCCAAGGAAAGCCATTCTCATCATGATAGCTCCCTTGTCCAAGATTTACTTTCACAGGGGACAGATCATCACGACACTCTGCGGTGAGAGCAAAGATGGCGTCTTTAGGAAGTCGTGGTGCCGCCGCGAAGAAACACACACTTTGTGAACGCTTGCCGATATGGAGAGGAAGGCTTCTACGCATGAGAGTCTTCGAGCTTCCGGAATTCAGAGTTTTGAATTTTTGCTCGGCTTTCAGAGCCAAATCATAGAAGCAAGCGCTATCCCACAAGAAGGATGCCATGATCCAAATCTAAAACAACAAATATATACTCGGTTAAGGACAGCGCAGTAATCGCCGAAACATATTTCCCTAGAATCCCTACGATCGCGTTGATGGTAGATCTATTTCAGAATATCGCGGCAATTGTTCCGATCGATGAATCCGGCCTCGTTTCGGTCATTCTAGAAAGATGATATCGGATGCGTTCGCCAGTGTCCGTCGTCAGACTGTTTCGATTTTCGCAAGGGCGGGTAGTAACGGTAAATAGATGAGAACAAGGATCCCGGAATTGGAAAGAACAACCTGTAAAGTTCGGTCGACAAGTTGCCACGATGGCTGAATGGGGATGCCCACTGTTGAACCCGGACTTTCTCTAACTCTCCTGTCCCTGTCGCTGTTTTCCTCACTGTCTTTAATTTGCGGTGTACTGGGTGGCAGATGCATTGCAGTATTTTAATCTGTGCCATCGCGACGCTAGCTGATAGTGCTAATTTACTGAGCATTACCTTGCTCGAGAATTCGGCACCTTGAATGATCTGCTCCAGAAAGCTCATGAAATTTTCGAGCCTGAGCCATGATCAGAACCTCACTGTTGTGGCACATTAATTCAAGGAACGGACTTATCTGGCAAATGTCCTGGAAGACAATACTGTTCTTACCAAAGTCGGACCGACCCATGGATGAATGCGGGCAATTTCCCACTCTTCCAAGACTGCCGCGTCGCTGCCCAGTCGTTCTTATAGTGTTTGTTGCGTCCGTGCCCGCTGTTCCGTATTGTAGTATTGACAACTTCAAGCGGATAGTGACCAATGCAAAATATAGTAATACCCCCTGGGTACCGGAAGAAGTAACCAACCAGGTTGACAGGTCCTCCCACCTTTTCCTACCACCGTCGGCCATTCCTTGCATGTAGGCTTCGAAAGCTACGCAATGCAGCTATATACATAAACTCTCGCAAGACAGCGAGCCTGCGGCGAACCAGTAGAAAAAGGCCGAGGAGTCTGAATCTCGCAAACACGATCAACCTCACTTCAGAGAGCGAAGGACTTCTGCATACAAGATGTCGGACTCTCTGCTAGCTGTCCTTGCCGTGTATCTGGAGCGCTGAGAAAGGACCCGCGTAATGCCATCGACTTCATCGGGTGGTCTAGAGTGTAGAGCTGTATCCCCCGGTTCGGTGTTGTGGACGTCCTCGATATGCTCCTCGATACCTTTGCCAGCGGCTGAAGACCAAGCGCTGACATGCTCTGGCGTCCACGACTCCCGGCGCACTGCTGCTTGTGTCTGTCCAACGATCGAATTTGTGTCGATGATTTCCAAAGTCATTGATCTATCAACTGCACTTCGCTGGACGAGGTCCACTAGCTTGGAAAGGATATTCAGCTCAAGCTTCAACTTAACACTGTAGACAAAGGCTTTGATACTCTCTTGATAAAGCTGGAGGCGCTTGAATTGTAGAGCCACAAGCGCGGTCTGAAGAATTGTCAGTCATAAACATAGTTGAAACCTTTTGATAGCTTACGTCCATGCAGATAATCATGATGTTGATGGTCAGAAGTTGCCAAATCATTCTCCGAGTATTTTCCTTGGAGATGACATTGAGCAGAGCTATGGTCTCCCACACGTAGAGCCCGGAGATGATAAGTTCTTGGAGAGTGATGATTGTCATCTGCATATGCTCAATATAGAAGTACGCTTGAGCGAATGCTGGATTTGGCGAATATGCATGACCCCAGTCCAAAGCGACTGTAGTGCCTTCAATGACCACACTGTTGATGATAATCATCCACTTCACAGCCCTCAGAATGTGGACGTTATCGAGAATCAACCCTAAACGCGAATAAAGAACAAGGGACTGGCAGGTAATCATGAACAGCCACCCTGAATCAAGTAGTAGCCCGCTGAGCCAGAAGTCGCAGAGGCTGAAATAACTCAGCGTGATGCCCAACGTGTATGAGACGACGCCATAGGTGCAGATGCTCAAGCTCCAGAAATATAGGCCCGTCCTTCTCTTGAAGATCGTCAAAATCAGAAGCACCATTTCTAGTGAATTATAGAGGGCCAGCCCGATGGATAGCGTGACGATAACAGAGGTGGCTGTGTATCGGCCATCGAAAGGCCTTTTCCTCACAGCGTTCTGGTAGAAATTGTCGGAGGACATTCCGGGGGCAGTAAGATGCTATTTTGGAAGCATGGTGGCTCGGGTTCGTGATCGTCACTGTCAATCAGCACGTACAGGATGTCGTCGTCTCAAGGTCATCGCAGCTCATGTGCCAATCTGTCCACGCAGAAGAGAGTGTGACGAAAGATGGTACTGCAAGAGGCGTGCAGTGCCAGCGGGTTGAGGAAACGAGGTCCACCTCCGCTTCAAAGCCCCTCCCCCACGTTTCGCCACCTCCACTAGGGCGGTTGAGTTAAGTTGACCCATTCAAAAATGTTCCGGCTGTACAAGATCAAAGGCATCCGTCGGGGTCCCGACCCAGTCTCATTCGCCAATCTCCAGCACAGGTGGGCTTCCTCTCGAGAGTTAATAGTCTCTGGACGTCCTTGGGGAATTGCTTTATATCCATCCCAACCTCCTCGCTGTTTGGAATTTCCTTCAATTGTCCTTCAGAACCAGCCGAGGAAAAGTCAAGAAGCTACCTGGGCCGCAAACAATTAGCAGATAAATCGCACACAGAAATGGTTCTTTACGGAGTAAACGTCTTCCCGGAGGCGGCAACGCTTATCTGCTGTTCAGATGCCTGCATGGGGGGAGAAGGATCGGATTCGCGGCCGTAGTGTGGCATGGGGGCTGGGTTCTACCCCGCTTCTGACATCCTTAATAGGTTAGGTTTGATAGTGAAATGGCGCCGCCCGAGAATATCGGATGGGGTCCCCGACAAGAACTAGACCCCAGATTTCGGAAAATCGTTCCGCCGTCACCACCACTCCATCCCATGATGACGCCGTCCAAGCAACAGCCATCTCCTTGGGCAAGTTCCAGCGAGGGAAGCTTTCACTCGAGTGCCTATAACTATCGTATCGTATCATGCCCCCTCATGGAGCTCTCTAGTCCATCATCGACAAACATCTGTTTGCCCACGACTCTCAGTGTTCTTCCAACATGAACAACGAAAAGATTGACGACAAGTCTGTAGGTGCTCAGGAGAATGAGTATCGATCCTACCTCGTACAGTGTGGATGAAAGTGGACACCGCCTCTCTCTGACTGGGCGACGAGTGTCTATCGTTGATGATGTCTTTGGGGAGATTGTTGAAGGTGGTCCAAATTACCGCAGTGTTCGTGCTTCGCAGAATGTCATTTAGCAGCAGAAACGGACAGCTTTTGCTAGGTCGGTTGGCTAGGAACAGCCATCCCTATGATGAAAACACAGATTGGCCTGGGAGTCCTCTCGATTCCAGTAGTGTTTGACGTTCTTGGCATGGTTCCCGGCGTCATATGTCTAATAGTGATTGCTGTGATTGCTGTGATCGCAACGTGGTCGGACTATTTCGTCGGTGTATTCAAGCTTCGACACCGCTCCGTCTATAGCCTCGACGATGTTGGTCAATTGCTGTTCGGCCGTATTGGGCGCGAAATATTCGGTGTGGCATTCGTCCTTTGTGAGTTTTCCCTAACCACAGATGATAGCTCTCCTGCTAACATTGAACAAATAGACTGGATTTTCGTCGCTGGTGCTGGCATGCTCGGTATTTCGATTGGCCTGAATGCCGTCTCAACACATGGAGCATGTGCTGCTGTTTTTGTTGCTGTTGCTGCAATTATAGGGTTCGGCCTCTCCAGCATTCAGATACTTAGCAAGATATCGTGGCTCGCCTGGGTTGGAGTGATATGTATCTTGACTGCAAGTATGTTATTCCTAGGAGCTACGTCTAGCAGACGCTGACCATTTTATAGTTCTCACAGTCGCTATTGCTGTTGGCGTACAAGATCGGCCTGCAGACGCACCTGCAGGAGGTGTCTTTGTGTCGGATTACACAGTTACCAACAATCCGTCTTTCACTGATTCCATCTCCGCTTGTTCTTCACTGGTTTGCGCATAAGCCGGCACGCCTGCTTTCTTTTCGATCAGGTCTGAAATGCGAGATCCTCGACTGTATACATGACCCCTCATTATCTGCCAGAGTGTCGTTACGGCAACATCTATCACGATCGGCGTTGTGATCTATTATTACGCTGGCTCACATGTGGCTTCACCTGCTCTTGAATCAGCTGGTGCCCTCTTGAAAAAGTCGCTTATGGTTTTGCTCTTCCAGGACTTACTGTTACAACGACCCTTGTCACCCACCTGCCGGCTAAGTATATTTTTGTGCGACTTTTGCGTGGTAGTCACCACCTCACTGAGGGCACTGCCAGACATTGGGTGACTTGGCTGGGCTGCACGGCCGGGAATGCGATTGTCGCTTATGTGATTGCAAGCGCCATTCCCGTCTTCGGTGGCCTTGTATCCCTCATTGGCGCTTTGCTCGGCACTCTCATGTCGTTCCAGCCAATGGACTGTATGTGGTTGTACGATAACTGGAATAAACCCAAGGCCGAACGGACGACCAAGCTGACTCTGATGGTATGCTGAAGTTGTTTTGTGATCATATCAGGAACATTCTTGATGATTGGGGGCACCTATGGGTCGGTCGTTGGCATTATTGATTCCTACAAAGCCTCTGATGGCGCCGCCGCATGGTCCTGTGCCGGCAATTCGAACTCGGTGTGAGATTATTCGATAATGGAGGGATTCGGTGGATGCGTTAAAGGCACATCCATTGGCTAATGGATCTGGTTTTCTTGACGCAGAATGCTCGATTCGCTTGTGCTGGTCGCCAACTTTGTACTAGTATTGTGCTCTGTATACTACAGTCGCTAAAGCTCTCCGAAGGTTAGTGATAATTTCAAATGTGATTTTGATGTGGGCCAGGTATCCAAAACCACGTTCTTGGCGGCAGTTATGATGAAGTATGATGAGCGTCGTAGCTTGTAAATGTATCCTAGTTTTATTCCGCCTAAATGGCACTATTGATGGGCAGGGCATACAATTTCCGTGACCGCAATGTTCTTCAGGATATTGATACTTTCATAGGCTGTGCCGACCAGCGGCGGAACTGGCCCCGGTCTGGACCTGCTCGGTCGGTTTTATGCCTGATCTTGAAGTGTTAGCATTTTATTCGATCGCGAAGAAGGCCTTAAGCGAGCTGTTCTCGGTGTTGCAGTTCTTCAAGCTCGGCCGCTGTCTGAGTCTCTATCACGGGCGGCGGTAGTAGCTGAATAATAGTGCCGGTTCTCTCTGACATGGCTGCCAGAACCAGGTTTGCTACCTGTTCTGGTGGTATTCATTGGCTCCAGCGTTCCCAACCCGTCCTGTACCAAGCTAACATCATCATCGGCCGTCGTACAGCATTGTAGAATCTAGGGGGGCATGCTGTGTCTGCTTCCTGCTCGGCCTCTACTCTATTCCTGTTGCTGCAATACGCGAGGCGAATTGAGCGGGAGAGATTGGCATTTGGATCGCCTCTGGACATTGTAGTAGGAGCTGATATGTCTTCATGCGTATCTTATGGAAACTACAAAAAATGGGTAAGCTTGTGTCTAAGGCAACGAACGTCGACGCATTCGTGGTCTGGTGTATTCGGTGAGAGACTTGACGCACGCTTTACGCTTGGAAATGCCGATGTGTTCAGTTGTCTGTTGCACTAGCTAAATCAGGCCTAGAATACTCGGTACATAGGTCTGGGCGTTGCGGCATCTCATAACGGAGTACCGAGTACTCCATATTGAAACCTCTCGTCACTTCGGATGGATTTCTCATTCAACCAACCTTTTACATCACCCTCCAGAGTGGTCCAACAACGTTGGCTAGAACGATATCATAGCCGACACTCCGATGAATGGATAACGCGGGGTATGCAATCCCCGGACACCTAGGACGACGCTGCAAGCTTCGAAAACGATGCAGGAGCTGAGGCGATTGATTGGCACACCAGAGAATTTACTTAGGGAAAGCAAAGTTTCGTATTCGTATTCAACCACCACCAAAACAAGCTTCAATTTTACGAGATTGCAGGTCTTTGAAGACTGCCTTTCCTCATAATGGGGCTACACTGAAGGCATCTGTCTCCTTTGCAGGAGCCTTTACCCATCGCGACAGCCAAAGCAGCCTTAGCGTGTCCTTTCGTGTTCGTAATTCGGCACGTAACTTGCGCGCTATCATGTGGCTGGGAGGTCTCGGCCAGGCAGAACTCAGGCAGCAGGGACGTGATCGACCAGTAAAGACTTGTACTACATCAGCCCGGTATACAGCGATGACGGCTCGGCATTTATTGAGCAAGTTTATTGTTGGTAATGTATTTAACAGTTGGGTCATCCACAAGTTCAACTTTCCAACCTTCTATCGCTCCAAACCGCCAGCAATTCAAACGCAGTATCTACATCTTGATAACCCGAAGTGGCTGCCATTTCTCCCTGCTGCAATCCGGATCGTGACCGCCATCAAGTTGAGGACCTTTTCTAGGCTACATCATGTCTGACGAGGTTAGTTTTCCGTCGCTCACCTTCCTCGCCCCCATATTTCATATTGCCACGTCCTTAGCCGGTCTCTGACGTCCACTTTTTGGACCTGTACAAGTGCTCCGATGATGCTTATTCTCGCGTTGGCATCTGGATTCCTGTTACCGACCCAGCCCGCGCTCGCAAGTTCTACTCCGCGGTGCTTGGCTGGAAATGCATGGAAAACGGTGCGCCTTCCCCCATTGAAGGCATCAAAGAGACCTATTTCTTCACTAAAGGAAATAACATCAATGGTTGTTTCTGCTTGATGGACAAGACCAACATCTTGGACACGAGGGGCCCGATGGACAAAGACCGTGTTGGCGTCCACACTGTGTTTGCTGTCAGGGATATCACAGAGTCTTTGGATCTTGTGAAAGAGAACGGCGGTCATGCACACCTTGACAAGACCGGTATGGGTCCGAATATGGGCTTCGTTGCTCGCTTTGTCGACCCAGAGGCAAATTTGATGGGATTGTATGCTATGAACTAATGAACATGCAGCACTGCTGTTGGAAATTTGGTGGTCAAATTTGCGACGCTCCGGTTGGTGAAATCGTTCTATATGTACAGCGCATCCAAACAAGCAATTGTCTCCGTCTCATGCGATCTTTGAATGATTGCTATATAGTACTTAGCCAAATTCCATGTAGTGGCCATTACGTCTGCAGACAGCTCAGGTAGCGTTGTAGATGTCTCAATGTTCAGGCTACAACCTAGTAGAGTGTCAAGATACTAATATCTCCTTTTGGGACAGGGGCATCATCCCATGGACAGTGCAGTCTGACGAGGTGGTCTGGAAACCCTACGATTTTACGTAGATGTGAGTAAGAACAGTTCGCACGGATGAAGCTGCACAGTTCTCTGGAGCTCTGCAAGCGATGTTCAACTAGCTCGTAAACTCTGTTTCTCAAACTGTATGCTTTTATATACCCGTCGCCGAGGCCCGAATATGGTCCATCCTTTCGCGCATTATTAATTTGACACGCTGTATTTCGATAATAGGGAGGATTTATCCTTGTACCCCAATCCAAACATTGATTGTTCTTCGCATCCCCCAAGCTGACATCACCACGGAGGACCACTCATCTCGACGTACTCGAGCGACTACGGCTCGGGACCAGCCCGCAAGCGGCGAAAGGTTTATCCGATCCGACTGATCTTCGGCTTCCCTCCCGACTCGCCGATCAAAATACGAAAATACGAGAATACCTCCGCCATTGTGCAATCTCGGGTTTCGATCGACAACTTCTCCCTGGTAGGTAGGGACATTCATTCTTTCAGGCCACATTTCAAATGATCATTCAGTCGAAGTAGATGGGCCGCCCGTATTTTACTTGCTAGGTGTGACGAGAGTCAGTGCACCTCGAGCCGGGCCTCGATACCCTCCCTGGAGGCACGAATTCGTCTCCTCTCCAGCACATTATACCTGATGATTGCAGCGAGCCCCTAGGTAAGTCCTTCAGCAGGCACCTGGTAAAATTGCGGGAAGATAGCAGGTTTCCCCCAAGATATAAAAACATCGCTTCGTCGAACGTTCTCAATCTCGCAAAGCGTTTCCGCCTGCATCACTTCATCTTGTTCCATGAAGCAGAGCCTGACCGACTTCTGGGCACCTTTGTCGTCGAATTTAGATAGTCAGTGGCAATAATATAGCTCTGCATAGCATGGAGACTGTGCAACTGAAAATGACCGACACGACTCCTCCTCCTGCCTCTGGTAGGAAACCTTACGATGGCCCAACCTACACATGTCAACACCCTAAACTGGGCGCTTTGACCGGGCGTCTCATCAAATCGCTGCATTTCCCAGGCACATCAACCGTCCAGCTTAGGTCGATCCTATACGCTCAGGTTCATAAACGGTTTGCACCGTGTGTGTTACTGGAGAGTATTCCGGACGACTTCGACGCCCGACCGCACCGGGACTTCACACAGTTTGGGCATGCGTGTCCTCAAGTCGGGGCAACGAAGCCAGCCTGGTTCGATGCATACGGTGGACCACTCGAGGATGACCAGGGACTCGGGTTCGACGAATTTACGTGCCTTACCCTCAGCGTGTCCGTGCCCGAGTCCCATCTTTCCAGCGACAATCCGAAGCCGCTGCCGGTGATGATCTATGTCCACGGCGGTGGCGCGCAGGAAGGAGTCGGCCACGTCGACGGCCTTCACTCTAGCGCGCCTCTGGCAGCCTACTCGTCGGAAGTCTCATTACCCGTTGTCACTGTCAATATCGGGTATCGCCTCGATTGGCTCGGCAGCCTTGTCTGCCAGGACATGATTGAGGAGTACAATGGGGATCCGTCGGTCTCCCTACATGGTCCGTTCAACTTGACGATCCAAGATCAGAGAGCTGCATTTGCATGGATCCATCATTTCATCGGCGGATTTGGCGGCGACGCGGAAAACATTACCGCCTTCGGCGAATCAGCGGGAAGCATCTTGCTGATCTACCATATCTGCGGCAGCCCGGAGAGGCTCTTCAATCGGGCAATCTTGCAGTCCGGCGTCATTTTCGGTCATGATTCGTTTGAAGACAAAGAATCAGAATACCGGGGTTTGTTAAAACATTTTGAGATCGAAGGATCGACCGCTGCCGAGAGACTGGAGAAGCTCCGACAGGTACCTGCGGAGGAATTAGCAAAATATCCCGGGCGCCACATGATGCCGTTCGTCGACGATATCCCTGGAGTCAACGTCCCTAAGTCGTTGTTCCCAAGAGGCCGACCGACGTTCATGAAGCAGACATCTCTAATTTCATCATGTCCGTGGCTGGGAGACATTGCCATTGGAGATGACTTCTGGGAAGGATATGTATTCAAGGATTTGCTCCGGCCCATCTCAGCCGTACGGCTCGTGAGAGGTGTGAGATCTATTTTTCCGGAGAAAGAGGCTGCCAGATTGCTCTGCGCATATGGTCTTTCCTTGACGCCTGAGCTTGCGATCGAGACGGACAAGAACCTGTTCTGGAGAAACGTAACACATTTCTTCGGCGACATATTCTTCTCTGTCCCGATCCACCAACTTGTCACCCGTCTCGCCCGTCGGAATACAGCCACTACTACTACAGACAGCGTGGCGTCGAAACGCAAGGTTTACCGGTACAGTTTTAGCCTTTCGAACCCTTTCTTTAGATCAGACCACAGCTTCGTTACGGGCCACCACTTCGTTGAGACCCTGTTCCTCTTCCTCACGCTGCTCCACCGATACCCAACACACCGGGACAAGTGGCTCGAGCGACAGGCCAAAGAGACAGCGAGGAGATGGATCCTGTTCGCGAATGGCAAAGAGCCGTGGGACGAGTACGTGGTCAGCGAGAGCGGCGACACGAACAGCGCGAAGATGGCGGTGTGCGACGACATTAGAGGCTGGCATGTGAAGACCATGGCGCAGGACGAAGAGGAGAGCAATCCGACCCGTGGGGCCCCAGGAGATACGTCGGCTGGGGAGCCTGGGAGAAAGCATACCAAGCGCTGAAGAAGCCCGGCATGACCACGCAGAAATGGGCGCAGAGCGTTCACATGGCACGACTGAGGATCATCGGAAGTATCAGGGGGCACGAAGCAGAGGAGGGATCCAAAGTCGAAGCCGAGAAGGCCAGTAGTGCTGGACCAGAGTCTGAAAAGCAAGAAGGCCTGGAGGCGGAAGAAGAGGTCGCCAGCGTGGTTTGAACGCGATTTGCCCACATTGCGCCCATGCTTTGCACTGCTTTGGTTCCCGTTTCCTTCCCAAATGGTGCCATATCTTGCTGGTTGCGCGTGTTTGAGGCATTCAGCACTTATTTTCGACAGGGATTGTGTTTAACAGCAGCGGACAACTAGCGTCAACGTTGAAAAATTGAAAAATAAAAAGGGAAACTGGTTGCCGCGTCAAGAGACTGCCCATTCCTTCTCCATTCGGCCTAGACCCTCCAGCCTGTCACATAGGTAGTGCCATGGTATGGACCACTCTGTGGCGTTTTTGGGCCATTTTAGCCGCATCTCGGCCTGGCGTGTATCTCAGCAACGTGATAGAGTGAACCGTGCGAATGCAAGAGAGTTGAGAACGCCTCTTCATACTCATGCATCACATTCGGAGGCCACATATCTTTACCAGCCACTTCACCCTCAACTTCACTAGCCACACCACCTTACCCAGTACGAGGTACAGTGTCGCTACCAACCCCGCGATGTCCCGTCATTTGAAGAAGGTGCTTTGTCTGTGGGCTTGGATCTCGCTGCTTATCTGGCTCGCTGTTTTGCGAGATAGTCAGCAGCCGAGGGAGCTTCGAGCAGTTTGCCCCATCGCAACTGCGGCGAGCCGCAACTTACTTTCCTGTGGGACTCGTGAAACTCTAACATCTGGAAGTATTTCACGATGACGCTGTGGCCACTTGTCTACAGCTTGGTGCTGCTGGGCCTTCTTTGGTCAGCGGGGAAGGTATGCTTTCTGTTTTCGTCGTCGACATGTATCATACAACCCTCCAGCCTAGCCGTCTGTACGGGAGTACTGGCCAACTGACCGACCGAGCATGACAGGCAGCGTATCGACTACTCTTTCACCCTCTACGCCACGTCCCCGGCCCGTTCCTCGCGCGAATCTCCGTGAAATGGCTCATCTACCATGACCTGGCAGGCTCACGGGCTGTGTCGTTATACGCTGCCCACGAAAAATACGGTAACATCATCCGCATTGCACCCGACGAGCTCTCCTTCTCGGATCATACGGTGATCAAAGAGATCTATTCGCAGGGGACTACCCTCTTGAAGTCTCCCTTCTACAGCGGCCTGAACGAGGGCCTGCCGAATCTCTTTGACGGCATCGACCGCGAAGCTCACAAGGAGACGCGCAAGCTGTTGGGCCATGCCTTTGCGAGAAGTAGCATCATAGAAGCCGAGCCGCTGGTGGCGGAGCAGATTGATAAATTTCTAGATTGGATCAAGCAGAAAGAAGCCACGCTCATGAACGTGTATGCGTGGTTCCTGATGTTGTCGTTGGACATCGTATCGTCACTACTAATGGGACAGCCGGTCGGCGCTCTAGACTCTGACACAGAACACCCGTATCTCTCTAATCTCGACAACCATCTGATCATGAGCGGAGTCCGATGGCAATTGCCCTACCTCTTGCCGTTGACATCGTGGATCCCCATCCCGAGCTGGCAATTTTTCCTGACGTCGCAAAGGCGATTATATGAATATGGCAGACGCGCCTTTGACGTCTACATCTCAAAGTATGGGCGCAATGGCTAACGCAATGATCTGTTGAAGCGTGTTTTGGTAGGCGACAAGACAGTGAAGCCACTCACGGACGAAGAGATCTTCCGAGATCGGCAGCCAGATGATCGGTGGCACAGACACGACAAGCACCACCCTTACCTACACGGCATGGGAACTGGCCAAGCAACCTGCCTTGCAGGAGGTGATGCGGAATGAACTGCGAACTGCGCGATTGCACGCTGACTCGGAAGTGTTAAGGGATTCTGATTTGGAAGAGTTACCATTACTTAACGTGGTGGTGATGGAAGGGTTGAGGCTGCACCCAGCTGCACCCTCGAGCTTGCCCCGGGTAGTGCCCAAGGGCGGCGTGAGACTCTCAGGTATCCGGGTCCCCGAAGGTGTGAGTTGCAAACAAAGATACGCACTTTTGCAAGGAACGAGGCCACACACAGCTAACACTATACTTTTCAGACAACGGTCTCAATGATGAATTTCTCCACCCATCACAACCGCGAGGCATTCCCAGAACCGTTTTCGTTCAATCCTGACCGCTGGCTCAAGACCAATGGAGGCACGCCGGAAATGAAGGAACCTACATGCCATTCTCCAAGGGGTCTCGGATGTGCATTGGTATTCACCTCGCGATGATGGAGCTCAAGATGATACTCGCGACGATAGTGTCCGGCTGGAAGCTTAGTGTCGGCGAACGGACCACAGAGGACATCATGAAGATGACAGACCACTTCGTGTTGATGCCCAAAGGTGGCTTCTGTGAACTTTACTCGAAGAAAATCAAGACATGAGATTTGCTACATTTAGAGACGTGTCTCTTTACCGCTACTGGGCATGGCTGGCTGTCTCAAGCTAGGTTGCGCTAGTAATAGGTACCATAGCCCTGTCAAGGATCAAGATCAAGCCGTTGCTTCTCCTGGGGCTCCTCGTTGGCTTTTGACCGTATACGATATAACTGGTGTGGTGTAATTCGATCAGCAATTAGAGATACAGTAGCCGGGAACTTGGGCATGGGGTGGGGATAGGGTAGGAGTGCTTTTCAAGAATGGAAGGCTTTTGCTTTCTTGTTTGCTTGTTTGCTTAATAGTCATACACTGACGAGATGTTTCTGTATCCAGGCAAAGTTTCATCACTCAGTCGCTCAATTGGTCAGGCCAGGTAGTCAAAACAAGTGACTTCTCTCGTTGGTGTCTGAGTGTGAGAATGTGCATGCATGCCAGAAAACCCAAGACTAGATTGGATTGGATGGATTGGGTTTGGATTCGTGAGGTGGCAACAAACAAACAATCACATAACATGGCTGGATCCATCGGCTAGGACCCAAGCGGGATTCTGATCGTGGCGTTGGTGATGCTCTCGAAGTCAGCTTCTTCGAACCAGCCACCCGGCCCATGACGCTGCACGCTTGAATGAAGAGCGTGTGCAGCCGTTTGAATGCATGAGCATCGGTCAGCATGCCGTCGTCACTGTAAACATTGAGGCTCAAGTCTTCAAACTCCACACAGCCGCCGGGCACAGTGTTACTGCTGCTGTCCAAGTCAGGACCGGGGTCATGTTCGGGCTGGGAGGAGGACGAACTCCTACGCCTGCTGTACCAGCTTGGGAAAATTGGCGATGCAGGCTGGCATACCATGGTACGCCACCACCGCAAGTAAGGCACTGATCGATCCATTTCTCTTTTGCGCCTCATTCGCTTGGGGCTGAACAACGATCTGGAGACAGAAACCGTCTTGAATGTACTATCGACAATGAATAAAGTCGAATGGACGTCTCCAGGTCCAAGTGTTGTCGATGTCATCGAGCTCGAAGACCACGTTGGGGGGTACCCTGCAATTAGTTAACTAGTCAATCATCCTGACATTTCTCATCCAGTCCAGAAGTGAAAGAAGAAAGGATTCACGGAGAGACACGTAAATTGGGGCACTAGGGCATAGGTACAGCGTACATGCTAGCTCAGTTGGGTCGGGCTAATATCGACGCCGAGAACCTGGATAGCCCCTCAGAATCAGACGTGGCCGAGAAGAAGGGATTCTGTAGGAGCTTTCGCAACCTTTCAAGTCGGTTACTCAACACCTGCTATACAATCAGCAACCATCGAAAGGATGGTTCACTGTCAATCGAGAGACAGAAAGAAAGGGAAAAAGAGAGCTTCACCCATCTGAATAGCCCAGATCCCTATCCCTGCGCCAATGTCCAAGACCCTTTGAAGCGCCCGGAGCGGCGCCTGATGGAGCCTCCCACCATTGGCAATTGCCATCAGATGGTGGAGGATAAACCGCTCGCCCTCTTTCTCATCGTTGGTAAATAAGTAGGCTGATAGTCTGCAACATTGTTTCGTCCATTTGCCGAACTTCTAGTCTCCATTACACCCCCGGGTACTCCAGAAGGGACTGACACTCCTCAGCATGTATGTATATGCTCACTTCCCTGCCGAAATCCATGGTATCACCTCCCGTTCTCGTATTGGTAGTTGGTCACACTCGACAGAAGCGACGATGCACCAGAACCCAGATTGATATATACCAGACAACGCGGTGGTGGAGCTTGCTATCAACTCCCACAGAGAATGTATCTGACCAGGTACACCCCCCTGCATCGACTCGAGAGTAAAATTCATGCTTGTTATTCCGCATGGCTCTGGAGAGGACTTGGCCAAGGCCGTGTGTTTGTACTAATGCCACGCCAGTGTGCGGATTGGAAACCCCCCGGTAAAGGAAGGCAAACAAATAGCACGTACAGCCAAATGCTTCGAAAACACTGTGCTGAGACTCTGACTTTTGTCTACACTAACGCGGTCCCCCCGTACGAGGAAACCACACAACACAATATCCTATCACTTTTGACGTAGCTTCACTCTAGTCCGCCTCTGCGCGCTGTCCGAAATGATTGAGACCAACGCTCGTAGGTAGGTGGATAGGTGCTAGCACAGCCGCAGGGCCACGTTCAAGATGATCCACAGGAACTGAAATCGATCGACTTTCGCAAAGGTCGAAGATTAAGTGCTGGCTGGAGGAGCGACCGGGGGATAACTTTTTCACTAAGGGTCTGCAAGGCTGGTGTATACAACCTTTCCATACTATCGAGGTCGAAAAAGCAATGGAGATAGTGGTGAACGTAAAGGCTTGTTTGATAAGAGTTGTGGTGAGCTGCCTCGGTCCTCCATTGATGTTCCTCTCGTAATATACCAGCGAAAGGTCCAACCTCAACCTCCCGAGGTTTCAAGTCCGGTCGAATCAGTACGACTTTCATAGGCCTTCAAGATTTGAAATGTTTGGTATAATTTCGGGGCAAGTACCGGATGTCGAGGATTGCAGCCCAGTGCATCAGTTGCTAGGTTGACAGGCTTTTGTTCCAGCAGGTTGCGAGCATTGACGTCGGCTCCATGCTCGATCAGTATGTTAACGGCGGTGTGTTCCCCAAGAGAAGCTGCGTGGTGGAGAACTGTTTGATCCATCGGATCCCGCTTCCGCACGTCTGCCCCTGCGCGTAAGAGAATCTTAAGCAGTTCAGCACCATCTTGGGGTGATATCTTGGAGGCTGAGATATTTTGAACTATCCTCATGAGCCAAGTATGGCCATTTTCGTCATAGCTATCCGGGTCATCGCCTGCCTGGAGTCGCTGCCAGACAGATTTTTTGGATAGAGGAAGCCGTTGTAGTGACATCTGGCCACTAGAAAGCTCTGGTATAGCGTTTTCCAAATCGAGCAGTCTGCAGTGAATGGCAGAGCACCGACGAACAATGGGAAAGTCGGAAGCTGCTACGCAATTCTGGAGAACGCGTTCAATAAGGGCTTTCAGGCGGTCGATCAGACGAGGCCAGCCTTGACTCGGATCCAGCAACGCGACTTTTAGCCAGCGTTCGTCGCTACTAAGTACAGCTTCCAAAGCGTCTAGCAGCTGAGGGATTGTTAAAGTACAAAGTCGATCATCAGCAAGAAACATGGCCAAGAAGGTCCTCCCGTGCCGGTCACGACTATGGTATCGAAATCCCTGGTGCCCGGCAATAGCCAAAAGTCGATGAAAGTGATCGACCTTGTCCGTGAGCCAGCTCTGATCAAGCAGATGCAAGAAGGATTCTCCGTAAATGTTCGTACGGTTGGAAGTAGAGCTTTGGGCAAGGAGCTGTCCCAAGACATCAAAGGTCGCGCCGTACCGTGCGGCTATATGCAAAATCCCGTCGCCGAAGACATCGACTTTGTCAAAATCTTCTTTGCATAGATGAGAGATGGCCTCAATGTTCTGGAGGGCAGCTGCGACCTTCCGATGAATGCATGTTGCTGACTGCATGCAACAAGATGTAATCAGTGAGGTATTGTGGGTGCTGAAATGTTTGGGGGTTGGACCTGTTGTATGTGGCGTAGGACGGCCAAGACGTTGCGAGGATGCCATGATGCTCCGGCCGGACATCTCAGCGACAAATTTATATCGCCGGCTCCAGTATGGATAGTTCGATTAGAAATTGAGAGGAATGCTGAACTATGGTTTAGAATAGGTGTGGAACTGATTTCTGGACCACCGAGTATGAGAATGGGTGTTGGAGGAGGTGTTGGACAAGACGTGGGTTGGGTTTTGAACTGGGTGTTCAATGGTCTTGGGTGGCAGTTTCATTCTTGCGCACTACTCCTTCCCTCGAAATGATTCCGAGTTCGACATGCCATTCGGCGCCCCCCAAAAAGGGCAATCACTGTCGACCACCGCCGCATCGTTCCTGGCGACCTGGGTTGCAGCTCTGAGTAGCGAGGCCCAGGGAAGTCGCCTAGCAACTTCTGCAGAGATCTCTTCGTAATGTCATTGCTATGTGATCTGCTCACAGGTTTTCTCAAGGCTCGACGCCGGAGAAGAAGTACAGTCGTGCAAGCTTCTCGATTCTGCCATTGCTCTTCCAGAACTTTGCAACTTGCGGTGGCCGTCGCGGACCTCACTATACCTTGGGTTGTTTCTTCTTATTGACCGGAGAGCGTTGAGGTTAAGAACTGGCACGTGAGGTCTTGGACTCAGCCATTGCAAGGACGCGGAAAGAGTTGTGCGGCAACACGAATCAAGAACAATGGTTGGATCTGGGCCTCCCCTTAGGGGCTCTGGGAACCTAGGAGGATATTGAAGGAGAAAGAAAGACATGGCGAAGGAGGGGTGTTTCAGGGAATGGGGCCTAGCAAATAATACAACTCTGGATGATGGAGCGAAAAGAGGTTGGCGGCGCAGCAGCATTGAGGAGCGCAAAGTAGCGGTGGCAACGCCGAGGCAGAAGCACATAGTCGCGCAAAAACTCCAGGCATGGCCTTGGCATGTCGTTCTGGGCGGGGTCCCTCGTACGGAGGAGTAGATACCTCGTCACGCTTCTCCCTCCCACATTCTTGCACATTGCACAGGCCCCAGATAGACCTCAGCAAGCACTTTCAAGCAACCTTTCCCAACCTCCACGATGGCGACTAGGGAAATGAAAGCTCATTCAATGACCAAAGTCTCCCTGCTCCTTCCAATCACCAATGCTTAGTCTCCTCCTACCATCCCCACCATGATAGAAAGCCCACACGGGAGTATCGAGCTTCTGACTCGAGGGATTAGCTTGCTACAGGCCTGTGGCAGCACTAGGAAGTACCTCTTGGAGCAGAATTCAACCATGAGAGCAGGAACAGGAATGGTGCGGGCAAAAGTTTTTGGAGTCTGCCAATCAATGCACATCTCGTCTCGGCACTGTGCGACTCGAAGGCCGCCTATCCATTGGCACGCTGTACTCACTCTCATTTATTTAAGCAACCTACCGGTATGGTTTGAAGATGGCGCACCTCTTATCCTTCCTCAACGAGCCTCGACATATGCCTGAGAAGATTTGCAAAGCTATTTTCTGCTACCTGAAAGTCTCTTTATCTGTTCAAGCCTGACCTACCACGGCTGTCCGTCCGCACGCTATAACATCCGATCATCCTTCTCGCGATGACTGGGAACGCCATAAGTCGGGGTTGTTTCAACTCTTCTTACAGCAGGGAATGACCCTGAAGTGTATTGTCAAATGCATGGGGGCAAGTCATGCCTTCAACGCTTCGTACGCCACAACAAGCTTGGGTTTGCCACAACCTAACACATGGTAGCAACTAACTATTCCGCAGTGAACAACAGTACAAGGCCAAGTTCCAAGAATGGGGTTTCCGCAGGAACTTGAAACCCGGGGAGTGGCAGTCTATCAGCCACACGATATGCAAGAGACAGCATGAAGAAATCAAAGAAAGCGAAGTCTACCTGAACGGCGTCTTGATACCAACGGCAAAGCGGCAAAAAGCGCTCCACCGGTACTTTGACTTGCCGAAGCTTCTGCCACAAGTGTTCACAGCTAACGTACATCCACCATTGTCTCTGGCTCGCCCTTTTACTCTTTAGGATGGCTAAGTATTCGTCCTTCAGGCCAAGGACTTCCAGCTGGAGTAGTCATACGCACCCCTCCGTATCGCCGTTGAGGGTCGGAAACATCGAGACCGAGAGATCCGAGCTCGCCATTGACTTTTTGCGCCCCCACAGTCACAGCAGGGGACTCAGGCTCATTCGACTACCTTACAACATCATCTATGGTATCCTTGGCGTCCTTGCAGTTGAGGATATGTCCACAATTCGCTTCGTTTGCCGAGATTTCCTGTCCCATACCCTTGACAATGCACTTGTCGAAAATTGCTGACGGTAAGATGCAACGCATGTTCTTGCTTATGATTATGATCCTCTCCGGAGACGAGACTAAAGGGTGAGGCAGAACAAACACGCTCTACTGCCGGAAGCAAGAAGGGCGCTGGCCAGCGGAGCGAGCTATGCCCATGCGTTGCACAATACCTTTGCAATTAGAGGAGCATTCCACTCCGGCCGGCCTTATTCGGTCTCGCTGCTAGGGACTGGTTCGCAGCTATTGTACCGACATGGTATACTGACTTATGTCCGGTCCGGGCACATACGCCTTCTCGGGCTACATAAAATGGCCACTGAGGAACTAGTCATCAACCCGCTCGGAGTGGCAGATAGTTTTTTGCTATCTGGGTGCTCATACATTAACTTCAATATGGCAGAACCTGTCCTGCTCGACTATAGAGACGACATCCTCGCATACTCACAGGTCCTTGAGATAAAGAAATGGCTTGTTGCCGTTGACGTGGCCCATCCCACCTGCAGATATGGAACAAGGATCCCGCTCTGCACCTTGTGGCCTTTCGCTGACCCACTTGTTGTCATGTTTAGCCCGCTGTACCTCTGCTACGGCATCTGGTGGCGCCCGCGGGGATGGTATTTTCATTCTTATAATTTACGCCTTAAAGAGGAGAGAGCGTTTGAGATTTCTCTTCGCTTTTATTCCTCGTTTGGCGAGAGCGATATCGGTCGCTCCGTCTGTTTCGAGATCTTCAATGGGATTTTCTATGTTGTCATCGGTCGCAATTCTGGCGGCGGAGAGAGCGAGCTTGAGTTCTCCTCGGCGTATCGGTGTCTGAAATCCCACCTCGAGACTGTACGCAACGGTGACATGGATGTGTCATGGGTTTACCGTCGGAGCCTGGGGCCCGTGTGTGGATACTCCTCGACTGGCACATCTTCCGCATGTCGCGCCCTTTCTCTAGAGCCTGACACATCCTCGCACAGCGGCTGCGGCCTCGGCCTGAATATTGTGGAGATCTGGGAAGAGCAATATCCTGAACGGACTGTAAAGGCCATCTCAGTGCAGACCCTCGGCTCTGCAACTGCTCCAGCCGCGAGACTCGGCGACACAGGCAGAGTCCACCTCGCAATTAGGCAAGGTCACGGATCTGTTCGCGCCCCGCCTGGGAAGTATATCGCTAGAATGGAGATCTCCTTCCGGGGATTTGCAGAAAAGTGAGCGACTTGCGAAAGCGTGTCCCGCACTACGTGAACTGGGCACCCGATATGATGGCGTTGGCACTGGAACACGAATTAGGCGCCCTCATGGAAAAGAGAGGATGAAAGGTCATCCCCTCGTTGGCCATGCCGGCGATATCTCTTGAAAGCGAGATTACGCTTGAACTAATAAAGTGCTACTATGAGGAACACGATCCTTCTTCCACCGAGCCACGTCCAGGGCCAGAACGCCAGCGGGAAGAAGGTGCCCGGCCCAAACCATTCCTGCAGAGTTGCAACACCTCGGCCGTGACCTCAATCGACGCATTCAAGGTCGCGGGCCCTATGGGATTTAAGCAGCTCCTGCAACTGCGCTTTTAGAAGAGAGCACCACCCGAAACCGATGGAAACCAACAGCCCCATGCCCATAACACGCCCAGGCCCACTTTGTGGCCTTCTAAACATGCCTCCGAACATCTCCTTGCGCTAATAGGATCGAAGTACGATACTAATTTGCAAATCGAGAGGGTTTTGGACGAGCACGGCATTTTCTGCAGATTCACGACGGGCATCACGGCGATGGACGGCAAAGAAGGGCGGATCATTTACATTTCATTTGATCCAGAGCTGTTCTTTGGGAAATCGAGCAAAGCTGAAGGTGAACTTGCTGCGAGAGTGGATCTAGATCTGGATGAGGAGATTGAAATGAACAACTTCTTTGACTTCGACAATTATTACAATGACAGGAGCAATGCTGGGCTGGAAGAGGAATCCCTGGGGCGGCACGAGAGTGTGGATATTATGGTCGGACAAGTGTCGGCGAAGCGAAACACGGTATTCCCCCTTTGGCGTGAAAAACCTCAGTAGCTCCAGGTCAAAAAGTGCATCCGATGCTGAAGGGCTGACGAAAAGCCACAATGTACTACTCAGAGACGACCCGGAGCATTTGATTCTTAATTGTGATGCGGTATGAACCTATCGACAAGGAAGAGTAATGATTCTGACAGCACATGTTAAGCGTGATGCTAGTAACATTCAAGAGATTTTATATTAATCTGTCTGACGATGCTCGATCTACAAGAGGCCTTCCTCCTAGTATTTCATATATAATTCCTACTATGACTAGGAGATATGTTCTACCTGTTGTCTCAGTTATTATCTTAGTTGAAACAGTCGAATCGGATCCGGAGACAGCTCCTTCTTCCAACAAGAGACGCCTTGAATGATCGAAACTAGCTGGCCAAACCGCGCCAAATATGAGCTCTTGCATGAAGGGGTTTCTAATTTAGCCCGAAGCTTGTGAGATGCAGGTAAGTTTTCTTGTCTCTGATTGTGGTAAGTCGATCTCTCCAATAGAAGGGATATACACGAGTCGTCACGTCTGCCTAGGAAAGTCAAGGCTGCCAGTGAGCTAGCTAATGACTCAACAAACCAGTAGCTACAAGTAAATACCTCAGCCTGGTGGCCTCAAGGGAGGGATCTCAAACGTCAAAACTCTAAATCTACTCCGTTCCTACGTATGGACTGTACGACCACGAACACGGAGTGTAAACAAAGGAGTAATAGGTACGGAACACTCCGCGCTGTGGGTGGCCTTGGTTTCTTGCTCCTCTGTACCGAGTATATAAGGCCTCGCCTTCTGCCTACTTACCTACACATTTACCTCTTGATCTACCCAGTATTTACCTACCTAGGTGCTCCAACTCCGATATCCCACCTCCCCATAGCCTCCAGTCTCCGGTCTACAGCAAGACCATGTCCTCGTTAACAGTCCACCACCTGCACATCTCGCAGTCCGAGCGAATCGTCTGGCTCTGCGAGGAACTAGAGATTCCCTACGTTTTGAAGACGTACAGGCGCAGCCCGATCTTCGCGCCGGCAGACCTGGCTGCTTTGACGCCGCAGCGGTCCGCGCCGGTCATCACGACCACCAACGCCGTGACGGGCGTCGAGTTCAACATGTCCGAGTCCGGCGCCATCGCCGAGTACATCAACAGCATATTCGGACACAATCGACTCTCGCTCGCGCCCACGCACGAGAACTACCCGGACTACGTGTTCTGGTTCCACTTCGCCAGCGCGAGCCTGGCGCTGGCGTTCTTCCGCAAGATGAACGCCGCGCTACTCCAACCGGCGGCCGACAACGCCTTCGCAAAGGCCATCGGCGCGGGACTCCACAAACACCTCGCCGCCGTGGATGCGCGGCTTGCGCACACCGGCGCCTACCTCGTGGGCGAGCACTTCACGCTCGCGGACATCATGACCGCCTGGTCCCTCACCACGGGCCGCCAGTGGCATCCCGCCGATCTCTCAGCATATCCGGCCATCCTGGCGTATTTGCAGCGCATCGCCGCGCGGGAGGGGTACCGGAGGGCGATGGACAAGGCCGAGCCAGGCCTGGATTGGCGGCAGGCGCTGACGGCCCAGGGCCCGGAGGTGTTCCCTGCGTACCGCCAACTGTTGGACCAGATGGGGATCGATGCTGCGCAGCTGAAGAACTGAGTCGAGTCGATATCCGTGTCCATGCCACCTAAATCAGAAATCGAATCCAAAAAGAAAATGAACCGATCCAGATCAAACCAAACTAAACCAAACGGACCCAAACTGAATCGCATCAGCTTGAACCAGGTTAAACCGAAGCGCGCAAACGACTTACTTACTTACTCACCTCAGCGAACATACTACAATATTTCCAATCTCCGGGGGGGCAAAACCCAGGGAAGTGCGGAACACGGAGGCACGGAGCACGTGCGTAATATATATACTAGTGTACACCACCCAAACCTCCATGAACGACAGGAAGACCAAAGCGCGGCAAAAGGGAAAGGGCAAGGGGAAGGGCATCGAGGCGGTCGATGGAACCGATGGGACTAACAGGACTGATGGCATGGGGATAGTGGCGACTAAGACAAAGTGAAGCAGAGCTGAGCAGAGCGCAAGGGGGACAAACACCCCGGAAGGAAAAAGCAAGGCAAGGCAAAGGGGATTAAGCGTGGACAAGATCTCAATTCACTCACTCACCCACTCACCCACTCACCCATCCACGCACCGGCCGACCCATTCTCCCTATGCTATGTACTTATACTCCTCCACGGCTGGTACATGACAATCAAAGTTCCATCGATCTGATTCTCCTGTACCTACTGCGCCTCGTGCCTACCGTAACAAAGGGTGTAGATCTGCTGTCTGTTCCAGTCCGCGTACGTCTCGCTCAATCTAGCTGGGTCTTAGAGCTACGTAGTGTCTGGACCGAGGATGCGGCAGTCAACCAAGAGGGACAAAAGGCGAGAAAAGGTGATTTTTGTCTCTCGAAGTTTACCAGTCGATGCAGGTCTAGCTCTATCTCGTTGATCGGAAGAGGTGGTGTGTCTAGTTCTCGAGACCGCGCTCCACGTTCCTCTTTTCCGTCCGTCATGCTCGTCATCGTGTCTTCGCAAGATCGCTTTTTTCTTCTTCTCCGCCCTCCATCTAAGAACAGACACATCAGGCGCCGAAAATCGCCTTCAAAAGGTATTTCGAGGCTTCCTCCCTGCCGGGGCTCTCTAGCATGCGATACACACGATTCCCACTCCTGTTTCCCAGCCAGTTGCCTCTATCATGGGGCACCTCGCCGTCCGAATTCCTCCTCCGCCTGGCCCGTTTATCGCCCACCGTCATGCCTCTGGTCCACTGGCCGGCGGTCTCAATTCGGATATCCTCGGGACTCCGCACGCTGGCTTTCCACGCCGGATCGTCGTGCGTCAGGACGTACCAGATACATAGCGGATCATGCAGGGCCAACGCCGCGCCATCGCCCTCGTGGCCGATGTGTAGCCGTTCCATCTTGTCGAGCATGGGCGTCATGAACGCGGTCATCCACGCCGCGAGCGGTGAACCGGCATCGAGGTGAGGCTTTGCGAAGGTGTTGAATTCACCGCGGCTGAGCATGTGGTATTCCGTAATGTCGAGGCTCATGAGCGTGAGCCTCAGCTGTCTGGGCAGGTGCGGAGGATATTGTGCGAGGCAGAAACTGCGCTCCCCTTCGGTTGCGACGGGCATTGTACTCGCTGGGATGGGTGACGAGAGTGCATACACTCGAGCTGCGGCGTAGGGGTCGGCGTAGACGTTGAACTCCGATACGGGCGTGACGTTGCCGATCCCGTCGACTGTGCCCCCCATGGTGACAACTTCTTTACATCTCAAAAAGGTCTCCGGGTCTTCGGCCGCGGCGAGGGCAAAGTTGGTGAGCGGGCCAATGGCAATCAGGGTGATGGTGTTCGGTTCATTCTCCCGCAGGAGGCGGAGAATCTCCTTGTGTGCAGGCTCGAGCGAAGGGATAAAGGAATTTGTGTCTTCCTTGAGGTCGACTTCAGGCTTGGCCTTCTCAGTAATGAAACTGTCCGGTGGAGGCTGTTCGAACAGCCTATTCCAACTCTCTTCGGGAGAGAAATGGGGATGACTCGTATGCGTCCCCGCCAATCCATCCGTGCCATGAAAATAATCGGCGCTCTCGATGCGATCCTGCAGGGGCTCGTCCGCACCGATGGCTACGATCGGCTTGAATTTGGTGAGACCTTCGAAACCGACTGGTTTGCCCTGTTGCTCGCGCCATGCAGTTTCTTTCTCCAGAACATGAAAGATGGCGACGACGTTGCGTAAGCAGGAGCGTACATCGACATTGCCGAATGTAATCGAGATGAGGAGCACTTCAAGCTCATCAGCGTTGGCGGCGAGGGCAAGCAGGATGGCGAGGACGTCGTCCACGCCCGGGTCGGTGTCGATGATGATGCGATTTTTGGGCGCCATGGCGGTCGCGGTCCTACGTGAAGGACTTTCTATATGGAGAAGTGATGATGGTGATTGACAAAGCTAGCCCGGTCACTGGGAAGCCGAGTGTACAGGCGGACAAGCCGAGTTGTGGTTCAAAGAAGCAATTGCAATTGAAGGGAGTAGTGTTGCCTAATGGGTTCGCCGGTTAGCAGACGACTTAGTGCGGTTCGATGGTGTTTTGTACCGAGTAGATCGTGGTGTTGCTTTTCTCTGAGCGACAAATCACCCACGTTCGGCGATGTCCGGTTAATATCGCTTCGGCGAGGATGAGAGATCGACGGCTTGGCATTACATCCACATATCCAAGGGCAGCCTTCGAGCCTTATCCTCCATACTAGGTATTACTCCACGCTCCGCACACTTGTATAAGTTAATTGTCAGGATGAGGTGCTGGGACACAAGACATGGTTTCAATGGAGAATGTGCTTGCTTGATTTTGAGGTTATTGCCTTTCTGAATCTGCCCAGTTCCGGGTCTTAAGGCAAGACGAGGAACATGTGAGCGGGATTTGTCCCAACCTACGCTCTATCCCTGAGAATGCAACCGCTTATGCAAGGTAGATCTCACAAGTCTTGTTTCTTCATCATGGCCCTTGCCCCTGAAGCCGCGCGTCGAATTCCTCCGTGGGGCTGGTGTCGAGCCAGCCAACTAATGAGACCACTTGTTTCGTCACACCCCGCGGTGTCTTGTATCTGTCTGCTTTCATGCGCCTGGCCCCTGTCATTGTCTTGTATGGTCTCATTCCACGTTGTTATACCCTTGACGCGTGTTGTGAGGATAGCTTCCCTCTGTTTCTCCCTGACGAACACCCTTGCAGTGAATGTTTGGCGCGTTTTCAGTAGACCTTCTTCTTCTCATCCACACTCAATTGACCGGGACCCATGTTGACCAGTAACAAGAGACCGCCCATGATGGACAGGATTTGGAAAAAGTCGTATTTGGCAAAGTCTTTGTGTGGATGGTTCTTATGAAGCTGCAGGTGTAGAGCATCAGCACGGTCATCCGACAAAAACAAAAGGCCAAAATCCCACTTACTGTCCAGAAATTGTTGACCAGCACGTTGAAGACACTGAGCAAGAGAACCAGAATGATAGCGCTGAGCTTGGCCTTGAATCCTACTACCACCATCACACAGGCCACGAATCCAATCAGACTGACCAGGACTCTCCAGACGCTCCATTCGCCAGCAAAGACGAATCCGATGAAGAGGAAAATCAAGAGGACTCGGCCCCCGAGCTGGATGTACATCTTCTTGTCCTTTTCATCAATTGACGGTAGGCCCGCAAACACCCTCTTTTTGACGAAACTGTCTCCAAGAACCATGAGCAGACCGCCGATCACGGACAGGTTGCGCAGGAAGAAATTCAGGTCGAAGATGAGGCCGTAGCCGAGAGCTTGGACAACCACAACGGACAACAGACCGCCCACGGCGTACTCGCCATAGCGGCGCATGATCACAAGTGTTGAGCAGACTGACATGGTGATGACATTGAAGATGAGGAACAGGTGGGTGATGCCCCAGGGGACTAGTCCAACAATCGTCAGTATCTGCAGTTCTCCTTTTCCCTTCCCATGGCTCACGCACTATGTCTGAAATCCCTCAAGTATATGAGCTGGTCGTTCCATTGAGTAACGATTCTGACTGCGTCTTCGATAAATGTCACGACGATGAGGAATCTACCGATGGCGGGCAGGTATCTGTGTGTATAATCTCTTCGAGTAAGCTTCCAATTTGTCTTCCCAGCAGTTCACATAGCTTTTTGAGCCAAAGGAAGGCGGAATGGGGCAATCCTCACGGTTTCAGCGGCTCGCCCATCGTGTTCAACCAGTCCTCAATTTTGCTCGTCTGTTCTCGGATCTGGTCGAGTGGACTGGGGTCGTTGGTGGCATTGTCGCTCCGTTGAGAGCCGAACTGGTTGTTCAGGCCCAGATTGTAGCCTGCAGTGCCTCTTATTTGCGCCATATTGACGCTGGGGAGGAAGTAAATGGTGGCAGTTGCTTGCCTGTTGGGTCGGGTCAGGTGAGGGAGGGCTAAATCGCAATCGAAATTTGGGTTCGGCAGAGAAAGAGGGAGGAAGCAGGTGAGCGACCAAAAAGGGAGAGGGCGTGGTGTGGTGGTAGGAGACCGGGTGGGTGTGCGTGTGTTTCAAAGCAGTGACTGCCCAAAAATCTCCCACGCAGAAGGAGTGAGATTATATTGACCGGCGGTAGGGTGAACAGCTGGGTGAATATGCAACCCTGGTGGGTGGTGATGGAAGCACAGCTCAGCAGACCACAGTGCAGACACAAAATACTGGCTTTGGTACGAGGTATTCTTAACACGCTGGCTACTAGCAGCCACCGCACAAGCAGCCACCGCACTGAGGGGAGGTTCTGGCACCACTGGCCGTGCTATTCTCAGCCCGGCCAATAAGACTGCCTACGCCGTCTGCATCCCCTGATTTTGGTTCTGACTAAGTCCACAATACTTTTTTTTCAATCAGCCACGGATTGTGTCTTCTAGAACATCCGCCACTGCTGGGTTACTATCGCTGCAACATGACTTGCATATCATATGTATACACAAAGTCCACACGGGTTCTGTCTTAAGGACTGTGCCAGTGGCGCAATCGTTTTTCTTCGTTTTTCAGAGTAGTACATTTTTCTCCCTTTTCCGTATGGAGAAATTTTGACCTCGCCGAGTCGCATCTGCAATTCCACAACTTCCGCTCTGCATTTGCCTCTGGCCTTTTGGCCTTGTGAATATCCGTGCCCATGCTAATACTCCCTAAACAATGCTCCATGTGGGCTAGGCTTGAATTCAAAAAAAAAAATAGAGGAAAAAAGGAAAAATAGAAGAAAAGAAAACACACATAAAAAAAACTAAGCACCTGTGTCTTTCAAATGCCCACGAAGTATTGGCGACAAGGCACGTCACATCCGCCCATCAACACTTCCAGAGCGAGTGTCCTCCCTCATAACATTGTTAGAAATGGTCAGGCCTCCCACTCCGCATCCTTGAACGACGGATCTGTCACTGGCTCAATCGACTGGAATCGGTTCGGGTTCTCCACGCGAGCTTTGACACCGTTTGTTTGACTGCCGTTGACGACCGGCTGGTTGTTTGGCATCGGTTTTGCAATCGAAGAACTTGTTTCGCTGCTTGTGTCGTTCAGATCCTTTTTCGCCTTCTTCTTGCCCTTCTTGCTTGTCACAGATTCCCATTGCTCTTCTTGTGCAAGCTCGTTTGCCCATTTATCTTGCTCCTCCTCATTGACTTCATCAGCCCAGCTTGGGCGGCTACCTAGAGCGGGTCTTGCAAGTTTCTCTCGGTCCGACGCACCCAGCGCATTGGTCTTGCCTTTCCCGATGTCTTGCTGAACTTCACTGACACTTGTTGCCTCTGGGACAGTGTTGACGACATCTGACAGAGGCTCTGAAGTGACGGACCCATTCACAGTGACTGTGGGTATATTTGTCTTTTCAAAGGTGTCTAAAAGAGGTGCAGCTTCGCTGCTGGTAGTGGTCTGGACCAACTTCTCCGAAGCTGGTTTTCCACTCTGCCAGGCATTTTGCTTCACTGTAAATGAATTTGCTTTGGTTTGATTGGAGCTTCCGTCCGCCATTCTGGCAGTCCGCAGTTGTGCCTGTTTCTTTTGCTCGTGTATACGATCAGATTCTTCTCGCAGAGCCTTCCGCTCGGTTGCCTTTGCCTGTCTCTGTCTCTGTTTCTTGGTCAGGGCAGGTTGGAAAGCAGCTTTGGAAGAGCCCGATGCTGCCTTTGGGCTCTCATTCTTGACGTCAGTCAATCTCAAAACGCCAGGTTTGGCTGCAGGGGCCTCCAACATGTCCGAGACGTCACCAGCCCGGGAGGTGGGTGCAGTCGACACAGGACCAGTGGAGGGAGATCCAATCGGAGACAGATCATCGTCTGCATCGCGACCGGTGGTGGAAGAAGTCTCGGTGGACAACCCTGAAGCTTCTAGACCATTTTGCTTTCCTTGCGCAGCCTTTGCGGCAGCACGTCGCTCTTTCTTGTTGGTTACCTGTGATTTGGCCGGCTCTAGGTTTGTGCCAGCCTGCGCTTTAGCAAGCTGTTGAGCGAATTCTTTATTGCTCATTCCATCATCCTCGTCTCGGGGCAGGGTCACCCGTTGGCCCTCGGTAGTCTGAACGACAACCGTATCCTCAATGGGAGCAGAGATGAGCTTCCTTCTCTTGTTGGCCTTGCCTTCAATAGCACTGGTTGGGGTGGACGTGCCACTATTGCTAGTCTCCAGTTGACTGGCATGTGTCCGCTTCGCCTTCTGTCGTTTGGCAGGAAGCCTCTCCGACCCTGCTGGCGGCTGTGGCGCTCGTGCGAATGCGCGGCCGGTAAGTCTGTAGAACAAGTCCGGGTTGTAGTATCGGGTGAGGGCCGCGGTCAGAGCAAGCAGGGCGACCCAAGAGGCGGCGGTGGACCACATCTTGGGGGTTGCCAGAGTGTTCGCAGGTATGGAGATCCGTTTGAAGGCTGGACGGCGGGCTCGCAGATGATATCTTGGCTTAGACGATCCTCTTCTGCTGTTGGATTCTGAAATGAGGTTCGAATAGCCTGGACGAGGGAGAGGTGGTACTCGTAGAAGACGTGGCGAAGCAAGGGATGATGCGGCGGGTGATTTCGAGCCGGAGGCCAAGCGGCTTGTCCCAAACTCAACAGGCGTCGGAGCAAATTGGAGGGAGAAAAGAAGGTGGTATGTAGCTGTGAAGGAAACAGGTGCTAGGACAAGCTCAAAAGCAATTGGGTTGCTGCTGAACGAGAGCAGATGACTGGGAAACGGTCTTGAAATGTCTCAGGAGAGTGGATGGCCGAAATGCAGCGAAATTTAGAACAAGACCCAAAGATCCGGGGTCAAGGCGGCTCTCTCTCAGTGGCTCAGAGTCAGATTGAACCAACGGGCACCTGCGGGAAGGATCACAGAGTACCTAGGCGAGGCTTTGAGGACCCAGAGAGCATTGACTTATTTGCTGCGTAATGAATGTGAATGGCGGAGGTCTGGCGGCGCGGGAGAGGGAGGGTCATGGGATAGGCGTTGCGAGAAGGTGGAGAAGAGCGCAGGGAGGACACAGTAAGGGCAGCGCTTGGTGGAGTGATGGCGACAGTGGTTGGTGGATGGTTGCACGGAGGAGAGATTCCGTTCTGGTATGATGCAGGTGAGAAGCGACTGTGGTGTGTGGTGCGTTGGGTGGTGCTTGGGGTGCTCGGGATACGTACGAAGGGTGATCTCGTGTTGTTATACGAGGGTGGAGGGGCGGGAAGATGGGTGACAACAGCCGTGAAAGAGGAATGGTGCTGATTCAGGAGGAGAAAGGAGTAGCTGTACTTGTACTTGTACTTGTAGAGAGTACCTCGTACTGATGGTGGTGGTGGTGGTGGTGGTGAAGCTCTTGGGAGCGGCGCGCAGCGCAGGCACTTCCGCCCAGCGGCACAGCCATTGAATCTCTCAATCTCTCACTCTCTCACTAGTCGGTGGCAATCACATTGCTTTTCGTTGATGCTGTCCATCCCCCTCATGATTACCAGATGGATCGATGTCCATCTGCCTCGTACTCGTACCACTACCACATTCACTTGCTGGTGCGTCGCCTGGGATGCTGCTCTTGCTCCTTCACCCCCGATTCCCCCTCCAGCTCCTTAACGTCGCCCTGTAATTTGAGCCTCGCCTCTTTCTCGACCACGACCACAGATGATTTTCCTCGAGGGAGCCACCAGGAGCCTCGTTCTCCACCTCCACACCGGCTCAGGCGTTGGCTGTTGGTCGCTTGTCCAATCATTATGGCATGACCTGCGGCAAAATGGTGCCATCTCATCTCCATTCTCCAGATCGCATAACGGACCCCAGCGCCGTGCCTAGCTCGTTTAATTTTTAGACTCCCCAGTTAATGCAGACGAGATGATCCCTGGTCCAGCAATCTACCAGAGCAGCTACCCAACCACATGCTTGTACCTTGCGTTGGTCGCGCTCAGCTACGGTGTTCCTTTTGTTACGGAGGACTCCACGAAGTCTGAAAATAGTTAGGATGCAGGAGAAGCATACAAAATCAAGGAGAATATGTAACATTCGTATCCATACACCCTTTCACTCACTCATTCGCTCAATCCGTGTGTCCCGCATCGTGATCATAAACGCCTTGCTCTCTAGCAGAACCCCTCAAACCTGGAAAGAACCGTCAATCAACAATCAACTCCCAACGTTCATCTGCACATATTGGCACAAATCCCCCAGAAGCAACTTCGATCCATGATGATGCGTTGCAGTGAAAGGTGGTAGCCGCCTGAGGCTATCGAAAAGGGGGTTTACCGGGCAGTGCGATTTTCACCATTCTATCGGCTGGTTCGATGGGACAACATAATGAAACCGCCATGAATCTCTTCTCTTCGGGACGAATAAGTCTCCTGCAATCCGTGATACCGGATGAACAACTGGTGGCGGTCTGACAATTGGATCCGACAAATGCTTGATCCGAGCTGGACTGTTGTTTTCCCTTTCCATCTTGGGATTGTGTGTGCTTTGGTCGATACTCTGTGCCTCACTGATGCTGAGGCCGTCATCTTCATCTTCAGCATCACTAGAGTGAACCAGGTCCTGGGTGTTGACTTGTTCGGAGGACAGCGTTTTGGCTATTTCCGTCTGTCTTTGCGGCCTGCCAATGACGCATAATGGAAAGCGCATTTCAGGTTCCGCGGCAGGCCTTCTGCGGGCTTCCATGACGGCAGCACTGGGAGGCGGAAGCAGCATCCAGGCAGCTTCGGCTCTCGTAGCAGGTAGCTGAGATACAACTGGAGGATGTAGGTCATTCACTTCGGGATGCCTTACTCGATTGTAGTCATATCGTTCACTCTCAATTGTGGGCGCACGCTTCCGTCGATACGCCGAAGGGTCTCCCACCTCTTCTTGCTCCTCGAGATCCTCGTGGTGCATTCCCGAAGTCGCCCGATTCCACATTCTCGTCACTCTCTCTGTAAACCCAGCTAAAATCTCATCCTCTCGGTCATATCTCTTCCAATTCCATTTTGGTGGATGGAGTGTCGTGCGGAGCGAGTCTTTTAGGTTCTCCATTGCACTAGACAGCCTTCTTTCTCGTGGTGGTCTCTCCTGAAATGAAGCAGACTTGGCACAGCTTGAGTCCACATCCTCGACCTCATCCACAGAAGATGTCCTTGTTGACGACTCAGGAGGCGAGTCTGTGAGCTGAGCTGATGGTCTTGCAACCGACTTTGCCGGCTGAGGGCTCGATTCCGGTGTTTCAGGAGACGAGGGAGCAGCATCCGAGCTGGGCGTCTCTGTGTACACTTTCTTTTGCAGCTTCTGCAGCAGCGTGTCTTTCTTCCAGCCCTTTGGTGGTCCGGGCCCAAGCATTAATTCTTCTGCCCACGCCTCATTTGTCTGGAACGGCCCAGGCTGCGTGACAATGCCTGGTTGAGTGACGACAATTTCTGCTTTTGCTTGTGCTTGCTCTTTCGCCTCCCTCCTCCTTTTCCGCCGGTGTCTATAGCCGAGACAGGGAGAGCAAGAAACATAGTAGAAGACTGCAGACTGGACTCCGCGAAGGAACCAATTGCCCGGTTCGGCGGTGTAGGGAGCAGACGCCATAGTCAGCGTTGAGCGTACAGGGCTCTCCTTATTTGGATGGGTTGAGGTCGTCTTCGCCGACCCATGGTACCGTTTGCGGTGACAGCAAACAAGCAAGGAGTGTGTGGTGTTGGTGGGTGGAGGGGGTGAGCTAGAATCAGCAGTGCACGGCAAGTGCGAAGGAAGTCGTGCAAGAATTCCACATCAGTTCATCAGTCAAATCACTCGTCGATCTGCAGACACGGTGACGACGTGGTGGAGGCAGTGCTTTTGATTGACAGTTTCATAGGTGATGGGGCCAGCCAATAACACAATGACAACAAGGAGGACAAGTTAGAGACAAATTCACGTGACAGGCTAAGATTGGCGCCGAAGATTAGCCGATCCAACACCTTCTCTCGGTTCTCAGTTGATGCTGCTTTGTTTGTTGTGATCTTTATTGACTGCTTTCTTCTTCAGTGTGGTTTATGAGAACCTTGCGCGCCCACTGTTCAATATACTCAACTCAGAGCATAAGAGATCAGAGACGTTACCCAATAGTAACTTCCTATTGTCGCCACACACAGTGCATCGATTCGACCACTTCAGGGACTGAAAAGACGCACATGAACGAGGTGCGGAGTATTCCCAGAATTGAAGAAGGAGCGGTGCATCAATCAAAGGTGGTCCCGTTATGATTCTGGATATTCTGGACACGCAAGCCTCCCTATTTTTAGTCGTGGCCCCTTCTGAATATGAACAAAAGCTCGACCCACTCTCATACCTTATGGTCAAGAAGCCTCCTTCTGGCTTTTCTTACCCTTGTCTCTAGCATTTCAAGAGCTCCAGCGTTTGGGAGCCTAAATGCTAGATCTTGTACTGACACATCGCTGGAATCAAAACATTTGACATCTGTCCTCGAAGGGAAAGGCATCTGCAACAGGTAGGAGTGGTCTTAAGGATCATAGCTAGAGTAAAACAAAACGTGAAGCCCTATCTCAGCATATTTCTCCTTGTATAGATGAAGACGTTTCTTCCAGTCGCATTATGGCGGAGATCATCCTGTAGAGTAATTATCATCCCATGCACGGCAACGCACAATGGCGTTGATTTCCTCTCCCCCAATCGATCCCCCAACCCTGTCTAGATCTGGTCAATGATTGGCTTCAAGCAGCATCTGGTGTCTCTGGACATGCAATGATTGACGTCGTGCAAGATTTTTCCTTGCCGCAGATCCCCTGCCCATCACTATTTGTGTGGCTTTCGGTCTCATCTAGGTTGCGGTCAAGCCAGGGATATTGTTATTGGTCAACTGAGCAAGAACATCCTCTTCGATCCTTCTTGAACCTTGAAAAAGCCTGTCTCGAGGAAGGATGTATTCAACCTTGTGTGTATGGACAATAATATCTCTAAGAGCCTGTGAAAAGGTCCCGAGACGGAGTATGCCAATAGGGTTAGATAACCCCGTCCGTGAAAGAAGTAAATTTGTTTAGTGAATACGAGATCTCCCTTCAAAGTCTCTTAGATCTTCGACCGGAGGCGTTATAATGTTCTGAAAGACAAGCAGTTGGAATTCTTCGTCGTCCGCTGTTGAGCTCCTGGTCTCCAACCAGAAAAGGCATTTGCTCACCGCATGGCCGTAGCGGAAGCCACTCTCGGAGTAGACCCGATCTAATACTGGAAAGGCCGCCTTCAAGTTGGCAATTGCTTCTACGGCATCTTTGGCTTCTGGTATCCGTAAGACCGATATAGTCTGGCACAGGGATAACTCAACTGAGTCCAGTCCCAGGGGGAACAGTACTTCGCTTCGGATGAGCGCATCGGTCATCATCCCAGCAGTCGACCCTGCCGTCTCCGGTTTATTGATCTCATGCCCAGAGAGATACGGATAGTCAACGAAGGATTTGCTACTGCTGTTGGGCTTTGGAAACAGAATATCGCGGCTTCGCCAATAACTCTTCGCCAATTTCTATGAAACTAAAGGATGCTGGACGCGAGGGTTGCTGCCAAAAACAACCGGTCACGTCTGCTGAGGAGGAAGGCTCGGCGAGCATCATGCGCTCCATCGGGATGCGAGGACAAGCTCATCAGGTCTTCTGGTGACTGTGATTCGACGATATCCTCGTGCTTCTCCACATACAAGCAGTACCTGCAACTACCATCACTTTCAGAGATTGACCCGAGATAGTCTTTCAGTTCACCAGTGGTACCAAGTAGCAGCGAACAAAAGTCGGATATGGGGAGAACCGATGGGACATTCGGGCCTTCAGGCCAAGGACGGCGCTGCAACGTTGCCGTTGCGTTGGCAACCACAAGCTCGACCTTTGTCTCAACCGCTGGCCGTTAACAGGCAGCACTTTGAGAAGTTGAAGCTGCCTTCTGTGGTACAGTGGTTGCGCTGAGCAGAACTAGTACTGTTTCAACTTCCCCCCATTGCCACATTCTCATGGCCTTTGAGTGATCTATTGTCGTAGAGAACGCCATTCGAAGTCGGGGCATAATTAGGCTCAGGTCTTGATCATCGTGATTTTCCAGGACATGCGGCTCAATTCGAAGGTGTACACATTGTGAATCTTTACATGAGCATTTCCAATAATTACCGCACATCACCGTGTTGTAAAGGTTGTCGGCATGCTTTCTCGCTGCTCTTTACCGCAAAAGTGGCTTTTTGGACATCCGATGCTTGTGTCGGCTCTCCTGACAATGGTCCAACTGGTCTATGAGAGTTTTGAGTGAAGCATTGGCGCTGTCGATCTTATTGAGCAAATCCGTATACACGGATTTGGAGAAGATGTCTTTAAACTGCTTGATCTCTCGTTCGACAGAACCGCCCTCGTCCCACGATATCTAATCAGCGAAAGGCCGAAAGTCAGCACGCTAGATCGATGAGGGAACGATCACTAAAGGAATGGTTAAGAGTATTCAAGACGTGGACCACGCATGGCCGAAACCCCACTAATCTGAGTAGCAACCTACCTTTAATGGATCCGCAGATTCAAGCCTTAGTTTCCTGGACAGAATCTCTAACAGGGTCGAAAGCTCGATCATGGTTCTGCTAAAGGCACCGAAGTTTCGGTCGAGTTTTTTGGCCAGCTTGTTCTGCAAGCGCGGATCCATCCAAAGTGGCCCCTGCGGGTTGCCGATCAGCTCGGATATTTCATCCTCGTAGTCGACAAGGCCTTCGAGAGACTGTTCCAATGTGTTTCGCAGGATAGCATGTTGAGTCCCGAGCCTTGCGGAATACTCTTCGAAATGGCGGCCTTATCGCCTTGTTCGAAAGCCCTTCAGAGTTTCAATACCTTGCACATATGCATCGAGCTGGTTCACAATCAGGGGAAGAATTGCAGGGACAATGCCTGTCGTCTCAACCCCGACTACCATCGCGACTTTCGCAGTGTCAGAGGGGCGAAGAGGCAACCTTCGAAAACCGGGTCGGCAGGAGCAGCAAAGAGGCCAGAGGAGAGGCAGGCTCGCGCTTGTGCGGCTTAAAACGATTGACAGTTGACGAGACCCTCGCTCTATACCCCATCACCCCACTTCATCCTGAGCCATAGAGCCGCATCAGCAGTTCGTCCCTTCTGTTCAGCCGGATCAGAGTTCAAACGCCATAGTCGCCGTGGACAACATCAGCATATAATTGCTTCCTATTGCCTATTGAAATCGATCAATTGAGGAAGCGTGACGACATCCTTCAAGTCATTACGGCTCCTACCTTTTCACCACTTATCTAGTTGAAGACAACACGGGCGCTCCTCTGGAGGGATTTTCTACAGTAATCAGCTGGTTATCGAGACAGAGCACCAAGCGACTTTAAATACATTCACCATGACATCGTCCATCTCAGCTGCGGTTGTTGATTGTCTCAAATCTTTTGACAGACTGACGATACGCGCCGAGTTGGCTGCACACGCGAATGAGGTCCACACAGATTCATGGGCCGATGAACTCGGAAGGCTGCGAATCTGGGCAGCAAATATCGGCGCTGGTCAAACAGGCCATGCGTCTCTAGACTATCAGCTGAGAGATGCGTCCCATGTTAGGGCTCAAGCGATCAAGCTTCTCGAACGGCTTCGGCGAACGCTCGAAGATGCTGATGATTTCCTGACCGAAGGCGAGGAAGTATATGAAAATATATTAGCTGATGATGAAGAGGAGACAGAGATACAGCAGATATACCGTGGTCTTGTCAACACCATTGATTACCTTTTCCAATCGAGTATGATCATCCGCAGGCCTGCCGCTCACGATAGGCTCCTGGGGACCAAGAGGCTAGATGCTGTCGTCTTTGAAAGTTTTGATCGCGACCATGTAGCAAATAAGTATCCCAACGCCAACAAACCCGTTATTGATCGGTTAGGAACTATAGGCTGTTTATGTTAGAGACTCGAGGCATGTGGAGTAGGACTCGGAGAAACCTGGCCTGTTCACTCGCAAGAGAAGGCGTTCAAGAATCTTCACTCACTTGCGATCAACGATGCGAGAGGAACCAAGCGCTTCTTTGGTCATATCACAATGGCTGCCCTTTTTGGGCCACCTGTACCTTTCATCATTGCCTTCCTGTAGGCCGACCCAGACTGTCGGAATATCCTTCATAGTCCAGCACTGGTTGGGCCCTCTTCGGAGCGACGGCTGGTAGTGGCTCTGGACTGGACATCGTCAGCCTCGCCCGTCATCACAACCAAGGTCATTATAACCCGGTCTAGACAACTAGAAGGAACAAAATGGAGAGATAGGGATGGCTTGAAAGTTGAAGATGGACTTTGCGACTCGACCGTACGGCGCTCCTTAAATTGTTGGACGGAGCTTTCGGAGGATTCACACCCGCTTCCACTTAATAATCGATTAGCTCCGCCTTTACTATTTTGGCAAACTTTGAGGACTTTTCGGTACCGCTGGGGCTGCCACGATGGTCCCTTCAGTGCCGCTAGAGCAGGACTTTGCCGTTATCTAGAGCTGTAGAGATAGTTAAAATTAGTGAAAGGGTTGGAACGTTGATGAATTCTGACGTGTCGCAAAGATTTATATGCGTCACCGCACAGCTATACGGCCAAGCATATTCTCTCTTGCGCTTTGTCGATCACTTGAACTTCGAGGTCTCACCTTACAAATTCTTCACACCTCGCCATGTATTGTAGTCCTACTCTACTGCACTTTAGATGACCAGAAACGGAAATTTGTTCCTTCTGCGTATAAGCAGAAAAAGGAAAAGAATGCGAGCATGACTCTTTGTTCTTATTCAATAACCTCCTGTCTCTCGTTGAACTGAACTCGAGACGGGTTTGAGCGACACTTGTTCCTGATGGCCCTGGGATTCCAAGATATCGGAGAATAATACAAAGCGACTTGCTCAACAGGTACAAAAGCCAAATATATCACCTAACTCCAAGGCTATGCAATGCAAAGTCCAGCCAATAAGTCTTCATACAAGTATGAAATCACCGCGTTCTTCTCTGCGGTAATTATCAACTCAGCTTCTGGAACTCTGAATCGAAGTCCGATCCCGCCTGCTCCGGCTCTGCCCATACATCATGTTCCTCCGTCAACGTTGCCAGACCCGGATGATAGGCCTCAGGCTGGTAATTTAGCTCAAACTGTGGTGCAGATTGATATGCAATTGTCCTTGGGATTTCATGTGCTGGCTCCGCACCGCCTTCATAATACACGATCTGGTAGCTGGGATCTAGTTGTCCGAGACGAGGGTCGAGAATGTCGTGCTGAACGGGTACCGCCATCGGCTGAGGCGCAGGATACGTTGTCAACAGCTCAGGGTGCTCAGGGTGCGGCATTCCCACCAGGCCCATTGTGGTTTGGTACTGAGGGAACGGGTCATCCAGCCGCCGATAAGTGATATCCGACACTTGCTCGTACGGCCCCACAGCGGTTGCAGGCTGATAATAGTCGCCAACCATGCCGTTGGAGCTGACCATTATCTGAGCAGGTGCGTACGGATTGCTCAGCTCATATGCCGACAAGTGATGCTGCTGTGGTGGTATCACCTGGTGATATACAGATGGCCTGTCATCGAATGGCGTCAAGGATGCACTTCTGCTTTCGAAGCGCCGGGCGCTGCGACTGCGCTTGGAGCTCTTGACCGAGCCTTCCCATTCCGGATCGCTTTCACTGACGTCGTCATCATTTCTTGCCCTCTTCCCTGCCTTGTTTGGTGCGAATTTGTAGTTGGGGTGGGCTGCGGCATGGTTGTCACGTTCGATGATGGCATATCGCTCGTACAGATCTCTGACCTCCTTCGGTTCCAGAGGCCAGCTCGCGCCTGTCACCTGTGAGACAACTTGGTGGTTGTTCTCCTTGCAGAATTGCTTCACTCGCTCTGCATACGCAGATCGATATAACATGAACGAGTTCATCGGCCTGGAAATATATCCTTTCTTTCTCTCAACCTCTGCCAGTCGCTCTTCGACTGGACGATTCACCCATAGTCCCATATCACGGACAGGTGTCTTATAATCCTTTGTGAGGATGCTGAGTGGTTGGTCGACTGCAGGTCCTCCCTTTTTGTTGCCGGCTTTCTTTCTCAGACTTTTGCGGGACTTTGGTGACAGTGAAGCACGTGATGATTCAGTGCCTCCAGGGCTGGATGGGGTACCGATAGTTCGACCGCTGCGCGTCAAGACGCCGATATTTCGAGGAGGAGTGTGAGATGGAACAGATCTAGCCATGGCCTATTTTGGTCAGTGTGTCGCGTTGGCGAGCTTGTGGACTCCAAACTTACTTGTTGCGGCGTGCAGTAGATCGGGGTAGGCGCTGTATGATAAAGGGATGGGTCGCCATAAGGATCCTGCGCGAGGTAAGCATCTGTCTACCATGTTTGTGCTGTGAACAACTTACGTATGTTTGGTGGGAGATAATCTCTGGTATGATTGATGCTTGAGGCATTGGCGGCGTGAATGGCTCTGGCTTCACAACAACTGGTGCGCTTTGTCTGGTATCGTCGCTTTGGCTGTAATGGCCATCGGTTGAATGAGGAGGTGACGGTGGGCGTCTAGTGACAGAGTCTTGGGCCATTGGTGCGGTAAGTCGTTCCAATGGCAAACGCAACTGTGCAAGCTGATATGAAGTTGAACGTGACCTTTTGCCCTTGTTGTCACTCCCAAGCAATCAAGCACCGAGAAGCTTGCCGACTGGAGCGAATGACAATTATATGTGATAGAGCCTTGCTGCTAAAGGTTTGAGCTGTCTCTTGACTGTTTGGGGCAGTCGCTTTATTATCTGAGCCGATGTTCCAGATTTTGTATCGAGCTGACAGCACCGCCCAATGCAAGTCTCAGGCTTGTCAGATTTGCTATCTGTCGCCCTCCGTTCGAGGACGAAGCCGTACAATGGAGGGAGCGCTTTATCCCAACGGCGCTACTTTGATGGCAAAGACAATTGTTGAAAGGCCTCTGTTGTCCTTGATGAGACTAGGTTGCAAATGCAGATCCGTCTTTATCAATTGTCGCAGCAACCCGTCGTTTGAACGGGAAGAGGATTAAAGGGGTTTGCGGTGTTCAAAGAGTAAGTGTCGGTATGCTGCAGTATAGTTGGAGTGCGATACTTGCGGTGAGGAGGATGGCAGCCTTCCCAGACTGACTTGGATGACGCCAGAAGCAGTTGGCTTTGTCTCAATTACCCGCAGGATGATGGATAGCAATCTCAACACCGAGACACTGACTGCCAGCAAAACGAGAATCTTTGTCAATGCAGAAAAAAAAGGAGGAGAAAGACTCTGAGAAGTAAACATATCAATCAACAGCGAGAGTCTCCACCATGTTGCTTTGGGCACGACGACAGTCGCTTTCAGCTGCAGTTGTTGCCGCATCCGGAAACATGGCCAAAATGTCGCTTTCTGACAACGGTTTGTTTTGTTTTCGGTTCGATGAAAGCAAAAGGAAAGGGAAAAGGGTAACTCCACGGGCTTCCTCATCCATGCTACCAGAGTACCGGGAGTCGTGAGCGGTGAAAGGAGTAGCCTGGTCCTAGGAGCTCTCCTTGGGTCTCTCCATGAAGCGCATCCGGTCTCTCCAGCCTTCAGAGGACCTCGGGAATTCCCCTTGAACACACAGGTCCGTCTACCAATCATGTCGAGAGCTTATATTGACTTAGACAAGGTCAACTCGAATAAGCCAGCTTTTCAAGAGCCATTTCCGTTGTGAAAGGAAGTCGATTAGAACCAGGTTCTGCTCGTTGTGCTCTGGGAGGGGGCCTACGGTTACTCCACAGTCCCCTGCCAATGCACGGGCCAGCGCCAGTCACATTCCTCATGCTTTCCCACAACCGCACGCAGTCAGGACCGGTATCATGCTCTCCATGCTCTCGCTGCTGCGAGCATTGAATTTGGGCGGGTCCTGATTCTGACTGAGCGGTGATTTGCCGAAGGTCCGCCTTCGCTGACTGGCTACCGACGGGTTGTCTGTGTGACGAACGACCCATATGATAGCGGTCACAAACATGATCTCCATGGAACCAGCTGTGGCATTCCATAATCTCCGATACGCCGCAGACATGTTCACCACAACTTTTTAAACGGCCAGCTACCTAGATCTGGAGCCGTGCCATTCTTGAGGCCCGAAGGTTATCCCTCTACAAATCTTCCGACGTCGCTCAGCGCAGAATTTTGAAAGCATTTTCGATACTGAAAGCATCTTCTCTGTCTCTAGCATCAAGTCAATTCAACTGATGCGAAAGCTCAATGGCAGCAGGGGCCCACCAGCATCCGGCCCGCTACCGCTTTGCCCCTGCCTCAGTCAGAATTCGGAGCAGGGTTGATTTTGGATGACTTCTCGATTTTTATCCGCCAACCTAGAGTACAGCATCCTTCCCCCAAGTTTCAGATCACTTCACCCAACCAATCAGGTTTGTAAAGCTCAATAGAATTCTCCGAGACTTCGATTTGTCATGGACCAAGATGATATGCAACCTCACAGGGATTTAATCCACTCGAATGGAAAGCTAATCTGTCCGGGTTTGGTTTTCACTATTTTGAGCAGGTCTTCCGAGCCATTCTCAAAGCGGCATACCGAATACCGACACGAAGCAGCATGCTTCAATTAATGCTGGCGACTGGCATGCAGACACTGCAAGTTTTCAATCTCGCTGTTCACCTCTCAAGCCTATGCGGCATGTGCTGGATCCACCAGTCCCCGAACTGGCCCAAGGTTCGCTTCCGCAGAAAACTCTGTTTTCACCCAATTGCATTCGAATTGTAGATCATCTTCCTCCTTTAGTCCTGTTAAGAGTTAGGTATACTTTCAAAAGTTGCGCATCCTGTAGATCTTGTTGGTGCCCCCCTCTACCTGGTGCGCGTCTTCCTCCATGGTACGTTCGCCCGTCTTTCCGCAACCTAATTCTCGTGACGTCCCCGCGTCTAACTTACCCAAAATGACAGTTTCCTCTCACACCTAGGGGCACTGGGCAGGATGAACTTATCTTGGCCCCTTGCTCGAAGGTGCCTCTGTCGCATACTACACCGTGCTCAGGATCCCTCCATTACCAAACAATCATATTGGGTTGTTGAGCCCTGATAGTGCAAATCCCAGGTTCCGGCCCAACAGTTATTTACCTTCAGGACGTTAGGCTAATATGGGGTCAAGGCTCACGCCTCATTCGCCATTCCCGGTATTCGAAATACTGCTCACCCCCCTTAATCGTGCTTGGCGGCGTCCGCTTGATGTGCATTAGGGCAGAGTTCTTGTCAAGTAGATGGACTCGGTTCAATATACCTTGCACTGGCACGGAGTCACACTTCAGAGCCCCATTCGTGATTGGACTGGGGAGCAGAGAGCCAAACTGCCGCGCGGAATCCAGGATGGCTCCCATAAAGCAACTGGAGTATGTGGGGACGAAGCATAATATATGAGGCGGCTCTGTCGACGGGACAAGATCGGATCTCACGATGGAAGAAAGCATTTGACGGATGCAGCATTTGACGGATGCAGCATTTGACTTTCCACTGACTTGCCCTTGCATTTGGTTCTAGGTACAAACCCCCCCGCGGGATCTACATCCCCAAACGCAGGCTTGTGAGCTCAATTGGAGCAAGCTCTCATGGGCGTGGCAATCGCATTCAAACATGGTCTTAACCCTGACTACGCGCTCCACGTTTTCGCGTTCCTTAGCATTCCTTCGCTATTCTTCGAGATTGACTCTACCCAGTAGAGCGCCGCATCCTGCGGGAGTGGTCCACAACAGAGTCCTGACCGACTACCCTTTTCATGCACGGCAGAACCCCTCTAGAAGGACTAGAATTTGCCTATTTGCGCCCTGGTCTCACCCCTTGCGGCAGACTAGTTACTTCCTCGATGAGTGGTGCCTGTCAATTGACAAATACAGCAAGCAGACCTATCGGAGCGTTCACAAGGACGCTGCAAATATCCTCCAGAATGTCAAGGTTCTGTATCTGAGCAGCCTCTCACATTGCTCGCATCAACTCACCTTCGAGAAGGATTCTCTCAAAGACATTTTACACACACACTCGTGGGGCCCAACACTACGTGTCCTCGTGTGCCATAATAACGCATTGCATTCTTTTCTACTATGGAGGTGGAACATGGAATCAACCACTATCAATGGTACTGGGCGGATTATTCATGTTCAAATTATGGAAGAATTTCTGCACCCTCTATCCAATTTTCAAGCCTGGATGATGGGAAGCATAAGGAACGAGGGAGATTCTGCCCCAGTGAAAATGGTGGTCCACCCACCAAAAACCTCATTTGGCCTATCAGCGGGAAGAGTGTGCAAGAATGGCCCGGAGCCCCGGGAAATCCACGCCTCGTTAGGTTTGTCTGGTGGTAGAGGGCGCTCAAAATCCTTGCCGCTGATCTGTAGCGCCAGCCGATACCCCTTTGGGAGGAGAATGTTGGTTGGCCATATCTCGACATCGAGCTCGTATACCCTTCCCGGATCCAGAGGCAATACCTCATCATGGCTGTGGTATGGTCTGTACGGAAGACTCTTGGATGTGTCCAGCTTCCGATGAGATGCTCGCAGCCAGCCTTGGGCAAGCGGAGTGTGAGGGTCGACTGTGCCTTGGAAGTCGACCTCGCGGTTCTCGGGTGAAAAGGCCTGGAAGGTCACGAACAGATCCATGTCCTCCGTGGATGAAGACGCAAACAACTTGGCGGCCAATGGACCTGTGATCTCCGTGTCGTGTTCCAATGGTGGTGAGGTAAATGTCAGGCTCTCCTCCATTGCCATGTAACTAAGACTGGAAGATTTCGATGGCTTTTCCCATGCCAGGAGAGGTGACGAAGATTGATTTGCCTCGAGATATATCCTCGTCCACTTTGTGTTCGGCAATGGCCAAGATGGCTCCTTTCGAAGCTCGAACTTGTCAGTGAATGGCCGTCGTAGATGTAAGAGCACAGGGGCCTCCCTGTCCCAACCGTTATCGACCCCCTTGAGGAAATGGTCGAAGAACCTCTTCTGCATCGCCATCGGCTCGTTCAGGTAGAACCACTCTTCGTGCCTACCCGGATGACATTCGAGCCACTTCTGTTTCGAAGCCGCTTGCGTGAAAGCCTCGAAGTTGCCTCGCGGGTGGAGGCCAAATCCAGCCCAGCTCGCCGCGCTTAAGAAGGGCACCGTGACCTTGCTCCAGTCGGCCGAGCGAGATCGGTACCATTGACTGTCTAAAGGTCGCGCAAGGACATCCTGGACAGGGTCACAGCGATTGTTTTTCAACTCCTCGTCGGAGAGCAAGTCAGATTCCGGACCGCTCGCGATTTCGTTCATCCAGGGATCCAGGACCGCTTTCGGATTTCCATGTTGTACGGACACGACTTGTCTGGGATACCAGGCTTCGAAAAACGCATTGGATTGAATCCCGCCGTGCCGCGCAATGTCTCGATAACAGTCCGCCGCACCCTCCCAAGGGATCATGGCTGTGAGGTGCGGGGGCTGCAAGGACGCGACCAGCCACTGCGTGATTGCGTAGTAGGAAATGCCACTGAGCCCGACCTTGCCGTTGCTCCAGGGCTGCGTGCCCGCCCACTCGATCGCCTCGTAGTAGTCCTTGATTTCCCGCGGCGAGAACACGTCAAGGTACCCTGGCGAGCGGCCTGCTCCTCTCGAGTCGACGCGGATGCAGATGTAGCCCCACGGGACCCAGATCTCTGGATCGACCGTCTCCCAGTTCATGTACTCGCGTGAAGAGCCCGGTAAGACGTCCGGATACGTCGAGATCAGCCAATCCCACTGCGGCTTGAAGCCTACACGGTAAGGTACGCCCTTTCCGTACGGTCCGAGTGTCATGATCACCGGATGAGCACCAGAATCGGGTCGAAACACGTCTGCGCGGAGGACGAGGCCATCGTCCATAGAGATGGGAACGTCTCGCTCGATGATCATTGCGGCTGTTGCACAATCTCGAACGAAAAACAGGATGGGATATGCAAGTGCTCTCCAGGCAGTGGGTTCAGCTCAATATACCTTCTTTCCTTCTTATATATCCTTGAAGTCCAGCTACCCTGCATTACTAGTAGTTCATCGTTCCGTTCCCTAAGAGCTTCCCCGCTCATTGTCGGTTGTACGACCAGCTAGCCTAGCTGCGGACACGGTACGACACATCCATGCGCATCCAGGCCGAACCACGGATGAAAAAAGGGATGCTCGTGCCTAGAAAGATGCATTCATCTCACGAGGACCGACCCGGACCCCGCAACTGCAGCGTCCAGTCTGGGGAACTGCAGGCATGTACGGCTCGTACCAAGTTGAAGGGCGGACAGCAATGAAACCCATCTTTTTTTGGTCCAGTGAAAAGGGAACTCGGCCTTGGCGGGTTTGTCAGCCCTTGGGGCGCCGACTGCATCCAGTATGATGTGCGTATCGGATCCGATCTGGTAACCACTTCGACATCCCTTTGCACACCAACTATTCGTCAGAGGCGGAGAAGACTCGAAGGAGGCGACCACCTCATACGTGGCCGTGATCTAGGACAAAAAAGGCGTTTGCAGCAGACCCCGGAGTTTCCGTCTCTCGTACAAGAAGCATTTCTCATTCATCGATGTCATAGTTAGATGCGACTTTGTGCTATTCGAGTAAGACTGTCGTACCATGCCTTGCCCTTCGAGGTCAATGCAACGAGATGCCTCGGCAGATTCGATCCACATGAGCGAGATTGTCCGAGCAAGCAGTTTCGCATGGAGGTGTCGAGGAGCACCAACATCAGAATAGCTCCTTTCAAATTAGCCGCATAAGGATGCGAATTTTGCCACTGTTGAGAATTGCAGGCCGTCCAATCGCACTGCAAAAGATGTTGGGCTTTTTGTTTCGTCTTAGTTTCTTGCTCTCAGCCCAGAGGGTTAAACGACTCGTCGATAGACGGCGAAAAATATTGGCTTTCAGGATACGGGAGGATCCATGGGGCTTCCCCGGAAAGAACGATATCTTGCATCGTACCAGGAGCAAAGCTTTGCGTAGATCTATGATTACACATATATTTAGTCGAAAGGAGGGAGATCACCTCCAAATATCTTCACAGGTCTGCATTGCAGGTTGTCTAGGCTTGCGTGCGCCGCTATGTTCCACTATAATAGAAAGTTCTTGCATCTGCTGATACTGAGGCAACGGTGGGAATGGCGACGGTCCCCGACGGCACAAGAAGCGCTGGATTCGGGATGCAAAGCCTTCCTTCATGGGTTTGTTGACATAAGAAGCCTCATCATATCTGTTTGTGAATTTCCCTGCGATTTTGGCTCTGTCCAATTTGCAGATGTCATGGGTGCTTTGGAATGTGGACACTATAGAAGCTTGGTGACTGATATAATGCTGGCCGTCGACTTTGCAACTGAAATGTGATCGTGTGCACTGGAGCCTCGTACAACCATCAGATCGGCGAGTTCAAGGGCCCGCAGCGTGGCGCTGTGTGATCCGAGGAAGCGGATGAATTCTTCCTCAAACGTGATAAGGTCCTGAAGTTGAGAGATGGCGGTCGCGGCAAGTGATATTTGTAAACAGAGTCCCTGGACCTCTACTCCAAACGTTGTGCCATACAGGTTGTAAAGAATTCGTTGAGATCTAGAGAGAATACTTTAAAGTTGCCGTAATGTCCAAGGGAAACACGCAACACCCGCAATGTGCCGAGAGAATCAGGCTAACAATTGAAATCGGTATTGCAGAGACCAAGATGCAGCTCTCGCGGTGGGTCGAGTCTCAGGGCCGTTCCTGGTGAAGCATTCAAGTCTACGAAGGTATCCCAAGACAGTGTATTCCCATGCACTTTATTCAGGGTCAAATGCGAAGTCGCTTCAAAAAGAGACGCAAACGGACGTCCGTCGTAAAATCCAAGCTCTAGGGGCTTCTTTGGGGCCCCAGTGAGGATCCGGCTTGGAGAGAACGGGTCAAATTCCCGCACTGTCGCTATTGACGCAAGATGAATGAGATTGCTTGTTAAGCGAAGCAATTCTGGTAGTTCATCTAGTTCAGAGAAAGCTGGTAGGGCGTCGGCTCCATTCACATGGTGGTGTCGGTATATTTTCTCAACCGCAGCGATACCCGTGTTGGATATCCTCTCCCAGTACCTGGCGTTGCTTAATATGTAGTCGGGACGTTTATCAACATGGTAGAAGATGTAGCCCACGTGGACTGCTGAATACTCCCTCTGCGCTATCTCTAATGTACGACCGAAGCTTCGTGTGTCGGGGCTAATATGGACGGTATTGTAGAGAACAGATGTTGCCGAATGACCATGATCAATGAGGACTCGACGCATGTTCTAGAGGTCATCATGGCCAAGTCACCCAAGGACGTCAACCCACAGCTCTAAGGGTAGAGCACACCATCCTGTAGTGCCAGTCATGGATACAGAGGCCTAGCCTTCATTGTAGACATGACGAGGCATGCGCGTAACCGACTATGAAGTGATTGGGGATGATGAGTTGATGAGTTTGAAGAATCAGTGGAGGGATTCCAAAGAGGCGATGACACACAGTGAGCGCATATGCAGGACAATGCTCGACAGTAGTTGCATTGGCAGCGAGGATCACAATATAATCATCGTCGAAGAGAAGGCGAGAGCTACAATTCTGAGGAGCGTCCCTTTCGCTGTCTCTTTGCTCTGCCCAAATAGCTCGAATTCCGCGTGCCAATGCGCTAAAGAGCTCACCTGCACAAGAGCTACATACGCTATGGAGAGAGTACGAGGTATTGCTCGTCAAACGCAGCGTATCAAGCTCATGGCCAGGATGATCAGCCTCGTACCTCGTAGCATCACCCAAACCTCTTCATTCTGTGAGCCAGGAACGACAATTGCGCAACGGTCACGATCACAGGAATGCATTTCACCTCAAACAGCAGCGAAGGAAATTCGAGGACATCTCACGCCATATGAGAACACTATTCATGGTCAAAATCAAACTTGTCGCAAAAGATGCCGAGGTTAGTAATAGTCTACACTTGGTCATACTTGGCGATTGTCATTGGAGGCGGGTGTTTATCTACTTTGCTTCTCAGATCTAATGTTGACGACAACTGCAGCATGTTGTTATTGCCTACGGCAATAAACATACATGGTCGCTTGTTTCCTCTCCTGAAGACCAGGAGCTTGGCCTGTTATCAACACAGCCTGCACAGCGGGAAAAAGACCTGCCTCTACAGAAAGTGGTTAGGGTTCTTGGGTTGGGGGGACCAACACACAGAAGGACCTACAGGGTTTGTACTTTGTTATCTACCAAGTACGAGTTATGCTCTCATGACGTGCTTGACATCCCTTGCTTAGCACCAAATTTCAGCTCCTGCAGATAGGTTCTGAGACAACGAGGCGTTCAAGGCAGAAGAGAACAGCAGATGTCGAGCTCGTTCTCTGCAACGAGACGAGTTGCACCCCCTGCAAATGGACTCCGTGCAAAGCCTCAATCTTACCGGTAAGCCTCTAGCCCACCAGCCTCAATACACGCAATTGGATGGCCTGGTGGGGCACAGACCCTAAGCGGAAGAAGGCGGCTATGCGAAACTCTTCCCAGCCCCTTACCGAGAACTTCGCCCTCTTTCCCCACCTTACTTTCCTTGCAACGCCGTACTTATCAAAAGACCCTTACATGAGCTACTGCAGGGGTGTCTTGGGTCGAGACATCCGGAAAACAAGAGCTAACACAATTTGAGCAGGATATGGGTACAAGAGGCAGGTCCGCGCGGCAGGGATGCGGGCCGGCAAGCCGTCGCGTACTGGGTAATACTCCTATTAACACCACCTACTCCGGACATACGCAAACATCTCCGCTTCATAGACATCTTGATGCCTTGCTCTTGAGCAGCCTAGTTCCAACACTTCAAGTATGATACCCTCCTATCTTTTCCCCTTTGCGCTTATTCGGCGGCTTTGGCGCAGAATGATGAAACGATACCCTTGGAGGCACGCTGCCCCAGGCTAGCATGCAACTCCGCTTCACAGCCTGAGCTATCACTCCCTGCCACCCTCCATGGTTAGTACTGTTGATGCCACAAGAGGCAAATGTGCACCTTGAAACTTCTATTGGCGTAGTTCCTCTGGGAGTCCCTTGGCCAAGTATCAGCCACGTTACCTCTACTTGAGCACTTTGAAGCTAGCTTACATCCCACACCGCGTCGACTCTCCATGTTAAGGGTAGCGCTCAAATCACGGCCAAGCTCGAGGATCGGAATAACACCTCCCTTCGAGGCTGACTCTGTTGGATTTCAAACCTTCTGCGTCGCAAATCGGAACAAGGTTTGTCTTCCATAACCATGCCACAGCAACGTAGCATCCTGTGATCGCAACCATTCTAGAAAATATGCAAGGGTTCAGATAAGAGAGGCAGACTACTTTTTCCTCACATAGTGAGTTGTGATCGTCAGGCTGACATAGGAGACATATACATGTATATACCTCCCTCTGTACCGAGCATATGCACACTTTCTTTATGGAAAGACTGACTACCTCCTTCGTTAACTCTGCATCAAAATCCTTTTTTTGACGTCTCGGTTTCCAGGTTCTGTTTCCAAAAAAGTCGCTTCAGAAACCATGGCGCCGACTCAACCTGATGTTCACTTACAGATTCCAGAGCACGATGAGCTCCTTGATGCTGTTGACAGCTTGAGGTCCCAGGGCATCCAGCGCTATATCGATCTCCCACAGCTGATTGTCTGCGGTGATCAGAGTGCGGGAAAATCAAGTGTCTTGGAAGCTATCTCGGGAGGTCTCCATTTTCCGACTAAAGATACTTTGTGCACGCGGTTCGCTACCGAACTCGTACTGAGAAGAGGCCCGACTTCACAAGTCAAGATTACAATCATTCCAGACAAAACCCGCACAGAAGCAGAGCAAGAAACTCTGACAAGTTTTGTACCACCAACAACTTCCCTAGACCAGTTCCCACAAATTGTTGATGCTGCGGCAGTGGCAATGGGCATTGATGGCGCTCGAAAAGCTTTCAGCAAAGACACCCTAAGGGTAGAGCTCTCAGGACCCACCCAACCTCATTTGACACTTGTCGATCTGCCTGGACTTTACCACGCTGGCGACAAACACCAATCCGCCATAGATGCAAAACTCATTTGCAAACTTGTGACGGATTATATGGCAAAGGAGAGAAGTATCATCCTCGCTGTGGTCTCAGCCCAAAATAATTACAACAACCAAATTGTGACGGAGTATGCAAAGCTGCGGGACCCGCTCGGTGTTCGTACGCTGGGCATCATTACGAAGCCAGATACGCTCGATCCAGGTTCAAGCATGCAAAAATTTTACCAAGAGCTTGTGCAGAAAGATGATGGCAACTTCAAACTCGGTTGGCACATGCTTCGGAACCGTGGTTATAGCGACAGGGACTCTTCAACCGCTGAAAGAGACCTGGTAGAAGACGAATTTTTCGAACAAGAAGATTGGAAAGCGATGCCCAAAGGAAGGGTTGGCATCAAGGGTCTGCGCTCCCGACTCAGCAGAATCCTCCTTTCACACATATCAAAGGAGCTTCCTCAACTATTGTGCGACGTCGAGAGCGGAATTGCACATTGTCAGCATCGGCTCGAGGAACTTGGTCAACCAAGGCACACAGTCGCCCTGCAACGAAAACACCTCCACGATGCCCGTAAGAAATTCAGCGACCTCGTCAAAGACTCTGTCAATGGAGACTACTCGGACCCTTTCTTTCACGATTCTCGCGAGGAAGTCGGCTATAAGAGACGACTTCGAGCAGTAGTCCAGAATGTCATGCAAGAATTCACAGAAGAGATGCGCCTGAGGGGCCACACTGTCCGCCTGGTTGATAACAAATCAGACTTACAAGCCTTAAAGCAACACACCTACACAGAGATTAGAACACGAGAGGAGTTTCTGGAATATGTCAATATCCGAATGAAGATCAACCGCGGGACGGAATTGCCGGGAATTTTCAACCCTGGCGTTATTGGCGAGCTCTTTCGCCGCCAGTCCGAGCGCTGGGAGGAGATTATCCACCGCGCTCGAGAGAAGATGCTACGTGCCACAGAAGAGACGATCGATCATGCGCTTGGCCATGTCACTGACCCCAGAACCGCGCAAGCCATCCAGCTCTATCTAGTTCAGCCGAGAATGGACGAGATACGTAAGGGACTCTACGAGAAGACGAACGAAGTACTCAGACCGCATCAAGAGGACCGCCCCATGACGCTCAATCACTCGTTTATCAAAGACCTCCAAAAGAGACGACGTCAGGAGACACGCAGATTGATGGCTGAGAAACTTGCCAACTTCTTCGACAAAGATCCTGAAGGAGAAGGAGGCTCTGGCCCGGTCTATAGTGGAGAATTCAACATGCGAGCCCTCCTTGACTCTCTTGTCACGCAGACGGAAATCGACTTTGATCGCTTCGCCTGTCTCGAAGCCACAAATGCGATGGAGGCATACTACAAGGTCCGTGGCGGTGCTCCAGCTTTTGATAGACGTCGTCGCTGCCCGTGATAGTTGACTGACCAGATTATTTATGTTTTAGGTCGCATTGAAAACCATCATCGATGCATTCAACATGTATGCCGTTGAGGGCACCCTGTTGAAGCAGCTTCCCGATCTTCTGCCCCGCGAGGTGGTGGAACAGCTGGATGAAGACACCTTGGCGAATGTAGCAGCAGAGTCGGCTGAATGCATCGCGGACCGAGTCGAACACGAACAGAAGCGCTCGACTCTGCAACAGTCGCTGAAGACGCTGCAAAGGCTGAAGATCACAAAGATTCCTGGTATGTGAAAAATCCGCCTTTTTCGTTTGCATCACATTTCACCGCTTTTTGCTGATGGCGATTTGGATAGAACCCGACTCGGTGCAGAAACAAACACTCCCAATGAGCCCAAATGCTGGTGTCGATTCCAGCAGCGCTTCTATTGTCGAGCCCAACATTCCAAAAGAAAGGGAGAGAGCAGCCAGCAAGGCCTCGACTTCTCACGACTCTGCTGTCGGTATGGGCGATGAGGAAGTCAAGGGATAGAAGGCCAGCCGACCTGTGGAGAGATTTACAGATCATATACCTGTGCAGGGATGTAAGACGTTGGTTCTCATCTGAAGCTCTGGAGACTTGTTTGCGATAACTGATTGTACAACAACCATGCCGAGGACTGTCCGTCCGTCGCAGTTCCCCCATAACGAACTGTCTCTTTCACATTCTGGTCCATCTGTTTGGTGTTATACACAGCTCTTTTTGGTGTTCAGCGCCGACAAAGCGCTTGGCCTTGGCACCCTTTTGGGGCCGTCCTTAACGCTCTACTCAGGCATCAGGTGCTTGCACCACTGGTGCCGATGACAATGATTTGATGGCCAAATTCATGACCAAGCGACTGACCCATCTGTACAGATATAACACATCTACACCCTTCTCTGCTGCCCCGCCGGTAACGAGGCCTGTCTTTTCTTGACGACCTTTGCCATCGATCCCTCCGCACCTTCAACGGGATCTTTCAAATTTCACTTCTGATGACTGTTCTCCAGAGCGTCGTAGTCGATTCTCTCGAGCCCCTTGTCATCCCAGATTTTCTTGATGACCAGAGCAGTAGAACCTGCAATGAACATGAAGGTGGTCATGACGGCAAAGCCCATAATATATCGGGGGGCGTCATGGGCAGGCCAGATGAAAGACCCATACACGGAGGCCAGGTTACCTATCGAAAATCAGTGAGCCGGAATTGCTTACTGAGGAGGTGGCAAGACTTACCGAAACCATTGATGACGGGGACTGAGACGGCACGTCGCTCTCGACCCGGGAACATGGTGACTTCCCAACTAATCAACAAGGGCACGCAGCTCTGTACCCCGGCGAATCCGAAGCAGATGAAAGCATAGCGGACGGGGAAATGCGCGCTAGCTGCGCAAATTATGAACGAGACAACGGCAAGGGTGGAGCAACCTAGGACGTGGTATGCTTTCTGTCCGGTGTGATCGGCTGAATAACCCGTGATCAGGGTAATAGCCAAAGTGACGGCGTAGATGGGCACGGTCATGACTGCGGGAGGGTCAGACGATGGTGATAACGTCCAAGACAGCTGGACTTACATTGCACCATGCGACCCTTGTAGCCCAAAGCTCCCATGAGGGTTGGGAAGAAGTACGAAACCGTACCCGAAGCCAAGATCGTGTTCAGTGAGAGCATGAACAGCTTGGATGATCAGCATCGCCCTGTGACTGGAATACCATCGCTACTCACCCACATCTTCCAGTCCTTGATGGACAGGAGTATGGCCTTCCTGTAAGGCATCTTCTTGTCCAGATCCTCCCTGATGATCAAGCGAGTGGTGGCTAGCTTTCTCTCCTGCTCGGAAAGCCACTTGGTATCGGTAGGGTAATCTTTGTGTCGTCAGCCGACAGTTTCGGTCTCCTCGTTCCGGTAACATACCTGGCAGGAGGGAATATGCAACGACACCGACGACGACTGTTCCCAGACCTTCAATGATGAACAGCCTGATTAAAGTGAGCAAGCGCGTTTTTGACACTGGATGTGATAGATGTCTCACCATTTCCACCCGCGCACACCTCCGACACCTTCCATTCCATCGATAATGCCTCCTGCGAGCAGACCACCAAAAGCGCCGGCCAAGATGGTGCCGGTATAAAAGATCGCAATACGTTTCGACAGCTCGGAGGGCTATGGTCCGTCAATATGGGGATTTCCTGAGAGCCATGCAGAGGTGACTAACCTTATACCAACAGGACAGGACGAGCATGACACCAGGGAAGAAACCGGCTTCGAGGAAACCAAGAGCGATGCGAAAAGCGATCATACCCCCGAGGTTATCAATACCCTTGACGGCAACCGAGACAGCTCCCTAGATACGAGTTACACTTTCCGCAAAACCAAGACCTTGATACCAATGCACTGACCCACACGATCATGATGGTCGGCAAGAAAACACTGGGCTTCGTCCTGGCCAGGACCATAACGGCAGGAGGTTCGAACACCAAATAAACCTAAAACGGGTTCAGGACGCCTCTTCATGAGTCTGTTTTGCTCTGGTTGACTCACCACGAAGAAGATGGAGAGAATCAGAGAGTAATCGGAAGAGCTCAATTTGAGGTCCTCTTCCATACCTCCAACCTTTGCATTCTGCACCAGGAGTCAGTCGCAACCTGTGTGTATACCGCACTGCAGGGTCCCCCCACTTACACCAATGTTGGTTCGGTCGAGATAGTTGAAGACGTACATGGCCCACAAGACCGGGAGGAGATGCAGGTCGATCTTTCTCACCAGCTTGATCTCCTCTGGCGTACCCTCGACATACTCTTGAATGCCTGCTTCAACAATCTTGGGATCGTCATGGAGGGTTAGCTCCTGGTCGTAATGCTGGATGCCCACTTTATCGTCAAGAGACATGATCGTGGGAGCGTATAGTCGAGCGGTTTCACGGTCTGTATCGATTTCAATCAAGGGCGGATGTTCGACAAAGTGTCGACATGGGACCAGACCAAGTCTTTGTAGGTCGCCATGGGGAATTCACCCCGGGGCCCCGCAAAATTGGTAGTGAACACATTGGCCGGCAGAAATGGACCCAAACCACAAACGATGAGGTGCAGCAACAGAAAATCACCAGAACGCGGCGCATTTTCCAGGTCCCCGGTCGGGTAGATGCGGCCATATATCACGCACCATACTTGCTGCAGCTAGTCATGGTACGGGATTGTCACACAATCCCACAACCATGTCTGAAAAAAAGGCCAAAATAGGCCGGAAGTAGCCGGCGCAAGGGTCTTAATCCAAAACCTTCTTACAAGCGAGCAAGCTCGAATCCAGCCAGGACTGGACAGAACGGCTAGCTGGTGCAGATCCACGGCTTCTATGGACAAAGAGCGTTGACCTCGGTTGGTTGAACCATCCTCGTTATTGGCAGCTGGCATTAGACATTACGAACCTCGCCTTTTGCATTTCGGCAGACGAGTCATCGACCAGGCCATTTTCCTCAGCACTCCCTGATTGCGGCCTTGGGAGGAAGGGGCGCGGAGCAGTTTATAGCTCCTGGTTCTTCCTCTGCCGTCGCAGCTGGTATTACAGAATTATTATTGGATACTGTGCGCTCATATTTTAATCCAAGGTCGTCGGAGTGAGTCCTCCCCAAAACTCCCTATCATCGTAATTGAAGAGTGACGTAAAGATGTCAGATACAGGCATGATTGTGGGAAGATCATGACTAATATTTTCGGTGGTCAGCGGTAAAGTGACGTCCAGGTTGTCTGGATCAAGGCCAAAGATGGCATCGATGTCGGCTGCGAGTTCCTGTAACGGCCGCTCCGCGACAAATGGAGATTCTCTGCTCCCAAGAAAGGTGGGCAGGTCGGAATCGCTCGGACGAGACTTCATGGCCGTGGCAGACTCCGTCGCGTTGGCGATGGGACCGGAGGAATCAATGCCAGGTGAGGACGGACAGGTGACGGCAGGGGTCTGGATGTCATGGTCGCGATATATACGTCTCAAGAGTCCGTCGAGGGCAGATGAGTTGCGGACGGCGGGATGTCTGTGATCCGACGAAGCCAAAGACATACACCTGATGAGACCGCGGATCAGGTGAAGGATCGCCCTTTTCTGCGATGGCGGTAAGGGGACAATCACCGCCGCTTTGAGTAGGAATACGCCCGCGTGGCTGAAGAATTGAAAGAATCGCAAAGGAAGATATTTTAAAGTCTGGGAAGCGAGTTAGATTGGTGTGGTGTTCTGGAGGGGATATAATCAATGAATGAATGAATGTTTTCTTTGACGCACCCCGGAAGGTTGAAATCTGCCTATGGCCAAGCGTAGCACATCGGCCTGGGAGGAAAAAGAATGTAGTTAGTTATCTGAAGAACCCCGAGAAGGGGGTGGTTCATGGTGGATTATCATACCCCTGCATTCATTGCCTCAATGATGAAACGGGCGTCGACGCTGCCCATCAGGCCTGTTGGAAAGTACTCTAGTGGCCGACGACCGTCGTTACAGCTTTCTGCACGTTGCATATGTGCCTGCAAAGAGAACGAGTAGATATACAGGCGCAGATGGTGCTGTGGAAGGCCGACTTTGTCAGCCCAGTCCCCGTGGGTTGATTAGTCGGGGTAGCATAGGGGAAGGGAGGGGCAAGTGCTCACAAATGATATCCAGACGCATTCGTTGATCGGGTACGTTCGCCACGGCTTCTTCTGCCATCTATTGCGGAATGCGGACAGTGCTATTACAGGGCCAGATTAGTAGGGAAACACGCCGGCAAAGGGATATTGTCGAGTGGTAGGCATCCTCTCCTACCTTCTGTAAATTCATCGATGTGCTTATAGTAGTGCTCGGCTTTCGCGATGGCGAGCGAGTGGCTTTTGGAGGGGTATAACAGGTCGTGAGCGTTGCTCAGTACCTGCGTTATATGCATGAGACACTGCAAGTATGCGGCATAGTCATCTTGGAGGCCCTCGATCTCGCGCATCTGGGGGAAGTCATCGGCCGGATCGAAGTGCAGATGCTGGATCGTCATCCCAGGACCTGTCGAGTGACGCTCACCCGTCAGCTGTGTATTCTTTAAATACGAAGACCAAACAAAATCTTTCTATTTGGGCGGGACCAGCGCCCGTTTCAGAATGGGATAATAAGGCGGCTTCTACTCACTTCGGTGCCAGAATGGTTTGCCAACGCGAATAGATATTTGTCGATCGAGACAGTAGCAATCTGAACTCCGAGTGGTTAGTCGGCTGGGCGAACATTCATTCAGGCGCTATCGGAGAGTCGGCTCACAAGCCCATACAATCTTCCCTCTACCGCGATCGTCGACAAATTTCTCCTCGATATCGTCTGGCTGCATGACCAGCTGCTCGAGACCTAGGAGGTAACCTAGCCTGACGGCCTTGAGGGAAGGGTCAGCATCGATGGATATCCTAGCCAGGGGTGTGTGTCTGACTCACGGTGCCGACCGTCATCCAGCACATTCGATCTTCAAATCCCAGTCCTGTACTGTGGCCCATATTTGGTGGGTATTCTGCAAAACAGGTCAGCATGTGCTTATCTACAAGGAATTTTCGCTTCGGATTTATTGTACCTGAAAGGAGTAACAATCCTTCGATCATCTCCAGAGATTCATCCGTCCCCTTAATCGCAACCTGCGCAAAAAGCCGCTCCACTCTCTGCCATAAATGACGATGTAGGGTATACTCCCCCAACAGACCGGTTGTCACCACAAGGATCGCGGCCATGAAATGCGGCTCCCGCCCGGCCATGATGAGGATGTGCTCTGATGTCGTCGGTCTCCTTTCATACGGAATGAGCGGCATGATGGGGTGTAACGAGCCAAGGTAGAAGTGAAATAGTCTGAAGAGGGTCGCCTCATCTATGAGGCCCTCTCGAAGGAGGAAGAATTGTGGCCTGGAAGAGCCGGCGCCTAGCACATCCGCCGCATCGGACTGCTCTGAGCTCAATGATGTTCGATCGTGGTCCAAAAGTCGTATAGCATCTGATGTGTTCCTGAGGGGAAAGGTCGCTAGAGTTTGACTGGCCATTTGTTGATCGTAGCTCGGTAACTGTCGGTAGTTATGACTCTCTCGCGAACGAGGCACCCCCGTTGTAACACCTTCGTTATTTCCCACGACGGGTTTAAAAGACCCCATAAACGTCTGCCAGGCGGATTGGCCTTCTTTGCTGGCGGGATAGGGTAAATTAAAGTCGTAATTTCTCGTGGTAGTCGTTCCCGCATATATTTCGCCGTTGCCAACATTGTGCCCGGATTTCTTTGGAGGCCGACCTCTTCGCTTTCTCTCTGGGAGGACTGAGGAGTAGTGAGTGTGCGCATTCGAATACCACGTCAGGAACCTACCACACAATAAGTTGGCTCTGCGACAGGCATGACAAGGCCGTTTGGGGTTTGCTGGATCTCCCAGACTGCACTTGTGTTTCTTTTGTCGACAGCTCTCGCATGCCTGATAGACCCGTTTGAAGGTCGGGCCTCTGCCCGACGTATCCTGTGCGGGGCCCGTCTCAGGCTCCAGAGACACCGAATCAGCTGTGCTAGACATTCTGATCCATGATAATACTCCGAGCCAATGAGTTGAGACAATCTAGAGATGGATGGTGCGCGCACAGAGATTACAACACGCACCTAACAGGCGAGAAGAGTGAAAGGCCTCCTCGGTCAAATGACGAAATTAGAATAGCGAAGCTCGGTGAAGCTCGGTGCAAGATTGTCCGTCAGCCACCAGCGGGTAACCTCGTACCCGGTAGTGCGACATTTGGCGCAAAAACGAAGAAATGGCCGTAAATACCCGAGCCGTTGTTTTGTTGGCTCAAAGATCAGTACTCGGTACATCTCATTGTATCATGTTGTATGAAAATGGTCCGTGCCGCGGGAGTCAAGCTGCCGAGCTGCTTCTGTTGCTGAGGTAAACCTGACAGACGTGTCCCATGGGAATCAAGTGTCGCGAGAACCAAAGATTGACAGGCGCACAGTCTGGACTGGGAATAATGCAGTCTAAACGAGCAATGCGCCGAATAGAAAATGCAATACTTCCACTTCCCCCCTATCCTCTTGGGGGGAAAAGAATTCTTGCTAAGGCAAAGACTATTGCCTTTCGTACCTAGTTCTTGCAGTATATTGTATTCTGTCTTGGATTGTATCAGTCCATCATCTCTGAATCGAGGCCATTGTGGTTCATATGCACAATCGCCGGTGAAGAAGAGTAATCTTTCAATCCTTGGGAAGTCCTTGAATCTGTACTGGCAACCCTTCCTGAAGCCCTCGACGTTGCGAGAAACCTCTCAGCTACCCACTGTGGCTACCTCAACAGATACATACAACGCTCTCCACGATTAGCGGGTCACACTGGCCTCATCGTTGGGGAAAATTTCGCCAACGCTGGGCCTCCAAGAATCGGGTGTAGGCTTTCAAGCTTCAAGAATTCTTTCTTTCTCTCACTCGCATGGGAAGACCGCCTTGAATACCCTGTCGAGACGCCGACGTCAGCGTACATTCATGGTTCCACAAGCTCAGAGAAAGAATAATCATACCATGTTCAAGGCAGCAAGTGGCCTATATGTCCTGCTATCGTCTGATAGAATGATATCGAAGCGTTGGAGGATCGCGACTGTAATAGTGATGCCCTCGTACGTGGCGAGTGGACGTCCGAGACAGCTGCGCGGTCCGGCATTCCACGCGTGATATTCTGTAGATGGCGAAGTCAGCAATCGCAGCAACATTCTTCGTTCTCGAAAGCGGGCTCCTGGGCTTACTAAATGGACTGTATGAGATGCTTTCCCCGTTCTCCTTGAGCCATCGGTATGGGTTGAAGACCGCGGCGTCCTCTCCCCAGATTTCCGGCATGCGAGCCATAACATAGTTCTGATAGCTAACAACATCGCCTCTGTGGAAGATCAATCAATGTTAACTCGTTAATGGGCACAGAAGGAAGATAAAACCTACTTCTTAATCCGACGAGGAGGCATATTTAGCTCAGGTACCGCGGGGAGAATATCGTCCTCAGCCGCCTCCAACTGACCGGCCGGAGACACAGTGTTAAGTCGAGTGCACTCGTCCCACAGGGCATTCGTAAATCGTAACCTCTACAAGATATAAAGTCAGCTCGACAATCTCGATGGTTAAGTCTAGCTCTGGGTTCTTGACTCACCGGCGCATCTGTGTAGTTAAGGTAACCACTAGTGAAGCCAAGGTCCTCGATCTCAGCCCGAATCTTGTTCAAAGCATTTAGATGTTGGTTTTGCTTATGGTGAATCTCCTTGATAAACCACGATGTGTTGTATGTCGTTGTGTCTCCTATATTCACATAAGGTCATTACGAGGCCAAAGTCTGTAAGATTATGACTTACGGCCAGCTGAGAGAAAAGAGAACACCATTCCACCGAGAGTGTATTTGTCAGTTGTCGACTGCAAAAATAGGTCAAGAAGGTCAACCCCAGCGTCTGGGTTAGGTTTATAACCATTCTTCATCGCATCGAGACGCTTCTCGATAAGATAATCAATCTGTTTATAAAAGAGATCCACGGCTCTCTTCGAGATAGTATCTTCGCCAGAGAGCTTCTCGGTTATCCTCCATAGAGGATCGCGTCTCCTTCTGTCAAATACTATAATGAAGTAGATTAGCCACTGTGGAGAGAGTGTCAGTTGAGATGGAAGTGGATCACTTACAATGAGTAGCTTGATCGAAGGCCTCGACGTAATCCGGCTTTGATTCCAGGCACTTTGGATCATCAGACATAATATCTAGAGCGAGCCTATCCTCATGGAAGGCAATTCGGAGGAAGAGGCAGAACATAAGACGGCCCATCACTTCCTGGAAGTTGAACTCTATCTGCTCCTTAGCCAAGTTCGAGAGAAGCCGTAGGAGAATATCCAGCCAATAATGAACAGATTGCGTAATATGAGTCTCGAAGTTGCGCTTGCTGAATGCACGGGAGGCTGCTTTACGTTGCGTTTGCCATTCCACGCCGTCTGCGACGAAAATGCCGCCTCTATGAAGCGGTCCGAACATATTACGAGCGAACCTGCCGCGTATGTAGTTCCTGCTGTTATGCTTCTGGATATGCTCGAGATAGGTGGGATGATTGATAATGTGCATGCGAAAGAATGGAACCGTCATCTCGTATGCAGGTCCGTATTGCTTGTACAAGGAGTACCAGGCCTCGCAGCTGGCGGCGCCATTCGTTTTGAGTTCCTGAAGATTTCCTGTGAAAGGCTTCCCCTTTGGACCACCAATCCATTTCGCATTGGCGGAGTCTGATGTCCAGAAACCCTTGTTGCGGTAAGTCCAACAGATCCCTGCCATGTCACTTAGCACTCGATTCCGATTGATTTTGGGCCCTGCAGGCTGATAACCTACCTGTGACCGTGAGGAGAAGCAGGACACAAGCGTATTCAAGTCCCACGATGACCGAGTCCACTGGAGGCACTAGAGGGTGCTCGAGCATGGTG